AACAATGTATTGATTCTGGGAATACCATGATCCCAACTATCTTCCAAATCATCCAAAGTCAATCTCCTGTTTTATACTTATGCTTCTTATCGCTTTAAGGCATATTCAGCCCAAACTCTTTGACTGTCTATAAATTCACTTTCCCAAGTTTAGATATATCTATATAGATTAGGAATCAATTAATCCTCATCATGGCTCATACCTGCTCTGTAATGAGTAATGCCTGTATCAGTTTATTTTGAAAATCTCAAATCTGATTATGGAATCAAAATATGTCCCATTGATAACATACCCAAACCACCCAATTCTTTAGGTGTGTAAAACACAACAGGTGGGAAACGAGAGGGCATCTTAGAATTCAATCCTATCTTAATTCTAGTTTATATCTTATTTTCGCATTTGACTAACAGATCTAATAATTATTCTGTATGAACAGCTGATTCTCTATAATATGTCATTAATCCAATCAAAGTTGTATTCCATTTATTTGCTATCTTTGTAAATGTTGTACTACCACTGGCCATCAATATTTATCTAATTCTGTTTTCATATTTCTTCATGCTCTCTTCATCCACTCTTAAAAATGCAACAGCAGTTATTTCCTTACTTGATTCATTTTGTAATTTCCAAACACCATCCTTTTCTGAGAATTCTTCTTGAGTTCCTCTTATCTTAGGTAAGATTCTCACCTCAAATCCACACATATTAAATAAGAAATTGGGATTGTCCTTCGAGTAAACTGAAACAAAAGAGTGTTCCCAAGCCAATGTTGTTAAACATCTTGGCAATCTATTTTTGATATCCCAAAAGACAGCCCTTCCTAAATTTACATCATGTTTCATTAACCTCATTCTGCAATCTTTAGGCCAGCATTTCTTATTATTATATCCAACAATATTTTCATTATTGGGATCTGGATTCTCTGTTAAATATCTTTGTATTAATTCTCTTGCCTCCTCAGCTGTAAATCTGAATACCATGAATATCTTATCAATATATCTACAATATAATCTAATTGGATGTCTGATTTCCTATTAAATATTAGAATAAGTCATGAACTCATGAGGATTGTTATATGGACCAGCCAAATCTTAGGCTCTATTTAAACCCAAAATCAATAAATCCAAAACCATACCATAAAATTACATTATGAAACTAGTAAATTGAATTCCATGTAAAACACCATGAACATTTGTATGATTCATATCTTTGTAAGTGATGACAACATTATTTTTGGCAGTCATATAATCTGCTATGTTATGATCAACAATCAATCTCAACAATCTATTTAATAATGTTTGATCGATCTTTTCATAAACCTTTTCAAATTTGCTTTCCAACAATACTACGCATTAACCATCAGATACATCCCATATTCCATGAAGATTGTTAATTCCTTAACACCACTTATATACTAATAAGGGAGGTGGTTCACTATCACTTGGTTTGATCCAATTAGGGAAGAGTCTTCTTTTATCTGCTTCATAAAACAAATATTAATCTAGATAAGCATCTGTGATCTTCTCTAAAGGTTCAACATCATACACAGGCACTAAATGAGAATAAAGATCCATAAACTCTAATCTCACTTCTTTGAACACTCTTTAAGTCAAAAGATGTCTCTTCACTCTGCTCAATGCTTCATGTGGATTATCATATGCCTATTCAATCAATGCTAATTCTTCTCTTTAACTTTGATTCAATCTACTCTTGACCGAATAAGCTTCCTTTAGCCTTTCTAAAGCCAACAAGAATAATTTGGTATCGTGCTTATAATTCACAGGTGGATAGGGAATATGAATGAACTTTCTGCTTTCCAACCATCTCACTAAGGCTGTATAAATAGCAACTGCATCCTCGGTTGTTAAATAAGGTCCATCCTTCATAAAGTTATGCTATCTTTCTTATTCTTATTTCAAAAACAGACGAGTTAATCTTCCTAAGTTCTTCTTACATACTGTTTTATCAACTGTAGCCCCTCTTCTTATACGTTCCCTATTATAATAAGCTGAATTTGTATAATAGTCAGCCTTGTATTTCACATATCTCAAAATAATATTCTCTATTGGAGCAGGTAACCCTGGGACTTTCCATGGGATATTGGCTTTCCAACATCTCCAAGCTTCACTTAAATGTTATAATATTGTCTTAGCTTTGTTTGCTCTCACTCCTTCTGGCATCATATCAATGATATCAGACATCACTGCAGCTCTTAATTCCAAATCAAATTGAGATTCCACTCTTTATTTAGTAACTGTCTTAGATATTCCTTTTGAATGTCTACCTTCGAATGTACGAGCCAGTAAATTGCCTAACCATCTCTCTAACAGTGGGATAATTCCTCTCAAAAAGAATAACCATACTCTCCACATAGGGGTCCAAAATCCAACTCCTGGTCCCTTACCAACTGGACCAGTATTGAAACGATAATAAATGACATGTTTCAAATCCTTACACATTCTAATCTATCTCATCAATCTGTATTTGTAACGATACATACCTGTCACCAAACCAACATGTGAGAATACATACTACAATCCATCAGCCAATTAAAAGGCATCAATATTACCTAATCTGTATTATACATGACTATCACATGCCAACTTCATTAATCTTAAAATTTCTCTGCACAAATGAAATGCATTACCAAATCTGGACTTCTTTCTTTCCTTTGTTGTCAATGTCTTTACTGGTTTCAATTAGAAATTGTAATCTAAATGCAAATAATTTAAGTTTTTTCTATGAATCAATAAATTCAACATATTGTATCCTTAACGTGCTATCTAGAGACCACATTCAACCCAATCTATCTCTGTTAATTAAAAGAACTTTGTTGCTTAGAATGCCTTCAATAAGTTTCTTTTATTTTAACACTTTGGTTTTCTTTTGTGGAGACTATTCAATACCCAACATTTCAATAGTTTTTAATATGAAACTCTAACCTTAACAGGATACTATGGATTGCATCTCTCCTTGAACCAAGGTGCCACTAGAGGTATATCAAATGCTCTTCTAGTCTTACCTGTTCTTTGATTAAATGGAGCTGGAGCCCATAAGAGAGCAATAGAGGCAGTTGTTTATTCATCAGATAATTCTGTCTCACTTAACAATGGTACAAATCCATCTCCTATTTCAATATCCAATTCACTATCATCAATCTGAACATCAATCTTTCTACTCTATGTTCTGTATGCAGAAATAGGATTTATCACAGGATCAAAATTGTATGTTGATATTTCAGGGTTGTCTTACTTAATAAATACATTTGCTGGATAATGATAAGGAGCAATAGCTACACTTCTTGGTCTTGAGTTATATAAAAAGGGAAAGGCAATTTTGTATTCACTTCTAATTTATTATCTGATAATAATCTTGTTAATATCATTGAATTCATTCCAATCCTCATCCTCCTCAAAAATGTCTCTATAGAGAGGTTCAAATTTGGGTCCTCCAGGGATAGCCATATTCAATGCTTTAGCTGTGTAAAGTGATTGAAGTTAAAACAAATAGAAGTAATTCTGATCAACTATATCTGACAATAATTGGTTAGCCAATCTAAATAGATTCTGTTAGACTTCTAATGTTAGTTACCAAGATCGATAACTCGGTCCATTCAATAGCTTGGTATATCTCAATGGTTGGTGATCATAAAACCAATCAAAAACAGCATTGTCTTCTCTTTCATCCAATTCCATTTGTATGGGTTCCAAAGGTTCAACATCCAAGATATTGTCTCCATAATCCAATGGGATTTCTTCGTCATCAAATGGGGGGAATCGCATTCTTTTGAAATTTCTTCTGTCTCTCTTTTCTCTTCTCATCATGACCCACATGGTACCCCATTGAGCTGTATACACAGGTTCAATCACTTTTGGAATCTCATAACAAAAGGTGATGCATCCTGTAATGTGATATAGAACCTTCACAGTTCTTACTTATTCCCATGGCATAGGCATATTCTCCAATAATTTATAAATTGCATGTGGCATGTATTTTAATGCACCCAAATATACTCTCTTATCTTGTCTATATTTCTTTGATTCTAAATTTCCATGATCCTTAAAAATTTTCCTAAATACATTAAAAAAATCTTCTACCTTAAAATTTCAGGAGGTTGAGGCTCCTTCTATCCTTCAACAAACCCAAACTTTCTTTTTTCGGCATACTTCTTTTTTTGGACTTATTGCCACTTTTTGAGCTTGTCTTCTATAGTATCACTCTATCGAATCAGATTCATATCTATTTATTTAAAAATAATATTAAATGACCACAATAATTAATTATAAGAACCAGAAACAATAAATTAAGAATGTCCAGCTCAGAAAGGGAAATTAAGTAATTTAATTTTGAGCATACAATATTTTATTTTAAAAGAGATATACACTTCTTAATTATTGCCTCGTATTCCCTTGTTATAGGAATAAAAATTTGGAAAACTCTTTTATGACAAAAGATTATGGTTATGTATATTAATAAAAACATTACTACTTCCTTGGCATAAGGGAATAGAGTTCATGATTATAATCAATAATAATAAGAATAATTTCTAATTTAATAGAAATACTATTATGAATAGAACTTTGCAGATAAGCTGAGTCTGGAACTTACAATTGAATTAATTAACATGTTTCTGATTTAGATGAGCCTTTAGTTAATTTATAGGTTTGGCGGTAGTAAATTAGTCTGTTAATTTAATAAGCAAAGCCGTAAGAATTATGATAGATAATCATCATCCAACTTCTCTGCCTTAATTCTAAATAACTAAGGCTAATACAAATGTTTCTCTTGAAAACTATTAATATTTTGGAAAATTTGAAATCAAAGGAACCTCAACATTTAGGTTGAGAAACTAGAGAAGCAATAGAAACTAGAAATGAATTTTGTTTACTTTTGTAAGTGAGTATAAATAAGAAGACATAAGAAAAATAAGATGAGCATAATTATAAATCAAAAATATATTGATTTGAATAACAATTAATTAATTATTATTCATAAACTATGCTATCCAAAATTGAAAGAGTTAACTTGAGCCAGCTTTGTAAAAAAACTAACTATAACTGCATCATTATTCTTTTTGATTTTTCGTTAATTCATCCACCAGGTCTTAGATTAAGGTTTCAATTCTCTTGTCTTCTATATTTTATCCTTCTGTGATAGACTATAGATCCAAGATTAAAACTTCTTGTTAGGAAGTGTAACACTTAATAGAAATTTGGCATATGTTTGCATAGAAACACTAAACTATTGTTGAAACAAGATTTGTTAATAATATCTCTAAAAAAACAAAAGAATTTAAACAAAATTGTTTCTATTAAATAAGATGTAAATTTATTCATCAACATCATAATTATACTTATTGGTCTTTTAACTACATTTTAAAATAAAATGAGTTAGTTAATTCTAAGACTTCTTCTTTGAGTATGGATTCTACATCATCATTTTATTTAGTTCTGAATAGTAATTTTGTTGTTTAACTTTCAGTAGGTTTAATGTATCTGCTAATAATTTCATTTATTCTGCTCCATGTCTCTTGATGTTCAATTAAGTGTGGTTTACATATTTGGCATTTATCTTCAATGGTATTTAGTTTGGAGCAATTTTTACATTCTTCGATCTCTAACTTGAATTAGGTAGACAATTACTTCAACTCTGAATTGCTTATCAAATCGTTGATCGTCTTAAAGTTAAGTTGGATCCAACTCATTTAATTGATAGGTAACATGTCTATATGAATTCGCAATCTTACTTTTCAATGAAAGCTGTGTTGAAAGAGAATCTAAACATTTTTGAATCCGATAGGGTTCCATGATTCTTCACATTAATAAGAATATCTGCAACTAATGGAGTTTAATTTGGCAAAATAATATGATGACTCTAACCTACATATTTTTTGGACATTTATTTGGTTGAATACAATATGGAATCCTTTTTAACATCAATTATTTCTACGTAAGGATAGCACTACCCATTAATGTTCATTTATGGAGATCTTATCAATTATAATATTGTTTAAGTACCTTCCGTAAAAGGATATTGATGAAATTTGGATGAGATTAGGGAATATCCGTGTTTTCATATTAAGTAACTTATAGAAATATTCAATGTATTTGATTTGACATGGTTAATTTACACTTAATCCCTCTCCATGAAATCTTTTTTTCCCATAATAATTAAGAGCATCAGCCACATTATTAAATCTACCAGAATATAATAAATAGCAGCAAATAACTGTTCCAGTTCTCCCTTTTCCAGCCAAGCAATGGATTACTACTACATTCTCTTCATTAGCTAATTCCATACTCATTATTATTACCCTTCAAAATATTATGAATTTGTAGACAAATGTCAAATAAGACATTTAAAGATGGAGAATGATGATCCTTCCAAAAATAATCCTTAAAGATAGATCCTTTGAATTTTTATTCATCATAATTTTTGCCACTCAAATTAAATATGAAATAATCTTCATTGTGTCTTTCATTCAAGTATTAAGCCACCTCTTAATTATTATCAAATTTACTTAATCGATAGGATTACGATAGAGTCCTTCAAAGCCTTCGCCAGGGATGCTCATTGCTATTATTCTTTAAGTGATGTAAGTTAGATCCAAATTAAAATTGCCTTCTTTTAAGCGATTTTTTTTGCCTGACACTTTTTATCTTATATAATCCATATATTTTAGAATAAGGAATTAATAATATCATTTAATTAAACATTATAAATCATTTTGAAATCTTATCATCCTAAAGGTGAAGCTCTATCTCTCTCAAATCCATTGGGAATTAATTCTACTATTCATGATCTGTGCATTGTTGATTTATAATCTTATAATTAGTGTAATAGATGCACCATTGTTATTCAAAGATTTTACGTTTAGGCGTAAATATTAATATGATGGGGATATTTACTAATTATATTACACACAGAATTATGGATATCACCATCAAAGGCACAGAATTAGTTTGAGTTGATATCAAAGCTATTAAAATTATATTCCAAATCCAAGTAAATACTGTTATTTTGTTGATAAATTTATCATACCCTTCCAATTATTCCTCTGTCTATCCTTTCCATAAGGCAACAAAATGACGACACAAGAATATTTTAAAATGGATGACACATTGACTTACAATCAATATGAACACCACATATATTGAAATCAAGATAATGGCTATGATTGTTATCGGAATATATTATATCCAATGAGTGACCATTTTAAACATTCCTTTAATCATTTGGTAAAAATGATTATGGATTTTATTAAATAGACTCCAAATTAGAAACAATAATCCAACAAGCACGGATGTAAGGGTTACAACAAGACTGTTGCAAGAGATCATGAAGACATATAGAGTAAAGGACAAAATGAAATTGATGATCCTTTTCTTTCTTGAAGGTTTTCTGATATTTGACTCAATAGATTGCTAATCCATAATTAAGAGTATGGCAAGAAGTAAGATTGATGAAAATATACAAGCAAATTAAAAAATAGTAGTTATAAATGCTATCCAAAAAGATTCACTGATAAAATTAGGGTATTAAAAAGTGATGATTGCCATATTATTTATTATAGAATGAGTACTTACATATAATTCAACTTATTCTTCTTTGATTTCTGTATCAAGTGGCAGACAGAACCATGAAGGCAATTTAACTTAATTCCCCATATCATAATATTTGTATGGAAGAGGGTACTCTACAATTGATGCATCATATTAACTTGACTAACACCCAATCCCAATTTAATCGTTGCTCAAATTAAATATCAAGGTTGCATAATCTTCATTAAAAAATTAACTCGTATTCCTCTCTATTAGTATTCCTGTTTGGGATTCAAATGGTATTAAAACATTTTCAAATATTTGGAGATAGATTATAATAAAAATGGGCCACCAAATAAGCATAAAGGTCAGTAAAATTAATGTAATACAAAAATCTTCTTCACTGTCTGATTAAGTCTAAGGTATAAATTTTAATATAATACTTATTTCTAATTTGCTACGCTCACATAAAACATACTAAATAATATTACGGATACTACAAATATGGGACTTAAATATAAGGACCAAATCCAATGAGGAGAGACATTCAAATATAAATGCGCACACACACTGTAATAAGCAATTAATGAGATTAAGCATATTAGTAAACTTCTGAAATGAAATTTATATTGTTTCATTTCTTATTTAATTTTGATTTTTAATATGGCTTTTGTAAAGTAAGAAAATAATTCAAAAAGGAGAAATTGAAGTCCCTTTGTAATAGCGAATAATTGAACATTAATAAATATATGACCATAATTAAATAATATATATATTAAAATAAAAATGTATTAAATCTTTAGAACAATCAAGATGATGAGACAAATAATCAGACCCATGAGATTTTGCGCACCCATAGTGGCTACCAATAATTACTTACACTTATATAATCTGAATCAGTTTTACATGTCCCTACTAATTGACACCAATGAAGAGGATGAAGAACTAATGTAAGTAAAACAAGAACCCAATATTCGTAGGTCAATTAAGAAAGAGAAATGTGTCGTCCAAAATTGATCATTTGAATTATTAATAAATAATTTATGCAAACATCTCTTAAATCTTAATCCAAATCATTTATGAGGATTAAATCTAATTGTTTCTATTTTTATTAATCTACAGGGCTTCCATTTAAACTCATTTTCCATTTGGATCTTCAGTTTTTATTACCCCAATAAATTATATATATGATCTCCCATACACAATACAATGAGTAATTCTAAGACAAAGCTCCCTCTAACCAAACAGTTTGGATGTGTTAGCAAATAACTTGATTAATGTATTATTCATTTTCTTTTCCAAATTTGACTTTAATTATGTATACAACAATTTCAAAGGCTCTACGTTATTAAAATTAATACTTTGTTTGTTTTCTTTTAGAACTGGATAAAATTTATATTTTAATAGCCTTTTGATTAGTTTTATCTCTAGTTTATTATATAAGTAAGTCCTAAGTAATAAATTTATTATAAATTTGTAAGCAACTATTAAATGATTATTATAAAGTATATAATATTTACAATGCCATCAACTAATATTCTCTGAACATTCAATAAAGATTATTAAATTCTTTACAATATCAACATTGATATAATGTTTCTCTTTTTTTGAAAAATTTAGTTAAAGATTCTAGAAAACCTTGAAAATTGATTATTGCATAAAATTATAAATATTTTGATTTGAGATCCTTAAAATAAAATACAAAATTTACGTTTTGTTGGATTATTACTATTAAAATATTAAACTGCCTTTTCTTCAATTTAATCATTTTCCTACTAATAAGCCTTTAATGCTTGCAGGACCCAATAGTTGAAAGCTTATATATATTGTAAGCTCTTGTGCTAGGATGATCAATCTTAAAATCTACAAATAAAAGAGAAATAGGCAACAATTTGCCACTCCATCATTTGATGAAATATCTTAGAATGTATTTTATAAGACATCTTGTAGTATCTATTTAAGAAAATGGTTTGCCTTTTGAATTGTTGAATTTAATGATTGAACTTACATATAAATATTCTTAAAGCCTTTTTGATTGGATAGGAAAGTATTAGATACTCCACAACATTCATATAAATAAAGTTTAAATTTGAATAATTTTTATAAAAAATATTACAATTTCAAATGTTTTATTCCAATATTACTGTTCTTATATAATTATTTATTGTTCTAATCTTAGCTATTTCATCAATTGGAATGAAGGTTAACAAGCATTTAGTTGACCATATCTACTTTATTTAAAAAACATACTTCTCTATTTAATTTTCTTAAGAAGGGATTCCAACAAAATAACAATGCTAATATCAGTGTTAATAAGAAGAAAATCATTAGTATTAGTTGCTGAACAATATAATTTTCTTGATCATTTGTAACAACATCTAAGTATTCATTCTTTAATAGTGTAAACGCATCTTTAAGTACATAAAATTACATGTCGTCTAGAGTATAAATATATATAATTACTGATTTCAAAGCTTTCTGGAGTATTGAGTAAATTAAGCAATTTATTTTTCTTAGGATCAGCAGATAGTTATAGGAGAGTATAATTAGACCAAGGGAAATCCAATGAGTCATTTGATATGAGATTCTAATAGGTATTATATAGTTTTCGAATGTTTTGAAAATGCCTGGAGACTGCTGTCATCAATCCATGATCTAAAATTCCATTAGCAAAAGATTCACATGTAATTTCTGATAAAGTAATTCTTGTGCATAGATTATCAAACATAATAGAATTGTAATAATCAATATAAGAAACATCATTGTACTCTACATTGACAGCATGTAATTTCTGATAGAGGGTATCAATCTCATAGACACTATTTATCAATTGAACCATAGTTTTGTTGCTGTCTTGATTCATTAAATTGAAGCTGTCATTGTAGATATATTATTTAAGTGAATTGACCAGAATTGAATAATAACTAGCACTTATGGATGTTTGATTGAATTCATTTAAGATATTAATCTTTTGATCGGCATTATTGGAATCTAAGAAATAGATCATGATAAAGTATGACTCTATTATTGACGCTAAAAATATCATCTTCATAAAAAATCCCATGTGTTTATTCTCATTATTCTTGAATCTCTTTCGCTTTCTGCCCAAAAGTGACACAGGCTCATCATTTCCTTTCTCTTCAATGATATCGATTTCACTTAAGACTTCATCATCCTCATTTGAAGATATTTGAGATAAAAAGTTTTCACATTTAGAATAAAATAATTTAGCTGTTTTTTCTGGAATATCCAAAAATATGCTTAATATTTCTTACCTCTTATCCAAAGTGCTGGTAAGTATGCATGTCAGGACTATCGAGGATATGAATGTTAAACAGGCAGATAATATTAGAATCACTAAAATATCGTTGTATAATTTATTAGTTTTTTCGTCGGATAAATCTATGGTATTCATATACATATCTAATAGAGCTCGGATGAAATCATTTAATGAATTGTAGATCACATAATAATAGTCGATTTAATTTTCATTTAATTGTGAGTATACTTATTGAATGTTAAGCGATTTACTTACAATTTGTTAACTCGCCTATTCTAACGTACTTGTTTCTTCTCCTGATTGAGTATTCATCATTACATCTGAATTGAATGAAATCTTCATAAAGATGTCCTTACTCATAGAATCAAATTGCTAAATACTTTGGTTCAAATTAAATAGTAGTTTATCTTAATTGTAATATGATATTCCAAGATTCAATAGCATTAATTCTCTTGAATACAATACAATCTCGTTTAGATAGATTATCATATCAGATTATTTGATTATCATATTCCAATTCGAATTCTAATTGTTGATTTCTTCTCTCTCAAAGACATTATTTAATATACATAAGATAATCAGTAAGATCGTAAGTAGAAACGATATGTAATACAACCATCTGATTGTTTTACTTTCACTTTATGCGTTTAAAGTCTCTTATAATTCTTTGGAAGATCTAAAATACCCAGATTCATTTGGTTCATCATTCTCTTGATTCTATTGTTCTTCTCTCTTGATTTGAATTTCCTCATAACTTTCCATATCTGCATCAGATTAAAACTTTTCTATATCATAAATCACACCCTCAAACAATCTCATTACTCTGATACCTTATGAGTAATCGATGACATCCTCATTCTTTTCAACTTCTTTACTTTTCAGATCATACTCTTGATTAGTAAACATACTCTAATCTTGTATATGAGTGATCATTTCACTGTAATTAGCATCAGTGAATTCTCCATAGAAATGCATTCCAGTTTGTTGGAATTGTAATCTAAATGAGAAGTTTTAATTCTTAGATGTTTTCTTCTGCAATTACTTAATATTTGAAGATGACAAGTCAACCTATCTTTCAATTTTAACTTGATATCCAGCTAAACCTTATTCATTTTCTGAACTTTTCATAATAAGAAAATTAATATCCAATATGGACACACTCAATTTAATTGTTGTATCTGATGCTCCAAATGCAATATGATCATCTAAGATTTTTGGTAATATAAAATCGATCGATTTTCCTTATTTCAACTTAAAATCACCATAACATTCCTTGATTTCAGGAAACAAATCAAAAAGATGAATTTCTTAAATTGATAATGATTTTACATCCAACCCCAATAAATTTATACAACCTCCGGAAATATCTTCTACAACATATTCCTTATTACAAATCAAATAGGCTGCATCCTTAATTCTCTTCTCTTTTTTGAATGTACCCACAAACTCTACTCCCTCTTTCAATACATGATAAACAGGGCGCAATAACACATTTATCCCTTACAAGTATCCATTCTTATGCTTTCCCAATAACAATCTTTCTTTATTTAATAGAGTTGCTTCATTGGTATCCAAGAATCTTCTCAAAAAGTCATCATGATGTTTTGCATATAATGAAGGCATAATATTATTCACTTTCTTATTCATAAGTTCATTTTTATCAAATCCCAATAATGAAGCTGCAGCCATGTTAATTGCATAAATCTAACCAAACTTTTCCTCTTCCAAAGAAATAAAAACACAACCATCTTCTTATCCATCAACATTCAAATTTGATGTCATTCCTAATTTAAAGGCTTTCCTTTAAGCAAATGAACTCTCTATCTTCCTAGCTTGTTCAAGTAAATCAAACCCTGATATTCTATCATTAAAAATTTCTATTAAATATTTAGAATATAATCTTAATGCTTATGGTAATTATTGATTTTAGATTCTCTAAAGTCTTTTCCAAGTTGTATCAACATACATTCTAATTGGAAACAATTTTGATCCAATTTCGTATAACTTTACCAAATCAGGCTTCTCATCTGCAAATTAAGACCAAAACTCCATCAACAAACTTACACTTCTTTCCATAGCTTATTTAAATGATCCAAACTTCTCATCAAAATCTCTTTATTCAGTAAAGTCTTATCCATCTCCACTTAATTCAGATATCTCAGCCTCAATCACACTTTTGATATAAAATACAATATATTTTTCATCCATAGCCGACTTCAGCTTTTCGATATTACTTAATTCCTCTAAAGCTTAAGGCTTGGACTTCAATATTCTTAGAGTAAACAGAGCATATTCTATTCGAATAAAGACATCAGTAGGAAATTTTCCTATTCCCATAATGAAAAGTCTTGTCATTGTATCATAAACGAGTTGATGTCTCTTATCTGTTTTACTGACCAATTCATTTTTTGCTTTGAACATATTTAAGGAGAATTTCACTTTTTTCAATGGACATAGTGGATTTGGACAAGTTTAATTGTGAAATTCAATGTAACCGTTTAGCAATTGACCTTAAGGCAATCTTTTTTTATCATATTCCACCAATTTGATGACTTCATGCACATGATTTACCAATTAAACAGGATTATCAAACTTATTTACATAAATCATCAAACATTATTCCCGCTTCTATTATTATAATAACTGTATCATGAACACAAAGGGCAAGCAAAATAGCCATGTATACAAGGAACCGACCATTATTCTCTTCTCCACTAAATTAGATATACATAACATAAGGGACGCCCACATCTCTAAAGTAAGATATGTTAAAAATAACTTCTACATAATTCTATTATTATATGCATCATTTTTTTTGGCATACAAAAAACAAACCACGGATCCAATCAATTAATAAACCTCAAAGAAAACCTAAGAGTTCTCATTATGTGGTAACATAGACAGCAATACCACTATACCAAAATGGATTGAGCTCAAGGCTGTGCATCTTCCATTTCTCTTTGATAGTGCTTTTTCTTAGTCAAAGGTACCATCAAATAATAAAAGACTAACTGATGAGCACATGAGGAATAGTATTATCAAGCCAATTATCGAAAGTATTTAATCTATGACAAATAGTCCTTACCAACATTTTTAATTTGGAAATTGATCCATGTATCCATTTGTACAACTAATTGAGAACTACATTAGCTTAATAATACTATTACAGTAAATAAGAAGAGCACAGGTATATAGAGTATCGTACTGAACAAAAATGTCGTGTATTTTAATATGTTGATTAATAATTAAACTGGATCTTTCTAGTTCACTATGAATATAATTGATGTTAAAAACAAGAACACCCAAAAACATAACAATGCAATAGAAACATAAATTAATATTTGTACTGCATGATAATCCTAATTCAACAAATAATGAGTAAAATTAAAATATCCAAAGATATCAGTCAAGATATCTGCATTATTGTCCTACCAAACAGAAACAATCTCTATACAATATTGTATATACCATATGATGGAATTTGAAATAATGAATTTGCATCAGAGTGATCAACATGGTTGTACTATGCACAATGATCGATTAGTTTTAATCCCGAATCATCAAATATATTAGTCGATATAATGAATGTTAAGTATTGGATTCCAATGATTTATCAGTCAGATTTTTTCCTTCCTCTGACATTAATATAAAATAAATAAATTATAAATTGATATAAAATTAACCAAAAGTTCATTAAAATGATATCGATCTTTCAGGTATTACATTTTATGAAAGTATCTAATCAGGCAATGTTTTTAATATTCTCTCTCTCAATTTTCTTAACGGTACTTTTGGATAAATGTATTTATCCTGAAATAGTTACTTATTTTAGGGTCTGTAATACTTCTCAATATTTTATAGTAATTCAATCATAGAAAGATCCACTTTTTTAGTATGCATCAATATTTATAAAAAATTACTTAATTAACTATGATTATTCCTAGTAAACTCTCTCAAATATTCATAAACGGGTATCTATATTACTTCTGGCTATTGAAGTGTCATTAATTTCATCTCTTTTATTAAATCACATTATTGTTCTATTTCTTCTTGTTGTAATTTTAAGGTTATCATTATTTTTTAGTACTTTGTTAAAAGTTGCATGTACTTGTAGCAAACCTCATCATATTTTAATTATAGTTATTTCACATGATGCTGCAATTCTTTGTAATCATGAACACTTGAAATCATCTTATAAAATACATGGCTGTATTAGGCTTCTCAATAATTATAGTATTGCTAATTGGTGCTACATTCATAGCTCTATATATCTTCTTGTCTAAATATTAGAAACAACTTTAAATATTGTCATGCAACTGCTTGATATCAAAATCTTTCAAATCACTCATTATCTTTCAATTATATAAATATATATAATAAACACAATAAATTTAATTGCAAATATAAAGTATGCAAAAATAATTATAAATGATTGCATTTTATATTATATATTATTAACTTTTAAAGATAGGAATTTTGGAATTCTCTTTCATTCTGTATTATTTATTAACTTATTAATACAAATATTATAAGAATCCTCAATAACAACTATCTAGAAAAAGAACCACTTCAATTTATATTTAGTATTCTTGATGATATGGAATCGAAATGATCTATATCAGTTGAGATTGATTTTTGATTTGCTTATTTACCTGAGCCTTTGATCAATGAATTAAATTACCATATTTCCTTAAAACTTCAATAATTAATTTTAATTAATTCTGTTGAGTTTCTAAGGAGTATAAATAAATGCAAAAATTCTTTAACTAATTAGTTAATTAAATGTGTAGCATCTTCCTTAAAGTGTATTAAAAAGTTAGGACCCTTTTAGCCATAATTTATAAAAAGAGTAATTTTAACTTGGCTTAAAAAAATTATAGCTAAACTTAATGGATTAATTTTCCATTATTCTCTCAATTTTAACTTTTATTCTCAAATGACGTTCATTTTTGAAATCTACTTAACTAATTCTTTTACATTAATACTTATAATTAACTTTTTCAAGAATTTACCATTATTCAACAATTGTTACTTTATAATATTTTTTTACCATATTGCATAATCTCATTTTATAAAATCATTATGGATTCTTTTTGAAGATATTTAAAAAGTAAATGAGTAAAAAAAATGATAACTATATAGTTAAAATTTACTATATCTAAATATGTATTAAAACATTATCATGATAATAATCCTGGACCTCTGGTTTCATTACTTTTATAATAAAGAAAGGCTGAAAAACTTGTGGCAAAAACTGCAATAAATTCAAATATTATGGGAAACCAACATAAATTCCAATTATTTCCTTTTGTTGTTAAATACAAAATTGGGATGATCAACAACAATGCCCATGCAAGGAATAGGAATACTAATTGGATTATCCAAATATGGTATTTTTTAATAACTCTACTTATAATGGATTCCCCGAATGAAAATATCAGAACCAATCCAATAAATCCCAAGGCAAATCCCCCTAAATAAGGAGTGGTTTTGACAGTGTTGCAAAATCCATCACCATTGCAGGTATCTATATCTTAATAACAATCAATTCCATCTGAAGATGATGAGTGATATCTTGCTGAAAATGTGTAGTAATATTTTGACTTAGAAGTTGACTTATTGAACTCACCTACATTACAGAAGAAGCAAAATACAATCAGCACAAATCCTACGGTTAAGAAAAGCGCCTTAAACAATCCCTGATTACGATAGATATCACTTAGCATTATTTTATTATTTATACTATTTATATTAATGCAAATTTATTTTTTACAGATTTAAATCTTGTGTTGTCTATTCCATATTATACTTGCTAGTAGACATAGAATAATAATTTAATAATAAATAGTAAATAACCAAAATATATATAGGCTATGAATCCTATCAAAAAAGTATTGCGATTCCAATGTTTTTTCCAACTTTGATAGAGTGTTTATGCAAACAGTATTTATTTTAAATAATTTTGTGTTAGCTATTATGCTAAATTATCAATTTTTGATAACTCCTTAACTAAAGGTACTTTCAATTTAAATAAGATGGTAGCACCTAAATTTCTAGATTATATTGACAATTCGTTTACAGAATTATCTTTAGCTTTTGGAAGGGGACCATTTAAGGATATTACTAAAACTTGAAGTTTCCTTTCTGAAAAAATTAAACATTATTTATAAAACACGCCTTATTTTCATCTAGTTTATTTATTATCGATTATTAATTAAATTATAGGAACAATTTTAAGTTTGTTAAATTTATCAGCTAATAATTAGTCTAAGTGATAAAGAATAGCCTTCTTCGACATAGATTTGATCAATATCTCAATATAATTTATTGTAAATTCAGGTTGAAATTTATGATAAAAAGTTATTCATTCATCTAATAATTGTAAAATAATAATGATATTTTTTAAAGAATATAAAAATTAATGAAAGGAAAATCTAAGGATTAATTATCAACAAATCTGTAACTTTATTATCTATGAAAGAGAACATATTGCTTAGATGAAACAGTAAAATCAAACTTTGCAAGAAGAGTTATAATAAGATGGAAAAAATAACGATTTTGAGAAAATGAGTACTTTGCAAGAAGAATGTGCATAATATGCCAAAAAAATAGAAGTTGAAAGTAAGAAATAGGTAAATCTGAATTTAATAAAAGAGAGATCTAGAACAGTTAATTCAGAATGCTGAATAACAGTTGCAAGATCATAGAAAAAAAATGAGTAATTCTGATGGAATATAGCTACCTAGTTTAATTAAGAAATAAAAAACTTTAGAAAGGTACATGCTTATTCCACATTTAGTTAATTAGAACAAATAAAACTGAAACATAATGAATCATTAGCCGAAATAAATCAATTAATGGAATAAATAAATACTGCCAGAAGGGAAAGGGTCATTTATAGTAATGTTTTTAAAAAACTTGAAAGTGATATTAGAGCAAAAGAAGAAGAATTTAAAAAATAATTATTGATTAGAAAGTAAATAGAACATGAATTAAACCAATGTTAGGAGTAATTTGATAAGATGAAAGAGTAATTGAATATGTTATTCATTATAGATAAGCTACCCAAGTTGTGGAATCTAATAAATAAGAATATACATAAATATTAAAAACCAATAGATTAGATGAAACAGAAGAATAATCACCTAAAAATTAGTAGTAACAATAATAATAATAGCAGCAATAAGCAAAACAAGAGAGTAAATCTTAATAAATAAAAGAATCCTAATAACCAAAATAATAGATATAAATGTAGAAGGATGTTGAGGATGTATCGAATTATGAATTGATGTTTGAGAAACTAAAAAAAGAAACAGGATTAAATTCCATCGAAGAAATTATTCACACATTTAGAACAATAGAAGACACTAATAATGAATTGTTTAAGTAGGCGAATGTTTTGAGTGATTAAATTGATTCTGAAGAAAAATAAATTGAAGAACTTCAGAAATAAATTTCATAATATACTAAAAACCAATAGAAGGAAGATAACGAATTTGAAGATGAAAAGTTTAAATTTGCTTAACAATTAGAGAGAAGTGAGAAATTGGATAAAAATATTTAATAAGTTGAAAATGAAATCAAAGAATATGAGAGAGAACTATTGGAAATAGCAAATAAATTATAAATCAAATATGATCCAAATTCAGAGGTCACTTTAATGTAATTAGTTGAATAAAGAGCTTATGAACTTGTTGATTTATATAGATACTATGACAATCATAATTACACTATTGATTCAAAGAAAAATGATCAAGAGAGTACCGTTTCTAATTAGGATGATTAAACTATGAAAGATTTACTGGATGGAGTTGAGAATGAGAAGGAGGCTGAAAAGATTATGAGCAAAGATGATTTTAAGAAGATTGGATCATAGGAATTATAATAGTTTTAGAAGAAGATTATAAGCAAGAAAAAGAGAGAATGATTTATAATTAATAATCATAAATAATTATGAAATAAAAAGTAAAGGAAATTATCAAATATTTGAAAGAATTCTAAATCCCTACTATTTCAAGCGAATTTGCTCTAAGTGAAGCTGAAAGAGCAAACCTTTATTTTTACTTAGCATCTCAGGAAATGGAAAGTTAAAAATAGTAAATAGAGGAGAAATTGCCAGAAGAAATCAAATTAAAAAAAGTGAAAATATATTAAGTTTATGATTCTATTGATGCTGTCTAAAATTTCAATTCTTTTGATTTTAAACAAGAAGAAAGAAATATTAAGGAAGATGAGATCTAAATAATATCTAATAGAGATCAGAATATCAAATTTAATTCTTTGAATGAAATCAAATAATTTTTGAAACAATACTATGATCAAAAGTAGCACTAAATTTAAAGTGATGAAATTTAATAAATAGATCGATAACTGATTATATAAAGTCTGAATATTTAATTTCAAGAACCAAATTGTGATATCCAATCAATAATAGATATCTTTTTGAGTATTCTTTATAAAGAAATCGAATAGAATTATCAAAAAAGATATGATTATTATTTAGATACATTTTGTATGTTGATTAAATAAAAAATTTCTTTCTTGATGTCTAATTAAAGTACTTAAAACATCACAGAGAAATTAATAAACTCTGTTCCTTAATTTAGAGTGTCTTTAATTGATTTAGTAAAGGAATTTACTGAATAAGCACTCCTAAAATAGAATGAGAAGATGTACTCAATATATTTTACTTAATTACGAGATTTAGTATTTAAATTTTTGAATGAAGATCACCCATTATAATTTGAAAGTTTCAGATTATTATTAAGAATCAATCATTCAACAATTTTAGAATTTGTTAAATAGGCAAATCCCTTAATTTTTAACAAAAAGAAGCCAGAAATCAAAGATTTCATATTTGAAGAAACTTAATAAAAAATAAATTAGTTATCTACAATGAATGATTGTCAATAATAATTAACATTCATGTTCTATATTGGAATTTGTTAGTAAAATCATAATCGTCATTGTAAGATTCTAGCCAAATTATTACAAGACTGTCAATAAAACTATCCTCAGCATCTCGATGCAATTTATGCAAATTTACTGAAAATAAAAAACAACAGTAACATGAATGTTAAATAGATTATTGAATTTATAGGTTTGAGTGTAAGCAACCCTGATGCACTGCACCAAAAGTTCTTAGATTTATTTGTGGAGTTTGCTTTAGAGTATCCAAAATCAGAGGAGTTCGCCAAGGATATGTTTAGAGTTTATTTATATCGCTATTTTATTCAACAGATAGAAGGAGATGCGAATATAATTAATAAGATACTTTCATAAACCTTTGATTAATTAAAAATGGATTTCATGATCAAGACTATTGAAAGAGTACCAACAGAGAGACTTAGTCAAATGATATTAAGAAGATCTAATTTTGATTTGTATCATTATATATTAAAGGATGAAAGCAAAGCATTAGCAGTTTTCTTGATTAAATTATTCTTATAAAAGGATTAACAATAATTAAAAAGCAATAGATATGAATTATTAAAGTTATTTCAAGATTAGGTTTGTGAATATGAACATACTAAGGATATTCTGAACTTTTTGTTTTAAGAACAAAACAAATCATATAATGGATTGATTACTACGTTTATTATGAATTGCTTAAAGAGAAAGAAATCTAATAACATGTAAGAGGAAATTAAGTTTATCTTATCAAAAAGTTTCTATTTTGAGGATGAAAATATTATCAAAAGTGTGGAGTGTTACAGGTAAATGTATCCAGACTAGTATTAATAATTACTTGATGATTCAACTAGAATTCGATTAAGGGACAAAAGATTATTATGATCATAATTATAATTTATTATATATACACATATAATACATTCTCTGTTGTCTCATTTTCAAAATAACTCATATGCTTTTTTTGTCTTTATAAATTGTTTAATAAATAACTTTACACTTATATTAAAATAAATAATTTTAATCATCATGACTACACTTAATGTTTCGATTAACCTTAATCAATTTCAACTCATATTATAAAAGGAGGAAGATAAGAAATAATAACAATACTCATTATAAAGAAAAGAATATCCGAAAGGATCAATCAATCTATATGAATCAAGATTTGAAAAAGTTTCGTTATCAAACCAAAAGATAAACGAAGTGATAGGCTGGATGTTAATAATAGCTGTCATTTTGATGTTAATTGTGTTGCCGATCTCAATAATCTAAAATTCCATTATTGGATTCGCAATACCACTAATGTCAGTTACGACATTCTTTATAGTATATATAAATTGGATTTCTATGAAGTTTTTTATAAACTCCTGAGAAGTGATATTTTTTTGTTTTGTTTAAATAACTAAGTAGAAATGAAATTCCTATATTCCTATATATAAAGTAAAAATAGATCAAGTTAGATCTAAAGACTTCTTATCCTTCAATTTGAAAGTCTCATAATCCTCTCCAGATTTCCATACTTTCTTTCTTTAATCAAATCCTTTTGTCTTCTGATCCACATCCTCTAAAAGGTCTATTTATCAATTGGACTCCTTATCTTAATAAGAAGGAACTGTAATTCACAGTATTTTTGATCTTTATCCTTCTGTCCAAATATCCTTAACATAGAATCCTCTCTGCTCTTCACCATCAATGAGAATCAAAGCTCTAACTGAACCAATTGGAGAAATAATTTATGGAATAAATGTCTTTCCCTTAAAGAAAAATGTTGATGAATGGCTTCCCAGATAAAAATGTTTCTTTGCATATAAGATTTGCTTAGCCATGATTAGGGTGTGATTATAAATTGATAATCTTTCTTTACATTCCTATATAGAAATATAGTTGATAGAAATGTTATTATTGAATGTTCCATAAAAATAAAAATGATAGAAATTTTGGTGAGATCTCATAATTTACCTTAGAAGTGACAAGAATACTTAATTTAGTCAAGCTAAGGCCAGAACTCAATCAATAGTTCTCCTACAAATTTGCATATTTATAATTTAGGACTCAAATTTAAAGCAAAAATAATAAGTAATTTTATCTATTCCACTTTACAACAGATATTTAAGTAAAACTCAACTTGTGATATCTAAAATAGAGGTCATTTTATGGAATGGTAAACAAAATTCAAAAGTCAAGAATTTTACTTAGATAACAAAAAATAGTTAATTCATTAATATAGAATTACTAGGAGTAGATATTAATATTGATTAATAAAATAGATTAAACATAAAATACAAAACTGAATAATTCAATAATATTTAGTAGATAATAATAGCTTTTATTTATTGGTGTCTATGTCTGTAACCTATTGCTCATCATTGTTTTCACAATAGGTGAATCCTTAAAACAAATTATTTTGGTCTTTCTCTTCCTTATATTCACTTATCGTTAAGACTTGATTCACAAATTTGGTATCAAAATTATCTTTTCCAATAATTTTATAAGGAGCTTCGATTAATTTATCATAATGTCTTGCCCAATCAACATTTTTTAACCATGGATGACTCATTACTTCATCTGGACCTTCATTGCCTAATCTTTGATTGGCTTTTCTTTCTAGTAATCTATTGACAAAATCAGTAACTTCTTTAGATAGACCTTGCTTATTTAATTTAACTTATTTGCTCATTATCAATTCTCTAATTTGTCTTCTATTCTTTCCTTAATAAGGTCTCTTTGCTTTTATTTAAAATAAAATACTTTTCCTGTTAAGCATTCATATACCAAACAACCTAATGCAAAGTAATCGCAAGCTACACCATGATCGGATTTCATCATGACTTCTGGAGCCATATAGCCAGGAGTTCCACTAGTTTCATTTTTATTATTTGGTTTCCAAATTCTTGCAATTCCCAAATCAGTTAAATGAAGATAACCTTCATCATCAAACACTAGATTCTCTGGTTTGATGTCTCTATGAAGCACTAGGTTTTTATGCAGATATTGGAGTGCCATCAATATGCAGATAACAAAAAACTCTATGATATCAAATAGAATTGCTACTTGTTTGCTCTTCACTGAATTTCCCTTGTTTGCATAGATGATATCTTAGATCTCCTCCTTCCATATAGTCCAAAACGATGTACAAATGTGTCAAAGTCTAAAATGCTCCTCTCATGTTTACTAGAAATCTATTTCGATTAATATAATACGGATGATTTAATTTTTAAAGCAGAATTCTCTCGTTCATCACACTCTAAATAGACTGTTTTTCAATTATTCTGATTTCTATATAGTTGATAAATCTACTTAGATTTTATCATCTCTTTTAATGCAAAAAACTTTTTCTGACATTTTACTTTCCAAACTCTACCAAAACCGCCCTTCCCTATTACATAGAGTAATTTATATTGCGACAATTGAGGGGCTAAATGATAAGGTGATTACTTACTATATAATTCCAATTCAGAAAGACTAAGTTCTTCACTTGAACAATTTCCCATATATTTAATATTATTATATTATACAACAAAATCAAAAATATTTAGATTCATATTGTTTCGTATCTCTATATCTTACTGTTAACTCAAAGTAATTAAAGAACTTGAACTCTACGTTACAATGATTGGTCTAAAAAATTAATAGAACTATTTTCTAGTCAATATCATTATTAACCAAGTAACATTAAAATGAGAATTAAACATATTAAATATAAACAGTTTGTAATCAAGTTAGATAGGATTTTGTTATACACAAAAAACATCTTACAGAATGTTTAATTAAAATCATTAATTAATTAATTTATTAATTAAAATAATTATTATTTAGGATATTTATTTTAATAAGCAAAAAATTAAGACTACATTAAAAAATAGATAGTTAAGTTAATTAGCTAATTCTAAAGTAATTCATATAGATAACGTAGATTAAATATTATTAATATCGTCATTTATTAAATGTTTTATTGCTAGATTATTTTCTTTTCATTTCTGCTTCCCAAGTTAAATGTGGATCAAAACCAAATTCATTATGTTGAACACTGTTGGTCAACCTAAATGGTTCCTTATTATTAATCCTAACTTTTTCTAACATTTCGTCCTCATGCACTTTTCCATATTTGCTTGGTCTTTAAACAAAATCCTCAAAATCCAATCTGAATTCATCTAATTACTTCTTTACTCCTGGTGGTGTCTTTGGTTTTTAGAATTCTTAATATTGACTCGGTATTTTGAATCCTTTGAAGCCTTAGAATATAGATAATAGGGTAACCTTAAGGAGCCTTATAACTTCTCTCTGCCAAATTTATTCGCAATATTTCCCATTCATTCAATATTTTACCCTTCAATGTTGGTATTTTAGTAAATTCATCATTTTTGAATCCAGGACCTTAGAATTTGAATAATGAAAATACTTTTCCATGCCATTCTAAATCTTCTTTTCAATTCTTAATATACTTCTTCCTTGTCCTTAATTCTTGGTAACCCAACATCTATTTCTTTGTTTTCTAATTTTTCTTATTTTTCTGCGTTAATTACATCTCTCGTTCTTCTTTAATATTTATAGTTAATCTTATCCATTTCCTTTTTTTATTTTCCTGAAGCCACCGTCATTTCATCTAGAAGTTACGAAATCATTCTTCAATTATTTGACTTATAATTAATATAATATTAAATAAAATTAAAATATCTAAATAACTCTTTGTTAAAAGAGACAACCTATTGGCGATGCATGATAATTGGTTCTTGCTGTTAAATAACTGAATTAGGTGAAGTATTTATATAAATGGGGAATTAGGATAATGTTCTTTTGATGGTGGTTCTTTTCGATTACGAATTGAAAGTTTATTAAATTATGAATAGAATTCATTAAATAATAATTTCAATGATTGTCATAAATTTATTATTTTAATTTATAATATATTATAATATAATTTAATATAATATTATATTTTATGAATAAAGCAACTCGAACAACTAGTCTCAGATAGCACAAACTAACTTTTTTAAAAGACAATAATAATAGCTTATAATTATAGACCAGGTCGTAAAGCTTTAAATAAAACATAAGCATTTCTCCTGATAAGAAATCATAAATATCTCCAACAAAATAAAATAGTGTATTTCTGAATGGATAATTACTTGTATATAAATATGTAAATATAAGACCCGACCAAGATCAAAATATAATTAATAAGCCAATTTGTCTACTACTAAATTACAAGATTCCTAAAAAATGTTTCTTATTCAACAAGCACAATAATAATAGGCTTAGTAGCAAAGGTCTGAACAAAGTCCTGCATTACATCGAAAACAATAGAGTGACAAAGTATTAAAGTATGACTTACCAAAAATATCTCCAATCAAAGCAAGAATTCCAATTAAATAGTTACAATCCGATATGAATCAGCTGGACTTATTTAAAAGAGAACAAATCAAACAAAATCTAATAAAAAGTGCGTATACAAAATCTCAGGCTGGTAAAAATGAAGATAATTTAACAAAAACAAATCAAGATAGCTTCATCTCTCTTTAATCTTTTAAAGATAACATGTCCTTATTTGGTGTTTGTGATGGTCATGGACAAGAAGGTCATAAATGCAGTCAATTCATTCGAGATAATTTGCCTAAGAATATCAGTTCTCAGCTGTCTCAGAGTCCCTCATCTATTACAGAATCCATCTCAAAGTCTTTCATTAGAACAAACTCCTAATTATGTAATGCGGAAGAAATAATAACTACCTTTAGTGGTTCCACTACTGTAATCAGTTTAATCGTTGATGACACCATCTATACAGCCAATGTTGGAGATTCCAGATCAATCATATGCAGATTACAAAGCAATGGAGTTAAAACTGCTATTTCATTGTCAAATGATCATAAACCAGACTTACCTTAAGAGAGGAGAAGAATTGAATAGAGTGGAGGGAGAGTGGAACCCTACATTGACTTCGATGGATCTAGTTTAGGTCCATCAAGAGTTTGGTTAAAATCAGAGGATATTCCAGGATTGGCTATGAGTAGAAGTTTCGGTGATAAAGTTGCAGCAAGTTGTGGTGTTATTTGTGAACCAGGTAATTATAAGCTATTTTCTGTTTAGAAATTTTAACTCACAAGATTCAGGAAGGAGATCTTTTTATGGTTCTGGCATCGGATGGAGTTTGGGAATTCCTAAGCAATGAATAAGTATAATAAAATATTAATTAAGGTGATAGATATGATATATCCATACTATGTCCAAGATGAAGGAAATGCTGCATGTGTTCGAATTGTAAAAGAATCTATTAAATTATGGAAATTAAATGATACAGTAATAGATGATATTACTATTGTTATTGTATTCTTTAACAAATAAAAATGATAATCATTTCATCAACAAATTCTATCTTAACATATTTTTATATGTCTAACAATATTATATATATTATTCTTTCATTTTAGATTTATTCAAAAATCAAGTTGTCAATTAATTGTTCCCTTGTTAATTCTACTTTATCTCGTTCTTATATTGATGTTAATCATAAAATATGAATATTCAATAAAAGCTTTAAGAATCACATAATCAAATAATTAATATAATTAATATAATTAATAATTATTTATTGCAACTTTGTCAAATAAATAATAATGTTGTTTTCAGTATAAAAATAAATTCAAATGATAAAGGAATCAATAAAGTTTAAAAATCTTGTGCAGTAAGGTTCTGGACTTCTACAAGACAAGTCCTATTTCTTTTTAAATCTCACACTTCTTTTGAAACATTATTCGCTTTTTTTTGATTGATTGAATCTTTATAAATAATCTATAATTGAAAATGAGTAAACCATATTTTTGGCTTCATTGACTACAAATCTGTAATTATCATTATCACTTTATTATGCATTCTATGTACAAATCCCTAAAAGTAAAGAATAATCCATATATCCAATATCTCTGAGAAAACAACAATCATCCTTGAACTATAGCTTTATTTGATCAGAAACTTCCTTAGGTAAATTAATAGGGTTGTATGGAGATTATTTAAAATTATTATCTTTTTGTACACTATCCTCAGATTTGGAGGTTCTATTTGCAGTAGAGCCTTTTAAATCATATACTACAAATTCATGGTCTAACATTTTCATTTGTTCAAATGAATTTTCCATCAAAACTATATATTGAGTTTTGTATGCCATCAATTTAATTTTAAATATTCCATAAATTTTAGCAATGAGTGATTTCTTATTACCACTTACATGATTAAAATATGAATTTATCCGGCCATCTAAGAAATCTTTGATTTCAGATTTTTCAACAGTTTTGATTATGAGTTTATTATTTTAACTATAGAAGAAGAATGCTCCACTTCTACCCATAGATTCCTTTGCTTTTTCAAAGGCCTTCTAATTGTACTATAATTCTAAGGTGTATTCCAATATGTTTTTAGTCAAATTGTTTTATTTCAATAGAGTAGTAAAACTGTTTGGGTGATATGTGTTTACTAAAATGATAGAATCTTTAATGACATCATTCTCATTATATGAAATTCTGCTTTCGTCTAATTCTGATAAGTGAAATTTAAATGTGTAGGTTCTTTTCATCTCGAATTCTTTCATATGATGATCGAATTGCTTTTCAAGAGTTGCATAGACAGCCTTGACTAAACCTTTGACAAGCTCGTTGATTTAAGTCTTTAGCAATTTCTCATAGATAGGCATCATCTTATTTTGAATGTCATTATTCAATCCATATTCAATACTTTCGATATCTTCTATGTAGGATTGTTATTGACATGATCGAAAGAACACCTAGTATAGTTTCTGATATGAATAGGGTTAAATGAGATGGAAAATAGAGAAGAATAAACCTTCTAAACTCAAGGCTACCTTTAATATATATGAGTCTTTATCCTCATTAGAGTCTAGATTATAATACGAAAAAGCAAAATTAATTGTCAACATAGTGAAGAGCCAATACCCTTGTTGTTTTACAAAATCACACTTGAATTCGTAAAGTCTTTTGCTTTGTAATGTTTTGTTTTTATTCAAAATTATCCATATGGCTATGTAGAAAAGAGTGCAAATCAAAAAACTAAAAAAATTGATATAGGAAGCCAAAACACTGTATGTTTTAATATTACTAGGTTTTAAAGAATATCATTACGTCCAAAATAGTAGTGGTATGATGATCAGTACTATGATTAATAGGCATTGCAACAATAATAAAAATAAAAAAACAGATGAGGATGTTGCTTAAAAAGGATTGTAAATGCATATTTTTACTTCGTTGAGAAATAAAATAAACTAATTTGAGATAATAATTATAATAACACCTAGAAGGAATTTGGTTAATTTATGTAATTCTAAAAATGCATTTGAATGATTGTTTTCAATGATAACTAAAGCTTAATCGACAAAAATAAATATGCCTAAGATTATAAATAAGCTGGAGATCCACACAATGATTCTAATATTAATGAGGAAAATAAACTTGGAAGGGTATTTTCGATAAATAGGGGAGACAATCCCTAAAATACAAATTAAAGAGCAAGCCAGCATCGATATGGCTGTGCAGCCAATATCAATGTAAGCGACAATGACTATTCCCATTAAGTTATGAGGCTTTAATTAATTGTTTTATTATTTATTGAGATTGAAAAAATAAATACGATATTTGATAATATTTGTGGAATGCTATCAATTATATATATTATATTTTCCATCGATTTTGCAATTTATTATTATTAAATTTAAGCCATTCCAATGTAATCGGAGAGAAGAATTCCCAACTCTACAAATAATATTATTATAATTTTAGGGTTTTTGTAAATCTATAAATCATCTTCTTCTTACTCCTGCTCCTTCCAATTCAGTGACTATTTTAGGAAACAGGGTTGTCTAAGTTATTAATTGATCGAGCAATTTGTTATGTTCATTAGTTCTATTGATTTTTATTTTATATACCTCTCAACCCATCTGTTGTTGGTATTATCTAAGTTATCTGAGGCTGTTTTGAAATTAGATTGAGCATCTCTTAATAAATTTGATTTGGTTTGAATTTAACCTACAATAACATACATGAATTACCATCTCTTGTTTAGATTTCAGCTTGAATGGTTGGTATAACGATTGTCGATAAATTAGTTATTCTTTAATTATATTAACTTAGATTGTGGTCATCAATAGTTCTTATCTACTAATAGGAGTTTTCTAAATCTGTTTTATTCTTAACAATAGTATCTCTTAGGTTTTGGATCAATCTCTACACTTTTGCGCTTGCTTCTTAATCATTGAAACTTGGAGCCATTATTTGAGTGAAGGCAGTGATTAATGGTGTATACATGATTCTTTAATGTTGCAATTGTTTTAAGCCTTCCTCTAAGAAAGCCACATTCCTATTTTAGATGAAAGAACCATCTCTTAATTGGCCAATCAATTACAAAGCTTAATCAAGGGCCTAAACTGCATTAGTATATTGATTTTATTGATCTTTGAATATGGCTTCTTCCTTATTGATTCTCTATTACAAACCATCAGCCAATGATTACACTTCCTTCAACTCATCTACTTTTCCATTCAATCCAATTTATAACAAATTTCTACTTTCAGTGAAGTCTGTTAGATCTATTTCTAAAGAAGCTATCTTTGATAATTTATGAAATCAATACTTCGTTTTAATACTAAGTAATTTATCCAGAGAAAAACTCTTTATCTGTGAAATATTAAACTTCATTCTATTAATATTCTTTATCTTCATCCACTATTCTCTATTTTATTGAATTCTCTAAATCATCTAAAGCTGCATAGAGTTTAGAAAAGTCGAATTGTTACGCCTTAGACTTTAAGGTGAGTAATTTCAGAAAAGCTTTTCCTAAATGAGTTCTCTCTAATTCATTGACTATTGGATTAGAGAGAGGTCCTTAAATCTGACTAGCCAAGCTGAGCGATATCAACAAAATACAAACTAACTTCCTCATTACAATTCGTTTTTTAAATATTAAAATTAATCCTCATTCCTTTAAAATAATTATAAAAATATGTTTCTGATCAATAAAAAATCATCAAATCACTAGTTCTAATTTAGAAAAGATTAGAGATCATTAAATATATGTATTTTGATTAGTAAAGTCTTATATATATTAAAAATCACATTCAGCATCCAAATTTCATATTGATTGTTGTTCAATATCAACTTAAATTGATTTATTATTATTATTATCTCTAATCTCTAATCTCGAATCTCTAATCGCTAATATTTGCTTAATTAATAAAAAAGTCTAGTTTTTTGAAGCATGGTATATTAAAAATTAGTAAGCAGTTTTATTACATAAATAATTATGAATTAACTTTATTGATTATCAATAATCCTGCATTTATCCTATTATTATAATATTCTGAAACTTTAATGAAATTAATTGGTAGATTATTTAAAGATTAATATATTTTATTAAACTATTATATAAATATAGTATTATTTTAAGAAAGACAAGAAAAAATCCTAATTATTTCGAAAATGAATATTCTAATCTTGAAAAACTCATGTTGCAAAATATAACTAATAAAAATGAATTTTTATCTAATAATATGAATATGTATCAAAAAGGTATTCATTTATATTTGAATACTAATCTGTTATTAGGAAGATCATTTTATATTAAATTTTAGATTTTTGAAGAAATGCTTGAATATGAATGTTAGGACATACATAAATGATACTTTATTATTATATTTAAAAAATACACAAAATTATTCGAATTTCTTAATAATTTGCAAATAAATATTTATAATGGATTAATTGGAAGCATTGCTAGTCAAGAGTCCAACTAATCAATATATAATATATAATAAGATCCTAGGAAGAGGAGCGTATGGAGTTGTTTTACTTAGTAAGCAGATCAAATAATAATAATTTTATGCAATCAAAATAGTACTAATATCTGTCATTTAAGATTTCCAAAACAGTCTTAGCTAAGATTAATGGAGCCTACAATATGAGATAAGAAATATTGTTTCTTTCAAAATTACAACATCCTAATATTATAAAAATGCATGAAACTTTTGAAGATGAAAACTATTTTTATATTGTGTTGGAATACTGTTCAAAAGGAAATTTATTTTTATTACTTAAGGAATAAGGAGCGTTTCCTGAAGAAAAGGCTTTTAAATACTTCAATTAAATTTTGTAAGCAATATAATTTATGCATAAAAGATAAATTATCCATAGAGATTTAAAAGTTCTTATTTATAAATATTTTTGAAATAGTTAGCAAACATTTTATTAACGTAAGACGATAATATAAAGATTTGCGATTTTAATTGGGCAACGGAATTAATAGATGGCCAAGCTGATCCAGTACTTTGTGGAACTGTTGACTAGATGCCACCAGAAGTTTCTTCCTTTAGTTTTCATGATACAAAATTGGATATTTGGAGTTTGGGAGTTTTATTATATGTAAAACGAATCATTATAAAAAGGAAATGTTACATAATAGTCTTCCAATAATATCTTTTGTGACTGAATTGTCATTCGGACGACATGTCAGCGAAGAAGCAATAAATTTAATAAAAGATTTAATGAGCCTAGAAAAATCTTAAAGACCAACGGTAAGTGAAATCTATTCTTACAAATGGATGAAAAATAACCTTGCTAAATTAAAAGTCTAAACTACGAGTTAAAGTTCACGTGTGACTCCAAGACATTCAAAATAAAATAGTTTGGATCTAAAAGATATAAGTAAATGTATCAGAACTGAAAATTGAATCAGTCATGATAAAATATATTTCAAAAAATTATTTATAATATGTCATCAATCAAAATAGTGAATTAAACTACGTGACTGGACTATTTGACTGTTCATAAATTATTTCAGCCATATTATTAGAGGCATCATTAAGGTTTATTAATAATTATACAAGTCTAATTTCATAACACTCACTTCATACTTATCTGTCTTTTAATTTCTCATTTTCACCATCCCCATGCTATTATAAAGTTGGACCTCCATTCTTTTAGATTATTCATTCAGGATTATTATTCTCAAATTTAAATGTTCTTCAGTAAAAGCAGAAAAGCTTTAATTTTATCCTAAAATTTTTTGGATCCTACAACTAATTAATTTATGGTCTGGTGTAGAATTAATTTTTTGCCTTCAAATCTTATGAAATATATTTTCTTATTAATGTGCAAAATTCGAAGAGTTTTACAATTATGTAATATTTAATTATTAGAAATCCAGAGGTTATTTATATATTACCCTAAATTAATAAAAATGATATCAATATATTATAGATTAAATTATCTATATTTTTAGAAGGATTCTAATTATTCTCTTTTTCAAATATTTAATCGATTGACATAATGATTACTTAAAAAGATTCTATTAGTTTTATTCTATTTGCAAAATCACTAGTTAATACTATTAGTTCAAATTTGAGCTCATTAATGATCTTAAACTAAACAAATTTAATGAATTTTAGAACAAGATAGCATTATTTAGAATATAGTTTTCGATTTCAAATCTCCCTTGCTTATTACATAATAAGAATTAATAAAATTTTTCCCTTTATAAAGCTTTTAAAATTACTTATAAATATATAAGTCCAAAATTTCTCATAAAGCTCTAGTACTTAGCCAATTTTATCCTAAAGTGTTTTGAGCTATTGCAAGAGTTAGATTTGTTGATTATATCATCTTTATAAATGTAAATCAAATTCTTCTTAAATTAATAAATTGATTTTCTTAATTATTACGACACAAACTATGAATGCTATTTGAAAATATAAGTTCAACCCTATTGAATATTCTAAACTCTTCCTTTATATCAAATAGAATTATAAATCGTGTATTATTTTCGATATTTAAATTAGGAAGCCTTGAATTTTAATTTTAATTTTATCTTTAAATTATATGTTAATAGCATCCTTTTAAATTCTACTTTCAATAAACTTAGCTGCTATTTCAGTACTGTCCTACAACTATTTAATTGTAAATATGTTATTGAATTTTAGAGCCAAAAAGAAGTAGTATTCAAATCGTATTATAACTAAGAATAGGTGGAAAACATGAATCACATTGAATAAATAAATAATGCTCTATTTCCCTTACTTGAGGATATATCTGTAATAATTTATGTAATAAGTTAGTTTGACCCTGAATTCAGGATATACAGATATACTGACACATTGAATTGCCCAATTGTGATGAATTAGGATGAATGCCATGTCGAGACTTGCAATTTAAAAAATTTTGAAGGAGAAGATTCTATAATAACAGTGGACTTGAAATATAATGGAGAAAAATACACAGGACAATAAGGCTAAAATATATGGCTCAACATTTATGAAGAACTTGGAAAGAATTCCACTTCAGAGATACATAATCATTTCATAAATCTAATAAAGGGAATTCATTCATCAATATCTGTCTCAATCACTGAGTAATTTGATTATGGAACTAAAACAGGAGCTAATGTAGACTTCTTCTTTTTGCGTGTTGGTTACTATCCAGATAGAATTTATAATCTTTATTTTTTGCAGTCATTCTTAATACAAGCCTCCAAGTTTCTCTACCTTAATAAAACTGAATTGCCTTAATTAACCTAATTGAAGGTGTAAGGAGTGTTATCCTCATACAATTTGATGCCACTTTATAAGTTTGACTACTTCTAGAATTTAACCTAATAGGATTTAGAATAGTTTAGAAATGATACTCTATTGCTCAATAATTATATGGATTGTGTGCATTGCAAAAGATGCAAGGTAAATGGAAAACTATAAATTCATGGGTTGGAAACATCTATTGATCTTTTATTCCATAGGGAAAAAGGAGTAGAATTAGAAAAAAATGACGTGATAGCCTTCTTAAATACTTTTTAAAAGATATCCAGCTCAGTGAAATCAATAGAATCGATGTTCGAAAGAAGAACATAAACTCTCTTTCAATATTGTAAATTATCTGGATTTGGATTCGTATTTTTGGTTTTCTTATCCCTAGTGGCCATTTTGATGAAGAGATGAATTAATATATGTATTGTATTTTTAAAACATTATACATTTTATTGATAAATTTACATGATTTCATCATTCTGCATTTATTTTGTATTGAAATATATTGGTATTAAATAAAAAAAATAGAATAATCAAATAAATTAAACATGCTCGTAATCTTAACCATTTCCTTATATGAGAATTGAAGTAGTTTAATTTAGTTTAGGTAATTATTGTAATAATTGTGAAGCGTTTCTTGATAAAGTTTATTATGGCATCTATTCTTATATTTCAGCAGGAGGAGTTTAAACTCTGTCTAAGATGTGCCAAGATTTGATTTTAGTTATGAAAAGCATCTTTTTTAAAACATAGAGAAGGCACATAAAAATTGGAACTAAAAATAAAAAAACTATGACAGCAAATCCTATATAAAGATATATGATAATCTTTACCAATCATCGTAATTGGACTATTCAAAAAACTAGATTATTGATTGTTTTTGTCATTGCCATCAAAAATATTGACGCTAACATTATATATAGAGATTACATTTGAACAACTAGAAATGCTTATAGAGCAGTAAAGCCAAGAAAAATGAAGAGGAGACAAATTAGTGCAATCATATTTTCTAAATTTGATTTACATGCTTTTCTCTCTAAATACAATTAAATAGATACGGGAATACAAACTTTACGGGATGTAAATTCAATTTAATATTCGATCTTGCAAATTTCACACTAAGTAAACAATTATTTGTTTTATGTAACTATCCAGGTTTTAAGGCACTCAATTCAAACAAATTGTCTTACCTCTTCATGTACTTATCCAAGAGAACCTTTACATTTGCAAGGATGTATAATGGGTTTATCGTTATCCTGTTCAGTTTCAAGACAAATTCGACAGGATTTAATGTCTTATTGCTCAATGAATATGTGTTGTTAGACTTTTAAGGCTGATCTAGTCTGTTAGGACTCGATAGTTAATTTATTCATTATTAATAATATATTTTTTCATGACCTAATATAGAAAATGTTTATAAATAAATTTAAACTTCATTATGATTTGAGAATCGGAATTAAAGGGGAAGATAAAAATTAGTAAGCCTTCGGATTCTGGCATGAACTTGAGTCAAATAAATAAAATATTTAAATAATCAATAAATAGAATCTTATATAAACAAGGGACTAGTATACATTAGAATGCTGTCTAAAAGTAAGTGAATAAGAAAATGAAATAATAATCTACTGCACCACTTTTGCAATTAAATAATGTAATGTATATATATCTTCTGATATGCACACTAATCATTATAGAAGACTCAACAATTGCATGTTTAACTTTGACTTTAAGCTTCACTGGTTTTGGTTTTAAGGTTCTGGTTTAATGGATTTTTTAATTATGGGTTGTACTCATCTTTTTCAATTCGACCTATTATTTTACAATAAGACATGATACCTTGTGTTATTTTTTAGCAGATCTAATCAATCAAATTTTAAAAACACTTATCGATATTTTCCCCCGTAACAGCACTGGTTTCAATGTAGAGAGCATCTTTGTTTTTCATTTCTCTTTCGGCATGATCTTTACTTATAACTCTCTGGTCTTTCAAATCGATTTTATTCCCTACTACCATAACATCTAGATCACTCTTTCCATTTTCTCTTGCATCTTTAATCCAATCATCTATTGCATCAAATGAGTCCTAACTAAAACCATCAATTTATAACATACTTCGTAATATCATAAACTATAATTGCTCCAATCGTGTTCTTAAAATAAGTTCTAGCGATTGAACGGAATCTCTCTTGTCCAGCAGTGTCCCATATTTATAACTTGATCTTCTTGTCTTTGTAATCCAATAATTTAGACGAGAATTCGACTCCCACAGTTTATTGAACTTTCGTTTTTGCTATTATAGTTGATCAAAATTATGATAAATGTCTTACAAGTCTAATTGATGAAGTATTATAACATAGAGGTCTTTCCAGTGCTTGAATTTCCTATTAAGATGAACTTAAAGATATATTCTGGAGTCCACTCTTTATCTGTCTAATTCATACTTAAATAAATAATAAATTAAAAACTTATTAATATATCATTTTCCGTAACCCATTTTATTATTCCTCTCAGGACTATAATTATCATCTCTGCATCAATATCAAGGATGGTTATGTTATATATCAAAGCACAAAACTATCAAATACACTATAATCTCTTCTATTTTGATTTTTGAGAACTCATTATTAATTAAGGGAACTATTCATCCTAAATTATTGATCTAACCATATAAATAACTTATTAAATGATTTGAAGGATAAATTTCAAAAGAGATTGAGGAAAATCTATATATTAATTACAGCAAATCTTAGATTATTAAATCCATAATGTATTCTATAAATTATCACTTAATTTCTCTATTAATATCATTGGTGAATAGAAAAGGTTAAAAATAAATGAATTTGGATTATGAGGAAGAAATCGTATTCACTTGACAATTAAAATTATAACTCTCTTCTAATTTAACTATTATTACTGAGGGAAATTTTTATGCATTTCCTTTCTTTTCTTGAAAATTTATTTTATTTCTCTTTATATATATGTAATGAATTAAAATTTAACAAAATTATTATTGTTTCATAATAAGGTAGGGAACTATTGAGAAAAAAACGTAATGAAATGAATGAGTATTAAGAGAAAATTTTTAAATTAGATTGCATGACTGGAAATTGCATTCTTGCAGTCATATAAAATACTAACTTTACAAATTCCTAAGTATTTACACTACTACTATTGTTACATAATTGAAAAATCAATAAATTGAATTAAGTTAAATTTATAACAAAATAATATTTTATTAAAATGATTGGAAAAGAAGTTTAGTAAAAACATTCTATCATCCTTCAATATTTTATGTTCAATTTTATATTTCAAATATATTATTGTTAGTACTTAATTGCAAACAAATTTGAAAGTATATTGATATTCTTACATTTTAATATTTATCTTATAGTAATTAAAATAATTTATAGTGCTAAAACTTGGGACTAGGGAAAAATAAATGTTGAACAACTCCAGAAAGTAGAAAAGTAAGTCTAAAAAGTTGTCAAAGGCAAAGGATTTAGAAGTGAAATCAAGATGTGAGAGCGCTAATTTCAAATCTGAATAGGCGGCATGCTAATATGTGTATTAAATATTTTCATTTGATAGGCAAATTACTATAAAAAAGGTCAAGAATGAGAAAGACATATCCCCCAATCTGGAGGAAGAAATTCCTCTTGGTTCTTAGATATTATTATAATCCGATTTGTAGGATTATGATAAATTAATTTGCGAGGAAGTTGTGAAAGACTTTACATCCTTCACATTCAATAACTCATTAGAACATTAAATTAGTTAGGAGGATGAGTAAGAAACTTTGTCAGAATTTATGAGAGAATAAGTGAAATACGAAGAAGTTTATATTTATAAAAAGAATTACCTGAATAATTAGAAGGAAATTTAGAGTCACATGGTGGCGATTCTATTTGATTGGCTCATCGAAGTTGCTCATTCGTTTCATTTCAAAAGAGAAACCTTATATTTGTCTATCAATTATGTGGAAAGGTATTTGTTAAGACAACCAAATGTTCTTATATCGAAATTTCAACTTTTAGGAGTGGCAGCTATCTTCATTGCTCACAAATGTGAAGAGATCTACCCAAAAAATCTAAAAGATTTTCATAGACTTATATAGGACCAATATACAATTTAGGAGATTGAGTAGATGGAAGTTCTAATATTGAAATCGCTTGATTTTCGAATGTATCCAAACACTCCCATATTTTGGTTAAATTATTATACCAAATTGTGGGATGAATTCATTATTGATAAAGACCCTTGTCTTTTGTTCAAGGAAAGAACAAATGAGGCATATTACAGATACAGGGAGTTGGTGTAGTTATTTGATGTGTGTTTGATAGATTATCAATATAAAAAGAATGAGAAGCTGACTATTTTGAGTTTAATTTATCTGGTTGTTGCCAAATAATTATAAATATTTGATGATTATTAAACTATGGCTATATCATAATCAGAAGTTTGCGATTTCTTTCAGTCAGATGAATAGGAATACAACAAATAGTTTAGATAATTCATACTCTAATCCGAGATATATTTAGAATTTGATAGGCAAATCTTTTATGAGGATTTAAATGATGTAATTTGCCAATTGGTAAAGTATTTCATCCTTCGATTTGATAACTCCTTACCAAGAGTGTTACTTAATAACCAATAGTTTATTGATGAAGTAATGTATCTATGTTATAGACTAGATGTAACACGAAGAATTACTATCCTTTTAGACATACAATAATAGTACAATAGAAACTATAACAAATATTTCAATACAAAATTAATGATTTAAGATTTCTTTATTTCAATAGATTACACAAATTAAATATAAAACAACTTTTTAATTTAAATGTCCTCCAATAAGCTGATTTTGAATCAAATCCAGGATATAATTGTTTTTTTCTATTTATAAAATTAATAAAACATGTTAAAATAAAATGAAGAAAATGAAATACCATTTAATGGTGAATTTGAGGACAGTGAAGAAGAATCAGAAGAGTTTTCTGAGGAAGACTCCGAAGACGACGAGTTGTAAAATAAGAGAAAGAAGAAAAGAAAATAATTAGTTAATAATAACAAAAGATTGATTATGAATGTATCAGACACCTAATATGCTGCTGTTAAATTCGTGGGCAAAATCTTAAACAAGTTCAAGTTGCAATACACTCCCTATTTAGAAACCTAAGTATGGGATTTCTGTTGGACTGATAATGCAGTGCTACCTGAAACTCTGGCAAGAATGTAAAGTAAAATATATTTAATTATAAAATAGGCCATTAAAGAATTAATCATTTTCCTGGAATGTATTGCATAGCCAGAAAGAACTATTTAGGCAAAAATTTAAATAAAATGGCTAAACAGTTTCCAGAGGAATTTGATTTTTATCCTAAAACCTGGATGCTACCTTCTGATATTTCAGATCTTAGACAAAACATAGGAAAAATTAAATATTTTATTGTTAAGCCAGAAGCATCATGCTAAGGAAGAGGTATGACTGTTAGAAATTATCAAAGGCATATTTTTGACCAAATAAGTTGAATCTATAGCATCTGAACATTGTGTAGTTTAGAGATATCTACATAAACCCTTGTTAATAGATGGTTTAAAATTTGACTTTCGCATGTATGTTTTATTGGCAGGTTGTGATCCACTCAGGTAATTTATAGGATATCCTATATTAGAATATACCTATTTAAGGAAGGATTAGCCAGATTTGCTACACAACCATACTAATAGCCCAATCAAATGAATGCTGAAGAAATGTGTATGCATCTCACCAATTATGCAATTAATAAAGACAATCCTAATTTTGTGTTCAACACGGATGAAAAATAGTTGGATGTGGGACATAAAAGAAGTCTTTCTAGTGTTTTTAAATTGTTGTCTGAATAAACTAATATCGATGAATTGATGGCAAAAATAAAGGATTTAATAATAAAAACGTTTTGTTCAGTATAACCATTTCTGCAATCCAATTACACTCAACCTGATAACTATGCTAACAATATGTGCTTTGAGATATTGGGATTTGATATCTTAATTGATAATGCATATAAACCCTATTTGTTAGAGGTCAATCATACACCAAGTTTCACTGCAGATACTCCTCTAGATGCTATGATTAAAAAGAATCTAATAAGAGACACTATTGCACTTATGAATATCAATTTAAAAGTAAAAAATGATCTGTAGCAATTGTAAAAAGAGTAGATGCAAAGAAGAGTGCTTGGAAAAAAACCTAAACTTTCTAATGAAGAAAAGAAAACTCTCAAATTACAAGCATAAATAGAAAGAGAATAATATGAATCTTAACACTTGGGAAATTTCGAAAAGATATACCCTTGCGATAAATCTTATGATGAATATTTACAGCATGCTTAAAAAATATATGAAGAATGGACAGGAGCAAGTAACTTAACTCATATCTTTAGATATTCGCAGAAATGTTAAAAAAGAAAATGCGACTGAGAGAGACAAATTGCCATAGCAAAGACAATTATAACACTCTATAACTATTTAAGGGTCGATTGATTCTAACAATAAACCATCAATGGATCCAGCTAAACCATCAATTCGAAAGAGCTTATATAAACATGTACATAGCAAAGTATTTTCTAATATCAACCCGTAAAAATCGATGACAGAATTACCTTAATAATAATAAGCCATCGAATATAAATTATAAGATGGAAATGATAATGAAATTGCCTCCGAAGACTAATAAAATAATTTCAAGCAATAAGAAAAGATTGAAAGATCTAAAAGACCTCCTTCTTTTTATGTTATGAAATCTGTAAAATAAGGCTCAGAATTACAATTAGTAGACTTATTTAACTATAAAAGAATTAGTATTCCTGAGACTTCTCCCCAATCCTAACCAATTATGTTATAATAATAATCTTTGTAGATTTCATAACAATAATAATAATAATCTCCAAATTTTAAATCAGCTACCTAATTGGCTAGACATTTTTCCATTCGCAAAACTAATAAAAGTAAATTAAAACCAAGCGAAAGTGATCAAGAAGCGAAAAAAGATCTGATTCAAGCAGTTAATCAATATTCTTAATTTTAATAATAATAGTAATAATAGTCATTTTTTTAATCTTAACAATAACATTTATAAAATTAATAATAACAACCGAATGGATCATTTGTTAAACCAAAAGTATTTAACTTAAAATTGTAACCACCCCATTTTAAAATACCCTCTCTTCCAATATTAATGCAACAATAAAATTACTATAAATTTAGATATGATTGATATTAATTTGCGTTATTATTATTATACCCCAAGTCAATAACGAATCCCTTGTTATTTAAATTTCCTTAGACATTTTATATATAATGTATCCAGATTGTATTAGTCTGATTGATAAATGTTAATCTAATAGTATTATTTAGTAAATTTATTAATCATCATTTATTTCTAGTTTGTTTATTAATTTTTAATTGCTTCTTTATTTTATCGTCTATCTTCTAATTTACCCTACAAATGCGAATCGAATGTCAATATTGATCAGGAAAGTGATTATCGTGTAAATGGTATTTAATTCTGTTCAACTTGGCTTATCCCATGATCTCAAATGGATATGCTTTAAATATTATTATATATAAATTAATGTTGCAATCAAATCCTCTCCTCTTGACAATCTCAAATATTTTAGATGAAATAATCAAAGAAACTGATACACTTGAGATAGAGTATAACTCTATTTTTCATGCAAATAAAGCTCCTTCAATTACAATCTACAATTACTTGCAAAGAATAGCTAAATACACACATTGTAGTGAATAATGCTTTGTTATTGCTCTTATATACTTAGATAGGTTGTAGGAGAAACATACATATCTAGTGTTGAATTCCCATTGCATACATAGGTATATATCCATTTTATAAAACCAATATGAAGGTTTCTTTTAATGTCGATTCTGACAGCAATCAAATTTTAAGATGACGATTATTACAAAAATGAGTATTATGCGAAAGTCGGAGGAGTAAATTTGAAGGAGATAAATGTGTTGGAGTAAGAATTCTTGGAATACATGGATTACTAATTATTCGTAGATGAATAGTAATACGCAATATATGAAAGAAGATTGCTCGAATTTGGTGAGATTGAGATGCCATGACAATTTTTGAGGTGTATATTAATATTTGATTTTTTGTTCTTTTTGGATATAAATTCTCTTATCAAATCAAAAATAAAATATTCTTCTTTGAAATTCATCATTTTAAATGACTATTTATAGAGAATCAGAAATAAATAGCTTATATGGTGTATTGTTGATTTCAATAATAAAATATCACTTTAAGTCTTCATTTTTGATCCTCATATTAAATTGTTAATTAGATCTAATATTTTGTATGAAATCCAATCATCGTAATACTCATGAAATTGCTTTTCAATTAATTTCTGCTCTTCCAAAAGGTTATAGTTGACAAAATTCTGTTAAACAAATGAGTATTTAAAAATTATAATTAGTAATTCATCAAAATGTTCTTTAACCTAATCCTCAAATTATAAATCGAAATCAAACTTATACTCTTTGTAGTGCTAATCAGTAATTTTTTTCCATTCTTCTAAAAAAGTAGTATAGATGCCCTTGAAAATTTCCAATAACTTTTCTAGAATTATAACACTAGTTGCAGAATATTTGTCAATTATGAAATCCAGATCCACTTTGTTGATAACTTTAAAAGAGTCTTTAAATTTCTCATTCTTTTATTAGAGACTTTGATGATCAAAACATTCTGAAGTAACTTTTTCGACAGTATTTTGTACAATGGTATCAGTAAGTTGTAGGAAAAATTCCTCTTATTATTTTTTGATTAGTTTCAACCATTCTTACTCAATCGTTTCTTTACTCCTATTTTTCACTTGCTAATCTTAATTATCTGTTTCGCTAACTTCATACTTATTTGTCTATCTCAATTCTTCTTCTGTTTGTAATTGCTCTTCGCAATTAATGTTACAATTTTCTTCACGTTCCTGTTAAAATATTTCAATTTATTCATTCTTAAATTCCCTAATTTTATTTTCAATTTCTCCCTTAAATTAGATACTCCAATCGTTAATTTTTCTTGCTTAGCCTTTGACAGACCCAGTCTAACCAAAAAGACTCGCATTCTAACCCCAAGAAGTAATTTTGTTTAACCATTTATTTCCCACATCTAGATTTCTATCTCTTAAATAATATCATTACATTTAGTAAATTTCTTCCAAGATGTCTCTCATTGATTTGTTTTTGATGTTATCTTAATTTAATTCTTGATAACCAATTTAATTCAATAAATTTAAGACTATTGTTTTAATATTTTCTTCATCTTTTTAATTTTATTAGAACAGATAGTTTGTAAAATTAATTGACTCTATTTCATTGGTATAATCTTAAAATATAAGTATGATATTTTCTGGTTTAATATTTCCATGACAAAGCGAATTTTATTCAAGTAGGCGAAAATGCTTCAAAATTTCAATTATAATTTTTTTAACTTGTATATTGTTTGCATCCGACTATTTGTTAACCTATTAAATTTATTTTTACAGCATACCATCATATTTAAAAATATATTCAAAGGCCTACAATAGGAAAAGTTAAATTAAATCCAAGCATAATATTGAGTTACCTTTCTTATAGATTCTGTATCATATATTTCTACATTTTTCATTACATCATTCAAAAATTTATCCTTTTGGTCACTATTCTCAAATATTTGCATTCTCATAAAGTTTTCCTTCAACGCATGCATGCTATTTTTTTAAATTCTATTATAATTATTAATTCTCTACAGATGATTTTATTGCTTTGAATTTCCCTTTATAATCAAATACACACTAGGATTAATGGTATTGTGATGTAATTACCCTATTTCCTAATGTTACACTAGACAGTATGTCAATCGGAGCAAATTCTCCAGACTAAAAAATAAGCCCTGATGATGTAATAGAATTATTAAGTCAGGATTTATGTCGAACAAATCTAATTTGAATTGATAATATAATATATATTTTTTCATTATTCTAATTCATTTTGCAATATTCTCTCTTGGTATACAATGATTTTATTTGAATTGACGCATAAAACTGTTAGAACTCCAATTATTATAAAGAAGAAGATGGCGCCAACTCCAAACTACCACCAAAAGTTCCTTCTTCTTATTTCTGTCACCCAGAATGTGTAGTCCGGATAGATGTTGTTAATTACAAAGGAGTTTCTGGAGAAATCAGAAGTGTAATTATTAATAGCTACCAATTCAATTTCAGTCATATTGAGTGCATGACCAATAGTGGATGTATTTATGCATTAGACCTAATTGACTGTTATCTTAACTTCATTAGTCACAAATAGATATTAAAATTCTGTTTGATTTACTTAATACAAAATGGTCTGATTATTGGTGATAATCGGATTGCTGATATTATATTTGGTTAGATTTTATATTCCAATAAAGCCGACAGGTGAGCCAACATGTTGATACACTTTGTTTGGGTTGAAAGCCACTTTGAGAGTCAAATCGCTAGTGAAATCCTTCAAAGTAGGTATACCGTAGAGACCAAACACATATTCAGGTTCTCCCAACTCATTGGATTCGGTATAGAAGAACCCAACGATGGCCTCGCCTCCAGAGTAAACTCCTAGGGTTTGGTATTTGGCAAAGGAAATGAGTTTATAAATTAAGTCCACTGTAGCTGATCCACTTCTTTCGATGATGGGTAGTGTCACCTAGAACAGATACGAATTGGAAGTAGTAGATATCAAAAATGGGGTTGACAAATAAGTATTCGTAATCCAACCAATCGAAATTGAAGTAACACCCAATATTTACACTCCATCTAATTTATATAAACAGTAAATAAATACTTGGTAATTAAGACTAATAAGCTCCATACTTGGCAATATTTTTGTACAAGAATTGTAATACAGAATTTTGGTATAAAATGATTACTCCTGCATCCATATTGGATAAGAATTTCTTGACAAAATCTCTGTTGAGTAATGTTCTATTTCTTCTAGCAGCCTATAATTCCAATTCCTCAGCATCAACTACAAATAATGAATAACTCATCATTGGATAAACAAGGTTGTATTACATTTTATTTTAAAGCACCAAAGTTGAATTGCTTGCACTCACGTTAACAGTCAAAATGAACTGACTATATTCTAATGCCAATATATTATATTAAAATTAAGCAGATTTTAGATTAGGATAAGCTGTTTAACTCAGTAGTTAATATCCTGAAAATCCTAGGATTGTTCTATTGTTTGACTCTGTACCATTGTAATAATAGAAATAAGTGTCATCCTTGTTTGAACACACTGTGATTAGATATCCACTGTCTGAGGTGATGAATGAGTATATGCAGGTGGCATCAATGTAAGCAGGAACAGTGTATAGAAATAGAGCATCCTTGTCATATAAGATGTAAATGGCTCTTCCAGACTGAATGAATGTTTGAATTGTGTCTTAGCCAGCTATTATGCCTGAAGTTACAGAAGTGTAAACCAAGGAGAAATTAGCTTACATTCTGGTAATTGGTTGGACAACACTATTATTAACCACTTAATGTTTTTTATCTTTTTAGTAGCAATCTATGAAGGCCTCGTTGAAGTCCACTCTCAATCCTATCTTATTGATTGCTGTGTAATTGGAGATGTAACCAAAAAAGTAATCAGCAGGATTAATATTTAGATAGAAAATACTTCCCAAGGCAGTCATAGGGGTAAATGCTTAATTCTCTCTTGCGATGATTCCTATTTCTTATTTGGTTGATTTGATCTATCTTGTAATAGCTGCTTCTTTTGCTGGAGCTTGATTGAAATTGTTCTCAGCAATCACCTAAAGTTCAAACACGTCAACTCTGTTTTATTAGATATTTGGTGTATATAAGACAGCAGGCTATTTGAATACTTAGAGTTATTGAATTTAGTTGGAAGTACTTGATGACAAGAACAACAAATCATAATTGAAATCCAATACTTTGTCAATCTGTTGATTGTGTCCCCTATTGATGGATATGATATTTAAATTTGATGGCAATTAATCTAAATTAATGATTTAATAAATTTAGGAGTATTCTGTTGTCGATGGATTTAACACTACTAATTAAAATTGATTGGCTTAATTGGTGTTTACAACCACATAGAACTTATCATTATTTGATACTCCAGTGACGAATGGTTGTGCGATAGTGAGTTAAAATTGGGTCAGGGATATTGTTTAGAATGAGGCAGATGCTTTATAAGCAGCATCATAGTACAAAAATTAATAGGGATAAAAGTAAATGGTTTGTGTGGATGTGGTTGATGTTTGTGAAAGCTGAATCAAATACACTCCCTCTCTTACTAATCCAATGCTGATTTATTGTTATTTATAGTTATTGGGATAATTGAAAGCTACAAAGACGTTGTATTGATATCTCTTTTGTGTTTCTTATTCGATATCGAAGTTGTTTTTGCTATTTTGAATCATCAATAACTCATATTAATTATCAACAAAGTAGGTGTCATTGAAAATATAAGGATTCAGGAACACTTATCTAGGGGCGTATTAATTTCCAGCAATGGTGTATTGATGAATCAATAGGTTGTCTACACAAATTATGGAATTAGGTGTCGATGTCAATATAATCAATGCTTCTTGAACGTAGTTAACACTTGAAATCACCATTGTTGGAGGGATATCTTTGGTAAGTTGAGTTACCTATTTCTTTCTTTATATTAACAATTTCATCTTATCGTAATCGTAATCATATGAGTAGATCTCCTACTGGGTGGCAATTACAATGTGGAATAACAGGCCTGATTTAATTGCAGTAATGCCAACAATAGGGCCAGCGAACTAACCTTAGATGATCTCTATGATCTGACATGCCAAGAACTTGCATTTTTCTATTTGAACATTTTTAACATTAGTGGTCAACTGAGAGAAAACAAAGAATGTATCGTCATCCACTTGATATGTACTACTGTATGCAATTACATAAGTATTTGTTATGATATTGACTTGATTTATGTAGAGCAGGGTAGTATTTGGTTGTAAAATCTCAAGAGCAGAATTCTCTTCTTCTAATTATTAGGTTGCTTCAATCTTGTATTTCAAGTTGCTACCAAAGAATTGATCTCCCAAGGGTAACAATTTGGATTAAGAATTAAATAATAAAATTGGCTCTTTTTTGCTGTCTGGTTTGGTTAAGGCAACAAAGTTATACATATCATTAACATTCAGTAATTCATAATTAAAAGTACATTAGCATTTTGTTCCATCTTAACTAGTTGCATTTATTGTGATCTATGTTGGCACATTATAATTTGTATTCAGAGTCTTTAAGGAATACAAATAGGCCATCTAGATTTGATATGTGAGTATTGTGGTTGTCTAAAACAAAACGAATTGAGATCCAAACCCATAAAAGATTGAAAGTAATGCTGGAGTTTATGAGTAATATAAAAACCCATATTACACATTCTCTTCCTTTAATAGATATCTGTTCTCGTAAATCACGAAACTATTATCGTTTGTGACTATTGTATATAACAAACTCACCTTCACTTACAATCTTTTATTAGTATCGAAGGTCTTTGGTAAACCTGGCTTTTAGTTTGATTACAAATTGGATGTCGAATAGAACTCCAACCCCTTCTTGGTCACTATAGATATGAATAGATTATATTCTCCATTTGTATATGATTCTCTGTATACTCCCATTCCTTATGATGAGTCTACCACCATCATTACGTTCTTATGAATTTTCTTGGAAAAATCATGGATTACCAAAGCATCAAAAAACAATAAGTAAACTAGAATTACTAAGAGTAAAGCATACTTTTTTCAGGGTCAGCCAAGTAGGCACCATAAGCAGCTTTGTCATGATGTCCTGAATAATACACAGTCATTTTGATTGGTTCATGGAGTGATCTCTAAAACTCAAGTTTGAATATGTGGACAATGGTTTCAGGGTTGAAATAATTTGCATGGACAACAGCAGCATAGAACTCCTCTAAATACATGTGGAATTCAAATAGATACATTCTTGATTGTTCAGTATTTGCAAATATGAAAATTCTAATTGATTTGCTAGTACATATTCATATGGAGACTGTATAAGAACTGGAAGGTATTTGGTTATAATTTTGATTACCACTCTTTGGAAGAAGTAGAATATTTGAAATCCTTCCTTTCTTGTTACACATGATACGATGATGTCATTATCAAAAACATAGGCAACATTTGTGCAGATCGCAGTCTAAGTGCCTAAAATGAATTAATGAATCACTTGAAAATGAAGAAGTTAATTAAATCCAAGTCGGTGTTTTTTAATTCAAGGATAACTCGTAAACATAATATTCATTATTTATTGACACCAAAGCCACAAATTGATCTTACTAATAATTAGGATTAGACCAATTAAAATAGGCTGCGTCATCTATAAAGATGGTGTTCTCTATTATTATTCAATGAAAATACATACCTGGAAATTAGGCCTTCTTCAAAGTTTATGTGCTCATTTTAGTAGATTAAGAAACGCCAAATTGATATGTGCCATTGATAGCGTAGGTTAAACCCTACCCATGGAAGTATTTGTCAAGTGGTTATAAAAAGGAATTAGAATTTGATGGATAAATTATTTCAGGATGTTCAGGGTTCACCTATATTATACATCAAATTCTTTACTTCACAACTCGTAAATCCCCCCAGGATTGATTGAATCTATAACAGAAACAACAATAATATCATTTATTAAAATATTGATTATTTTATTGCATTTCCTTTAAAGTAGTAGATGTTGAAATCAATAATTTTTATACAAAAGCAATAACTATTTGATAAAGAATAGATGCAAAGTGCGCAATCAAAAAGGATTCTACCCAAATAGAGTCCATAACCAATTAAGTCCAATAAACTTAATGTATTATTTCATCAAAAGAATGTCAAACTCATAAACATTAATGTCAAAACCAAACTACGCTCTCGTTCTTTTCCAAACTCACTTAACCCCTTTAAATACATAGAAGCCAAAGCAATCACTAAGAAATAGTCCTTTCTCATAACTCAACCCTCCATTAGTTCACAAAAATACCTTCGCAAAACTAGACCATTGATAAAGAGTGAAAGAGATCTTGAAAAACAGTACTAACACTAAACCAAGGAGTAGTTTAGACAGAGAAGGAGAAGTTGTGAATGTGAATTTTGTGGAATTTTAAGCAGTTTCCAGAAACAATGCATGAATCACGAATTCAAAGTGTAGCAAATTGAAAAAGAACGAGAATCACCCATGCATAAATTCCAAAGATCCATTAGGAAACATTAAATTTATGTTATGGCACCGTATCTTTTTGCTGTAGAAACACCTACTGAATCATTTGAATAATCCATTATCAGATAAAATACTCTCAAAATTGAAAAAAAAAAAACTCAATTGCTTGATGTGATTAAACAAGAAGATGCTCTCCACATTAATTCTTCAAAAATCCTTGATCGAACTCCAACCAAAAAACCTAGCTTTTTTGAATCCTTCCTAGTCAAATAAAAAGAAATCATCAACACTGAAAAAAGCAAACTAGTCAATAAATAATTTTCTTCATTATCTTACCATCTTTTATCTAGAAACACTTATTAATCTATTAAACCATTCAAATCCTAACTTCCTTAAATTCAAACCAATTTAAATAAACAAGAGCCTCTCCTTTCTACTGAGAGAAACACTTAAAAGAAATCTGAAAATACCATTAAGGAACTTTACATCAAACCATTCATCCATAAATATTCAAGACTCAGATTGGTCACACTTCCAGACTTAATTCCAAATCATATTTAATGAATATCTTTATGTTTATTAAAAATCTAAAATTTTAACACTTCCATTTTATTTCTGTCCTAATTTCAATATTGTTTATGATTTATTTAAAAATCAAACTAAGCCATGGCAATCTATGATTTATTATTTATCTATCTCACACAGAACCTTTATAAATCCAAACTTCAATTATTAATGAAACACTTCTTTATAGGTGAGTTCTTATCAAATAAATAAACCTTCTTTAATCAAATTATCCATATTTTACTATAACAATATAATTTTATGCAAAATTATTGTGATTCTATTGTATAAATATGAAAGGCAATAGGCTATATGATTTTTTGGTTGCTTAGAAAACTAACATCAGAGAGTGTGAGAATATTATTAGACACTTTAGTCTCATACTAAAATATATAGTATATTTTTATAATTATTTTTTATCGAAAAGGAAAATTACAAATGGAATGAATCACTCTTGTATCCATGGACTAAAACCGGTGGTTTAAAGCGCAACTGAATTATTTTTGGGTACTTATACTTTTGGCAATATCTTTTTGTATTTCTTTTCTCTTCTTTCATGAAAGTAATATTATTATTTTTTATTTTATGTTTCCTCAACATTTCTTCTAAGGACTCTCAATTACAATTAACCGTATTGCAATGCTCCTATTAAGGATGGTTTTTCTTATTGTTTTATATTTGGCAATTTAATCTATTCTTAACTTAGATTTGCATTAAGGAATGATGAACAATCTGTTGAACATGATGAATGTCTGTACAATCTCAAATTTCTATGCATATATTAAAATTATACAATTTATAATAATAAATATTATAAGTGTTTTATTTAATTCATTTTTATTTATGCAGCAAGGTAATCCTATGAACATTTTTTAATAAACATTTTTATCTGATTTTTCTTTTTAATTCGCTATCAATTTAGGGATCAGGCATATTTAATAATGGTTAAGATAAAGATGGAGATTCAAAGGGTTTCCTTCTACCGAATTTATTGTTCTGGCAATAAGTTTCATTAGCAGTGCTCTCATTTCCAATCATAATTCTACTCACTTGAAGAGATGGCAATTTGAGTTTAAAGTTCCTCTTGCTCTTAAAATAAAATGGAACAACTTGATCTTAATCATTCGATTCAGTATTTATAAATTTTAAAGCATTATTTTAAAATAACTCTAACTTCCTTGAGCTCACATTATTATTGTTTTATTTATTCATATTATTAATAATAATAATTGACTCTTATTCGCAATCATAATTGATTAACTGAAGGGTTAGTAAATATTTAAATATAAAACCAATAATCATCATCATGTGACAAATCAAGATATATAGCAAGAACAACTATCGCCAACATCTTATTCTTAAATAACATTATAATCTTTCCAATTATCTACTATGTTGACATCTATCAAGCCAATGGTCGGAATGACATCATCTCTAAAACTAATTTAATGATTCTTATCATTCTTGAGTATTTCGTGATGAAACATATCAATCCTTGTTTTTTATTAATTTTGTTTTGAATTGTTCTCAGATGTCATTTTTTCGAATATCTCATTGAGCTCCTCCATATCAGTCCAACTATCTCCGTTACATTACGAGACTTGAATCATTATTTAGCTATAGTTTTGTATTATTAAAATATTAAACAATATTACATATCAAATATCAATACTAAATGTTATTAGAATCAAAAATCAAGAAGTTATAAAATTTACTTCTTTTAATCGTCTCTCTCAAATTAACTTTACTTTTTCTCCAAAAATCTCTCTAATAATGAAATTGCTTCCAAATCATGCTGGTTACTATTACCTAAAATGAATTGCGATAGTTAAGTTGAAAAGACCTACTAATTCGTTTCAGGATCCAAAAGGTTTTGGGTTATTTTTGCTTTATTAATAACTAGTTCCTCAAATTCTGACTACTCCAAAATTTTAAATTTTAAACCGTCATCCCTTTAAAGAATTGATCCTTCTTAATTAATAACTTATTTAATTTATTTCCCTTAGCCAACATCCTTTTGTATAATTTATTACTCTCTAACATTTTACTTAGCTTATTCCTATTTTTCTTCTATCCTTTAATTAATTTATTCTTGAAATGATGCATCATCTAATTGCTTCGTATCTGGTCTGAATGAGGTAAAACCAAATTGTTATACACTCTTATCCTAAACTTCTGATATTTCTGATAAAGATTATTAAAAAACTGAATCTGTCATGGCTACTTATTTAGTTGCATCTTCTTAACAGAATTACATGTTATTTAGCATTTATTGAAGTTTAAAATTGTCTTACTCAGTATGATGAAATTATGGAAGAGGAACATTTTACCCTTATTAGATTGGTTGTTATTAGTTTTATGTATATTAATTGTATTGGATTTATTAAACTTATTACTATTACTATTTTTATTAGTATTATTATTACTATTTTTACTATTATTATTATTATTATTATTATTAAGGCATATTCTAAAACTAATAGTTTTTTTAATAGTGTTCGTTTGGTGAATATGCTTAGTTCATACCGCTATTATAGCTTTGAGGCATGGGTATGTATTCATAAGTTGACCATTATTAAGGAATACTCGGTTATTAGATTACAGATATTCCATATTCTGGTTGACCCTAAAAATTTTAGCCACCCTACAAAGAGTAAGATTCTAAATGTGAATAACTATCAATTTGAGGTTAAGGTTGTATTAAGGATGTTGGAGAAGTTAGAGATGCGCAACTCTCTAATTAATACATTGTAATTGTACTATAAGGTTATTAGAATTGATTATGATATCCTACAATTTAAGGTTAAGGAGTTACTGGGTATGGGACGGAGTATGTAGTAGAAATTGAAGATTAGCTATGTGTATTATGACTTTTAAGCTATTTTTTTTACTTTTTAAATGCAAATTTGATTTTCCCGTAACCCTTATATATTTTCAAAAATCCTTATAAATTATAGTATTTATTTAAATCTATTCCTCTCTGTTTTTAAAATTAATCCATGTAGTAACACAATAATTATTGAAATTTCATTAACTTTAAAGCTCTCTTTGCAACAGTCTTCATATAATCAAATGTTTAATATTATAAGCAATTATTGAGCTCTTCCAAAAACAAAGAGAAACTGGGAATATTTGAAACAAACGATGACAAGTACTTAATTGTTGAGATGTAACATTTTATATCATCTGGTTAACTTTCAAATTAGTATGATAAAAAAATATGGTCTAATTAGATTAAAAGGTGCGATATTGCTCTTTTTAGTATAAAATAATTACTCCTTCAGATACTTCTAAATAAGCAAACTTTGAAATTCAATTACCAGCTTTTCAATTTCTACTTTAATGTTAGCATTTTCAGATAATTATATAATATTGTAAATTATATAATTTTCTTATTGGTTGAGCTTTCTTTCTGAATTTTGTATTTATTAGGCCTGCTCTTATAGTACTGCTGAGGCTAAGAATCTTAATCTCTAATTATACATAATATATTATAGAATTTAATATAAAAGATCCCTTATTATAAATTAATATATTAATCAATTATGGAGTGTGATGATAAATAAACCAAATTCTATTATTCTATACTATAATTGAGACTTTTTGTGTTCTATTCTTTTATTAAATTCAATATGAACATTGATATTATGGTTGTATAAAAGCATTAGTATGTATTTATTTAAAAATTTAAGCTAAATTGTTGTTATTTAACATATTGAATTTATGAGTAAGACATGATATATGTATGTTTAAAGTTAATCCTGATAAAACCTATAGAGAATAGAGTAAACTGGAGGAATAATAAATAGATTAAGTATTTAAAAGATATCATTGAATAATTAATACTTATTTAAAACAAACTATGATGATTATATCATTATTTTTCTTCTGGTTCTATAAGCATTTTATTTTATAATTTACCAATTGGCTGAATTTAGGTGGGTTTTAACTAATTATAATACAAATAATTTACTGAATTGAATTTGATATGGTTATCTTGATCATGGAATTCCTTCTTCACAATTTCTTCAAATAACATTTTTAATGAAATCAATCCAATAACATTTTTTTATGTTTTGTCATCTACAACTTAGAAATTAGGACTTCTTGATGTATTGGCTTAATCATTTTTATTAGTTTCAACAACAAATGCAATTTTAGTTTTTTTTTGTTTAAAGATCATTAGCATTTCAAATAAAGAGGTATCACCTGAAATGAATAGGACTGGTTTTACAAGGTTATCTAATTCAGATATCTTTCTTTTAGTTAATTCCATATCAATTAATTATTTGGATCTAATGGTGCCAATGATGTTTTCCTTCTAATTTTCATAGATGGTGACATATGAATAACCAGAGGATGCTATTCTTGCTAAAGTCTCTTTATTGAGTTCATTGTTTTTGTTGACAGAAAAAACATCCTTTATAGGGACCATAACTTATCCAACAGTCTTATCTCTCAAATCAATAGTGGATGTAATCATATTAATTTCTGCCTAAGTGAATCCTTAATCCTCATTTGCATGATCACCTCCAGTAGCGTGCTTCTGTATTCCGTGCAACTCTATTAAAGCCTTTAATTCATTCTTCTAGAATCTAGTAGACCCATGCTCTCCAAAATAGGAATCCAAAAGTTTGGCCAATGGATAGCTGATTGGCCAGAATAGAATCATTAATATTTTAACTATTGGTGTCAATTTCTCAGCAATAACTAATTGTTTTGGTCCAGTGCATAATGCTTAAGGTATGATCTCTCCAGCAAAGATAATAAAGATGACTGAGATTAGTACTGCAAAAGCTGGAGGAACAACTTTATCAAAAAATATTGGGAGTGATTCCATGCAGAATGCATTCCCTATAAGCAATGTGCAAAGAAGCATATGATGTTATTTAATAATTGGCAGGATAACATTGGCTTGTCTTTGTTACTCATGTGTTCCTTATTCTTTATATATTTCTAATTGCAATTCATCCACTGATAAATAACCAACAGTCATTCCAGAGCAAATAGCTGCCAAACAGATTAAAGCTAATATATTGGAAATATATAAAAACTTGCAGCGATGAGTAAACAAATCCAAAAATCAATTTCCATCGGGTTATATGTTCTCCTTGCATTTCTGTGTTCCTCCTAATGTTATTGATCAGTTTGATTGTTAATTGTTTCATCCTCTTATAAAAATCTTCTGTTTTGAATTAGATTTTCAACATTATGAAATACTACAAATATTAACAAAGTTATTGATATTGAACTAATTAAGAATTTATTTTTATCAAACATTAATTAATGAAAAGTTAATTAGGTGAAATAAGAATGAGTCCAAGGTATATTAAAAATATGATGATGTTCAAATCCTTCTTGACAAGTTATAATTTAATATAATCTTCTTAGAAACTCAACCTACAATCAATCCAGTAATGTTGAGAATTTATGGAAAATTGAATGCTGAAAGGGAGATCATTAATAACCAAGAAGTTAAACAAAAACATAACACTCCAAGGAAGTTAACTAAAAGGCCAAAAATGAATTCAGATGATAAAGTGTTATTCTTAATCCAAAAGGATTTTGAAAGAGAGACAAAATAAATTAAAAAACTAGGAAATCGTACTGCAAGAACAGAAGAGCTACAGAAATCCATCCATAACCAAATAATAAACAAGAATTCTAACTCAATCTCAAGTTTGATCAATTAAGAATTTGATGTAAAATTAGCACCATCATATTATGAATTATTGAATACAATCTAACCAGAAATGAATTTCAAAAGTAAATTAACGTTAAGGGAACCTTTGAGTAAAGCAAAGGCCCTGTTATCTTAAACAGAAGAGAAAAAGAGAATTTATGAATCTTAAATCAGACATTAAAGAGATTTCTTTAGATAACCAACTTTAACTGATCTCCCTTCTTTAACAAAGAAAAGAACTACAATCAAGACCCTATTTGAAGATCCAAGGAATAAATTTCAAGCCAACCAATTTATAAATAGTATCAGCTAACATTGTAAGTCAGAAAGTACTGAATGTTGTAAAATACTACATTAATGTTCCAAAGCCTAAGGGAAATTCAATAGTCATTATGAAGAACTTCTGGATAATTACTTCACATAAATGTGAACATCATGAGTCTAGTTCAATCTATTTACTCTTTGTTATTATTAAATTAAATTCTTTACGTTATTTCAAAATTCAATGAAAAATATTTATTCATTTTTTTGTAATCTCTTCTTAGACTCTTTTTGTATGTTCAGAAATGGGTCTTAATAACTCAAATATATATATAATATTTTCATTTTAATTATCTTCTAATATATCACTAATATTATTATTTCTAATAGAGGTGTCCATTAGTTGAAGAGATTTATGGGAAATCTTAATAATAAATAGATTGATTTAATTTTCATAGATCAGGAGCATGACTACTAATAGAAGTATGTATAATAATCAATAATATTAAACTAATTCATCATAACGTTACGATTGATTCCAAGGTTGGAGGACTGATTATTAAATAAATGGTGTTAGAATCGATTATTGGATTGGTTACTGAGTTTGTTATTATACGAAACCATACTATGGGAATTATTACTATTAATATTGGATTCTGGATGGAGCATTAGAAATGGCTTGATTTTTTAGTACAGTTTCATATTTTTGTAATTGTCTAATAAATCCAACGTTTGGATGAACTTGTCTCCTTTTAGACTTAACATTCCAAAGTGCTTTTTCGAATGATAAATTATATTTTTTCATTAGATAGGCTGTAACCATTGATGCAGATCTACTTATACCTGCAAAGCAATGTACGAAAACATTTGTGTATTTCCTATGTCTATCAATAAATTCATAGGCCTATTCAAAGTGTTAAATGATATCGTAATCTGCTTTATCATGAGCCATTATAATTTCATGAAAATGAACAACGTGTTCTTAGTATTTTACTGCAGTCTCTTGACTTGCTGTCAATACTGCCCTGATTTTCAATTTTCTTAGTAGATCAATATTATTGGCCGCTTCCAAATTACCTAAATATAAGCCTCCCTCTTCTTCACCTAAAATTGTCAATTGATTTATTTACTAGGTTCAATAATACAAGTTATTGGTTCAGGATCAACTATTTTAGGCACTGATGGAACATATTTAACACTATTATTTTCAAACATTATTTAACTGATAATTTAATTTAATATTATAATAGTAATCCTGCTATTTTAACTTATTTTTGGATTTAGACACCATAATGAATATTTAATTTTTTAAAATATAAGTTTAAATGATTCAATAATCACTATATGTCCACATATTTAAATCCTCTTTATACACCTAACCTAAATATCTACCTAACAGATAGGAAGTATCTCTGGAGACTGAATTCTTAGTTGCATACATTGCTATTGCACTGTTAGTAGTAAGAATAGATTCTATTATAGCTCTGTTCTCAAAAATTGGAGTAGAATATGATAAATTAGGTTGATTAAGAGAAAGTGAAGAGGAAGACATTTAGAAATAAGAAAATAACCTAATTGAAATTGTTTGATGGAAATATTTTAATAATAAAATGTTTAATGATATGTTTACTTTGAAAGCCAAAACTATTCAATCATTTAAGCGAAATCTTAAAATTATTGATATTATAAAAAGATTTTATATATATTTAATTTTTAATTTTTTGTTTTAATGCAAGACTCTTAAATATCAGAAGTAATCACATAACTAGATTGTATTAAAAAGAAAATTCACAAAATTAAGACTCATAATGAAAAATTTCAAAATAACGTGAAATTGTGTCCATTCCCTCCAGGATTCCGTAATACATCTCAAAATCTGACTCCCATCATGCTTCAAATACCCATAACATCATTAAATAACAAAGAGACCATTTTGGAGGAACTTATTTTATGGGATTTTGAAGATGATTATTCAGATGAATAATTATTCAGAAATCTCTTTACTCTAGTAACGGATCTATTAGAAGAAAAATACCCTAACAGAGTGAGAAAACTTACAGCTTAAGAAACTTAAAGTAGCCATTTTGCTAATTATCTTAGAAATTATTGATGACTGCTTATCTTAGATTAAATAGGCCATTGAAGATCATAAACAATTGAAACATATATCAGATATATTGGTCTTTGAATCCTATATTGATAAAAACGATTCTATGATCAATTTATAGATATCAACATCTAAAGTCAATGAAACTATACAATGGGATTTAGACAATGCTTTTTAATAGTACTTATTTAATATTACCATTTAGCATTGATGAATTTGTAAATACCTATTGCTATGAAAATAAATTAGGTTAAGAAAATATTGTTTAAATTGGAAATTAAATTAGAGAATAAATATAAAAAGCATTTGAAAAAAGGTATAACTTAATATCAAATTTAATTTTGGAGGATAGATAAGGTAAAAATATTTATTAATAATTTAGATTTTAAGTAGAAATTGCTTTCTCTCTTGGATTACCCCTCTTTTGAACCATATTAGTCTATTAAAGAAACCCCAACTAATAATGAGTTGAATGCTTTCTTTAAGAAAAACCTTGATTTGTTACCCTCTGAATTACAAATACTATACGGGCAAAGGCCTATATAAAAACAATTGTATGATTTTCTTTAATATCTCTATAGGAACGATATGTATGTTGATTAAGAAGATACTAAAAAGTTTGAAAAAGAGCTTAATTAGAAATCAAAATACTTTGATAAAACTATAGTTTAGGATTTGCTCAATAGAACTAAATAAACTTGATGTAGATATTAGTAATTTTATGTTTATTAATTAAACCAATTTAATTAAACTGAAATAATCCATTAAGAATGCAAAATTGAAATTGTCATAAAATTAAATAATTTTCAGGTAAATTTATTAATATACTACGAATTCAACTCTATTTTAGATGAATTCTTAAGATTTTCAAAAATATTGTCTTAACATTATAGGATATCATTTCATTAGACGTAAGGATTCTTCTTTTAAGAACTCATTGATAATTATTATTTAATCCTACGTTTTTAGTTATTGTATTATGTCAAATTTCTGATAAAGGAGAAAAAGGTTTAGTTAAATTTTGGTAATTGAACTTCTAATATATTGTTTCCTATTTTAATAATCATCCATATCAATATCAAATAAATCTTAACAGTCATATTAGGTATTATATTTATATTTCTTTAGGATTTCTTATTAATTATTTTTTGTTTAATTATGTAAGATTAATATAAATATAAAGAATATATTCACCTCATTGAACTTAAAACTATATTCCAATATTATTAAGATAAAATAAAACAATAATCAGATCTATTTATTATATATTTTATTAAGAATTTAAGTTAATTATTAAATAACTTTATTTGGCTAAAAACACAAAATGTTTAAAAATACTTCAATAATCATCTAAGATCCTCAGTATATTTTTTGTTAATAGAAAATAGCCCTCAATAAATTAGTTTATGATTTTGTATAATTTAAAGGATAAATTTAATGTTTAAACTAATTAGAATAAAAAAATCTGATTTATGGGTATTTTATTGAATGTATAAGTAATCAAAAACAAATGAAAAAGGATACTATAGAAATAATTGAAAAACTAAGATTTCATCTTAGTGAAATTAAATACTTTGGTTATTTCTTTGAGATCGATCTATTAATCAGAAGGAAATATATTATGATGATACACATTGACGACTATAATTTGTAAAATTTTGATTCATATCCTGAATCAGGATGTTCAACATCAAATATAATTAAGTGATATAACACAGCACCTAAATTATATTAACAATTATGGGAATTGATTTGTAATGAATAAATACAAATTGATCTCACTTATATTCTTAACATGCGTCAATCTGAACATACTTTTCATTTTCTTTATTAGCCAATTAGCATGCCCATTAAACTATATTTCTTTCAATCATTTCATGAGCTTTAGATTCAAATTTATCGTTTACAGTAACCCAAGGAACATACGTCAATTTTGGGTCTAAACTCAGAGTCTCGACTCCATTTCTCCATAATAATTCTATTCCTTATGTACCATTGGCACATTCTATAATTCCTTACCATAAATCAGGGAGACATTATTTAATTTCAGATTCAAAGTCTTCTTTTTATCTTTTTCTTGTTTTTTAAATACAAGTTAAAAATCTAAGTTGTTCAGTTTAAGAGGAGAGAACATTAAATCCACAAGCCTATAATTTATTTCCAAAACATTCTAAATCTCCATGTTAGCATTTGAAAATAATAGAGCCATTGCTTTATTCATTTTATGAAGCCTTTCCATAAGGAACAAATTTAAGTTCGACTAATTCATCAAATGATGGTGTTTTTAATGCCTTTAATAAAGATGATTAGATAAATCTGGTAGTATCAGGACATAATGATTCAACTAAAATGATAGGCAACTAGTAATACTATACAATGAAATCTTAATCTTATCACAATGTGAGATTTAAAGCGTTGAAATTAATAACAATAGAAAAATTCTCATCTTTAATTATAAAAATAATTGATTATGTCAGAGTACCAAAATATTGTTATTGCGAACAATTAACAATTAAAATGAATTAGAAATGGATATTTAACATTTAAAAATTGGAGTATATATAATATAAAGTTAAATATTGTATCAACGAAAAGGAAAGATAATTCAGTTTAAGATGTTAATTTGAAATATTTGTTTCATATTCAATATAAATAGGAGTATTGCTATTAGGCAACAATTTTGAAACATTCGATTATTTTAAATAATCTTGTATTCTATTCAATTCATAAGTCCATGCTTTAAAGCTGTTTCTACTTCTGTAATTTCATAAAAAAGAAATTAATATAAATTATCACTTTTTGACTAGTTGCCATAGCTAAAATGAAAACTTGAGTATTTTTTCTTATAATTTTTGTTAATATGAATGTAGTTAATTATCATTTGCCAGCTTGGTTTACAAATTATCATTTAAGTAAATAATTTGCAAAAAATTGAGTTTCACTTGTAATTCTATTAAACCTATAATTTATATATTAAGTAAAATACATTATCAGAAATTTAAGGTAACTAAAGGGATAAACAGAAATACCAATGAATTCCGCATTACGTAATAACACAATACGCATTAATTAAATCTACTTATGCACAGATGTAAAATCAAAAAAACATAACTATTTTTATTAAAAAATGAAATAAACTAAAAGAGCGGCAAAATATTAAAAAAAACCCTCTAAGGAATTGAAGAACTATATTATAGTTCTCTTAAAATTAAAAATCAAAAGGCCTTCATAAATAGCAAGAGAATATGGCATACCTAAGTCGACCGTTTCTTCTTATGTAAAGGCTAAAGGACCCATGTATAAACCACTGGAGGATTAAATCTTTTATAGATTAAAAAGAAGGTTGGTTATGGGTTTTTAGACTTTATCTAATTATAAATGTGATCGACTGGTATTGAAGGATATTAAGTTTTACCTTGAAAATGAAGAATTCTTTTAGTTCACGGATACCAATCCTTTCTTAAGATTGATTCCGCCTACTAAATAGGATTCTTAAAGATCAAGACCTTTTAGAAGGGTTCTGGATTTAGGCTTAGCTTATTTTAAATACTTATAAGCAACTTATCCACCTGATATATCTCAGACATAATTAGATGAATTAATTATGAAAGAAGGCTAAGAACCTTAAGAAGGTGAAGAGCCTTAAGTTGAAAATGATTTGTATGAAGGAAAGGAGTAATTAAAGGAAGAAAATTAGAATTAAATTCCAACAGAACAATAGATAGACTCCTTTTTCTTTTTTGGAAACTTAGACTCATACTCTTAATTCTCAACTAATTTTTGATTAAATGAGATATGTATATATAATGGTTTTTATATAATTTTCTATAAATATTCTAATTTTCAAATCCTATTAATATTCTAAAATTTATATAAAAATTATATATTTTTGGTTATAAAAATATAATGAGTGAAGAAGAGTAATAATTATAATCTGGAAGTGGAATAAAATAAGAAGCAGCCATAAAACATCGAAGAAAGAAGGAGGAGATAGAGAAAGATTTCATTTGCGGCGATCCAAATTGTGGCAGAAAGTATGGGACTAATGCTGCCTTGTATACTCATATAAAAAATAAACATAATGGTGTACCACCTGTAATAGATTTGGATTTTAATTAGATAGACTGGAACTGTCAAACCTTCTACATCCAAAAAGACTAAGGAATAAACTCCTATGATTGATTAAGTGGATGATGAAATAAGCAAATCAGTGGCTACTATGAATGATCCTGATTTTATGAAGTTCACTATAATGATTAGCAATTTGGGTCATTTCAATGATAAAAACATCATTGTTAGAGACGCTCAAGAGCCTTGTTTTTAATTGGAGGAAGAGAAGTTGTTGGATTTATATGAAAAAGTAAAATAAAAATATAAATGTAGATTTTGAAAGGAAGTAAATTAATCTCAGAAACTGAAGGCAATTCTGTATTTACTAAAAAAGCAGAGATGTATTTGAAATTTTCATCTCCCATCTGGAAAAAGCATATAATAAATGAATTATATACTGTTTTGATATATGCTTACATTTTCAGAGGAGAAAATTTTGATAGTAAAAATTATTTATACGTTAAGCTATTGAAAAAGATATAACAAGTAACTTGGCTAATTATAAATTGTTTTCAGAATTGATTAAACAAGACAAAGTTGATTAATTTAGAGAAGTATACACTACAATCTGGAATTTCATCACATGAATAAAATTGTATAAATATAAAAATTATTACAAATAATATCAATTATGTATCTTAAGAAGGTGAAACCAATCTATAAGGAATATATTTTCGATAAATGGAACTTGGAAATAGGATAAGATCTAAAAATTAGAATCCTCTGTTTAATAGTAATCTGAATGATGAAGTTATAAATTAGGGAGAAAAAGTATAAAGATTGAATGAAACTTAAGATACGCTAAATAATTTCTTTATATAAGCATTTTTAGATCTTTAAAATTGAAAAATTCTCATAAAAGCTTAAAGCCTAAGGTAGTAAATAAATCTTTTAAATAACAAATTACTTTTTTGATTATATTTAATTAACATTTAGAATGAATACTGTCATTTAGAATTATTGTTTAGTGGAATTACTAAAAGATACTGGGTTAAAATATTATAAATCTTAATTATTTAAATTAGCAAATCAAGTATAACAAGCATAAGCAATACGTTTATTTTAAAGAGAGCCAAATAGAATAAATTATTCGATTTTAAATTAGAAATAACAAAAAATAGATACAAAAGAGGTTACAATAAATAATTCCATTATAATAATTTTTTGTTAATTTAAAAGCTGATTGCCAACCTTAATTATCTCAATCGTGCTAAAGGACATATTCCTCTAAACTATTGTAAAAAAATTTAGATATTTTAGAAAACTAATGAAAAACGTTATGCAAAATTTGACTGTTAGAGAATTCTGATAAAAAATATCAAAAATAAATTGGATAACAAATTGTTTTGTTAAAAGCTTTCGAAAATAATTAAGATTGATTTTAGTTGAAAGAGGAAATGTTTAAAAGAAGAAGATTTAGATTATGAAGTCATTAGAACTCCTCAATAGTATGATGAGTATCTAACTTTCATTTTTTAATTTATTTTATCTTATTCGATTAATTTTTGTTGTAAATCAAAATTAAAAGTAATAATTAATCATTTCAAACTAAATATCTCTATCATTTCAACATTCCAATTAGTTGATCTACCTGCTAAAATACATTCACTATCAAGTTCTGAATATACATCATAAGATTGACCCAAATTTGAGGAAGAATTTTTGATATTCTCAAAGTCAATCAGCAAATCCTTGCAATCCTTGCCAAATCCAATCTTCGAATGGCCTAGATATAAGGAATACCTAATGCACTCTTCCTTAGGGTAGAATTTCATAGGCTAACTTAGATTAAAATTCATACAGGTATTTGATATATATTATTTAACGAGAAAATGTAGCAGTCTTTCGCATTATTATAGCCATTAGTTGGTTAATCTACATTATAATAAAAACCAAATTTGCTTTGATTTGTTGTATAGATAAAACCAAGAACTTTATTTTATTTAGGCATGTAAAATTTCTAACCTAATCTGTAAATTAATGTAGCATCGTCTAATTATGGCAAAAATGAAATAAACATATTGGATTGATTTATTTTCTCCTAGGAATCCTTAAGGTTTTCTTTATTTGCATTATTCTGATTTTTTTTAGTATTAATAATCTATGAACATACACTTTAATTAGTTTTCTTAACAATCCGTTTCCCAAAATTCTTAATCTCTTCTGTTAAAATTTTAATATTTCCAAAATCCATAATTTTATCATCTTCGTATTATTCGAATTATACAAATGGCTATTATTTCAATCTATTATAATCACTATTTTTCTTAATTATATTTAGTCTTGATTCACAGTCTTAGTAATAATCCAATTTTTTTTACAATATCTCAGTTAGATTATTCTGTAATGAATTCTATTTCTCTTAAAGCAAATTAATCAACTCCCCTATTTAATGCTCAATGAATTGCTTCATGTATATTTACTAATTATGAATGAATGAGATGCTTCTTTGACAGACTTTTATTAACTCATCAACTTTTTTTTTATTTTACTACTAATTCTACCCTTGTAGTCTTTTATTACAAGACTAACAAGGTTCTAAAGCTCCTTTTCTACTGTTTTCATCACAACTATAAGATTTACCTTCAAAATCTCGATTAACTGCCCTTTAATTTATACAAACTGTGCATAAATTATCCATTTAGTTTATTTTATAATATGATTATAAATGCTAACTTCTTCAAATTAGTTTAATGTTTTTGTATATGCTGATTAATTGAAATAAAAAGAATAAATAAATAAGAGTACTTTTCAATTTAAAATTCAAAAAAATAAGGAATATTTTGTTGAGGTCTGCTTTACAACAAGATTAATTTTACAATTTCATTGCATTAGAGTGTTAAATACTATAAATTTAGAATATAGTAACTTTTTTAATTGAATAAAATAGACTAGATTATATCCTTAAATTTTTAAGGATAAAGCAGTTTAGATACAAAAAATGATATGATTAATATTAGTAGTGCAGAATTAATAATATAAATGAAATTTTGAATTAATTTTACTAATTAATCAATATAAATAAGTACAAAAAGATTTTGATCAATCAGAAAATTTCCTAACTTTTTAGATTTAACCTTCACGATTAGTTGTTGTTTGATCAAAATTAATGTAGTTTTCTTAATATTGGGATAGATCGTTTAAATTGATTATATCCTTAATGTTTGCTCTATTTGTTACTCCTCTTTCAGATGGAGACACATTCTAAGTCATAGCAGTTTATAAATTCGAAACATTTTATTTGTTTTATGTTTGTTGAATATTTAGAGTTTTATGTTCAAAAGATTAAAGAGGCAAATTCTAGATTTAAAAATGAAATTATTTTGAATATAATGGATTATCTTTTTATTTATCTTAAATCTTCAATTCAACCTATCTTTAATCCTATAATCTTTCAAAATCTTACTCAGGAGATCTATGATATTATTTTTTTATTTTATTCATCTCAACATATCCAATACCATTCTTGATTATGCCTTTATTTTCTAAGGGAGATTAACTGCTCATTAACTTTTGTTTTTTTGAAACTTTATCATCTTTAGGGCTTTATATTTGTTTTTTATTCATATTTTAATTTTATTCCTTTTTTTTATCTGCCAATCTTGGAGATTTGCAATTCTATAAATTCTCTTCTTTATGAGTCTTTTGTTTACATTTGAACTCCTTATTATCTCGTAATAGTCGATCAAATTATTATCTCGTTGATTCTTTTTATTATCCTTAAGATTGTGGAATTTAAGCTTATGGAGAGGCTGAATGATGGAATTTTGATTTTTTTACTTGCTATTATTACTATATTATAATTTGATTGTTCTAAAGATTATTATTATTCTATTATTATTAATTTGGACTATTAGTATGCTATTAATGATTAACCGAATTTAATTTCTTATTTGAATGTAGTTATGTATATCCAAAGTGTTGATGAGATTCAATTGGGATTTATTGTTGAAATATTTGATAATTTTGAGGTTATGTCTGTTTTAATAATTTATTCTAAGAAAACCCTGTAGGAGAAGTTATTAGATGTTATATTTAAGGTTATTAATTCTAATTTACTGTTTTGATTGTACCAAAAGATTGTTAATTAATTACGCGCTGATTAAGGTTTTGCTAACTTGATTAGACTTAAGATACCTGCTTTAAATTTGGTCCTACTAGGTATTTTTCTGATTAATTATTATACTGAGAATTAACATTTTGATTATAAAATTGAAAGTCAATGAATGTTGATGAATGATCGGATGACCAGAATCTGTTATTTTATAAGTATGATTTTTCATCAATTTCACCTTCATTTTATTTCAATTCAGCAAAGTTTTAACTAATTGAGAGAGAGTTATTTTCAGCTAATTCTTCATCTGAAAAGTTTTCAGTCTTCTCATTTTTAATTTATTACCCATTTGATCTTTTATATTAATGATTAATTTGCTTTTATAATTGTAATTAGTCCTCTTTTAATTAGTAAAGCTTTGTGTTATTTTTGTCCTACTTAAATAATGATAAATATTTTGTTGAATTTGATCCTTATTTTTAGTCAATTTCATAATCTTCAATTACAAGCTTATTTTAGTTCCATTATTAATTTAAAGTAACTTATCCTATTATTTTAGATTAAGGAGTAATTTCCGATGATTTAGTTGGATGATCAATAATTCTTATAAATTCTTATTTGTTTAGAATCGAAAATGGTTTAGATTAAAGATATTCTCTCTAAAGCAATTCCTAAGTGATATGTTCATAAGAAAAAGGATTCATTGTAATACTTGATACTTTGAAACTTATACTGCTCAACTAAAATGATAACTAATCAAGCATTGATGTTAGGCTTAAACATTAATCGATTTCAGTTCTATTATTGACTAATCTTCTGTTTGGACCTTTTAATGTTATCTGAAGAGCATCTTATTTTATAATTACACTTGTCTGACTTTATCCCATTCTGATGATTAAAAATTATATTATTTTATAATTACAATTCATTCATCTTCTTATCTTACTCTTCCCCTTGTCAATCTTTGTACAAATTAATCGTTGTTTTCTTCGATCTAAAATTTGGATGATGCTGCTCGTTCTCTAGTGAATTCCAATCCATCATCACTAAAAGAGATATGAGTTTTATTTACTTAAATGTATTTTCTTTAAGCCTATAATTAAATGCGTAAGGAACAATAAAACAAGGAAACAATTATGTCGTTGTGAATATTAAGATCAAGATATTATTTTTGACATCTAATATATCGTCTTTCTCAAAATCACATAACAGATCTCTGTCACTCCAAAAAAGTATTATAATTATGATAATGTAGAGTATCGTATTAATTGCAATTGAAAATACAACAACTTATATTTAACGAATCTTTTCTTTGGGCAGATCAGCTTCAATGTTGGGGTGAACAAATTGTTAGGAGATATCATTCTTATTTGAAGAGAATCGATTTCTTGCATAAACCAAAACTTTTTTCAATTTTCTACCATAATAGACAATTATAGACATCGTTATCAACACATCTACTATGGTCAATATAATAACAATATAGAAAAAGCTATTTATGATCTCAATTTTTACATATTGCAAACACTTGTTTTTGTTAGGGAAATACAAATTATCTATAAAATAAAGATTATTATGTAGGTTATTTCCTTACGTTAGAGTCTTCTCTTATAAAAAATTGTAAATTTAACTATCAAATTAATTTTAGATTATACTATCATCTGTAGATATTTTCTTAAAAACTAGAGAAAATGTGTATCCAACAAGTGAAAAAATGACTATTTATGCTAGATTTGCTAATAATGTTAAATGATTTTCGTTTAATATTGAAAACTAAATTACGTGAATTACTCCTTATAAAATACATATCAACATAGGCAATAATTCATAAACAAATTTATTCGCGTTCCTGTAGGTTTTAAAGCAAAAGTATGATGAGATTAGAATGATTAAAATAGATCCAATAAATGAGATTATGTATCTCGTGCAAGTAAATTAGTAATCTCCATTTTTCTATATTTAAGTGCAATAATTATAAATTGGGTACTTATTCATTCGATATAAATTTTATATTAATTTTTTTGTATAAGGTACTAATCGTAAAGTTCAATATATGATTATTATATTGTAAATTTGGTTTATTTGAATCATATGAAGAATATTCTTATTGTTTTAAAATAAAAACATTGTATTTAATTATTATTTTATGGGCTGCCTGTTTTTCAAAAGTGCTGTTGACAACTTACAACCTCCAAAAAAATCCTTTTTTGAGTTTCAGTTGAAAGACATCGACGGAGTAGACACTTCTTTGTCCAAATTCAAAGGTAAAAAAGTTATAATCTGTGTTAATGTTGCATGTTCATGTGGCTTAACGTCTGGTAATTATAGTGAATTAGTTGCTTTATACAAAAAATACAGGTAAATTCTTGATCTATAAACAAGCGCCTAAGGATTGGAAATTCTAGGCTTCCCTTGTAATTAATTTATGAATTAGGAATCAAAACCTGAACCAGAAATTAAGGAATTTGTTATCCAAAAATACGGAGTATCATTTCCATTATTTTAGTAAAAATATTTATGTCATATCTAGAAAAATTGAAGTAAACGGACCAAACACTCATGAATTATATTAATTTTTGAGATTGAATTCGAATAACTTAAGAGTGAGCGAAACCTCAGCTCGATAAGTTCCATGGAATTTTGGAAAATTTCTTCTTGATAGCTAGGGAAACGTTGTCGCTTTTTTCTAGCCAACCTAAAAGCCAAACGAAATGATAGCTCATATAGAAAAATTGTTGAGTTAATGATTTATTATAATGAGTCATTAATGATAAATATTTAGATTCGTCATAATTAATAAAAAAGTTATCTTTTTCATGAGTTGTTTTTAAATTAAACATAAATTGGAATTAAATACTTTCTTAACCAACTTAATAAATGAGAATAAACAAATTAATTTTTTAATTTCATTCCGACATCTCATTAAAATTAAACAATATCCTATTTGGATTATAAATTAATGAGAATAATTGTATTTAAAGAACGCTATTAATAAAAAAGAGCTTGTATAGACAGGCATAAATAATTATTCAACTTCAAATCAATAAAAATAAGTTAATTAATTATTGGATATAATCAATCCATCTATCAGATTTTTAGTAATCTTATATTAATTTTTACCATTTTTTGAATCTCGAGCTTTTTTTCAGCTCTATCTAAAAACCGATTGTATTAGGACTAATTAAGTAACTGAGATAATTGAATAAACATTTATTAATAATTAAAAGCAAAATCAATATTAAATTGTATTATTTTTAATAGTCTGGGTAATTAGGAGCTCTCCTACAGATTCAATTAACATAGAGTATCGAGATACTAAATTTAATCAGAGAACTTCCATAATTATTTTTTTATATAGCATAAAATAATAAATAAATAATATAAAATAGAAAATCTATTAAAAAACAGTATTCAGATAAATTTGGTATTTCTAGCATCGTAATAGTTAAAATTTATAGTTTATTGGGCTTAAAATTTTTGTGGTTCTATAAAACTAGTTGTCTTTTTGTGTGATTAGTAATTTTAAACTTAACAACATTTTTATAATAGCTTCTAAACTTAGGCAATATTGTTAGTGAGATTATCTATATAAATTAAAATAATTAAATACTTTAAGGAATAAATTTTGGTTTTGATGCCTCTGTTTTCTATCTTTGATAAGGACTTGTTGGATTGATATTCAAAGGTGATTTTTCAAAAGACTTACTTCTTTAGGCTTGATTAATCAAAACAGGTTCTTTATTTTTGAACTAATCTTTTTACTAAGAGAAACTTTGAGCAGTGGCATAATTAGATGACTATTAAACTTAGATAGGTCTAGCATAACAAGCAGATGTATTTTGTTTGTTTTCACTTTTATTTTAAGTAATGAAACTTGAATTGTTGCTTCTTTTATCATAGGGTTCACCATAAAACGAATAAGATTTTGTGACATTAGTTATGCTACTTTCTGTTTTCTTTTTTAGATCTGGACTCTTGCTCACATCACATGTGCCCTTACTATGAGTGGATGTTTTCTTCATACTAGAATTGTTATTTTGATATTGATTCTAATTCGATGAAAATCTTTATTGGAGCTAACCATAAGTAATGTTTTAAGGATTTGATGGCATAGTTTATTTTGGTTAAGGAGAATGATCTGATCTCTTTTGAAATTATTATATGTTTGTTTTATCGTTTGATCCCTCATATTTAACAGATTATCCCTCATATTTAACAGATTAATCTATTCTCTTGGGCTTTTCAACAGGTTGGGAGAACTGATGAGTTGACACATTTTGCTTGTTCTTATTATCATGTTGTGACATATAAGTTGAAAAACTTTGAGGAGTGGTGATATATTATTTTGGTTAGTTTTTGTCAAATATATTTTATTGAATCTCTTAAAGAATTTGTTCACAATTTAAGGTAATCTTATCTCTATAATCTTTGATTGTTAACTTTTTATTTTCATTAAAAGGGATCTTAATATTTTATTTTAAAGTTTTCTCTTCTTCTGTATTTGCAAATTCCATCATTATTTAATGTTTTAATGCTTCTTCTATCTTCATTCTTTTTAATGGGTTCCAATCAAGACATTGTCTGATAAAATCAATAAAATCAGGAGTAGCATTAGGGAAGAATCCAGCAAAACTCTTTCGTTTTTACATTGATATTCCATCTAAAACTTGTGAAGCTAATGGTGCATTCATTTGTTCTAAATCTTCTTATTTTGGTCTTCCAATTAATTCTATGATCTTTTCAATTTAATTCAAAGTGGATGCTCCTGAAAATATAGCTTTTCCTAATATCATTTCTCCAAGAATACATCCAACACTCCACATATCAACAGATTTTGAATAAGAATGGGACCCTAATAATATTTCAGGTGCTCTGTACCATCTTGTTGCAACGTACTCAGTCATTATTGGTAATTCTGATTTAATAAATATAATTAATAAATACCATTCAAATTTTCTGATTTTCCCACACTTCTAGCCAATCCGAAATCTGCAACTTTCACTTTGCAATCCGAATCTATCAATAAATTTGACGGTTTCAAATCTCTATGTATCAATTCTCCTGAATGAATGAACTTCAAGCATTTTAACAACTAATAAATTATGTACTGCATATGTAAAGGTTTTAGTAATCCTGCCCTAATCACTTTATGTAAATCAGTCTCCATATACTCAAAAACCATATATAAATCTTTCTAGTTTTCTGCTGGTATAACTTTTAATAATTTAACTATATTTTCATGTTCCGTTAATTATTATAAAAAACACACTTCTCTAAATGTTCTCTAGGCATCTGTCGAGTTTTAAAATGCATCAAACACCTAAAATCAAATCTCATAGTTATAACCTTTTTTAATGCTACTTATTGTTTTGTTTATTTATCAGTAGCTTTCCAGACAATCCCATATGCACCTTTACCCTTAAAATCATGAATATCATATAATTTAAGAATATGTTCCTCTACGTTTGAATGTTGGTCATTTTAGTTAGACATTAAAATATATTTATTAACTTTAATTATTTATGTTACTTATTCCTTAATTTGTTGATAATATCACTTCTAATCAATATTTAAACAATATCATTTGAACATATCAAAAGTATTGGATATGTAGAAATGAATACATCAACAAAATAATATCATAGAACTCCTGAATAATTTTTTGATAGATTTTAGGATTAGATACAAAATTGAATTCAAGATTCAAGATTAATAAAAAGAAAATCATTTATGAAAAATATTCTAATTTCAAAAATTTATATGGTTTATAAAAATGCGCATCCCAACAAACAATTATTTGAAAATCATCATAAATTCGTGTCTGTAAAACTTTGTTTTTTTAATTATTTCATCAGCAACTATTTTTATCAATTCTTCTTATTCTATTTAAGAAAATCCTTCAAGCAAAGACTCGGCCAATCCTTAATGAATTACTATCCTATGCTACAGAGTTGGATAGAGTTTGAAAATAACTGTAATTTATTGTTTTGGATATGAAATTAATTATTTATTTATATTAACATAAAATAAAGAGTAAATTTAGAATAATAAATTTCTATAAATAATATTAATTTTTGTATAAAAAAATTTATTTATTCATATAATATCTTTAAATATATTATTTCTGAATCTAATTGATAATCTAAAACTATAAAAATATAAAAATCAAATTTTCATATATTTATTAAAATCAGAAACAATTTCAATTACAGATCAATAATCTTTCGAAACTGGAATTTTATGGTTGTATATAAATTTAATGTTCAAAAATATTAAGGATACTTTTTTTCCATATTTCTGTCTACATCTATAATTTTCCAGGAAGGATTATCTCCAAGGTAAATCTCCTTTTCATTATAAACTAATAATGATTTTATGGTTTTAAAAAGACTTTTTAGCTCCTCTTAATCTTTAAGTACCATAAATCTTACGTAATGAAAGTTTTCAGGTTCATACTAATCAATTTTCAAATATATATACTTCTATGTCTGATATCTTTAAGGCGAATTTAGACTTTATAAAAGCTCCAAAAGAAAAACAATTCAAAAGTTCATTTTTTTCACTATGAAGTTAGGTAAATTTTGGAAATTTTCCAACTGTTTCTACTTCTGACTAAGCTATTCAAATACTTTTACATGATCATATAAAGAGATTCCTCGATCAACATTCACAAAAAAGTTCATATCTGAGAAGTATATTTCTTCTTATATCTCAGGATTCACCATTTTTTCAATTTTTAATTATTCCCTCTTAATTCTGGAAACACCTTCAATAAATTCATCTGCTAATTTTTTATCACAAACCTATTGAGCATATATATTAAAATCATCTTCTAAAATGGAGTCAATAAAATTGTTATATGCAAAGATAAATTAATCCTTGGAGACATCAAATTCAGTTAATTTTATTTTTATTGTTTGATGATGTTGAATATATTGTTAAATATTCTAATATCCCTTTGGATTGTATGGAAAGAAAGAGCTTGAAAAGTAGTTTTTCAAGTTTTGGCAAAGCTTAATCATTAAATTAATTATCAATATACATATAGACTTGAAATATAATTAAAATCATTCATCTATTTCATTTATTGTGGCATTCCAATTAATATCAGTTTTATTTTTGGTTTTATTAATAAATTCTGGATCATATTAATTTAAGGGGTATTGGACAACATTCTTTTTTACCATTGACTTCTTTGAATTTATTTTATTTTTGATAGACTCAACTAAATTTTTAAATTTTTAAATCAAGTCCGCAATCTAATTTGCAGCTTCTATATGTTTGATTTCATTCAAAATTTCATGCGAAATATTTTTTTTAGTTAGATTATTTGACATATATCTGGAGGTATTGACTAATTTATTTAAGGGTCGACTAATTCGAACAGCAATTAGATAAGTGAAAATAAATACAATAGATATTGTTAGAATAGTTGATGATACATTTATGAATATTATAACTGTCTCTTCTCTTTACATGATACTGCTGATTAAAGTAAATGTAGTAAGGAGTTGTTCATTCAAAACATACAAATACACATAAAAATCGATGTTCTAATTTGTATTGTTGATAAATGAACTTAACTAATATGAGTCATACTTCCCTGAAAAGGGTAATTGAATTAAACTATAAGTTTAATTCTGTACTTCTATTTAGTTTGCTTAATTTGTAGGTATTCTAGTTAAATTAAAACCAGAGAAATTATAATGATCATAAATTTTTTGAATAGACGTTTGATAACTAATATTCCATTCTGTTGGACAATAGATCAAAGTGCCACTAAAATCAGTAATGGCCAACATAGTTGACTGATAATAGTTAATATCAAAAAATAACACTTCAATTGATGATAATGTAAATTCAATGGTGAAATCTAATAATGAGTTAAACATGATATTATTACATATGGAAAAGTTTTTAAAAGTTGTCTATTATTGGAGATTCATCATTATTTAACTATCATTAGTTGGATTGATATAGGGGCCAGCCAATTAGATTTCTTTGTGTTTTTTCTTATTGATAAAGTATTTTTAAATCTTGCTAGCAGGATAAATCATGTAGATTTCTACCTATTCAACAGGGTTATATATTAAAATAGAAAACCTCTAATTTAGGATTATTTATTACTTCTATTTTCTGTCTTACTGATTCCACAAAGAGAAATGGTAAGTAATTCTTGTAATTAGTCAAATAGCCTAATATGTATTGGGTTTATTAATTCAAATTATAAAGTTATTTTGTATTTTGTTGAGCAAAGAAGCATACTTCTAGGTAATTTTATTGAGTTAATACTTGGCAAGTTTAATAGGAACTAGAGGATTTAAATTGCATTAAAGGGTTGAATAATTGCGGAAAGATCTACACCGCATTTTACAATTATTGTGATAGGTAATATAGATGAGATTGAANCTTGAAATATAATTAAAATCATTCATCTATTTCATTTATTGTGGCATTCCAATTAATATCAGTTTTATTTTTGGTTTTATTAATAAATTCTGGATCATATTAATTTAAGGGGTATTGGACAACATTCTTTTTTACCATTGACTTCTTTGAATTTATTTTATTTTTGATAGACTCAACTAAATTTTTAAATTTTTAAATCAAGTCCGCAATCTAATTTGCAGCTTCTATATGTTTGATTTCATTCAAAATTTCATGCGAAATATTTTTTTTAGTTAGATTATTTGACATATATCTGGAGGTATTGACTAATTTATTTAAGGGTCGACTAATTCGAACAGCAATTAGATAAGTGAAAATAAATACAATAGATATTGTTAGAATAGTTGATGATACATTTATGAATATTATAACTGTCTCTTCTCTTTACATGATACTGCTGATTAAAGTAAATGTAGTAAGGAGTTGTTCATTCAAAACATACAAATACACATAAAAATCGATGTTCTAATTTGTATTGTTGATAAATGAACTTAACTAATATGAGTCATACTTCCCTGAAAAGGGTAATTGAATTAAACTATAAGTTTAATTCTGTACTTCTATTTAGTTTGCTTAATTTGTAGGTATTCTAGTTAAATTAAAACCAGAGAAATTATAATGATCATAAATTTTTTGAATAGACGTTTGATAACTAATATTCCATTCTGTTGGACAATAGATCAAAGTGCCACTAAAATCAGTAATGGCCAACATAGTTGACTGATAATAGTTAATATCAAAAAATAACACTTCAATTGATGATAATGTAAATTCAATGGTGAAATCTAATAATGAGTTAAACATGATATTATTACATATGGAAAAGTTTTTAAAAGTTGTCTATTATTGGAGATTCATCATTATTTAACTATCATTAGTTGGATTGATATAGGGGCCAGCCAATTAGATTTCTTTGTGTTTTTTCTTATTGATAAAGTATTTTTAAATCTTGCTAGCAGGATAAATCATGTAGATTTCTACCTATTCAACAGGGTTATATATTAAAATAGAAAACCTCTAATTTAGGATTATTTATTACTTCTATTTTCTGTCTTACTGATTCCACAAAGAGAAATGGTAAGTAATTCTTGTAATTAGTCAAATAGCCTAATATGTATTGGGTTTATTAATTCAAATTATAAAGTTATTTTGTATTTTGTTGAGCAAAGAAGCATACTTCTAGGTAATTTTATTGAGTTAATACTTGGCAAGTTTAATAGGAACTAGAGGATTTAAATTGCATTAAAGGGTTGAATAATTGCGGAAAGATCTACACCGCATTTTACAATTATTGTGATAGGTAATATAGATGAGATTGAAAGCCAAGACCGATTTAATTTGCAACTTACAAAAATTGATTGTTTGAATGAGTTTTCACTTTGTCAAAAATTTATGAATTTGTTTGGTTGATCATGTATTCGATATTTCCAAATATGACACTTATTAATATAAATTGAAGTAATATGGTTGTGCATAAGAAGGAAAACATTAATTGTCTTCTGATTGGCCATTCACGATAATTGCATCTTTTATTTATTTTTATTTTATTTTTCATTTTGTGTTTAAAATTAATTGGAATATGTTCATGCTTAAACAAATAAATGATCAGGTTTAATTGATTTATTAGATACAATATTATTAAATTTAAAGCAAGGTAAAGGAAAAGAGAGAATGAATAAATATTATTATATTAATAAAAATTAATAATAAAGCAATATGAATCATTGTTTAGAGGATACAAACTAATCGTCATCCATATATTTATAGACAGTTAATTCTTTAAAGAATTCAATAAAATATTAGAATTTCATTAGCAAAACTAAATTAACAGTTAATGAAATTAAAAATATCATAAAATGGTATGATTTGAAAAGAAATCAAAGAATAATTCGATAGGTAACATAGCCTGATTAGAATAATGAATTTTAGAAATAAATCATTTAATAAGGAATAGCAATAACTTAAATGTAGTAGCAAATAAATAAATAAACTATTGAAATGGAAAATTTGAAGAAAACCATATTCTAAAGAGGAAACGAAAAGTAGAATGGGATTCATTAAAAATCCAAGTCCTCCAATGATGATTTTTTAGATAAATAAATAAATTTTCTGAATAAACAATAAAACATAAATTTTCAACATTTTGATAAGGACCTAGAAAATTAGATTAAAACACTAATATAATAAGAGTTCGAAAAAATATACAAGTTGTTATCTAAATAACTGAAAAGTGATATTAATGATATTGTGTATTAAAGTATCTAGGAATAAATATTTGTGAGTAATAATAACTCTCCAAAGCCAGACACTTTAAGAAAATATTCATAAACAAAACAGTAATCAGAAGATTCTTAATAAAATATCAATATAATTGTTGAATGTTTAAATGAATAAATAGATGAATATGCAAATAATAATTATAATTTTGATTAACTAAAATCAAAACTCAAATGTCTCAAATTAAAATAAATTAACTTGCTTTATGAAGATTTAAACAATTAATACTAATAGAATTCACTTAAAGATTACTTTATAGGTCCTTTAGAAAAATTGAAATAATTTTCATTCAATTTTAATTAATCGAAGCTTTTAGAATATGTAAATGGATTACGGAGAGCGAGAGAGGATAGCAATAACTTCTATGCAGTTTTTGGTTATTAATATTTGGACATCATATTAACACATGCTGATGATCAAAATTTTGAAACATTTATGGAGAACATAAAAGGGATTCCATTTGATTTATTCAATAATTAATCTGCATTCACAAAAGAAGAGTAATAAGAATTAAAAGAGATATTTTGTTATAGATGTATAGAGTTGAGATAGATTGAAATATCATAACGATCAACTGAACTTTGGCATCAAATCAGCGACAACAATAATAGTTTCTATGGATTGACAATGATATTCATTCGAAATTTAATCTAACAAATAGTACAATAATCAGAATTGAAAGATCATATTAATGCTCAGGATTCAGAATAAATGATTAATCAAATATTGGAATGGAATACTCCATGTCCTGAAGCAGAATTTATTATGGAAGTCCTTTCACATGAATTAGAATTGTATTATATTTAATTTATGAGTTTAGATGTATAATATTATTTTATTTAAAAGAAGAATAATAAGAATTTTCATTAAGGATATTTGGAGATGAATAAAATTATCAGCTTTATATGTTATAACATAGCAATGAATTTTATTCAATCGGAATTAAAGAGTAAACTTGACAACCCATAATTTTTTATTGCAATTTTGTTACTAATATTAAATTACTTATTAATAAAGTATAATAAAATATATAGATATATCAACTGATGATAAAAAAGTATAAAGTTATTTGAATTTTACATGTAACCAATATACTGCCTTCCTGCTGAAATTTTTTATTATTAAATAATTTTTTTTAAAAATGACATCAGACTAAAACCTTGATTATTTTACAACAGATTTGTATGTTATGGGTGATAATAAAGAGACTTAATGTGGTATTGATAACTAGGATTATGTATATAAATTAACAAAAATTAATCTGCCAATGGTAATAAGAGAAATAGCATGCGGATTGGAACATAGTTTATTAGTGACAAGTAATATAGATATCATTCATATTTCAGATGAAGGGTTGGTTTATGCTTTTGGTTCAAATTCGAAGGGATAATTAGGGGTGCAAAATATTTCTGTTGCATGTTCTCCCATTTTAGTTTAGGGAATAAGCGAATTGAATTGCATAAAGATAGCAGCTGGAGAATACCATTCTTGCTTGTTGACAGGTATAAATCATGCATTAATAAAGAGATGAAAACCAAGCTTATTAGTGGGGAAATAATATTGTTAAACCCTAATTCATAAGATAGGCTTCCAATATTAAATGTGGTTTGAATTTCACAATCTTTTAAGACGATTCCCTATATCTATATAAAAACTAAGTCTTATAGCCTTTGAAAATAAAATCCTAAATCTCAGAATTTGCTTGTTCTGCATATAACTTGTTTTATTTGGATAATAATAATACTTTATATTTGCATCCAGAAACCAAGTTAATCGATCACGTATTTAATATATTTAGTGGTTACCATCTATCATTATTGACAGATGAAAATAAGTTGTATTATTATTTAGATAAACAATTAATTTAAGTTAATGTCTAACCTAATAAAATAGATAGTTCATTTGGAAAAGAGTGGGCCATTGTTTTGGATGATAATAATAAAGCTATTATAATAAACTTAAAAAATTAACAATAAAAGTAATAAGAATTTGTGTTTCATTCAATAAGTAGTGGTGTAAATCATCTTATCTTGATTGGGAATATTACAAAAGGGTAGATATAGAATCAAGAGTTAGAGGAATCGGTATAGATTGGGGAAGATGAAGAAGAGGATGATTCTATTTTGGAAGGAGATGGCATGAGTCCAATTATCACCCAAAAAACCTAATAAGATGTAAATTGTAGAATAATCCATAGTAACTTATGAATACTTAGTAAAATAATACTTTTTCATTTTCGATTAGGAAGGACCTCTAATTGTTTAATAGCATTAAAGCAAATCATAAAGAGACATAGACTGATGATAATTTATACAATAAATTGAAAAATGAAAATGAAGAATTAAGAACAATACTGTTACAACAAAGAAAGAATTTAGAGATATAAATCTAATTTTAAAAGACATTACAAGATTAGATGAGTCGATTAACATAAGAAAATCACATGCTGAAATTAGGATAAAATAAAAATCAGTTGTTGAACTTGATCAAATAGAAGGAGCAAAACCTAAAAAATTTGATTGATGAATTTTACTAAAAGTAAAGGGAATTCCTATAGAATAAGAAATGAAGTTCTTTGTTTATGTTTATATAATGTATTGTATTCATAGATTCTTTTTAAAAAATTCTTTAAATTCCTACAAGGACATTTAGTCATGAAGTACTCCACAAAATTTTAATACATCTAATATAAATATGTAATAATGTTACTTTAGATTTCTTCTTCGCTGGTATTGTCTTTAAACTTTGAGAAGACCTTCCTTATTTTCTTTGAATCGATGGTACCACTTTTATCAAAATCAAAGACAGAGAAGGCACTTTCGAGTAATTCATCATGTTAATCTTTATTAGACATACATTCATTGTATAATTCCTGAAAATCTGAAAAGTGCATTGTAGTTTTATTATTTGGGAAATATCTACGTTCAAATCATTATTATACTTTAATTCTGTAACTGAAACGTAGGTTGGTGATTTGGGTGAAGAATCCTTTTGCACTTCTTCAAAATTATCAGTAGAACTAATTTTTTTGACCAGTTTTCTACCATGTTAATATGGTACGCTAATCTATTATTAATCTTGATTTATAGTTTCCAATTCTTTGATTAATTAGTTCATCTATTAAATGTTGATTTCATCTGAGTTTTCTTATGAGAAAAGTTGAAATATTTATTTTAATTCTTATTAGTTGGCTGATTATTGCTGCATGTTGTAATCTGTAATTAATATTATTATTAAAAATATTAATAAATTGTTTGTTAATTATGTCGTTATTCTCAAATACTAACATGAGTCATGTCTTTACTTACAATTCGAACAAGCTTTTTATTGGGAATATAAGGAGTCCCACAATCAATATGAGGGCAGTCCTCTCAGTAATTGAAACACCAATATCCTCGAATACTAATCATTTTCATAAATAGATTCCAGCAACTGATGAAGTTGAATTTAAATTGAATCGTTACTTTGATGAAGGAGCTGATTTCATTCACAATCATTTGAAATATGGTAATGTTTTAGTTCATTGTTATGCTGGCATATCTAGATCTGCATCCTTGGTAGTGGCTTATTTAATCAAATACCACAATTACACTACCCTGACTGCTATTAAATTCTTACAGAAATCCAGACCAATCATAGAACCAAATGATGGTAATTATTTCTTTTATAAAACTAGGATTTATTGCTTAACTGAAAGAATATGAAAACCGAGGAAAAACAGTAAGGTCATATCTAACCAAGGAATCAAAATAAGAGAAATAAGACGAGATCAAACCGTATCATAGACCAGTCAAATCATTTCTATCATCAAGAATGAAGACTTTATTTTGAATGATCATTTTACTTTTTATATATATAAAATGTATATAAATGATAAAATAAAAGAAAATGTAGCCTTATTTGTTTAGTTTTTTGCAATTATAATAATTATAGGGTTCAATAAGTATACAAGGATTGGAACCTTATATACTCTCATTTCAAGTTGTAATCAATCTTCCGTTTCAGAAAGACAATTCAAATAGATAGAGAAAATCACATTTTTATATAATTGAATTGAACTATCAGTATAACTTATAATCATATGAGAATTAGTTATTTTTGTTTTATTCGCAAGAAGGATTCCAAATAAAGTAAATATAATAAATGTATCTAATGAAAATTATTATATAATTTATAAGCTAAATAGAGGAAGAATTTTTTAACTTGTCAGATTCAATAAAAAAATTGTCTTTGATTTAAAACAGCAGGGTTATTAGAGATTATAAAAATAATAAATTATGTTTCTAGTCCGAACAACCAAATATTATATTAAGTCTAATATTCGGTGAAAAGAACAGAATCTTATATTATTCTTTTGTTATAGCATACTATTATTTATAATAATAAGCTGGTAAATAAGAATAATAATTCAATAATAATTTAATATATAATTTTGCTCCTACTATGAAATAATATTATGGGAACTATTCTAGTTTATTTTTAAAATAATTATGCAATTAATTAATTATAAATATTGATGATTTCTATTTCTGACATTGAGACAATAAATAAGTTTATTCTTGAAGCTAATGGAACCCTTGAAAGCATACAGAAGGCTTTCGTGAGAAAATTTTCATAAGAATATGGTCCTTATCTCTACTTTTATCAAGGGCTTTGCGATAACGTACATGAATTAGATGATTTTGTTTTTAGATATTCACAAAAGGATAAAGACTCCTAATTATTTACTTGTTATATAATTCTGAATTGAGACAGTGTTTAACAGATATTTCAAGTTATAGCTAAAATTAATTTGAAAAGAAATTCGTCCAAGATCCATAATTTGTAATGCATTATATTAAGACTTATAAGATAGTATGCTGGCCTTACAATAAAGACCCTTTTAGAAGAATAAGATAAGTTGGCTATGAATGATAAACAATTAAATAAAGAATCCATGCCTTAGAATTCATCAAATAAATTGAGAAATTGTATATCCATAAATAGTAATCCGCCTTAGTAAAATATTCAAAATTAAAATTTAGAAAATTGCTCTAACAATAACATTTGGACAGGTTATCCCAAAAATAAAATGGATTTGACATCGAATTCTTAAGATTGATTCCAAATATCGTTTAGACTCGATTGGATTGGATTGATTTCTATTAAACTCATGATGTTCAATGGGATTACTCATTGTAGATTAATTCGGACAAGTTGAGTCAGATTAAGGAAATCATGCAGAAGGCCCATATAGAATAATTGTCCGAGTAAGAATTGAAGGTATGATGTTCGATTGATTTAATAAGTAATTTCAGGAGTATTTGAAGAAAGACAATAATAATTTACTTAAAAATAGTGGATTGCTGAATTTCAATTTGAGTGACTTGATTGAGAAGAACTTAAATCTTGCCTTTTTCCTATTTTCTAAACATTTTCCGAATGCTGAATTTCTGGAGTATGAATATTTTAATAGAAATAGTTTAATGGATGCTATGATGACAATTGATATTACACCAAATGCTTTAGAGATTATGTGCATGCTAATATAATAATTTCATATTCCCCAAGAATACCTTAATTATTATGTGAATTATTGTATATAATTCTGCTCAAATATAAAAGTACTTCTAAATATTTAAAGAATAGGAAAAAGGACAGTAAGTAAAAATGATCAAATATTTGACAATTTTCCTCAAACATCTGATCAATAAAAAGATGTTGAAGACCTATGAGCTGTAGACAGAGGTATGAAAAAATAATGATGAATTTAGTTGCAAGCCTTTTCCATTGAATTTTCTAATATAGGAGAAACATCAAGTCTATTCAAATTGATAAAGAATGATTAATAATAATGATATGTATTATCAAGTTAAAAACTATTTAAAGGATCAATTCTTTTATTGATTAACACAATAAGGTATATTAGATACATTAGAATGTTTTACAAAACATATTATTGATTCTCTAGTTTCTGCTTATAATTAAATTAGAGTAAGTAGGTGACATGCTAAAATAACATAAAATCTAAGAAATTCTTATTAAGTTTTAATAAAGTGAATTAGAATTATTATTATATCTAAGTGCTGGAAAAACTATTTAGGAATTCTTAACTGATCTTTACTATCTTTGCACTTAAATTTGCAACTTCAACTTCTTTTCATACTTCTTCTTTTTCTCATTAAATTTAGCTATATCTATTTAATGAAATTTTCATCCTCAAATTGATTGATTAAGTTTTATCTTCTACATTAAAACCCTGAAAATGTTTGTGTGTTGAAATGAACAATATAATCATTATGGTGTTGAATTTAAGTGTTAATATAATGTTTTTTGATGAGCCTAATTTGAAATTATTGAATTATATAATATTAAATACAATATTAATAATGGATCAACCTATGGTAAGTCCGAGAAATGTCACTGAGGGACATGATGTGTCTAATTTGATTACGTTTCGGTATTCAACAGATTAATATTGTACAATATTTGTGATTAAAATTTCAGTATTGAATACGTAAAGAAATGAAGGGATTAATAGAGTGAAATAAAAAATTTTGGATTCAGATGATAGGGCTATACTGGATGCAGGGTAAAATAATGAGGAAGAGGAACCATCAATAAGTTCATCAGAATCTGAGCAAAGTGTCAGCAAAAAAGGATCTGAGACTATGAAATTAGGATCATAAAGTAAGGTTGAACATGCTGAAAGATAGTATAAAACTGAAGATTTGTCCCCTGTTGATGGAGGTTGGACGAACATCATATGGAAGAGGGGTTCGTTGAGAATTATGACATATGTGGTCAGATTCGTGATTTCTATTCTAATAAATTCAGAAAAATCTAAGTTTTCATTCATGAATCGAAAGTAATTCAATGCCATAAATGATGTAACAGGGGTTTATCAATTTTATGAGGAGAATAAGCTAATAAGATAGAGGATTAAAAAGAAATTTAAAGTAATGTTATGACTTAAAATAATAGCAAATTGTTAAATCCTACATTTAAAACAATATCTGTTATAAAGTTATAAGAAATGGGTTGGAGACCTTCGTTAATAAATGTCTTTTTGTAATAGACCCCTCAAGCACCATTAAGATATTATGGGATTTCTTTATGTTGTTTGTGTTATCGTGGTAGATGGTCTTTGTTCCACTGAAGATTTGCTTTTTTATTCACATAGAAGATCCTATTTTGAACTTCATCTTAAATTATTTGCCAGTCTACGTATATTTGATGGAGATTGTCCTAACATTCTTGACAGGCTATTACGAGCATGGAGTGTTAATTATGGATTAAAAGTAGGTAGCCAAACATTACTTCAAGAAATCCTTTTTTTATGATTTATTAAATGTATTGCCATTATTGGTCAGTGCATATTATGTGTAATCCAATTGGTTAGAGTTTTCAGTCTTGGTTAAGATAAAGACATTGAAATTTCTATCCGATTAATTAGAAGAAGTATTTGGATTGAGAACTAATTATTAAACTTTGATAGATGTCTTGAGATTGATGATACAATTTATATTTTTGTCTCATCTTTTTGGTTGTTTTTGGCATTATTTGGGAATCCTACAAGGAGATTATGGGTAAGATTTACTTGAATAACTTGTAGAATAACCAATACTTGGATAAATGCTTTGGAGTTGTAAGATGACAGTTGGCAGATTAGATACATTAACTCAATATATTGGAGTTCTATAACAACATTGACAATTGGATATGGTGACATTACACCTTAGAGCAGTGTTGAGAAGATCTTCACAGTAGGAGTAGCTGTTTTCAGTAGTGTCGTATTTGCATACACGATCTCAAGCATAGGGTTGATCTTCAGTCAATTGAATGAAAATAAGAAGAATCAAAGATATAAAATGAATTTGATTTAGTAATTCATAGGTTAAAGAGGAGTTAATAAACAATTATAGAATAAAGTCAAGAAATTCTATGAGTATTTTATTCAAATAGATCATTCCTAAGACAGTGAATGCGAATTGTTACTTGACTCATTGGAACCCTCATTAAAGAATGAATTGAAAATAGACTTATACAAAAAATACATCATGAAATCCAAGCTGTTTAAATCCACCTTCTCACCAGAGTATTTATTCTACCTTATATGATTAGTTTCTTAGATTCCCTTTGTTAGTTAGTTTAAGAGAGGCAATACACACCAGACGAATAGATATGTGCAACTGATACTGAAGTTGAGGAATTGTGTTTTGTTTTAAAGGGTGAAATATCTTTGTAGATTCAATTGAATAATTGTAATTAAACAATAACATTCATTATGTAGAATTTGGTAAAACGCATTAAGTTAGTCTCTTAAAAAAAAATCACATCTTAGGAGAACGATTCTTCATCACTGGCGATAGATATCCATATTCAGGTAAGGCTATTTCAACTGTACGAGTTGCCTTCATTAAAAAAACATAATTTCTCAACCTATTGAAATAGAACCCTTAAGAATATGAGAAATTCTTGGAAGCCAAAAGCAAGGTTATATTAAAGGAGAGAGTAAAAGTCCAAGGATGCGAACTATGCTATTAAAACCATCAAGTTTTACAATGTCCCTTTGTGTTCTATTACCCAAATGTTAGAGTCATCGTCAAAAGGTAAGAAAACATCACCTAAAAACGATAGTTTAAATAAAGATCGTATGTAAAAAGTCATGTAAATTTATAAATAGTATTTAGAAATCACTCCAAGATAGAGGAGGCATTTAATATTAACTGATCTCTTATGCTTTGGATACAAATTTAATGCAGGAGGAATCCCTTGACGAATCATTAATTAAAAATATGGGCTTGCAATTCATAGAGCCAACAAAAAAATAGTTAAATAAACTACATAGTGACACTTCGGCTGATCCACAATTGCAGGATTAACCACATCCCTTTCAGAATCTAACACCCTTGCGTCCTAGTTGTGAATAATTTAGTGAAGGCAGTGAGGGAGGCACCAGCAAAACTAACAAAACTTCAAATAATGGATTACAAAAGTTGATTACACTCAGATAAATTTCATAACAAAGTCAAAATCAATAGATCCAACCAAAGAAAATAGACAAATATAAATAGATGAGTTTCAAGGTAAAAAAGAATGAATTTCGTCCTCCTGAAATTGTGGAATTATAAAAGATTGAAGAAATCCAGTCTTTCGAATCACCATAATGTTCAGCTTAAAAAACGAATCAATAAAATGTATTCTTTACTTTAAATGATAATTCTATTACTACTGAATTAGAAATCAAAAGAACCTTGTGGGAAGAATATGTGCAGTCTTAAATAATTGAAGATAAAGAAAGGTTTGATTAATAAAAGGATTATCAATTTTTTTATCCTAATTTCAACTTAGAGAAAGTGTTAGATTTAATTAATATCAAAGTAAATGAAAGAAAAAAGAAAACCTAAAAGTCAAGACTAACAACATTAGGCAAGAATCGATTAGGCTAGTTACAAAACATATCTGTTAGGCCTAGAAAAAGTATGATTACCATTGAATAAGCATTTTCATAAGAAGATGAGAGATAAAAAAGTCTTAAATTATGATAACTAAAAATTTATGTAAACTACCATCAAACTCAAGTATCTAAACAATCTGCATCATAATTATAGGATCCAAATTGTTAATTCCATTTTAAGTAATCTTTTAAATCATTTTGATTAACTGTGGGCTTCACAATTTGAAGAGCTCTCTTAAAATCCTCTATCGTAGTAGCTCTAATCTAATCCAATTTCAAATTTTTTATCGTATACATTTTAGCAGCATCTCTAATTGCATACATACAAGCCTATTGAAGTTTAAGAACATTTTACTTCTCTGCTTAAATTTCTAATATCAGCTCCTGAGTATCCCTTAGTCAAATCTACCAAAGTTTGCATTTCTGAAGTATTCATTTCTATCCTCTTGCCTTCTTTTGCTTCTTTAATAATTAAGTTTTCAAAGTATGATTGTCTCCCCTCCTTATTAGGCAAAGGTATATATATCTTTTTCTAAAATCTCCTTTTGATTGCATCGTCTAATTCTTAAGGTCTATTTGTAGCCCCTATAAAAACTATTCTTTCACATCCTCCTCTGGTAGCTCCTTCTAATTGAACCATAAATTCTGTTTTGATTTATCTACTTGTTTCATTGTCCTTCTCGGATCTAGCACATAAAAGAGAATCGATTTCATCAAAAAATATTACACTGGGTTATCTCTAAGCAGCCAATGCAAACAAGGCTCTCACAGTTTTTTCACCTTCTCCCACATATTTAGATGTTAAGGTGGAAGCTTTAATAGAAAAGAAAGTAGCCTTGCCTTCACTAGCTATGGCCTTACCTATCATAGTCTTTCCTGTTCCTGGTGGCCCAAATAACAATAATCCACTGCCTGGTGCAATTATGCCTTCGAATAATTTTGGATTCTCCAAAGGCCACAAGGCTATTTCAACTACTTGATCTCTTACATGATCTAAACCAACTATATCTGTCCATTGAGTTGGTCTATCCATGATTTCTATGATATCAGATTCAATTTTATTAATTATATTATCTTCGAAGTTAGTCTAATTTGACTATTTTTCATTCTTTTATGCTAATTATTCTTATTTACTCTTGTCACCTACTTTAGTTGGTGGTTAAAATCTTTTTTTTGGCATTAATTAATTAGCTTAGACAAAACCAAATTATTGTTAATTAGACGCTTGAGGCTATTATACTTGATTTTAGCATAGCTAAGGTTATGGAGGTTATTCCGCTTTAATTTCTTACTTCTTTATATTGGCAGGGATGTTTAATTTGATAAATTCAGCTCTATTTGTTAGAAATAATTTCATTTATGCATAATTAATGCACTTTAGATCTAAATGAACCTTGAGGAGTGATTGTTTATTTTTTTAATTTTTCAAAAATGCTTCAGTCTATTCTTAGATAATAGTAATTACTTTAGTTACTTAAATTTAGAAAATTCTAATTTCTTGCTTCTTATTTAGTAATCATTTCAAAATTAATATAAATATTTATTATATATAATATCAAATAAACAATTACTACTACTAACATGTGAATTAGTAAAATGAATTATTCTCTTGTTTAGTATTCAATTTCCAGTCATTAAGTTCAGGTTGTTCCTGTTTTCTACTCTCCAATATAATCACAGGAATTTAGCAGACAACTGGAATAGCCAAAGAAGTTAGCAATCCATCCTATAATATATAATATAAGTTTATTACTGCAAATGCTTAAACTTATAAGATGTAATGATTTTTAATAAATTACATTTTAACTGTTGCAGTCAAATCATCAGATAGTGTAATTGAAGACTTTAAGCCATCACTTCTCTTCCCTGCAGATATGCCAGGCAAGACATTTGAATATAATGTGTTATTTTCAATGACTCTCTCATTTTCATCATCATCAGTAAAACTTAAGAAATGATTTAATTTAACTTCCACTTTAGTTATGGATCTTTATGATCTAGTAGTGTTTAAAATGTATTCCAATTCAAGGACTTCTCCTGGCTTATAAAGATTCTTTGCAGTTCTGATACCTAGTTCTATCATACCTCTATGAAGACAAAAAAACTAAACTATGTTTCCTTCGCTCTCTCTTTTCTACTCAGTCAATTTATATCTGCTATTAATGTAAATGGGAACGCTCTTTTGGACTATGACTTAATTTGATTGCAAATCGATGATCTTCAAGTAGATTTTATATTAGATTTTAGCTTATTGCAATCCTATATCAATTATTCAAATCATACCATCTTAATTTCGATATAAAAAACTTGAATTCATCCCAAATTTGGTTGGTACTTAAAACGGCAATTTGTAATCCCCACTTTTTATAATTCCTCTATAGAGATCTTAGATATGAACATAATCTTCATTGACTCCATATTTTCTCGTAATTTAGAGCATAGTTCCATTTTGCAGTTCATATTTTTTTTTAGGATTAATTTGAATCGGTTTAAAATTTCTGGGTGAATCTATTGTTAGTTAGATTTGCTTATTTTTTTCCAATAATTTCTCTGGAATCATTTGAGGATTGTTTACATCATAAGGAATCAAATATAATTTTATATTTTACTTATCGTTTGTGTAAAATTTTGGAATGCTCTATTGCGACAAATATTAGTTAAACATTGGCTTGCTGAATATCATCAATCACTCTCACATAACAGATCCCATCAATATTTTCACCAGCAATCGACACTGGCTTCTTTATTGAAAATAATATTTCATTTGAAATCATGTGCGACGAAAATGTATGAATGATTTTATTAATAAATGAATTAAGCTGAAAATAATTCGTATTCAATTTTTTAGTATTGTCATAATTAACTATTTTGAATTAATTAAATTAACAGTTAATTAAATGAGCTACTCTTAAGAGTTCTCTCCTTTGTCTATGAAAGAAGAGATATTTTTTTAAAATGAGACAGAATCTACCTCCTTAGAATAACAATTGCAAATTGCTAATGAAAAAGTCATATAACTTATGCAATATTAATAACAATTAAGGTATATTTACCTCAGTATCCCAGTGAAGAACTAGAGCATTTACATTATAAATATAGAGAGACATAACAAGAGAATGAGATGCTCTCAAATTAATTGCACTAAGGTCCAGATGAAGCTAAATTTCTTAATTGCGTTCTCGACATGGTTCGTGTGTGCCACCCTCAGGACAAACCAATTACTTTGAAATATGCCTGGAAATGGTTGAAATATGTTGTTGACGATTACATTGAATTAAGAAAAAGAACCAAAAGTTCAAATACGTAAAGCGAAGTATTCAAAAATCCAAAAAAAAACTCTATTGTTGTTGGTGATTTACTAAGAAAGAATTGCCAAGTAGCTGAAAGCTAGTATATAAAGAATTCAAAATGCCATAATTGATAGTTAATATGTATTTTTTTGTTGCTTAAAAATAACAATAGATTATACTATATAAATTATTTGGTTTAGTAAGGATGAAAGCCATAAAGAAATAACACAGTAGCAATCATCCTATCCTAAAAAATCACAATTCCCATCACAAAAAAAGGAATTAAGCTAGGGAGAAAAGTTTAGAACGAAATTATAACATCGTAGAGATGAACTCAGACACAAGAGAAAGAAAAGAGATTAGGCCATCTCAGTTGATCAAATTCAATCTTTAAAATGGATTATTATCAATAGGACAAAGAAATGGCAGATATTATCAATTAGACCAATTAAGTGATGAAAGTCATATAAGCTTCAGTTGATTAAGATAAATTAAGAGATGCCTTTACTGAGATGTAGGAATAGAAATAGAATAATGGACAAATTAGTTAAATGTATTAATAGTATAAGGTGGGTGATTAAGATGAGATTAATAAATTATATGGGAAGTATGAATAATAAGTGTGTAATTCTTAACCTAAAGAATAAAAATAAGAATAATTTGTTACATTGCTATAATAATTATTCAGTGAAGAGATAATCATAAGAATTTTATAAATATATCCTTTTAATATTAAAAAATTCGATAAAAAATTAGAAATTTTATCCAAATTCAAAAAATATACTAAAAAGTTATCTTACTTGATTTTAATAGAAATAATAGTAATAATAATAATAATAATAATAATAAATGAATATTCAGATAAATTGGCTATGTTAGAATGATAATTACATAGAAAGAATCATATAAATTATTTATTTAGTGATTTAAACTTAGATAATTCTTCTATTTAATATATACATAATGAATGTGAGATTATAAATTAAAAAATTCTATAAATTTTAAATATTGTCTTCAAAAATAGTTAATTTTATAGAATTAATATTATCTAGAAAACTTATTTAGTGGAACTGTTATGGTAATGCTAATATTTTCTTAAAATCATCCTTTTTTATTATATAATCTTGTATATTCAAGATGCTCATCAATTTTGATCTAATAATATACTCATCTTATTTATTTATTAAAATAAGTTTAGAAAAATATTAATTAATATAACTTGCTCATATTCTAATTTATAGTAGATAATTATATAAGATGCTAAATACTCAGAATTTTGTTTATGATTATGAGTTTTTGTTCAATATTTCAACATGATTAATATATTAGCAAAGGGTAGAATTAAAAAAATGAAAATAATCTAAACTATTTCAAGTTAGAATGAAATTAGGAGATTTGTGATAAAGTTTAAGTGAAATATGGTTTTATATAACAATTAAAGTTTTATAAAAGAATGCTTTGATTATATTAATTTATATAAAATATGAAAATAGAAGTCCATATCAAGGATAAACAATTTGCAATAAATTGTGGAGATGGATTACAAAAGGTCAAATGGTTAGGAGATGTCGCCATTTTTAGACACAGCCATTTCTATTCCTAAATAAACTCTACGACAAAAGGAATTAAATTAGAAAATGGAGAAATGGTTGATTTGAATGCTATAATAAGTAGCACTTTAGCAGAAAACACTCACGTTTGGGTTGTTCTAAAAGGTATTTTTCTAATTTGAATATTTTTAGAGGATTTAGAGGCAATGGGTATGGATACAAAATAGCAGCAACAATAACATAAGAGACCAATAACTGCTGTAAGCAGAAGAAAATGAAGTTTTTAATTGTTTTTACTAATAAATTTAATTCCAAATATTTTATATGTACCTTTATTTGTTCTCTTTTTTATATGTTGTGTATTCTATAAATTATGTACTCAACACAGATGAATTAAAAGTACTTATCAGTTATAACTGAATAGATTCTGGAGGATTATGCTAATGGGATTGAAAAATATGATAAACAGAAGGAAAAGTTGGTAATTTAGAGTGTTGGTTTACTTGGTAATGATGAGGAGATAATCTAAATTACCAGCTTATTTACTCCTTTTGATAATTAATAGAGAGTAGATATATTAACCAAAAAAGCATAGAATATTTACACAATATATACATTATATTATGCTAAATAAGTAAAATATGTAATTTATTTTAGTAAAGTTCAGAACTTAAGTTTGATAAGGTGGAACTAAAAGGTGTTGAAAAATGTACATCCTTAACATATGTATAGAATTAATTTATAGTTGATTGCACAATTAACACAATTCTTTTTGTTTTATAGAATGGAACTTAGATATCATAAGACTATAATAAAAATGTTTAATTCACCCAAATCTTAGGGTTCTATGATGGATTATTAGGATTATCTCCAGGATATTTAAGCTTTTTTGATGAATAGCTATAACTGGAAAGATAGATATTGGCCAATTATATTTAAGTAATAAAGGATGAAAAAAATGTTTATTTATTAAATGAGCACTAAGTATTTTAATATACCTAAGATGGTAATGTAATAGAGTATAATCATAAATGCGAAAATAAACCAGAATTTATGGCAGTATTAGGTAATACATTTTACATTTAATGCGGTACATTAAGGACGGTAAGTCAGAATGAAGTTGAAGTATTTTCTATGAGAGTATCACATCTATTTGCAACCAATCAATATATCATTATAAATAACACCAGTATTTACAATTAAGATTTGGATTCTTGTTATTATTTTTCAAATGGCTAGTTATATCCAATAAACTATGATGATGATGTTATTCAGATAGTCAATAACCAAATATAAGTTGGTTCAATTAAAGGATACTATTTAATTTAATCGGATTAGTTAGCCTAATTCAACTTATCTTTAGATTAATTTTATGTTGTCGACAAAGGATTATAAGTTTTGAATTCAGGCAATTCTGCCTATTTTGGAAATAAATACTAAGTAGTAAATTATGTTGCTGGGCCTTATGTAGAGATTCAGGAGCAGGGAGTCTTAGATTAACCACTTTAATTGAACATAGAAAAATAGATTAAAGATAAACAATTGTTGACATTAGTAAACTATTTAGATGAATCAATATTCTTGATCTATTTACAAAATGCATAGCTATTCTCATAGAAATGTCTCATTGATTAATTATAGCTGAAATGTCAAAAGGAAATGCTCTTTTAATAGAATTCCCCACCAGACATAGAAAATGTCTAAGGGACTGTTTTTGGAATTCAAATGATAGTTGCATATCAATCTCAGGAGACAGTATACATCTATTTAGACGGCATATTATTAGATTCAATAAATAAAGTCACTACTTTTTAGCTGTACTAAAATTTTATAGTTATCCTAAAAGAAAATGAAGTAACTATAAAATATATCATTGATAACAAATTGCATGAAGATGCTTAAATGAATATCACTTGCATTATGGTTGCTATTTATTTTAATGAAATTGCACTGGTTGATGAGAGAAATAATCTTATTATAGTTAGTGATTCTAATAGTGGTTGGTATTATTCATTTTCACAATCATTTCAAGATTTAATAACTGAAGTAAATTATGTTAATTCTCAATTGATTGTATCAACTGAGAAATAAGCATATATTTATGAGAATAGAATATTAAGAGGAAAATTAGATTTAGATATAATTACGAATGGAAATTATTTATAAACTCAAACTCACTTGTACATTTATAATACCACGAAAATATTTTAATTTTAAATATTCTCCGACTTTTCCTTATCAAGTTGGCCATAATAGATAATAAATTGTTAGATTTAAAAACATTTTTTAGTAATGACATTTAAGTAGAGCGAATTATTACTAATAGATAATATTCTATTTGTTTATAGTTAAATTTTATAGTTTACACCTAATACTATTGTAGAAAGAAATTCTTATTCAAGATTCAGTACTTCTAAAATCAATTTCAGAAATTATTAAAACAAATCTGTTGCTGTGAAAGTCAAAACAATTGGGAATATTTTGAAATTACGGTCTTTAGAGTATAAAGAATCAGACTGTTAAATTGATAATGATATTTTATAAATTCATTAAGCTTCATTTTTTGATGGGCCAATCTCAAACATCAGCAAAAACGTAGATGATGGAATTGAAATCATTCAGAGAGCAAGTAAGTTTTAAAAATAACCAAGTTGGATCAATTAAGGTTTAAACGATTTAATTTATATTGGAAATAACTTAAGAGTCATTTATTCGAACGGTTCTTTGTCATTATGCTCAGAAGATAAGTGTTAATCTATTTTAAATAACACTTAAGATTGTCTTACATTAGAGTAAGATCAATTATAGTTTTATTTGGTTTGTAAAAAGTTTGTTTATTCTGGTTTGAAATCAAAACCGGAATCAATTAATAATATAGATTTTACCCCATTTTTTAATGAATTGTTGAGTATAAAATTTGATTAAGCCTCTAAAATAGGAATAATAAGTAGATCAGAAATATATACTTAATTTTCACTTTACAACAATTATTAATTAAAGGTTTAAAAAATTATTAGTGACCTATAAGATTTTGAATTTAATGATTCAAATATAATACTTTTAACATCAAAAAAGATTATTATAGTTGATAGCTAATTAAACGAAATACATTCATATAATTTATTAGAAAATTTGATCTCAACAGAATAGAATGATGCATTAAAATTTTTGAAATTTAAAAAAATTTGTCAATTTGGAGAAAATTTCTATCTGATTTCAAGTAAAGATGGCCCAATTTATCTAGTGTATTTAAATGAAGACCATTTACAGTTATTTTTAGAATTCACAAATATTCAAGATTCAACTCCTATTGAAACTTATTTGATTGAAAACGACATTTTGGTATGCACTTACAAAAATGACAATGAGTAATATTTTGCTGCTTTTTATAATTTTGATGATAGATCTAAATCATCTATAATTGTCCCATATTTCAATGTAATTGAACTGGGATCTTCATTCTCAAAATTCCATTACACTCGGCAGTATGAAAACAATTCAATTATTTTGAATGATAGATCTGATGAAAAGTAAATATTTGTTTTTAATTATTATGTAATATTATTTTTAATTTGCTTAGCTCCAAATAAAGGGTGTTTCCTAAAACAAATATTTGCATGAATTGATTGCCAATGATTTGAAATTCCAATCAGCAAAAATTAATTTAAAAATTAATTTGACAGAAACTGATGAAACTCCAGAAAATTGGAACATAGCTATATATATATTATGTGGCATATTAGGAATTCTAGTTTTTTTAATATCATTTCGATATATAAGAAGATATTGTTTGGCAAAACATCTTAAATTCGAAGAAGATTAACCTTCAGAATTTAAAAATGAAGCAGTTTGATAGATTTATGTTATTTGTAACACCTAAAATCAAGAAAATCTAAAAATTAGTATAAATGTAATATCATCTCTACCCAAACTTATTAATTTCCACTGCTTTTATGCTTCTAGCATTAACATGTCGGCTGCTTTTTCTATCTAGAGTGGATAGTATCTACTTATTAATTTACATATCTAATGATAATGGTTATTAATGCTACATCCTCTTCGCTTAAATGTTCAAATAATCCATCGCTACCTATTAAGATGAAATGGTCATCTTTTGTTAATTATATTTCAAATATTTCTGGCACTGCAATAATTCCAGCCTTAATTCCCATTTTATCTCCAAAAGACCTCGTCATTGCTAATCCTGGCAGATCCTCATTTTGCATCCACACTCTCAGAGGACTTCTTGGTCTTCCATATATATCTATTTTATATATCTATTGCTACCTTTATTACATTCCACTCTCCCACCAAACTTAATGATTCTATCTCTCTCTAGTCCTATAGGCTTGTGTAATCTATTTAATCTTATTGATTAGTATTTATTCATCAACTATCTTCTCCCTAAGATAGCTTTTGAATCTCCTACATTACAACAAAATAAATGCTGTTCATTAATATGGACACTAATGCCAGTCGATCCTCATTCTTATACAATATTACCTGACAATTGCGTATCAATATTTGACTCTAATAATTAATTATTCAACAATTCATAGGCTACTTTCATTTCCTCCACATTTCCTAGACCACTTTTAATGAATTCTATATGATTGTTATTTTTTCATACTTTCTAAATTAAATTTGATGAATGAAGAAACTAAATGACCAAATTTGCCATGACCATCATAAATCCCAAATAACTTGTATTGTAAATCTTTTAAAATCAAATAAGAATCTTGATTGACTTTTTGTTGATTATTGATGTTTAATCCACTTAAAGTTCTTGATTAATAAGATAAATTCCCTATCAGATCTTTTGTTCTATCAGATTTTAAATCAACTGTGTTAGTTGAAATATCTAATTTTTTCAATCCGTATTTTAGATTTTTTCCTTTTAGTTAATGAATAGATTTTCGTTCGGGAGATTGTTAAAACAAAAAAATATTTGGCAAAAGGAGAGCTTTTTCTTGATTTGCTCTCACAGGCGTATAATTTGGTTTTCTAAAGTAGTTCATATGTTTAATAATATAATTATTTGCTATTAATAAAATAATAATAAATGAAATAGCAAGTATATAATGATTCATCTTTGATTATCTCGAATTACTATTAATTTGAACAGCAGTTAAACCTCCCTCCTTCTCTTAAATAAAAACAATATTCAATTTCTTTGAAGTGTTTATTTTACTTTATTTCTGCATAAATATCATTGTTCTTCTGGGGGATTATGATTAAATCAAACTATATATTAATAAATGAAATTAATTAAGCTCAACAATATCAGAATAAAACTAATGATTTATGCACATTTATAATTTTTATTTTCTTTGCACTTTTGATATATTAATGAATTCATCTTAATTCAAAAATAGAAGTCTACACATTAATAAATTCCATTCACTTACACCCTCTTATAGAAATTAATATTCAAACAAGCAAAATGAATAGGTTTTTAGTTTCAGCAACGAAGAATAAATTTCATAACGCAAATACATGCCTTTTATCTACACCAAATATAAACCATATTCACATTAAAGACGAATGCATAACAATGTTGCTTAATCTGGTGATTACTTCAATAGCACTATAGAGCAAACTTCCTTTAATTAATTTCAACCAAAGAGTCCCTGTTCGATATCTCCATTAAGGAAAAAAACATTAAATTCCTTTGTATTTACAGACACTCTACAAAATCAACAATAAAGTCCAATCAGCTGTAAATCAGAAGTGAGATAGTTTTCATTTGAATTACCTCAAATGCAAATGCAACAATTTCCCAGAAAAAGAGAATACACGATTTTTAAAAAGAAGAAAAAAGTGTATGCATTAAAAATATATAATAAGTGAATTTTTTCCTTTTAATATATATATTATATGAATATTGATCCATTTAATCTATTTTATGAGGAATTCAAATATAAATTAAAAAAACACAATATTACATGTCCCCATCCTGAAACACAGTAACTTGCAAGAAAAGAGTGGGAATAAATGAGTGAAATGGAACAATTTCGATTTGTGTATATAGCAAAGAGGTAAGATGAGGCATATTTAAATTTCAAAAAAAAAAATGAAATCAATCAGCAAAATACTAATTAACCCACCAAAATGAGCAAACAAGATTAAAAATCTCTTAAACATCAATTCCAAATCAATTATTGTAAAAATGAGAATTGTGAAAGCTAAGCGGAAAGAATTGAAGAAGAACTGCTAAAAATGTACTAAGATATAACTATAAATCGTTATGCAATAATAGGAAATTTTGGGGCTGTTAGTTTATTTGGAATATAAGAAAAAAGGTAATCGGTTTTAATTTGGCACACATTAATAGATGGTCCTATTAAGAAATATTAATTAAAAGATTTGCATCAAAAAGTTTAGAAGTTTCTCACTCCTTGAATTTACAAAATTGATTAATTACTTTAATTTATCATATTAATAAGGATCATTTTAATATATTAGGATATACTTTAGGAAAGCGATTGTCTATTTGAGAATAAAATAGATATGTATCCTTATTCATTCATTGTGTATGAAGTTTCTTCATTTATAACTGTTATTGATTTTAAGAAAATAAAAATTATTAAGTAAAATCAAACTTTAATGTTATTTTTCTCATATATAGATAGTTTATATATATTAAATATTATATAATAATATTATATTTGGATGATTATTTTTATATCATTAATTAGGGATAGCCACATTATAATGACCAGGCCTAAATATTATATGCGTTTTTAGCAAAATCTAAGGATTTCTAGCTTTATATTCTTAAACATTTAAATTTTGATTCTCCTCATCTAAATAATACAAAATAATATCACTAAGAATATAATTCAAGTAATTACATATGTAGATTTCTTGACAATAAATCAATAACCGATTGATTATTTTCACAATCATATTCCCAAGTCAAAATTTGTTTTTATAAATTCAACTCTAATGCCTCAAATATATTTTTAGTATCTTCATCCTCAAAGCAAAATTTATAAATTAAATTTCTTAGAAATATTATACATAAACCATAGAATTACCCTTCAGGATTTGAAAATAGTTGTAAGAATTCTTGCTCTCTTTTTTCTAATTCAAGAGTTCTGAGATACTCACAGTAGTTAAGAAATATTTAACTCATTTCCTCATTTTTTTCGTACAATTATTCAGAGTGTATTACTGAAAATGGAAGCGATTAAATCATTTTGATGAAATCTTCAAATTGTTAATCTGATGCTTTTGTAAATATATGTCTTAGGTATTGAAAACCAAAGGAGGTGTAAAAACAATTACCATCTCCTCTTGCTCTTCTCATACCATTCAAAGAGGTTTTTAATTGTTCTTTGACTTTTCCATTATTCATGCCATATTCTTCAAGTAAATAATTTTAATCTTTTTAATCACTTATAAATGGTTTGAATTCTTCAGGCACATCTCTAGCTCTTAATGTTTCATTATAAATTTATTCTAACAATTCGCTTTTTTTGATATCTTCAAGTTGAATTCTTGGTTTTTATTCTGGTTTTATTTAGCTATTATTTTTGGAATCATCCTTATCCTTGTCCTTATCAATATCACTTTTTCTTATTTATGAATTTTATTGACTTCTTACAGCATGAACTCTTTTGGCTCCATAAACAACTAAAAGTATAATTAGTCCTACTCCTGCTGCTTTAAATTTTTTGGTTAGAGCATTTTTTAATACATATTTTTGAAATATGGGCCTAATGGCTTCCATCAATATTTTTATTCTTAATATTAATTCTATAATAAAATGAAAAAACTATATTTTGCGATTTTGCTTAATCAATTTAAAAGCTTCTAATTATATGATTCATTGATTGAAGAAGCAATTATCAGAGATGGATCTATAAATATTTTAAGTTTTATTATAAGTAGTCCTATTTTTATTTTAGATATGTTTGTTCAGACTTATTAAAATTTATTTACTTATCTAGTGAAAACCTCTATATTTAATGATTATTTCACAAGATATTTTAGATATTTTTCATAAAAATATGTGAAGTCAAAAATGTTAACATTAAATTATATTAATAATTAGAATTAATCCAATATTAATCATATTTGAATTAACACAAGCATAAGTAAACAGGAAATCTAAGACTAAAAATACTCAGAACTAATGAATTAATAATATAGAGATAGGTTATTTAATTCTATTAACACAAGAATATTTAAATTAAAAATAATTTGGTAGAATAAATATTTTAACAATAAAACCAATTTATATTGTTCGAGATTTTGACAACAATGAGTATATGGTATAATAAATAAATTTAAAGGATAAAATAAGAATTCATACTTCTACTTTAATAATAAAATATATGATATATTGTATTTGTTATTTGTTACACTAATAAGAGATTGAGATGTTATAATGATAACATTGCTACTACAATTATACAATATATATAATACACAAAAAGATGAAAAAACAAGACTCAACAAGTACCGAAGTTCATAAAACACATAAAAAATTAATAATACTAATCTATGAAGTTGAGAATGAATTCATAACAAATAGATCATGATTGGCAAAGTTAATTGTAGCTATGAAAAATGGAACGTTAATGAAATTCTCTTTATATAATCATTTAAACAGATATAATTGAACAGCTTAAAAAATAAACTAATTTTTACAATATAATTTATATTAAGTATTTAAAACCTTCATCAATGAATGTTGTTTTCTAAGATGAACTGGAGAATAGTTTATAATTGAGTAGCTAATCAATAGTTAAAGCTAACTCTTATGTATATAATTAGATGTTGAAAATAAATAATGGAGTGAAAACCTATGCATTGTCCTCAATCCTAATTAATTAAAATAATGAACCAGAGAATCTGATGATATCGGAATTAACATATCGCTCACTTTCCAACGAGGTTGACTCTAGGTTAATTTAGGAGTTCTAAAGTAGAAGGCACATTATAGAGCCTCATTAAATTTAGATAAGATAACCATCTCCCTTTTAGGTTAATAAATAAACATGCCAGATTTGCCTAAACGAACTTAACAATATTATAATCATAGAATAGTGCAATCATCAGTTTTGTCAGAAATGTACAACCTTATACTTATACAATAAAATAATATCTGGTGAAGTATAAAAGATCACATGTCCATAATTTGGTTGTTGCACAGTTTTGAGTGAACTGTTAATTAAATAAAATATCAATCAAGAGGTTTATCTGAAATATTAAAGGTAGTAATATCATAAATACTGAAGGTTCTTGTTAATTAAGCAATATGAACATGTAGTCAATGGTAAATGGTGTCCAAGACCTGATTGTTTTAATTTTGTTTTCCAGTAAGGACAAGAAAAAATACTATAATGCAATTGCGGATAATAATTCTGCTTTGATTGTGGGAATCCAAATCATCCCAACAAAACATGCCAAGAAAGTGTCGACTAAGTATTCGCTTAAGCATTGCAAGATTATAAAATATAAAAATGTCCTAATTGTAAAGCTAACATACTCAAAAATGGTGGCTGCAATCATATGACATGTACAAAGTGTCATTATGACTTTTGTTGGCTCTGTGGATGCAGGTATACCTCAATTCATTATGATTGGATGAATCCATGTAATTGTCCCGGAGAATAGTATTAAGAACGAGATCCCTATGCCTATCCAAAAGTTTTAATTTTCATTAGAGCAATATTGAAACTGTTAATTTATNTTGAGATGTTATAATGATAACATTGCTACTACAATTATACAATATATATAATACACAAAAAGATGAAAAAACAAGACTCAACAAGTACCGAAGTTCATAAAACACATAAAAAATTAATAATACTAATCTATGAAGTTGAGAATGAATTCATAACAAATAGATCATGATTGGCAAAGTTAATTGTAGCTATGAAAAATGGAACGTTAATGAAATTCTCTTTATATAATCATTTAAACAGATATAATTGAACAGCTTAAAAAATAAACTAATTTTTACAATATAATTTATATTAAGTATTTAAAACCTTCATCAATGAATGTTGTTTTCTAAGATGAACTGGAGAATAGTTTATAATTGAGTAGCTAATCAATAGTTAAAGCTAACTCTTATGTATATAATTAGATGTTGAAAATAAATAATGGAGTGAAAACCTATGCATTGTCCTCAATCCTAATTAATTAAAATAATGAACCAGAGAATCTGATGATATCGGAATTAACATATCGCTCACTTTCCAACGAGGTTGACTCTAGGTTAATTTAGGAGTTCTAAAGTAGAAGGCACATTATAGAGCCTCATTAAATTTAGATAAGATAACCATCTCCCTTTTAGGTTAATAAATAAACATGCCAGATTTGCCTAAACGAACTTAACAATATTATAATCATAGAATAGTGCAATCATCAGTTTTGTCAGAAATGTACAACCTTATACTTATACAATAAAATAATATCTGGTGAAGTATAAAAGATCACATGTCCATAATTTGGTTGTTGCACAGTTTTGAGTGAACTGTTAATTAAATAAAATATCAATCAAGAGGTTTATCTGAAATATTAAAGGTAGTAATATCATAAATACTGAAGGTTCTTGTTAATTAAGCAATATGAACATGTAGTCAATGGTAAATGGTGTCCAAGACCTGATTGTTTTAATTTTGTTTTCCAGTAAGGACAAGAAAAAATACTATAATGCAATTGCGGATAATAATTCTGCTTTGATTGTGGGAATCCAAATCATCCCAACAAAACATGCCAAGAAAGTGTCGACTAAGTATTCGCTTAAGCATTGCAAGATTATAAAATATAAAAATGTCCTAATTGTAAAGCTAACATACTCAAAAATGGTGGCTGCAATCATATGACATGTACAAAGTGTCATTATGACTTTTGTTGGCTCTGTGGATGCAGGTATACCTCAATTCATTATGATTGGATGAATCCATGTAATTGTCCCGGAGAATAGTATTAAGAACGAGATCCCTATGCCTATCCAAAAGTTTTAATTTTCATTAGAGCAATATTGAAACTGTTAATTTATGTGCTGCTATCTCCTATTTTAGCTTTAGCAGGATTAGGAATGATTGCATATGGAATTGGATACTTATTATCTAAGACTTGTCATCTCTGTAGATGTCTCAAAAGGTGTTGCTAATCTGTATGTAATTGAAATTGACTTAATATTAATTGTTAATAATGTATACATAATTGAATATGGCCGTCTGGCTCAATTGGTAGAGCACCAGATTTCGGGTCTGGGGGTTTAGGGTTCAAGTCCCTAGGTGGTCGAAGTTATTTTTGTTTTTTTTAATATTTAAAAATTAAGAAGCATTTTATGGCGCACATTATAATTAATTCTAATATAATTTAATCAATTCTCTATCTATTGTCTAAGAGTCTATTTATATAGAATAGGTAGGTATTCACAATCAAATTACCATAGGTATTCATGTTTAATAAGTCATGTATGAGAATTCAATCTCAATAGACGTAAATATATTTAAAAATTTAAATAAAATCAATTTTAGAGGGAAATCATTTTACTTTCTATTATGAAATGAAATAATAGAATTTTAATTTCTAAAGGATTTTAGAAGAAAAAAGGAATAATAAAATTCCTATTCTTTCTTTAAAAGTAAGGTAATAATAATTTCATAATTATTAATTACTTTTCTTTTATCATCTATCTGCATAAATAACCTTAGGATCAGAAGAAAGAGAATGATATTTAGTAAACTTATGGATGGAATATAAATAACAAATTATAATTAAGAATATATAATATTTTTTATGAATAAAACTAATAACAGTATAAAAGATTTATAGCTTAGGCTTCTTATTTCTGAATCTGAAAAGTAAGTGGCTGTCTAGAAATTAAATGATTTAAAACGCAGTGAACGTGCTAAACCCAGTTTATCCTTGTTTGCACCATCCAAAGATTAAGCTAAAAGAAAGGATAAGGTGGGTAAATTGCTAATAGATTTAATGAATTTGATTGCTACTAATAATTCCTTATAATGCATGCTTGAAATTAATTCTTTAGAGAATATGATGAAAATATTTGATTAAGGAAAATGTTATAAACTTCTGAAGAAGATTATAAAGCCCTTTACTTTGCTAATCACATATTTATTAAATACAAATATCACAGAATCTTTGAGTATGAGAAGTGAAAATTAAACTCTTCAACATCTTAGTAATTATAATTCAGTTCAAGCTGGAATTCAAACTCCAATGTCCTAAGTGATAACAATCAATTCTAATAATATGCACAATCACAAAACTTCGTTTCCAAGCTCCATAGCATTTAAGCCTCCTAGCGAAGCTACCACACCTGAGAAAAGTGTGAAGTAAGCTCCAATTTCATAACCATAATAAAAACAAACAATATCACAACATAAAGGGATAGGGAAAGCACAAAAGCCTGTATCAAGAAGGACAGCCACTAGTAAGGTGAATACTTGTGGAGATTGAGCAACAAAGAAATAATGATTTCAATATAATCTATTTTTAATATATATATAATTGATAAGCTGACTATAAACAATTTAAGTAGAAGCAGTGTAGATGATTAGGAATCTCTAAAAAAAGGTCTTTTAACATTGTTGTAATATATAATAAATTTGATGATAAAAAAGGGTAATATTCTTGAGAATTAGGAAGGTTCAAAAGTCATTTTCTTAAGATTCAACACTACCAATAATAAAGAGATGTTAAAACTATTAAAATATCGTAAGATCCATACTTCCTTTAAGAACTGAATTTAAATAAGAGTTATTTGTAATATTTCTTATAGTTTTATGATACACAGGTATACTTGTGAATGTTGAATAATTCAAACTTCAAACAATAGGTGATCAATAAAATATTATTTTCTAATCAAATTATTTAAGACTGATATAAAAGTTAGTCATGTTATTACTTAATAGAAATCTCTTACTTTAAATCATTACTATAAAAGTAATTAGAAATTAAAATTACTTTTATGAAATTCCTAAAATAATTTATAAATATGATTTGGATGGTGTGTTTGTTTATTTATTTTATACAATAGATCAATATTTGTAATCGTCATGTTTGAAAGGACCATTTTAGCTGACACCAATGTATTAGGCTTGGTCATTAGTCAAGACGGTAAGCTCAGCACCTAATTTCTTAAGATGGAGGACTGCAACCTTCTCGTCGAGTTCTCTTGGTAATTTGTAAACTAAAGAAATTAATATTATAAGTACCTTGATTTCCATATTTTCCATTGTCTCTGTTAACCCATAATTCAATTTAAGCCAAGGTTTGGTTGGTGAATGAGTTAGACATAACAAATGATGGATGTCCTGTGGCACAACCTAAGTTAAGTAATCTGCCTTCAGCCAACATGATAACTCCATGTCCATCAGGGAAAATCCATTAATCACATTATGGTTTGATTTGGACTCTCTTAATTCCTTCCCATTATTTCAAACCTTTGATGTCAATTTCGTTATCAAAATGTCCGATGTTACCAACAATAGCATTATGTTTCATTTAAGACATGTGTTGAGCTGTGATAATATCCTTATTTCCAGTAGCTGTAATGAAGATATCAATGTCTTTAACAACCTTTTCAAGTCTAACGACTTCATATCCTTCCATGCATCCTTGGAGAGCACAGATTGGATCAACTTCAGTGATATAAACTCTGCAACCTTATCCCTTCAAAGCTTAAGCACATCCTTTTCCGACATCTCCATATCCACAAACTAATGCTTTCTTTCCTGACAACATGACATCAGTGGCTCTGAAAATACCATCAATAACTGAATGTCTGCATCCATAGATGTTATCAAATTTAGATTTGGTAACTGAATCATTAACGTTAATTGCTGGGAATAATAATTCACCTTTGGCAGCAATTTACTTTAATCTATGAACTCCAGTGGTTGTTTCTTCTGAAACTCCCTTGACTTGAGCTACATAGTTTCTGAATTTGTTTGGTGTTTATTGGATTTCTCTTCTCAAGACTGTCAAAAATGCTTATTCATCTTCAGATTCAGCCCTTGCTGGTTCTGGTAATTCACCATTGGCTTCGTATTTCTTTTCCCATTTGACACCTTCCAATAACATCATTGTCATGTCACCACCATCATCAACAATCAAAGTGGGTCCTTGACCATTTCCCCAATCCAAGGCTCTGACTGTGCATTCCCAATATTCTAATAAGGTTTCACCTTTCCAAGCGAACACAGCTGCGGACTTGGCTTAAGCAATAGCAGCAGCAGCGTGATCTTAAGTGGAGAAGATGTTGCAAGAACACCATCTGACTTAGGCTCCCAAAGCTTAGAGTGTTTCAATTAAAACAGCAGTTTAGATGGTCATGTGTAATGATCCAGAGATACGAGCTCCCTTCAAAATTTATTATGGTCCATATTCCTCTCTAGCAGACATCAAACCTGGCATTTCTACTTCAGCTAAGTTAATTTCCTTTCTTCCAAAATCGGCTTATGTAATGTCTTTTACCTTATAATCCTCAGCGTCCATTAAAACTTTTGATTTAAATAAAAAGATTTGAATCCACCTCACTTAAATTACATTAAATAATCCCTATCAAAATCATGCGTATGTTTAATTTATGATGTCATTTCTAAATAAGTGTAAGATGCGTATAGTCCCCCATAAATTTCATATTCTCAATTCTTATTTGTAATTTTTTATATATTATTCAGTAGCACAAATTTCATCCATTGTATGCTGCTAATTTCAACATATTGTTGAATAAAAGAAGAAAGCCTTAAAACAATCACAAAATAATTTTATATCATAAAATCACTTCCAACACAAATCGACCTCTCCCACTAATTTCCCTCCACGATATTGCTCTTTCTATCCATTAAATCATGAATCCTCTTCTTTGCAACTCATATTTGAACTTCATTGATCAATCAGATCATCCAAATTATTGTCCTTCATATTTTGTTCTACACTTTGTCTACTATTCATCTTTCATACCCCAAAAATTATTCAATCTCTATTATGCATTCCTTTCCCTATCCATCAATCACTTAAGATGACATTTCATCCAGGTTGTTAGATTATTATTTAATATATTTTATATTTAAATATTATTTAACTAAACAATTATTCATAACTTACATTCAAGGTGAAAATTTGTATATTCTGCCTAACCCATTTTTAATAGAATTTGTTTTGCTTGAACTTTTTATAATGAATTTAAATGATCATCAACAATCCCTAATACAATCTGATCCTAATATTTAAGAATTTTTGAAGATGTAATTAATAATAATAGTAATAATAATAATAATTTATACTCAATTATAAAGTTATAGAGTTCATTTTTTGAAGTAATCCTCTAACCTAGTTTATACTTATTTAGTCTAAAACTACCTCTTCCTCTATTATAAGCATTTCATTTTTCTATACATTTCTCTATCACAAATATACTTACATTCGCTGTTTCCTTAATACTCTATGCTACATTTCCTGTCACATTCTAACCTTACTTAGTTAATGCTATCAGCATCTTTATAGATTCTGTAGTTTTAGAAGAAAACCATGTCGTATAAGCTAACCTCCAAGCAGCTATACATTCTAACATAGATATTTCTTCCTTCAAAATTTTTATTTTAAATAACTTCTTTAAAGACAACTTCTCTATAATAATTGTCTTTGGCATCTTACTTAATTTAGTCAAACTCGACTATGATGCCACAATAATTTTTATCAAACTTTTTCATTTGGAATAATAATAAATGCTCTATTTTCTATCAGCTTAAATGGCACCAATTTTTGTGAAAGAATTTCACACTTCTGATAAATACTTATCGGTAATCCATTGCATATTTATAAAAATTTATGTATAAATCTGATTAATCATTTCATAAACTTATTATTTTAAATATTGTAATTAAATCGTTTGTAATATTTGGTCATGCTAGTCTATTTTAATAGAAATAACATTATTTCAATAGAGAGCATTTATATATACACAAATTATAGATTTTTGAATAGATCTCATTTAAATCCTATAGGAGAGTAAGAATCATTGTGTACTATCAATCCCCAGTTTACATGCTGGGTCTATGAATGTTTTTACTTAAGTATAATTGAATAAGTTTTGAATACTATTACTTTTTATAATACGATTATTATAAAAATATAATTAATTATTATTATGTAACCAGATTAGATTGAAGAGCAGAAGAAGAAAATTCAAGAAAGTGAACACAATGCGAGGAAAAAGGAAATTGAATTGCAATTTAAGAATGTTTTTGATGAGGCAAAAAAAATATTAAAGAGAGAGTATTATGAGAATGAAATGAGTGAGAAATTAAGAAATTTGTTGGAGTGGATAGAAGTAAAGAATTGTATTATATTTAGAGTGACATAAACAAATTATCAGAAAAGAATGACAGAGACTTTGTGAAGAAATATAAATCATTTGTGGAAACTTATCGAAGTGGACTAGTAGAATTCAAAGAAATTCTTTTGAATTTAAAGAAGGTTTTATAATAAATTTACAAAATAGATTGAGGAGAACCGCTAAGAAATTAAAAAAGTGAAAATTAATAGTTTTAAGCAAAATCCTTAATCTTTAAATACTGAAATTAAGTTCTCAGAAAAGAGGTTATAAAGAATGAGAGCAGGTGTAAATTTGATTTAAGTGCTCGAAGAATCTTTAGCAAGAAAATATTAAGAAACTATGAAAAAATCTCTTTAAGATTAACCAATCTAAAAGGAACCCTAGTAACAAATGGATTTAAGTGAAACTGAAATACAAATATTTTAAGAGTTAGAAAATGGATTAAAAAAAGAAAGAATATCACAAACCAATGTAGACTTAGATAAAGACATATCAAAATAAAAAGATATTTAGATCTTCGATTAAGTTGAAAGGGCCTTGGAAGAATAGAAGGAGAAGTATTAAATAATTTTCAAGGAATTTGATAAAGGATTCTAAAAATAAAAGGTGAAATGTGAATCAATTGTGAAATCATCCTATAAACCTGTAAAAGGAGACTTAGACTTCACTCATAAATATTAGGATACTTATTTTAAAAATTATTTCAGAGAGAAGTTTAAATTGGCTAACTATTTCCTTGGCGATCAATTGATTAAATTATTTTTACATGAAAATTAGAAATATGTGAATAAAGTCTTGAATAAGAACTCGAACTCATCATAATAAAATTCCTTTAATGAAAAGAAAATTTACAATAAAGAATTAGACCCTAAAAATTTTATATAATAAGATGATTTAGAAAGTAATGGAAAAGCATTGTAGAAGATACTCAAAATAAATGAAGAAATACAAAAAGAACTTTTATAAGATGAGCATTAAAGAAATATAGAGGAGATGAATAAAATTGAAATACAAAAAAAACAAGAACATTGGGAAAAGGTGTTGTAGTAAGACGATCATCGAAAGTCTACCCCAAACCTAATAAAAAAGGCATCATAAGTTTAATTAAAGAAATCACAGACAGTTGAAAAAAAAACTATCAATATCAAACCAGTCATTTCCTCTTTAAAAAAGAGAACCATATATTACTAAGCTCATCCTAATTTTCCATTGATAAGTGAAGTTTATAAATCTCATTAAAATGTCCCTGAAGAACGATTAAAGAAGGCAGCTATAGGATATGATATTATTTAATAACCTTCCAGAACCTTATTTACTCCACCTACTAATGTGAATTCCTAATTAGAAAACAAAAACAAAGTATTAAAATTAGAAGATGATATCTACCCATAACAGCCAAATTTAAGAGTACCTCGAACAGCAATGTAAAATTTTAGAGGGACATTCTTTCCTAATTCTCAGCATGGTTTATCTCGCTAAAATTATTAAGATTATAAATCACTTACAACATTATGGGGAGAATAGTGGAATAATTATTGAAAAATTCATTCATATTTATTATTAAAATTTTCATCTTTTACTACATATTAAATGTATTCTTATCACATTAATAAATCATTACATTATCATTATTTTTGACTCTATCTTTTATTGATAAACGAAAATTTTAATTTGGATATTATTCAAATAAAATTGATCAATTTTGGTCTTTAACCAAATTATTCTATTTTAATATTCTTACACCTCATCTAACCCTGCTCAGTCTTACATTTTAGAACTTTAAAATATTGTAAGGAATATTTAAAATTTGGTCAAATAATAAGGTTTTAAGACAAATTCTTAAATAATTGCTCAGATAATTAATTCCACTTCTAGTATATTTTAAATTTTAATTATCCAGCATAGTAGAATTATTTAGTATGCTCTTTGACTATTTTCTTATTAACAAAAGTAGAAATCCAGCATTTTAATTAAGAAACTAGAATATCTTTCACTCTACGTTATCCATAAACCTAAAAATTGTTAAATATTGCTATGTAAAGTGACTTTAACTCTAAACAATCCAAATTTTCATCCATTTACCTTATATAATAATGAAATTTTAGCCTCTAATGTCTTTCTATTTGGATATTTTTCTAGTCAAATGGTAGATAATTATTAATTAAATTCTTCGTTTTAGCCAAATCAGAATCATTACTTGAGAGTATATCTTGTCATCATCAACCAATTCATCGATGAGAGCTTCACTTTGTTCAGATTTCTTTGAAGAATTATGTAAATTTTTCATTTTTCTTTAAGAAAATAATGATCTGATATTCCTATTAATTATTAAGGATCATCTTAGTTAAATAATTTTCAATAAGTCTTAGTAATGATTTATTTTATTTGATAATATAAATGTTAATGATAATTAGGTATATTTTGATTTTTGAGTAGATATCTATAATCTTGATCAATAAATCAATTGATTGTCATTCAAAAAATAATTTAATTTGATATACTATGTTATCTATAGAATAATTATATATTTGAAAAGAATTGAATTAAATTATTTTATTTAACAGTAAATTTTGATATCAAATCATGAGCTATTCTGAAAAGCACAAAAGGAATACTTCTCCAGTTTTACGTACCACAAGTGAAGACAGATCAAAAATATGCTAAAATAAGGATAATTACATACAATATCTGGAATAATAGCTATAAAAAGTAAATTGAATTTTTATTTAGACTTCAAAAGTTGTGTATTAGAAGTATGAAGAGAGAATGAGGCTGGTTGAGGAAACATTATAAGAGCACGATGAAAAATTTGAGAATTTTATAAAACTAATCAAATTATTGTAACATTTTGCAACAACACAAGAATAAGAGAATGCAAATATAAGAAATCATGTTAACATATCAATGGAAGAAATATATAGTAATGAATTGACAAAATTAAAAATGCAAAATGGGAAAATTGAATAAGAATTATTTGAAATTCAATAAACTTATTAAAAAGAACAACCAATTGTATAAGAGTTTGAATTAATACTTAATAAAAAGATTGATGTGATTATGGATGAATTGAAGCAAAGTGCTTTAAAGACTGATTATTAAAAGTTAGAATAAAGATTATCTAAGTTTGAATTAAATCTCAAATCAGAACAATAACAAAAAATAAATGAATCAGAAAGACAATTAAATAGTAGTCTAACTCATTAACAATAATTAAATGATCTTAAAATAGTATTGGATAGTGTAATCTAAGATTAAGAACATACAAAAAATACAGTTTAACAATTGTAAAACGAAATCTACTTTAATAAACGCAAGTCTTAAAATTAATAAATTAGAAAATCAATCACCAAAGAATCCTTATACACAGAGAATGACACTTAAGCAATCAGACCAGCAAAAGAGATGAAGGAAAATATAAAGAAATTAGACAATAAAAGAAATAAGAGCAAATCAAGTATGAGTAGAAGTGGTTCAAGAAATGCAAGGCTGGAAACTATTAAAAAGCAGAAATAAGAAAATGTCAAAGAATTAATTAAAAAGCATAAATAATCATCTTAAAAGTTCATTTGAAATTCCAACTATTCTAATTAGAATCAAATCTGAAATATATATATATAAAATCTATAGAATTTTTTAATTATGAAGATATGATTAAATTAGAAGAATAAAATAATATTATATGTTTGCATATAATAGAATTCTAAATTCCAAAAAAATTAATATTCATTAAAAATTAATAGAATGTCTTTAACTTAATTCAAAAAGAAGAATTATTGAGATAGTTTAATTAGGTTGGTTTGAACTTCTTTGATAAATTTTAATTCTCCTTTAGAATAAAATAAAAAGATAGATGTTTTCAGAAAAAAATCTCTTATATTTTCTGGACGTTAATCGTTTTGAATTCTTTAGAAAAAGTCATAGGCCAAGTTTTCGTCGATAAACTTGATTCAATTTTATATCTCTTTAGTTTTCTTGTGTTTTGTAGATGCAATTACTTTTTGATTACGTCTTAAAAGATAGCCAAGTAAAAGAAGTGTTTTCTTTGGAATTGCCAGTAGATTCTTTTAAAAATTTGAATAACTAAAGAAGGTGTATAATTTTACTTAGGACAACAAAAAAAACACTTCTTAAGATGAAAATTTAAATATATATAAATTTAATATAATTGGTTTTAGGTGATTTTAAACAATCAATTATTTATTATTATTACTAAGTAGTAAAATTAGTTAAAAGCACTAAATTGATTATAAATAGTTGATGATAATTAAAAAAAATTAAATATTTGCAAAAATAAACTTAAATATTAAGCAAATGGTAAAGACAATTAAATTCTTTGCTCTTATTGATCTAGTCAAGAGAAATTGATTCTTTTTCTGTGATATTTGGAGCCAAATAAGGAAGTAGTGTTTATGGAATTTGATGACTAGGCATGCTGGATATAATATTATTTAAATATTTTGATTATGTGTTAATTTATTATTAGAGTTTTATAATTATACATATATGAAGGCAAGCTTTGATTGATTTATCTTTAATTGAAGTTTTGGAGGAAAAGAATAAAAGAATCTCTGAAGTTCTAATTTCACCTCATAATATAATGCTAATTTAATTGTATAAATGCAAATTAAGTATCAACACTTTTTTCAATTATTTAAATTGATTTTTCCATAGAATATGGATTTTATGTTAGAGTAATAGATTGTCAAAGCAGAAGGAGTTGAAGAATAGGTTTCTAGCTCTTCTGAGTGTTCTCATGATTCAGATTCATCGTTTGATTTAGAAAATAAAGTAAACAACAAGTCACAACAAAAAAAACTCACAAATGACTTAAACGTAGATGATTAAAAAAGGAATGGTAGATCTATTTATTTATCCCTTAGGCAAGTTTGGTTTAAAATACGCAAAAATCTCAAATAAACAGAGACAAGCTTTGATTGAAAGAGTTACATCTACTGGTTGTACAATTAAAAGTGCTGCTAAAGACTTGAGTATCAACTTTTCAACAGCCAAAGCAATAATGTAGATTTTTAGAAGGGAAGGAAGAATAACGAAAAAAATAGTAAGGGAAATAAAATAGAAAACCAACAAGAATTTAGGATAAAATAATGAAGGTATTAATAGACATGTTAATTTTAGATAACATTCAGAAAAAATCTTAATTGGAAGAGTAAAATTTAAAGTTCGTAAAAGTCGAGGCAATTTAGGACAATAACGAGACGAATTTATATTAATAGGCAGAAGAAGCTAATAGACATTAGGCTTTGATCATTCAATAACTGAGTACTTAAGTACTTTATTCATTTATAATTAGAACCTATATCTACAAAGCAGAATTAATCAATTATAACAAGATAAATTTTAAATAAACTCAAAGTATGAATAATTGTTAGTCTAATATCATTAATTATAATCAATGGTAAATTATTTTAATAACAATAGGCTCAACAATTCCTGTAGCCTTGCATGTTTTAATTTCCTACATTTGCCCAGTGAATTTTAACTCATAAATATATATTTATTTTATATTAAATTAATTAATCTCAATTAAAACAAAGTTTAATCATATTTCAAATTTTAGAAATATTTATGTATGTATGTTTGGAAGACATAGATAGTATCATAGAAACCTTCAAGTTTAAGTTTGAAGGTTCTAAACTGTTTTCGGTAGTCTAAATAGATCTTAACTATTAAATTTAATTAATAGAGAAATTTTGTGCATTATATACTAATTAAACTTGTCTATCAATTAAGAATTTAATATTATTTATGGGTAATTGCAATATCTACGGTTAAGAGATAGAAGAAGAAGATTTAAGTATAATTTAGTCGTTATCTTAGATCAATCATCGAGGAATTTTGAATTTTTGGAACTTTTGGGATAGGGAAATTTTGGAAAAGTTTGGAAGGTTCAAAGGAAAAAGACTAAGGAATACTTCGCTATGAAGGTCATGGAGAAGGAATTGTAAGTATATCCAAAATATTTAGAATAATAAGGAGATCATATGCTACTGTTGTGATGTAGGAACAAAACATACTCACTTCTATTAGACATCCCTTTTTAGTTAATCTCATTTCATCTTTCTAAGATAAAAAAAGATTATACTTAACACTTGATCTATTGACAGGAGGAGACTTTAGATAACACTTAAACTACAATAAGGTGTTTTCAGAAGAATAAACAAGTAAAATTCTTAAACTATGAAAGAATTCTTCATAGCCTGCATAATAGTAGCCTTAGATTATCTTCATTCCCAAGGCATCATTCATAGAGACCTTAAACCTGAAAATTTGGTCATGGATCATAGAGGCTATCTGAGATTAACAGATTTTGGTTTAGCCTCAATTTGGAGGCCGAACAATTCCCAAGAGATAAATGGAACTTTGGGCTACATAGCACCAGAAATTATGTGCAAATAAAACCATGGAATAGCTGTTGATTACTTTGCATTGGGTGTTATAGCTTATGAATGTATGTTTGGGAAGAGACCATACAGAGGAGCAAATGCAAATCAAATTAGGGATTTATTGCTATCGAAATAAGTTTAAATTAAACAATCCCAGCTTCCAATCGGCTGGAGCTTAGAGGCTGGAGACTTTATAAATAAAGTATCTTCAAAAATTTAAAATTAGCTAATATAAAGAAAACCAGAAAATAGGCTCGGTGCCAATTCTCCAAGTGATGTTAAGAATCATAGATGGTTTTAAAATTTCAACTGGCAGAATTTACAATCTAAAATTATGATTCCACCTTATTAACCGAAAAAAAAATTTAGTTGTGTGGAAAATAGTTAATAATGTTATGAGAACAAAAAATAGATCAGCAAAATAATTTTAATTGATTAGCAATAATGTATAAATCAATTTAAACCTTTAGCTTAATTCGAAGGGTATTGCTTTTAAGCTGAATAAATAAGGAATAAAGTATGAGAAAGTCTAATCTTCTTTAATTTGTGATTATTACTTGTATATATGATAATTATAATCTAAATTTCAATACTATTGTACTCATACAAAATTCTGAATGTAGCATCGTTTAAAAATAGTAAAATTAAGAAACATTTTTGTAAATGATTTTCAATTTATATTATATAATATATTATTAAAAGAAAGTTAAAGTATATTAATTTAATTTTTTATCAATAATATGATAACAATTATATCCAAAGACAATGTGAAGATTAGCATTTCCAAATAAATCATTGAACTAGCAAAAGGATTAGAGCCATATTTAATTGACTAAGATATAGTGTTTGAAGATATTGTGACTGGAGATTTTTTATAAGCATTCAAATTGTTTTATGAGGAATTCTAATTCGATATTGAAAAAATGAAATTCCCCAAGCCCATGTAATTGAAAGAAAATGAAAAAGTTTTTGGCAAGGCCTTATTGGATCATTTTAAACCCTTTTTGGATATTGCAATCAGAGATAAAAAAATTGACATATTTATTCAATTTATACAAGGAGCTCATTTATTCTAAGCGAAACATTTTATCGAATTTATTAATTGCTGTTTAGCTATGATTATATAGTTCAAGGGACAATCCGAATATGATATTAAATAATTTCAAAAGGATTGGAATCTGTCTGATTCATAACAAGAATCCTCTTTTAATTAGTAAAATTTCATATTATTTAGAATATTTTTTTAGAAACTATAGAATAAATACATTCAAGCATTATCTACAAAAGATGGGGAATAATAGATACAACAAGTAGCGATGGAAGAAGACTTATTTAGTGATGAATGGTGATAATGATTTTGACAATCAATTGATATGTAAATTATAATATAAATCTACTCAATTTTACTCACTTGATATGATTTTTAACTATTAAGTTCCATATTCTAAAATTGAATATTCATTGAAAGTTATGCAATGAGGAGTAATTAATAATGTCAATCTATATAATTATATAATTAATTTATTATATTAAAATGGCAATGAGTCATGGTTCATCGATCTTAGTTGGATCAATAATTTATATGGTCTTAGGAGTAGCTGCATGTTTTGGATTCAATTCTTATGTATCTAAAAAAACAAAAAATCCCCATGACGTTCCTGAAAATAGAACGTAATAATCAATTTGAATTAAGAATAACTCTTGTAAGTGTTACTATTGCTACATTTTGTGCTTGGTTAATGTGGGTGGTTGCATATATGGCATAAATGAATCCAATAATTACACCAGAATGGGAAAATCATTAGCCAAGTTAAAAGGATTGAGTATGTTATTCGCATTTCATAAAAATAACTTAAATTATTACCTTATTGCATTCATTAACATTTCATTAGATTTTCTTTATAATAAATAATCTATATATTTTTGATTCATGTTTATGGTCATTTGTCTAAATACTAGTAACCTAGGTGAAATTGTATGATATGTTTAAGTGTTAGTATAGCTTAATTAATTTCATCAAAAACAAACAGATTAAATAAAATAATAAATCGTTTACTTATTTCTAGTTTCATACATCTATAGCAAATAAAAGGTTACTGAATTCCAAAAATACATTACCACAGTTAATAATATTTTTGATTTATAAATTTTATTCTTTATTTTCCTAGCTTATTCCATTAAAATGGCTTTATTATAATTCGAATTAAATTAAAGGAGACTCTTGAACCATATTATTTTGATTTTATGCAAAATCATTGAATTCTTGATATAAAGTGTATCTTCAATAATTTAATTACTATATTCGCATTCCATTTATTCCTTTTGAAATGAGCTAAATACCCATTCATATTAAATTCAGTCAAAAATAAATTAATATTCTTTTTATATTTTTAACAATTTTATGATTTGGATGTTATTGTTTGAATTGATTTATAATCAATCATTCTAAATCGTTGAAGAAATCAAAATTTATTTTCTTCTGAATTAAGATTGGTTATATATCATATTTTATGTCATTCTAAAGTTAAATTAATCAGTATTATTATATATCAATTATAATAATTAATTATAATAATTTGTTATTCTGTTAACTTGTTTATCCCATTATCTCCATTATTAATGGATCTATTAGAAATTCTTGTTTTATATATAGATTTAAATCATCAAGAAAAGCAATCCTTTCTGAATTTAAAGCTTTTACTGTAAAATCGGAAAATTTTAAATTTTATACAACTATAATTTTGGGGTTCAAGATTTGTAATTTTTTCAGGAAAATTGTATACCATTATTATGAATATGTTAAAAATAGAAGAAAAAATAATTTATAAGTGATTGTTTCGAAATTCTATAATAACAGTCTAAATATATTAAAATAGCAATTAAAGAGTCAGTGATTTAAGAGTAAATGTATATACTAAATACATAAAACAAATATGTTCAATCACTCTGAAATTCATCTTCAGAATGTACTTTATTTTCGGAAAAATATTATCTCATTATTTATTTGCTTCTCAATATAGGTTTTTCAATTTTGGGCAATTTTTTCTTTTTATGATTCCTTCTAAGTCGTGGATTGAAAGGATTGAATTTCTAATGGTGAGATCTTCAATAGATAAAATAATTACCTACATTAACTCGGACTTCTTGTACCTATGATCTAACTCATTCTTTTAAATAAAGGTTGTCCCTTTCTTTATGAATCTCCAGAGCCTTTGACTCTCAGTAAAAATTGAACGTATTATTAATGCTCTTCTTCACTCCAATGACCTGATTTAACATGTGTACTATTGCTTAAATCTTATTATTTAGAATTATTTAAGTTTAACTCGAGATAATCTGGGTGTAATGATCCTGAATTTTCAGATTTCATTAATTTTTTCGATTTTGAATCTTAAAATAAATAATACTCTGAACCTAAATATAAATAACGATTTTAAATATTCTCATTAATACTTTTATTCGCTAAATTCTTAATTTACTGAACCTAATGAATCCTAAATGGGAAGGTAATATCTAAAAAATTAAAGAACAGAAAATCCAGTTTAATTAAATCAAATTTTCTTTCAAAAGGCAGGTAAGAATATTTGTATTATGTTAAGTGAAATTTCTATTATAGATTAGTGATTCACACATAATGAATACATATCTTGAACTTTAACATAAATTAGTTGATATTTAATTATTTTTGAATAATTATTTATTTCCATAAAGTTGCAAAGTTTATGATTTAGTTTTTTTGAGAATGAATAAATTAGTCTTTTTCACAAATATTTGATTGTAAATCTTAAGAATTATGGTCAATTTAACAATAACATAGATTTTATGATATAATAAATTATTATAAAATTAAAATTAAAAATAGAAGATGTAATTTTAGATATATCATTTTTCTTAGAGTTTTGATAATCACTCATTCAATAATTATGATATATCAATAATTTTAAATGATAATTAACTTATTCACATTTCAATATCCTTAATTGTTTAAGAGATATCTTTTAATCTGATTATGACTGGATGAAAGAAATAATTCATTTGATATTGAATTCCATTTGAAAGTTGAATGAATTTTTAAACATAATTTCGATTGAATAGATTATCTATGATATCATTTATAACCTGAATAAAGTTATTGATATATTCATATTAGTGTTATATATATAATAGAGTAATTAATTATTGTAAATTATTAAGGTTATATGTTATACCAGATAGTCTTAAGAAAAGTAAGTTTTTGAATTAAAAAGATGGAGGATAGAAGAATAATAAAAAGATAATTGAATAAATAAAAGTTTAATGTATGTTCATAAATGAATAAATATAAAAATGAGTATTAATTCGAAAAGGAATTTAAAAAAAATTCAAAGATTTTTTTATATATTAAATGTCTCACAGAAAGTTTGAAGCACCCAGACATGGAAATCTTGGATTTACACCAAGAAAGAGAACAAAGCATCACAGAGGAAGAATCCGAGCTTTCCCAAAAGACAACAAATCTTCTCCAGTTCATTTGACAGCCTTTGCAGGATTCAAGGCTGGTATGACCCACATCTTGAGAACTGTTGAAAGACCAGGATCAAAATTGAATGGCAAGGAGGTTGTTGAAGCCGTCACTATCGTTGAAACTCCACCTTTGGCTGTCGTCGGTATTGTCGGATATATCGAAACACCAAGAGGATTAAGAGCTTTGACCACTGTTTGGAGTACTAAGATTGCCAAGGACACATTGAGAAGATTCTATAAGAATTGGATCAACTCAAAGAAGAAGGCCTTCACCAATTACAACAAGGCTAATGTTGAGCCAAAGAATTTGGAAACTCAATTAAAGAGAATCGTTAAGTAAAAATAATTGCAATATTCTAAGGTATTGCTAAGTTGTCAGAGTCATTGTTCACACTTAAATGAGCAAATTGAACTTAAGATAAAAGAAGAATCACGTCTTTGAAGTTCAAGTCAATGGAGGCACAACAGAATAAAAAGTTAACTATGCCAAGGGATTATTAGAAAAGGAAGTCAAAGTAGATTAAGTCTTCAAATAAAACGAATAAATTGACGTTCTCGGTGTCACCAAGGGTAAGGGAGTTGCTGGTGTCATCAAGAGATTTGGTGTTAAGCATTTACAAAAGAAAACCCATAGAGGTTGGAGAAGAGTTGGTTGTATCGGAGGATGGCATCCAGCCAACGTTAGATACAGTGTTGCCAGAACTGGTCAATTGGGTTACCATCACAGAACTGAAATGAACAAAAAGATCTATAGAATTGGTGCCGCTGGAGATAAGAACACTGCATCTACCGAAGCCGATTTGACTTCAAAGGCAATCACTCCATTGGGTGGTTTCCCACACTATGGTGAAATCAGAAACGATTTCCTCATGCTCAAGGGAGGTATTGTTGGCCCCAAGAAGAGAATCGTCTTGTTGAGAAAGTCTCTTGTTCCATAAACTAGCAGAAAGGCTTTGGAAGAAATTACTCTCAAATTTGTTGATACATCATCCAAAATTGGACATGGTATTATCTTAATTCTATTTTATTAGGACGTTTCTAAACTCAAGAAGAGAAGGCCAAGTTCTATTTCACTAGAACCCAAAGAAAATTAAAGTAATAGTAACAATAATGATGTATAATTATATAAAGAAACACATTTCATAATCTTTTTATATTATATTAATCTTTACTATACTTTTAATATATCAGAATCTCAACTTAGAAAACAGGAATCTTGATTAAGCTTTTTTGTCTGCTAAGCTTCCAGCTGGTAAGGTTCTGTACTTTTCAGCCAAATACTTTCTCAAATTCTTTCTCAATTCCTTTCTTTTTTCAACATTCTTCAATTCAGATTCTTTGACTCTCTCAATTCTATCTCTGACTTCCTTTAATGTTGATTCTTCTAATCTATATCTATATTTAGGTAGTTATTTGTACTAACCTTGTTGGCATAATATGATTTAAGTTTAATTGTTTAATGAACACTTTTAATGTGGTTCGCTTTCTAATTTATTTTTATCCCATTCTCTTTGTTACTTTTCTTGGATATCTTTGTATTCCTACAACCAAACCATTTGGGAATTTGCAGTCCTAAACCATTGTTTTTATACATACTTTTGTAGTTTCTTCATTAGCCTTAATTAAAATTGCTTTTTTTCCAGCATATCTGCCTGCAAGCATAACAATCAATCTTCCTGGCTTTAAACTTATATAAGAGTAATTCTTACAATTTTCCCATTTCAAAACTCTAAATAAATCTTTTTAATTATTTAATGCAAATTCTTTAAATTTCATAAACACAAAATATTCCATTTATAAATTTATACATTCACACATTAACTCAAATCAACAACATCAGTAAACTAACAATCAAGAAGGTCACACTATCAAATATATACTTAAATTAGACATCAATCAATCCTCCAGCATTTTCATAACTGTGAATTTGTGTAAATTAAATTTGGATATAAAAATTAAACAGGAACATCAATTTGAAAAGATTATTTGAATTTTTCACTATATTAATATCAATTTAAATAATTACCTTATCTCTCATTCAGCTCTCCATATTTACATAATTTCGGTCCCATGTATCTGATAAAAACTAAACCAGCCAAATAAGGTCCCAATAAAAAAAGGGTCAATAACAAAGGGTTAAACCATAAATGGAACTCTTTGACACCCACAAAGGCTCTGTCCACTTTGATTGATGAGATTGTACATCTATTTCCAAAAATGAACCAAGTTATTTGGCAAATTAATGTCATTATGGCAAAAAATGATAACATCGAAAATTTCAACAAATTCCTCCAGTGATAGTATAAAAAGATGAAAATTAATATTTCATATGAGTATATGGCTAATCCATATTTGTCTGATACTACTATGCATGAAAGTAATAAAAAAATTGGATCCCTTGAGAAGTAATAGTATAGAGAAATTACATAGATAATTTTTGGAATGTGTAGGATTACAAATTCTGAATATGGTTAATCTTATATCGTTGCATCAGGATAAATATAAAAAATATCAATTAGAATTAAACCAAATTGTCCTATTATTTTATCTAAAATATTGCCTTTTTTCTAATACATAAATAAGCAACTATGTAAAAATAATACAGGAATGTATAGGATGTATTCTTATCCAAGCAAAAATTCATAGTTTTAGAATGCTAAATAATATTATTCAAAATTTAAAGCATAGTAAATAATAATAGCACTTAAACAAGAAGTAACACCGTCTTTGATTTTCTTTATACTTGAAGCATCCTCTTAAGTATCAATTAATCTTGAAATACAATTGAATATACAAATCACTGAACTTAAAACTAAAAGTTCGATAATTTCATTATACAAATATCTTTCCTCAAACTTTTTTTGTTGAATTGATAATAATAATTGACCTTGAAGAATGACTTTGTAAATAAAAAAGATCAATAATAAGATTTAAAGTACTTTAGAGAATCGATTAGTATTTAACCTAATTGTATCTGGTTTTTCTATTAAATCCCATTGATATTAATTGAGGTTTTAAATGTGGTTTTTTTTGATTTTGATGAAAATTGCAAAATTAACATATATCATTAACAAAATAAGTATTATTGTTATTAAAATTTCTATTTCATAAAATACATATAATAAGGCCGATGATATGGCTAAAATAATTGTTACTTACTTATTATTTGAAAATATATGCTTAAGAGCTACAGTAATTTATTAAATTGTTATAGGATCTTCATTTTCTTAGGCTTAAAATAGGATGATCATAACAAAAATGAAGAAGATCATAACTAAGAATTGCAGAACAAAACTTAAGTTGAGTAATGGAATATCATATTCATTCCATATTTTTCTAGCCACAATTTAAATGTCATTCATAAGAATTAAAGCATCTTTGCATGTCTTAACATCTGAATACTGATTTTACCATTAATTTTTTTAAAAGTAACTAAACTTTCCTTGTCGACTGTGTACAGTTTCAACAAAATGCCATACTTATTTCAGATTATCAAGACAATGTTCTTCACTATTAAAAAACTCATTCATCAGATATCCAAGGTTACTAAAAGGTATTGGAATTCCTAAAAGAGTGGCTAATGTAGGCACAATATCAATTTAACTAATTTTCCTAATATATTCAGATTAGTTGATTAAGGTTGATTGATAATTATCCTTTAGCTCAGGAATATGTTCCATATACTTAGGATAAAACTTTCCTTATTTCCTAGTTGCAAAAAATAATGTGTTAGTCTCTTCTGTGCTATTTCCCCCATGATTGCCATCATTCGCCATCCCATGATCACCTGCAACAATTAGAACAGTATCATTTGACATTCTTTAGTAGATTAGGTAAATGATTTAATCTAATTGACTTAATTTTTAATCTAAATTAGGATTATTTAAGACTCGATTATTCTTATGACCAGCATGATCCAAACCCAAAAAATGAGATACAATTAAATCATACCCATTATCTAAATTCTCCAATATTTTATCACAATTAAATTGATCCACAGAATGCATATCTCCAATATTAAATGATTTTTGAGGAAACTAAACTGTAAATTAATCAGGATAGAGTCCTACCCAAGTATCATCTCCTGAAAAAAGAGTCTTCTTATTAAATTTCTTCATTTGAAACATTATGTTATCTTCTTTAATCTAAAATAGTTTAATAAATACTTCTGAAGCATGAAAATTATCCAACAATTTGGATAAAGGGGGAAAATTTCCACTTGTCATTGCTTGCAATCTTGGGCCTGTAACAGTAGGAACTTCTGCAAAAGATAAAAAAAATAAAGATTAATCTGGATGGGTTTAGGTCGTATTTTTGATAAAAGTGAAATGTTCACTCACTGCTAAATCAATACGGAATGAATCAATAACTAAAAGTATTACAGGTTATGTAGGTTTCATAGCTCCCTCAGTTGTATCCAATAAGTATCTACGATCTATGAAATATCCTCTAAAAAATAAAAGTAAACCAAGCAATTAGAAGGCAACAAGAGTAATTATCAAGCATTTTGTTTATTTCATTTTAATTTTAATATTAAAATTAACAATAATATAAATCTATAAGAATAAAGTTTGATTCCAAAATCAACAAACATTTATAACATATTTATAATATTGTACTTAAATCTCAAAAGATTAAATCGTGAGGTCTTGTTGTTTTTCCAATGCTGAAACGAGCTCCCAAATATTGTTTCAACAATGATGTCTTTCTAATTGTAGCAACCAATGCATCATCAATTGATTTTTGAGTCTTTCTTTTCTCGTCCAATCTCTTTTTCTCAGCCACTTATTATTCTTCAGTTAACTTAATAATCAATAACTTTTATACTTCTCCTCTTTTAGCCCAAAATCCTTTTTCATTCTTTCTTCTTTATGCTTCGGTTCTCTTGAAGTACTCATCTTCGATTTTGCTAGCATCGACTCCCTTAATATCAACTTTTGTTGATGTTGGGATAACATATGCTTAATTCACTCTCTTAAGTGGTACACCATTGATTTTGAATGGTCCTGTGACAAGTAAGAGTCCTGATTTAAGTTGCTTCAAAAAGACAACTCTCTTGCCTTAAAATCTACCAGCCAATAAGATTAACACCTATCCTGGACTAATTTTTCTCAATTGAGATGGTCTTGGAGCCTTTATTCATTTAATATCTGTATTACTTTTCTTCTTCTAACGAAGTGGACTTTCTCATCATCTGATTTGTACCAATTTCCGATTCTAGTGGTTCTCTTTTTTGCTGGCATTGAATAATATATAATTTAATTTATTTTAAATCTAATTTCAAATTTAATTATCCTTATTCACCTGGAACACTTTATTGTTTATAATGAGATATCAGTCTCTACATGTAAACTTTAATTATTAGCTCTCCCCATATCCTATTTGTTTTCCAAAGGATATTTGAAACTGTTCAAATTAATATTAACTGATAAATGTATGTATCCACCATTCAAATTCATCGATATTTTCTTTAAGGATTAGAATTAGATTTCGAATATAACTAGAATTAACTTCTCTAAATGATATACCAATAATCTTAATATTCCTAAGTCAGTATCCTAACTTTAATTTTTATTTCCGTATAAATCAATGTTATTAAACCCAGTATTTTTGTTATTATCATGGAATCGCCATTCTTAAAACTACTTGTTATTCTAAGAACAATTGGAGGAATGAATAAAAATTTTAAGGCTGTAATTTATCCCAAAAAATTATTTATTTGTATGACTACATTCTTGATGTTTTATATCATATTGTCATATGCTAATGATGATGATTTTTATAATAATATATTATAATATCACCATATTTTGAAGAATTAAAGATTAGCTTCATATTTGTAAGCTTTCTATTCTGTTTAAACATTTATTGTATACATAATAAGATTTTTCTTATATTGTAAGAATTTGATAAGTATGATAATTTATTTTACGAGATGCTTTTCTTTCAAAATTTGTAAAATCTCGCCTTTAAGTTTCTTCTTTTTTTAAATTGATTTATGCTTTAATATTTATAATCTTTCCTTACTTCAACATAATTCTTTATAATAAAAGAGTTTATTCACCCTTATGTTTATAAAAATTACAAATTATCGGTACATGAAATTTACTCTGTGGATTATAAAAAGTTCCTTACTCATTATATACGTTTAAAATTCACTATAACTCTTAATTCACTAAAATTTTAGTATATTCCCTTGCATTAATTTATAATTTAGTGTTCTAAACAGGTTAATGAAGAAAGTTCACAACTAAAATCTTTTCTTTCAGGGCATAACTTAGATTTATGATTAAACACATATAATTCCAAATAAAATAACATAAGTATAAACTCATAGGTAAAGTTTGGAACCTCTTCAGCTATTACAAGTATTTGTTTAAGTTGTGCTTCTTCTTCTCATAATGGTACTATTAACTAAGTTATACATTAAAGTACATACCTATTGACTATAAATTAATTTCCCCCCATTAGTAGATTAACATTTTTCTTGCTCCTTAATTTTTCAATTGATATATATATTCATTGTTTTTTTTATTTGACTCTAGGATAATTGGCTTCTCTTATTTTCTAATATGACAACCCATATGAGTAAGTTTTCTATTGATAATATTAAATAAGATTTATTGATAAACAATATAAATTTCCATTATGTAGTGTAAATAATGAATATTTTTTACTTCTGTATTTTTCAAATTATTAAGAATTTCTTGTTCTACATGCCTTAATTAAAATTTAAAGGTAGAGATAGGAAAATAAAACATAGAAGTTGCCTAAATTTAAATAGAAAAATTTCTTTCAATTGTAAATTCTATTTGTATAGATTTGTGTGGATTCTCTTCATGGTCATTTTAAACTGCATAAGCCTTTCCTTAAGTGAAAAACAAAAAATCAATCGATAAAACTGAATAAAATACAATAAAAACAAAGAAAAAATTAAATATTATCATGATTATATGAAAATTAAAATCATTAATCATATTATATATCTTCAAAATAAAATATTCATGTTTTTTTAAAATGTTTTTAGGGAACCTTTCTTTTGATTTTGATCTTAAAGCTATTTCCAATAAATTACTCAGAGATTCTCATTCTAAATGTTATTATTGCTAACATGGATGTCTAATTTCAGTATGTTTCAGAAATTAATGATTTCCTTTTTATACTTTTGATATTATTAAAAATTAGTGAATAATTGTAGATTCTGTACATAAAGTCAGAATTCATTTACATAATAATTGTTCAATATTTTAAATTGCCAATTTAAATTTAATTTATTCTAGGTATTTATTAATATAATTTTAGCAATTATATACTGTTTTAAATCAGTAGGTCAACTTCCATAAAACTTCTCCTATTATCCAAATTTGTTGCATCAATTGTTCAACCCTTTTTTTGGAGTTATTCATATTTAAGTTCATTTAGGAAGCAGTATATTTCATAAAATACAGAATTTAGTTTTTAGGAATATGTAAAGGATGCCATGATGATCGTATGATCAGGATTGTTTTATTTAAATAATTAGAGTTTATCAAACATATAATTATTTATTTTCATTTTTCTAATATTCCTAATCCAGTACACATTCCAAAGCATTATAAACAATATAGTATCATTGCCAATATAAAATATAAGATTGTGAATTTTCTCAAGTTTCCACATGGTTCATCAAGGTAAAGTGCGTACTAAAAAAAATTAGATAAAGTACAGCAATTAAAAAGGTAAAAATAATTCCAATAATTCCAGAAAGAAGTTAAATTTGATCAACTCCAGTCATACAGCTTTTATCTTTCAATGCAACTGAGGCAAATAAGAATAATCTATAATAATAAATGGGAACTAACATTAACAAAGCTGCTATGGTGAAACAAAATATCCCATAATAATGTGAATATGTTCTTAATAAAACGCAGTCGCTACTTTCTAAATAAGATGATCTAATAGTTGTTACCGAAATGCTTTTCCGTAGAACTCAAATACAAAAAGGATCCACCGATCACAGAAACAACGATTATTGTTAATACTGTGATGTTTTGCCTTGTTTGGGAATTCATTAAATAAATTTTAATAATAGAAATATAACAATTCAAAAATCCTAAGATAGAAACCTAAATGGTAACCCTAAGCTCTTTATAAATTCAAACTAACTGTTCCATTCAAATTAATTTATCTAACTGAGATTCAAAAAAAAATCCAGCATTCATATGGTAATTTTAATAAAAATACAAAATTTTAATATCAAATTAAACGTATTCGTTTTAAATATAAGGTGTCTTATTAGCAATAAAAAACTCAATTAAAAATTAAAAAGTTAAATTGCAATGTAGTTTAGCTTGAAATCTATTGTAGTTCAAATCTGAAATTGGAAATGTATTTAAAAAATTGGAATTTGAAGATTTTGTAATGATTTAGTGATTTTTAATTTATTCCAATCGAAAATTAGTTAATCAATAATTCAACGAATTATCATATTAAATTAAGGTAGGCTTTATAGAATAGTATTATAAAAATTTGATTAAGTCAAATAATGGTACTGCATCAATTAATTAATTTATATTAGTGTTTAATAAAAATTATTTAATTTAACTTAAATAGTTTACTTGAGGCAGTTAAATATAATGGGTACTTTGTGCATTTGATATATGAGTATGGATTGAGATTGCATATTTTGATTTAAAAAACAAATAATATATAATAATAATAAATAATGATAAGAATAGAAAGTAGATGTATGATCAAATTTAGTATTAATTAATAGGGACTTAGGGCAGTTCTTATGTTTCTTTAATTGAGTCAAAATTCTTAGTAATAGGTGATTAATGATCAACCTTCTTTTCATTCAATAGATATGATAACAAGCTCCCTGGTGGCTATACTTCTTTTCTGTTGTTGTTATCTAGTGATTCGTGCTTCTTAAGCAAAAATTAATTTGTATTGTAAGGAGAACCAAGAGACTCCCCATTAATGAAAATGATGTAAATTTTTTTTTTGATTTTTTTCTTTATACCTAAGACTTTCTTTGACTTCATTTAACCTTCCAATGTTGTAGATTTCGAAAAATGTAGGTATATTGGTTGATTTCTCTCTATTTTATTTGTTATTACAAAAATGAGTTGTCTGCGTTTTAAATCAGAGAAAACCGAGGGGGGTATGCATTTCATTAAAAGGGTTATAATATTATAATATGTAATTTAACAAATACTAGAATTCTAAGTTCAATTTTGAAAAGGCATAATAAAATAAGTTAGGGATCAAACAAGCAAGGAAGCAGAATAAATATGAAATGTAGTGTGTTGTTTTATTTTGTTTTGAAATATTAATGAATGTGATAGTGAGTACTTGAATAAATCCTGGTATTTTAAAGATTTTGAGATGATTCTTGAAGTTGATTAGTGGAATTTAGTAATTAAATTAAAAATTTAGATCATGGATTCTATCATCAAAAAAGTATTAAAGGTTTAAAAGTTGTGATTTAATTGATTATGTAATAATAATAAAAGAAACCAAGTTGGATTCAATAATTGTTTTGTGGGTGCGTTCGAGAAGAACCTCTTCATTAAGACCAGAAAATACAACGGTTGTCAAGTAAAATGGAAATTTAGAAACAAAAGCCTGTGAATCTAACTTCTATGTAACAACAATCTGAAGGTTGGTTGAATAAGACTACATCTCAGGAGGTTGATTATTCAGCAGATGTAGAAAGGGATTTGGATTTAGATGAGGATCAGGAAAAGATTTATAACAGACAACTTTCCTATTTAGAGCAAAATTCCCAGCTTCAAAAGACAAGTTTTTCGGATGTAAATATTATGGAATAAAATAGGAATTCAATTCGAGTAATATTGAAATGAAGTTATTGCATCGGATAGGTGGGTTATTATCAAGATAAAGCAATATCTAAATAGAGATGTAGTCACATTAATGGATAATGAAAATATTTAAAGATGTCCAATTAGTTGTGCAAGACAAGGAATTTGAATAAAAATTTAAATCTTAATTGATCAATTCTGCTATCGTTGACATCATGAACTAGAGAATTAAGACGAACACTATCTTATTGGCTCATGATCCAACAGGATCCATATTACTAAAATTGGCAAGTCCGAGTAGGAAGATCTAATACTTATAATAGGATAAGACTTTCTCAAATATCATAGAAAGGGGGATTTGTATGTTGAAAGTGAAAGTGGACAAAGTTTTAAAAATGGATTTGGATTAAAAGGTAGATGTTGTCATTGTGAATTTATATTATGTTGACTGCAGAGATAATCTAAAGAACATTATGTATGAGTATCTGCAGTATGCTCATGACATTATTGTTCTTTTACAACCAAACATAGAAAATTCCATAATCTATGATTCTGCTGAGTAAGCTATCTCATTAACTGAACAAGCTAATTAAAATTGCAGTGTTGAACTGTAATGTTTGACTGATAGCAATAACAATAATATAGCTAAATTGCTATATTATGGTGGGATCACAGAAGTACTTATTTTGGTGATTATGTTAGATTACATTAAATGACGAATTGAACTTTGTTTACTCTTGCATTGATTCCTCAATAAAGAAACAATATAATTATAAGCTCTTATTTAGAGATTTAAGAAATCAATTAGGTATGAGCAAGCTCATCAAAATGCTTAGCCAATTTTAGATCATTTCAGGAATAGGATCCTTTCCTGATTTCGTCACTAGTATAAATGGCAGCATGAACAAATATTAGATGATGAATTTACAAACTAAAGATTTTGAAAATGAGAATCAAGATGCAAAACATAAGTTAAGTGAATTGCAGTCTTCATCCTCATCAACCGAGTCAGAGCCTGAAGATAATTTGGATAAAATTGGTTCATTTAGTGAGTCATATAATCAATCTTAGATGTTGGAACCTCTTTAGTCCAAACATTGCAATTCATAACACTTTAATATTTGATTCATTACATTGTTTATAATATTCTAAAATTAAAATGTCATATAACTCTGGGTTTCAGAATAGATAATAACTACAGTAATACGAACAGTTATTATAATTGCTTCTTGTCACCTTAAACAAGAGATTGGTCAAATTTTATTCAAATGAAGATTGTGATGAATTAGCATTTCGTAATATTTTTCAGAGAATCATGTCTGGCATGAAATCATTAGAGAAATAGTATATATTAACGGCTTAATCTAATAGAAAATTTATGCCACCTCGATTTAGTGAGACAGTTAGAAATTTATTTGAGATTTTGAAATTAGAAGAACAGCATGAAGTATCATAACAACTATTTAGAGTGAAAGGTTATATATGAATCCATAATTTGATTTAATCTCACGATAAGCCAATATTATAATGAACCATGATAAGAAGCCTACCTAAAATCTACAATACTAATTATCAGAAGATCAATAAGAGATGCCACCTCATCCATTAATTCAAATAGACCAGAGATAAGATTCAAATAAGTTGGATGTGGTTTTTGAGAAAGTGGATAAATATGAGAAATTCGGTAAACTAGATTAAATTGATAAAAATAAAAAATATGAAATTGGTATAACCGAAACGACGACTCCTAGAAAAGTCCGGGAATCATTGCAGCAATAGCACATGTGTTAATAATAATAATAATTCAATTTGATACCAAAGGATTTCATTAACTAAATAGAAGAATGCGTAACTAGAAATGTGTTAGATAAATTGAATCTACCAAAAAAATCTAAGAAGAAGAAATAAAGATCATCTTCTAATTAATTTTAATTCAGATAAGTTCTTTTGTCAGCAAGTGATAAATAGAATTCATCTTTTTAATCAACTAAGAGAAAATTTAACAACTTAATGTGAATTCAATATTTTATATTTTTGTTTTCAATTATGCGAATGATATAACTCATTTTCAAATTGGCAATAGCCAATAATACCATTCAGGTCCCAAAATTTCTTTTAAATTGTCCCAAATATTGATGTAAAAAGAATTAGTCTTTTATTTCTTCTCATAATACTCAATAGTCGTTTGATTATTGGCAGCTAACCTAAGAATAATGGCCAAAATCTACCTTACATGATGTAAGAAAAAGGGGAAAAACAAAATGAATAGTGTAAAAATACTGTGATAATATGTGAACTTAGTTATTAATTGAAAATCACTCTCTTCAATTGCTAATATGTATGTCTTGAAATATGTGATCAAAACTAGTATTATACATAGATCTTATTGAATGATATGATTGTTACTTATATAGAATATCAACATCATAAAGTATTTATAGTTCTGCATACCTATGCAAATGTTTAGCCACATACAGTGATGATCCATCCTAATTACACATTATTTGCATTGGCTACAATGATGGGCTCTTAATGGTTTGTATGATTAGCAAGTCTTACATATTTTTATCCCCTTGCTTTCTAAGACCTTAATGTTCAGCATATGTATCAACTATTCCTCTGATAATGGTTGATTGCATTAATTCTAATCTAAAAAGTCAAGCAGTCTATCTTCACTCATCATCAACAACTTGAGCTCCTCTTGTAACTCATTAAATAACTATGTTTCTAACTTATCCTTTATGCTCTCGACTTCAATTAATACTTACTTGATCAACGTATCCAGGACCAAAACGAATTACTTAGATTGCACTCAAAACCATTAAAAGGACAACACATCCAACTATTAACTATATATACACTTCTTGCATTGACAAGTATGTCTATAAGATAATATGCATACAATATAATAGAATGAGCACATCCCAACAAAAAACATTGAGAATAACACAGGTGGCAAATATTTTAAAAACATTAATTATTATTTCTAGTAAATTTTCAACATAATATAATTCAACCTCTAAACAATTCCCAACCATCTAATCCAAACAAAAATATATTGGATTTGCCAAAGTTATAATAAATTATGAAAAAACATTTTATTTGTTATAATCACAACAAAAGGCCCTATAAAGTAAATAAATTTTGCTTATGCGCTCCCACTTGAAATTCAAATTGCCAAAACTTAAATACTATAATCTTATTCTGTTGAGATTCCTTGTAATAATGGAACAATATATAACACAAAGCAGTCTACTAATATTATGTAACTAAAACCTTCAAAATTATGTTAAAAACACAAAAAACTAGTGTCATTCTAACAATTGGATCACCTGCCTCTCCCCATGTAGGCAGAGTTTTATCAGTGCCACTCCACCAATTCTAATATTTAATCAAGAATTACTTTGTAGATGCTAATCCACACGATATCATAAATTACGCTCAAAATAGTTAAAGCACCTACAATTTTAATATAGGTAGACTCCAAACAGTCTCTACATACGATTATCATATACAACATTGCTAAGATTATCTAACTATATATGTATTTTTACATCTAAATAATCTGGACGAGCAAAACACTAAAATAAGGCCAAAAGCAGCATAACCATATATAAGATAAACCCATAATATAATTCATCTGATAATTCATCTTAAACAGTAGGATCAGGTTGATGAATTTGAATATTTTATTATTGTTGAGGTTACATTTAATATGGTTTCTATTATGGAGTAAAATTCTATTGCTATTGATACAGAAAAGCTTGATTTTGTTAAGGCAAAGAATTGTTTTAAGGTTGCTTTAATGATTATTATAAATTATTTCTAAGGTTGTTCTCCAAAAATGGCTATTGAATTGTCAATAAATCTCTTTAGTAATCATCAATATCAATTTAGCTTTATTAAATGGTTTGCTCGTATTTAAGAATCATCTCTTAGTGATATTTTAACTAATTATAGCAATCTCTATACTTTGTTATGAATCCATTGAGATTCAATTTATAAATAGGTTTGTAATTGTTATTGTCTCTCGTTAACCAATTATAATTGTTAAGAATGAACCTATTGATCATGCATTTCACCCAAATCTAAATGACTTTACCCAATTAATATTCTTCTCTAGTTTCTATCCTATACAAATAATTTTATTAAAATTTCTTCAGAACCAGTTTAAATTTGACTTATTATTAAATTAATTATACAAATTTAATTGTTAGTTAAAAGTGGGATTATATTTATCGCCTGTCGACATTTGGGTCTAGACCTCAGCACCATCCAAGGCTATGATGACAAAACTATATTAATAATCAGAGTATTGAATGTTATGAGCCTGTTTAATCACAATTATCAATTGAGAGTCTCTATCTACTCCCTAAGGGTTGAGTTTTTAATTATCTTTTTATAAATATCTAATACATTGTAACTCTTATGCTAATTGTTGACATTCTCTCAACTCTTCTCTGTATTATTGCATTTGCTATTCTGTCTGATTTATTTTTTTCTTCAGCACTTTGTCTGCTTCTATAATAACTTATGCAAAATCTTCTAACTAGACCTGGCCTCTTTGATTTGGTTAGCATTGTTCAAATAATTGTTAAGCAACATCTCGATCATATAATGATCCAGTCTATCCTATAAATCTTAATACTTACAAGCTTGTCAAGTGCAGAAAACAATTATTCTTTTTAATAAGCTTATCCTTATGATAATCCTGTTCTTTAGAAGCCATTCAATATCAAATTAATTGTTGGGATATATTGCAACGACATATTATATTTAAATTTTTATATATAAATAATTATATTTTTTGTGCTTTTATTTATTTCATCACAACACTTAGAATTATGTGAAAATGTATGAGATAAATAATTAAGTTTATATCTAAAATGATGCTTATGATGAACATTATATTAATTACTATTAATCATATCTATATCTTAATTATGTGATGAGCAATTGAAGTTCTTAAAATAATTGATTATTTTTATTACGAAAATGGTTAGTTTTTAATGGCTTATATGTATACAATTTATGGAAAAATTTAGAATCAATTAATTAAGCCAACTCAATCCATTTCTTTTTGAAGCTTTTCATAAATCAGTAAATTATATCCAAATATTTTATATTCATATATTCAACTTGAGATATTTATGAATTTTGTTATGTATTACTAACGTTATAAATGCTGATATATTAGAAATTTATTTCAGATGAAGAGGAAAATAGATGAGGAATCAACATAAATAATAAAATTGCGTTCTCAGACTTTAATATTATGATTTATATTTAATATATATCAGATTAATGCTACAGCTCTATTTAATAATTGATCATTAACATCGTGAACCACTTCATTAATTCGCAATATTGTGATCCTTTATCTATGTCCCTAAGACTTTTAATATCTCTTTCTTCTCTTTTTTTTATAAACGAGTTCTTTTTCACTTAATGTTTATTATTCTACTGTTGCCAAAATTTTTGCATTCTCTACAAATGGTCTTCCTAAGACTGTGTAATCTTTAGCTCCAACCATCAATACTTGATCTAATTCAATTGTTGTGTTTATATCCAATCCTTCCATGTATTCTGTGATGATTTAATCATCCTTGACAACTTTATATTGGCTACTTCCAATCTTGCAGACTGCAAATTTAAGAGATGTTGGCAATTCAATTCCTTTCAATTAATCATGCACAATGAATTTGCATTCTTATGCCACAGGAGGTGTCTATAAGTCAAATAAAAAATAGCGAAATACCCTTTGTCTTTCCAATTCTTAATGTCGAGCTCTACGTTTTGCTTTCTTTTCTAAATCATTTCTCCATTTTTGAGTATACATGATGTATCTCTTATCAGTGAATTTGTTATTGTAAAATTCAAATATTTCAGCCCTGTCTCTCTCTTTAAAGTACTCGCTAAAAGAGAAGAGTCCAGGTTGAATAATTAAGGACCTTCTAAATAATTATTTGATCATTAATTAAAATAATTAAGCAAGTTAGTAAATGGAGGGTTTGATATTTTTATTTTGTGTTCGAATAAGGAAATTCAGAATAAAAATGAATTTTTCTTACTCTTTATATTAAATTAAAGTTGCATAATCATGATTGAATAATATGACTGGAAATAGTATTGCGCAAAAATAATTAAAATCTTTTTTTAATTAGTTAATAATTGAGAAAGAATGTCTGGTATTTCATCAAAGTATATAGGAAGAGGAATCACAATATTCTGAACATCCTGGAGGTTGGATTGAATGGTTTTGCGCTCACGAAGATCATTCATTTTTATGCGAAGTAGATGATGATTTTATTCGCGATCCATTTAATTAAATTGGAATTAAGGGAAAGTTTGCTTTCTACAGGTAAAATTCACAAAGATATTTTAGTGAAGCCATCAATATGATTTTGCAATCTACCTCACCTGAAGATTAAGACTTAGAAGATGAAAGGTTTTCTTATTTTACATCACAAAAGATTTTTAGAGGTTTATTAAGAGGCATCTGACATTTATGGTCTGCTTCATGCCAGATTCATATTTACTTCGAAAGGATCTGCAATAATGCGAGAAAGATTTTTGTAGGGAAAATTCGGTCATTGTCCTCGGATATATTGTGAGAAGCAGAATGTCATCCCTATTGGGTTGTGTGAAGATTTAAAAACAGCAAGAGTTAAGGTTTAAAATTAAATTAAAGCATATAGGTGTTTTGTCCACGTTGTGAAGAAGTTTACATGCCAAAAAAAAAGTGTGCTGATATAGATGGTGCATATTTTGGAAAGTCATTCCCATAATTTTTGTTGATGGTTAATATATCTATTAAAATACTTAGACATATCCTGATTTACATCCTAAATATTAACTATTACCAGACACTTAAATAAAGGCTAATTTTGAACCTACTCTATTTGGATTCAAAATTGCTGGTAAATAAGGCAGTAAAATTAAAAGGTTTGAATAATAATTGTAATTCAACCAAATTATTACTCAACCTATTGTTTAATCAACTGAAAAAAATGTTCTTTTATAGGAACATAAATAAATTAGAATATAATAATCATAATAATAAACATAGTAATAATAATAATAATAATAATAATAATAATAATAATAATCATAATAAGAATAGAATTCAGAACATAATCACAAAAAAAAAAATAAGAAAAAACATAAAAATTGATATTTAATATATTTGGTATTATATATGTAAATGTTAATATATTTATCTATGTATAAAAATTATACAAAATGCTAATCAAACAAATTTACGTTGCACTCCAATAATTCTTTTTATATAAAATACCTACCAAATACTAACAAACACTATAATTAAAGTTTCAATGATAGTGTAAATGAAATACTTCTTATTATTATCCCTCAGAAATTGATAGCCTCCTTCCCTTTTTTATTATGAGAATTTAGTGTCAAACATTAGATCATTTAGTCCAGTATATAAACTAGAGAGCTTTTTCTAAATTGGATCTAAATCTGCTTCCTTTATATGCTCATAAGTAGCATTTCGAACATCGATTGCAAAAGTAACTACATGATTGCTTTTACCCTCTGAATTAAAGGAGTATTTACATTTGCATTGCTGAACACAAATTTGTAGTTTCCAGGATTGGTGATATTTACAGAAAAAACGGCTTCTTTCTTCTATTACTTATTGTCAATAACCTTTCCTCTTGGATCTTTGATCTAATTGGGATTAATGGCTATCATACACTAAAATCTATTTTGTCCTTGTTCATAATTGATAAAAAGAATGCTCCTCTGATATTAGTTGGGTGTTTAATGTATTATTCCAAGACTTCCACTTCTCCCTTTTATAACTCAAATGATAACATGTCATCTGGAATGAAGTCAGCCATCTACCCTTCCCAATCATCCATTAATTATTTCCTCTCCTCATGATCTGTATTGTTGCTATTAGTCTCATTAGAGGCCAATTTACAATATGCAGATATTATGAATATTAAGAATAATTTCATTTATTATAATAATTATTTTTTAGTAATAATAATAAATTATTATGCAGATTAAAAGGAATAGGCCAAAAATGGGTGTTCCTAAGTCAACCATTCTGAATACTCCATAATCTACAAATCAGACATTGCGTAATTCATTCATGAGATAATATCATTGTTAGCAAGCAATAAATTGATTGGATAAAAAACAATACATGAACCTTTCTTAGATTAGAGCCAGAGTATAAATTTACATAAATAACAAAAAGAAATGAGGCAAACTTTCAAATTATCTCCTGTTTAATAATTGTTAAATTATTTATTACAACTTTTAGATCCCCTTTCAATTTGGATTCCACTTTCCGATAAAAAACACACATTTAAAAGACTGAAGGTAGTGCATCAGAACCACTTCTTAAAATAAATACGAAAAATCTTGAAATTCCTAAAGATAGACTCTTATTTGCCACAGAAACTAAACATATTTCTAAATCACTCGTCGACTTAGATGATGTTAAAAATTGTTTATATTTTTTAGCAATATGATTACATAAAAACATTTAGAGCAATACCTCTGTAAACGATAAAGGAAATTTATGATACTGATCGCAAAGAGATAGAAAGGTTATGTTCGGCAGAGAGGCATATCCCCATAGATTCAAGGTTAGCTCCAATCAGACCATAGTTATAATACCCTAATATTCCAGAATTTCGTAAATATTTTAAAGAAAATGAAAGATATTAAGAAATGCAGCAATTTTATTAAATTGATCCAAATATTTATTAAAAAATGACTGAAAAAGTATAGTACACATTCAAATATTAGATTAAATAAGAGAAACTAATGCCAAGAGAGATGAAACTATTCACAAACAATAATAATGACAAATTGATAGCAAATAATTTGTTAGGATCAGACATGTATGTAGATTTGTTCTCTGAAGGATTATCATCATCTCATTTTAGTAATTTGAAATCACTTTAAATGAAAAACAATAAGTTAAACAACAATAGAATAACTATGATAGCCAAAAATTTACCAAGTAGCATTATTGATTTAGATTTCAGTAATAATGCTATTGGTAACGGTGGTATTGCTAGCATTTGTGATTTCTTAAATTCTAAAAATTGCTATCTTTAAATATTGAATTTAGAAGATAATAAATTAAGAGATGGACCTATAATGACTATTCTTAAGACTCTTTAATAGAGTAAAACAATCAAAGTCATTAAATTCTCAAAAAATTATATTACTGATATTAGTATGGATTAATTTGGAAATCTATTGAAAACAGTAACTAAATTTATAAAAATAGAGTAATTCATTGTAAGAAGTGTACTTGCATTACAATTAAGTAAGAAATCAAGGAGGAACCGTATTTTTTAGGGCTCTTCTGAAGAATTAATATATGAAAGTGCTTGATTTCTCTTTTAATAAGTTAGGATAGCACAAAGAATGTGTTTAGATGATATCTGAGTAAATATTTTTATCCATAAAGTGTTTTAGGTAAACCACATTCAGAATTATCTCATCTCGACTTATCGTATAATAATTTCAATAATGAAGATTCAAAAATATTCCATCAAGCTATAATGTTTAATTAAATAATATACGGATTTCATTTTGAAGGCAATGGAGATTATTGCACTAATGCAAGGGGTTTTTTAGTGAATCAGAAGGAGATAGATTAGGAATATAGTGCTTTGGTTTCAAAATAATCAATTAGACTGTCTACACAGCAATTTGTAGATTAGAGTTTGAATAGAATAGATTTGAAAAATAAAATGAATAAGTTGGATCAACATTTTCAATTAGCAGATCCATCCTTATTCAAAAGAATCTAAAGCACAGATTATACTAATAATAAATCTAAAGATAATTGCTGGTTATGTGAGGGTTGGACAGAAATCAGATTTCAATATGTGGTTGGTAAATCAGGGAATATAAGTGATTATCCAATCTATTTACATTTAGACTTTGAAAATTATAGACCTATGATTATGGAATAGGATTAATAAATCTTTTTTTTATTAAGAATGTGTCCACCAAATAGAAAAATTAGATACTTTTTTAGTAATCCTTTTTTGGATATTCAATTTACGGCTAAAGATCAACGTATAACAGCATTAGATGATTTTGAGCCAATCAAAGTTCAAGGAATTCCTATGATTTATGCTGATACTTCTGTTGTATATAGTTAGAAAATTTCAATTGTAAATTATCTTTCAGCTACGATCAATAAGAAAGTACTTGACTCCTAAAAACATTATATTCCAACTGTGCTATCAAGACCTAGAGAATAAGAGAAAATAGTTTATATAGATCCTAATAAAGCAAAAGAGAAGTCGTGGTCAATTGAGAATTCAATCTTTCGAGATTTCTAAGCAGATACAGAAGGTCATCTTTTAGATTGCTTTGACTTTGATTTCGAATGTGGAAGACTGTAAAAACATATTCCTGATCCTGAAGATTTGGAAGTATTAAAAACAAAGGTAAAAGTATTCTACAAAAATATTTTGGCTTGTTATAAGTATTATTGTGCTGAAACTTTGAATTATGAGACACCTTGTTTAAACCAATAAAGTTTTATTGATTTCATATCTCAAACAAACATACTTTCAAAATCAATATTAAATAATATTGATTTATAATTAACTTATCTATCAAGTTATGTGGTATAGAAATCAGCAGAATTTATTCATGTTTTAGATAAATGTTTAGTTAGATATCAATTTCTTGAAATCATTATTCGTTTGGCAAAAGAACAATACTTGAGAACCAACCTATGCAACAATATAACTGATGCTTTGGATATGTTGTTTAAGTAGGATAAAGTACTAGATCTAATACAGGAATTCGGAGTTCCTTAGGATTGGCGAGATACCAGATATTGGACTTAGTTGATGGATTCAACTATTAAAATGAAGATCCAATTCTTATAGTTAATGTATGACTATGTATCAAAGATAACATTTAAACATAATAAATATGTTACTTTGACAGATTTCAGAATGTTTATTGAATAACTGGATTTAGGAAGGTTTGTCTCTGAGAAAGAACGTTACTTAATTTATCTTCAAAGTATGCAAACGTAAAGAGATGAATTGAGAGAGTCAAACCATCTTCAAATGCAATTTATAGAATTTGTAGAGGCTATAGCAAGATTAGCAGAGAAGATATCGCCAATCTCACCAATGTATGCTGTTCGCAATCCAACTGTTAATAAAATAATGAGGAAATCGTTGCCATTATTTGTTAAATTCGAGGGGCTTCTCTATATAATATTTTAAAAGATCAAATAAGGAATTACTACTAAAACGAACGAATAGTAAATTTAAGATCTAGAAAAAAATGTTATAGCTAAAACTATATTGAAGACTGTTCAAGCAAAGAAACTGGGAGTGTTTGGTATGTTTAAATAAATTATTATATTTTAGAGGAAGATAGAAGTTCGGACGAAGAAAGGGAAAAGGAGTCTAAAAATGTACCATTATTACCAGATGAGAAAGATTAGCAAGAAGTGAAAGAGAAGAAGGTTGCTGGAAGTGGTTGGAGCAAATTAAGGAATTGGGCAAATAAAAAAAAGTTGTAGAAACAAGGGAATCCAGAATAGATTAATATGTTAAAATAATTATAAACATATTAAGATGAGGAAGAAAGATTTGTCTAAGTGGAGTATGAATAAGCATCAATTTATGAGAAAATGGAAATCAAATAAAGATAAAAAATGAAACAAGAGTTTCAAAGAACTAAACTAAATTAAGATCCTACATTCAAATTTGAAGAGGAAGATGAAATTAAACGATTCTGAATTACAGAAACACACAAAAACTATATTTATTGTTATAACAATCATTCCCATCCATTAATAAATGAAAAATCAGATGATTAATGTTCATCTACAATTATTTGTAATTATTCATTAACGTTTGGATTTATCCTTTTTTTTTAATTAGATTTTGTTTTAGTATGAAACGAGATTCTGCTTGCAATTCTAATATCATCGTATTCTACTTGTTAACGATTTTATAATTATTATAATTAATGTTTGATAAGTCTATTTTTTTTGTTTAAGAATGGAATTTTCATTGTATCTGGGATTTAAACACGATAAAACTGTCTAGATTCCCTTTTATTATCCCTCGTATTTTAACTTTATAGATTCCTATTATTTTCAATAGGATAAACAAAATATGATGTATTTACTCTCCTTCTGTTATACTATTTTCTTGTTTACTAATTGTTTTGATCTTTTGAGATCTCTAAATTAAACAACCCTTTTTTCGTCATATCCTAGGTATGGTTTCCGAAATCAAGGTTATAATTAGTGAATAATAGATTCTCATCTATTTCTTTAATTTGAGAATACTTGAATTAGAATGAATTCAAAGTCTGATTGAATTGATGACCATTACAAAAAGTCTTATTATTATTGAGATTATCAGTTTTGTAATGTGAAGATATCTTTTGAGTATGAATTTTCATTTTCAGAAATAATATTAATCAAATGAATAACTATAATCTAAGAAACTCCTCTCAGAAATAATTGAAGACCCTTTCAAACTAATTTTAATTCGCCCCTGTTTTAAAATCTATTGAATAACTGAAAACAGAAGGAATCTAATATTATTATCATTAAGGATATGAAAGAAAGGCTCTGCATAAAATGTTTAATCTTAATACAAAAAAAAGACATATCTAAAGATATATCAATTAATAACTCACTAATGCAGATTTAAATGGAATTTCTCTTAAAACCAGCCAAATTGATAGATTTAATTTGTATTAAAAAGGCTTAACGGAGTATTATATAATTCATGATAATTTAGTGAATTACAGGCAAATTCTAAAAGCTATAGCAATTTAAATCGATTGAAAAAGACAGAATTCTAGGCTAACTCTACGGAATAACTCTTTGAATACAAAAATGCAAACTATAGAGATCTACGCATTACAATAGGTAAGGGAATGCAATCCATCTAACCTGAAAATACGCAAACCAATTAGAATAGGATTCAAATGTCAAAGAACTTGACAAAACAAAAAAGAGAAGAACAATTATTATAAGCTATTAGAAAAGATAATTTATTTCCAATTGTTTACAAGTCAAATATTTTTTCCAATTGAAATTATTTACTAATTAAATTATTTATGAATTTTAAGTTCAAAACCATCAGACGAACCAGAAATGCTTTGAATGCTCAATAAATCTATTGGGAAATAATTAAATTGAAGAAATATTTCAGAGTGAAAACTATTTTTGGAGAAGAGAAAAAAGCAGAGATTATTATTCATAGAACCCAATTGCCGAACAAATATAGAACTCATGATATGAGCTTATTTATTGAGCAACATCAAGAAACATAGAATATGTTCTACTATATTGCAATAGGATTATTTAGCTTTTCTTTTATGCATTTCTATGCAAAAATGTTATATGATGATGATACCAGATATTGGGTCAGCATTCGATATCCAAACCATATGAAATAGTTTGATATTTTCAATGCTCAAATTTAGAATCAATATGATAATGTTTTAGAGAAAGTATTCATCAATAATAATATTTAGTTGTAATTAAAGAATAAAGACTTGAGTGGAGCAGTAGGATATCATAATTTGAAACAAGGAATTAAAGATTTATTCAAAAGAGAGACTAAAATTATTGATTTTGAGACTACAGACAAATCCATAGAGGGATTAGATAGTTTTTTATAAGAGTAAGATAAAAAAGTACTTAAATCAATTAAATGAATTTTATATTTGATCAACTTAATCATTAAATCGATGATATCATAAATCATTACAATCTGTCGAGAATCCCAGCCTTGTAACTCATATCTGTGATCATTAATTATTTGGTTGGAGATACCAGACAAAGCTGTAGCGTTGATAAAAAAGAAGACATTTATAAAACCATTTTAATTATCAAAAATCACCTAAAAAACGATCCAACCTTGAAAATGAGTTTATACAATGCTGATCAAACAGTTAATAAAAATGATTTAACATTGAAAGATATTGACATACATTATAAATGCAAATTTGAATTGAATGAAGTTAAAGAAAAAATCAAGAATAGAGATTAAAAGCTAGCAGATACAACTTGTTCTTATCTAAGAGACTTGTAAGGTCTAAGAGAGTAATTGTATAGGCAGGCTAACATTCAAAATTATGATTATTCAGATCATAGACATTTTGATTCTTTTGAAGTAACTGATCCAAAGTATAGAGAATTGTTGAATACCAAACTTAACAATGTTAAGGTTGACTATGAACAGAAAATTAAATATCTTACATAAATAGCAGAATCCTAGAAAAAAGAAATAGGAACTTTAAAAACCTAAATATAGGATTATTAATTCAGAGCAGAACACTACGAAAATCCTGAATTTTTAGTAAGGAAACTATTTCACATAGAGAGAGACCCATATGAATTGTGGAGACTCATCCAAGATAATTAAGGAAATCCTTTTTTCTTTTAGGTTTTTTCAATTTAGAAGAAAGGTTATGGAATTGATTATATAGAAATCGATTAATTATTGATGGCCGTCAAGGTTCAAGATAGAATATTTGAAAGGTAGAAATAAACATTGGATTAACAACTGGCTTAGTTTATGGAAAGAATCTTGGAGGATGTTTACGATCTAAGGTAGAAACTATTGGATAAGGAATCAGAATTAGATACGCTTTAGAAAAAATACACTAGAAATCTCACTATTTTGAACAAAATAATTCTGAAAGCATTTAATAAAAGTAATTTAATACTTATTATTAAGTTATAAGTTCATATAACTAGTTATTGATGAAGACTTCATTTAAATTATGGAAGGAGAAAGAACTTAAATTGGCTCCTCTACTTAAAGATCTTTCTCAATTCTAGATCAAACATCTGGAGCATGATCTATTCGATTTCTTTATCGAATAAATTCATGAAATGCAAGATAAAGTAACATTTTTAGAATTGAAACTTAACGGTTAAAAATTTTTAAGTAAAACTTTAGAATCTAAAAACTCAATTATTTCAAATACATTAACTATATTAAAATGTCATTTCAATATCAAAAATTATGATTTGGATTTAGAATAGAAGTTATTGAAATTAGATAATTTCTAAATTAGATTCTGTTAAGAACTATTAGATTAATTGGTTCGTTAGAAAATGACTTATTAAAAGTATTTATAATCAATTCAAAAACATGATAAATATGTATAAACAGATTGTAAAGAAATTATTGACTAATCTCTCTAAACTAAAGAAATTATGGTTGATAATGTTTGTTTGATTACTTATATAAAGGAGAAATATCAGGAAAAAAAGGATAAACTATTATATTAGAGTGGAATTCACAATTCCAATAGATCCAATTCTATTCAAGAAAATCATAAATCAAATTTTGATTAATTACCTTCATTAAAGTAAAATAATCGAAGAATGATCTAAATTGATTCAAATAACTTGAAACAATCAACTCATATTAATGATTTATAATAGGATTATTCAAATAATATAACTAGGAAAACCTCTTTAAGAGAATCAGAGATTACAGACAAAAGGTAAACCAAACATAAAACAGATTTATTGAGTCATTCACCTAATAATTATTAGACTCAGAGAGTTAATGCAACCAGTTTATCAATTGAGAATGATGTTCTATAAATGAAGCCAATAATCTAAAACTAAGAAGATTTGTAATTAGATAATTTGGACAGCAATTTATTATTACCAAATCAAAAAAATTTACTCCCACAGCTTCAGGTTTAAAAAGAAATAAAATAGAATATTATCAAATAAATTAAGTAAATTCAAAATAGTTAATGTATTTAATGTGAGAGTGAACCAGAAAAGTAAAAGAAAAGTAAAGAAGGAAGGAATAAATCAAAAAACCATAAGTTTAAAAATAACATCATCATTTAATATGAAGACTATCCTAAACATGAATAATAAGAATAATTATACCTATTTCTTAATCAATCAAGTTGTCAATCAAAAAAGAATAAAACAAAATTAACATAATTTATCTATAAAGTGTGAGCAAATCATAATGATTTTCTATTTCTTATTATATGTTAAATTCAAATGTTTAATCTATTAATTCTTATAAATTTGATATAATTTTGTCATTAATACATTTCATATATATACTTATAATCCCAAATAAGAAATTGAAACCAGGAAAGATTTTTTAAAGATAAACTGCGAATTAACAAATCAAGGTAGTTAAAAGAATTTTTTTAAAGTGAATATAAAACTAAATTAACTTAGAGACAAACTCTATTTATAATAAGATCTTAAAAGTTAAAAAATGTTTTTTGAAGTTCTAACAGCGTGTAAACCTAATAATATTAATATATTTTATATTTATTATGGTATACTTTAAGATATAATAATGAGTATTGATTTTTGAAACCTTCCTTTATTATTAATTACATCTAATAAGTTAATTTAAAATGAAATATTATCATACTAATCTTACCTTTTTAATCAGATTTGAGAATTCCAAACAACCTAAAATTTCTAAATATTTAAGAAATGTCCAAGATTTTACACTTAAAGTTTATCTCAATAAGTATTGGATCAAATACATACATATGTAAATATTGAAAACAAATTAATTTAAAACAAAGTAATACATAAAAAAAATTTATTTGATTCAAAACTTGGTTATTATCAGGAGATCATACAAGGACAGCATTCTTCAAATTCTTATTGAGGTTCCTTAATAAAGTATTTTATTTCTTTTAAAGATTAACCTGGGATTTGATCTCGAAATGTTACTTTATATTTTTGTTTTCCCTTTTAAGTTTAATTTTATAAAATTTCCCTTCTTTAATCTGTATCCTTCCTTATCCTTTCAGTATCTGGGTTTATTTCAATGCAATCACCTTGAGCTTTAATTAAATTTTCTAAATTGTGTTGACAAGATGAGACTATATTGTTAATTTTAGGCAATGAAATTTCAGGCAATGCAGATTTTTAAGTTACAGATTGATTTCCACTAAGGTCAGTAAATTCTGAGTTCCTGTTCCTAATAATATATACATCAATCATTATTGTTATTTTAATTTTTCGTGTGAAATAATTGATATTTTTCACTAATAAATACTCAGAATTAATGATATAATTTAAGGAAAAGGTTAATAAAATAAATAAAATGAAGTCTATAAATAATCTTAAAAATTCCATTAAATATAAAGTAATAGCTGCTATTATAATTGTTTATAAAAATCTCTAAAATCAAAATAGAAATTATCTAAGTTTGGTAATAATTTCAACTTTCTAATCTCCATTTTTGAATTAAATTTCAAATTACGAATAGTTATTATTTTTGAGTAATAGGGATTTTCAATAGCTGACAAATAAATTAATATAGTTATATTATTATAAGATTATCTGTTTTTTATTTCCTGTTTATTAGATTCAATAAGAATTTGGTTAATTTTGATATATTATTGATTTTTGATGCCATTTAAATAAAAATGATTCATTTAATTTCTTAATTGAATCATGATCTTTAATTGTTATTTCATGAATTCCTAAACTTTTATTAAATACAGATTTATTGGTATCTAAATATATAATCATGGACTGAAATATTAAATTAAAAAACCATTAAATTATTTACATTCAGTTCAGACTCTAGTGTTAAAAAACAAATTCCATAGATTCAATTTTTTAAATTGCTTGAATCGAATGAATTTAAAAATTTATTGATATTTATCAATATATATCACAAATCTGATTTCTAGGCATTTAACTTGGGTAACTTTGAGAATGACTAACCTGTTTCAGTTTTCTTTATTACTCCTCTTACAAATTCATTTAAATTATCAACTGTCAGTTATTTTTTAAACCTAAAGTATTTCCTTGCATTAAGATCAACAGCAACAACTTGAGGATATCTATATAATTGATATAAATAATGAGATACCCTTCTCCTATAACACTCAACTCTGCTTCAAAATCATCAAATTATTCCCCAACAAACCAACCTATATTGGCTCTACCGGTTAAAGATAATTATGTCTATTGAATATTCATAGATTATTACTTTCTTTAAAACCTAAATTGCATCATCTTATTCTTTCTTATCACTTGGTAAGAATCCCAAAACGCAAAGAGCTGATAACATACTTATAAATCTTACTGTTGCAAATTGAATTTAATTTTTCATCAGAAGTTATTTAAATAACGTCTGTAACAACCGTCTAGCCATCTACAGGTTTCTATTCTTTAATATATTTCAAAAGAGCATCAAAGTTTCTTTCTCCCTCATATTTCTTATGTGTATCCTTCTTGTTTCCTGCTGGGAAGTAGTAAATGGTTGGATACGACTCAATATTAAACCTTTTTGCCAACTCAGTTTGAGCTGTGGCATCAACTTTGGCTATTGGAATATCAGCTTAATGAGATAATTTATTCCATTCTGGTTATAGTTACTTACAATGTCCACACCAAGGGGCATAGAATTCAACAAACCAAGCTTCCTAACTATTGATCACCTATTCATCAAAATTAGCATCAGTAAGAACAACAACCTTTGAATCATCATTTGAAGGTTGGGGTTTGATTTCAACTCCTAATCTATTTAGGGCAATTTCTCTAGCTCTATCCAAAAGATAATCTACTATTGCATTCTTTTTCCTTTCTCCTTCATATGCGATAGGATCTGCTTTATTTACACCAAAGAATTTGATAGTAGGATAACTATTAACCCCATAAGGCTATCCAGCTTCTCCATCAGTAGTCATATCTAATGCACCTATTTTAATAATTCCATCTAAAGCTTTAGCAGCCTTGTTATACTCTGGGGCTAAAGCTTTACAATGGCCACACCAAGGGGCAAAGAACTCGACTAACCAAGGTTCACCTGATTCAAGGACTAATTATTTGAAATTATCTTTAGTAAGTTTGATGACTTTGGAGTCTGCGTCATATAATGCAAAGGATAATGTAATCATCAAAGCCAAGGTAAGTAAGGAGCAACAACTTTTCATTCAGATGTTATTTTTAATATCGTGGAGCTTAGAAATATTCTAGAATTTATAAATCTACACGTTATATTTATACTATTTAATTGTTAGATTAATTTTTAATTATTATTCTTTAGATTTTAACATTCATTTGTTTTTGATATAAAATCTAAACAAAGCAAAAGAGTTGAGATTATTATAAATTATGTAAAATCTATTTATTTGATTATTTAATATACTAATATATCTCATGCACCAATTGCTAATTTGGATCTAGCTGCTTGTTTTCTGGATTAACGAGCAACAACTTTATTATTGGCTTCCTTTTTAACATTCTCATCTCTTTAAGCTGCCCAGATTTCAATATGTGCATTTGATGATAGGAATGCTATTTGAATTATAAGTATAATAATTTTACGGTTGATTCTTCCGTGAGCTCTGTATGTTCTACGTCTTCCCTTTTGAGCTCTGTTAACTTGAACATGATTGATGATCAATTTTTCATTGCTCAAATTTTTCACTTAAGCATTAGCTGCTAAATTTTATAAGAGAGACAATACAATTCTAACACTTTTCTCTGGCCATCTACCTAATCAATGATTTAACACTCAAATACCTTGGGATCTGCCAAATTCTTTAGCTTATCCTGTTCTGCCAACACCACCATTGAATCTGGTGAATGGAACGCATCTCTTGTGTTAAAGGACATCTTGCATGTATTTAAGAGCCTAAGCAAGAGTTTATCCCTTGATTGCTCTTGCTACTTCATATGTGTTCTTGAAATGAGTTCTTAAATCACTAGCTTTGGCCTTGGCTGACTATTTTGCAACAGCGGGTTCTCTGGCGTATTGTTTTCCCATTAAATTATATCCTTTTTAATTTATTTAATTTTTTTTCAAATTTTATTAAGAATTCAATAACAATTATGTTTTATATATATTGATATTTAGATGCAGCCATTTTCAATTGTTTACTATAGCATATCTGACTCTGTATCCACCTCCAAACTATTCAATGTTGCCACTATTAAATAACTCTTTTGGTTGACTTTTGAATAAGAATCCTAAGTTTCTTTTCTATTATGGTATGACAAACTCATTTGAGGTGTAAAAGTTCTTGTCTTGGATATAATTAAAAAATGAAACCTGTTAAAATTGCATAACTGTTATTTGAGGCAGAGAACTTGAGTATCTTTTCATCCTTAGGTAAATCGATGGGTCTTGGAACATAGCTTTCATCAAATCCTGATATATAGATTCTATTCTGGTCTGTCAAAAATAAGGAAAGATTATATCCAAGATCAAAATCAACTACTTTTTCGTTAGGCTAGAAGTATTTCAAATTAACTGGAGTGGGAGCATAATTTTCCTATATTTTATTTTAATAGTATTACTAAATCTGTGACAACATATTCTTATTGTCTGACTCCCAATGAACCATAATAACTTCTACCCCATCCAACGACTATTCCCTCATCTGTTAATATTTAGTATAGAATATACTTAATAAGGCTAATGTTCCAGCAAAGCAAGATTTGATCTTCTAGATAGAGTAACCAGATTTGCTCAATTATTCAAATATAGGATTAAGTTCTGGATATTTGAAATTGAGACTGCATCCATTACCTAATTCTCCTCTCTTTCCTGCACCCCAGACATAGACTTAATTGTTTTCATTCACAACAATTGAGTAATTAATGCCAGCACTTACAAATTTACCTTTTGGAGTTCCAACTAATTTTTGAACTGCTTAAGGTGTTACAACATTATTCTGATAGTTATCTCCTAATCCACTAGCTTTACCTTACAATTAATCCCAAAATGAGTTGTTTGCATTTCCCCAAGTATAAACATTTCCATCAGCTAAACTATTAACATTTATTGATAATACAAGCCAAAGCCACTGCATGATTTGATCCCAAAGCCACATCGGTCACTTTTAATCCTTTATCTCTGAAGAATCTAACCAATTGAGGTGTTTGATGTTCTTCTGTGTTGCCTAAACCTAATTGTCCATATTTATTCTGGCCAAATGTATATAAATCTCCATTATCTTATAATTTAATATGAAATGAATACCTGTAATGACTGCGGTAAAGTATTCACTTGGATATACCTTAGCCACATTACCATTAAAAGCATCTATTCTTCTTGGTCTCAATTAATCTCCTTGTGAATCCTAATTGATTCCACAGCCCAAACTATGAACTCCCCAAGTGTATAAATTGCCTGCTCTATAAATTGGACGGGTCCATAATGACTTGAAAAGACCACTATGTGTTAAGCAATTCATAAAATATTTATTTCAATATCTAATTAATTATTTATATACAAAGATTCAAAACTCTCTTTTTCATCCAATCACTTATATTTCATATGTTCACTAGACACTGCATCCTAAGTTAAAAAGTGATAACATTAAATTGAGAACCCTATTCTTTTAATGATATAAGAATCTGATTATGTTATAAATAATGAAACTCAAGATTCTATTTATTAATGTTTTAATAATTAAATTTGCATGAGTGATTTAATCCCTGAAGCTTAATATAGGATTCCAAAAATAAACTCTAGCCTTCTCGAATCCAGAGAACCAAACAAAAATGTTTTATTAAATAGGACAATCTAATCCAAATCGTAACATAATAAGAAGCAACAACTAATTGCAACATCGTCACATCACTCTCTTCCATACACTGGCACTGCTTTATAGTATTCTATTGGATAAGGTAATCAATCAAAAGATAATGTATCAATCTAACGGACTAGTTAATTGAATAAAATAACTGAATAAAAAGATATTTAGAATGATATAATCAACATTAATTGGTTTATTCATTAAAAAAAGAAAGAACAGTCAGTTCAAAATTAATATTTCCTCAAAGAAATCAGTAGAATTAGATGTATTTACTTATTCTTTTTTTAGAACATTTTAAAATGAAAGCTAAGATTAGGAATAAATTATAAAATGAAAGAAAATCTACTACTTCATCATAGGATAAATACGAGAAGTGTTGGGATGAAACCTTAAAGGAAATGAATGAAGATCCTAAAACCTGTGATGTAATTGATGATTCATCTAGAAAAAATAACGAAGAGCAATTTAAAAGGATTAAGAAACCAAAGCATTTAAAAAGTCAGGTAATGTTATTATTTTCAATTTTTAGATATTTTCTAAAATTAGAGAATAAGAGGATCAGTATTTTAAAGCCCAGTCTAAATCTATTATCAAATTGATGAAATAGAGATCTTTGCAAATCGTAGATGAAGTTACTGCTCAAATAGAATAAGAATAACTATTGAAAAGAGAATAATAATATTAAAGATCCAAAGAACGAGAAGAGGGAAAATAAGAAATTATCAAATCTTTGAGTAACAAAGTATAAGGAAAATTGCTTAAATTACTCTAAATTAAGTAATCCAATCCTCAACTACAACAATCTAAATAAGCCAATGATGTTACCAATTCATTTTCCAGATACAATAAACGCAGATCTAAAAGTTTTAATTCTGTTCTTCCCGTTTTATAAGATAAAGGATTACTTCAAATTCAAAATTAGATATAAAATCGGAGACCCTTATTTAATAAATAAAATGTAATTGAAAATCAGAATTTTTCAAGACTGCTCTGAAGTATATGATATCTTATTTTCTCATAATTCAAGCATTTATATTTTAATTCAAATTAAAAATGAAACTGAGTTAATCCAACAAATTATTAATTTCTCCTCTAAATAGTTAATAGCCTATGTTTCCTACTATTTCTTGCAAAACTTCAGAGTCTCCTTCAAAAGTTGTGATCCCTCTTACTAATTATTTATTATTTGAATAACAACTGGATTAAATAAATGTTAACAGGATAAATGGTGATAAATAATAAAAATATGAAAGAGCAGAAGCCTTCTATAAATACATTCATTAACAAGTAGTTAAAAAGAATGATTATAATCGAGAAACATCTAAAATATAAACAACAACTGTTGCAAATGAATCTGAGGATAAAATTAAAAAATCTAAAGAATAACCTCCTAATTCACATTTACTAAAGCAAATTCAAGAAAAACAAAGCTATTAAAGTATTTTCATAAACCTTATTATTAGAACTCTCGAGAATGAGTAAATCATATATTGATATCCCTTCTTCAAATTTATGTAATTAAATACAAAACTAATGCATTGTTGAATTAGACCAAGAATAAGAGGATGGTGAATAAAATTTAGATAGTATAATTTAGAATAAATTAAATAAATCACCAAATTTATATTGTAATTTAAAGGGTAAAAAAAATTGCAAGTTAATAAATTAATCAAAAGTATCTAATTTTATTATAATTATAGGTTGTCTTGGATTTTAATTAATAAAACAAAGAATATAAGGATCAGAGCTTTTAACTCATTCACTTGATTAGAAAGGCTTAACAAAATCTATTAAAACAAAAGGAAGATGATAGACAGTTATAGGAAAAAGAATATAAACTGAAAAAAAGTATAAGGCAAAAGGAAAGAAAAGAAGGAATGTATAATGCATAGTTAGGCTTGAAAAGTAGGAGGTTAAAGTCTCTATTGAATGCTTTAAAAGGAACGAATGACAAAAAGATTGAAGATGATATAGTCAATGATATTAGAAGAAAATATTAGATATAACGAAGTCAGTCTACAATTATAAGTAGAAAGAGTTCTTTTTAATTATCTATCCTAAACTATCTCCCTGATGAATAATTTGAAGACAAGTAAATCAGAAAATTTTCTTAGGTTTCTGATATTTGTAGTTCTGAAAACTCATTAGATTAAACATGTAATTGTTTTGTTAAATGATTATAGAATTTCCTACTAAATAAAAGGCTTCTTGATTATTTGAATATAGTTTCTATAGATTATATCAAATTCTTAATTTATTTAATAATTTTTTTGGAATAATTGAAAAAAAATAATATAATAAATGTCTGGAGAGTTACCTAAAATCGCTTCTAAGAGTTTATTTTCTACCTATGTTGAGAAGAAGAATGCAGAGGAAGAAGCTGTCAAAATTAGGAATAGAATTGATTAAATAAGGCAAGAGCGAGAAAAAATATTAAAGAAGATTTAGGCTGAAGACTTGAAGGCAGAGCAAATTTACAAACATAGATTGGAATTACAATTAAAAGTAAATCTTACCTTAAATAATAGAAAGAAGAGAAGATCAGACAGAAGGTTGAAGCACCTCCTCCATTCTCTTTAGGTGTTTCAAGGGCCCAAAAAGAGACATTAAAGAAAATAAAGGAGGAATTGTTATATAGGAAAAAAACAGAAGTGAAGGAATTTAGAAGTTGGCATCGGTAAGATTTGTAAGGAACAAAAATGCAGAAAAGTTTAGATCATGAAACTTATCGTCATAAAGTCCTTTAAGGAAAGGAAGAGGAGCGATAGGCTAATTTGAATACTTTGGCTAAATTGAAAGAAAGAAGAGATAGGATCAGATATGAAGTGGAAGTTGAAAAGGATAGAGTTCTAAGAGAGAAGAATGAATACGATTAGAAAATATATGAATTAGAATAATTAGAATAATTAGAATTAGCGAATTTATAGAACACTCTATAGAGATAAAATTAAGCAAAAGAAAAGGTTAATTTGGCTTAAAGTCTTCCACCAAAAGAATTTGAAGTTAAATTTGGCTATAATTCTACAAAAAACAATCACAATTCAACAAGTTCATGAAATATTTATAAAATTAATATATAAAATTCATGAGTTGAGTGTACTTTCAATTATCTAAACATTTTAACATGTATTTAATATAAAGTGTTATTAACAATTAATTATTTATAAGATTTAATAATCTGTTTGGGTCTATTCATCTTTTTTGAGTATTGTTATTGAATAACTAATTTAAGTAATTGGATGTTTGAATTTAATTCTTATCAAAATTGGATGATGCATTTAATTATAAGTTACTTATATTTTTATTTTTTTAATTCTATGATATTATATAAAATGTTAGAATGTAGAAATTAAAAATCCCTAATTATATATATATATCAATCAACTAACATATAAGTATTTACACCCTATCCCGATTAGATATTCCCATTATCTAACAATTGTCTAATTGATGATCTTTGAAATAGAGAATTAATTACTTAATGTCTTATAAACCATCTGTTTATGTAAATTCATTAATAATACTTTACTAAGTGATGCTAACAGACCCTAATTAGTGGGTTTATGCTTTAAAAAAGTTTAAGATCTAATTTAAAGTAATAATTACTCTTGTTGACAAACTTAATTAGGTCCGATTCTACTATTCTTCTTCATCAATTTAAGTCTTTGCTTATACAGAATTCTGATTTTTTACTTGACCATATTTTATTGCCTATTATATGATATTTAGAATATGTGAAACTATATAACCTTGTTCACCTATTTTTTTTATATTCATAATATCAAAGCGAATTGTATCTTTGTTGACTCTTGCTCTAAGCAAAAATTAATAATAAGAAGCTTTTGGATCATCTTTTTTCAATTCATCAAACATTTCTCTAATATATGCACCTTCAGAAAATAAGAGACTAAGTTGTTGATCCCCGCTGTCATCATTAACCAATATAAACCCTTTGCCATCTGCCTCTTTTGTTTATTCATATCTAGCTACTAATTGGATTAATGTTATTGGTTTATCAAAGTAAAGGATTTCATTTCTATCAGTTGTAGATATTTTAATATTCTTGATCATCTTGATGGTCATGTTTGTAACTTGTTCATTATAATTAATTCCTTGCTTGTATCCTGATTGATTTTTTTGATCACTAAATTAGGATTATTAAAACATAATTAAATTAATAATAAGCGCCATTTCTAAAAATTAAACGATTTCTATAAATATTTTATAGCAAACATTAAATCAAGATAATTACATAATTATACATTAATCTTTATTAGTTGTCATCCCAAATTATCAAATTTATTAATTTTATGCATCATTTAATTACTTACTGAATTTAGTTGCCATCTCCTTTTATAAATCCTAATATCCAATCTGTTATGACTTAGATAACCCATATATTTTGAGATTTTATTTCTCTTCTCGCGAGTCGTGAGAAAGCTAATTGATCTATTCCCCATTGCTTTCTGATTCCACTTTCAAAAATCTGAAATCATATTCCTACTAATGAAAAGTGGTCTCGTTTTACCTTGAAGTTAACATTTATCTATTCTATTAAACACTACATAATTCACTTTGATATGTTTTCGTCTTATCATCCATATGAATTTTGTCTATTGTATCATTATACATAAATTAAATCTTCTATTGGACCCTTTACTATTAGACATTGGAAGGCACTTCGCAATACACCTACACTTCCATATAAAAATACTTATGATGTAAATGATATAAATTAAGATCGAATTGGCTTTAATAATTTTTACCAAACACCTTAATGCCATCTGGTCAATCTTCTCTGTAATAAAATGCCTTATCCTTGATAAAATAATAACTTATGATGATTTATCACAAACCTATTTATAGTCAAATATTCATATGTGGTCTTGTTAGCAAAAATAAAGTAAGTATGCAAAACCAATAAATAGGTTGAAAATAAGAGGAATCCAAAGGTGTTTAGAGCGTAACTTAGTAACTCTATTATGAAGTAATCATCCATATCAGCCAGATGTTTGATTTGTACTATCAGTAAGAAAGTAAGCATAATAGTTAAGAACAAAATAAAACAATAAAAATACCGATAGTTTCTTTATCCTATACATTAACCTAACCATACGCAATGATGATCAAATCCCTAAACACAATTATCACATCTCCGACAATGTGCTGTGGTGCTGGTTTTATAAATTTTACATGTGTCACAAAACTTGAATTCGCATAATTTTGTTTAACTCACTAATATTAGTTCAGCTGTAGATTTTAGTCTCAGCGGTATAAGATAACATTCAGTATACCTTAATCATCTAACATATTACCTTTTAAATTTAAGAATTTAGTCTTGGCAATATGCCTGGATCGCTGAAAACAGTTGATATCATGAATACATCTGTAAGAAATATTAATATTATTTCTGCTAAAAATATATCCCATTTTGGATCTATTCTGAAAAGTTGCACCAAAGAAAGACTATTCAAAAATGCAAAAGACAATGTAAACATTATTCTGGAATAGCCCATTACTAACCTTCCTTTGAAACAATATTTAGATTTTCCTAAATAAACTTGATAATAAGGAACTGTAGAATCCTAACTGTGTATTTTCATTTTGTTAATTAATTTAAATTTATTTATTATTTGAATACCTTCCTAATTTAGATACAGAATTAATAAGTTTCTGGTGTAAATAATTATTGCTTTAATTTTTCAGAGTGACTTCTTTCTTTAAATTTCAACGTATTTCGTATGGATAATTCTGTAATATTCATAGTAATAATCCACTAATGGTAAATAAGAAATTTCATAGTTCTATAAATGATTGGAATTTTAGACTTTTTTAAATCATATATTATTTTAACATCTGAATATTTTATAATAATGGATTAATCTAGTGTTTTTGGTCTTAATTAAAAATTAAACTTTAAATCTATTATAAGTATAGAGGTTATTAATTATATGAACACTTAGAAAATTCATAAAGGATGAATATTTTAATTGATGTTTGTATAAGGTACTCTAATATCATTTAATATCTAGAAATTTAGTATGGAAGGCTTATTTTAATTTATTTTAAGTTAAACCGATCCAAAAAAAGTACATTAATTTGAATAATTTAATATATACTGTCATATTAACAATAAAAAAAAAGGATTGCAACAATTTTCTTTATAAAAAATAATTGGAAGGTAGGTTTGATATTGTCTACTTCTACAAAAACACAAATTACAGAAGGATAAATGGAATTGTTGCCAATATTGAAGAACCAATTGATATTATGTATCGGAGGTAGATAATACGATTTTTGATGACGAAATAATTTATTTGTGATTTATTTAAACAATGGATATTTTAATCTGAATTTTTCAAAACCAAAAAGTCAACTTCATTTTCAATTGTAAATTTGGGAGTATGTTCTTAAGGAGAATTACATATAAACATCGGTTATTGCAATTTATTTATAATTTGAATAATATTATTCAGACTAGTTCTTAGACGCATTCGCATTCAGGATGTCTTTCGAAGAAACCAAAGGCACATTAGAAGCTGCTCAATGAGTTATCATCAAGACACTCTTCTTTCAAGACAGCAGCACATGAAGCAACATCACAACCAGATGAGAATTAGAATGATGGGTAACAATTGGCTTAACCGCATTTACTCCTAGGTTAAATAGATTATAAAGTAATACAATGCAATAAGCAATTTATTTCCTGATTTGTTAGCGCATTCGATCAAACAATCGTAATCGGCAGAACATTTGTTTGAACAATTAGTTGCGGCAATAGCACAGAAGGCGTTCTTCTCACAGGCAGCCACTTCATCTGGGCATTTTTCTCTGACGCACAAATCGACTGGGTCATCTTAAGCAACAGCAAAAGTCAAAAGAACAACTAACAAAAGTGCTTTCATTAAATATAATAATACTTTTATAAGTATAAGATTGGTTTTATAAAATCCTGATGACGTTATTTGGAAATTTGTGAAAAACTTTATATGATGTTATTACAAATTAATAGATACATGCATAAAAATCACAGTCTATGCCCATATCCTTGATATTTCTATTTCCTCAGAACTCAGTCACGCATGAACATTCTGGATGTCTCTCGAAGAATGATGAAGCACATTAGAAGGATTTCAATCCCAAAGATTGGGTGCATTCACTTTGGAAAGAAGCAACACATCCTTCAACATCGCAAAATGAAACAGCAACATCTTTGCAATTCTCATGTCCACATTCAGCCCTTAAATTAGATTATAAGCTTACAATGCAATCAATTTGGCGTTCTTTGAAGCCAAAGCACAGTTCAACATGCATTCAGCATCTTCACCTCCGCATTGGTTTTTGCATTTCATCGCTGCAGAAGCACATCCGAATACTTCCTTTTAACAGGCGGCGTATTCATTTGGGCATCTCTCTTTCAAGCATTATTCTGGATCAGCAGCATATGTGAGGGCAAGGAGAACAACAATAACGATTGCTTTCATTTGTTTATTTTATTAATGATATTAAACAATTATTATTTCCATCCTTATATAATCATTTTAATGACGTAGATAAAGTAAATTGCTAATTAATATATATTAGTTTATATCACAATGAATTTCATTTAATTGGGTAAACTAAAAAATCAGTTGGCTAATTCTAAATCAAATATACCAAAAACCTAATAAAGAAGATATTCCAGAGTTAATTCCATTGAATAATTAATTTCCTATCAAAATAATCAAAATTATCAAAAGGAAAATTAAGAGTAGGTTGATAAATATCCATTTAAAAAGTATTTCTCAATATTTTAATAGAATTACACAGGATCAATCTACTCAAATTGATAAGCCTGAATAAAAAGAGAGATCCCGATCTCTTACTCACATTCAATAACAATACTAAATTAATTCTCACAGACTTATCAATTAATAAAAAATTACAAAAACAACAAATAATATAGAAATCAATTATTCTAAATAAGGAATCTAACTCTTACAAATTCACCAAAAAAGGTAGAATTTGAATGAAGCTATAAATTCCATACTTTAATAAAAAATAAACAATTTAAATGCTCGTAATTTTAGATCTAATTCAAATCTACCTTCACTAAATTCTTAATAAGGGAAACTATCTGACAAATCCAAAATACACCAAATCAGAAAATTAAAGTAATTTGATTTTGAATCTCAACTCCCAGAAGGTCCTCAGCTAAGCTTCAGATAATTCGCCAAAATGTAAGGACTCAAGTTACCCTAATTTTTAGAATGATAATAATCCTCTTATGTATATTGATATAAAATCAAAAAAACCTTACTATATACCTAATGTGAAATTTACAAATTATTTTATTGTTAATCAATATGCGAACAAAGATTCTTATTCTCAATCTTATCGTGCAACTATTATAGTCAATCTGTTAGATTATGAAATTATTAGAATAAATAAATATTAATAAAGAAAATAATAAAATCTTAAATCAGTAGACCAGTTAGGATGAGGACTGACCAGAAGTACTTTTTTATTCAATTTATTACTATATTCTGGTTCTGAATTTTTGTGGAGTGGATTAAATTTATGAATTTCTAATAGCTTAATTAAAAATTCATACTTTCTATTATTAACTGTTTGAGATAGTGAAGCTCTACTATCATTTAAAGCAGATTATCTGATGCTTCGTTAAGATTCAATAAGAGATTTTTGTAATTCTACTTCCTGAGTTTTTAATTTTTTCTCATTTTTTATCTGGCTGCTAGGAACGGTTTTCAATAAGCATTTCCAAGAATCAAGTGGCTACAAGGAGTTTAAAATTACAGTCAATTCTCTTTTATTTAAATTACTGTGAATTGATCTTATCAATTTTATGATATAGCAGAACAAGCTTTCATTGTAACTGTGACTCTTAAATCCATTTGCATAAAACGTTGTATAGGCATTATAAAGCGAACTAATTAATCCAACATTAAACAGTATATTTTAAAGTAGGTAAGCAGGAGCGTTTTCAAAGATAAAATTTATGAATTCAAAAAAGTAATATTGATATAAAGTATTTTATTTGCTCTTAAAAAAATAAATAATGTATAAATGGATGACTGTTTCATTTAAGAATTTGTAGATATTTTTATTTAATCTTGTCACATCATAAGGTTCAAAGATCTCAAACCCATTTTTAATTGTTTAAAAAAAAGTAAAATGCTCAGTTATACTCATATCAGAATTCTATTTATTTCCATTAATGATTATTTTATTTAAGTATTCCACTATTTAAAAAAACACATCCCTTAAAATTGATTATTCTTCAACATTTCCATACCTTTTACCAAGATAGTATATTGAATTTATAATTCTCCCACATTAGAAACTAATATCTTTGTTCTAGTTGATCTCATATAAATAAAATTTATATAAGGAAAATAATAAGTCTTAATTAAAAAACAATTTGCAAAAGTTCTCGTTTTCTAAATTGATTGGTTTTCTCATTTAATGAATTAGAATGACATTTAATATTTTCTCTAATATGTTTATCAGATGCTCAAATGTTGTTGTATTATAATAAAATTGTGCTTAATCTAATTCAAATTGACTCGGATTTGCCTTAAGATTGCTTGCAGGATAAAGCATTACTAGTTTACTACTTGAAAATCCTGAGTCGGATGATATTGAAATTCTGGAACTTTATAGCAAAGTTAAGTTGAATTAAGAGGTTTTAGAATTTGCAGGTTTTTCAGTATTTTCAAATTTATCAACACTCCCTCTTTTTTATTTTGAGTCACTAACAATAGTGCCTATTGATTTTATTGTATTAAGTGAAGTGAGTGAAGGTAGAGTTACATTACGATTATGAGAAATTATATTAGACCGATTGTTAGCAGTTAATTATTCAAATCTTCTACTTTATTTTCTGCTATAATTAATGGAATTGCGTGATCTTCTCTCATCTAAATAATGTCGAATTCCATCTACATCCTGCTCTAATAATTAGGCATATGATAAATTTTCAGGTAGTTATACATACTCATCTTGATTCTGTTAAACAGACGAACCTCCTAAATGTCCAATGTATTCATCCAATATGTTTATTCTTACAATTTCAATAGGTTTTTAAACATCTTTAAATTTTGATAAAAGATTGAGGATTTTTGATTTTTAATCATTCTCTTGAATTATTGGAAATGTTTGGTCGCTGAAAGTAAGATTTTATTAGAAGATATGATTATGCAGATACTCTATCCATTTAGTTTCTATAAGGTATGTCCAAATCTATTCTTAAATGTAATTGCCAAATTTGTATTTATCTACTGTTAAATCTAATATATCAATTATCAAAGATTCAATGAATTTATTACTCGAATATTACAAGAAGAGGTATAAGAAATCAGATTCAATGATCTTTAATACACTGGCTTTTGGACAAATAAGCAATAATTAATCGATGAGCATGGCTAAATGATTTAAATTCAATTAAATTGACTCATTGTTAAGGGTTTCCAAGATTTTTTCGACTAAAATCTATAAATTACACAATACATATTTTAGGCATCATTTCTTATATCGTCTGATAATATCTAGAATGGTTAACCTTTTAGATCAAAAACTAAAGACTTTTGAAGGATCGAACTGTGTTCAGATAATCCATTGGTATTGTACTAGACTTAAATATATTTTTGTATTCACTGTTTTCTAACTCCTTCTTTTAAAAGAGTAGACCCTATATATAGTTGCTTAAGTAATACCCAATCATCTATGAGTTCTTCTGATAGAGGATTGATTATAAATTTGATTAGTATTTCGATATTATCGCTATTATGTAATTGGAGTAGGTCATGTTGAGTCACCATTTCAATAGGCTTACAGATCATCTTCTGCATAATTTCAATATAATCAGCTACAGACTCTACTTTACTGGCTGGTGTTATGTATTCATCATCTTATTCAGTTTTAATCCTGTTATCTGTTCCAATGTAATTAAATGAAGACATAGACTACTTTCTATCTTATATCCATTAAGGGGCAATCTCGATAGTCCATTAATTGCAAACTTAAATTAATTATTAATTTTACAATCATCCAATTCTTAATCATATTTATTCTTCCATGGAAAATTATAAAATATACTCTATTTGCAATCGAAGAATTAATCAATCAATTATTGCTAAAATTTATGGTTTCGAGTATGCATTATGAATTGTTTAAAAATTATTGACATTTCTTCCAAATCTACATTTAGTTCAATCGCCAATAAAAAGAATCTCTTCAAGTAAGAACAAGCGAATCTTTTGGCTATTAACAATTTCTCTATAACTTATTTCGAAAATGGAATAGACCCTTATTTTTATTATTCTCCAATAATCTTATTAACATTTCCACTAGGAATTTATTATCTATTTATTACTTAATTGCCATTTTCAAATTTCTGGTGCTTCTGTTTCCCAAAAATTCTCTGTATTCTTATAATTCACTTACTTCTTACAGTGCCCTATAAAAAGCCAAAAGGAATAACCGATGTTTGAAATAATCAAAGAATGCAGACATAAGCAATTCTATGCTTGCTGTTTAAAAGGGATAGGAGCAAATCACTTAATATAAGGAATAAATAGAAACTTGATTTTAAGATGTTATGATCTGTGATAATTTACATGTTTCTTAAATAAAAAGAAACCTCCTTAATTCCCAAACTTATTTTTTGAAGGCGAACATATTCATCGTCTTCTCCTAGCTAAAAAACTTATTAATAATGTTACAGCTTCTGCGAAAATCATTCGAGTGTGTTATTTTTTAATAAATGATTGTAAAATTAAAACAGGTTTCTTTATAAATCAAATTATTATTATCAGATATGTCATACTAAATAGGTAAACCATTTTTGGACAAAGAAATTTCCAAAAATATATAATTTAAAATTAATTATTTAGAGACCTTTCTTAGTTTCATCTCACTTTCAATCTTATACTTTATTTATCCTTCAAAAGTGGAAATGAAACAATAGAGATATCTAATGTTTATAAAGTACTGGGAGTAAATTTATTATAATATGATAATAAATATTATAGTAATTCAATACTTTGTATTTATTTTATTAAAATTAAATAAATAGACAAGAATAGAATTATATTCGTGCTTTTTATGATGTATATCGAATAATTATTTAATCTAAATATGCATCCTAATATCACTTAAGTTACTTATGCTAATGATAAGTATCAAATATTTAAATGAAAGATTGAACAAATTACATTAAGTTTTAAAAATAGAAATTACAATAAATGTTTATACTTTAAAAGCCTGGAAATCAAAATTGGTACTCAAACGTCTTTTATAATTCTTCAGGATTAATCAACAGAAAATGAGAATTAAATGCATACTTAAAGCACTATAAAAGCCTTAATTATTTTCTTTTATCTAGTTATCTGAACTCGATTGAAGTGAGAAAAATTACAATTTACTGACAAATTTACTTATAAATTTTGATAGAACATATTAAAAAGTATAATTTTTAAGCCTGAATTATAGAGTGATGTTATTATGTATATTACTCGTTTTTATACAAAGATATCCTTAATAATTATTAATAATATTAAAATTAGGAACTGAAGAGAGGTATGTATATGGCTCTATTTTGGCTTATAATTGATTGAAATTGTTGTTCAACTCTGAAATAAAATGTAAAATTCAGGATATATTTCAATTTATTTTAATTTTATTGCTCAATTTTAGCATAAATTACCTTGATAAATTATGAATCAAAATTCTCTTCTAAACATGTCCATTTTACGTTGCTATATTCAAGTAGCAAATAATATATACTTGATTAACAAAAAGCTATCCTGATTGAATCATTTAATTAAGATATATTCTAATATAAATAAATATATGTAAATATTTAGAAATCTTATGATTACCTGGGAAATTTACATGTATTCATTTGTTGGAATTTTAGTAATTTATTCATAAGAAAACTTAAAGAATAATAAGTGTTTGTATATAAATATATAATAAATCTGAGTAATAAATTAATCATATAAATCAAATGTCATTCCAAACAGATAATAGAGCTCTAAATATCAAATACACAATTTTCGAGCACTTTATATTTCCATTCAAATTGAATCCATAGATTCTAAATTCAGTTAATAGCCCAAACATATCATTTGAATAATTCAGAGACATTGCTCAAAAATGCTAAGTTTCAAATATAGAGGCGGATATTATGTTTACATTCTTTTAGTTGGCTTTAGACAATTAGCCAGGAGTAGAACGCAAAATGGTGGATGTTAGATAATTAGGTTTATTCTTGTCTTTACAAAATTTTAATCATGCGGGAAGACATTCAATTTTTGAGAACGTGAACATAAACGATGTAAAATATTAAGAAAGATAAAGATAACCAATGAATTCTTATTCTCCATTGAATTCCCCTAGGGCAAAAACAATGAGAGTACAGAGTCAATAGAATGAAATGCAGTAAGTAATCTAATTCGTAAAATCGAATGTGAAGGATTGGATTAAATTGCTAACAAATAGTTAAGAAACAATAACAAATTAAGAATACAACCTATTATCCTTGATTTTGTATAATGAATAGAAATCTATAAGTTCATTGATTTTCGATCGAACAAATAAATTGGGCAAAGAGATTGTATCAGAATGGACAATTAAGAATATTTAATGCTAGGAATACGGTAAATAAATTTAATATAAACGTAGCATCAACCATATGTGGATTCACAAAGTCAGTTACAATTAAGAATAATGTGGGAGAGGATTTAAAAATAACTCAATGTGATGATTCTATGATATACATCGATTGTTGTGTAAATACATTATCGATATCCCAATGCACTAATTGTTAAATCTTCATTGGATCTGTGAGAATGATAACTAGTATAACCTCATGTGAGAAGATAACTGTTTGTGTAGCATCAAATTATCTTAAAATTAGCAATACAATAGATTCGACAATTCATTACTATGGGTCATATTCCCCCATTCTCTATGGTGATTGCAGATCCATCATACTGGCTCCCAATAATTCAAATACAGAGAAGACACTTTAAAGATTGAGAGAAGCCTCTATTCCCATTAACAAATTATGCAGAGACAAATATCAGAAACCTTTAATTATAGGATAGAGTAAGATTGATTGGTCATTATTGCCTATTGAGGAGTTTAGTAAGTTTATATTACCAGAATCACATTTTGGATGCATCGATTCTCCATTGATTTTAGAGTGTAACTTTGAAATTGAAAGAATGAGCAAAGAAATCACAGAAAAGAAGATTCTGTCACAATAGATAAATTATGAAAAGTAAGAAATCCTATTTTAAATAAGAGAATCGTTCTTCCACTCTTGGCTCCCCCTGAATACATTAAGGCAGTTTATGATAGATACTAATTGTTTGCTGGTATTCAAGCTTAAATCAAATAATCCAATCTAAAAGAAGAGAATCAGAGATTACTTTAGAATGCCATTTAAGGAAACTTCAGAGAATGGCTAGTGTCCACAGGAACTATTAAAGGGATCAGTGATCTAGTTAAATTAATTGATTAAGAATAATGAAATATATAAAATATAATTTATTAAATGGGTGGTATTTATAAAAGAAAAGGGAATTCTGCAAAGAATAAGCAACATCATCGTATGTTGAAAACAAAATCCTATAAAAGAGCGAATGATCAAATTCATGATGATATTAAACCTGAAAATATATAAAAATGGTAAAATCAACCTGTCGACGAAACTTTACCTGGATTAGGTTAATATTATTGTGTCTCTTGTGCAAGGTACTTTGTTAATGAAGAATCCATTAAAAAACATTAAATTAGCAAATAAGTATACCTATTTCAGAGTATTTTAGCATAAAAAGTAAGACAAAAGAGTCAAAGAAAAACCATATACTCATATGGAAGCAGAATTAGCTGGAAAATGATTATAAATTATTATCATCATTCAATCTGATTAGCCTTACTTTAAAATAGTAATTTTGTATTTGTTTTTCTGGGATTGAGTACCGAATTATTTAGACTTTGGCATAAATCCTACTATATTTTGGAACCCAACAAATACAGTTTCCTCTTTTCAGTTGTTGATCTAGTCTAACTTTGACTGTAAATACTCTTACGCAAACCACTTTGAGACGATGTTTTAATACGAATCGATTTTCTATCATCCAATACCAATTGTGGTTTTAATTTCTTGATTGGAGAATCAAATATATTACTATTGTCATTCTCATTTCTCATTTAATAAATTAAATCATTCAGCATTTCTTTGCATTGTTCTTGGGAATAAACCTATCCATTATATTGGACTTCCTCTTGGTTTTATTGAATCATAAGGATTTAACATTATAATAGCTTTTGAATGCTTTACTGCTATTATTGTTGTACTTCATTTAGTTCAGTAGTTAACAATGGTATGTTATTAAACTGATTTATTAAGTCAGTCATCTATTGAGTAATTTGGTTGACAGATTCATAATTTTGAATCTTAATCAACTCAAAAGATTTGATCATCTAATCATGTAAGACATTGAATTGCTTATCTAAATAGTCTGCAGTATTCTATAAGAAGCTTACATCTTTCTCAAGGGCCAATTTAAATTCGTTGAATTTATTTTACAGATAAAATTCCATTTGATTTCTATCTATTTTTAAATTTGCCCCATCTTTCACTCCCACTCTTTCACTACTGTCATCAGATTTGGGAGTGATTGGAATTTCAGAAATTTTTGAGGAAATATCCTCTTAAATTGGAGTATTGACCTAATTAGTACTAACTTTCTTATCTCTAAGAAAGGACATATTCTTTTTTAGTTGTTTTTCAATAAATGCAGTGTATTCATTGATTTTCCTATCTAAATTTGGAATTCCATCATCACTTACTATAACTCTATGTAGTTCTGTAAACTTCATTTCCTCATATTGTGCCAACTTAAACCTATCATTTTCTTAGAGACAATTGTGAAGTGTATCAGAGAGTGTTCCTTATAAAAAGAGTGGAAAGTACTTTTCAATGTAATTTTCAAAGTACTGCAACTTATTATTCATCAAACCCAAATCATTTTTGACTGATCGATCATACGATAATAGTTCATCTAATTTAGGAAATCTTTTGTTTAGTAAATCCAGACTCTGCTGATTTTATTGACTCTATGCTATTTGTAATAACAGCTTATCTTAATAGGATTGCAAAATATTGTAATTGTTATCAATTTTGACTTTAAGATCCTTTTATACACAATCTTATTTGTCTAAATAGAGATTCATGGATTATAATTTATCATAAACAGTAACAATTGCAATTTAATTATCTTTTTTAACTTACTCTAAGTTGTCCAACAAAACTTATTTGAAGTCTTGGTTTTATTGTCTATACTTTTCAATCTGTTCTGTCCATTGCATTTGATTATTCTCTATCATTTTCAATTGATGATATTGTTGATCTCTTAGAAATTGAATCTAATCTAACTTTCTGTTATTTTCATTAATAGTAAACAAAGATGTTTATTATATGTTTTCAAACTTCTCCTATAATTCTAACATTTGTTATCTCAACTGTTAAATGATGGGAGTTCCTTTGCCATTTTAAAAATATAGAGCCTTGAATTCCTCATAATTTTAGATGTATTTGTCGAGTTTGAGTGATATTCTTTGTTGCAATAATAAATTAAAAATACGTCTAATAATCTGATCTCTACTCCACAAATTCCTTTAAATGTGGTTCCAGCAATTCATGAACCAAAATTCGTATTTTATTATCCAATTCGAACCATTAAAATTCATGGAGCGGTTAGTTATTGACCGTCAATGAGTGGTTTTGCTAATTCATATTTGAGTGGATACCTGGTCTATCGATTTAAGCAATTCTTAAACCAAAGATTTTCTTTCTTATTAGGATTGCATTAAATTTAATTATTATATATGCACAAATAGCAACCATAATAAGAAGCCTAGAATTTCAAGCCTCAAATTAAGAAAGCTGATAGTTTTGATGAGGAGGACAAACTAGAAGTACATAAGAAGACTATGAACCTAGATAATCAAATAGGGCTACGGAATAAATGAGGCCTTAAAACTAGATATCCTCGAATACTATAAATCGAGTCGACAATAACAAGAATTTAAAAATCCAGCTGATTTCATTAAGCATCGACTCGATAGTAAATATGGGCCTTACTGGTTTGTGTTTATGTGGGATCGTAAGGACAACCTAAATGCCTAATTCAGTTATTATAATAATGACGATAAAGTCTTTGAATTCGAAGTATAAATCCATCGCTATCAAGCTTTATGGATGGCACAATTTAATCTATTCATTCAATCAAGGTCCCCCTGTTAAATATTAGCCTCAATCAAATGGCCAAACCCTTCCTTAATTTAACATGTATTTTGAACTTCTAAACTTAGGCAATACAACATGTAATCTTATGATCATAATTATCCACAATAAGATTAACAATATAACGGACCATCAAAATGGTAATACTGATTTTTAATAATATTTAAAAAATAATATGTTTTAATAGCTAAAATGACGTACATCTTCAGCTTAAATGAAAAATATAAAATAAAAGAGGTGGAAAATAATAAAATGAGAAAACCTCCCTTTGAACATTGTTTGGATTGTCCTATCATCATTAAATTGATGGATGCATGTCCTCTCTCCCCTTTCTGGCAGATAGTCTAAGAAGAGGGGTTAAGTGGTTTGGCAGATGCATCACTACTTTATGAATTATTTATGGTCATCATCTCTTTGGTACCTTGGATTTGCGGATTAATATTGGGAATCTTACTATTGAAGAGACGAGACATGCGATCATTAATCCGTGTTTTGACTCATTTGTGTGCTCATATGTAAATAGCAATATTAAGTCAATTATAGAACTTGCGATGTTGTCAAAGTAGTTTATTTCAAAGAGGATAGACCAGATGGCTCTTGCTCTTTAAAGTATGGTCTACCCTCTTGTCATTCTATATTTGCAGGATTGTACACAAGTTGGGTTTTGATTGAAATATTGGTTATTGGAATGAAACTAAAAACTAGACATATAATTGCAGTGATTTCTATGTTAATAGTCCCATATTCACGAATTTACTTGATATATCACACACTAAAATAATGTATCTATGGTTGGACCATCGGATTGATATTTGCTATTGTAGGTTTGACATTCCATCATTAATGCAAGAAGAGAAGAAAGAATAAATAAGTTAAAGTCAAACAATGAATGTTTATTTATATGTGTCATTAATTCCACATCTTTATTTATTTTTAAGATTGACATTCAGCAAATTTATGGATGTAAGCTAATTTTACCATTCTGAAAGTTCATATCATTTTTGATTTCCAGAGATTGTGCACTTATAAAAACTCGATAAAGCTTTGCTTTAAAGATATCTAGACGTATTAGATTAAATTAAATAAGATAGAATTTATATGAAATTTATTATATGCATTTTATTATCAAATGTTGAGTATAAGAAATGTATTAAATTAATTGTACATTAAAAATATAATATAAAATGGAGACAACTTATAAATGCTCATTTTGTTTAAACCATATCTAAATAAGTCAATAATCATTTCATAAATATTTATGCTTAGATCATTAAATCCATCGTTTTGCCTCTAAGATTATTAGATTGGAGAAACACAATAAACTGTCCTCAGATAAATGGGAGTATATTAATAAGTACATAGAATTGCTTTACAACCATTACAGAGAAGAAGTAATTCAAAAAAGCGTGTTTATCTCAGAGGTATAAAAAGAGGAATGAATTATTAAATTATTTATGTTATCATATTATAGTACAGGACAGTTTCCTAAATCTTTAGATCCCCCATCTCGTTTCAAGCAAAGATAAGCAAGCAAAGTATTTGATCTATCATTTAATAAAGGGAGATGGAGAATCTATGTACAAAAGAAACTTCGAGGATCCCTAAAAACATGATTTCAAACAAAGTGCTCATGCTTTGAATCAAGAGTTCCATCATAAACAATACCATAAAATTAATGCTGATTATAAGTATTTCAGTAAATCTAAATTACAAAGGGATCGCTTCTTTGATACTATGCATAACACTACAAATCAATAAAAATAGGAAGATAAGCTATTCTATGAAAGTGCTGCAAGACAACAGAATCTAGATTAACCAAATCATTTGCATAATTGGAAAATTGTAAAGGAGCGACAATATGCAGAGTATGTAACTGCAAATATTTAATAGACGAGTGCAATAACAATCTAAATGTGATCAAGGGAAACTTGTAAGCAAGAATGAATATTAAGCTACTCAATCATCAAATACTGAATCCAAGACCAATACCTTGGCTAGATCAAATATGTTCGAAATATCAAAGCCTTTATTAAGAATTAACAATGATCTCAAAAGCCAATAATTGATAAAGAATGTGTAAATCGTATCTGATGATATCCCAGACTGGTGCTCCTCTACTAATAAATATTATACTCCTGAACATATAGAGTAAATTAAGAAGCAAAGACAGTAACAACTAGCCAAAGCTGACATCTTGGGTAATTTTATTAAGGAACCCAAGAAGGATCCCGATAATAAGGTTTATCAAGACAATCCCTTTGTTGGCTAAAGATATGTAATTTACATTCACTTAATTTAAGGAACCAAAACGCATGTGTGTATTTTATGATAAACCAGATCATGTCAGGGGATAATAATGTGCTACTTAGGATTTAAGCAAATCTAAGGTGAATTTAACATGGAAAGAGAATGTTTCGTCCTAAAGATTTGAACCAAGATTACCTGTGTCCATAGGAAGAACAGATCAGCCTGTGATTAAATCCCTCAATTAAAAAAGAGATCCCAATTTTCCAAAAGTAGAAAAAATTGGATAATCAGATGTGTATCTATATTTGATTTTTATGTAGTTATAAAAAAATAGAAAAGGATAAACCGATCTAATTAAAAATTGGCCATGGTTCTCCTTCTACGTTGAATCCAGTCAAATATTGACATATTTGTTACATAAATTAATTGTTTTAAATATAATACTATTCTATTTAATAATAAAGATTTTGTTATAAATATAATATTTTGTAATCAACAAAATTGCAATAATACAATTAGATTAGTTGTTTCTTAAGCAACCCTATCATTTTCATGCATACTGAGGTTATTTAACTAATCCTAAAGTTAATTTGGAATCAATTTAAGAACTTCCGTTTGATAATGCATATCTTCTATCTACAATACATTTGAAAGGGCCTCTATGAAATACAGGATCTATTCCACCTTAATATTAACCTACTCCAAAGCTTGTTCAATTACTCCAAAGAATTTCTAATAAATATCTATATTTTATTACTATATAAGGTTCTGGATTAAATTATTATTATTCTTGTAGTCTAAATTGAATATGCTTTTGGCAATTAATCAGTTTATCTAGCACCTTTACTTTATAAATATATGCAAAATTGGACTGGGCATAATAATCTACAAATTTATCAAGGTATTCCATCAGACATTTTTAGACATACTTGTTGAGAACTTGATCTTCAATTACACAATGCAAATTTGTATAAGTTTTATAATAGCAGGATACCAATTTTAATAGGTCTTTTCCTGCTTGTTTTTCTAATTTAAAGGCCAACTTATAGAGTATTTCCATTATGTTGTTCTTGCCAATCAGGGGGAACAACAATTCAGACATTTTCTTAATACAAATCTTCAGTGTCTTTTTAATATATTAGAGTTATTTACTTTAAAAATGACAATGTATTCAAAATGCGAAAGGTCTGACTCGAGATAATCGACAATGATGTCAGATATAGCATATATTTGCTAGAAAAATGTAAATTCTTATTCACTTAAGCAATTGGCTAAAAGGACTGAGCCATAAATAATTTAGAGGTCTTTCGATTAGATAGCTCTATTCAGTATATCCAAAGTAATATTATATTAATCTTTAATTTTTAATTCTCTTTTTGATTGCAAATATAGGGATAAAAATTCAGTAAGGCCCATCAAGTAATCATCAGTGGCTAAATCAAATGCCTAATATACAATTTATTCTAATAATAATTTTTCTTATTGTATTATATCTAATAGTTAACTCTCTTATTCTATCAATAAATTCAGCGTATTTAAAGCATCAACATGCAATGATTTCCATTCTGCAGATGACAATATTTTCATCAATTAGAATAATAGGGCTAGATCAAGTTTATCTTTTTCATCTGATAGGATTGTTTTAACAATTTTTGGGTTGACTATAAGGCAATTTTTCAATAGTTGTAACATCTTATTGAAATGTGATTGATGATTCAATGGTTAAATGAGATAATATTTAATATCAATAATGAATTAAGAGACTTCATAGTATGCTTCAAATAAATCTTTTGAGTCAATCAGATTGCAAAATTGATTCAAAGTTTCAATGGTATCAGATTTTAAGAATTCTTATAAAGAATCAAGGATATTTTAATTGGAAGGGACTTTAGAATCCCCTAATCTATGAATTCCTCTATTTTGTCTGAAGAGACTTTCTAACTTATTTTTTCTGATGTCCATTCTGAATTTCTCCCTTTTCATTTGATTTATGCTCACACAATCATTAGCGACGATATTAATCTGAGGAGTGTCGGACATAAAAATATAATTTAAAAATATTGCGGCAAATATATTTAAATTTCATAATGAAAATTATTTCTTCACTCTTTCAAATGTCTTTAAAACGATTGATTCCCCATATACTAAAGTCTTGATTTCTTCAAATAGATTTTCACAAACTAATGCATATGTAATGTTCTCATTAACAACATTATTCTAGTTCAATAAATATAGAACATATCTAATTGCTCTATCAATCAATTTGTTATTAGTCGGTCGAACGTAAATCATGATATTACTTTGATATCTTCCTATTCTACCCATTAATAAAGTCGAATGGATATTAATAAGGCATTTAAGAACAATATTTTATCCTAAAACATCATTAATAGCTTTGATCTTTTCGAAATGTATTCTCTCTAATTAGGGTGACACAAATTCCCAAGACATTTCTAAATTATCTTGATCATAAGCAATCCTAAATTAATAATGATTCCCTCCAGCATATTTGGTTCTCCTCTCTACTTGGTCTTAACTTATATCATGAGAGAGCACTTAAATTAAATGATAAATTATACATTTCTCCAATCCAACCTTGTGTTAATATTTATGCCAATAGTTTGATGATAGAGCCCTTGGTTATCGACCATAAAGTAATGATTCCCAAGCTTAGAGCGAATCATTGTATTTTTATTCTGTATCATCCATAACAAAATATGACCAGCTTGGATTGATTGGATTATCTAATATACTTTCAAAAGGATGTAAACTAAATGTTGGACATCTTAAATTATAATTTATAGATCTATACCTTTCAGTAGTATCAGTTAAAATGTTAATGGCAATGTTAGGTTTAGATCTATAGAATACATATTCTTTCCTCAAATAACAATCGGCCTCTAATTCAATGAACTTTGCAATAAATTAATGAGCATCGATAGATTCATAATATTGTCTTACATTTTTGATAGAATTTGTAGCATAATCAATAAAGTTTTCTTTGCATAGAATGGCTAATCCTATTGCATAAGTCAAAACAGTAGAACATTACATTCTTGTACTTCCAGTGATAGCTTAGTGGCTAACAGAGAGATTAATTTTATTAATATTTGGATTGTTAAATACATCTTAACTTCGTTAGACTGTCAATACTTCATCTGGATTGCAATATAAGAAAAATGGTTTGCCTATTTTACTTGCTTCTTAAACAGCTCCAATAACCCAAGGAGTTTCTCCTCCTTCAGTTGATGATATTAATAAATCTCCCTCCTTAAAGCCCAATTCATTCAATTACTAAGCTCCAAATTCAGGATGATCTTCAAAATCCTCAACTGATGCTATAATAGCCACGTCTCCTCCTGCCATAAAAGATATTATATTATCTTGCTTTGTAATTTATCGATACAAAGTTTCCAATGTCAATGCTAGTCTTCCAGTGGATCCACATCCACAAATGAACACTCTATTACCTTTCGACCAAGTATCCAAGACCATCTGATTCATATGTGCCAATTAATCCAATTTATTCATCAGTACATCGAAAACATGCATATCCAAGTCTTTCATTCTCTATATTCCAGTTTTTAAATCATTTTTGGCAAATTCAGATAAACCAACAGTGTGGGGATGAGCTTATTCAGTTATCAAACCTCCCAAACTAAATTATGCACTAATCTCTAAGAAATCTTTATAATTCATAAACTTTATTTATATAAAATCACAATGAATATTTTTTGAAATTCTCATAACTAACTCCTTTAGGATCACCTTGTGACATTCTGTTGAATATTGCCAACATATCTGCCTCAGTTAAATGACTATCTTTATAATTCTTCATTAAAAATACAAACTCTAACATATATACTTTAAATGAGAATACCTTGTTAATTCAAAAAGCCATCTTTGTCAGAGTCATGTCTTTTAAATATCTTTTGTAGAAATCTATCTGTAGTTTCTTCATTGATATATTTTTCAACTGAATTCATAGCATTACAAAATGATTCCTCATTAATCTCATCCTTGTAACAATGGCTTTTAAATGATTATGTTATCAAATTTTTGAAATTCTGTTTAGCTTCTCCATTTTGATCATTAGGGTAGAATAAGGAACTCACCATTTCTGCAATTAAATCAATTTTAATTCCTAATGAATCCTATTGCTGGAACTCAAAGGCTAGAATTCTGTAGATTTCCTTATTAGACATAGTCTTAGTTTTATGTGCCTTCTATTTGTTTTGCTTACTATCCATGTATTTTATATGAAATATATTATAAACAGTTATAAATATTAATGTATACTTTGTAACACTTCATTCAAATTAATGTCTAATAGAATCAAAATATTGGTGCTTTAAAGCATCCTTTGGAGTGATCCTTTTTTTCTAGTGTAAATTAAAATCAAAAATTACAGCATCATACTACATCAACTTCTACAATAGATCCAATGCATCGGATTAACAATACTGGGTATTGTTAGCATTAATAAATTTATTCAGATTGACAGGCTCATAATTTGGAAAATCACTAAAATCAAAACTTGCATTGATCTTCTAAGCAACATCTTTCAATCCATCTGTGCCAAACACTCTCGCTATACGATGCATATACTAGACTTTCTCTTTCCCCAACTTCTTTGTCCCTCTAAATGGGTTGTTCTCTTTAAAGATCTTTAATATTCATAAATAACATGACATACCATCTAGGCAAACATGAATCCCACTGCATAGACATCTATTTAATAATCATAATACTGGTATCTCAACAATATTTCTGGGGATTGATAAGATCTGTGTCATTAATAATTATACTTAGTTCCAACTGAAGGGTTTTTTGGTCTACCTGGTACATAATACATACTCAATCCCCAATCTATCAATTTAAATAGTTTAGTCTTTGGATTTGCTATTATGTTGGCTGGCTTGATATCTCCATGAATTACACCTTTGGAATGAACATAATCTAATGCCTGGATTATATAAATCAATATACTTTTAGGGTTTGATACAGGAACAACTTGTTACCATTATCAGTCATTGTCTTTATCAATTAAGATGTTGGAAAGACTATATATCTATTATATACTAATGATACAGAATTATTGTTTCTTATAACATCTACTAATGGTGAAATTAAGTCATGACCTTATACAGTTTGCATAAACACAATTTCTCTTTTAATGCTGTTCCATTTTAGACTCTTGAAAGTCTTAATCACTACTTTATTCTTGGTTGATTTTTATAATCCTAAATAAGCATGTCCTGAAGCCCCTTTGCCTATATAAGTCTAGAATTCGTAATCGCTATAATTCCCAAAATTGATTCTCAATTATTTATAATCAAGATCTTTTTCAGATTTTCCTTGATTTGCAGTAGCGTAATACTTAGGTAAGATATGTACTACGCTAGCTCCAGTTTCTTTTAAGCTAACAAGATTGCTGTCATATTTATTCGAATTGAGGACAGAAACATAGGAAAAAGCAATTATCATTAATCCATAAATCTGAATATACTATTCAAATTTTTTCATTAAATAAAAAATGCTTTATAATTTGATCAAAATATAACTAATTGAAATGCTCAAAAGTCTATAGGGATTAATAATTATTCTTTAGGTTTTAACCCATTTATCGTTCAATCTGAGAATAACAATTTCGATTAAATTTTCTGCATTTAATATATTAATATATCTATAATATAGATATAAAATACAATTATAAATAATACTAATTCATCTTGTATATGGTAACTTTTTGATTTAAACTAAGGAATTTTGAAAAAAGCAAACCTTTTATCATACTATGAAACTATTACAAAATCATATATATTAGAAGCAGATTCAAAATATCAAGACAACAATAATATTTGATTTACAAAAAAGAAATGAAAATAGGAACTACTTCGAAATCTATAGATTGGTTTAGTTATAGTCCTTATATATTTATGGTTAATTGCAAAATATCATCTTAGAGTAGAATTTTTAGGGATTATATAATTGTAACTGAGGATATTAATTCAAAAATTTCAAATAGTCTATGTAACAGTCTTTTAAACTAGGTAGCATCTCTCTTATACTAGATGAGAACAATCAATTTAATATATCATTCTTGAAATTCTGAGCACAAAAAATGCTTAATCTGCTGTAATTACATAGACACTTTTGAGTTTAAGTATAGTGGAGAGGATCATAAATTACTCCTTTATATTTATAATCATAGTTTGAATGAGTTACTTTATGATGCTCATTAAAAAGGGAATGAATTAGATCAAGTTTCAGAAAGTTAAGATTGATGATTTATAATAAAATTAAATTATGTAACAGGAAAGCATATACAACTTAATTCCAAAGGAGTATGTCCCTCCACCCAAGGAGCCCATGTATAGATCTGCATATCCTTCGAATCTTGTTCCTACTGGCAGCACTTTTAATAACCACACAACAAGCAGACCAAAAGTACTTTTGTCGGTTATCTTTTAAGATTAACAATATCAATGGAGAATTTGAATTAGTGAAAGGTCCTCATTCTCACAAAGGATAATCGAATTCCTTGGGTAGACCAAAAGGTAATTTGAATATGATGATGAGATAGGCTCATATAAACCTGATACAACTATGTTCAGATTGAAGAACACTGGAACCATGGGATCAAACTAATTACCTGAGAGTATCAAAGCATCATTAAAATTTAGTTCAAACTTATAAATATCCACCTTCTGTCAAACCATAAGTCCCAAAAAAGGATGAGAAACCAATACATGGTTTGAAATCAAATANTAATACTTAGGTAAGATATGTACTACGCTAGCTCCAGTTTCTTTTAAGCTAACAAGATTGCTGTCATATTTATTCGAATTGAGGACAGAAACATAGGAAAAAGCAATTATCATTAATCCATAAATCTGAATATACTATTCAAATTTTTTCATTAAATAAAAAATGCTTTATAATTTGATCAAAATATAACTAATTGAAATGCTCAAAAGTCTATAGGGATTAATAATTATTCTTTAGGTTTTAACCCATTTATCGTTCAATCTGAGAATAACAATTTCGATTAAATTTTCTGCATTTAATATATTAATATATCTATAATATAGATATAAAATACAATTATAAATAATACTAATTCATCTTGTATATGGTAACTTTTTGATTTAAACTAAGGAATTTTGAAAAAAGCAAACCTTTTATCATACTATGAAACTATTACAAAATCATATATATTAGAAGCAGATTCAAAATATCAAGACAACAATAATATTTGATTTACAAAAAAGAAATGAAAATAGGAACTACTTCGAAATCTATAGATTGGTTTAGTTATAGTCCTTATATATTTATGGTTAATTGCAAAATATCATCTTAGAGTAGAATTTTTAGGGATTATATAATTGTAACTGAGGATATTAATTCAAAAATTTCAAATAGTCTATGTAACAGTCTTTTAAACTAGGTAGCATCTCTCTTATACTAGATGAGAACAATCAATTTAATATATCATTCTTGAAATTCTGAGCACAAAAAATGCTTAATCTGCTGTAATTACATAGACACTTTTGAGTTTAAGTATAGTGGAGAGGATCATAAATTACTCCTTTATATTTATAATCATAGTTTGAATGAGTTACTTTATGATGCTCATTAAAAAGGGAATGAATTAGATCAAGTTTCAGAAAGTTAAGATTGATGATTTATAATAAAATTAAATTATGTAACAGGAAAGCATATACAACTTAATTCCAAAGGAGTATGTCCCTCCACCCAAGGAGCCCATGTATAGATCTGCATATCCTTCGAATCTTGTTCCTACTGGCAGCACTTTTAATAACCACACAACAAGCAGACCAAAAGTACTTTTGTCGGTTATCTTTTAAGATTAACAATATCAATGGAGAATTTGAATTAGTGAAAGGTCCTCATTCTCACAAAGGATAATCGAATTCCTTGGGTAGACCAAAAGGTAATTTGAATATGATGATGAGATAGGCTCATATAAACCTGATACAACTATGTTCAGATTGAAGAACACTGGAACCATGGGATCAAACTAATTACCTGAGAGTATCAAAGCATCATTAAAATTTAGTTCAAACTTATAAATATCCACCTTCTGTCAAACCATAAGTCCCAAAAAAGGATGAGAAACCAATACATGGTTTGAAATCAAATAAAAACTTTATAATAACGAATGCTGTTGAAAATATCCTATCGGCCCCAAAGTAAATTGTTGAAGATGTTGCTTGGACGTCCAAAAAGGATTATGGAAAGGTTCCAGATTATTTAACCAAAATAAAATCAAGCATTTCAAGTGAATATGAAATCATAAGAAACATGCATATTAGTGAGGCGGAAGAAATGGACAAACAAAAATACCTTATGTCTTAGGAAGAAGTTCAATAACTAAAAGAAGGACTCAAAAAGAAATGGGAATCAGTCAACAAAGAGTATTAATCAATTACTCATATCAGAATGATTGACACCGTTGGTTTGAAAAGAAAGTAAATCTAATTATGACTATTACAAGGAAAGAGTAATGTGAAAAAGAATTAGCCTAATTAGAAAAAGATATAGAAAAATTAAACAAGAACTATGTATTTGTTGATACACAAAAATGATTCCATTTTATAATATCAATAGCAATTTTAGTATATTTCCAATTAATTATTTTCACTTATCAACTATCTTAAATCTGGAGTTTTGGTATTTAAAGTAAAAAAATAATATTAATGGATAAACAATCTTAAAAAGTTAGAAAATCTATTTCTAATTATACCTATGATTTGAATGACTTGATTGGCTAGGGCTATTCATCAAAAGTGTACAAAGGACTTAACACCTACACGAATCAGGTTGTTGCAATTAAAGTCATAAGTATATAATAACTAATCACTCCAATCTCTAAAAGTTTACTGAAAAATGAAATCAATGTATTGAAATTAATTAATCATCCAAATCTAATGAAAGTGTTTGAAACCTTTGAAACCCAAAACAACACTTATTTGATATGCGAGTATTGTAATGAAGGTGATTTAGCAGATATTTTGGAAACATCCTCATTCACAGAAACTGACGCTTTAAAAGTTCTCCAACAAATCCTTCAAGGAGTCAAAGCATTACATGATCAAAGTAACACCTTTTAAGTAAAATTTCTTAGAAATAATACATAGAGATATTAAACCAGCCAACATTTTGAAATCTGATGGTATGTTCAAATTAGCCGATTTCGGCTTTGCAGTTATTGAGAACCAATATGAAAGCATCATCAAAAAGTTTAACGTTGGAACTCCAATGTATATGGCACCTGAAACAATTTAGTATAATGAGTATTCAGAAAAATCAGATATATGGGCTTTGGGCATTGTCTTGTATCAAATGATATACAAACAAATGCCATAGAGCTAAAAATTAGAAAATGACATTGAGAAGAAGCATGCAGCACTAATTAATAAAATTTTAACTGACAATCAAACATCTTAAAAAACAAAAGAACTCATTCTAAAAATGCTTAGCATTGATCCAGAAAAAAGAATTTCTGTTAATGACATTATTTCACTACTCAACCCCCCTCCAAAGAAACTATCTACCATCTCTCATCAAAATATTTCTTGTAAACCCATAAAATCAATACCTGCATCTTTGGACCTCCATTCTTCAAGAACTCTATTTGATGATAATTTACTCTCTAAATAAATCATAAAAAGTTAACCTGATGAAGTTGTTGAGAATAATTAAATATTTTCTAAAACTTAAAATTGTAAGGATCACGCAAACCCTAGAATCATCAAAGTCAATTAATTTAGTTCCTTCAAAGATCTTAAAATTAACAAAACTCCTATCAAAACTATATAGGCTTAGACCTAGCAAAATCCATGTATTGCATAGCAACCTTAGTAAACATCAAAGCCTACTTACAATCTAAATTTGTAACCTATAGGCAAGTCCTTCAAAGAATCTCCTCTTAAACCCAGGGAATAACAATAAACAAGAAGACTTAAAACTTAAATTTCAAATGAATTTATTGACCCAACAGAAAAAGAATTGAATTTCTTGTCAGATAAGGCAAGTATAGTTAAAGTACCTCAAACCAATATTAATCCGAATCAAACTCCGCTAAAAACTGTTTAAAATAAAAAAACAACTCATAAAAATGCAAATACCCTTGATGAAAGTGAGTGTATCTAAAGTAGTCATCAAAATAGTACAAATGATACTATTAAACAAAATCAACTTTCTAATTGTTTATAAATTTTCCAGGAAAGACAGAATTTACAAGAAAATCATTCAAACAATCAAAATTAACTTAATAGCCATTTAAAAAAAATCAAATCACCAATTAGAATAATTCAATCATAAAAGACCATTGTCACTCCACCCTTTAAGTCCTCCGGAATTAGTGAATAAAAGAAATAGTAAGATTTTAAACCAAACTATTTTATATAAACCAAAGGGAATTCCCCTATCTTTTAATAAGAATCATTATCACAATTGATATAAAACTTATCCATAGAAAAAATCATAACCGATTTCTCATCCAAAAGGAATGAAGAAAAAGAAGGATAACCACCTGCAAAGATAAGGCCTACCTTTAAATTCCTTAATTATCTGAATTAAATAATTAAAAACTTTGACAATATTAATACAGAAGACAAATAAAAATGTTATTTTCTCTTAAGAAAACTTTTAGGAATCAAAGCAACATATGTATAATAATGCTATCCATAATATAAATAAGAATAAGTACAAGTATACATTGATAATTTCTTGTCTTATTATGCTAAAGTTGAAACAACATTTTATACTTCCCCTGATAAATCATTTGAATAATTTTTCAATAAAGATTTAACTTAATTTAGTATTGGTTTTTCATAACTATTGTTATATTATCTTTAAAAGATTTCATCTAGCAAATGGAATTAAGATATTTAAATAATTTCAGAAATTATTTCTGAAAATGTAAGATAATCAAATGATCCAGTGTTATTTGCTAGAAGATGGGAAAATGATTAACAATGATTCTTATAGTTTTTATTTTAAATTAGAAAAACAAACGTTTTTATTAAGATTATAATTTAGAAATATCAATATTTAATATATATCAAGGTATTATGGGCATTTGCTAAAGGAAAAGTGTAAAGGACAATTCTTAAAAGCACACCGGATACGAGTCAGAACAAGTTGTAGTTTTGACATGCATAAAGAGCCACATCGAATATTTCGATTAAATAGATTTAGAACTTCTTAAATATCCTGATGTCTCACTGTTATTGCGGAAACATATCAAAAACTATAGATTCATTGAGGAGGGAAAGACTTGGGTAGTGGTAAAGGAAATCTAAAGTTTCTTAAATAATAAAATAACAATATTGATTAGAAATTTCAATCCTGAAACTGATGCTGCCTTGTAATTGATATAGATTTTTACGAAATTGGTATCTTCAACCTAAAAGTTATTGGAATCTTCTGTTAATTTTAACGAAACAAAGGTTGAATTATTTTAATCATTCCAAAATTAATTGGTTTAAGTAAATGAAAATAATAATTTTAGACTTCTATAGAATGCCTAATTATTGTAAATACATTAATTTCAAAAAAATTATAATGGTGGAATGATGAATATTTTTAATGGAGGCAGAATCATTTAATGTAGACGTTTCTCATTAAAAAAATCGATAAAAGTAATAAAGAGATTATAGGATCCATATATGACTTTATATAATTGTTAATAGAATGTATAAAAAACTTGGGAGATCTTGAGGGATCTCAAAATGCATAAGAAACAGATTTTAAAGCTTAATAAGACTTTTTAGATTAATTTTACAGCTAAATGAGAATAGGGTTGATATAGAATTCATTTATTTCAAGTAGTATTTCAAATGAAATAATTCCAGATTAAATTTAGGTTCATTAAATTGTGAAAGCGTATGCCTTAATAATTAATAAAAAATGATTACTAATTTATATTTATATATAAATTATATTAATTCCAGCAAGATTAAAAATAATTACGAATTTTTGTTGTAATAACTTCTAGTAAATAAGTCTGAAGACTTTGTACAAGTTAACTATCCCAAAAGATGAAATAAACATAAAATAATTTACAACAGTATAAAGAGTCAGGCTTAGGAAATTATTTCAGCTATTTTTGAGTAAATTAAAATATTGATTCTCAATTATAATCTATACTATAATTTATTGAGATTATAATTTTTGACATTATTATTATATCAAAATATATTAGCATGGCATATAGAGTAAGGTTAAATGAATTATTTGTTTATCGAAAGTTTTATTTTGAATATTCTAAATTATAATTGAAAATTAAGAAATTCCTAAAGTGAAAAAGTGAAAGGTCTGTTGTATACAAATAATAGCTTTCGATTTTCTCCTATGCAACAGGTTAATTCAAATTTTAAGCAATGAAGCTGATTTTTATTAGAATTACATATTTTCCAAGTTCAGGTAAAATCAAAATATCAATAATATAGCTTGAATAGTATGATTTGGTTCAAAGTCTATAAGTTATCTATTAGATTTCATAATCTCCGTTTGAATTTTAGAAGTATCTGTTAAAAGGAATCTTAAATTTACAAAGAAATTCGCTGCTTAAGGATTTTTTCTCTACTTTTTTATATTTTATAATTTATATGAATTAAAATTATAAATAAATAATAGTATAAGTTATTAATCTTCATATTCTAATGATTTTATTACATATAAAAATGATTAATATAAATTTTATCTAAAGTATGCTAAAGTGTCAAGATTTGTCCGACTTAATGCTTTAATTTAATTTGACAAATTTAAAAATTATTTTATTATTTAGTTTAGGATAGCAAATACTATAACTCAATATAGAAATTTATAATAGATTAAAAGTGCTTATGATTAGATAATTAATTCTCTAATTCAGTCAAAAATGAATTATAATGTAACCCTAATTGAGAATATAATTATTACAATTAACTGCTTATGAATATAGCTAAGTTATCATTATTAATATTGTTACAATTTCCAATATCTCCTCAAATCCTAAGCATGTGAAAAAGTCTAAAGAATATAACCCAATAATGATTAATGGAATAAAGAATTGGCTGAATATATTTAATGTTTTCAGAGGGAATAATTATGGATCTTTGCTAAAAGTGTTCACAATAAAAATATTTGTATTAATTCAGAAAACATTAATAAATATTAATATTATTTATTAAGCTTTATAAATGATAACTCCTTAAGAATAACTTGATATTAGTAAGATAACCTTTAAAATTAGTCATAAAAAAGATTAAGTCATTTTTAAATTCAAAATCACAAACTACAATTAGAACTTTAGGAAAAACATTCAGAGGCTTCGAATCCTTCGATCAAAAATGTAGAATTGACAAGGATGAGTTTCTGATTGGATTAAAATAAAATGGTGTCGTATTGACTAAGTTTTAAACAGATGTAAATATGAATTTAACTTTAGTTTCTATTGAATTATCTTGACAGAAACAGAGATGGATCAATTGATGTAGCTGAGTTTCTTTATTTAATTAGAGTAATAATAATAATCTTATTATGTAGGGATCGCCAAATGAAAATAGATTAGAAGTTATTGTTTAAGCATTCAGAAAGTTTGATAAAGAAAATTTAGGATTTATAGTTGCAGATGATTTCAAAGGAATATTTAATGCAAAAAATCATCCTAAAGTAACAAGAGGAGAATTGACAGAAGATCAAGCATATATAGAGTTTTTACAATATTTCAAAGAAGGAAATAAGTCAGGCCATATTTCATTGAATGTATTGCATATTTATAATAACCTTTAGGAATGGAAAGAATACTACGCTGCAGTTAGTGCTGATATTGAATCTGATGAGAACTTTATTGCTTTAATAAAAGAAACCTGGAGATTAAAATGAATGAAATTTAATAAATAAGTATCATAATTACATCATGATTCTCAAGACTCAGATTCATTATTTTAATAAATTTCCTCTTTTTCTTTTTAATTTTCTTTCTACTATTCATTATCATTCTTATTATTATTGTTATTATTGTTATTATTTGCTTTTTCATCCTCATTTTATTCTTCTATTTAATTTTCTTTTTCTCCTTTTTCATTATCAATTCCATTTTATTTTTCTTATGACATTTTCATGTCCTTTTATTCAATTTCCTACTCTGATTCTGAACTTGATTTATTTTCCAACTTTTCCAATCTTCTTAATCTTTCATGAGACCTTGACCTCGAACGAGAGGATCTAATTAATGACAAATTTTAATACTTCTTAAATGTTTTTTTAGATTTCACAACTATTTACAATATTAATGGCTTAATTAATGCAGGATTGATGTCATCTGATCCTATTTTGGTATTATTTTTAATTGGAAATACTATCATGTGTACCCAACCATTTTAATAGTGAGATGTAACTTCATTAATTTAAAGTTTCTCAACTTCTACTATTCCATCTTCCAACCAAATATTATCCTCAGGCAATCTTAGGATTACTTGATTTTATGAATTATGTTGTAATATAATTGGCTTATCATCAGATGAATATAGTTATATTTCTAATTCTATTTTATTTTTGTTTTTAATATCTTATCCTTTCATATCTTTAAGAGCGATTTCAAGGTTAAAGTTCTTGTCTTTGAACAATACTGTATCTAAATCATTGACCAATACCAATTAATATTAGAATTCATTTAAATTATAGGATAAAGACTTTAATAAGATGTTGTTATGAGTCATTTCCTAATGAGGAATCGATACTAATTGAATAGGATTTTAAATTACATCTACTAACAAAATCTTCTGTTTATCCATTATCAAATTTCTATTCGACAATTCTTTGTAGATTTGTTATTTCATCTAAAATCTAAGTGATCACACTCTCTAAACTGGCATTTTTATTCTTAAAATCTAGGAGCATTTAATTTTGTTAAACAAACATATTCAAAATTTTTAATTAAAATTCGTTCACCACTTGTGAAAAACCTAAATATTCTAAATAAATAGTCATACCTTATTCTAAATTGTTTTATTAATTTATACTATTATTATTTGTATTTGTGTTTTAATTTGCTTATTATTATTATTATTACTATATTTAAGGTGCCTATTATTACGGCTGGGGTTGCTGTTGTAATTATTATTACTAAGGTGGTTGTTGTTATTATTATTATTATTATTATTATTGTGGTATCATTTGATTTGGCCCTAATTACTATTATAATTGTGGTTGTTGTTTAAATTAAAAATCAAATGGTGGCATCTATCCTATGGGTCCTTAAGGCATTGGTCCCATTCCAGGTAATTACATAGGTCCTGGACCCATAGGTCCCATGGGACCAATTGAACCCATAGGACCCATGGGACCCATCGTACCCATCGTGCCCAAAGGACCTGGACCCATTGCTCCAGGTGGTAATTGACCTGGACCCATAGGAGGCATTCCAAATCCTATAGGCATCGGAGGCATATTTGGTAAACCTTATGGCATACCATTTAAATTCATTCCACCTTGATTAGGTTGAAGAGAATTCATTTGAAGAGCTTGGTCATGCATAAATTGTTCAGGAAATGGGTATTTCTAATTTGGAGGCGGTGGCATCATAGGTTATGGAAACGGTGGAGTCCAACAAGAATAATATTGGGGATTTGGCACTGGTAACATTCGTCCATATGGGTCTGGATTACCCATTTGTTGGAACATCTAGTATAGTCTCTATTAATCATCGTTTGGATTCATTGACATTTTTAATAAATAATTATGAAATAATAACACATTCAGCTCCCTAATTTATCAAAATTACAACATCTTCCATCAAGTGATAGAAGTCCTAGAACTGTAAACACGCCTACAAGAAAGGCAAGTGAAGTGTTAGTAAAATTTAATTTCCATCTTAATCCTTCATTGCATAAAAAAAAATAAATAAAAAATACTCCTAATAATGAATTTTTAACGAAAAAGATAAGCAAGGTTACAAGAAACATCATGGAGCTTGTAAATTTTAATCATCTATATTTTCAAGAGAAGAAGAAAGAAAATGAAATGTGATTCTTTGTAAATCAAGCCTAGAATTTAAGCATGCAAAACTAACAAAGGAGGAACAATATCAGTACTAAAAAATAATGAATAATGCAGATCCTATCTACATAAAAAATATAAGGATTAAATTTATACAGGAGCCTCAGAATTCAGTGATAAGAGTAAAGATAAATTGAGATTGCAGATGGTCAAATGGTTGATAGATAATAAAAAAGATGTTGTTTGTGCTTTGAATGAAAATAAATAAAACATTTTAGAATGGGTTTAATGTGTTGAAAAAGTAGATAGAGATGAGTTTGATATCATACTACACGGAATATAACTATACAAAGATCCCAATTTGATAAATCGTCTATTTTGGTATTATATATAACAATAATTTAGGGTATTTGATTTGAATGATGATGGATATATTGAATTTAATGAAATACAATATTCTATAAATTTATTTAGGGAATACGATTAATAAGATAAAATTCAGATATTTTTTGAACTTTGTGATGAAAATGATGACGGTTATATAAATGAGGAGGATATCAAAAAATTCTTTTCTAAGAATCTTACTAACCAAGAGGAGATTAGATAAATGAAATTTTTAATGAAGGATTTCTATTAAGAACTAAACCCTCATTATTTGAAAGGATTAAATGCAGAAGATTTATATTAGGCAACTCTAAGTGATCAAAATATAAGGGTAATTGTTGAAAAAAATACCTTGATTTTGAAATCTAATAATAAAAAAGAAGATGATATTGGTTCAAGTCTTAATAATCTCATTTATTCTGGATAATAGTAATGTTTTATAATGATATTTTTAGTGAAGGAAAATAAGGAATATTCTTCCCTTAGATTGAGGGTTTGATTGATGCTTTAATTGAGAAAGATAGAATTATGATGCAATACAAATAGATTAAATTGGATTTTGATTAGATTGAAGATAATTCTGATTGATTTTATATATTTATATAAATAAATTTCAAATTTGAAAATAAATGGCAGGTAAAATATAAAATGAGTCTTTAGATCAATTAGAAGAGAGAGCTTAAAGAATTTTTGGAAAGCTATAATCAATACAGAATAACGTAGAAGGGGAGAAACAATAAAAGTTCAAATTGATATTGGGATATTTACAGAGTGTTGAATCTGCAATTGAAGATGTTTAATAATAGAAAAATTAAAAGTTTTTAGATATTGCAGAAAAAGTATTAATTTGTTTGAATCAAGTTATAAAGATTAAAATCTATGTTGGATACAGAAAAGGAGGCTAGAGATCAAATCAATGAAAAAATGAAAAAAGAAATATTATCAGTTGAAAAGAATTGTAAAACACTTTTGAATAGTTTCAGCAAAGAAAGATTGGAAACTGAGAAGAGAGTGTTTTAAAATCTTTCGTAATAAGTCGATTAATTATCAACCGAAATTTAAAAAGAATTTTATTAAAAGTCTGAGACTTAAAATAAATTATTAGAAATCTAAAATGGTATTTATAAAATTAATATATAGAGTAAATTCCATAATTCTACTAAGAAATTGAATAAGAGATTAGAATCAGAGAAGAAATCGAAGAGAAAATAGCTCAATAATTCAATGAATAGTTGGATGAACTCAAAAGAATATTTGATAGTCAATAAAAGTAAAGAGAATAGAGAGAAGAAGAAATCATAGGAATATTAAAGAAGATATACTAGAATGCTTATGAAGCATGCAAAAGAAATAGAGCAGATAGAGAAAGAAATGAAGAATTATTAGTTAAATTAGTTGAATAGGTAGTTGAAAAAATTAAAAGAGAGATAGTCGATTCTGATTTTTGAAATAACATTATTAGATATAAATAATATTATTTTGAATCTAAAAATTACAATTCTAAATTCAATTTAAGTTGATTGGCTTATACAAATATTCATATTTAAACATGCACGAGTATGAGAGTGATATCATCTCTTCCACTATCTTTCCGATCCCATTTTGAGTAAGTTTCTCCTAAAATCTTTTAGGCTATTAATTCCATATCTAATTAGGTTTAAGGAGAATCAATATGATCTAATATCTTTTAGATGCTTTCAAAATCCATTTTATCCCATAGTCCATCACTTGCTAATAAGATAAATCCACTATTTTATATTTTATATCTTAAAATTTCAGGCTCAGAAATTACTCCGACTGATTTTGCTGCTACATCACCAAATGACCTCGACATTGCTAAGCCTGGAACATCTTCATTTGTTAACCAAACTCTAAAAGGGCCTTGTCTTTTTCCATCAATTAAACTTTATTCAACTCTCCCTCCTAATCGTAAGATTCTTTTTAGCTCAAAATTCTTATTAGGTTTATGGTCATAAGATAATGGTCTATTGTACCATAGATCTTGAAACTTATATAAATAAACAGCCCTTGAGTCTCCAAGGTTCGCACAATATATTCTAGATTCAATCAACAAAATAACCACTGCAGTAGAACCACTGAAATTGCATGCAATGTTAGTTTTATCTACCTAAATTAAATTAAAATATTACTAAATCCTGTTCCACTTGTTAAAATGCTATTTATAATGATTTCGATAATAAGTTAGGATTAGTGACGTAATTTTGCATAAGTAAATTTTCAATGGCTTTTGGCAAATGTCTTGATACAAATTATGAAACAAGATGTCCATTTTGACCATGACCATCAAAGATACCAAATAAATGCCAGTTACTTTAATTACAAAGATTTTGTTTTATAGCAAGACTATCTTAATTAATTTTCAATTTCTTTTTGATATTTTGACCAGGTAGGGTCCTATAATATTTTCAATATAATACTTTGCTGCGACTTAAACTACACATTCCTCATATTAAATTTCAGTTTAAACTCTCTTCATATGTTGTTTCGAAATTGAAGGTAATTTGTCCCCAATACTTAACATAGATTAATTGTTAAGTTTCTTTAAAGTTTATTTCTAATTAGTGTTACTAATAGAGCGAGGAATTTTAAATTGTTTTAAAATGTCTAATTTTTAATTCATATATTTTAATAATATTATCATTAAAATGGTCCAACCCTTTATCCTTATAATTGCATTTATGTGCTTCTTACATTAAAGACTCCTTCAATTATTGTTTATTGAGTCTCTCCTGCCACTTACTTTTCTCCTAAATCAATGTTGAAATTCTTAACAAATAGTGGATTTGGATTTGATAAAACATCATCATTACAAGATAATCCATCCAAATATTATTTGAGTAAGGATTACAATTGATTACTTTCATTTTATAATGCCTCTTTTTATTTTTATATTGCTAAAATATCCAATAAGACCTAATATCTAATACACATCATATACCTTATTATATCTTTTATAGAAATTATTTAGATATGCAAATTCCTCGTATTATTCTTTTTCAATAGCCTCAAAGTCATTTTTTAAATTCTCTGGAATCTGATCCAAATCAACAGTATCCTCATAAAAAGGCAAAACCTTTTCTCTTTCTGTCTCCAATCTTCTACATAACTCAGCAGTCTTAAGTATCTTTTCTCCTAATTCCTTATATTCAGTTAATTTTAAAACTGCATTTCTACTATTATTAACCAATTCTTTCAATAATCTTGATTGCTCCTCTCTAAATTTATTCATTTTTAATTTCAAATCCTAATAATTCTTAGCGATGTTCTCCTTTTCTTTTTTTAAAGCTTAATTTCTTGCATTACATTCTTTTGTATGTTACAAAATCTTATATTTCGTTAAATCTATTTTTGCTTTCTTGCTGGCAATAGATCTCACCAACCTTTCAATCTTCTTAGACATATCCTTATTTGCATCATAATACTTAGTGTGATCCTCAGTTTTCTTTGCAGTATCAGATTAATATTTTTGGTGCATTTATTCTAAATCATTATAAAATTTAGTTTGTTTATCTTCTAATTATTATTTCATTTAACTGGTATCCTCGACATCTTTATTTTTAGTTTCTTCTCTATTAGTTTGATGTTAATTTTTGGCTTATTCTGCTTTTCTTTTCTCTTCTTCTTCCACTGTCTTAATCATGTCCTCCAACTCCTTAACTTATTATTTATGTGTTTTAGTCATATCATCGAATTCGATCTAGAATTCTTCCTAAAGTATTTTGATATCTCTTTCAAACTCTTCCAACAGAGCTCTATTTCTACTCTCCTATAAAAGATGAAAGTTTTCAAGATGGATAAGATGATTCCTTAAAGCAATTTAATATTGATCTTCAGCTTCATCTAAATTCTTATCTAACATCTGAATGAATGCTTCTTTAGAATCTAATTCTCTCTTGTTATTTTGTGAATATAATTCTATGTCAAGTTTCAATTACTCTGTCTTAACTGCTCTCATTGTTCTTCTCCAATATGCCATAAGCTTTTTTGTATTAAAATTGACTATCTTTTATTCTTCCCTAATTTTACTTCGCAGTTACTCTTTTTTAAACTATGTCTAATGCTTAAATTACTTATGCCTATTTTTAGCTTTCTTCAAATTCTTGTTGTGATTTAGTTATTTATCTGATTTTAATATTCCTTTTTTGCTCCGTCCCTCCAGGCTTGGTCGTTCTCCCTTTAAGTGTTTTTCCTAATAAAGCCATTATTAATAAATAAAGAAAAATTAGATAACAAATAAACAAACTCACTTTTTTGGAACAGAAGTTCCTTTATAAAATGTTTTATAATAAGTCTCTGCTTAGTCAACTGAAGATTATCTCGAAGATTATCTATCTTGATTTCTTGATTTTCTAGGAAATCTGCCATAATATTCAGATAATATATAATTTCTGTTAGCTGGAGTCTTTAACTTTAATACTTTGACATCATTTTGTGGCTATAATGGATTTCCATCTAGCAGAGTAGTTTTTTATAGATCTAAATTTATCTTCCTCGGAAGATCAATTGATTGATTCAAAATAGTTGGAGATTGCTACAAGATAGTGTTTTAAGTATTAACAGAGTTGTTCAATCTTGGTTTTGTATCTATTGGAGAGTCATCTGCCTACTGAGTATTATTGCGTCGATCTATTGGTTTATGTAAAAGTCTTTACTTTTTATTTATATTAAGGGCAATGGATTTTGAGGTTTACTTGATTTTCTGTCGGTTTAAGTTGTTTATCTAATGGAAATGCGTTGAGGATCAAATAATTCAGAACTAATATCTAAAGTTTAAATAGCAATAACAACCTGCAATAGACTTATTGCCGGCAATCAGGTATCTTTTGAGCAAGAGATAATAAGTTGTTGTCACATGATTATGTCTATTCGTTTCAATACATTTCTCAGCATATTCTATAGAGATTCCAAAATTAACTAACTATTTTATAATTTCTGGATCAATCGGGATCTTATGAAAACCAATAACCAGTCCAGTTGGTATCTTTTAATTTTCTTTAAAAAACTTGATAAAACAAAGATTATACAAAAATTAAACCAACTATGTTTTCTAATTTCCTGAATAGTATATCTTTTTGAGGGATCTGTATTTAATATATTTTTGACCAAGTCTTTTGCTTCATTTGTAATGAACTTTGGAAACTTTATATCCCCAGCTATTATTTTCTTATACAATTAATTCGTATTTGGATCTTCAAAAGGTAGATATCCTGCCAACATTGCAAAAAGAATTATTCCAGAACTCCAAATATCTACTTAAAGTCCTTAATATCTTTTTCCAGCTATCATTTCTGGAGCAGCATAACAAGGGGATCCACAAGCTGTTTTCAACAAATCATCTGTTTTATAAAAATTCGACAATCCAAAATCAATAATCTTAAGTTTTCCTCTACCATCAAGAATCAAGTTTTCAGGCTTCAAATCTCTATGTACTACATGCAATTTGTGCAAATACTCTATTCCAGATATTAATTAACTGTAAAATCGAATAGCCTCAACATCTTTTATTCTTTAATTTTATACGATATACTCAAAAAGTTCCCCTCCATTAACGTATTCCATCACTAAAAATAATTACTTAGGTGTTTCTATTATCTGATAAGCACCCAAAAATACTTCATATAATTGTACTAGGTTAGGATGACGAACTTATTTCAAAATTTGAATCTCTCTTGTTACTCTTTCTACATCAGAAGCATCAACAATCTTTGACTTCTCTAAAATTTTGATGGCTACTTTTTCTCCTGTTAATATGTGAGTTGCCAATTTAACTTTTCCAAACGTACCCTCACCCAAGGTTTTTCCTTGTTTATATATTTATTGCTTACCAAATATATATTATCCAATAGATTTATTCTTAGTTACATCATTTGTCATTTTTATAATACTTATTTATATAATTATAACTCAAATTTTCACCTATTTCTAAAAATAAAAATTATGAACTTCAAATTCCCAGGAACTTATGCAGAACTCAAGGATACTAATTTCTCTGAATTCTACAGAGTCAAATCTAAAAATTCAGTCCCCAATATGGATGATCGTCTTATATTCATTAAAATAAATTAATTCTAGGAGGAGTTCCATCAAATGCCCACTCTTATTGAAGATGCACAGAATTTCGATTTCCTTTACTATTTGGTTGAGTAACTTATAAATCTATATCAAGATATTTGGATAAACATTCGAACTAAAAAGCTCAATTCCAATTGATTGACATCTTCTCATTTTAAATTCTCAAACTACACAATAATTCAAAGGCATTCCAAATGACACTCTTCTTATTCTTAAACCTCCTGTAATAAAAACAGATTTAAGGACCGTAAGTCAAAAGGGCATTAAAATAATTGAAGCAACTTTTCAGTCTAAATTCCTTTGTCGACCTTGATAGGGAAGGTATAAGATATGTATTCGATCTTATTAAGATGGCTATAGAGATCAAGGAAACTCAAATAAGAGAGGTTTGGATTGAAGTTCTTATTTCAGCTTTGATAATTTGGTCTAAGCATGAGACAGTTCTTAAAAATACGATAGTTCATTTAATGTATGAATAGGAAAGCGTAGTCCCCAATCTGAGTAAATTCTTAGTGGCTTGCAGTAAACATGATAAATTGAAATCATATACAATTGATTAACTCGGTTTACTTATCAATTTTATTACTGAAAAGTCTACTAATTAAACAGAGAGTCTGGCAGTTAAAAATCTGAGAGAACTACTGACTATCTCATCAAAAGAAATGCCAAAAATCTATTACCAATAGTTATCATCAATGATTGGGTTGTATGACAATGAAAATTATCATATAAGAAGTGGCCTATCAGATGTCATAACAAATGTAATAGAATATCTGGTAAAAGAGTCAAAGGAATAAAATGATGATGAAGTTCTTCTACTCAATGCTAATAATTTAACCAAATCTCTGATATCTCGGCATCTAGATAAGACAGCCCTCTGTAGATCAAATGTATTGTAATGTTTATCGCAATTATTAAATTTGAATTGCATATAAAAAATACATCTACCCACTATTTTTTCCATAAGCTAGTCTAGACTGAGGGATATCTCAGGCTATGCCAGAAAATCAGCATTATAATTATTGAAATCAGTCTCACGTTGTTACCGATATATTTATGTTTAAAGTTAAGGAAGGGATAAATTTTGGTCATCTAAAGAAATTGGAGAACAAATAAAAAACAATTAATTAGAGTTAGATAATATCCATAATGATTTTTAAAGACTGGATTTGTAGTTTTAAGAAGGCAATATCACTGAGGATTAGATCAATGATACCATTAAAAATATTAAGAAAAGGACTCAAGAAATCTAGAAAGGTTAGGAATATTTAGATGAATATAGCAAATTTCTAGATGGAATGAAAATTGCCATAAATTAAGTCTTATAATTGTGTCAAAGTAAAAATTAAGCAGATGTAATACATTCGATCAAATTATTCGCATATTTATCAAAATATGATTTCGAATCAGCAAATATTGGGTTAAGAAGAATGTTGCTATTAGTATGGTCGCAAGATAAATCAACTTAACAAGAAGTTATTAAAAAGTTTTGGAAACTCTATTTGAAGGATAATAAAAATACAAAATAAATTATACTCTCTATTATAGATCTGATAAGCACTTCAAATTAGAAGGAATTGCTATCAATAGAAAAAATTATATTATCATATGAGACTGAGTAGGCTCCTAATTACAAATTACCAAATAAAGCATTTAGTACCCTTTGGGATCTTTTTGGTAGACCAGAAATTAATTAAAGATCAATGCTTATATTTGTGAGAATAATGCTGACAAGAAATAGCTCTTATTTTAATATGGAAAAAATTAAATAAATTCAAGAGCTATTGATGGCTTACAATAGAAAAGATCCAGATTGGATAATCATAAAAGAACTTTCTCTTATTTTGTCAAAATTAGATAGAAATCAAGAGAAAAACTAAATCCATATTAATACTTAGATAGAACTGTTGACTAGATTACTTGTAAAGTATAAAGATATCTAGGATATGAATTATTTTAGTGCATGCGATTCAATTATACAATTAATATCCCTTTCCTATAATCCTGAATCTAAATTTGAAGCTTTAATTAAACAGTTTGAATTTGAATAACATTCCAAAAGTTCTATGGAATTAGAACAATTAAGTAATAATGATGAAATGCATTTAACACATGCAATTTATATAGCAGGATGTATTTCCTTATAATTGTTAGTGTTAATTGATAAAACTCATAGATAACTTAAATAACTAAAAAATGATAGAGAATCATAAATAGGAAAGGAACAAGAGATAGATAAGATTTCAGGAGGTTTGGAGGGAGAGTTTGAAAGAATACATGAGATAGTGAATGAAATATAGGATCTTAATTTAGTGTAACAAAATCTATTGTCAGTTTTCTCCCCATTGGTAATAATAATAATTGAGGATTGCCTTGTAGATATGGAAAATAAGAAATCTTCTTGTCTAAATCAATAATCCCCTCTTGTATAAGTTTGTCTAATCACAATGTGTAAGTTCATGTGTTTGTCTGAGTCCTATTGTAGATAACATATTGAGATGTTATTTAATATCATGAAGTAAATAGAGATTGTGTATGTTTTAGGTGTCCCTTGTTTGATTAAGTCGTTAAGAATAATGTTTTGATTAGCATAGGAGACTTATTACATATGTGGCCAAATACAGTTTAAAAGTTCCACAAATAGATATATTCAAATTTACTTGATTCTAATGGTCCTCTTCGAAGGGTGACATTACTGGTCCTAACCCATTTGATTTTGAACGATATGATTAAGAGCAAGACCTCTTTATCGCATATTCCAGTGTTATTAAATGACCCTTGCTAACAGATCTAAAGCATGGCAAGATACTTTTTGAATGAATTGCAAAAAAAAGAATAGAGAGCCATTTCAAATGCTGTGCCAGATATTATACTGAACATTCATGAACACAACGAGATCATTATATCTCAAATATCCTTATACATTGATAAGAACTTGGTGGAATCAATAGTAGAGAAGCTGGTGAATATATTGGGGATCAGTTAGAGTATAAATTAACTTATATATATGTGTAGATCAATCAGAAATAAAAAATATCTCTATTCTATTCAACTACATGAATCTGACCTAAACTTCTTTATAAAGATTCTTGGATGGGTGGGAGTAATATCGAGAAAAACTAAAGGACTAATTTGTTTATAATCAATTTATTAGTTTAATAAAAAAGGTACTATGTTGCTTACTTGTATTAGTTGAGGAGAACTCTGCCTCAAGAGAGTCGAATTGTAATAGATGAATTTGAGATGAAGATAGAAAACTATGATAAAGAGACATTTGAGAATAGAAGGAGGGAAAAAGTGTCCAAGAGAAAGAATGGTAAGACTTAGTTCCAAGATAGAGATGATAAAGAATTAAAAGAAAATATTAGTAATGTGAAGTAATAGTAGAGGAGGAAAGTCAAAAAGAAGGATGAGGAAATCTTAGAAATTGAATCTAATTCTGAATAAGAAACTTCTTAGGCTTAAGCTATGAAATTATAGACTAATCAAAGAAGAAAAAGGAAGCATCTCTAGAAAAATGAAGATTGATATTTTTTACTATCTTAATATTAACATTTAATATTTATTAAAACGATGGATTAAAATTCTAATTATTTTTTCAATTCTGCTTAAAAAGAGTAAACAGAATTTTGGAATAGAAATTTTCATATTTTATTGAATACTCATGAAAATTTTGAGATCCAAAATGAAAATTGTACCAGATTTTATAAGAGAAGTAAGATTCTTAAAAAATGGATACCTCGGCTTTATTCTGTTCAAAGCAATTATATATTATATGGTGATAGAGTAAACTTATATCATAATCAAGAATCTCAAAGGTTTTAGGAAACTAGATTGTGTATATTTAACATCTAGTCTAGTAGAAGGACCATATAAATATCAATTGCAGTTAAAATACTGTGGATTTGTTTTAGAATTGTACACTGATCAAAAAAAGGATTACGACAGTTTTAAAGAAAGTTTATAAGCTCATTGTATACTAACTGATTTTCACACTTAATATACATTGCTAAGACAAATTGGGTTTGGTTCAAGTGCTTAAGTAACAATAATAAATTTTAATCTAGGTGTACATTGCTAGGAGTAACTACAATTAATAACTATATGCCATAAAAAGAGTTCAAAAAAATTATTCAGTCAAACAAAAAAAATATGAGCAGGAACAAGCCTTACATAATGAGATTCAAATAATGAAAGAACTTAATCATCCAAATATCATTTCTTTTTATTCAGTGTTTGAGACTAATAGTATTTATTCAATCTATCTTAAAGAACATATCAATATTGTTTTAGAATTAATCCAAGGAGGAGAACTACTAAAATAAGGACAATACAAAAGTATTAGAGATGCTAGAATCGTGGCCAAATAATTAGCTCTATGTTTGGATTATATGCATTAGAAAGGGATTATGCATAGAGATTTGAAGCCATAGAACATTTTATGTAAATCTAATTCTCTTGACGTGTTAATTGCTGATTTTGGTTTGGCCACTTACATTAAGACATAAAAACAATAGTATTACAGATGTGGAACCACTGGGTACGTAGCTCCCGAAGTATTGATGTACAAAGAAGGTTCTAAGATGTACAATGAGAAGTGCGATATCTTTAGTCTTGGAGTTATCTTCTATCAATTGTATCTATTTACAATTTAAAAGGATTTTCAACACTCATCCCTTCAAAGATAGCACCAAAGCTGGAATGTTGAAGAGGAATTTAGCTGCTGACTATAAATTGGATGAGCAAACAAAAGTTCCTTAAAGTTGTAAGGATCTTATTGCATCAATGTTGAGATTGAATCCCAAGCAAAGACCTTCTGCATCTTAAATATTGAGACATGATTTCTTTAATGAACCATTAAATGAGTAGTCTTATCCAAGTTTGATTGGATCAGTTCAAGAGTAATTCAAATTGTTATTCTTAGTATAAGCGATCAAAAGAAATCAGGCCAGTCTTTCAATTCTTAAGTAGGGGAGTTGAAATTATCGACCTTCCAAAAGCATGGGCAAGTGTCGATCTTCGAAAAAATGCCATTAAATATTAAATCAGCAAATCAGAGTATGGAATTCAAGGAACTCTCGCCTTTGTGGAATAAAAAGATTACTTTACAATAACCTATTACTTAACCCAGATCCAAAGCTTAATCTATGTATTCGAATAAAAACCTAGATAATCGAGGTTAAAAAGTATCTATTTTTCGACAGCAATCAAAAAACTCAGAAAATGATATCGACCAGCATCAATTTCCCTATTCAACCATAATCAACAGATGTACTATCAAAAACAAGTGACAATTATTTAATACTATGTTAACATATTACAACTATATTTTTTGTTAATTCCAAAAATACTGATTTTAATCTTGTGAAAATATTTATTAATATACTTTATTGTAATATGCACTGTTCTAAATATAGAAATTAATTATGTTTCCCATTCCTCAAATTCCTTCCAGCCTAATTATTAAATCTTTATCAGATAAAATAACTTATTTAACTTCAGACATACTTTTAATACTTGAATTCATCTTTTATTGTGACGGTATCAAAAAAATTTAAATTAATTTTATGAATCATTCAGAAGGGGCCCAATCTCCACTTTATTTTGGTATGTATCCACTACCCTATTGGCCAACGAACTCACAATTCCTCTTAATGATGAACTTCCAAAATCCACTGATGAGTCCAATCCATAATTTAGGTTCTCCAATTTTAACTTCCCACTTAAATTTCACCTAGCCAACAATGAATTACGACATCAAATACGAACAAAGTAATCTCTTTACCCTTATTCTCTTTAGATTCACAAAATAAAGAATCCACATAAACTAAATAGCCATAATAATATACCAGCTAAATTTAAATCATTTCTTAGCAATTAGATGACATGAATTACGATCAAATTACAATAGAAAATCTTGAGGCCTTGATTCATTTGTTGTTTGAAGAAGAGCCCAAATTAAAAAAGATCTTATAATAACTTAAAGAGAAAAAATGTCTTAAGGTTGTCAAGATTCTTGACACTTTAGCCAAAAAGATCAGAACCCAATAGAAAAATCGAGAAGAATTAATCAAATTTTGTTTGAGAAAGGCTTTCAGAGAGATTTTCCATCAAATTTAAGAAAAATGTACTAAAAAAAGTAATCAAATCTTTAAATATGTATAGAACTTAATCTAAAGGCTGCATCCAAAATATTTTAGTAGTCCTATTAAGCTGAAAAGATGAAATCCATAGCATTGCCATTTAGAAAAAATAGTAAAAATAAGACAATGAATAATCATTTCCTCCATGAATTATTCTAATCAAAGCAATTTCAGGATCAATATAAAATATTCCTTGGTATCTAAATCCTTTCATATTTTATAGACAATCTAGACACCATCATAGAGAATGACAAAAATAAAAAAATTAAAGCAATAGCTGAAAAATCATGGGAATTCATCTAATCGAATAGAAAAGTAAAAAATTGATATTAATTCTTAAAAGTCATACACATTCAAAAGGTTGCCATGGTCATTAAAAAACTTGGAAAAATTGAAAGAAACAGCAAATGAAATGCTAAATTACTGTGATGATTAAAAATTTATTTGAAATTATTATCATAATTAAACATCTAAATACAAGAGATCACCTACGCTAATATTAACTAGACAAAGAAAATAGTCAAAAATCTTTTAAACTTTTCATCCTACTTTTAAGATTTTCGTTGAGCATCCAGAAGGACTTTGTATTAGATTATAATGAGTTAAAATCATTATTCTCTTTTCTAGAAGCACAAAATCATACTCAATCTGTTATTTAAATATAGATTTTAATATTTGGTTTTTCTGACCTATACATTAATCTTAAATAATTTTCTGCCATTAATATTATTGCAATTTAATTTATAACTGGATTTAATTATTTTAAAAATAATATTATATAAATATAAAATTTCGTAATATATTAGAATATATCTAAAAAGGCATTCCATTCAATATGGATTAGGATTTCTAAGAAAGTAATTATTTAAATAAATTTGAACAAATTTTTATTCATAACATTTTATTGCAGAAAATGCATATTATTAAATAACTAAATTTGCCTTTATATAAATATTATTTGCAACTTTTATAAAAAAATGATGTCTCATTTTAAGTAAATTAAGAATAATTTAATTGTCTTATTTTTAACAAAAGTAAGGATATTAGAATGAAATTTACTTTATTCAATTTTAGAACTATTTATTCATCCATGCCATTTTAGAATAAAGAAGTTAGCAAAAAGAATTAAATATAAAATTGTAAAAAAATATAAAATTCTAAAAGTGTATTAAGGATCTAAGTGGCTTTGTTTGTCTTTAATTCTCGATTTAATGCCTGATAATAATGAAATTAATTAAGAATATTATTAAACGATTTATTATAATGTATTTAATTAAGAATATAATTAAAACAAATAAATATATCACTCTAGAGAATTGATGTCACTTAACTAAAGACTCGAGTTAATCCAAATATATTAAAATAGAAAAAAGGATACTAATTCATATTTATGTTTTTAAGTAATGAAGAAACAAAATAATTATCAAAAAGAATAAAAAGCATTCTCTCTTCTTATTTCAAGTGAATTATCAAATTTTATAACTGTAAATGGATGTATTTAATGATTTTAAAAGCCTTTCCAAAAATAGAAAATTAGACAAAAGTAATATTATGATAAAATATAACAGAGTCCTGTTTTGCAAAGTTCCAAAAGCTAATTGAGAACATCTTCCCTGCATACGATTGTAATGCAATTACTAGAATAAGAAAAAAGTGGAAATAAAGAATAATATTAATTAATAATTTATATAAATGACTGAAATTCATCCTTTTATTTATATATTTCCTTTTATAAGCATTTCTTAATTTGAAATTATTTTATATCAATCATGTAATTTTCATTTTGTTATAATATTATCACTATAAATTTATATTTTCAAATTTGCTCTTAATTAATGATATTATCAATCTCGTCGACCTTCATTATTATTTTGTTCTTCAAAACTTTTTTATTCTCAACAATTTCAATTGTGAATTGTTCGAAATTTACATTTAATTTTTTAAGATGAGTTGATGTACTCATTGATAATCTTGACAACTGATTATCACCCTCAAGACATCTCTAATGATGCTTTTATTTAAAATGTTATGTTTCTGTATTCAATGAGTTTGATAAATTTCTAATCTTAATTCCTTTCTAATTATCATCCAGTGCATCCTGATCCTATAAATCCATTTACTCAAACACATTTTTCAACTTATTTAAAGTATCCATGCCTTAGAAAGTACCAACCACTTTATTTTCATCATCAGAATCATCATTATTATTAAGACTATCCATAGGTGATTACTTATTAAAGCAATCTATAAAGATATTATTTTGAGGCTCAATAATCTCATCAGGTTCATCTTCTTAGATTGCAGAGATAATAAATGGGGTATCAATCTGAGGAGTTTCTTAATCTTCACCTAACTTAAATTTGTGCTTGTCCTCATGTATTTCAATTTATTCTTTGATTACCTTCCAAACTTAAGACCTTTTTAATGTAGATTCAATTGATTTCAACTCATTATAATATGGTAAGAAATCACTATCTCTTATAAGTTTAATTTATAGCTATTATTCAAAAGCAAATAATTATCGGTCTATTCTTTTTATTTATTAAGTCTGTAATTTATTTTTAGTTAATAGTTAGAGACACCAAAAGGGATGAAAATCATTCAAAGCCCTATCCAAAATAAAGGCAATCATATTGTAAACATATTAAATAAAAATATCTGAGTGATTATTCTTCTTAACTAAATTTATTATGATTTCCATCACATTAGATTAATCAACTCTTTGCCATAATTCAATGTCTGATATTCTCACTATATTATCAATAATCTAATATTTAATAATAAATGTAATACTTCAATCAATTTTACATCTAACAAGCCTACCTTGCAACTTCTTGTAAGTGTTTTTTCTAAGATATTTTTGATACTTATAATATTGAAATATTTAAAGAACTCTGTTTTCCTGAATTCTTCTGTAATTGGCTAATTATAAGGCTCATCCAAATATAAGTTTTGTAAATCCAAAGAGTAATAATTTGAAATCAGCGAAATAATATGGGCTGCATTCTTACGAACTCTTTATATTTTATACTCAATACATAAAATGAAATGTCTCTTATGATAAAACATCATTTACTATCAGCAGCACTTAACTAGAAAGTAAATATGGCATTAATTCTTTAGTCTGTATTCTAACCATTATCTCGTGAATTAAATAAGTAAAATTGATAGCTGAACTGTAATCAAATTTGGAGTATTATTATATTCCAATCTACAAAATTTCTAATTACTATTGATGAAATTAATTTTCAAAATATATCAACAATACCTAAGCAACACTATTATTATATATATATGGTAAGAAATTCTAAAGTAATTAATTATTGGCATTTAATGATTCTGTTATCAATATTTAGGATCTTTTTTAAATTAATTGAAGAATCTTAAATGCCTAAGCCCATTGAACATCTGGTATAAATGTATATGTTAATATCTCAAATAAGTGATTAAAATGAACCTAAAAATTTAAAGTCACTAACATACTTCAATCTACTATATAATTTCTTCTATATTAAGTTCAATGATATCCCACACCTTTGTCATAAGTATTGAATAAGTATCATATTGTATTGGTTGAATTTCGTCATAATTTACAAATAGGATCTATAATAATTGCCTTGCATTCTAACACAAAAATTCAATTGCCATCATATCAGATGCTTCAATATATTTAGTAAAGGTTTCATTAAGTAGCAAGACTTTCAGATCTGAATGGGCTTCCTAAATCAATTATTCAATGATATAAATTTTTTTATCAATGTTCATATTATTTATATATAATTTCTCAATAACGTCTTGCATAACTTCTAGTTGTGGTGGTTGATGTTTAATTCATAATTTAGGAAGATGATGTTTATGATGGTGGTTATTAACTGGTTGAGCCCGACTAATAAATGGATGAAGCTGTCACTGGTTTTTGAGTGCTTGTTTATTAGACCTATGAAGCTGTGGGGAATAAATTTTATCTATAGCCACTGGATCTATTTGATTGACTATCATCTATCTATTAATAGGATGTCTAAGGTTGTTTATTCACTTGTGTGGTAATAGTTGTAGTGAATTAATTAGTTTGATTTGTACTTTAAGGAGGATTATCTTATCTTAAGTCTTTCACTACAGAGGCGTACTTGTTATTCCAAGTTTATAAGTCCTATGCAATAAATATATATTATTACAGCTGTTTAATTGGAAATTATATTCTATTGTCTCTTGATTTCATTTTATAAATCATTGATTTATTGATTCAATTTCTTGATATCATTTTATTGGTTATCAAAGTTCTTCTTGCTTGTGTTCAAATCAGAATTTAAGCTATTAACTTTAGCTTCTAATTCCTTCTTTAACTTTTCTAGATTAGAAGAATCCTATTAGAATTTGTCGAGTTTCTTCTTTAAATCATCTAATTCTCTGTCTTTGGCTTAGATTGCTTATTACAATTTACTAATTTCTGTATTATCTTTCTTAACCTTCTACAATTCAACATCCATTTGATTGAATCTAGATTAATAATACATATTACTTCTTTTTAATTTCTTCATTCTCTTTTGATCTCTAAGCAATTTGATCTTACAAAGTTTTCAAATCATTTGGATTAGTATTATCGATAACCTTAACTTATTTAACGATTGACTCTTGTTTTGTGTTCTATGCCTTCAATGCATTAATTTCATTATCCTTAGCTGCAAACTTATTCTTTAATTGTTCAAACTCACCATTGACTGAATTGTATAATTATTGGAATTAAGTTTTCTGTTTATTGGCATCATCAGCTGCTAATTGCAAATCTGCCAATTTTTATCTTAAGTCTCCTAATTCTTTAGTTTGTTAATCAATTAATTATTTCAATCTTTAGTTTTCAGCTTCAAGAGGTTTTAATTAAGCAACTTAGCCTTCTAAGGTAGATACAGTCTTAGATTGTGCTGCATTTTCATCATTCTTAACTTAGATTTGCTTTCCTAATTACTCAATTTCAGCTTGTAATTTGGCAATTCTATCCAAAAGATTGTCTCTTTCTGCAGCTAATTATTTAGCCTGTTTATCTAATTAACTTAATTGATCCTTTAAATCAGCAGTCACTAAGCATCTAATATAATATAATTAATATATTTTACTCTCTTTCATATAAAGCCTTGTATTTAATAAATTCATTTTAGAATCCATTCAATTATTCAATGACTTTCTACATGGAGTTCATCTCAGATACTTAAGAATTAAACTTATTAGTCAAATCTGACAATTATTATCTCAATTTATTATTCTCATCTAGTAACTTTTACAATTATGCCTACAAATCTCCAATTTACTTTGATCTTTATTAGTCTAATTGTTAGAGTTGATTTTATAAGTCATTAACATGAGATTCTAATTCACTGATATAATTATCCTTTTCTGCTGAAGAATTGCTACTGCTTTATTATAAATTTGTAATCTAAGTTTACAATAAACTGTATTATTATTGGAGTTTATTATATAGGTCTTGAATGTTTCTCAACTTATTTAATTCTGCTTATAATTGTCTCAATTAAGCATTGAGATCATCGATTTCTTTATCCTTCTATTCATTTTACTATTATAATTTGGCTAATTGATCTTATAAAACCTATTGTTATCTTTCTAAATTAGCAATATCCTCATTGACATCATCTTGGTTTCCTCCTCTCAATTCTAACAAAGGATCTTACTAAAGAGATTCAGCTTTCAATCTTTATAAATATTCAACTTCAAGGAGCAAATACTTATATTTACTCTCATAGTATTCCTTCTCTCTTCTTAATCTATCATTGTCTACTCCAACTTTGTTAAGATCTGTCTTAACATTTTCTCTATTTTAGATTTCCTCTTATCTTACAATATCTAATTTGTTGTTTGATAATTATAATTAATTAACTTGATTAGCTTCTAAAGATTTGTCGAAGTATCTTCCATAGAGATCTTCATATTCTTTTGTCTTGACATTCAATTATTGAATCAATTCCTATGAATGTTATCTTAATAAGTTAATTGTTTATTCCAACTCAGGAACTCTAGATTCTAAATGCTTTAAATTAAATATGGTTTGATTGAGATCATTCATTTTGGCTCTCATTTATTCATTTTCTTCAACCTTCATATTCAATTAAGTCTTTAATCTATCTATTTCTTAGATATATAAATGCTTTTCATTTTCAAGGATATTAATGTGATTATTTAATTATTCAATTTATTATTTAAGTTTCTAAATTTATTGGTATTAGTCAAAGTTTTCTCTTTGAAGTTCCTATATTTATTTTCTAAGTTGATTGATTTCATCCTAATCAACAATATGTTCAATTTAAGGTGGTGGTTAATGTAATTGCCTTTGTTTCAATCTTTCAATTTCTAATTCTAATTATCTAGCTCTAATTTATTCTTATTTTAAGAGTTCAGCTGTAAATTGCAAATCAGACACCAATTATTCAGATTGTAAATACTTATCCTTCCAATTCTTAATTAATTATTCCTTTCTTTGAATTTCTAATTATAATTCATTCAAATATCCTTCATATTAAACTCGTTATTATTCATGTTATCTATCTTTTGCTTATAAATCTAATTCTTATTATAAATTGTCTTATCTCAATTTATTTAATTCCTTTTTTAATTCTTTGATTTCTTTTTCTAATTATGCATTCTTTTCTTCAGCATCAGCCAATAATTATTAAACATCATGAAGTGTTTTCTCTAATTAATCATTAACTCTTTCAAATTGATTTCTTTCATTTCTGACCTTTTATAATTACTCATTCAAATGATCATTGATTTATAATAATCTTTAATTATCTAATTTGAGTTCATCAAGTTCTCCCTCTAATGTATGATATTTATTATCAAGTGCAAGATTCTCATTCTACAATTATCCAAATTGAGTTTGTAATATTCCCTTTTCTGAAATAGCATCAGCCAAAAGGTTTCTCAATGTTGATATTTCATCTTCTAAGAATGGTATTTATTTTAATTATGCTTCTTATGATGCTTTAATAAAAGAGAGTTCTTCAACTTCCAACAATCTCTTTTAGATTTCACCTCTCAAATGATCTACTTCATCTCTAAGTAATTGCTTCTCCGATTCAAGTACTTGTACTTCTCCTTTATACAAACGTAAAGCTCCAACCTCTCTCAAAGCAGCTGCTAACTTTTCTTTGCAAGTAGTAAGTTCTTAAACCTTAAAATGAACCTATTATTTAAGATTCTCAACTTCTAATTTCAATCCTTAAAGATGATTTAATTCATTCTACAATTAATCAATAATCTCATCCTGTTATTTAATTTTGTCATCTCTAAGATTGATTCTCTCTTGCTTTGATGATAATTCTTATTACAGAGTCTTGATTGTTCCTTACAATGAGTCAATACTAGCATTTTCAGTTCTTAATTAAATGTTAACCTTTTCAAGGGATGAATATTTCAATCTCCAACCATCTAATTCAGCCTCTCTTTACTTAAGAAGTGATTGCAATCTATCAATTTCACTCTACATCTACAATAACTTATTCTCAGTAACAATTGTAACTGAAGATCCTCCTTACAATTTAAATAATTCAGCATCTCTTGTTTAGACATCATGATTTAGATCATCAATTTGTTGTAATTTCAGATCTAATTGATGTTGTACATTATGTAAATCAGATCTTAATTGTTCAATAATAGTAGTTTATTCTCTGAGTTCAGAAACTTAAGATTACAATTTACCTAATTCTTCCATCAATCTTTTGATTTCATCATTCAATCTAGCATTCTCATCATTAAGCTATTGCACATCATTTTCTAATTCCTCATTTCTAGCCTACTCTGCTTAAATAAGAGTCTCATAATCAATGGCCTTTCCTCTCCAATCCTCACATTCTTATTGTGATTATGATAACTCCTATTTTAATTTAATTATTTATTGATGTAAGCTCTCAACATCTCCCTTCTATTATGGCACTTCTTTTGGCTGTTGTCCCAATTATCCCTGTAATTATTTCAATTCTAATTTAATTTCATTATTATTTACAATCTTCCAAATCTTTTTTCTCCTTCTCAGCTCTCAAGCATCTCTCCTTCCAATTACTCAAATCCTATTATAATTTACTGATTTTCTATTCCAATTCAGAAGTCTTCATATCTGTGTTGCTGATGGTGCTTATTTATTTTTCTATAGTAACAAAACGATTTTTCCATTCATTAACTTATTTTTTTGATTGATCCAACTGCTTTTGTAATCTTTGGATTTCTTCATTCTAATTTTTTTGAGTCCTAATATGTTATTCCAATTCGTTTATTGATATTCTAGCTTAATCCAAGTCTCCTATTTTCTGTTTCAGTGATTAATTCAATTTCTTATTCTCTCCAATTAAAATTTCAACTCTATCTTATAATTGTTAGATCTAAGATCAAATCATTTTATACAGTCTCTTCGTATGAAGTGTTGCGATCCAGCTCAGCCTAAAGCTCTAGATATTTCTTGCGCCATAAATCTATTTCCTTTTATTGTTCTGCAATTCTTTATTCACAAAAAGTATGATCCGCTTCTTTTACAATTACTTATGTCTTTATTTGAGTCCTTGGTTACTCTTGTCTTACCGAGCCCTTCTATTCTCTTACAATATATTCTGATAATCAGTATAAACAATTACATGTCACTGGTTGCATAGGCACAATAGTCTCCTAAATAGGAATAACTGTGGTCTCTCTGGGATTTTAAGACGTTCTTGGGGGCGACACAAAATGACGAACAGATGCAGGCAATACTCTACTCATTAAAATTTATTTTAATTAATAAATATCTATTTTTCTAGTCAATTAAATCATGAAATTTGCTTGATCATAAAAATTCGTTATTTACCAATCGAGCATGTAATTTATTCGTTTTAACTATTCTATTCGTATTAAATCAACACCTATGTCTCCATTAATCCAAACAAGAACCTTAATTTTTGATTCAAAATCAAATAAAATCACATGATTTTACTTACTTCAAATCTTAAGTAACTTTGATAAAAATAGTATATTCTCCAAGATTTATCTAATTAATAGGAATAAAGGATCTATTTATAGACTATTTAAAAAAATAATTAAAATGCTAAATACAATATTACATTCTTAATAGGTAATGCTGGCATTTTTAACATTTTCTTGAATTTCCTTTATTTATTAAAAGGATCATTCCCATCATTGTGCAATAACTAAATTGGTGAATTTAGAAGGCTAGGACTTCATTTATTCTATTAGAGATTATAGGATTACAAAAATCCATTATGGTTGATATCTATTATTTCAAAATAAGCACAACAAGTATTTACATATATCTAGATTTCTAAATAAGAAAAATTAGTTACTGAGATTTCATTTAAAATCATGGTATTAACATGCTCATTTTCTTAATTTATACTCACTTAATCTTTTAAGATTCTGTATTCAATTTAAATTCAGATTTTCAGACTCCTTTATAAAGTAGAGCATTATTAAAGATGTTATGGTAATTCTTTACGAAATTCCAAAACTCCTATATTTTGAAATTCTATTTAATTCTCAATTCTTGAATTAGAAATATTAAATAAAAATTAAGATTATTTTAAGTGATGATCACCTGCTACATCAATTAATAATTCATCTATTAGACCTAAGATCAATCTAAATGGTTACTCTTATGAAATTTTGTATTATATTATGATAAAAATTTATTAAATGTAATAGTAAAATCATAATTTAGTTTTCAAAGATTTTTACTAGGAAATCAGTACATTAATTTATTAGTTTATATCCTTAATTTATGCCAAGATTTAAATAAGTTCTTATCTCAATGTTTACTTCACCCTCATGTCTGTCTCAATTTAAGCTTGTTTTACAATTTAATCATATTTCTAGTCAAGTTCCTCCAACATCAATTCCAATTTGATTATCTATCTTGATATATTCTCATAATCTTGAGTATCTTCATTATTCTTTTTAACAATCACGAAACTAGTGTCATCATCTGTTGTTTGTTTAATTTACTCTTGCTCAGAAGTAGGTACTTATGTAACTTGAGTAATGGAAAACTTTTTGATTTGCTTTTTATTCGAAGTTTATTACTATTGATCTTTTGATTCCTGTCTTTATACTAATAATGATAATTCAAAGATTTTGCCATTTAATTGTTCTATTTACTTATGTTTTTGTGATTCAATTCTCTCATATTATAGCTTCAGCAATTAAATATCAGAAATTAATTGTGAATTTTAGGATCTTTGCTATTCCAATTAGTTGACTAGATCAGCATTTTTTGTTTATAATTATTTTATTTCCAATTCCATAAATTAGAATTTATCAACAGGATATTGAGTAGTATACCAATCCAAATATTATTACAACTCTTGGATTTATTCTTTATATAATTTAATATCATGATTCATTTTGGACATGCTCTCATTCCATTATTTACTGCTTTTTACAAATGTATCTAATTGTAATTGATAGTTTAGAGTAATCTATTTATAGAATAAAATGGATTTACCTATTTTTCCTTTTGCAATTATTAATTTAATTAAGTGATCTTTTTTTTATAACTCTCATTTGTATCTAAATTCAAATTTAATTATTGTTATCTATATTAAGATATTTACATTACATATTATTAATCTCTTCTGTTAATTCTCGAATTTTTGACTCATTCTAACTAATCTAAAATTTATAATCAGAGTGAATGTAGGCTATCTTATCCTCATTCTCAATTTCTGATTATTTCAATTTCTTGTCAAGTTCCTTAATTTTTTAATCTTTTTCATCATTTTTATCTTTTTGAAATACATCATTCTTAGTCATAGTACTTAATAGTTTTTCGACTTTGTTTCTTTATTTACTTTTAACATGAGCAGTTGTACAATAATTTTACGATATATTCTATAAATATTAAACGAGTTAATTTTACGATTTACTCATTGAGAATGCCATTCTCCCCTTCTAGAGTTCTGATTCTATCCTACAAGGCTCTCATGGCTTTTAAATAACTAGGAGACATGGGTTAACTAACAGATAGTTTTTTTTCAATTGACTCTTCTGATTTCATTTTAGATGTGAAGACGCTGGTTCCAAGATTAAAAGAGGAGTAATAGTTTTTAGGATCTATTTTATTCTTAATCTATTGTGCTAGGAATTTAGTTTAAAAACTATCTGCCTTCATATATGTTTGTTATAAATTAATAAATTAAATAATCAAATTATTTTTCTTCTCTTATCTCTAAAGTATATAACAACAAGCACTATAATTGAGCACAAGCATATGAAAGCTCCAGCAAAATAAGAACCAACCAGAACCTACGAATCAATCTCAGAATTTTACCATGTTTTTTTATCCGAATACTGTTGTCGTTGTCATAAAGAAACTTTTGACCATATCCGATGAATACAATTACTCTTCGTAAGCTAATTAATTTGTAATCAAGAAATACTGTTATTCACAACCAAAACATACTGTCCTTTGCTTAGATCATTCTGAATTCTCCCCCACAACTTCTTTAACCTGCCCTGTCCTGCTGTTCTCATCCAAACCATAAAGTGTTCTTTAGTTCATTTAAAACATTGTACCATCTTCGATATTGGTCCAAGCAAACTTTTCCCATCCCTTAGGATTTTTGAAATTATATTATCTATCACTCTCCCAAGCTATATCTGTTTCATCAATCTCAACTATTTCTCCTTATGAGTTTTTTAATTTAAATGTGTCTGTAAAATACGTGTAGGCTATTTCACCACACGGGAAGGCATTCTCACTCTTGTTTAATGTATTGCCACCATAAGATTTCACTTTCTCTGTATTTTTATTAATTTCAAATAGCTACCCATATCAGAATTCGTTTGATAATCTCCACAATTGGAAAGATCAGCATCCACATTCCCCTTCAATTATTCAACTGATTTTGATTTGAAGTAATTTCTATTTCTTCTATAAAAATTCTCCAGTTAGTAGTATACAAAAATCGGTGCTGTCATATCACTGGATATTTCAATTGGTATTTCACAATTAACTTGATTCTTTGTACATGATGATCCATAATAGACTTCCTTTTCAACTATTTGCAAATTGAATACTAAAAATACTATTGCGAAGACCAATAAAAATATCCCTATGATAACAATTACTCATACCAATTATACTAAATATTATCAGGTTTCTTTTGAAATTCTTATGAAACTTCCACTTCTTAATGGCAATATTCAGAAATTCCTCTTAATCCTCTCTAAATTATTTCGAAAATGAGTTAGAATATTCGGCCATTAATATTAATAATTAATATAAGCATTATATAACAACAGTCCATTCTCTCTCATAGTATTGCTTCCCTTGAAAATATTTGAAAACACCAAAGTTTCAAAAATCCTTATAAAGTTTAGTTAATTTGAAGGAACAATCATTCATTTTCATTGTAATTAAATGAAAAAATAGAAACAAGTCTAAACTCTATTCAAGTATTTTCAATCTGATGAATATGAAATGGAACAAGAGAAAAAACCAATAGAGATTATATCCTACATTAAAATGAATGAAGAATTTCCCATATTCGAGTTAATCTTGGAAAACTGCCCTACTTTCGTATTGGATGCCCAGACTTCTTTGCAATTGGAGAAATTGTAATAACTAATTTACCTGGGAATTAATGGATGCTAAATTAAATCTTTGATTCATTTACCTCTGATAGACAGCTTAAAAAGGTTAACTTTGGACAACAATTATTTAAAAGGAGAACAACTAAAATGCATAGGATATTACAAAGATAAATTACTCTCCCTATCCCTGATTAATAACTAGCTGAAAATATATCCAGGATCTCCTACCTTATAGCATCTCTAATAGATGTCGGCTTTAAAATAATTAAGTTTAATTGGCAATATTTTTGAATTGGATGAAGAAGACAACTTAACTACTCCTAAAGAAGAAGATGAATATGTTGAAATAAGAAATCAAATTTTTAACTTAATGCCTAATTTAATCTATTTGGATTGTATAGAAAGATCAAAGCTGATCTAGGATGAAAAGTTCTTTAATAACTATAATGAAGAGAATGAATATTTATCCTTATATGTCAGTAAATCAGTTACCTAATATGAAACAAGTAGGAGTCAGAGCATGATATCGGTTAAAAAGAATAATGGCACCACGAAAATAAAGGAAGAAAACTCCAATTAACACCAACGTGAAGAGAAGAAAAAATCAACTAGACAATTAAGATAGTAAAAAAGAAAGATGTATGTTTATGATTGATTCTTTCTCATTCACAGTTTTTTATTATAAATCATATCTCCTAATTAATTACCTTATGTTGAAGAGCCAAAGTTTATAAACACAATATAGTAAAATTAATTATAAGGAAAATAATACTAATTTGTAATGATAGATAATATCAACATATAAAATTCAATAGACTTATAATAAATTCTTTTAACACATATTATGACCTAAAGGTTATTTAGTATGAGTAAATATTATTAAAATTTATATAATATGGAGTAATTATATCCTGTAAAAATCTCTTAATAGCTATCTCCTAGAAATTCTAATTTTGGAACAAATTATTCTGAAAATTATTATAATTCAACCAAGTTTTGTCTACTTTAAATTTCATATGAATCAGAAAAGAAATTCGCTGGATCTTAATCTAAGAAGAAATCTTCCACATATACTTTCTCTTCAAAGCCCTATTTAACATTTAAATCAGTTTTAATTTGTTCTTATGATTCCTTTTTGATTAATCTTTTAGTCTCCAAGCTTTCAGATTCCTTCTCTTATCTTGATTTTTACTCCTATTTGAATTTGACTTCCTATAATTTAGATAAGCATCCTTGTTCCTGCAAAATTGATTAAACTTTGAATTTGATATCATATTCTGAAAGAAATTTGTCCATCCACATTTTGGATGCTTTGAATGTATCACTATTGAAGATATCTAAGGCTTTGGATTTGATTTGATCTCTGGTAATTTTCTTTCCTCCTTTCTTGGTTTCAGTTAAGATCCATTGTTCAAGTTCAGTTACTGCTTGTGGGTTAACTCGTTTTCTTCCACACCCAGGTTTCCTAACATATCCTTGATTAAACCATCTCTTTAAATTTCTCACTGTGGTATTATACTTTTGACTCTAGATTTCAAAGTTTTCATCTGAAGGATTGGCTGCTAATGCTTCTATGGCTTCTTTTTTTTCTTCGGTGCTCAAAATATAATATTAATAATTTTTAATATAATTTATGGAATTTGAATAGACTTAGTTAAAATATGATGATATTTGGAATTCCAACCTTTTGTATTCAAAAAGATTAGGAATTATGCTTGGATCTCAACCAATCAGATTTATTCTTTCATTTCTAATATTGAATGTCTCAAACATAACTTTGCTGAGTTTGATAACTAATTCAATGCTATTACTGTGGATTTTATTGAGTGTCATCATATTGACAAATATCTCTTTGTTTCAAGTCCTAACTAGAAATCCTGGAATAATACCCAAAAATGTATATGAGTAGCAAATAATGATAGATAGTGGGATTTGAATTAAAATATGAATTGCTCCAAGTACCTTAGATAACCAAATATTCATCAATGCAACCAAATAGTGATTACATGGTTTGGAAGGATAACTTAATTCATCAAATAAAATATTGTGCATTTTGCCATATATACAGACCGCCAAGGAGTTCTCATTGTTACACATGTGGAAATTGCATTCTGAAATATGATCATCACTGTCCTTGGATAGGACAATGCATTGGACAAAATAATTATAGGTAAAAAAGAATAATCATTATAGATAATACATTCAATTATTAATATTTGGAATGTTTGATTAATTATGCATATTTTCTATTTGCAGCATAACACTAAATGATGAAATGATAATCAAGATAATCCTCATAATATATACAATACCTGTAAATATTCAGTGGTGAAAATTAGTTGTTTTTTTTCATCTTAAGTCTTCAAGGATTGCATTCATATTTAATTATTACAAGGTAAACATCAAAAGAATACTTCAAATAGCTTTGGAAAACAAAAGCTGGCAATCCATTTAATTAATAATTTTGGACTCGTCATCCAGAATATGTTGATTTCTCTACAACATACTATAGACATAAAAACTTTGTTTCTCAACTCACCTAACTAGACTTAAGTATTAATAATGACAAAAAACCTTAAACTTTAAAATAGCCAATCTAACCATATAAAGAGATTGAATTATAAATTAAAAATTGATTTTATTATGATATAATATTTAAATGATATATTAAATTATTTATAATTTATATTTGCATTGATCACTCCTTTAACCATTTCCCATAAAACAATTCATAGATCTTATATCTTGTGTAATCAGAGTCCTATAAAATTTCAAAAAAGCCAATGCATTAAAACCAATCATCAAAAGTAGCAGTGTCAACTCCACAAATGAAATAGTTTCTTGTTCCTTTCTTTAAAAATAACTTTTTCAAATCTCTACAATATTAAATAAAATACTTTAAATGCTTTTAATAACGAACATCACTTCCTGTTGCATAATTATAAATATATTTTCTTAACAATTCCTCATCATGTGTCAATTTATAACCTAAAGTCTAAACATCCTCTATTCTTGAACTTTATAAGCCATAATATTCTAAAAAGTTGTAAGCTATATTCCAATTTAAAATGGCATGCTCCCCATCCTTATTAGCTTTTGTAATATCTAATCTATATTAAGTGTAATCTATTATTTAATTGGTTTTCCCATTAAAATAGAATACTCTAAAAGAGGGGTTTTACCTTGAATTGGTAGTTACTGAAGGTGCAATATATATAGTTTTAATGTATCTTCCATCAATTCTTGATCTTATATGAGAAATTTAATCAGAATGTGTATGTCCTGAATTCAATTAATTAATAATTACCATAAAATAAGCCAGAGACTACATGCTCAAATCTTTCAATAATAACACTAAATCTATCAGCCCATTATGAATTGCATGAAATGTCACCTGGTGGAATGTGTGCTATTATTATGGCAAATTGATTTTTTGATTCTGAATCCTTCAATTCTTCTGTCAACCAGTTTAACATTCCTCTTGGATCTGTTACTCCTTAAATCAAGAAGAAATTATTAAAATCATAAGCCTGAGAGTTTAAAGCAATAATCTTTAAATTTCGATCCACATCAATATGAGAATAAAACCCATTTCTCCTTAATTAATAATATGCCTCCTGACTTAGGTATTATTTCCAAGTTCCTGATATTGCATCTCTGAACGATTAAGCTGATTCTCCGATCATATCATATTAATCACTAGGGTATAGGTCATGGTTTCCATAAATTCCATAAACATTAGTATTTGGCATAAGCTATTAAATCTCTTATGTAATCATTTATGTAGGAACAGTTTGGTTTTTCTATTGATTCCAGCGATATTAAGATACATTATCTCCTGTCCAAAGAATAAAATCAGGTTTTATTTTCTCTTTTGTGAATTCTAATAAATTTTAAACTGTTCTAAATGGTAAATCACAACTAGCTAAAGTTCCCCAATATTAAGCACCCTTGCTAGAGTCTTTAGGTATACTATTCTCCATTCTGCAACAATTATAATTACCGCAAAATGCATCAGCCCCAACAGTGTATTCAGTGTCAACATGCAAATCAGAATATTATACCACTTTATAATCCTCATTATTGATAAGCAATGCTTCAGATCTCTCTTTCCATATTTATTACTCCTATCTTGAAAGTTTATCAATCATAATTTCATTTATATATTCCTTTAAAGTTTAAGGTTCATGTTCCAATTTGCAAGCCCCTAAAACTTAACAAGCATTTGATGGTTTCAAATAATTACTAATATTTTTTAAATATTATACTCAACAAATTGTACTGCAAATTAATCAAGATATTTTTGTTTCTTACCTTCACAAATTAAAGGATTTTTAAACTTAGGACACAGTGCTACATATTCTTTTGTTATTATAGACATTAAAGTGTTCTTAGAAAATTTTTAAACTTATTTCATCATCAATTTGCATGGTAAACAGAACAAATGCAAACTAAATAAATAACCAAACAATATACTCATGAGGTAACTCTATTCCTACATATGAAGCTATATTTTTTAGGATTTCTCTATTCATAAGCTTGTGTTCTTCTTATTAAGCATTTATAATGCAAAATAGCACAAAAATTATCAATAAAATTTTTTTCATTAATATATTAAAATGATTAAATATCATGATCTTAGTATATGTTGCGTATCAATTAAGTATCAAAAATGAAATTCTTCTCAAAGAACAGCATCTTCATTTTGTCAGTTTTCCTTAATTTTATTTTTGTAATGCATATGATATTTATATAATGATCATATAAAGAAATTTTGACATGAAAAGAGATCTTATTTATAATTAAAAGTTAAAGAATCATAAAATTAGTTTGAAAATAAATAATAATTCTGCATTTTGTAATAATAACATGATTTAGATTTCACCTAATAGGATTGATGAAAGATTTTAAAAAACATTATTTCATGATATTTATTATCAAAAGGACTACTTTAGTTTTGAAATTGAAAGTAAATAATAAATATACTATGAATTACTTCAAACATGAAATTAGTATATGATTATTATATCTTAGGTTATATAAATTTAAATGTTTAATACATCCTTATCAATGGAATCTTTTTCTCTTTTTGATGGTAACTTCGTTTATTAATTCATTTAGCTTCATTTGTATTTCTAAACTGCAACACATTTTTACTAATCATATTCTTATATTTCTGTCTTTTCTAGAGCCTATTGATTTTTCGATCTTTTATTTAAGTTTATATGAGGTAGGCCTTTCCATAAATCCTATTTTGATAATTCATATGAATTTTTATCTTTATTAATGTCTATGTAATGAATCTTCAATATAATCTAGATGCATATAATTAAGTTATTATCCTAATTCTTTTGTAAATAACGATTGTCTATGGTTATCTCAGATTAATTTAGCCTACAGGAATGACATTTTGGGCTCTTTTAGCTAGGCACTTTAATCCACATAAAAGACGTTATTACTTAGGTAATTGTTACAGTAAACTTATTTTTGTCGACGGGCCGCTTTTGATGTTAAAATGACATGTAATAAGCTAAGCTTTTTTATAGTTGAGTAGTATTCAGATGTGAATAGGCATAAAGTTTAAATTGGAATTTGTACATATATGTAAATTAATCTAATCTTTGTTTATTTATTATATAAAATATATTATGCAAAATTCCATTTTAATTAATGAATTAAATGCCAGAGAAAAAGTAAATTTCAGCAATACATAAGCCAAAACCAGTCGAAGTTTATAATAAATTGGCCTAGGATACAGTTCCCAAGAGAGATTTACTCATTTAATGGCTAATATAAGTAAAAAAATGTGATATCATTCAAAAAGAATACTTTCTAACATAAAATTTCTCTCAAAACAATTGAATTAGCTGTTCTGTATATTGATATCTACCTGAACGTGAAAAATATCTCGGAATAAAAATTCCAACTTCTAGCAATATGTTCTTTCAATTTGGCTGCGAAAGTTGTTTTGTATATATTTATTTTTTAGTTCAATTAAAAAGGAATAACTTAATAAACAAAAATCTTGGATTCAAATGGTATAGGAATATATCAAGATCATGAATATGACGAAATGGAAATTGAACTACTTTAAACTATGTAATTTTAATTGAATTTTATCACTTCTTCAGACTACGCAGAACTAATAGGACTAAATCTATAGGATGAAAAAGTCAAGTCTTATTTTCTATTTATATTAGTAGGTATTCAAATAAGAATAAAAATAGATTTTTAAATTTATAAATATTAGCATCTAGAATTAGCTTTAGCTATTCTATTTCTATCTGACGGGAATGCCCAATAACTACAGCCAAGAATTCTTTAAATATCAAAAGTCATTCAAGATTCTGTTTATCAATATGAAAAAATATATGAAAACTAAAATTAAAATGAAGAATAATGTTAATCTAATTCGAATAAGAGTAGAAGGATTAAAAGAATGAAAGCTATAAGAAAAGTATTGTCAAAATAAGTTAAATAAAAATTGAGACAGAAATATTGAATTATCTAATAGTTTTATTTCATTTCATTTTAATAAACATTCAACTTTATTTATTCTGATTAAATCTTTTGTTTTGTGGATTTTTATATGAAGCTCAATTAATAAGAATTTCATCATAATCATGATATTAAGTTAAATATCCAAACTATTTATGAATAACCAACCCTAAATTTTAGATGAGCAATCATCAATTTTATTAGAGGATGAGATAGACTTCTCCAATCTAGAAATACCGTAACTTACAAGAAGGAATGGAGAAAGCAATTTTAATTAAAAAGCACACGGATACATAATTTTGGATCAATCCCCTTAAAAAATATTTAATCAAGAATAATGTCCAATTTGCTTGGAATAAGATAAAGATTTGTCCCCTTTATAATGCGGTCATACATACTGTGTGGTTGATATTGTAAAATTAATCGAACAAGCTGTTGAATAAATTATTCAATGTCCAATATGTCGGGCATATTAGTATTGTCCCACTTCAAAAGAAATATACTAAAATTAACATGAATTCTAATACAATGATCATATGTAATTAGATGATCAAACATAGTTAGAAACTAATTGATATTTACAAATAAATTATTTATTTTATTCCAATTTTTATAATACTCAGTCTCCTAGATGAATCCGTTCTACATTAATTAATAACTTACTAATCTTAATTTTGCCTAATTAATGTAGCCTTTTATTAAATAAGGATTGTAAATTTACATTTATATAGAGCGATTTTATAAGATATATTTGATTTTAGATTGAAAACAAAGATGATTTCCTGATGAATACTTCAATAATATAAAACTTATATAATTTTATCTTAATTAAATGATTATATGCAGCAAATTTTATTCTCTCAAATAAGTTAATTGGATTTGGTTATTGATTTTCAAATAGTTTTTAATTAACTCTTCAGTCTAGCTAATGATATAATAAATTTATACCTATTAAGCCTTCAATCCTAAGCTCTAATTTAGAAAAATATAAAAATTCTATTTAGAATTATTGATATAAGATTATTTCTTGGAAAATTTCGAAATATAACAATTGAAAAAGATAATAAAATTAATTAATCAAAATACCGTGAATATTGGTGAATATATGAAATAATTGTTTAATTTTTAGCTTTTTAAGCTTAACTACATTGATGCAATAAATTAATTATTGAAAAACATAAGTTCAAACGATTATCTAGCAATATAGTAAGGTAATTTGTAAACTGCAACTTTACAGTATTTAATCTATTTCTTTACTAATTATTAGGGACCTTGTATATGAGTTTATATGTATGAAATAATATTATAAATTATTTTTAATAGTGAAAAAATTATGGATCTCATTCAAAAAAAGCAAAAAATAGAAGATTCAGATGGTGAGGAGATAATATAGGAAGGGGAAGTTGATGAGAACTTTGAGTAGAGAGTTTAGAAGTTATTATACGAAACTGACAATGGATTAAACTTATATAATAAACCTGTGATGCCATTGATATATTATGAATTCAATGAAGATATCAAATAATAAGCAGAATAAGTCATAAATTAAGATAAAACGATATTACCTTAAGACAAATACGAGAAATACGAAAAAGAAGCTTCAAAAATATGGGACAAATTCTACAGGCATCACTAAAATAACTTTTTTAAAGACAGACACTATTTAGAAAGAGAAATACCTGAACTAAATCATTTTAAAGTAAGCCATTAGAAAGATGAAACCAAATTGTATGTTATTTGCGAGATGGGATGTGGAGTTGGAAATGCTTTATTTCCTTTAAAAAAAAACTACACATTCTTCAAAAAAGTATATGGTTTCGATTTCAGCAAAAGAGCTATAGACGTTTTGAAAGCTAATGAGTTATATGATGAAACTGTATTCTAAGCCTGCGTTTGTGATTTAGTATTGGATCCATTGCCAGATTTTGAAAGACCTGATTTAGGCACCTTAATATTTGTTCTTTCTGCAATATCTCCAGAAAACCATTTAATGGTAGTTCGTAAGATTTTTGAATGGATGAAACCAGGAAGTGTACTTTACTTTAGAGATTATGGTTAATATGATTTTGGATAAATAAATTTGTCTAAGAAAAAGAATAGAAAGCTGAAAGATAATTTCTATGTAAAGCATGATGGAGTGCGGGTTTATTATTTTAGTAATGAAGTAAGTACTTTCAAATATGATAGGAAGTGACATCATTATTTACTACAGCTGGATTTAAGTAATTAGATGTGAAGGCTCATTATAGATATATAGAGAATAGAAAGACAAAAGTTAAGATGTATAGAGTATGGGTTCAGGGTAGATATTTAAAAGAATGATATATATTGTAATTTATTTATTAATTCATTATGTTATATCAAACAATTTTAATAGATTGTTAAGTTCGAAATTTATGTACTTATTGTATTTATTGTAATACATCTATTGAAGGTAATCTGAATGCTTAGAATTCCATTGGATATCCTATGATATCATGCATTCATTGATATTGTCTAAATTGAGAGTATGCACAGATCTTTTAACACAAAAGTCAATGAGATTTTGTTTGATAGAAGTTTCAACTAGCTCTTACACATTTTAGTCAAAACTTAACTTGTAATTTTACATAAGATTTCTAAAGACACTTTTAACTTTGGCTTAAGGTGCCTTTAATTCAGGATCGTAGACGAAATCTCTTGATATCAATTTAGAATTTATACTTCTCAGAATAATCTTCAATCATATATCTAGCAAGCAAAGTACTGTTTTTAAGATTAAAGGGATCCAATCTCAATTACTTCTCTAAATCATTTATTGCAATATCCTCTTCTGATTAGAATAGGATCTAAGTATAATTTTAATTCTTATACTAATTCTGCATCTTAGAGAGCGATTCTTTTTTTTCTTAGAGACAATTTCAATTCTAAAATAGTTTATTCGATTTATTGTTTCTTGACTTGTTTAACAACCACATTGTCTCCATGATGGGGCGATGTCAATGGAGATAAAAGAACTTAAGTAGTGGATTAAAAAAGTTAATCCTCTCCATAAATTAAAGTTTGGGTTGATAGTTTCTTCTTAGAAAATTATTACAGATATCTAGATTTATGAGATTAAATTACTTGTCAATTTGTTTTTGTTTTTCCAATAGAATATTATAATCCATATAAAGTTTATCGTATTTATCGCTAATTTATTTTTTTTCTGCTTCCAAATGTTAGATTTTCTATTTGGAATCATAGTTTAATTCGATCAAGGCGTTTTGGTTATCCTGAATAATTTATTAATATTAGTTAAGTCTTGTTTGTAAATGCTATATTTCATCCATCCTCATTTAGAGTTCGTCAACTAAAAGGTTCTCATTCTTACTGGGATGTTTCATCAAATTCATTTCTGATAAGGGATCCCTATCTCTATATCTCTGTATTTATTGGTCTTTCAATTTCATGACTTATTGTAGTTGATTATTCTTAGCTTTGACTTGAATATAGTCAGATCTAATCTTCTCGAGCTCGCTAATATATTATTTTTATGTTTCAATCTTATTTAATAAATTTATATTATCTTGAACTATCTAATTTTAGTCACCCTCGAATTTCTAAAGAATCTGATATTTTAAGAGTTCTTTTTTTAATTCTTGGATCTACTTTTTCATATCCTGCTAAGCTTTGAATTAAGCATTCTCTTTAAGTATTTGTATTTCCTAATCCTTTTGTTTGATCCTTAGTAAACTTTATTAAATGACTTTTCTTTGGTCACTTTCATCCATCATATCTATCTCTTTTCCAAATTATTGCAAGACATTTTACATAGATTGATTTTCTAATTGCAATTGTTTAGTTTTCAGTTTTTCTAAATGTAATTGCTCGTAAAGGGTTTCTTTATCAATACTGATATTTTTGGGAATGATCACTTTTCTAATCCTACATGAGTTAGAATCATTCATGGAGTAAAGAGTCTTAATTCTTCTGTTTGGCTCGCTTTTTAAGGGATGTTAAAAATATTGATTAGCTATATGTTAGCTCATAAATAAATAAATTAAAGATGACTTTAATAACAATCCTTTGGAAATTAGAAAAAACCATTTCAAGTATTTAATCAAGCTTTTAAACTTAGGCTTTTATTGAATCTCCTCCATATTCAATGAGGACCAAGAATATAACAATTAAAACGGGCATACTCTCAAAATTCACAAATGAAATACAATCAAGTTTATGATAACAAACTTAGTGAAGCTAGTCAAGATCTAAATTTTATGTCTAAAAAGAAAGAACGAATAATGAATAGTTGATTAAATAATAAAATTAATATTATTAATATGGAGAAACTATAAAAAGAGATGCATAATTAGTATTAGTATTTACTCTTAGAATTAAATCGATTAAGCGCTAAGTTGGTAAGATTAGAAGAACAATAAGACATGATCAAGCAACAATAATCAGTTCCAATTTAACATAAAGAAAATAATTACGATTATATAGTAAGATTGACAACTACTAGTCATAAATCCGTAGCATTGAAATGATTTAAGACAGGTACAATCATATGAGCAACCAATTCGATAAGCTGAGGCAGCAGATGGATCAAAAAGTCTGTTTGGATGAATTTGTTAAGTACACATAAAAAATAGCATCAGAATATGCTACTTTATAGATGCTAGATTTAGGCATTTAATCCATCGAAACAAGGATATTAATAAATCCATCTGATTCCAAATTGAAGGGGAGCTTAGTTGCTTCGAGAGTAAAATAGTAAAACAAGTAAACTTAAGTTTTTGAATATCAACATACAGTTGAATAGTAATTTGAAGAGAGATTAAATCGCTTTAGAGAATTAATAACATCTTAAGTCAGATAGTTTTGTGATCAAGTGCAGGCTTAGGATATAAGCAAACCATTTAGAGAATAAATTTCAAATAATGTAAATAATCTACATGAAAAGTTGCATCAACTTGAATTATTTTAAATGGAGATTTAAAGACATTTGGAGGCAAGAGAATTTGAAAAACTCATTAAGTAATACACCTCAATAGAAGAGAGACTGAAATTGTTGGAAAACCATTAGTAAGGATTAACAAACTTAATTCAAGTTATAAATCAGCAGAAAAAAGTTGATGAAGAAAAGCAGAAAATAAAAAAGAAAGAGAAAAAAAAGGAGGATCACTTAAATTAATATTTGACTATTGAAGATTTCTAGAAGTATTAACACTACATTAAGGAACATTATTTGACTCAAGTTTAAGGTAAAATATGATTTAACAAAAGGGGCTTAATTTCTATAGAGGATTAACGAAACGGAGGATAACATCAAGAACATGTTTAATAAAGATATTTACGATAGACTAGAATCAGAAATTGTTGATATTGATGAAAAGTTTGGAGTTATGTTGGAATCTCTTTAAAATAAGTTAAATTAATAAATTCAAAATCAAGTGTCTAAACTTAACACGTTTGAAATGTAAATAGGTTCATTTATGAGTAAATCTGAAGTGATTTAGATGCTAGATAATCCTCAAGCCATGATGAAGGTGAATTCTGCAGTTTAGAATATACAAGAGAAGTTCAAAGAGCTTTATTCAAAATAGATTGATATACTGGAAGCTTAATTTAGATTCTCAATCAGTAATATATAGTCGGCTAATATTACGGAGAATGATAAATTAAATTAGAATGCTTTACTTTTAAAAAAATGTGAATAAATTAGAGTCTCATTATAAGAGTTTTTTGGTTAGAATATTTAACAAAATTAAACATAAAAGAAACAATAAGAATTGAATTAGTAATAATCTTAACATTTTAACAACTCTAACAAACTAGAAAGCAAATTTTAGAATCGACCTTTATCAGTTGGAAGCAGGTATCCAAAAATGAGGAGACAATCTGCAACTCCAAAAGTGATCTCTTCATCCTTTTCAGGAAGTTCAGAGCCATAATTTTTTTAAAAGGTTTTGTAGAATCCTCTGGTCCAAAAACTGAAGAAATGATTTTTGTCAATTATATAAAAAATAATAATAAATCACTTTAAGTTTTTTCTCTTGTTGTAGTCTTCATCATCTGTTATTAATTCAAATCTACATACTGGACAACTATTATGTTGTTTTAACCATGGGATTAGGCAATCTGAATGGAAATGATGCTGACACGGCATTTATACGGCTTGTTAGGATTAATATTCCTCTTGGCAAACAGTACAACACTCAGATTGTAAATTAATTTTTTGGAGTGAATCAATTGCTAATTAAGAAGCAGGAGGAGATCTCGATAAAATAAAATTATACCCATATCTATTAGGATCGTTTTGGCTGATAAACTCAATTAACTACTCTAAAGATTGCCCAGGTTGAAATTGAGTATTCGGAAACATTAATTAAAGTAGATTATCAAACAGGTTAGTTCTTTATTGAAATCTGATGGGGATTTAGTTCCTAGTAATGTGAATGATGGTTTAAGGTTGCTATTGTTGTCTTAGTTGAGTTTATGATTGTCTCTATTATTGATTCTCGCCATAGGGTATAAAACCTCTGGGATCATTTTAAGGGTCAATAACTTCGCAAAATTCTTATTAGCAAAATGCGCATTTCATAAGATCTGATGTAACTTAGGATTCGAATTGTTTTTTGCAAATGTGACACCAACATAAAGCAATGGAATTTTACATAATTAATATATTGATATATATTTAATATCAATTGGTAATCTTGCCTTGGACATCTCTCTTATATTGTTAACTTTGAGATCCAACTTGGCTGGAATAGATTCTGTAAACATCATCAAAAGTATTCAATTCTTCTGTCAAAGTTTCACTTACAGATTTATAATGAGCTTCAGCAGAATTCAAGTCCTAAATATATATTAGTTAATCTTACTTCGTTGGCTAAATCAATGGAGTTTTGGATTTTCTTTAATCTATCTTTGCAAGCAGCCGTGGCTTATAGAATAGTGATCAATTGGTTTTACAATTTTTCCTATTGATAAATGTGAGATATAATACAAGGTTAATGTCTTCAGCAACAAGGTGACCTTTAAATGTTTCATTCTCCTTAATAATCAACCCTTTGAAGTCACTGTAGCCCATGGCAGAAGTGACTTAATTGTCTTATTTCTTTGAAAAAGATCCTCTGACTTCTGATTCTAGGATGTCAAGGAAATTAAGCAACTCTTATTAAGCAACTGTGAATTAACTATAATCCTTTTGAGATCCAGCTTCTGCAGGAGCCTTTTGTCCCTTCTCAATAATTTTATTGAAGGCTGCAGCTTCCTTTGCTAATTATTCATTGGTCGTCTTTTCGGCAGCTTCAAAGGGGTGTTCAGGAACAGGAGCATCTGGTTCTCCATTTTCTTAATGTTATTCAATCTCATGATCTTCTGGAGCTGGTGCTGAAGCATCAACAGTTTCTTCAGTAGTTTCTTGATTTGTCTCTTCAACTTCTTATTGGTTGTCCTCTGAGTCGACTTCTGCATCTTCGTATACATGAGGAGGTTCATTATTGTCAGAAGTGACTTCTGGTTCATCTTCATCATCAGCTAAGTAGGATTTGAGTTGGATGAATTAGGCTGATTGTAATAATGTGGGCAAGTCAGTCTAAACAGTTATTGTAATGATTTACTTCTTTGGCATTTTTAACTGCTCTTCTAAGGAAAGCGATTAAATTTAATGTTTTCTTGCTATTTTTGATATCATTGATAAAGTTGGAATTGGATTCGCATCTATTGATATCTAACCTTTGAAGTCTCTCATTATTCTCTTTGATTCTTTTTTCTAACCAACTTATGTAGCTTAATGTAATTCTAATATCTCTTTCTTTGTTAGCCCATTCTTGGTCTCTTCTATTGCATTCTCCTCTCTAAGTAGAGGCAGATCTCATTAAATCATTCACGATATCTTGTTTTGTCTTATAGTTTGCATAATATCCTTACGTATTAGGTGGCAGACCAATCAGACTCTAGTTGTTCTAGTTATTTCGAAGTTCCATTTTTCAAATCTGCTAACATTTTTAATACAACATCTATTTCGTTGGATTAACAGTAAGTTGTAATTAACAACAATGCTATAATTCCGAATGCTTTCATGTTAATATTAATAATATATAAATAAAAACGGTATAAACATATTGCAATATAAACAGAATTGTGGAGGCTTAGTAAATACAGTATTTAATTGAAAGAGATCTCCAACGTATTTTTGACTTACAGTATGATAGAGATGCTCAATAGTCATGATCACTCATTTATATTATAAATTAATTTTATTATATTATTGTTAATGGGTGCATGCACAGGAAAAGGACCTAAAAGCGAGAATAATCCATAAAAAGAGTCAAATTAAAAATAACAAGACCCAAATCTTAAAAGTCTAGATAATGGATAGAACAAAGATAAAAAAGTATTTACTTCCTAAAAAACATAATTCAAAGTCAACCCTTCTATTTTTGTGACTTTAAAGAAAGGAGATATCTTGAACTACTATAGAATCGATCAAACTTTAGGAGAAGGTACTGCTGACCCTATCTAGGTTCTTATGGAAAAGTCAGTTTAGTAACATAAAAAGTGATTGGATTACCAAGAGCTATGAAGCAAATTCGAAAGGACAAAATTGAATAAAAAGATAACATGATACAAGAAGTCTCAATACTAAAAGAATTAGATCATCCTAATATTGTTAGTGTTTATGAACTATATGAAGATGAATAATATGTTTACATTATCACAGAGTAAGCATTGAAATATCATCAGGCACAAGATATCTAAGTGGAGGAGAATTATTTGAAAAAATAAATGAAATCGATCACTTTGATGAAACTATTGCAGCTGGTTATATGAGAAAAATATTGGAAGCTGTTAATTATTGTCATAATAAAAATGTAGTTCATCGGTAATGTTGTCTATTTCATTATAGTGATCTTAAACCTGAGAATATCATATTTGAATCTAGGAAAGTAAACTCAAGTTTGAAAATTATCGATTTCGGAACAGCCAAAGAATTACTGGAAAGCAAAAAATTATCACAAAGAATTGGCACTGTAATTCAATTTATATACTTATATCTAGCCTTATTATATTGCACCTGAAGTCATTAATAAATAATATGATAAAAAATGCGATGTTTGGTCTTGCGGAGTTATTCTATTTATTATGCTGTGCGGATTTCCACCCTTTAATGGCTAATCCCAATAAGAACTGTACCAAAGAATACAGGCAGGGGTTTACTCTTTTGATGGTAACTCTAACCATCTTATCCTTATAGAACCAGAGTGGAAAGAAATCTCTGAAGATGCTAAAGATTTGATTAAGAAGATGTTAGTTACTGATCCAGACAAAAGGATTTCAGCCCAAGATGCATTATAACATGAATGGATCAAAATAACATAAAAAGAGAAAAAACTTAATCATAAATCACTTGAGAACTTAGCCAGATTTCATGTAACTTATATTGTATTATTGAGGAAATTAGAGCTCAAGCAAATTAAAAGCTGCAATCATGCAACTGATCACTACTTAAGTCATGACAAATTAAGAAAAAAAAAAAATGCAAAAATAATTTAAGAAAATTGATGTCAATCACGATGGAACTTTAAGTAGAGAGGAACTACTCTAATGTTACAGAGAAATCTATGATGATGAACTTAAGTGCCATTAAATTGTTGATCATCTATTTGAGTAGGCAGATGTCAATGGATCTAATCAAATTGACTATACAGAATTTGTAATAGCCTTTGCAAAAAAAGAATAAATTATGGCATAAAACAAGTTAGAAAAAGCCTTTAAACTATTTGATAAAGATGGCAATGGTCAAATTAGTAAATAAGAACTCTAGGATATTATGGGTGGAGTGCAACTTAGTGATAATTAATGGAGTAATGTTTTTGGAGAGCTTGATTTAAATGGAGATGGTGTTGTAACTCTATAAGAATTTACTGAAATGCTCATCAAATAAGCTAATGAATAAGAATGATAAACAGTTTATTTCCTATTTTATAAATTTTTCATTCATTACATTAAACTCAAGTAATCATAAAAATATTCATTTTTCTCTCTTAAAATAATAATATATCTTTAAATTTGATTACACTTTTAATTGATTTTAATCACTTAATCGATTTTCAATTACTAATAATATAGTTTCTATTAAACAAGAAGAAATGGATAAATATATCATATCTAAATACTACTTGTGATTAATTAAATAGAATTTAATAGTTGCATATTTACTATCTTGTAAATTATTAACATTAGAACTATAACAATATATGTGCTGAATAAAGATGCATTTTAATGATTTCTTATATACAAGATCATCTCAAGAATGCCATTAAAAATTGATAAGTAGTTATTTTTTTTATTATTTTGCTAACAAGACCAAAATAAATCAAAAATTCAAAATAAATATTACTTAATTATAAAGAAATGAGAAAATTTATTTCAAATTAAACTAGATATCATTAATAAATGGAATTATCAAATATGATTACTTATGTGAATTACTATAATTTAAACCAATTTTGTAAATCAAAGTTTTTTTGATTAGAATTTTTGAACTTATATAAAAGTTATTTAAAAAATATTTTCTCAGAGTTCATCCGAATTTGTTATTTTGTTTGAAAACAATTTGATAACAGAAATATTTAAAGATTTCATTATTGTGTAAAAGGATAGTTTGTTTGAGATAAATAAGTCTTGAATTTTAGAAATATTTACATTTTATTTAATTATGAGTTTAGAAACATTAAATGGAATTGAATATTTAGGGGCTCATTTAAAGGTACATTAATAAATAGATTTAGTTCAAAGTACCAGGGTATAGAGAAAAATCAGATGGTCATGTTTATTATAAGATTGTAGCATAATTTACATTGGTTGAACCTTTCAAAAGAGTTGATTTTGAATATACTTATGAGAATTGTCTAACTCTATTTAAGACATTATCTTAGTAATGTCCTGATTTGCCATAATTACCAGGAATAGGATTATTTGGATTCAAGCCAAATGGATTTGATACAGAAAAAAGAAGAGTAGATTTGGAGAAATGGCTAGGAGCATTAGTTTGGAGATGCGATGTATTGGGAAGTGAATACTTTTAAAATTTTTCTAATGTAAGCAATTAGAATCTATCACGATTAGTTGGGCCAGCTGCTTGATAAAAAATGGTTAAAATAGCCAGATTGTATATTGAAATTCAATTATGGTCACTCATTCCCAGTTTCAGACTTTTTTTATGAGCCAGACACTTAAGTTTGCTTTGTGTTGACAACTGATGATTCAATTGCAAGTAAGGTGCAAGGGTTGATGGGAATATTTGGAAAATCATTAAAGCCTTCATTTCATTCTTAATTGATTGGTTATAGATTGGATGTTGATAATAATGAAAATCCAATCACTTAAACTTTGTGGACCATATAATATTAGCAGAGAGGAACTATGATAAAATGGGATGAGAAATTGACAATCTTGGCCATTGGTTTTGATGATGGTCATATAATTTGCTTAAGGATAGCCACGAATAAAAAGTATTAAGAGTATTCAGAATTCTGCTACATTCATAAACATACTTAAGCAGTTAATGGGATAGAATTCAATAGTTTGACTGGCCATTGTTATAGTATAAGCAAAGACAAATGTCTGATAACAACAGATTTAGCCAATCCTAGTAGTATTTTGAAAGGTATGTTCTGATTTATTCAATAATAGAGAAGGAATTTGTCAATGAATTGACTTGCCTTACAACTAATCAGTATCGTTTATTTGTGGGAGACAATGTAGGAAGCATTTACATCTTCTCCTTTGAAAATGGTCCATTGCATGCAGTTCATTAAATCAAACAGGATGTTGCGATGTAACTGACTTCCATTCAATATTGTCCTATCAAAAATTATCTCATCTGTGGTAGCAAGGAAGGCTACTTAAGTGTGTTTGAGATTGGAAAATAAGGGAAAGAAAAAAGTACTAATCAAATTACTTTACTCAAAACAATTCCTAATAAAGTTGTGCAATTTTCATTCAGCACCAAAGAAATCTATGTTAATTTTGGGAGCAGTGTTATCATCTTAGAATCAACGAATATGAAACATTTATATTCACTTGAAGCGCATAACAAAGATATCACTAAAATACAATTGTTTGATTCCATAGGACTCTTGATAACAAGTAGCAAAGACAACACAGTCAAATTTTGGCAATATAAATATTTTCCACACATTCTATTGAACAAAGACATCCTTACACTTCGAAAAGAACCTGTTTCAGAACATAAGGTTACTATTAGACAATAGGGTGGCGAGCAATTTAAATAAGCAGTTTAGTTATAATAATAATAAATGAAGCCAGAATTGGAAGACTTGGATCATTGGCAATGATAAATATTTATTTACATTCATTTACGTTAAGGAGATGACAACAAAGATCGATTTGATTTGTATTTACTATTTGTTAAAATAGGTCTAATTGTTATAGGTCGTTTCTGTTCTGCTTTCTATTCATCTTGTTCATTCTCTTCTGCATCTGCAAGATCAAGCAAACTACGTCTTGCTGTCACAGCATTGTCAGTTTTTATTTTATTCAACGATGGATGTTTTTAAATGATCAAGTCTATGATTCTACATACAAGCACTTCCATACCTTTCAACTTCCCTTTCTACTTAGTGTCAATCTCTCTTTATTGATGCATCATGTACACTGTATAGAATAGTTTCCCTTATATTGTATCAAATTTATGCATCTGAGGTAATAATAATATCAATTAATATTTATATCTTAACTAAATATTTTAACAACTAATAACTTTAAACTCCCTGAATATTTTTATCGTACTATCTCTAGGTTATAATAGTCAAACAAATTCTAAAAATTATTATGAAAAAAAGCATAAATAAATATAAAAATTTATGCAATCAAAAAAAAGAAATTCCTTTAGATGTTTTGCCATCTTTCAGATAGGATTGGAAGGCTCGAAAGGAGAATTCTTAACAGTGCATAAAAGAGGATGTTTGAAAACGTTCAATAGAGAAAAGGTTGAGTTAGAAGATGCTATAAATATGCATTTTGATGGTCAATCTCAATTTTAACAAGGTTAAAACAAAGATTATTTTGAATTCCATAATTGGATTGGAATGAAAAAGCAGTCTAACGATAATTGTATTTAAATAATTAAAATTAGCATATTATTTCCTTCTATTATGCCATTAGAATGTTAGGAAAAATGAGGCCTTTAAATAGCTATTAACACTTTAAACATGGAATAATGAAAAGTATAAAAATATAGATCCTTCAAAATTAGAGGATGATATTAATAAGTTAGAACAAAAATATGGAGAACCTGATGGGTTTTTAACAGATGAAGACGAAGATGAAAAATAGAGAAATTTATATAAACAACAACAATAAGAAAAGTATTAACAATAACAATAACAATAACAATAATAATAACAACAATAATAATAATATCAATAACAATAACAATAACAATAAAAATAATATTAATAGTAACAATAATCTTAATAATAATAATAACAATAATAAAAAATAGTACAATAATAATAATTTCATACTCCTTAAAAAGGCTCTTAATAGAGATAAAGTTCAGCATAAAAATCTAAATCTCCAATTAATAAAGTAGAAAACGCTAATTACACTCAAATCACTATGATTATCTTTAAAAGCGAAGAGTTTAAATTTAATATTAAATCAAAAGATGTAGATTAGGTAGGAATTTAGTTTGGTAGAAATGTTTAGAATGTTAATCCTTAAGTTGAAAACCCTATTCAACAGGAAAATAAAAAATAAAAAACAAGATAAAAACAGTAATTTATGAATTAGGAAGCACTTAAATAAATGGATGAATCTAATAAACTAAAGCAAGCTGATGCATTAATCAGAAATTCAATAGTGGGTGCCCTGGCAAGTAGCACATTAGCATTGATTTTATGACATTATTATAATTTCCAATCGAATAAGATAAATATAGTTTGTGTAACTTTAAAACAAAAGAGATTGGTAGTCTCTAAGTTCTATTTATTAAATAGTCAATGAATAAATTGATTTATTATAATAAAATGTTATATTAACTTCACATTGTGGACATAGATGGGTTTGAGAATAAATGGTATTACAAGTTAAGAATTACAAACAATTACAATAGTTGTTATCGTGATGTACGTGTACGATTTTAGGATTTGAATTACCTGCAAAAGAATATATCAAATGATAATTATTAATCACATGTAAAAGAGATTATTCATGACTATTTATAGTTACCATAATTTCCAGAGAAATCATTATTAGTTTCATGGTTTTAGAGTAATGAAAGCAGAGAAGAACTATTGGAAAACAAGGAGTCTGTGTAAAAATATTTATCATGGATCAACAAGTACAAAAAATAGTTCTAAATATAAGGAATCCACCTTTTAAATATGAAGCAATTGATAAATTTGTGTATAGTACTTATGATCCAAAAAGGACTCGTGAACTAAGATTCTTGGCAATTAATAAAGATGCATTTTATTAAACAAACATAAAAAAAAAAGTTATAAAGAAGGGTAAATTCAATAAGGTATTTCTTGTAAAGGGTGTACCATAAGACAGAGTTGTACACTAGTTTTTGATGCCTTCCAATGATGCAGCAAAAAAGGATTATGAAAATTACAAAAGGGCATAATTATTGATAGCTGATTAAAATTATATTGTGAAATGTCATGAGATAGGACAAATAACAAAGAAGAAACCATTATTTTAGCGGAAATAAAAAAAAACAATTTACAATGAATTGGAAATTGGATTAGATTCCGACTATGACGTATATTATGCAATTGAAGATTATGCATAGTAACCAATGGATAAGTTAATTTAAAATAGATAATAGAATTAAGATCATTTTAAATTAGAGACTATATCAGAGGCCCTAATTACTTTGATACAAGTAGCTTAATATTTGCAATTTTTATACATCTTTTATAAGTAGTTTTCTGTAACCAACTTCTATTATGATGAAAAGGTAGGATTTAAAATTGGAGGGTTGTCACCTCTATATGTCTACAAAAAGAAATATAGATTAAAGAATGAAGTTAATCCCAATACATACAAGGCCTTGAATCCACCAGAATTGCGTGGATCTGCTGGTGGATACAGTATTAAAAATAATTTGAATTCTTATATTAAGACTGATGTTTGGCAAATTGGCATAGTGATTCTCTCTATGGCATCCCTCACATTGCCGATAGGTTTAACTTAGAGTGAAGAAATAGAGACTAAAATAAAATAAGTGCAATCAAAATATGGGTATAAAGTATATAAAATTAGGGAAAAATTAGCATTTTTACTTAAGAATATGTTGTAAAGAAATCAGAATGATCGCTTTTCCATTGATGATATTATTATACCTGCTCAACAATTGATGCCCATGAATCAAGTATAATTGAAGTCAATAAGATCAATAGAAAGAATATAGGTATAAATCTATTAATAATTACTTTAGATTCTCTCCATATCTTAAGAGTAATTAGAGGACATGGATAAATAGTTCAAGGAGAAAACTTTAGAAAAGAAATACATAGTACATTTGACTATTGATAACCAGATTGTACAAAAGATGCTTCTATTTAATTTGGAACGAATCAAAAGAGAATTTGTTATATAATTACACATTAATGTATCTCCTTAAACTATACCAGATGATTTAATTGACAAGATAATGTCAAGTTTAGCTGAGTACTAGCATTTATATTTATTGGTATTCAATCTCAAGAAATGTACTATTTCTGATGAAGCCTAAAAGAATATCATTATTTCGGCCTAGTCAATTTAAAAACTAAAGTAATTGACTCTGGATATCAGTGGAAATTAAACTATTCCTATACCATAATCCAAAATTAAAGTGGTTGTATATAACCAATGAAAATATAGAGATATATTATATAAGATTAAGATTTTAAATTAAGTTTTATTCGTATGTAATAAAATACATTTTATTGAAATGATTTATTATGTGATATTCTCTTTACTTCTGAACCTGAGTTTGTAATCAACAAGAATCAGGACCAAAGAATCATACACAACAAACTATGAAATTGAGCAAGACACAATCAAGATGGCTCATAAAAAACAAATAGTATATGTGCTAAAGTAGACATATTAAAATAATCAAAGTTTGACAAATGCATATGATGTTGATGTATTTGGGGATTCTGAAACTCCAATATAGACACCATACCTTTCTTTGGACAATGAAGATGTTGAAATGTTAGAAGTGAAAAATTGTAAATACTGAATTTGAATTCTAGAATGTGTAGGTGTTCCTAAACATCCTTAGTTAAAAGAGATTTTGCAGTACAAAATCAAAGATGCCACTGAAGATTCTTATTACACAGATATGGTGACTCTATCAGAGTATTCGAATTTATTTTTAATGACTCAAGAATTACTTCTCATATAAGTAAAGCTGCGTTGTAGTGATTCAGGATGGATTGCTTAAGAGTCATAGAGTGTCTTTGATTTGAAAAAGTACCTTAGTTTGCCAAATCCAACAATCAAAACTAACGCTTAATTTAGCTGTCCTAAAGTATGTAATTTTGTATAGGATTTAATAGAAACATCTGAATTGCTTGATCGTAACTCCATTCGGAGGATTTTGGGTTTCCAAATTTTCAGATTTTGATTCAAATGATTTGCCCATTGAGCCTCAGCCTGAATAAAGGATTTTACAAAGGAAGATAATTCATAAAGTTTCTACCTTTGGAGAGTATTTAGCAGTAGCAGTAGGTGCTGATGGAGTGGATGTATACACTTATGAATTGGATAACAAGGACATATATAAACGAAGCATTCTGCACTTATTAACAATCTCAAAGTAATAATTCAATGTTACGGTTAACATAATTGGGGTGAAAGTGTAAGATGACAAACTATTTTGTCTAGATGAAACTTAAGGATTATTTGTTTTCAATACTTCGAATATAAGAAAGCCAAATCTAATAATGGATATACACATACCGAGAACTGTAGCATTTGAAGTATATGAGAATACAGTTTTAGTTGTTGCTTAAACTCCAAGCAATATTGAATACATAATGGAAATCTTCATAGACTTAAGAGATCATTCATATTTTGTGAACAGGGTTTTTGTTGATGATTTTACTTATAGGGATTTGTAGATCAATCCAAATTATGCATTTTTGATAGGAGAGGAAGCACATTTAATAATTAAACATTCAATTTTCAATGGATTTGTAAAATACAATAAGGAATTGGTGAAAACTTTCTTTGAAAATTAATTGGTGCGCTTTGAATTATACAGTAAATCAAGTGAACCTGCGGAGTAGAGATTCAAGGAAACTTTCTATTATGTAGGATTATCTCGTTAAGCTATCCACGTATGGAAATTCATGGATTATCATGCCTTTTTACTCTGTAGTTTTGATGAGAGATCAGAACATGAAATAGTCGTTAAATTAAACTCTACGTCTTGTGATGAAAATGTCAAAAGAGAGAGTCTATATCAATAATGTTAAGCGGATTAAAAAATTAATATTATGGTTTCAGGACCTCTGTTCTATTCGGATACCTTTACAATTTTGGTCTTTATTCTCATTTTTTTGGGCGTAACAATAAAAGTTAAACTTAGATTGTACTTTGCATAATTTGTATATGTGTCTGTGTTCGATGGAAAAGATTGCTGAGGGAATTGGAGGAGAACAGATACTAAATAAAAGAAATGAAGAAGTATGGCCATTTGCCAGAATAGGAATAATATTCAATATGATATTCTCTAAAATTATTTATTTTATTTATAGATGGATTTTTTGATTTGAGAACTATTTCTAGTTTAGTTTAGAGCATTTTAAATTATTATTAATTACTTAATTTACTAAAATAACAGCAAAATAAGAGCAGCCTCTGTGAGGGAGTAATAAAGCAAAATAAGGAGTTTAATTAATTGAATATTTCTGATTAATAAATAAAAATTAATGTATATAATTTAAATAGGCTTAATTGCCTCATTTCTCATTGGAAATACCTTATAAACGAATCGTATTCGCAGTCATCCTAATTACACGTATTCAGTTAATGAAGAACTATTGTCATTTAAATTTGCGACTTCGGAAGCTCATGTTAAATTGTTAAGGTTCAAAATGTACTTATTTCTGTATTAGTAACCCTACAATTTATGATATCGATGTATTTAGAAATGATGGAGATACTCTTGGCGAGCAGATAGAAACCCCATTCCTTAGTTTGGATAACTAGTATCTCGATGAACAATAATTAGATAATGGTAGGATATGGGCAGCTATCATTAGATTGTGTCGGATTACCCAAACATCCCAAATTGAATGAAATACTCAGCGTCAACTTATTGGATAACACCTTAGACATCTATTACACAGACATATTGTCATTGCCTTAGGTAGAAAAGTAAGTTATTCCTCATCCATTTAGGATATTTCTCTTGACTGACGAATTGGAATTACGATAAGCGATCCTGAAATACAATTAGACTCAATAGCCACAATGGAAAGTGGAAGTTAAGAACACTTCCTATTCTCTTAAAGCCCAGTATCAACAATAAATCAACTATACGAATGCTTATTTTGCTTGTTTTAATAATAATTAAGATCAATGTCTAATTTTATCCAACTATGGAGGAATCTGGTTAGACAAGAACTCAGAAATAGAGCAGCCCGTCCTTACAGCTGAGCCAGTGGTCAGAGAATCTAAAGATTTGAATAAGGTGAGTGTTTTCGAGCAATATCTTGCTTTGGCCAATGGAAATGCAGGAGCAGATTTGTATCGCTATTAGGATAATAAACTCCAATACCTTTTAAGAATTAGTTCTAAAGATTTGAATCAAACTTCAATCAATATCATTTCTCTAAAGTTAACTAAGAATAGATTGAGTATTTTAGATGAACATACTGGTCTCTACATCTTCGACATAATCGATTCCTAAGTGTTATTATTGCTCAGTCTTCCTTATTAACGATGTGTTGCATTTGATCACAGTGATAACACTTATTTGCTAGTGGCTGAAACTCCCAATAATATAGAATACATGATGGAGATTTTCATATTGCCACTCACCAAAGAATATTACATAAACAGAATTTATGTTGATGACTTCTCATTCAGAGATATCTAAATTGATGACGATTATGCTATCATTATTGGAGAGGATGTACACTTAGTTATCAGACATTCAATATTCAATGGCTTTATGAAAAATAATACTGATCTTGTTAAGACCTTTTTTGAAGATGAACTTATTCGTTTTGAATATTTGGAATTGAATCAGACCATCTAAACTCAATATGTTGAAACATCCTATTATATTGGACTGTCAAAGGGCTCATTACACATCTGGAGATTCAATGATTTCAATCCTGTAATTATTTGTAGATTCTAATATGGCACCACTTAAAACTACACCATTAGAGCCAACTCTTCTAAATGCGAGAATCACACTAACTAAGATTTGTTTGAATAGTGTCAAATTACTCAATAAATAGTCATCTAAGCATCAGGACCCCTATTAGAATCAGATTCAAATTATCTAATTATTGGAGTATGCGCTTCTGCTGCTGTATAGTTATTTTACATATGATAGATTATTATTTTGATCATTCTAGTTTTATTATGCAGAAAAGGAAGAGCGTTGGCTAAAAAGATATAGGAGTTAAAGAAGTAGGCAGAAGAGTTAAAAAAGTATGGGGCTTTGGAAGCAGAATAACAATCGATGGGACATTGAATATCATCAAGTACAAAATCTATTAATTTATTTCTACTTAAAAATTATTATAAAATATTTTATTCAATTTATTAATTATGTAAACTCATCAGTTACCTTCTTGTGTTAGTCCTCGAAATTTCACTAATTACATCTCCAATGGAACGGGTTTCATTATACAATAGATATTTCTTAGGAAGAGACTACTACGTTGTTTATTATAATGGAGGTTTGGCTAAAAACACTCAAGTTCATGAGGAAGGATGCTATGATAGAAGGAGATTTCTGAGTGGGGAATAACAAAGTAAAGGGTTGCCATAGCTTTCTCCAAAATTCTAGCATTATCAAGGAGATGGAACTGGAAGGGATTTTTACATTAAGTACTTGTTTCTAAGAAGTCAAGAATCAATGAAGGAGGGTAGTTTTCGCGATTGAAGAAACACAACCATTTGGCAAATTTGAGATCTTATGATAAAATTCCATAGGAATTCAGATCGAATGATTTTCTTAGAGCTCCTTAAATCTCTGTCAAAGAGAAAATCAAGATGAGATAGTTATCATAGTAGATTAACATTTATATTTAAAAATAGGAAACAGAAAGAGGTCTTAGAGAGACTGTGTTCGCCAAAGAATAAAGCAAGTTGAGCACTCTACAACACAATCATTTACTCATTATAAAATCTATATTCAAAATATTAATATATTATTGCTAACATAAATGAATTCATTTTTAATACAAATTTCATTATCTCTATAAATATATCGATTTTAAGCTATCAATAAATAAGTTATTTTATTTAATATGATTTAATCATCAAACTGATTGTTTAATCTTTTTCATTTGCTTATAATTATATTTTTAATAAATATTGTCCTATGGGAGAAGTAGGAATCAACATTCCTTTAGGATAGCCATTAAACACCGACAAAAAACTAATAGAAATCTAAAAAGAATTGAAAGATCACATCAATTACGTGAACGATTGCTTTGATAAAGAATTGTTAGCTATAGGAAGTTCGAAGAATTAGAATGGCAGAAGAATTAAATTATCCCAATATAAAGTAGATCCAACTATTTTCGGTTTTTCCTTAAATACTTTTGAATTACGCAAACATGTGAATTTCTTATGTTAGTAATTTTACTAAATTTGTATATCAGACCCTATATATTAAAATAATAGTAAATATATAATGTATGAAAGAAAATTGCTTATAGAAAGAGATAGATCAATCAATTATAATGAAAAGAATCAAACCATTGACTCTTTAATTCGGTTGGAGATAAATTCTCATATAGATTTTTTTAGGAATTGCTTGTATTGGTTTGGTTGTTTGGGATGCAGTCCAATTGCAATTTAATGTATACCCTGAGATATGTGGATCGAGCATTCATTACTTGCTATACCTAAGAATAGGTTTATTTGTCCTCCTCTTCATTTCTTAACTGATGTATTACAATTATTAAACTAGTTATGTGAGAAAAGCTTTGAAAATTCAATTTTACTTATCTTATTTCTTGAGTTTGATAATTACAATTTTAACCATCCTGTGTCTGTATGGATACAACCTTCTAAGCGAGAAATATGATCAAATAATATTGGAGATGTCATAGTGTGGAGTTATTTTTATAGGATGCTTTCTCATTTGCATTCATTTATATAAATTAGAAATCAATTTATAGAGAATAAGAGTATTGCTGGGAGCATAATATTAATCGCCTCTGTGTTTTTTTTGATTGAAACTAATTAATTAGAATATTATATACCATCTCTATAATTTTAATATCCATAAATATTCTATCACCTGATCTATAGCATCTATTGTTTCCATCCCAATCTAAATTGTTATTTCATACATCAACCACAATAGTTTATGTTTCTATAACTCTTTCACCATCAAAATGAATTAAACTTTTAGGATATTTAGCTGATTAATTCCTATTTTTGATACTATTAATCCTGAACAATAGGGATCAATTAAATTTTATTAGAATTCACTTTTTATTAAAAACACATACTCCCCAATCTTAAGATCTAAATATTCTACTTCAATCAATTCCTCTTTATATTAAATATATTAATTTTGTAAAAATTAGCTTAATATTATATCTCATACATACTATAAACCACAATCAATACTTTGTTGTTTAATTAGCAGAGTTCCATATCAAATAGAATATCAACATACTTCTTGTGCTATACCTAAAGACTTCTGTTCCTAATCCACAATACAAATTAGAAAACTTCGATATGTCCTTTGGATATTTCAAAATAATCATACTTATTTTAACATCTCCTGAGGTGTCAATAGTTTCATATTTTATAATTTTCTCATCATATATCTCTTTTACAAAAAGTTCAAAGGATGGAACACTATTGGCACTAATATACTAGTTCCTAATGCTCCAATAAAATGACTATTTTTTTATTAACCATCTCTGAACACGCTTTTATTCATGAATAAATATCCTTGCTAATATAGGAATTCTTAGAAGATTGTGATTTCGGCAACAAATTAACAATAGATTAACAAAACTTTGCTTTTGAATCCAGGAGTAAAGGCAATTTTGAATTTTTTGTTATGATAATCCATAATTTCTTCTAGATGCTTCATATTATCCCAATATTTCTTAGGTGGTAATCCTAATTATTCACATTATAATTTTAGATTAACTACATTGCTAGGTTGTGAAAATACAGTTGATAATATTGCTGATCCAAATGCTATCCCATGAAATTTTGCATTTTCGCAATATTTTAAATATGGCTAATCATTTACTTCTATTCTTGTTCCACTATTGAATTCCAATCCATATCTCAAAAAGAAGTATTAGAAACAAAAATAAAATGATAGATTCTAAATTATTGATCTATCAAATGAAGTCCGAAATCCTTTATACAATCCTTTAAAGGATTCAGCTAACTTAATTTGTTTTAATTATTCAGAAAATGATTAAATTTAATATGGACTTTTTGCAATCATCCTAGTTACAATTCTGTCTAATGGATATGAAATAATCTAATATTGTCTCAAACTTCATTATGTACCTCATGAATAGTAATTCCTACACCTATTAGAAAAAGAGGTTTAACAAAATGAGTGTCTTGAGGATATTGAATTATATTTATCATAATTATAATTAAAAATATAAGAAATTATCAATCTTGAATGTTTTTTAAGATCAATCCTTCATAACCTATACCAGAATATGCTTTATATTACAAATATGAATAAAAAATAACTTCCTTTCTTATCATTTTATTTGCATTAAATAGTGTCATTAATTTTTATTGTTTTAACTTTTAAATACATCTTAAAATATTTTCTGGCAATGTAAATTGAAGCCCAAATTTTGTATTAATTCGAGTGTTTTCGAAAAGGAAAGAATGAAAACAAAAAGTATATTGGAGTGCTCAAGTCTGATAGATTAGATTTGTACAAGGTAAAATTATTTAACTGATATTTTCATTTTAGGAAAATTCGCAAGTATCTAAGTATTCCCTACCAATCCAACTATAGACACACATTAAATGGGAAGTTGAGGAAGATAATTTAAACGGGAAAAAGCATTATAAAATAGTGTCATTCAAATTTCAATAAGTGAATTAAATCGTATTGATCTTATAGGTTAAATAAATTAAAGAAAATCATGTGGCCAAAATTTCTACATTTTATAGTGACGAGAAGACCCTTACCATTCTAAAAGAGCATTTGAGAAATAAAATCATATTTTAAAGGATTCAAGACTTTTATACCCCTCTCTAAACTTTGGGAAAAGGTGCATCCTCAAGGGTTCTCCTCGTCAGACACAAAAACACCGAATTATATTATGCCGCTAAATGTGTAGACAAATCCTATGTTAATGAAACAGAAAATGGAATTGTACATTATTTTGTAATCTCAGGAATCCATGTTTCAGGAAATTTCGATCAATAATGCCCTTGATCATCCTTCATTTATTAAGTTGCATGCTGTCTATGAGGGAGATAACACATTTTATATGGTAATGGACCTATTAGAAGGAAGAAGTTTGCATGATGAATTAAACAATCATAAAAATGGATTCCCAGAAGATATTGTTAGGAATGTAATGTGGGTATTCATAATCAATTATGTCTAAGCAAATTCTCACTGGTATTGAGTACATGCATGATAAATAAATTATGCATAGAGATATCAAACCTGAAAATATCATGCTCTTAAAAAAAGGAGATTTGAATTCATTAAAAATTGTTGATTTTGGATTGGCCACATATTGCAATATTGATAAGTTTGAATTGTAATCATATTAGATATTTATTTCCTAAATGTGGAACTCCAGGTTATGTTGCTCCTGAAATTGCTAATTTAGTCGATAAAACAATTAAGTATGATAAAGTGTGCGATGTCTTCAGCGCAGGAGTAATCTTCTTTAAATTGTATTTTTAATTTTCATTTAAGATTAACAGGAAAAGATCTTTTTCCAGGAGTTGGATTTAATTTAGTTTTAAAACTAAATAAATAATGCAAAATTGATTTGACCCCTTTACAAATGAAAAAAATAGATCCCTCCATCATTGTATAACATCATTATTCATTAAATTAGTCCATAATTTAGAAAATGCTAGAAAAGGAACCAAATCAAAGAATTAGTGCAGCCCAATGTCTATAGGACCAATTTTTTGCTTCGTGTTACTAAGAATAAGGGTTATAGGGACCTTCTAAATTAACAGCTAATTAAAAAAAATAAATGTTCACTTCAAGTGGCAAAGCTCTGACTACCGAATTTCCAAATGATAAACTAAAGGGTAGTCCTCAGGATAGGCTTGAAAATAAAGGATCTTTTGTTACATAAGATAATGCATTTCGACCCATACAATCTAATTAATAAAAGATAATGTAAAAATTCAATACTACAGAATTTGAACATACTGAAAATGCTCAAAGCCCATAAATGGAAAAGGTTATTAAATAATTTCAAAATGGTGATGCCATCTAAGAAGAAGATGAAAAATGAATAAAATATCATTCAATATTTGTTATTAAAATAATTATTCATATGTTCAGTATTTTTTATTTTGCAATCACTTTCATCTTAGACCGACTTTATAAGAATTTAAACAAAATGGAAATAGAACATATTAATAGAATGGCTTTTATTACACTGATTAAGAGAATCAGTAGAAAATAATAGGTTTTAGATAATTATATGTAAGAATTAAATAAAATCAAGGGTTTTGATTCGAAGTTTTAGAATTAAGGGTTTATTAGAGTGATGATTAAACTGAAATAGAATGCAATCTTCTAGCTAAAATTGGATTCTTGAAAGGATTGAGGTTTTGTTTGTTATCTTTAATTTCTTCTAAAACTAGTTCTGATTTTGGATTCTCTTTTACTTTTTCACAAATATGGGGTAACTCTCCTCTTATAGGTTTCTTGGAATTACAGACTCCCATTGTGTTATTTTTAAATAATTATTTAATAATTTTTTTATTGATAAATATCTAAATTATATGTTATATATATATAAATCATTTTCTTGACTAATTTTAAAGATCAAATTAGATGGTTTGTTTATTCTTTTTAAAAGTCTCTGATGCTGCTGCTTCTTCATTTGACTTTAGTTTTTCTTTAAATTATTGAATACTATTCATTTTGGTTTGAATCAAACCATTAACCTCCTTCAAAAATTTAGTATTTTCATCATTATTAATCTAATTATCTAATGAATAGAAATTATCTATACCTTTTATAGTAACCTAATGAAGAGACATAACTTCCATAGATAAATTACTTATAGTTTTTAAGAGATTTCTACTCAAATTGTAAGAGAACTCAGCTTTAGCATTTTTCTTAATTTAAATTTATTCCTCTGTTTCAGCTATTTTTGCTTTCAAAATTTTAACAATATCAATAAATTCTAAATTATTTGATATCTCTTACATGATTAAATGTTCTTAATCTCTTTAGCAGCTTAACTTATAAGCATAGTTTAATATCCTGTTTTGTGGCATGTGCTTCTCCAATAATAAAATACCTTAGTTTATAATCCTAACTAATATTTTTGATAAGCATTGAATTTTGCTAATCTACTTTTTCTTTTTCTATCTGCATATTATATTAGAGATTTAAAATATTTTTTATATAATTTTAGTCTTTCGTAATTGAGAACCATTCTAATTGCCAATTTATCATATTGTTCTCTCTAATTTCAATATAAATGTTACTTTTTATAAATTCTAATTAATTTTTTCTTTCACAATTTCCTGCTGTTCTAAAACTTATTGTTATAATTCCGAATAATTTGTTGAACAATTAGACAATTCTTATTGATATACATTTGTCTTATTATTAACTTTCAATTCATAAAATGCATGCAATTTTCTTAATGTGTCTTATTTAATTTCATTGAGTAAATCATTAAATTCTTTATTATCTTGAGGATTAAATTAGACTTCTGTTGATATTTAGGTTATTCTCTCTTAAGTGCTGTCCTTAATTTCGCCAACAGCTTTTTTTAATAAGTTAATGTGTTGTTTCATTTGAACTGTACTCATTATTATTCTTAACTGATTATTTAAAATGAAATAAATATAAAGTTTATATAATTAATATAAATTAGACACTCAAACTAAATAAAAATTAAATTTCACCTACTCAATCTCTTCAACAGACTTAGATTAGTTTTGTCATTTAATACATCTTCAGATAATGTAACCAATGCTAAGATATAATTTTTGTATCTTCTTTGTGAATAAATGATTTGCAATAGTGTAATGATGAAATACACAAGCAAAAACGTCAAACCAAATGAGTAGAAGTATATTAATAAATTATTTCTCTATTCCTTTATGAGATTTTAAGATACACTATTTACTTTGTCATAAAATAACACAAAGGCTTCTGAAATATTAAAATAATACTAAACAACAAGATTATTAAATTCTTTGTAGTAATATATTTCATCAGTTATATTCTTTTGATAAATTCCATGAGTAATTTCAACTTCGAAATCGTTTTTAAATAATGAATCCAAATTACTAATAAACCCAATAATGCCTTTTCTCAGTACTTCTGAATTATTATCATACGGGTAAAATTAACCATAATTAATCTAGAATTCATTTGAAGTTAAACTTGTATTGCAAAACGGCAACTCATCCATTAAATAATCGCAAAAATCACCCTTATATAGATCATATAATTTTGACTTATCACCTTCATCTATTTAATCACTCAGTGTTATCGACGAAAATATAGATATTATTTTTTTTTAATATGTTTAGGAGATGTTTTAAAAATATTTAGGAACTTGATCATCCTCGAAGAAAATTCTAAAATCTCCTATCTCAGGATCACTTATTTTACTAAATTATTCTTCAAATAAATGTTGCCCTTTTACAATAGATGCAAAGGATAGTAAGAACCCTAACTAGGCTTAAAATTTAACATAAGTCTTTATCAAGTTTTCTATTGGCATATATTTAGTATCACTTGTTTTAATCTAATAATAGCCAAAAGATGCTAATGCAACTAAAGCAATGTAACAAAACAAAGATATGCCTATTTTCAGAACAATATTGATTGATTTATTCTATATTCTTTCATATAACAGTTATGTATCTCGTTATCGAAGATTTTGGTAAGATTAATTGATGGTTGAATGAATCAATCTCAAAGGAGATTTACATGTGTAATAGGATTAACTCATATTCATTTGTTATTTTTCACTTTCTGAATGCTAAATTTATTATTGTTTGATCTCAATCAATCGAGAGGCCTGATCCTCATTGATCCTTGAAATGATTTGTATTAAATATTTATGCCTCTTTTCAAAATAATACCAATTTCTAATATTGATTATAAGAGGTGCACAAAATAATACTAACTGTATAATTAAGACAGTTTCCCAAAACACCATAAAATTTGAAGAATAGTCATTTAAAATTGATGTAAACTTTTCAATTAGATAAATCGTATTTTAATATGCTTATATCATATTTAATCTGAAAAACAATAAAGATTTCTTAAATTATATAGTTTCTTTTTAGTATGACACTAAGCCAATAGTATTTTCTCTAATTGCAGTAGAAAATGCAGAATAGCTTTCAAAACTTATTTAATTTTTTAGTAAGGTTATGTTAAACGAAGGTGAATTTTAGTCTTACTCAATATTGATTAAATCTGAATATAGTTGACCAAATTTTTATCGAAACTATTATAGAATCTGCAGTTTCTCATTAGAAAAAGAGTTTTTTAAATATTCTGATTGGTTTAAGTTTTGATAGATTACTTAATTAAATCCATAATGAAATGCTCTATTGTAAAATTGATTAATCAACTAAGGCGATAATATATATTCTGTGTATGTTAATTTTGCATTAAAATCAGATTCTATTTAGTTAACTTGAATTATTAAAAATACAACAACCAAAATCACCAATACTACTTTATAAAAATATATCTAAAAAAATGGTTAGCTGCTAGATTATTTGAGTAATATATCATGCAAGATATATTACCCTTTTTATTCTGAACTAACTATGCTGACGTCATTTAATGATTTGGCTTTAACATCTTCTATTTATAGAATCTCCTCATTGATATTTTCAGCTTCTTCATATTCTGCTTTTGTCTCTATTGTACTTAACTCTAATTAATACTGGATTATTTGATCTTTCAATTCAATTTTTGATAGTTTTACTTTAAATTTCATAGCTACATCATTTTCTGTCTATTAATATTAATAATCGATTACTTACAATATGGAGATTGATAAGTTGGCTTAATTTCTCTTATAATTGAGGCTCCAAAAAGTCAAATTAAAATATTTCATGATTTTAGTAAAAATTCTTAGAACTTAATAAAGAATGCTTCTCTGATCTATCTGAACAAATGACATAATCTTAATTTGGAATATTGCTATAATTATTGAGTTTGAGAATAGATTAAATTTAATTTTTATATTGTTTATCAATCTTATGAATATCCTATCTCAGAACAAAACTAACTTCTTTTTCAAGTAGGAATTCATTATTATTTATGATATAAAATAACTCTGTCGAGAAATATTAAATATAACTGTATTGCTTCATTTAAGAATGCAATTCATTAAATTACTCTAAATAATCATTCATTCCTATTATTTTACCTGATGGATCAAAAATTATATAGCCTTTATCTTAATTAACTTTTTTTATCAAAGTTATAAAAGCGAAATCAGACCTATCATTGCTTACAGTAAAACTCAGTTCTAAACATTAAATTTTCCCATTCTCCTGTTACTACTAGAGAACTTCAAGAGAATTCTTCATGGTAAATGATTTCAACTAGCTTCTTTGGAGAAATCTTTCTATAAATTAATTATGTAGTGATGATATTGAATCAGGCATTAATTGCTCTATAAAATCTAACTTAAAATCTGTATTATATCCAAAGAATTATAGCATAGATTTATTAGTATTTAGGATTTGGCCTTTATATCTAATCATACTGACTGTTAGCATGATGGCTTTACTTTTCATTATCTAAATGGCTTCTAAGGTTTTATGATCACTTTCCAAAATTTTCTTAATGATTTTCTTTTGTTTTATAGCCTAAACATAATAATCTAAATACTTGTCCATAATTTTACATAATCACAGAGTTAAAATTAATTGAGATTTTTAAATAAATAACATTTGTTCGATTCTCAAGGATATTATTTTTAATAAGCCATCTTTAAGTGTTTTAAATAGATTAGGAAACCTTGACAATTCTGCTCCCAGCTTCAGCAAAATTTTTACTTCCTTGTATTAAATTTGAGAGAAGATCAATTTATTTAGTAAGAATATCAGAAAATCTCTTTTGATATTCCATTTCTAGTAAGAGATCCCTATTTAATTATTAAATCATTAATGTTGATTTATATACTTGCATAATATCCTATTAGATGGAGCTCTTATAGAATTGACTATAAATCTTATAAAAAAAGGAGTTATTATTTTACTAGTACTCAAATTTATAGAGAATAAATACAGCTTAAAAGTAGCTTTACTCACTTTTGGACAAATAGTCAAATAATATCAAAACATTATTTTCATTCTAAAAATAGTGATTGCCTTTTATTTCATTTTCAACAATTTATTTAATGAAATTAAGATAAAATCCATTATCTGATTTATATTAAGTGTCTTATTTTAAAAATAACGGATTAAAATATAATTTAATCTTATTCTCTATAACATGAAGAATATTGTTGGATTAAATAAATTTAAACAAATTAATTTGAGTAGATAAGTAAAATGATAATGTTGCCATGTAAAGTAAGATATTAAAAATTAAAACTTCATCCATTTTAGTACCTATTCCCAGTAAGAGAAATACTGAAATGATTAAATTGCAAGCAATTAGACCTTAATTAAAGTTGTGGGGATCATTCTACTAAAATAAATTGTGGTATTGAGACACAATCTAAGTTATAATTGTTAGCAAATAAAATATGACAAATCCAGTTTTAGTATTAATGACAACAAATATGAAAATTCTGATTATATCCAATGTATAAATTCCATATAAATAGGGAGTATAGAATTGATTAAGTGGAAATTACAGCTTACTAAAATTGATTGCAATGTCCCTTTGAAAATATGTAGTTGCAGTTAAGATTATCAAAAATAATGCAAAAATCAAAAGAGTAATAATTATTTCCACAAAGCTAGATGAATTGTGATTCATAAAATCAATATAAGTCACTATAAGAGGAATTCTAAATAACTTTTAGAAAATATTTAAAGTAATGCTTACTAGTTATGAAATTTTCTGCTGTTTAGGAGAATGAAAGTATATAAACAGCATTATAAAATAGATTAATGAAAGCGATATGATGAAAACTTCTAATAAGTATTGAGTGTGATTTCTATCTATAAAGAGTGAGTAATTGGTGATTTATTGAATGCTGCTTAACATCTTATCATCATATTTGAGTTACTGCCACCCGTGTTATGGAAAACACAATGCAACATTTTGAACAAACTCAAGTATCATAAGCAATTTAATGACTCCTATTTTAGTTTTTGTTTAGATTGAAAGTACATGAACAAAATTTTAATATGTAAAATTCATTTTTGTAATTTTGATAAATATTTTCTCATTTCTTCTGATAACTTATTTATAATGTGACTTCTTCGAACTGGGTCCCATTCAATTCATTCAAACAATTAGTTGCCTAGAGTTCGTCTTCAAATTCAACAAAGGCCACACCTTTTGGTTTGATTCCTCTGAACTCTCTAAACCCGTAAAAGTTTCTAAAATGTTGTTCTAAGTTAACAAAGTCGACCAAGTGCAAACCCTCAACAAATAAGACTTTATTTGGTTAATTTGGAATCGAAAAATTAAATATATAATAATACTTTAATTTTATTGCTGGTTCCACTGTAGACTTAATTCACTGCTAAAGGCATAGATATAGTTGGAGCTTCTCGTTATTATTTCTAATTGATCATTTCCCTTTATCTTTTATCTTGAATTCTCTTTTTATGTTCTTTTATTTTGTCACTCATAGGCAACTTCTCCTTCTCCTCATAATCTCCTTTTGAAATATAGTATGATTTTTCTTTAGCAAAATTCACTTTCTAATCATCAGACTTAGTCTTACCATAACTTTATCATACAATTAAGTATTATGAAATGCTTTTTGGGCTTTTATTGCCGCTTCTTCATCTTCCATTAAAATAAAAGCCTGTCCCCTCATTAAAATATTTTTCTTGACAATTATATCAAGCACTTTTCCGCTTTATGAAAATAATGCAAATAGCGTTTATCTCATCTCCTCTGCAGTCACTTTCTCATTTAATCTATTGATATATAAAGTTTTATTTGGTGGATTCAAATCAATCTCTTTAAAATCAACAGTTTATTTGGTTGGCACCTGCTCTACCTATGCTTATTGAACAGGTTTAAGTATTTCTTCTCTATTAATAGAAAATAGAGGCGGAACATTTAAACCTTGCAACATAAAATAAAATTTAATATATTTGTGTATTTAGCATTTCAAAATTTCAATCCATATCTTCAATCTCCTCAAAGTAATCAAACTCTTCTAAAGCAGCAGAATCAACAGTCATATCAATTCCTTATGATTAGGATTGCTACATATATTCATCTGACTCTTAAAACTAATCTTATTATAATTGCGAATCCCTCAGATCCTAAATTCATAATATTTATACCTCTCCCTCCAATTCCTCCTCTAAATCTTCATTCTCATATTTTTCATCTTCGAAATTTCTGTTATCTACCTTCTTTTGCTATGCCTTTTTTTAATCTGCTTCCTACTTTTCTTATTACTATTTCAATAATTCTTGCTGCTTCTGCTATTCCTTTAGTTTTTCTTATTCCTTCTTTTATTATTCTTGTTTTTATTGTTCCTATTGCTTTTTCAATTCCTCCTATTATTTCCTTTATTCTTCTTATTATTTTCGTTGTTATTCCTTCTTTTATTCTTCTAACCTCTTTTACTCCTCTTATTTTTTTTTTTATTCATCAAGTTTTCTTTATTCATCTTATTATTACCTTCTCTTTTCTTCTTCTTGTCTTTTGAGTTCTTCTTGTTTTCTCAATTCATCTTACTTTTTCTGCTCTTACAATTTTTATTCCTATTATTATTTTTATTATTATTATTATTGTTATTGCTACAATTATACTTCTTTTGGAGATGGCTGAGCAACTTTTTAATGAACTTTTTCCTCACTATAATAAATATGATGTGAATTTTACGATTATTTTTCTGAATTTCTATTTTTCAATAGGAAAAATAGCAATGGTTTTGTTGCATCATTGGCTTCAATATTTAATTTCTTGGCAATCTATTCCCTATTAATTTCTTCTCTCAGATTGCTTTCACTAAAAAATCATTCAAAGTGAATACCTTGAAAATATTGAATTTGTGTAATGCATATCAAAAAAGAGGAAAAACTCTTTTATCAATTCTAACATGTCTCTACCACAACCCAATTCATATATTGTTTAAGCTTTATTGTTTTCCCAAAAGAATGGAGATGGCTTTTTGTTGTTACCCTCCTACTAGTCAACTACATTAAAGACAGATGCTCTTATTTAAGCTCTAATCTTTGCCAAGGATCCATTAGCCTCTAAGGATTGTATAACTAAGTTCTTAAGTTCTGTTAACTCCTACATTATTAAAAATTTGAAAATAAATAATAAGAAATTTTAATTTTTATACATATTCTTATTCACTCATTCCAAATCAAATTACTCTAATTCTCCTAATTACATGAAATCAAATGTTGAATCCCTGCGTTTTTGATAGTATTCATAATGATCTGCTCTGATCTTTGCATTAACGAAGTCCGCATCTCGAAATCTATCAAGAGGATGACCATGGGCAATGCAAAATAATTAATACCAAAATAACCTATATAAACAATACACAAAAGGCATTTCTATCTATTAGGAACAACCAGGATCCCTTACAAATTATTCATCAAAGAAGTATTTATTATAACATAAGTTTAAAGTTACTCCCGTTAGACAACTTATGATGGCAATTGTCCATTTATAAGGAACCAACTTTTATGTTGGATTGAACTTATAGACCTCCCTCATAATAGGAGTCATTTGATCTTTGTACATCAGGAAATATCTAAAGATATACACTGGTTTCTTGGTAAAAAGCTTTTCTTAAAGCTAGAAAAATTGTGTCCATTCATGAATTCTTCTCATTTAATATAAATTTAACTATTATAAAATAATATAAGTTCATCTTTTTGTTAAAGGACTGATGGCTCTTATTTAATTCATTATATTTTGTTTGAATACATTAACATTGTTACTAGCATTACTACTTAACTTTGTTTATTCAAAATCTGGCTTTTCTGGTTTATATTTTTGACCTTAAACCAATTTTTGCAAATCTACATTAAATTATACAGTTTTTTAAATGCTGCCATTATTTGTAGATTGTTAACTGTTAACAGTGTGTTGCTAAATCTTTTGGTATATGAAATTTTTGATATTCTAAGAATTTGCATTTGGATTTGAATTTTCATTATTCAAATTTCCTTGTGTTGATAAGTGTTATTAGTTCGTATTGTGAATACTTTCATTCTATTCGGTTTAAAGGCGACTATTTAAAAATGATTTCTTTTAAATTTAACTCTTGCATAATGGCATAGGAGAGACTGCTTATTATTTAATAAATGGAGATTAAGTTGTACTAGTGGATTTTATTTATTAAGTGGATGGAGTTTATTTAGTTAAGGCACTTTTAAATTATAAGTTCGGACTCTGATAAGGTGAATTGGTGCTTTTTGTATTACCTCTTGAATTTGAAGGTTTCGAACATTCAAGTTCTTCTAATGCTTTTTAGATTGGCCTTTTTTCCTCAAAATCCTCTTATTTATAGGTGTATCCAACAAAAGTCATTTCTTTTTTGCTATTTTAATGCCCTTTAATAATCCAAGGTTCTTCTTCTTCGTATTTATCGAAATTGCTAGTATCTAGTTCACTTCTTACAGTTGGAATGTATGGAGCTTTCATGTCTCTTATTTTAAGGATTGATAATCCTCCAAACCAAGGATGTCTTATGATTTATTCGAACTTTAATCTATTATTGGTATCACAAACCAGTTTACTAATTAAATCTTTAGCTAATTAAGATATTTTTGGTTCTTCTGGAAATGTAAAGCATTATTAAAATCTGATAATCTTTTAACAAGTAGACGATGGGTCGTCAGTATAAAATGGGGGATATCCAATTAACATTTCATATAGAATAACTCCTACGCTCCACCAATCTACGGTTTCATTGTATCCTTATTATAAGAAGACTTCAGGAGCAATATAATCAGGAGTACCCACAGTCGAAAATGCTTTCTAGGATAAATCATTCAATTCTTTACTTCTCTTCTAGTTTACTTCTATTTGAATTTAGATGAAAACACTGGCTTATCAAAATGCAATTCAGCATCTTTACACAAACCAAAATCAGATAATTTTATATGACCATTATTATCAAGTAAAATATTATCTGGTTTTAAATCTCTATGGATAAACCCAAGTTTATGCACTGATGACACTGCTTAAACTAATTCTGCCATGTAAAACCGTGCTTCTGCTTCTGATAAAATATCCTTTTTCATTAGCAAAGTCATTAAGTCACCCCCAGCCAAATATTCCATTACTAAATATAGATTTTTTTCATCTTAAAATGAACATTTCATTTCCACTATCCAATTATTACCTTTCGCTTCCTCCAATACCTTCCTTTCATTTGTTACATGGCCAATTTAGTTTTTATAAATCATCTCATGCTTCTTCATCTTCTTTACTGCTACTATCTATTGAGATGGAACATGCCTACACAATCTGACTTCACCGAAGGCTCCTCTTCCAATAATTGCGAGTGGTTAAAAATCTTCAATACTTAATCTCATCCTCCTATGAATTTTTGAATAATTAATACTTTTTTCTCATCTACTCAGCTTCCTTTTTAAGTATATCCTTTTTGATAATTTCCTTTTCTTTTGCATTCATATGAAGCGAATCCATCAATTTAGATAACTGTTACCACCCTTATAATTACTATTATTCTTCTTCTATTTATTTTGCATATTTGCCTAAATAATTTATAAAGTTTTTCATACGCTCAATATATATTCTACACGCTTCAACCCTATCTCTTGTTGCATTCGAAATTTATATTTCTTTCTTTCCTATCATTAACGATATTTATATTAATTTTATTTGAATTTATTTAGACTCTTAATAATTCTCTACAAAAATCTAATTGCTATAAATTTGCAATTCCGATTTAGTTGTTAAATACAAGGGATTCAATTACATTCCCATTCAAAATGAATCAGACGATATTATTCTATTAATACTCAAAGTTTTATTCAAATACTATTCCCAACCATATATTCCATTATGTCAAATAATTAAAAAAATATATTATTCTCAATTTCTCATCTTAACCTTATATTCTTTATCATCTTATTCATCAGTTAATTTACATTAATAAATACTACTAACTTTTATGTTTTTAATATAAATTTACTTTTAAGGTTAGGTTTTAAGATATCTTAAACAAACAAAAATGTCCCCGTTTAATATATGTTTAGTTATATTTAAATGCTCCAAATCTTCAATTTAATCTATTTTTTATTATTTTTAATTAAATATTCAGAAAATTAAAATTATTAAGGAAAATTCTAATAGAGAATCATAGACATATTGATAAATCATCATAAGACTTACTACCTATTCATAATCTTAATTTTTATAACAATTTTTATAAAGAATCAATGTTAAAGATACTTAAAAATAATAGTCTTAATTTTGGTAGTGAAATTTAACCATAAAATTCTACTTTTGATGATTCGTTTTGAATTAAAAAACTATTCTGATTATTATTAAACCTACATGTATCTGTTCTGAATAAAATTTAATGTGAATCTAAAATGAATTAGTTTCTTCATGTTATATTTATACTTAATAATTTCAAGATTTTTTTTGAACATAATATTTATTATTAATATCAAAAAGTTTATTAAATATATCCAATGTATTATAATATTTAAGGCAGATTTACTTAACGGGCTTATTATTCAATTAGAAATTTACATACCATGCTAACTATAACTATGAATGTGCAATATTAATCGAATCTTTAAAAACTTACAATTTTACCTTAGCTTTATTATATCTTATAGATGAATTAGATGAACAGTTAAAGTGACTAGATTACAGTGACAAATTTTCAAAATGATCCTAGTATTAATATTTTGATCTATATATTATATACAAAATATTTGTTTAGAAATTCAATTATCGTTAATAATTTTATATATATAATAATGCAGTGTCGTAAAGTCGAACCGAATGTGATAATGAATTCGGCAAGATTAGCACAACGTCCTGTTGAGGCAAATTAGATGGAGGAAGAGATAATTCATGTAATAAAGAGTCCGGACAAAAAGAGTCCCAAGAATAGTAAATCACTAAAAAGTGCATCTTCTGGTCCAATCATAAATTTGCAACAATAGATTATAATTCATCAAAGTGCTCCTACCAAAGACTCTTAAGTTTTACTGAAATTCTAAAATTAAATGAAGAAGAAGAAAAAGAAGAAGAAGGCTTAAAAGAAACAGAAAGCATAACCAATAGAAAAGCAAGGATCAGACGTTAGGATAGATTAGATACTGAAATCAAACTTAAGAAAATATCAAAGTATTTAATATGATTTACAAATTAGAGGAAAAATAAGAATAAATGCAGAAAGAAGAAATGCAAAAGTAGAGGGTAGTTAGTTTGAATGAAATGAGAAAAATGATGGATTAGCAAATAAGATAATTGAATTAATAAAGATTTGTCAGAGTAAATTTAACATTTTATTGTATAAAGTCAAGATCTCCACCATCATCTATGTTACCTTGGGGTGTTAATTAAAATAAACTAAAGCAATATTGGACTAAGATGTTGGAAATCCATGATAAATTAGAAAACCCTTATCAAATGAATTAAAATGCTACAGAATAAGCAATAAAAGAAAAAATGAGAAGGCACAAGTTGGGATTAGACTTTCTAAATTCTAAACCTGAAAAAAGCATCTAAAAAATGATCCAAAGTAAATTCTATTTAAATTTTAGAATAAAAATCAAAATAAGTCTTTGAAAATATTTAATCTCCAAAAAATCAGAAAAGTAATTGCGAGAATAAAGAGGCTGAATAAGATCTTAAGCTTTATATCCTGTATAAGAGAGAATTATGGAGACAATAAAAAATTGAGGAGTATCTAATTTAATTATTACTTAGGAAGAAATAATAAAAATTGAAAAAAGAAAAGTTGGAATAAAATTTGTAAATACTAGAGAAAGAAGCTAAACAATTTGCTAAATCAAGGAACGCATCTATGAAATCCAGTTTAGCAGTATAAGCTGCTCCTAGTCATGCACAGTAATCATCTCAACACTTTAGAACTTCTGAACCTCCTAATTTTAACAAATTGGAAAAAGAATATAAAGAACTTATGAGATCTCTTAGACAATCCAGCTATAGTAGTGCGTAATCTCATACAAGAAAAACAAGTTAAATGAAGTTTATAGATTGGTTTTAGAAATTGCCTGAATCTTATCTCTAAGAATAACTGTCTTAAATGTAATCCATAAATGAACAAATGAATAATAAGGGATTTCAATATAAATTAAGTGAATAAGAAATGTATCAATTTTTAGAGCAATTTCTTAAAGAAAAGTTTGAATAACAAACTAAATCTACTATTAAAGACAGATTTAACGAATTGTAAGAAAGATTTTAATAGGCATCTTAATAACAACCCTCGAATAGCTAATTATAATGTCTACAATAAAATATAAATCCTTAGAGTCATTAGAGTAACAGAAGTTAAAATTAATAAGAATTAGCATCTAAATCTCCAAAAGAAGCAACCTAAGATGAAATAACTGAAGAATAATTAGAGCAAGTGTACAATGTGGCTGCTACTATCATATAAAAGATTTGGAGAGGCTATAAGACAAGATAAGTTGTTTTTGAATATCTTGAGTATCTAATTAAATAGCAAGAATTAGAGGAATAAGAAAAAGAGGAACAAAAATTACAGTAGCAGTTTGAGGGATTGTCTTAAGAGGAAGAAATCAAATCTGTAAGTTAAATGCAGGATTCTGAAATTAAAATAAACCCTCTTGAATTACAATAATAGGATTCTCCAAATCCTTAATATTAAGATAAAGCCATGCTAACCTTAGAGTCTTAATAATAATAATCAAGTTCAAGAGAAAATAAAAGTGTTCCTAATTAAACTATTGATTAATTCTTAGAGGAATAATCATCCCCTTAGAAATCATTTCAATAATAATAAAAATCAGAATAATCATAATTATAAGTTTAAGAGTAAGAAAATAACCAAAATTAATAATAAGAATCCGAAAAAAACATTCATTTATATCATGGATTGAATTCTGATCCAGAATACTTTATGCAAGTTATTAAATTAAGAGAAGAAGCCTTGTAATTGAAATATGACTAATAATTAGCATTGTTAGAGAAGATGTTAGATAAAAAGAAAGTCTCAAGTGATTTGTTTTCAGAAAATAAAGATAAATTGGATAAAAGATATAAAAGGGAGAGGGATAAGTTATAATAATCGAAAAATGAAGTGGAAAGATTGCATCAAATGTTTAAAGAGACAATAAAATCAACACAAAAGGATCAATAATTTATGGAGAGAATGAAAATATAGACTGATGAAGATAATCTATCCATTTGGTAAATTTTTTCAATTCGTTCAGAAACAGAGTATTCTGATGTAGAAATAGAAAAAAAATAAATTCCACATTACGGTTTATTATAATAAATTAGTAAATATTAGTTAATAATTTAGAGAACGATTAGTTTAAGAAGTATTCTAAAAATAGAAAATAAGTGAGGAGTTTTGATTAATAAGTAAGTTTAGATGAAATTTCAATGAAAAATGAAGAAATCTAAACAAGTACACTATTTAATGTTCACACAGAATCCATAAATCATTCTTTACATAAATCCTTATAAATAACATCAACTCTCTAATAATCTATACCTTCTTAAGAAGCAGTATTAACTGAACAAATAGAAGTTCCTGAGAATAAAGTCATTTAACTTAAAGAATGCTCTAATAACTCAATAATTCCTTTTGATGATAGAAAAATTGAGAATCTTACTGATTATATACTTTAAAACATCATTTCAGAATTTGCTGAAGAGATGAATGATTTCCCATTACAATCTCTTGGCATTTTGATGGAATGGGATGAAGAATCTCAAATAGACTAACAGTTTCCCCCAGGATTTCCAACAACTCTTAATTTTATTAAGGATTATCTTGTTTCATTTAGTGAATTTATTCAAAGTAAGAATTATATGAATTTTAGAGCATTATCTCGCAATTTTCTTAGAGTAGATTAATACTCCATTGGGTATTACACCTTCAGATTTATTAAAGACAATTTCCCTTACTGGGATGTCATCAAATGTTCTTGATGATTCAACATCTGGACCTTTGTATCCATTAATAAAACACATCCATCAAATGGAACCTTTAATTGAGGAAGAAATTTGGTCAAAATTTAATTAATCTTACGCTCTCAAATTAAAATACTTTAACGATATTAACATAAGTGAGGAATTTAAAGAATTAGAAATATATCACTTAAGAATGATTTATGAAGCTTTTAATGAATCTATAAATTACATAAGGCCATTCGGAATTAGAGGATAACCATATCCATGGAAGTCAAATCCTTTGAAAGTTTACTAAAATTAAACAACCAAAGAATCTATTGATCGAGCTATGGGATTTGCTATATCTAAAATGCTAAAATGGGGTTCATTTCTCTGCGGGTTTATTCCTGAAAAAATAGAAACTCCTCAAGGAGAAATCATTGTAATAGAAGATGACTACTTGAACTCAATTAAAGAAGACAGATTATAGTAAATGTTAGAATATGAAGTAATTAATAATTTGACAATTTTAGATTCAAGAATCGGAGGAAAAATGGTTAAATTATGAGGAAGAGTAAGCTGAAGTGGCTGTGGAAATATCAGATCTTGTTTTTGAAACTATGTTGGATGAAGCAGCAGAAGAGATCTTCAAAATTTCATAAGCTTATAAGTTCTAAACATAAGTGATTCACTAATGATTAAAATAGCACTATTATTGTTATAATATTTATGTAATTAATAATGTATTTAATAAATAATCACATATACTAATATATGTTTATCCATAAATTCAAAAATTGCATTATTTATAACAAATAATTTTAACATAATTTTAATAATTAAATCAAATTTAAAATTGAAAATAATTTATGTTGCAAGAAGATCATCAGAATACGAATATGAATAAGATAATTTCCATCATAAACAAAGCAATAAAAAGTATTAAACTATTTCTAAAATAGAATGTCCTTAATATGAACAGTCATAAAATTATCTTCTCGAATCAAGAAAAATTGTATTGTTTAATGAAGGTTTAAGGGAGTAAATCTTAAAGTGTTAAGATGAAATAAGTTTAATTTAGAAGGAAATGACTCAACCTTCTAAAAAGCTAAGAAGAAAAGCTAATGAAATTTCAAAAAATTATAGATGTTCAAATTGTGAAAAAAAATATGGCTCAGAAGCATCACTTAATTTACATTGTAAAATAAAGCATGCTTTTTCAGAAACAGATTCAAAAACTTAAATTGATCACAGTTTTCAAATTTGATTTTCCTTTTTAATTTTTAATTCGCAGTTTTTTTATAAATTAAAATTTATAACAATATTATTAATCATTTCAAATATTTCTAAAATTAGGCGATCTCTTTTCAATAAAAGCTTAAATTCCTTCTTTTGCTGCTTATGTGTTGAGCAAACTATTAAATAGTTATCTTTCAACTTAATTAGCCTAACTTAAAGGTAACTCTTATGCATTCTTAATAGCTGTTTTACCAACTATCAAAGTGTATAACGATTTCTCACTAATTTTTTTAGCGGTCTTTATGCATTCTTCTCTTAGTTGATCCTTTTTTACTACATTAGCTACAATTCCTCTATTTAAGGCTTCCTAGGCTGTAATCTAATCTGAGGTAAGGATATATTTCATAGCAGTTGTTCTACCTACAAGATGAGTCAGTCTTTAAGTTCCACCAATTCCAGGAATGACACCTAATTTTAATTCTGGCAATCCTAATTTTGCATCTTCTGAAGCAATAATGACATCTCCGTTTAATGCTAATTCAAAACCTCCTCCTAAGGCTACTCCATTAACACCAATTATAAGTGGCTTTCTCAATGAATCAAAAACATTATGAATTTCATAGAATATATCAGAGATTTGCTATGATTCATATGAACAGTCACTAAGTTCTTTGATATTGGCTCCAGCGCAGAATACTTTATCTAGCTTAGATAGAATAACTAAAACCTAAATTCAACAACAACTTATACTTTAATATTGGAGTCTCTGTCTAATTCACTTACTGCTGTGCATAATTCTTTTTTCATTTAGCTTGATAAAGAATTTAAATCAGATGGAGAATTAAGATAAACAATTCCAATTTATTCGGTCTCTAATTTCTCAATCACAACTTTTTAATTTGTGCAAAGGTTTGCATGTATTAATTATAATCTTTACATTAATATAAAAATTTATGAAAATCATTAAATATTTATATAGATTAAATAAATATAAAAGATATTGAATTTAATTGTTAGCAGCTCTGAAATAATCGTTAATTGGTATAATTATGCCTCATTTGAATTAAATTTTGAAGTTTGAAGGTTATTTAAAAATTGAATAAGTTAGAACTGACGCAAAGAACATTTCATGAAATCTTGAATTTAATATTTTTTTGCAAACTTTTGTTTATACAGATTTAATCAATTTAGGATACAAATCATAAATTAATTAAAATGTATTTATTCTATTATTGATTTTTAACTTTTATCTTTTATTGTTCTTATCAATGTAGATGATAATATAAGAAAATTCAATCCTTTCATCATTTCTGATATAATGTAGAAAATTAATTAAGCCTTGCATTTTCTACGTTTATCTAATATTTATTTTCAAAGATTTTAAATTAATTAAATTCCTAGAATTTTGGACCAAGAATAACAGACTAATCTTTAGTCTACAAAAATTTTTATGCGTAATTTATAATATAAAATTAAAACTATTGGCTCGTCCCTATAGAACTTACAAGAAATCTCAAATTATGCAGGATATCCATATAAAAGTCTTTAGTTGATATCCCTTTAAATAATAAGGAAATAATAATAACAAGTATAATTTAGATGATGTAAAGAAATCATTATTTTATAATTTTTTTTAGAACATTTTTTATTAAATTATTATTGATGAATATCCAGATAATCAAATTTGCAACATTAGCTTTGAATTAAATTATCTAATTTCTTTATTTATTAAGAATAATGTTAATTAAATATAATTCTAGTTTAATCTAGCAATGTTAAGATTAAAATTATGTAGCCTTGAATAAAACTAGAAGTTAAAATATTTACCAGGATAATAAATTCAATATAGTATAAGTGAGTTTTATTTTAAATATTTGTGTAAATTAATAAAAAACAATTTATATTAAAGACAATACTCTATGCTAAACACAGAAATCCCTAATCCTTAAAAAATTGAAGAAGCCTTTAACATAATTATGAATTCCAAAAATCAATAGATTGGTAAAGAAGCAGATACGTATTTGAGAAAGTTGGAATAAAATTATCCATACATTTTAATATCATTATTTCAGATCTTTGAGAACAGTTAGGTAAAACTTCTAGATATACTATTTCAAAGGTATATCTAAATAAATTCTAAGCATTGTTGCTAATAAAGAATGTTATTGTGAGAAATTGGGTCAAATTTTAAATGAAAGACAATCTAAGATTATCAAATATCTCAGAGGATTTAAAGACTCATGTAAAGGATAAAATTTTGCAATTTTTGGGGGTTGTTTAAGATGAAAAATTTAAGAAAGAAATCAATTTGATTATCTCTGTAATAGCTAAGCATGATTTTCCAAATAAGTTTTAAGGATTAGTTAATTACTTTGTTTAAGGTCTTTAAACTATAATCTAAAGTGGATCCACTAATTGCGCATTGACTTATGATTTAGTTTGCTCTCTCAAAGTAGTTTAATCGAGTGTAATTTAAAATAGAAATAGTAATTAAAATAGATTTATTTTTAGCTGCCTTTAGAATTTAATAAGGATAATTCTCTTAGGCAATTTGGAATAATCTATTGCTTCTTTGGAAGAATATCACTTAGACTTAATAGCAAGAATTATAATAAAATGTAAATAACTATTCTTTTGTCAACAACATCTCAAAAAAGTTGGATAGATTGTTATCATTGTCAATTATGTCTCTAAACTAAGAATAAGATTAGTAATTATATATTTATCTAAATTTAGAGAAAAAATACAGTTAGTATTTATGTTGTTGTTGGAGAAAACAGTATATCTCCTAAAAAATGTATAAAAGCAAAAGTTATTATAACCAAATCTAAAAACTTTGATTCATAGCTTAGGTAATATTCAAAATCTTTTTTCACTTAATATCATCTAAGGGTTTTCAGATTACTTACTATTATTAAAATTAATAATTTAGAATGAATGGGATGACAAAAGAGTTTTAAGGACTGGATTAATTGGAATCGTCAAGACTCTTAAATCCTTATTCTTTTTAAGGGAAGAGCAATTTTATAATAAGAAACTTCAAGAAGCAAAGTCAGAGTAGAGTAGATAATTAATTCAACTGGCAAGTTAGCTTTTTAATTCGTTCTTTTAAGAAAATATGTAATTCTTAATTGAATAACTCATAAAAATTGCCTCAATCCCCGCTGATCTAAGTGATGAAGAATTAATTGAACAAGAAGAAGACTTAACAATTGATGATGCAAAAAATGAAATGCAATGTCCAATATTTACTATTTGTTTAATATGTCATGATTAATTGATGTTAAGATTTCCAGAATTATTCATTCAAAAAATTACCTAAATTATGTAGTAATTAATAAATAGTAACTTTAATGCAAGCTAATAAATATTGGAGAGCTTTTTTGCAATCTTAGGATCCATTCCCAAGATAACTACTAAATTAAAGGTATAGCCAATATAAATTCAACCTATTTTATAATATTTAATATCGACAAACACAATTCAAAGTTAGAGAAGGTTTGCATTCTTGTGTAGAAATTATAGCAATTATTTTACTGATTCTGAATTGCCTTAAATTTTAGAATATGCCAGATTGTTACTAAGCAACTCATAAGATTAAATAGTTTAGTATTAAACTTTAATGTGCATTAAGAAAATCATTATTTGTATGGGTCAAAACTTTGATTATAGAAATAGCTAATTTTTTGAATAGATTGCCCCTGTGATTGTTAAATTGTTATGCAATCTCTAAAAATCCAATATTTTATGGCCTTTGCTATAGCTATTAGAAAATCTCATTTAAAAGTATTCTGAAATAAATGTAAATTCTATGTAAATTTTGGTTAAAGTAATTGAAAATTCAGACATCATTTTATTAATGAAAACTAAATCCTAGTTACTTGTTGGAGCATTATGTGATATGTTTTTCGCTTTGTTTGTTTCCTTTCCTTTAGGATCAAATTTAAGTCACTTATATTAATTGGCACTTGTTTTGATTGATACAAATATAGACTCAAAAGAAAATAACATTTTCGAACTTTTGCAGTTTTTAATCTAAGAATATGACCCTGCATCAGATAATAATTCTACCGGTGTTTTATTTAGCAATTTGTACAGCACACATGAAAAACTGTTTATGGAAGATACCGAACTAAACCATATGTAAACTATATTAAGAATCATTGAGGAGCTATATCTCTCAAACCTTATTTAGTTGACGCCAAATATTTTCAACCTTCTTTAAGAAAGGTTATAAATCGCATAATAAATTGATTGTCATGATGCTGCTTTGATTTTAAAAAAGAGTTCTATAAGTTTATTGGAAACTATAATTTTGAAACAATATGACAGTATAACAGTATAATACTACTAAAAGATTATAGTATTCCTAATCTAAGAATTGATTAAGTTAAGCGGAGGTGATTAGGTCGACCAAATGTATTATACAATTTAGTACAAGAATAACATTTTGGAGATCCTTAATAGATTTATGCTAAAAGACTTGTCAAGTATGATTCAAGTATTAAATTCTGCCCAAGTGTCATTAGATTAATATTTTACTTTATGGCATGAGACTGCTTAACATATCATTAACAGGGGAAATAGGAAAATAAATGTAATTACTTAATTGTTATTCTTAAAATATATTTAAAAACCTACTTTTTAAAAGTTATTCTAATTTGTGCTTTAAGAAGCATTACCAGAAATTAATTATGATTTTGAACTTAGATCCCAGGAATTTAAAGAATTGCAATAAGAAAACAAAAAGAAATTAGCTAATTCTAAACAAACTAGACTATCAAAATAGTTTAGAAACAACTTTAGGAAGGAAATCCTATAGGAAGCTTGTTTATATGATGAAACATTTAATTTTAGGTCATTCTTCTTTTAAACAATATAAGTAAATTAATTGATATTTTATTAGGAATGCATGAAATTTCATAACTACACCGAATTGATTTAGATTATAAAGATCCCACCAATTATAGACAAACTTAATCAATTGTTAAATGAAAATGAGAGAGTGTGAATAATATAAATATATTAATTGTAATTTAATGTATGTTTATATATTGTACAGATGAAATCATTCTTTTTTTTCTTCTGCTCTTACTTTTCCTTTGCCATTAGTCAATCTAACATTGAGTTCGGCTGCTCTTCTTACAAGTGTAGCTCTTTTTCTAGCTGAGAGATTGTGAGCCAATTCGCCTGCAAAAGTTCTGTTATTTGTGAGTAATAATTCAAGATCCTTTTCATTTGTGATTAATAACTTTCTGAAACCAGATTAATCCAAATATCTAATTGGTTGTTATTTAAATATACCTTGTCTTTTTATCACCTCTATAACCAGCTTTTGGCATGGGTCTATTTCCTCTGAATCTTCTTCTGACTCTGTTATCAATACCTCTTGGTCTTCTCCAACTAGGTCTTAATTTGTGTGGGTAGTCTTCTGATTCGAATCTAACAAATCTCTTTGTTCTCTTGTGTACAATTCTTTTGTGAGCTAGTGCTTTGACAACCATTTTTAATTAAATAAAAGATTTTATTTCAAATATACATCTTCACACTCAGAAATAATATAAAATATGCAAATAAATCCGAATCTAATGGCTTCCTATCGATATTGAATACTATTCATTTTAGAATTTTAGAAACTGATGTTATTAAGAAATCCAACTATTTTATTATTATTAACTTAAACGAAAACGATTGAATCATCAAAGGATAATTAATTGTAAACTTAAAGGTCAAGATTTTAGTTTGAAGATGTTAAGAAGAAACCTATATTATTGAAGAGAAAGTGATAATAAAATTATTTTGTTATAATTATATGTTTATCTTTTAAAATACCTCAATATAAATCTCTCTTTTCATAAAAGTCCCCTTGATTCAACCTTAATCTATGATATAATAATAAGACAGATTGGTGTACAATTTTTCAATATTAAAACCCCTTATTAATCTTGGATAAATACTATTACTAAGATGAAATAGTTAAGTATTTAAATAACATATATTTTGAAGATATCTTAGATGATTAATATTTATATAATTGTTATTACTAACCTTAGATTGTGATCAAATTTTAAAAAAAATCAAATTTGAACATCTAATTTGTTTTAATTAAAACCTCTTTAATTGCGTTTTTTGATTCTCAATTTCTATTTTTGAATTCTCTTCCTTTTTTACTTTAGGTTAGCTTTTTGGTCATTACCTATCACAGTTAACATATTCACTTTGGTTTAAATTAAGTTGATTATCTAATATTGATGAGAATAAAATACGTTGGTTGTTATCTCATTTTAGTCCTTCTTAGGATTATTAGCAAATGCTAAGATAGCCTAGGATAAATCTTTTTTTGAGAAAGACCAAAATTCTGAGTCCAATGTAACAAATAATACTAAATCAACATATTTTAAGGTTTCTTCTTAAAGAAAATCAGAAATTGTAGGGAGATTCACATCAAAGTTAATTAGATTAAGAATTTTCAATTCCATTTCAAGAAAGTCTTTCTCTGAGTAACTACCATTTCCCAAAAGGATACAGTCTTACAAATTAATCTTGGTTAAGTTTGAACATTCGTTATACTATAATATTTAGATATGCAAACCTTTATAGAGATAAATAATGAAGTAATGGCAATCAGTAATATATTGTCTAAATTACAACATTTTTTAGAAAAGCATTTTTGAAATAATTAGGCAGCTAATTCTGTGGTCTTCAAACTTAAATTATTTGATTCACATAACTAATTTAAACTAGTAATTATCATTTACTCTATAAATCCACTAAGTCAAAGTTTCCACCTTTAAAACTAGATTTTCTACCTGATCGAATGATTCCAGTATAAAATTTCCGTTCATATAGAAATTCTGTAGATTTAATAAAATTGAAAGTTGAGATTATTTTATATCATCATTTGAATAATCAAAAGTTCATTATATATTTAAAAGTATCTTATTTCATAAATAATCTGATTATAAAATAAACATAATAATATATATAAATTATGGAAAATGACTAAATAAAATTAATAAGAGTGTGCGAAATAATCTTAAAACGCATAGGCGAGCCATTGTAAATAGAAATGAAATATATCATAGAATCTACCTAAAGAGAAACCCAATAAATAATATAAGTAAATATGAAAAATGAAATGAAAGCTTTATGTCAAAATGGAAAGGTTTATAATTTGGATTAATAATTGGATTTGAGAATAATAAATAGAACATTCTAAACTAATGAGAATTAAAATAAATATTGAGCCCTCAGAAATATATTTTAGTCTCTAAGGCACTTTAATTAGGAAGTTGGATTCCTGAAATTTATTTGCCAAATCGCTGAAGGTTCATTTAGCATTGAAAAAAAATAAGATTATTCTAGATATTGCCTGTCTTCAAAACGCCTATTATTGGCCAACAGAAAAAAACTCTTTCTTTAAATGAATGCAGATCAAGTTTGATTTAAGAAACATATGAAAAAGCATTTTGATGATTCATAACAAAACATCAAATTTTGTTTAGATGCTATCATTTTTTATTCTACAATGTTCCAGTAATTATGCCTGCATTAATGAGAATCTATTAATTTGACTCCTTCCATATTGTGGTCTACATAGACATTTTTGAGAATACTTATCACTGATATGTAGTTTAATCCAAACTCATGTTCATTTATAATTTATAACACTTAGAAATTCTTAACAAAACTGGTATTGGATAGACGGTTTAGATGATGTACTTAATAGACAATAATAATAAGGAAGTATAATTAAGAAAATAGTATCTAGAATTATTGGAATTTTAAATGATTAAATATTCATTTTTTTAAGATTACAAATATAATTTATTTGAAATAAAATTATGAAAACCACAACAGTAGTAGAATCATAGGTATTAAGGACTAATGTGGAAGTTGAATAAGTTCCTTTAAGATATAATAGGAAAAGAAATTACATGTCGACTTCCTTTGTATCAGCTTAATTTCCAAACAATTAATATGGGTGCTATTAATTAATGATTGACAATCATGAATGTCGACCAAAATGTCAGCCTCCTCCTTAATAACCATATATGATGCCTATGTATGTTCCTGTTCCCTATCCTTAATAATAAGAGAAGGAATGTGAATGTGAAGATGGTGAATCATACAAGGAAGAATTATTGTTTTTAAGATAAAGAGTAGCAGAATTATTAACAAGAGAGCCTGAAGTAAAGACTGTAAAAGAGAGAGTTGAAGTTATAGATAATACAAGGGTACTTATAAAATGAATATTAATTATAGGTTGAACAACTTGAACTTGAAGCATAGAAATTAAGATTATAATTACAATAAGCATAAAATTAATTAAGATAAAAGGAGAGAGAGTTTATTGAATTAAGAAGTGGAAATGATCAATCACAATAAGGATTGTCTTAGAGAATCAAAATAATTGAAGTAAGAATTATCAATGAAATTAGGACCAATTATATAATGTAAGACTGGAAATTGAAAGAATCACTGGATTGTTGAATTAAAAGGAGTAAGAAATTATAGATTGGGAAAAAAGATGTCATGAAATAGAAAGTTCTGTTACTTATGAGATTGAAGAAAAAACAACGAAATTAAGATCTGTATTCTTACATATTATTTTCAAAGGAAGTAGAAGTGTGGAAAAGTAGATTTAAGAAATTAAATACAGACTATTTCAATACCTAAGAATAATTAATTATGGTGTAAGCTGAGATTGATTCAATAAAAAATGGAGGTGTAAAGGAAGTTAAGGAAGTCAAAGTTGAAAAGAAGGTTATTGGACCAACAATCACAACTGTTTAATCAAGTCAATCAAGGACAAGAGGATCAAGAGTAATTGAAAGTTAAGAAGTCTATAAAGAGGGAACACCAGCTAGGTTATATCCATGAGAAATAGATATATTAGATAATTTTAAATATAAAATGTTTTCATCTCAAATATCTTGAACCATTCTTTTACTTTTATTTATAATAGACTATTATTTCTGATATTTTAGGAAGTTTATATAGGAGATCTTGATACATTTAAACACTAAGATAAAATCAAGATTATAATTTTACATATTTTATTAAATACAACAACTCTATTTCTTTTAGGAATAGATAAGAATTTTAAATAAATAAAAATAAAGCAACTTATTCAAAGTAATAAAATTAAAATATAATAAGTAAATAAGTTTTGTATTTTTGAGATTTATTGAATTTTCATTACATAACTAAATTTTTTAATGAAGAATCTCGTATTCCTCCTTAGATATATTGAATTGATTCTTTGAAATAAAATGAAAGATTATTTATATTTAGATAAGTAACAATTTTCAAGAATTATTTAATTTACTATTTGGATGAACATTCTTAAAAAAGCAGGTTTTATTACTTAAAAATTGAGCTATCTTCATATTTCTTAATGATTTTGATAGATCCCATAAAAAAGGGCATCAATATAAAATACAAGCATAAATTTTAGTGTTAATTAAATTTATCATAACTTTATTAAATAAAAATAAGAAAAAATAATTATTATCAAATGCAATACGTAGATGACATGGTGAGAGTTAAATAATTAGCAGAATCATGGTAAAAGAAAAAATCTCTTAAACTACTTAAATCAAGGCTATCAAGTGCTAAGAATCCATAACGAACTCTTTCTAGGGTTCCTCATCTTATAAGAAATTACAATACTGTTGAATAGAATATATTTGCGGTCTCTAAATTAAACAAGACTTTTTCTCATATCTACAATTCTCCCAAAGAAAACTAAAAATAAACAAGCTTATCTTTTTCAGTTGACGAAGCTTTTTATCAATTTCCATCAAAATCAAATACAAAAAAAGAAAATTAAATGGTTATCGATAAGATCTAATATCAGTTTTAGATTTTTAAGTAAAAGAACTAGTCTAAAATTTCTAAGAAAACTTCATTCTAGCCAAAGGCATCTTAAACATTTTCCAGAAATTCAATTAGCATTTAGAACTAAGCATAATAATCATAGAGCTCTACAATCAATAACAATTTACTTGTTAACCAAAGAACCGTATTAAAAAATGGCGTTAAATATCCATATCAATTATTGATAATGAACGATTCAAGACAGAAAATATTAAATAGTATGATTAATTCCAATGACACTACTTTGTTAACGATAAGCAATGCGGGTGATTTAGATGAATTAAAAAAGAAGGATTCATAAGTGTATTAAAATGAAGGTATTTAACATTTTTATATGAGTAAAGACTGTTTAAAATGAAAAACGAAAACAAGAGTTATTATCAAGAAATTATATGACAAATGCTATGTATTCTCTTATGGCTTTAAATAGAAGATCACAAAGCAATGTTAAAACCAAATATCAAACACTATTACCTAGAGATTCAAGATTCTATATGATTTGATGATTAAATAATTTTATATTAATTTAAATGAATAGGATTAGTTGAAATTCAATTTAAAATCTTGCATTATAATTAATAGAGTTTATCGCGAGCATCTTTTAATTAGTTGCTTAATTCTATATATCTAGTTTTATTTTGTTTTGGAGTTCCACATAATTCTCTTTCTAAACGTAATACGTCTGCGAATAAATACTAGTACTGTAGTTTTTAATCTAAGATGATTATTTTATTATACCGTCATGTCTTCCTACACTTTTACTTCTGTGATCTTATCGAAATTGTGATATTTTCTTAGGAATTTGGAGAACTTTACTTTCATTCTAATTTTGCAAAACCTCTGTAGTTTATTAGGGCTCCCTTATATTATAGAGACATGCCACATTATTACAACACTTTATGTCAAAAATTTAGGCTTCAATCATTCTTATAAAATGAGGATTTAGGAAAAATCTAGAATCATTAGCACATTAATACTTTTCAGTCAAAGTTTTAATATTTAGTTTTGAAAATATAACATCTTTCTCTTCTTCAGCCAATTAAAATTATCCTGAGTGATCTCTGCTACAACTTTGCCTATTTTTTTTTATATGATTTCCTTTCATACAATTGTCCCTATACAGTTGTTACACACATTAATCGAACAATTCTTTGAGATTTTTAGGATCTTATTGCTCTAGTAATGGAGTTCGTATATTTTTAATTTCTATTGTAAGATGAGGAGCTCGTTATGACTATTTAGCAGTTTAAGGTAATAAAGGTTATCTCTATGTAATGCTAAATTCTATATGCAAATGAAATAAAAGAAAAAAATACAGTCTTTAGGTTGTCGATTTGTTAATTTTGAAGGTTCATTTCTCTGAATAATATTATTCAACCCCTCAGGTTTTATTTAATTTAAAAGTTATTCTTGTTTCTATGTTTTTAGAATATTAATTAATTCACTATTAGCTTCTTTCTCTTCAAATAATTATCTTTACAATTGCTAAATATTTATTCATATTACCTTCACTTGAATTTATAATGAGATTCTTAGCTTGTTAAGATATTGGCATTCAGTTCTGTAAAACTATAACTCTTTGGCAATTACTTCTTCCTCCTATTACTGACAATAATTACATATTGATCAATTGGAGGTTATTGTTTTTCTAATAAATCGATTGTTTCATCAACCAAAGTTTTCAAAGTTGATGACTCTATTTTTTCATCTTTTATTATTTTAACTAGTTTAAGACAAAAATCTGTATAAGTTAGCATATTATATTAATTAAAAATTAATAATAGGTTTTAACAACTAAAATTAAAGCTAATTATTTTATGACTACATCTTCTTGTGAATAACCCTAAATATATAATGGAATTTTAGTTGTCTTCTAATCAAATAGCATTCCCTAATTTTAATGGAAATTATCAAATAACAATCAAAAAAGCCTGACCTCTTTTTTTCAATAAATAAACTAATGTTTCAAAATAACCTTTCAGTCAAAGACTTAAGCATCCAAAGATATCTTGTAATCAAATGAAGAGATATATGTGAAATTCTAAATATTAACTAGATTAGTATTGAAAAATACATTTAAAAACAATTTACAAGGGATGTGAATTTATTTAAAAGAAAATAAAAACATCCTATTATGAAAGTATAGATCAAGTTGCTTAAACTATTTTATCAAATATACTTTTGAAGCATAGATTGATTATTTTACTTTTATTTCTTATTTCTATTATGTACTCATTAATATTTCTTTAAGATTAATAGATTTTCTTCTGAAAAACTTCTTAATTATTTAACAATAGTTAAAGATCTCAAACAAGAGATGACAAATTATCATAATTTACTATCTCAGTGTAATTCTTAAATGATTTTCATATTTATTATTAAATGACGCAAAGTAATGTACCCATAGTACTATTCAAAGGTTTTTTAATATAAATTTTTTATTTAATTTCTTTCTACAATTCAAGCTATCTCAAATTACATATATAAATACAAATGTTGTAGCGATAACAAAAATAATTTGATAAATTTATTTAATATTATATTTTCACGAATATTAAAATCAAAAGTTTGAATCCAATTATTTTGTATCTATCCTAACTTCTATATTTTTGTCATCTGCATTTTAATTATTCGAAACGTTTTAATTATTTGAATTGAGATTCCCTCTAGCATACTATAATCTTTATTATGTATAATTAAATCTTGTATAAGTGTTTCTATAGGAGACTTCTTACTTCTAATCACCTTTAATAACTTCATTGGTTGATTATTCTCTTGAGTGGGTTTAAGATTAAGTAGATTCAATAGGAAATTTAGTATTGTTCTGTATTGGCGAAATTGGAAGAGAATTTATTTGTGTATTTAGAGATACATTATCATTAATAGATCGTTTATTTGCCTATTGTGCTGATGTAATAGAGCCCAATTTGACAATTTCTGGTGTTCCATTACTAGTTGATTCTTAAGAGAGTGGAGAAGCTTTGAATTTTGTATTTTGATCTTAATTATCTGTTCTATTATTTTATAAGTTTGTGTTGTTAAGTTATTCGTTATCTTATTAAGCTAAATTCTGTTTATTCAACAATGCTTATTATTCATTTCTTCTCTGTTAAGCTCTTTAAGAATATAATGTTGTTTTGGAGTGTTGATATGTGCGAGCAGTGTATGGTTATTGAATTTCGTTATTCTTCGATTCTTAAACTTTTTATATAGAGGGTGTAGTCTAGATTGGTGTTACATTCTATGTAGGTAATAATTGCTCATTATTTTACTTTAGGATGTTTGGTTCTGGGTTTTTCTTTTGTTCAAATATGCTCATTTTTTTAAAAGATTTTTATCGTTCAACTTGCATGGTATAACTTGTAAAATTATAGTTTTAATTATGTAGTTTTTTATCTGCTTCGGAAATTTCGCCACTGTTAACCTCAAAGGACCTTTGCTCTATGCAACCCATGATTTTAGTGTGTCTTCTAAATTCTTTCATGCAAGATTGTAAATCATCAATAAGGTATTCCCTTGAAACGATTGAAAACCCTTTAACTTATTAAAAGAATGTATTCAAGGTAGAAGTAGTTTTTGGGGTTTCTTAATATAAGATTTAATGAATACTTTTCAATTTATCAATTCCAAATTTGAGAGGCGTTGATGTGTCTTCTGTTTGGCCTTCAATTTAATCAACATTATTATTTTTTTCTTTTAATTCGCCATATTTATGACCAGACTTCTTTATTATTAAGTCTTTATTAGGAAGGTCTAATTTGTTATGGAGTTATACATACTTAACCTAAAATATGATTCTGGCTAGAACAGCTCATGATCTGGTTGTTTTGTTTTGGTTGGAGATTTTACTTTTTCCTCTTCTTAACCATTCTAATTAGAGGGTTTCATATGGCCTATTTTGAGGTTTTAAATAAACAAACAAACATCCGAAATTGTCTTTGCTTGGTCTTTAAGGAGTTTTATGAGCAATTAGCATTTTTATTATGTAATTGACATCGGATCTGATATCGAAGGCAGTAATTTTTCAATGAATTCAATAAAGGCTACTTTTAATGACTATATATCAGCCATTTTTAATTAATTATAATGAACAACTTCGAATAAGACTTCTATTAATTTGTTAAAGATTAATTAGCCAAAAAGAAAAGGCAAAAGGACTCTTCCCCTAATACTCCACAAGATGAAACTGATGAAATGGAAAGTAACTCATATTGATTTTATAAAGAAAATAGATTGTTCAATTAAAATGTCAGTAAAGTGTTGCAACAAGAGAGAAAGAAAATGAGAATCAATAAAGTTACAAGGGAGTAGTTGTTCGATAGAAGGTTTAAAGATTTTGCCAATATGGATACCTTTCTTGACATTAAATAGTTTCTCAAACATTTAAGCAATCAGAAGATAGCCAAAGCAGAAAAAAAAAAGAAGTTAAAAACTCTAAAGAAAATAGATTCTGATAGTGAAAATGATGATTTATTTGATTATGCTGAAATCATACAAAAGAGCAAGTAAATTGTTGAGAAAAGTACAGTTATAAGGCATTCACCTGACATTAAAGGATACTTGATATAGGAAGACTAACAAAATTCCCCAAAGAATGATATTGAGGAACTCAAAACAGAAGATGACAAATTTTATAATGGAATCGATTAACTATTTGTTGATATCAAGACAAGATCTGAATAATTAGCTTTATAAAAAAAATATGAGTAAGAAAGAAGAAATTGCAAAAGATCATTCTAAATGATTAAATTACCTCAAAGACAAATAGAAGAAAATCTTTAAGAAAAAGAAAGAATGGACGAATTGATTTCTAAATAAGCAAAGCAATTTAAAGAATAAACTGAAAAGGTTCTAACACTTCTTGAAAAAACCACAAAGCAATTATACAATAATAAATAGAAAAAAGGACCTCAAAGATATATAAAAAAGAAGAAGAAGTTAACAGAACCCATTTAATAACTGTCAGAAATTAGTGAATAGAGAACAACTTTCCATCAATTTTATCCTGAAACTTCTCGAAGTATTAACAAACTTCCATAGCTATCTCCCAATGCATCTAAAATCTATTCTCATAGAACATTTTTAAGTTAACCTGTTTTTCCTGATTCAAGGAAGATAAGTCAAATTACAGAAAGAGAGGAACCATAGGCCAAGATAAAAAATCAATTTAAACAGTTCATTTAAAAAATAGACAGGGCTAAAGCATCTTTTGATAAATCATATTAGAACGACAAGGAGTTGTTGCAAATTTAATAAAGAATAATAAAAAATATGAATAAAATTGGGGAGATTCCATTGGAGAGTTTAAAAATACTAAATAAAAAAGAATTTGAGATTAGCAATCTAAAGTTGAGTAAATTTAAAAAACTAAGGCCTATGCAAATTTTATGATTTTTCAAAATAAAATACAATTTATGAATTTTCTTTACTATTTTTTTAAGGGTTTGAATTAAATGTTATATTTTTATAATTCTAACGTCTGAAATGTGAATAATTAAAGGGTACTCCATTTATTTAAGGTGTCTATTCTTATCAAGAAACATGATTAATTACACAATCCATCACATTTGAGTGAAATTTTTAGAATAGGTAAGATGAATTTAATTGTAAATGAATTATTTGTTTAACTAATATTTCATCCGAATTGTATTTATGAACGACCTCCAGGTGGATTCTTAACTTTGACTGATGTGTGGGCCCCTAAAAATAAATTCAAAATATGAAAAACCTTAATCCTATTATTATTATTATTGTTGCTATTATTGCTATCCTTTTTGAGGAACAGGGTCTCCTCCTAGAGTAAATTGACTAGCATTAGGGTCTCTTACAGCTCGTTTTTATTGAGGAGCAGGCTCATCAGAGCCCTGAATAAGAATTCAAAAATACAAATGAGATGGATGAATTACCACCTGGTGCTTATGTGGTTTTAGTTGATGGCTTTGAAAGCGAATACCCTTAGATATTGTTCATTATTTAAATAATTAATGATTATATATTCACTTCATATTAAATATATAAAGTCATTAAATATCTTAAAATGTATTGAGTTAATTCAAATTATCCCATTATCACTAATTTATATTATTTTAAGCTGTTATAAATTATATTATGTATACTATCAATAACCACTTGCATAGAAAAACATCATCCAACATCAAAAACAACGAGGTGCAAAAATACAACTATCCCAAATAACATCATAAATATTCCAATACTCAACTAATGTAGAAATTGGCAGGTCTGTAAGTACTTAAGAAATTAATAACAGGACCATCGAAATCATTAAATCACAATAACTCTAAAACCAGAATACGTACAGAGGGAAATGAAAAGCAATTTAAAGGTCAAATGTCGATCTCACCAAAAAAGGATAAGGAAAAGGAACAGTCTGCTTCACCTCCTTAAAGAAATTCTCATGCTTAAGTTAATGTTATTTCGAATCTAATAAATTAAAATTTGAATCATACTGAATATAAACGATTAACCAGAGAACAGAGAAATCAAAGTGCAGATTTTCAAGCACTTTTATCGCAATAACGGAATGAGAATGGCAATTTGAAGAATAGCACAAAAAAAAAATTCAATTCCTATGGAAATTTGAATGAATAAGTATATTTCTCTTAGAGAAGTGGATTGTCTGAGTGTCCATCTGCTTTGCAACTCATTCAAAACACTATTGATTAAAAATTAATGGGATTAAAGGGATCTGCATCTATGAAGTAATTCCCCTCTCCTCCAACTATAAAACTATAACAATAATAACAAATAACAACTCAAGAATTCAAAGAGAAATTAAGTAACTTAAGTAGAGATTTAAGGTAAAATAAAATTTAAATTGAAGATGAATTGCTAAAGACATAAAAGAAATAGAATTAAAAATGCATCACTCGATATGATAATAAAGAAGGGGAAAAGTAATAAAGGGAGAACATATCACAGAGAAGTAAATCAGTTGACTCTTAGTCTTCTTTATTGGACAATTTAAAAAATCATTATGAGTGTGATGAAACACAAAAATTGAATTACTATCAGACTTAAGCAGATGATGAATATAGAGGCAACCAATAAACTTATATCAAACAAAGAAAATTGGAAAGCAAAATAGATCAATTAGTAGTTTAAGTTCAATTATTAAAAAAGAAATCTGAATAGTTAGAACTATAAAATAAGTTTCTGTTTGAAAATCTAACTAAATTTCAATAAGAAACAGATTGCAATACTGATGTATTTTATATGCGTAATAAATTTAGGAGAGAAACCTTTTGATGAATAAATTAGATTAAATGATAGGGATGCAAAAACGGTAAGAAGAGAATCTTAATTTCTTTAAATAGATCTTTGCCAAAGGATATGATCAATCTCGAAGAATAAAAACTGAGTAACATCAGTAATAAGTAGAAGAAGAAAATATAAAGATAAATTAGAAAACAGAATCTAAATAACGACCTTTTGTCAAGTCCGCTTATTAAGGACTAGATTTTAACATTTGAAAACTATTTATAATAATAAACAATATTTCCCCAGTCCATAATATATTTTGATAATTTCAAATGATTAATATAAAATCATTTCTTCATAAACCCAAACAAACTTTTTTTTTCCTATTGTGGCTATTAAGCTTAGGTTTATTATTGTTATTGAGCCTAAAAGTTTATTAAATTAATAACTTACAGGAGGAGGTCCTTATTATTAAGCTGCTGGCTGAATATTTCCAGTTGGTTTATTATTATTCAATGGATAATTATTTTAAGGTTATTGATTTTATTGGGTAGGTTGAGTTTGAGGTTGAGTTGTTTTTTATTATGGTTATGTGGGTGATGGTTATTGCCTATTTGAATCTGGTTACTGAGTAGTAGTTCTATTTACAATAGGATCATTAGGTCTTTAAGGATGTTGTTCTTAGTCTTTTATCACATCTGTTCTTTGATTGGATATTTAAGTATTAATTGTCTAAGCTTTATTTTGTTAATTATTATTTGTAGAGACTTATTAAGTTTGTTATTTTGTTGTTGTTGCTTATTATTATTATTATTATTATTATTATTATTAAGAAGTTTATTACTATTAATTAATTTCAATATCTTACTTATGGTTTATTCTATTAATTAGATGCAGAACTAGTTTATTATTTTTATTTTTATATGTATTACTAATCTTCTTATTCTTCTGTTGTTGATAAAATATATTCTGATAGACTAAAAAATAACTTTTATATTTTTACTCAGGATCTCTTTTAATAATCTTTTATGCATTTTTAAATGTCTCTATTTCCCTATTTAATTTCTTTCTCTCTTCAACTACATTTTAGTCTTCACTAATAACTGACAAAATTGTTTAGTTTTGCATTAAGTTTTATTACAATTATCTCAACATTTGATTCTATATATATAAATTATATAAGTACTTAGCATCCTTTAACTAAAAAGTATCCAATAAGTTTTGGAATATTGTCTCTGGTAGCCCTGACAACCAATTTGAAATAATGTTCTATTTTAGTTCTTAATTCTAAAACCATAGGATTTCCTTTTTATTGATCAGCCTTTGATTCCTTGCCAAATTTGATGAAAGGTTTGCCACTTAAATAATTGAAATCATTGGTGAATATGTAGTTTTATTCTGCATCAAGAACATCAGTAATAGAATCGTGGGCATTCTTTTTACATTCATGAATCACTTCCATAATTTAATCTTATAGCATTTTGTAAACAGAAGGCAATCTATAAAATACAAATAGACTAATACTATTGTAATTGACTTTCTAAAATAGTGGTTGCATATTATTCTAGAATTTAAAATGCTTGTTCAAGAGTGTCATAAGCAGGAGCATATAATTTCTTTAATTCTGGATTCAAGAGGGCATAGAATGCATCCACAGGTAAAAAGCCAGGGATAGATTATGCCTAATATTTTTAAATGACTTAGAGAATGTCCTCATCCTTAAATTTCTTTAAAGCACAATAGTCTAATTGACTGTAATCATCATATAAATCCTTGAAAAGCAATTTAATTGATGAACCAGCTGGCACTTATAAGCTCTTGATATTAGCCTTTTGCTTTTCATATTGTCCTGATATAGAATTCCTATAACGAACTGAAAACTCATGGATGAGTTGCCAAATATAATGTAATTTATCCTAAATAATATTATTGAATAAATTACAGAATCTTCAATTGGCAATCCAGGTCCTAAAATGTCAAGTCTATTCTATACTTTAGAGATCCTTTAATTGATTTCTTACATTAAAGTAGGTAAGAAACTTCTGATTCTTCTATATAGAATCCTAGTTAATTTGCCCGTCAACACTTAAGTACCAAATATATCTCCGGGAATAGAGGAATAAACAGGATGATTGGCAAAGAAGTTCTTTTCTCTTTGAACAGCCTGGACAATGGGAACATTATCCTTAATTTCTTACTGGGATCTTAACTTCACTCCCACATAACCATATTTGAGTGGTACTTCCTCTCCTTTTAACATTTTAATTGCATTTGTTCCTTGATCCATAATATCTATTTTTGTTAAGACTCCCACAGTTCTGATGCCATCTGGATCCAATTTTTTAGCCAATAATAGTGCATCTGATGTTGTCATATCAGCATTAGCTGCAACAACGCATAAAATGATGGCTGATGGATCTTCACAATATCTCCTAGCCATATTGGTTGTGATTTATTCAATATCTTTAGGTTAATCCATAATTGGTATTCTTGTAATTCCAGGTAAGTCTAAACTACATAGAATCTTTTATCTTTACCAACAAGAGTTAGATCTGGACAATTAGGTCCTGTCACTGCCAAAATGATTGGTTTGTCAATGATGTTTTTACTTGTTCCACATACCTTGTCTGTTAAATCTTCAATGCTCTTTCTGACTTCATCAAAATTGGTATATTTCTTCCCTTTGATTTCTTCTACGAATTCAGCTGTTGGTTAAGCACACACACTTTAAGGTGAATAAGACAGACGCAATTCCAATGGTCTTCTTGTGACAACACCCTATTTATCAAATCATAATATTACAGATCCTCTAGGTAGGAAATCAATTCCAACAATATGTTCCAACAATGAAGACTTACCTGCAGATTGGATACCTAGGACAACTATTCGAGGTAATTTTATGTAATCATTAAGTCCTATATCACGTAATTGATCAACTAAAGTAATCACTTTTCTTAAGTTTCCCAACAAACTCGTTTATGACTCTTATGACATAAATAATTAAATAAATGTGTATAAATTTTAATTCTATATTCTCATTATTATTTAAATTTCTTAATTCTTTTTAATACCTTTATCAAATAAATTTTATTTCTTACCTTTATACCATCCTCACAAATTAATGAATTGAGCATTATTATTCAAAATAATTGTCACTCTTATTCTATAGCAATAATTATAAAATACTAAGTGATTATAATTTGATTCTAACTAATACTGTAACATTTATTTCCTTAGAATAAAAGTTTCTACAAATTAAGTGTGAATTTATTAGAACAAGGGACTTATTTCAAGTAATTTGGAACTAATAGTATCATTTAATATATATGAATATATGCTTATGGAATTCTGAAATGTTGTAAAAGATAAAAGTATAATATCTTAGAGGAATATGAAAACCATAAAACAGTTATATTAATAATTATATATTATTTGATTCTCTCTATAAACTTTTACTAATATTCTTAATAAATTGTAGCAAGTATAAATTTTATTTCTTAAATCTCTATTTGTGTATAAGATATAAGGAGATATAATAATTTTAGAATAAATTGATATTGATTCATTTAAGTCATAATCGAAAAGTTCTTTGGAAGTGTTGAACATTTTCTTGAGGGTTTTTCAATTATTAAATTCAATAGGATTATATTATTCTTTATATGACTTATGATGGATTGAACTTGATTGCTATAATCTTAAAATTCAGAGTTACAATAAATCAAATTCTTTAACATAAAATAATTATTAAGAATTAAAGGAATAATTTATTTTTATTTTAAATTTTAATTTAGAATTTCTATTATTTATTTGTAACTTCCCATATGATACTTTTTATCTTCAATATTCCCTTTTTTTATTATTTATTTAATATGTCTGCCTTCAATAAGTTTTATTCGAACTTTGCAGCTAACAGTTTTGATATTAAATAACAATATCAACAAAAAAACCCAGAGGACGAAATTCCACAACAAAGAAAATAAATTTATGAAATGAATAATCCAATCGAAATTAAGTATGGATATTAAGACCAAAGCTCTTTGGTGTTCTAAATTAATAAAAACTTTCCAAGTTAGCCTGATTTCAAAGTTGGAGTGGATTTAATATATATAATTGACATTAGTTATTCATTAAATGATGAGACCTTGGAGAAAATCAAGTCAGCCTTAAAGTGCTTAGTTAATTACTTAAGTGATTAAGATAGATTATGCATTATCACTCATAGCAATAAAGCTTGTTAACTGTTTCCTTTAATTCCACTCAGTGAAAAAAATCGATTGAAGGTAATTAACAAAATAGAACAAATCACTATAAATAAAGGAAATTCTATTATTTTCAGCGCTCTCTAGATGACGAGTTTAATTTTGGAATCAAGACAATTTAAAAACCAAATTACTAATGTCAATATAATCAGTTAAGACTAAGATTTAAGAAAGTTTAGCAACGATTTCAAATAAATCTTTTAAAATGAAAAGGCTTTTAAATTGAAAACCTTTTTGTTGATTTCTAAAGATTTCATCTAATATTTTTAGAAAAAGAAAAGAGAAAGTCAAAAATTTGGACGATATCACATTATTAGGAAGTTTGATTAACTATCTTCATTACTATGTTTCGAAACAGTGAGACTTCAATAGACTGTGATTTTGAATCTAGAAATAAGGGTGAAGACTCATAAAAATAATCCAATTTAAATATAAGAATGTAAAGGTGGTAAATTCATTTATGTTAACCCAAATGAAATTCACATCAAAAAGAAAATAGTTTCTATTGGGTATAATAAAATTCATTTGGTTGGCATTGGAAATAGTGCCACTTCTGATGGTGGTGAAATTTGTAATATCTAAGTATCTTTCTAACAAATATACTCTAACCATCAATAAAAATACGTCATTCCAATCTATCCATAATCTCAGAAGAACAATATTTTAGATGAAACTGTCATGGTTCAAATATACAAGCTGAAATCTAGATGTGAAATGAATGAAGCCATGCTATACTACGATCCATATAGAATTTAAGATTGCATTGAAATTATAGAAATGTTCCAATCAGAAGTAGCAAATCTACCTGACGGAATAAAACAATAGTTAAACGTCGAAATGCAATAATTTGAACTAGCCCTATCTTAATACAAGCACAATCCAGCCTAATAGATAGAGAATCCATTTACTAAACTAGACTAATAGAGTAAGAAATTAAAATTCAAAGTTTTTGACAATCTTTGATTAAATTCTTTTTTATATTTGCTTTCTAATTATAAATTTTAAAATCTTGGATGTATTAAAATAAATTATACTATAAATTCAATTGATATTAATTGCCCTTAAGAACACAAGTGTGATCAAAATATCCAAATGGATCTTATGTTTTATTGTTAATATCTAATTATAGATTGTAGGTAAGTCTTGAAAACATAAATTTTATTTACAAAATATACAGAAATAAATTTATCATAATATAATATCAAAAACAATGTCAGCTTCTAAATTGATGTACTCTTCTCCTGGACCTAAGAGTTAATCTGCTGTTTCATATGGTGGCGATAGAGACAGGGCACTTTCTCCAAGCAGAGCCAAGATCTCCTAATTAAATGAAAAGCTCTCTAACCTATAGCATTCCATTAATGAGGACTAAGCAGTATTTCTATATATCTAACAATTTTATTTAGATCAAGAAAGAAACATTCGAGTAGAAAGTCAAAATCTTGGAGGATAAAGTTACTAAATAATAATAGAGTGATGAATCTAAATTCAAGTTACTGAAGGAATAAATATCAAAGGTAGAGGAAGGTGCATAAAATGAGAAAATAATTAGAGAGGTATATTTAAATTAGAGAGTTAATAGAGTGGTGATGAGAAATTGAGAACAAAGGATCTGAAGGGATTGGAGGCCTATTTAGGTAAAGAATTACAAGGAGAGAAAGTGAATAGAAAAGATTATGAATAAAAGATCATTAAAAACACTGACGATAGAGTCTATAGTTTAAGATTGGATTTGGCTAGGTAAAAGAAATATAGAGAGGAAACAGAAGAGAAGAACGCTTAAGAAATTGGAGATAGAATTCTATAATTGTAAGAGGAAGTTGAAGAGGAAAGAAGATAGAGGTACATGAGTTTATTTATTCAACTTTAGAGAAGAATAGAACTAATAAACTATCAAGAGATTGGGTGATTCGATATTGAAATTATAAGAAATCTTAACAACTGAGAAAAAGTAGAGAGAAATTGCTTAGGCTTAGATGTTTAGAATGTTAGATGAAATGAATGCATATTTGAATGGTGAATTGAATTCTGAAAAAAATGAGAGGGAAGCTACTGAAGAAACTATCATCAACCTGATTGATTAAACATGTAATAGAGTGGAGAATTCATTAAGAAAATGAACTATATAATAAAGTAAAAACAAAATATTTATTTTTTTAAATAAATATAAAAAGGGTTGTCCAAATGGAGGAGGAAAATAGTTTTAAAGATAGTTTCAATGATGAACTCACCAATACTAGATCTCCAAAATCCAAAAAAATCAAAAAAATTGATTCTCCTACACATAAAAAGAACGTAGGACATTGGACAAAGGAGGAGCATGAAAAATATCTAAAATTCTTGGAGGACAATACTTAAATGAAGAAAAATAACAAAATCTTCAAACCAATGTCTGAAATTATTGGTACTCGTTCTCCAAGTTAATGCAGGTACATATTAATAAAGAATTAGATCTCATCATCAAAAATTTAATCCATCATCCCCTCTAACCTAGAGAAAATCTAGTAAAATAATTAGTGTTTCCAACTAAACAATGCCAGCAATGACCTTGTAAGAAGAAACAAATGTGAACTTAGAGGATGAAATGTAAAGTAGTAATAGGATTAAACTCATGTTTTTTGATGAAGACGATATGGTTCAGCAAAATTTTAATTTAGATGATTTATGATCATTATAAATTATAAGCTATTTTTAAATGAAAAATAGTGCATACTAAAATCTCAATATCATCTAGGCTATTTTATATGATAATATTGTACAAAGCAGAATTTATACTCAATAAGAGTTGAATTCATCTTTAAAGTCTATAATATAAATCTATATTTGTTAATATCAAATCCCTAAGGTACTCTGAGGGGTGAATAAAGAAAAAAATTAAAATTTGTTAATAAGATTCTAATATAAATTAAATTATAATTTATTCCATTTAAAATAAATTATGACTATCAGATTATGATTTAAATTTGATTCAAGTTAGAAAATGAGTATTCTGATTAAATAACAAGGTCTATAAGCTTTTAGAATTGAGATTTAATAGTCAAATATAGTTCATAAATTACTAAATAATAACATCACTATTATCTAGAAAGTGATTTCACTTGTATTGCTTATATCAGATCAAGGGTGCCCTTATATTACTTACTAGGAACATTATATATGGTAGGTAATTAGGCACTTAATGGTTCATCAATGATTTAACTCTGAAAAGAATTCATTCGAGAACTAAGTTTAATTAGAAATTTTACACTTTTCTTTTCAACTAATAAGAAGGTATCCTCTTGAAACTATAAGTTTGCTCATTCTTGAAGAAGAGAGTAGGCTATTGAATGGGTGTTTCTGATTACTGTTTAGGTTTACTTTTAGCCATCAAAGGAGTAGAATCTCTTCTGGAAGTGACTTTTAACCTTGAATTTCTGGTTACAATAATGTCCTGTTCAGCATCAGAATCAGATCCAGACTCTTTATCATCAAATCCATCTTTTTTGATTAACTTGATTGCTTGATTGATTTCTTATGCTTCATATAGATGAGGATCAGATTAATTGTCATCATATTGAAAGAGAGCATTTAGAATATTTTAACCCAATAGTTAAAACTCTTCTTTTTCGAAAGGTTTTTTTAATGCTCCATACAAAGATGTTTCTATAGTCATTGAATTGGCAATTTAAAACTTCTTCCACATAGCTACTCTAGCAGTACTCATTCTATCTGGTGTCACACTGAATGTACAATTCTAAAATATCATTTATTTTGTCTACCAAATAATTAAAGAGATCGCATCCTTGTTGTAATAATCTGCTGAATTACTTCACCCTCATATAATCTGAAATATGCTTGATTGGAGTAGCACAACCATATAAAAACTAATTCAGTTTTTTAGAATGTCCATGCAAATCAATAAGAAAAGCCACTTTGTACTTTTTGATATGTTTAACTACACTATAAATTTCTGGTTCAGTAGTTTAATTGGGCATATCCCACTTTCTAAGGATTAAAATAATACAGCTTTTTTTTACCTATTTAAATCTATTCCATTGAAATTGCATCTAGAATTGCCCAGAAATACACCATCTGGATTTAGCATAGGGAATATTATGAATCTATATTTATTCTAAACTTAGTGACCAGAATCTAATAATTTAATTATCTCTTCGCAGATGTGTGAACCTACTGACTCACTTGGGTGTTGACGTGCCAAAATGATCACAACTTCAGAAGCTAATTATTTCAATATAAAAATATACTTTACTTTTATTTTTGGTTTTGAGTTTAAATATTGGCAATCCCAAGGGAGTACTGCATAACACTTTGTGTTTTAGAGTTGAATGGTAGACTAGTTGATGTAGATTGCTGACTGTGTAAGGCAAAGTCAAAGCAAAGTACACAATGCTTTTATTTTGGGTGAAATTATAATTAAATTGTAAAGTATACAGTGGAAAATTCTACTGCAAGTTTGCAATAGAAGAATCTTAAGAATGATAGAAGGGATGATTAATATTTGTTCTGTAATAATATAATTCTTTAGTAGTCTCACTATTCCATTTGTTGTTATCATATACTCGAATGTGGTTGTATTCTTTTAGTAGAGATTTCCCTCTTCGATTGTTGAGAATGCGAAAAGTCAATTGTTAAGGCTATTTGACCAAAATACCAAAATAAAACCATTAGGTACATCCATTAGTATTAGTGTCCCCATTCAGTAAGATATTCAATTCAGTGCCCTCTTATTGTACAGCCATGATGTTCGAATTCTCAAAAGATCCATAAACAAGAATTTCCGATGATTCAAAGAACGGTTAGGGTTCGTGTTTGAAATTGCGTTGTCTATATTAATCAATTAGCTCCTTCTTGCAATCCGTATTTATTGTGGGCGATTTAAGTTTCTTTTCAAACAATTATGTGAAGTCTAGATATTGATTGCCAAAATCTTTATTTGTCTTCAGCAATTTTTTCATTTATACGTTCATTATAATATTAACTAAATACTTTAATATAATAATCATCAAGATACAATTGCAATTTTAAGACAATCTACTTCAACTGGACCTTCCTCTTACACCTTCAAACCTCCTTTTCATCACCTCCAATCTCTTAAGTTTAATAGAACAATTGAGGATACCTTCAAATATGTACATAAATTGTAATTATGATAGCAATCTCTAGAAAATTAGTATATATAAAGGATTATATATGGATTTACAAGGGACTGGTCATGCAATCTTACATTAAATAATAGTTAACTAAAATAAATTTTATTTATTTTATTTCTCTTAATCATTTCATACATTCAATTCAGAATTAACCAACTTCTTAGTTTCTTCCTTTGCTCCCTCAAAATGTTCTTGTGCTTTATTTCCAATTCCATCTCCCTTTGATTTGATATGAAATAGGGCCAAAGGACAGAACCATAATAAGTCTGCATCTATTTGAGCTGCTCCCAAAAATAATGCATTTTTTCCTTCTCTTAAGTATTCAAGACTTCCATCGAATCTCTGTACTTCAAGCAAAAGGTATAGGAAATAGAGTACTCCCACAATTGGTTACCAAATCATTGGCCAAAATCCTGCTGAAGTAAGGAGTGCCTAACAGTCAAATGTAAAAGAATACCAAAAAGAAACCCAAAAATATTCCAAGCCCGGCTAGCTAGAAAAAGTTTCCTTTGATTGAAAAATCTACTCCGTTCAAACCTGCGTCTCTATTTCTAACCAAAGCCAAAACATAGAGGTAACCAAACACACAGAGGAAATAAAATACTTCAAATTTACTTAATGGGTAGTTTACTCCATAGAATACCATGAATGAAAACTTACCAATGAAGTGAATACTGAAGAATAGGAAGTTCCAGGGTTTCTATTAAATATAGAGGACATGTGCATACCTTTTTGAAAAATGGACTTCCAAACTATAAAAATGCTAAGAAAACAGCATAGATTATGAAATTTAAAAAGTTGAAAACAGGTATGAGGCTGATCAACCATCGAACTGGACCCAAAGAATTCACAAGGGCTGTGCTTCCTGAAGCAAGAGCGCATATTAATATCTAAACAATAATTGCATTGTTTATTGGAGATCCTGTTATTTTGTAGTATTTCTCAACTTCGTTTATTCCCTTCTCACCAGCTTCTTCAATTTCATTTAACTTCTCCTCCAATCTCACTTCTGCAACAGGTTTCTCTGTTGCTGGAACATCTTCTTCTCGGTTTTCCATTTTTTATTTAATTGAGTATAAAAACGAATATGGAATAGAATTAAGCAGGATTTAATTTGAAACAGTTAGGCAACTTATTTAATCGAAACAAGCAATAAATAAGTAGAATCAATTCGTATTCCTTCAAATTATTGTGGTTTTTATTTAAATATTTTTAAAAAATACATATTTATGAAAGCAGCTAAACAACAGAAGAAATAGTCAATTTGGGATTAGGTTAAAAATGAAGAGAAGGATTTCTATTTCAATTACTTGTCGAAGAAATCGAGGAATCTACAAAAGAAATTAAAGGACATAGCCGATTTAGAGGAATTATCAAAGACCAAAGAATTAAAGCAAGAATAAGTTCAAAAGATTTAAAGCAAAGAAGAAAACAATGAAAAAGTTAAGGAATTAGAAGCCTAATTATCCAATTGGCTATCAGCAAAGAGGGAAGCAGAATAAAGTGGAACACTCCTCACACAAGAAGCATTCATTCTCATTTTAGAGCATTTGTCTGAAAATCAAGACACTGTTGCCCTTCTCTCTCAAGACCATAATTCTCTTTATGAACTTGCTAAACTACTTTAAAATAGAGTGAATGGGTAATTGAGAAAGAAGGATCAACCATGGAATGGTTTGAATGTAAATATATAAAAATTTAAATTTAGTTGAAACATTAAGCACAATCTGAACAACACAAAGAAGTCGAAGTAGTCTAGCCATTAAAATAAGAATCCCCTTAACCCTAAGAAATCGTTGAAACCCACAAGGAATAGACACATTAACAGGAATAATATGTATTGATTAAATCTAGTCCAAAAAAATCATTCCAAGAAGAAGCTAGAACTTAAGTACATCAAACCTTAGATTAACAAACTAATCAACATTCGGATAATACTTAATAGTAAGAAAATACCAATTTAGAATCAAATACCAATCAACCTTAGGAATAATAATAATAGCCAGATCAACAAGAAAACTAAGAGAAAACTCATTAAAATAGAGAAGGTCATAGATAACATCATTAAAATGATAATTAAAGAAAAGGCTATAAGAAGAATTATCATTATGATAATAATTATGATAGAAGAAATAATGGGGATGACCATAAAAATAGACCTTATAGAGGAAACAGACAATATCACAATAGGGATAGATAATAGAAGGAAGAATGGTAAGAAAAGAAGGAAGTAGCAGAATAATAATAGGATAATTAAAGCTAACATAGTTCAGATGAAGAATATATTACCATTGAACGCAGGTTTATTAATTTTATATACTTCTAGATAAAAAAAACCTTAACATAAACCATAGAGAGGTGGAAATAGAAATAGATAATAGAGGCAAGGAGACACTCAATAGAATGTAAATGTCGAATAATGAGGTTATATAATAATATATACAATAAGAAAATAGAATCATAACTAAGACATCAAGTCCTATCTTTACTATTATATCAGTCTAATCATTTTAGTGTATTCTGCACAAATGGTATCCATCATCTTTTAAACTGTTTATTAATGATATATAAAGTATTTTAAAGGATCATCATCCTATTTCCAATTTTATTGGCTAATTATTTCATTAGCTTTATCGAAATAAGTGTTTAATTTTTAATAGTATTCCTATAGCATTATTTTGATTTATGATTTATATGAAACAGATTCGATTAATTATTAAAATATTATTGAAGCAATTGAAATTAATTGTTATTGCTGCTTCATTTAAATTTATTCTTATTGAAGTAACTTAGCATTAAGCAAGGTGTAATCCATTTTTTCCAACCACTCTAATTTTTATTTAAGTTCTTAAATTCCCTTATTATTTGAATCCAAGACTTTTTGCTACTACTCTTTATGCAAATTTAACTAAACCAATTCATTCTCTAGTTCATCTTTTATTTTTTTCAATTTATTTATTTGTTGATTGGTACTTAAGTTTTGATTGGTCTGAATTGTTTCCAATTAGATTTTCTATTATAAAATGAGGTCTTTTTAGTTTATGACACATTAAACAATCTATAATTTAATGTTCTCTATATCTCCTTCGTTTATATCGAATTATTTCATCAATGTTAAAATAAACTAATCTATACATTAATTATCTCCTAATTTTGGAGATTCTTATTCTTAATTTTCATTATCCTAACTACTATTATCACCAATTGATATTTCCTCTTAGAATTTCGTATTAAACAATTTTGAAAATTCTAAAAAACATTTCTCATTATTAAAAGTAAACCAATTCTGTGAAAACAACTATTTAACTTAAGATTTTAACTCATTAAGGTCGCTTTTTAACAGGTTATATTTTTCATGATATTAATTCTTAAATTTTTAAAGTTTTGATTTTTTAATTTCTTAAAGTTATTGATATCTTTTAGATATATCAAAGGATTGATTCATTTAAATGTTTGTAGTAAGATCCAAGTACTTCTGATTTTTACATAAATTAAATTCTTTTTCCAATTAGATATTCAATTATGAAAGCTCATCATCCTTAGCTTTTTATACATAGGTAATAATAAATACTTCTGTAAACTCTCTCGATTTCATATATTTGTTATTTAATTTCACTATATGTGCCATAACATTGACTTAGATCATTAGCACCTGGTGATTATTGAGATAAATTTTATATCTTTTCTTAAACCTGAACTATCAAGTTATTCAATTCTGTGAATAGGCATTCATTTGTTTTTGGCGTAAAATTTATATCTATTTGAAATTCATCTTTATTTCCATTTGCGGTATTTTCATTTTCAGAGTCTTTTTATATTTAAAACTTATACTGTAATTGTATTGTGTTGAATCTCTTTAATTTTTACACTATAAAATAAAATGTGGCGATTATTAGGATTCATTCATTTAATTTTCAGGTTCGAAATAATCTGATTTTCTAGGAGTTTAAAATAGGTTTATTCTCTTATTTTCAACACATTCTTTTGATTGACCCCTAGTTCCTAATTAATTTTCAATTTCCATTCCAAAATAATCCTCAAAACAAGAATTTTATAACATTTTTATTTATTACATATTGATAATGTAAAGTAAAAACAAATTCAAAATTGCGCTTTAATTCTTTTTTCTATTACCATTGATAATCTATTGACTACGCTTATTTCCTTTAATAAACATCCTTTAATTATTATAATAATACAAGCAAGACTCTTTTTAGACTCCATAAATTTCTTTTTCTTAGAGAAAATAATTTGAATAAATTTTATTCTTCATTATTTCATCATTATAGATTTTAGAAATAATGAAACATCAAAATAATTAAAACTCTATAGGAGAAATGATGCAATTATTTTAGATTAAATAATCTGGAAAAATTACTGTTTAAGACTTTTCAATTAATTTTCAATTTTCCAATATAAAAAAATGCCTCTTCGTTAGAAGGAACTTAAAATATTATTTTGATTTGCTTAAAAGTTCCTTCATCTGGGTATTTCTTTTACAATTTTCTACTTAATCTTTCTCGGGTCAACAAATTTAAAAAAAGAACACTTATTGGTTTCTTAATAATTTATAATTTATCATATAATATTTGATAAATTCATTATTTTATTACTTATTTATGATATTTTTTCTATTTTTTTAGAATTGTCATTTTGACTATATTTTAAGAATACAATTGAGTATTGAAGTATAAAATATAGATATCTTATGGTGAGAGCTAAAAATAAGTTAAATTATTAAAACAATCGATTAATAGAATTTGAAATAATTCTTACATACTAATAAATTAAGACTTTTAAATCTGTACAAGAATTGTAATTTAGACTTTAAAGAGAAATATATTCAAATAATTGAGTTAATATAGAAATTGTAAATATCTAAGACATGCTTTCTTTATTTGAGAAAAAGAAAATGGAATTTATTTTAAGTTTATTTTTTTTCATTAAATTAGAAGTAAATCTAAATACATATTAAATATCATTAAGTAAATACGTATATAGTTAGATTCAATTTTCAATATCTAATATTTTATAGTTTGTGTAATTAACAGTTCATAATTTATTTATAAATTTACTTTTTTTTTTAAATACATGTAGTTTACTTCTAGCAAGGAAAGTTAATATCTGTTTACTTTATATGAAATGTGCAGAAGAAATATTATAAATTAAACATAAAAGGGCGAATTAAAAGGTAACTTTTTGCTTGTGATTTAACAGATTTGTTAATTTAAGGTGACAGAAAAACCTAAGAAATTTTGTAAATATATCAGAAAAATGAAAATAAATAAGAATTAGAGAAAGGCATCCTTGATTTATTGGGTAAGCTCTCCTAAGACATTATCTAGATTAATCTGATGGGTCTTATTCAATTTACAGCATTCCTTCTTAATACAAATCTAGAAGACCTAAACCTGTGCAAATTAAATAGCTTGAAAAAAATTGGTATTAATTAAAAATATTTAAGGGCATGCAAATCTTAAGATTCTCTAAATTAAAAACCAATTATAAAGGAAGATTTGAATAAACTAAATAGGGCAATAAAAGAACGTTATTCTTTCAACCATCTCGAAATATAATATCGATCAAAAAACTAAGGCAAAAGATTATCTGATAATTTCTATATAGAATCAGTTAAAACAGGTTTTTGATTAATCATTTATATATAATTTGTTTCTATTCCTAAGACTCTATAAGAGAATCGATATTTTAATGATACCAATGCAGTTTAATATTAAATCTGCATTTTTTTTAAATTTTGTTTTTTTTATTATTATTATTGTAAATTATTTTTATCTTAAGTCAAGGATTAGTTTTTCTTGAATCAAGGTTTCTTTTAATTCTGGATCTTAAGATTCTTGCATATTGATAAGTGTTGTTTGAGATTAGCTCTCAGATTAAATAGAATACTTAATTATCTTAAACATTATCACAAAATTGATTAATGGATATTCTATTATTATTAAATACAATATTATTATCAATATGAAATTCCCTTATCAGTCCTTGTATGAATTCTTATAATAATAGACTAATTCTAGAAAAATAATTGTGATGAACTTATTTATTCTTTCTTAAGAATATCACATAATTACATAAGGAAGATTAAATTAATTAAATATTATTATCTAATTATCTAATTTGATAGTTCATAAATATTAGTTTTAATCTTAAAAATGCATTTAATTGATCTCCATTAGTTATTAATTTACTATTTAATAATATTTCAGAATTTCTGTTAAGTAATCTATTTTTAGAGTCTTAAGAAGAGAAAATAAGTAAAAATAATACTTGGACATAAATTTTTTGGTTAGAGATCTATCGTAGTGAGTTGAATTTTTTTTTGAACTTTTTAAATGTATGATAAAGAAAAAAATAGGAATAAATAATTTTCATTCTGATAATTGGGAATTTTTCCTAAAATGGAAAGCTATGGAAATATAAGTTCACTTAAATTTAGATACTGATACTGTAATATTGTTATCTAATAAAAAATTAGAATTGTAAATTAAATAGAAGGGTTACTGAATTTTCTAAATATATAAAACTAATTGGTATTAAAAATAATTTAAAAATGATCATTTTAATATTTCTGGCTTGTGTCCATCTAAGTGTTAACCAAAAAATCGAATCGAGTTTTCTTAGAGTATTCGGGATTTAAGCTTTCTAAATAAGGAATATAACATAAAATGGCTTTCCTTAAAAATCGAAGATCACCATAACGCTTTCCCATTTAGAAGGAGAAAAACCAATACTCTTAATGTGTACTAATAAACCAAATGCGAATATTTCAATGGATTTTGAATCAATAACGCAGTAAATACAATTATATTTTGTAGAAAATAATGCTTTTATGATGTAAATGCATATGAAGATAAGAATAAAAAGTAGGTGCTATCTCTATAAGATAAATAATTTGTGGGGAAATATCATCACAATTACAATATATATGAATATTAGGATACTGGTTTATTTATTGGAGCATTTTCAAAACTATAATCCTCTTATAGTATTCAAGCAGAAATCTAGTCAATTTACACTTGTTAAAAGTAAAGAAATGAAATAAAATTAGAGAATGTCGAAATGGAGCCAGTTGTTTTTATGGAATTTGCGAATGTTTATAAGGATCATTTGGAGATGATTGCAGCATATAAGGGTTGAATATTTTGGATTAGAAAACCCTTTCATCAGGCCATTTATATTATTTGAACATCAAATAACTAACTAAGACTGCTTTTTTAAGAATATTGTCAAATTCAATTCCAATTAGAAGATAATGTTATGCTGAGAAACCTTAAGTGAACCATGGAGCTTAGGTTTTAACAAACATGGTATAACTAGATCATGATCAAATACAGAATTGCCAAAATATTACATTCTAGGTTTAGGATGAGATGAAAATTTAGTAAATTCCTTATTATTTATTTAAAATTATGGATGTAGAGAATGTAGAAATATTTGATAACAATCTTTAAGAAGAAAGCTTATCGACTTTTATATTGATTCTATTCATTTGTTTATCTGTATTGCTTTTCCTTCTAATTGCTTGTTGTTGCTCAAAGTACTTTAAAAATAAAATTGATTATTAAAAATAATAATTATAAACAGAAGCCATTCCAACTTATGTTGATTTATACATACCTACTTACAAATTTTAAGAAATCAAATAATCTGATGTTCCTTACATTCATACAGACGGTCATTATTGTTCAATTTGTTTAGAAAGATTCGATTTATATAATAATGTTAAAATCACATATTGTAAGCATCTCTACCATTCTAAATGTTTAAGACTTTGGATTGAAAAGATTAAGGTAAATAATACTGTCAAACTAGGTCTGTCCTCTATGCAGAGCACCTTTGGATGAGTAAACTATAATTTCTATGGTCCCTCCAAAATCTATGACTCTCATAGATTAAATTACAAACAAAAGCACTAATAAATTCAAATCATCGTAGGGATCTTTAAATTCTTTGAATAATCAAAATACTAATAAGTTTTAACATTTGAATTATCAACGCAGTTTAGCATACATTGATTAATGAATGTATTTAGTTTTTCTTTTTCAAAATTGACTAAATAATTTTGATTCTTTATAAATAAATATGCAATATAATTAGTAAAATCAATTTGATTATTATTGACTTCTTTATTAAGCTTATCTTATTTTATTTGTTTTCAACAGTTCGTTTATCTCATTAAATATGTGTTATTAAATTTCAGTGTCTTATTGGTTTTCTCCTTAGATTTAATCTTTATCTATCTCAGATACTTGACTCCATCTAGGCACTAAATTTAAGGTTTGCATTTTAGCCACTTATTCTAATTTTTTTTAAAGTTTTTCTCTTAATTTAGGCTTCTTGCATTTGTCAAACAGTTTATCAGGGTTGTTTCTCTATTCTTACTTGAATTTTTATTTTATCTTTTTCAAAGTAATATTGAAGTCGACATAATTTTTGAAATAATTAAATATCATATCAATGCTTCCAGAGAAAACAGCATTTAGCCTATATAATAATTCAGTGTTCTTCTCATTCCAAAGTTTTGATTTATAATTCCTCTTCAATTTTTGCACTTTCCCCTAGGGTGGCACCAAGTCTTTTAACTTTTAGTAGGAGTTTTTTGAAATTTCATTGTGATTCTAGTATGAAATTTCATTTTATGACAAATATACACTATCCTCATCAAACATTGAGAAATAAAGATTTTGCTTTTTAATTTCTATAAAATATAATAATTAATACTCTATTGTTATTTTTGATATAAATATACATCTATTTTTGATAAATTCTTATAGATACTTTTTTCATCAATAGTAAAAATGCATCAAATGCATTTAAAGTGAATCTAATCAATAAAATTCAATATTTTAAAATTTAGAATTAAACTTGAAGAATAACTTCTATTATATATGAATATTGTTAAATTTAAGATGGAAAGCAGAGTGTTTTCCAAAATAGAAAGAAAAACTGTATATAATCTTATTTAATTCGTAGTTTAATATTTTGAAATATATTATGTTTAAAATTAATATAAAATGTACTTAAGGGAGAGAAGAGCAACATCCTATCAGAAACCTTAAGTAGGTCAAGACGATTTGAGAAATCAATTGAATTTACTTGATTAATTTGTGAGACCAACCTATGATGTTAAATTGCCCCATGATCCTAGCCAAAAAAGTGGAATTAGATAATCTAGTCATTTGAATAAATCCTTTTAGTTTCCAAAACTGTCAACATTGCCTGAAGAATCAATAAATGAGGAAGTGGCTCAAATGTAGCAGGCTATAGATCAATAAAACCAGACTCTAAAGCGATTATTGAAAGAATAAAGAGAAGTAAGATTATAAATGGATTATTAAGATAAATAAAGCTTAACTTTTTAAGTAAGAACTTGAGAATTTAAAAACTCAAGTTCAAACTATACATCTAAAATTACCAAAACTGCCTCAATACGAATAATTAAATGAAATTAAACACGAAATTTCATCATTAAGACAATCCTTCTTCCAATAAGCTTAACAGCCCTAATAGCCAATTATACAGCCGCCTTAGATAATATATTAACAAATGCCTTAACCTCTGCAACAACCCCAGTATTATCCCCCTCCTTATCCATATTATCAGCCACCTTATCCTCCTTATGGATAGCCACCCCCTCCTCCATATGGATAGCAACCTTCTCCCTACCCACCTTAGCAATAACTATATTAACCCCCTTATTAGTACAATCCTTACCAATATCCTTACTAACCTCAGCCGTATCCCCAAGAAGGTTAATAAAACTAATAAAACCCTTAATCGGTTGGTAAAATAAAGACAAAAACTGCTGGATCACAAGGCTAAAATTCAAGAAGATCTAGTCAGAATACGATACCTTTGGTTTCCAAGAGATCCATTCAATAGACCAAATAGAGTTTCTTTTCAGATGTATGATAAATATAACATAAAAGAAGAAAGGAGATAAGAAAGTGCCATTTCAGGGTTCAAGACTGAAAGTAATTTTTAATGCTGTTCGATTTGCTATGAGATGGAAGATATATTGCAAACCGTTGAATATTTTATGGAGAAAATTATATAAACATTCTGTTGAGTGTAAAGCAGTGATATAGAAGATTTCTTATCATGTTGCTTTGAAAAGAATAAATGACTGGTGCAAAATGGTTTTAGCGAAAGTTGAAAATTACTTGACGAAAATAAAAGAAATAGATTTTATTGTATATTTCTTTGTTATCAAAAGAATCCAGAAAAACCATTGACGGAATAGGAATTAGATCAATCATATATGTAGTTAACAAATGCGATGAAGTATCTGATGACAAGTCTAGTTACTTATTGTACAAACGATTTCATGATACCAGAATTGAAATTTTTATCTTACCTTTAGTTTTTTGATTAGCCAGAAATAGATAGAGGACTGTTCGTTGCTAGAAGAGTATTATTTTGGAAGGAAAAATAATTAGACATGACAAAAACTTAATAGATGATGATTGTAGGGGATCTAGTTATATTAGTACACATACTGCCTGCCTTGATGGAAATTCCAGGTTAGGTATTTTTAGTCAAATGCATGGTGTCTCTTGTTTAAATTCATTTTATGAAATATTTTGATTTGAGAGTACTCAATCGAAATCCAGAGTACAGGATTATTCAATTAAATTTGGTGGATGTAGTGGATGGAAAATTAGTTGCCAGATTAGAAAAACTGGAAAAGTTCGAAGATGAAAGATATATTGTAGGTGTCTATGAGGACAGTCAATTTTAAGGGTTTTATGCTAAAAGACCTCATTTCCAAGATGATATGCAAAAAGCGCTATTTTAAATTCATACTAATTTATTATAAGCATTAGCTGCTAAATGAAATTTTATATATTTATTAATTATATTCAAATTTAAATTAGCAGTTAAATGGAGGATCTCTTGGAATGCACTAAATGTGGAAATGAAGTAGATTAAATCTTAGCATTGTCATGTGAACATAATCTATGTCTTTTATGTTCAGCTAAACTTTATAATAAACTATAATGTCAAACATTAGTTTGTGAAATCTGTTCCTCATAAACCCTTTTGGATCCCTCTGCAATCGAAGTCTTACAAGATATGTACAAATTGCAGTCATCTCGAATGTCAACTGCAAATTTAAAAAGCTCAAGATAACAAATTTAGTATTAGGCATCCACCCATTCAAAAGCATCCTAAATTCATCTTAATACTCAACAAGGATTGACAGTGACATGTTAATAACATGCAAGTGAAGAAGCATTACTCTATTGCTATTCATGTGAAACCCCTTGTTTTTGTATGGAATGTTATCTCTAAGGATTGCATAAAAATCATGAAGTTAAAAATGTCCAAAAGTCTTATTCAATCATTAGAACGACCAAAGTAAAACCATACATTAATTTAGGCTGATCAATTCTATTAGAAGGTCAAATCTAGTTAAGATCAATTATTGCAGGATTAATGTAAATTTGCTGCAAAAAAGAAAGAATTAGTTGAAATCAATACTTCCACTAAAATGTAGATTCAATCTAACTTTTAAGAATTATACAAAGCACTTCAATTGAAAGAGTCTGAACTTATCTAGGTTGCGGATGATACTATGTGTGAGAAGGTCAAAGAAATAGATGCTGAAGTTCAAAAGATCTAAGCATAAATGGATGTATTAATGTAGATCAATATATTTATAGAAATTGAATGATGTTTTAAGTGACATAGAGTCATATTTCCCTGATCATCCAGATCAAAGTCAAGCTATCATGGCCTTTAATTACATTGCTCTTAACAATAGAAAAATAGATTAACTTACTAGAACCATTCTTACTGAGAGAAATACTTGGGGTGCTTCATTATAACTACAATACTAATTGGATCCACAGAGCATCATTTAATAGATAGAAGACATCAGATCTACCAAACTTAAAATTATGTCGCTGAGAGCATTAGAAACTGTAGAACCTACCATCAATGAAAAGAAATTGTATGAAAGAGCGAGAGAGGATAGAACTAAAAGATTGTTTTAATTTTAAACTCCAATCCAGTCATTAGTGTAAGATGAAAATAAGGAGAATAATTAATCTTTCATTGCAAATAACGGTGAGTAAACTTAATTATCCGAATTCCAAAGGAAATTTTAAGAAGCAAAGAGAACTTTATCTTAAAGATAAAAATTAAATTGAAATATTAGAATTCTATATCTATATTAAAATTAATATATTATAGCCTAATTTTGGATGAATATAATTAATGAATTCATTTAGGGGGACTTACAGCCTGTTAACGATATATGCGATTATATTGCTCCTTAGGAAGTGTGTGGTAATCTATAATTTATTTCTTAATCAAAGAGTTATTTAGAATTTAGCCTTAGGATACATATGATGCATCAATTGAAGACATCTAAATGGAATTATTCACCTTCTATTTTCTTTTAAGGAATTCATTGTCATTTTGCTTCTTTATTTTTTCCTCCCTCTCCAATTATGATAACCTAAGATAAGAAATAGTAAAGTACTCCTTTTTGCCTTTAACAAATTATAATGCTCTTTAAGTTGCTATTTCTAATTTTTACTTTTCTTATTTTTTTTGTTCTGCTAATTCCTTTTTCACTTATTCCATCTCTAACTCCCGTTACTTTTTCTTCAAGTAATTCTCCTTTTAAATCAGGAATAATCTTTCATCTTCAACTGGTTTCAAACCACTAGAGCCTTTTTGATTTTTTATGAGGAGTTATCTTTTGGCCTTCTTCTCTATTTTTTTTGGGTCCTCAATAACCTTATCCTTCTTCAACTCCTCAGGCAAGAACCTTGTGTCAGGCGGAGGCTATGGAGGTTATAGTTTCTGCATTCGATCCACTAATTTTTACATTCTCGAAAAGTCGTACATTGATTTTATATATTTTATTTATTATCTTAAAAAGCATTAAATAAGAATTTATTAAACTAAAATATTCCACCACTTTAGAAACAACTTCAAATTAACATTAGATTTCATAATTTTATAACTGATAATTTTATAATATATTTCATTTATTTATTATTTAAAATGGCATCTGCCACAAAAGAGAAAAAAATATAAAAAAAAGAGAAAGAAGACCAAATCCAAAGCAAGTCCTTAGGCAATTTTCATAATTTGGAATTGTTGTGTAAAGCAGACGATAGATAAAAAAAAACATTAGAAAAGATAATCAAATAAAAACCTGACTTAGCTAGAAGTTTAAACATATATGCCGACGGAGTTAAATATTACATAGCAAGATAATAACAAAGAGATAAATTATTGGCAGGAAAAGACCTACCTTTGATGGAAGTTTCAGAGGAATAACTATAATTGCCATCACTCCCTGTCATAACTAACAGACAAATGGCAAGGTAATTCAATAAGGATTTATTCCCCCCCAGACTTTTATCTGAAAGTTTAGAAAAATAAAATAGAAGATAAATCAATCCAAATAATTACACTCCTTTTGCAAATAGACAAAGAGTAGCAATCCCTGCATTAAATCCACCTATGAAAATCAACAGAGAGAGAGATTTGCCTAAATTAAAAGTACATGCTGAAAATATCGATAGTTTAATTATTTTGTTGGACCTGGAAACAACGGAGAACTAGTAAAGCGAGTATTATAAAAGAGAGAGCAATATTGGACTGCAGTACCTTTAACATTCTAATATAAACACTTTATGTGGTAACAATCATACTATGGCATGGATTTTAATCGCTTAACTCATTCGGAGAGTTCATTTGCTAGAGTAATGTATAATTTCTTCGAGTTTCATAAGAATATAACTTCTAAGACAGGTACGTAGCAGAATTAACTTTAGGTTTGTCATAATCATTACTCTAATCTTATAATAACATTGAGAAAACATTTGATATTATACCTTTAGTTTTTATCATTAATTTTAAGAACTGTGATTGGATGAAAGATATTCAGTAATTCACAGAATTTTATCAAGCTAATAACCCATTAGTTAAATCCACTACGAAATCCACTTTAGACTTTGATTTTTATGTATCCAATTTGGTAGGTACAAAAGTCAATTACAATGGAATAAAGACTTATAAAATGTAGGAAACCTTGACTAGTAAATCATAATATTTATGGCTTTTAAAACCAGCAGATTGGAATAGGGGAGAAGGTGTGCATGTATTCAACACTCTTGAAGAGGTTGAAGCTTTAATAAAGTCATACTATTATGGCAAAGGGAACTATGAGTGCAAAGAGTTTGTGATTCAAAAATATATTGAGAGGCCATTATTGTTGAGTGGAAGAAAATTTGATATAAGATGTTGGGTCCTCATATCTTAAGAGATGCAATACTTTCTATTTAAAGAGGCTTACATTAGAACAAGTGGAACCACATTTTCATTAGATAATGTAAAATAATAAATAATAAATTAGAAAGATAGATACATTCATTTGACGAATAATGCAGTTTAAAAGAATGCCCAAAATTATGGATAATTTGAAGATGGCAATCAACTTTCTTTGAATAGATTTTAATAATTATTAGAGTAAGTCTAACAATTAATAGTAGCTAATAAGAGACAACTTATGATTTCAGAAAGTAGGGATGGCCAATGATAAAGGATGTGGTCAAAATAACTATGAATTCAACTAGATTGAATAAGAGAAACAGAAAATATGGGATGCAATTATTAGGTTATGATTTTATGATTGATGAAAATCTTAAACTGTGGTTGATAGAAGTCAATGCAAATCCCTGTTTGGAAGAGAGTTCTAATCTGTTGAAAATGCTGATTCCTAGGATGTTGGATGATGCTTTTAAGTTGACATTGGATTAAGTATTCACCCCTGAAGTGGACTTCGGTGTTTGGTAGCCCAAATTTAAAGTGGATGAATATGAGGATCAGGAGAATATGTGGGAATCATTGGGATTTTGCAGTTGAAAAATTAACTAAGTATATAAATATTTATATATGATTATAAAGTATATAAAGATTTAAATAAATATTTAAATTTAATATGGATTAATAAACAGAATAAGATAAGCTTGAATCAATAGCCACTCCAGGAGTATTGGATAAATATCAAAATGCAGGAAAGATTGTAAATGGTATTTTTTTTAATTTAATAATGATCAGTTGTTCTTGAGAAAGTGATTGCTAAAATATAGCCAGATGCTGACATAGCCTCCATTTGTGCTTTTGGAGATCAGGAGATTAATGGAGAACTACAAAAAGTTTACAATAAGAAAAATATAGAAAAAGGCTTAGCATTTCCAACAACTATTTCTGTCAATCAAATATGCGGACATTACTCTCCATTGAAGTCTGAAAACAGTAATTTAGCAAAGGGAGACGTGGCTAAAATGTAAAATTTATAATAATCAATAGTCAATTGGGTGTTCATATTGATGGATATATTGCAATTGCTGCTCACACAGTTGTAGTAGGAGAAGATTAAGTAGAAGGCTAAAAGGCTGATGTGATATTGGCTGCTTACTAATCAGTTTAAGCTCTTTACAGATCAATCAAACCAGGCACTACAAATACAGCTTTAACAAAACTTATTTAATAAATTGCAGATGATCACAAATGCACTCCTTTGGAAGGTGTTTTGAGTCATGAAGTCAAGAGACATTTCATTGATGGAAACAAAGTCATCATCAATAGAGAAACCCAAGAATAAAGAGTTGATGAAGAAGAAATTCAAGTCAATGATGTTTTTGTTTTGGATGTGTACATTACAACTGGTGATGGAAAGACCAAAGAAGTACAATTCTTATCTTATCACTATAGTCTGATTTAAGAACTACAGTCTACAAAAGAGCATTGGATAGATAATACTAATTAAAAACTAAACATGGCAGAGCCTTCATGTAAGAAGTCTATGAAAAATATCCATCTTTGTGTTTCTCATTGAGAGCTTTCGAAGATGAAATCACAGCTAAATTAGCAGTTCAAGAATGTGCAAAACACGAATTATTGAATCCATATCCTATTTTGATTAGTCCAAATAGTATTGTAGCTTAATTCACAATTACTGTTGCAGTTCTAGCCAATAGCACAATTTAAATTTCAGGTTTGAAGTTGGATGAGACTAAATTCAAGTCTGCTCATGATCTCAATGATCCTGCCCTCAAAGAATTATTGAAAGTAGTTAAATCATTTATCCCTTTTAGTTGCCAATGGACAAAGATTCATAAAAAAAAAGACATTAAGAGCAAAAACAAAAAGCTTGATGATTTATATATCATAGTAGTAATATAGGTATATTAATAATTATAAATACAAATATTAATCATTTAAATCTATCTCATTGAGATAACTCGAAATAACATATATATGTATATTGATTGATAGAAACAATTCAACTTTCATTTGTTATAATTTATTATTAAATAAAATAAAATAGAATGAATCAAATATTACCGTTATTTAGTTATTATTTTATAGGTTCACTTGCCTAAGTAAAATTATCAAGTTCATATCCATTAAATAATGCTAACTATACATTATCTCATACCTTAGATTGAATTTCTCCTTAACATTATAGCATTTTGTTAAATCAATTCGTTATTTTCTTCATCCTCAATAGATATTTATCTAGCATCAAAGTTATCCTCTGTTTGCTATAAAGACTAATGACTAAGATTACATGAGGAATAAATGGTGCCTTTAACTCTTTATTATAGAGTTTTTACCATGGAAAATTTTTAAACCAAGAATGTTATCTCAATTCTTAAGGTCCATTAAAACCTAATCTATTTGCAGGTTTTCTTTAAATTAACTAAAATGAGAATAAAATCTAAAGCTTACTCGATTGATAAAATCAGCTGACTCTAGAGACCAATTGTCAGGAATTTCTGATCTTTTGATTTGGACTTGCTTTGCCAGTATTTAATCTCTAATTTCTTTACGAGATCTTCCAGTGTAAGGCCTCTATTCTAGTTTAAAATGAATACTTTGCCAAGCATAAATTCATAACCTATAACTCCTAAGGCAAAGTAATCGACTGCATATGAATGATTCTAACGACACATTACTTCAGGAGCCATATATCCTGGTGTTCCACTTGTATCTTAAGCATTATCAGGTCTCAAAACTCTAGCAATACCTAAATCAGTAATTCTAACATATCCTATTAATTTGATAGTAGTATTACCATTTTTGTCTAAGACTAAATTCTCTGGTTTGATGTCTCTATGTATTATGTTTTTAGAGTGCATATGCTCTAATCCTAGAAAGATGCAAGCCATAAAAAATCCTCTTTGTTGTACAATGAACACTTACTTGTTTGATCCTCACTGAATCTACGCATTCTACCTATGTGATATCTGAGATCTCCTCCTTGCATGTAATCCAATACTAAAAATAAGTTTTCTCTGTCTTAGAAAGCAAAGTAAATGTTAACAAGAAAGCTAGAATATACATATGGATAGTTACGGATGTTTAAGATTACTCAATATACTTCTTTCGTTCATAACAGAATTTACACTTTTTTTGGCAATGATCCTTTTGATATGAAATATATTAATACAAAGCCTTGGACATCTCTTTCATAGCATAGGTCTAGCCATTTTTTTTGTGTTCAACTCTCCAAACCTTACCAAACCCACCAATTCCAATAACATACAAAAAATTAAACATGTTTCTCTAAACGACTACTTCATTTGGGAAGTAGTTATTTTACATGAACGATGACTATTATTGTTTATGTTAATTCTGTTATTGTTGAACTACTTGTTTCTCTTGTTCTTCATCCTCTTTTTTAAGTATCAAATAATTTAGAAATGACATCTATTGAGTTTATTTCGGTTTAGAAATTGATGATTTTTTAGAATGATTAGCAGATGTAGATTAACTAGACTATACTGAAATCTTCTACATGGCATGCATCAATGGAGAAGGAGAATGATCGTTGTGTTCATTCCATCTATTAAATATTGTATATTATATTCATTACCTATTATTATGTATATTTTGGGCTCCTTGGTTTCCTTGATTAAGTAGGCTTTTGTCACCTCTGTTAGCTTATCCTGAATCTTATCTAGAATGAGGAAATCTGTAATTCAAACCTTTCATTTATATTATTTATTATATTATATATTTTTTTGTAAAATTATAATTATCTGAATCTAATTGTTATCCAATTATTATATAAATTTAAGAGTTTATAAATTGAAGATAGCTCTGAGAACTAAATTAAATAATGTTCTTAAGATTAAGAGTAATAAAAATTTTAATTGCTTAAACCCATTTAAAAAGAGAATTCAAATATTCACTTCTAAGTATTGGTATTTAATTTTTCTCACTTCAGGCTAAAGTTTACTTTATACTTTAGTAAAATGTCATGGGTGGATTTTCAACTTATAACTTAGGGATAAAGATGCTGGTATCAATCCTTTAATTGTGCGGATTGTGTTTATCATAATTTATGAGTTGTTCAATTCAATTCGGTCTTTCAATAAACAAAAATATAGGTACTTAGCAGTTCTCTACTAATTGGTTAAACATTCAAGGGATATTTCCATATTAGTATTAGCCGCTTCCCTTAGAGTCGAATCTTTACAACATAAAGACATTCACAAAACGCAGAAGTAATTATAAATTTACTGAATAATCAAGGCGAGCATAAATCAAAACCCATATCAAAATGAAATTATCCACTAGCTAAATCTCATTGACTGGGTTGAATGCTACTACTCCGTTCAATTCTGACGATATCATTCGTTAAGCTGAAGTTTTAGTAAGTCTACTAAAATCAAGAATATGTATGATGATTTCGTTTTCTTTTTAATATACATAGTAGTAATTGTGGCCTATTTCTTCTCATATTTCCGTTCGACTTGCGGATATGTTTGCAATCAAATCAATTATTTTTAGTATTATGCTTAAAATCCAATGCATTTGTATTAAATATTATTTGTTTTGCTATGCAATCGATTTTGGGTGTAATAATCTCTGTGCCTATAATACTATTAGATCATTACATAGCTGTGTTCTTTGACAAGAGTGCCATTCAGAATAAAATAAAGAAATGCACATATAATTTTATAATAATTAATGGAAACTACTATTTTAGAATGTAATATTTGGATGGTTGAGTATGTTGAAAATGACAAAATAATTTAGTTACAATATAGTAATATGTAAATCTATTATTTAATAAAAGGCATCATTTCCATGTACAATGTCTATAAGCTTGGATGAAAATAAAATAATAATGTCCAATTTGCCGTAAATGGATTTGACAATATTTATATAACTTAATCTAAAAGCTGGAAATATTATATTCTCATACTTCCATTTCCAAACAATAACTGTAATTCATGTCTTTATATAACATACAATATTGCTTTCATTTTTTAAGTTCCTCAAATTTTCTAAAATTATAAATTGGATCATTTGTCTTATACCGCAATTTTATTTTTATTTTACTATATTTAATCACTCATAATATCCATTAAGTTTATTTATTCCTAATAAATTTATTGAAATTATTATTAATTATTAACTGTCACATGAAGTCGAATGACTTGCTATAGCAATTTAATGATTTCAGAAGAAAGCTCAAAGCACAAATTTAATCAAATGAAATTACAAAAAGTCCAATAAAAAATTAAGTGAAAACTTAAAGTTCACCTTAAAAGCCTAATTCTGGAATTAAAGCAAAGATTAATCTAACCTAGCATTAAAATAAAATATAAAATAGATGTAACACTATTTAGGCAGTGCCAAATAAAAATCAACTTTAATCCATCAATAAAAATTTCCAATTACAATGTATCACTCACGAAAAATTGTCATCCAAATAGGAGAACGCATAATCCTTTAAATATTCTAATGCCTAAGGTAAAAAAGAAGGCATTGCCATTAATCTCTTAAATCAAGAATAATTACATCAATTTTATGCTACTTTTGAATAAATAACAGATGATGAAGTTAAATAATTACCAAATGAATACAAATAACTTCTATAATAGTTGGCATAATTTGTAAATAAAAAGCTATCTTAATGAAATTTAGGATCTTCCTCAAGATGAGATGTTGTATTTACTGATAATATAAAATATGTAACTCTATAATTTGCAAATTTTTAGTATAGTAAATGAAAATAAAATCAATGTCATCTTCCTTTGTTTTTGCAGTGAATTTAATTGATTAATTATTTGAAGGCCTCAACTTTTTAACTTGACTAACAATTATGTTATATTAAAACATTCATATTTTAAGGGGATTCTTATTATATTTTCTATATGTTTTCTTTATTTTCTTCAAATTCATTAGATTTTCCATCAATAAACATTTTTTCCCTATCTTTCCCATTAATCATAAAATACTTAAGATTATTTTTAGTACCAGATTTAGCAATTTCAGAGTTACTGTCTTTCTTTGAAGATAGTCGGGTTTTTATTTTTTAATTGTTTAAAATAAAGGCTTAGTTGGATTAAGGTTGAATGTTTTGTTAATTTACAAGTGAGTTTCTTTAGAATGGTCTCACTTTTTAATTAGAATTTGAAATTTTGGATTATAGAAGTAGTTTGTTTAGTTAATTTACCATTTCATTAGAAGTCATATTTTTAAATTAATAAATTAATTTAAAATAAATCAAAATAGCACATCTAAAAATCTCATTAATAAAGGATTATTTTTTTCATATGAGAAGTACTCCATAAAAATTTTATCCCACCTACCTTAAAAATAGTGATTTAATCGATATCACTATATATTAGCAAACTTCTATATAANAATCACTCATAATATCCATTAAGTTTATTTATTCCTAATAAATTTATTGAAATTATTATTAATTATTAACTGTCACATGAAGTCGAATGACTTGCTATAGCAATTTAATGATTTCAGAAGAAAGCTCAAAGCACAAATTTAATCAAATGAAATTACAAAAAGTCCAATAAAAAATTAAGTGAAAACTTAAAGTTCACCTTAAAAGCCTAATTCTGGAATTAAAGCAAAGATTAATCTAACCTAGCATTAAAATAAAATATAAAATAGATGTAACACTATTTAGGCAGTGCCAAATAAAAATCAACTTTAATCCATCAATAAAAATTTCCAATTACAATGTATCACTCACGAAAAATTGTCATCCAAATAGGAGAACGCATAATCCTTTAAATATTCTAATGCCTAAGGTAAAAAAGAAGGCATTGCCATTAATCTCTTAAATCAAGAATAATTACATCAATTTTATGCTACTTTTGAATAAATAACAGATGATGAAGTTAAATAATTACCAAATGAATACAAATAACTTCTATAATAGTTGGCATAATTTGTAAATAAAAAGCTATCTTAATGAAATTTAGGATCTTCCTCAAGATGAGATGTTGTATTTACTGATAATATAAAATATGTAACTCTATAATTTGCAAATTTTTAGTATAGTAAATGAAAATAAAATCAATGTCATCTTCCTTTGTTTTTGCAGTGAATTTAATTGATTAATTATTTGAAGGCCTCAACTTTTTAACTTGACTAACAATTATGTTATATTAAAACATTCATATTTTAAGGGGATTCTTATTATATTTTCTATATGTTTTCTTTATTTTCTTCAAATTCATTAGATTTTCCATCAATAAACATTTTTTCCCTATCTTTCCCATTAATCATAAAATACTTAAGATTATTTTTAGTACCAGATTTAGCAATTTCAGAGTTACTGTCTTTCTTTGAAGATAGTCGGGTTTTTATTTTTTAATTGTTTAAAATAAAGGCTTAGTTGGATTAAGGTTGAATGTTTTGTTAATTTACAAGTGAGTTTCTTTAGAATGGTCTCACTTTTTAATTAGAATTTGAAATTTTGGATTATAGAAGTAGTTTGTTTAGTTAATTTACCATTTCATTAGAAGTCATATTTTTAAATTAATAAATTAATTTAAAATAAATCAAAATAGCACATCTAAAAATCTCATTAATAAAGGATTATTTTTTTCATATGAGAAGTACTCCATAAAAATTTTATCCCACCTACCTTAAAAATAGTGATTTAATCGATATCACTATATATTAGCAAACTTCTATATAATTCGAATAAATAATCTGAATGTACTAAATTAATGGGCATATTGTAAGACTGACTTGGATAAATAATCAAGAAATTACTAAAACAAGAATTAAATTAGATATCTGAGTTTTAAAACCAAAACAATACAATATTTGTTATCTTTGACCTGTTTTCTACTCTTAAATATTTTGGTCATATCTAATGAAAGATAATAACAAGTGTTAAAATTTCATATAAAATTTAAATGTGCAGAATTGGATTTTTATAAGTGAATAATAACTAATAATTATAAAATATTTATTTTTATTCAAATATAATTAGCTGAGAATGAGTTATCAACTATATCCTAAGCCTTTCTAATTTTGTAAAATAGTTAAATATTTTAGATTACTATCCTCCTTACATTCACTAACTCGGCCTTCCATTGATCAATCCTTATAATCTAAATAATTATCCTCAATAAATGAGCTCATTTTATTATTAACCCATCATCGGAAATTCTTCAGACAATTGTATTGTGATAGAAGATGATAATGTAAGTTAATTATTTAATATTATTTCTTAGATTTAACATCCACTGAACCCCAATCAATAATCAATAATTTAAACATAAACCAATAGAGAACAGACAACTCAATAAGAGTAGTTGATGATTCTAGAATAACCATTTAAGAAGTAGATATAAGAAAGTGACAAATTAAATGAAAATGAACCACACATTCGTATAAGTGTCTTCAAACAGCATTCAAGCTAAATTGATGCTGAATATATCCTTTAATATGATAGGTAAGTTAATTAAATATCATTTAGAATCCTGGGAAACGAATACAAAAAGGAAATAACAATAGGAAGAAAAAAATAATAAGATGATAAATCAGAGAATTGTGATATTTGTAATTGTCTTAAATAATAAATCTAGATTTGCCTCACGGAGATAAGAATGTTGAAAAGTTACACTGTAAATTGTCGACAGAAAAAGGATTTTCTTATTCAAATCTTCTAACAAAATCAGTTCTTCTATTCTTCTCATTATTCAGATCAAGGAAACCAATTATAAAATTACCATTTTCAATTAGAAAACATATTTATTCATTTATTAAGTAACAATATTCATATTTCTAGAGAAAAGCCGTAATTTTATTTAACTGATAATGCAACTAAAGTTGGAACATTTATGAAAATTAAAAAGGATAATCTAAAACTAATGTAGCTGCATAATACATACCTGATAGGGGCTGACACATATTTCCATGTTATGGAAATCAAATCAAAACCTTCATAAATGAAATAAAAAAGAAACAAAGATTTAAATTAGTTTTATAATGCTCTTGCAAAAGAACACTTAAAAAAAGGTGCTAAGATTCATGGGCTAACATTATAGGAAAGCGAATAATTCAATATACTGCTAAATGAATTCAGAACAAATAATTAAAGACAAAGAACTTCACAAAAATTGAATCAATATGATAGACCCTATTTAAAATTTTCATTTAATAGTGCTTCTGTCAATTAAATTTAATCTCATATATTCATTGCCAATTATGATTAAGAGTCTGTTTTTAAGATTGGGAGATCCTAAGAATGCGATGTCATAGTTAATATCAATACTGTCTCTAGGAGATAAGCATAAATAATATATAAAAATAATGAGTATTAATTTACATATATATATAAATTAGATGGTTCATCCATGATGGTGAAGGTATCAGAGAGTCAGCAAATGGTACTTGGCAGTCGTTGCAAAATTATTCCACGAGAAATCAAGATAAAAAAGTATAGAGCAAACCAAGCTTAATTGAAGATTAAATGGAAGTCAAAATAAGTGAGAACATTATTAAATTTGATTTTGTAAACTTTGGTGTTACTAAAAAGTAATTATTCACATTAATTTAAGACGAAAACTTAATTAAGCATTAATTCAGGACTTACTTTAGTGATTAAATTTATGTATTTAAAATCAATACAATTTTCTGTTAATCATTTTTATAAAATATCCTAATATATAAATAATAAAATCAGAACATTTGAAATGCAATCATATTGACATTTAACATATCTAACGACTATATATAAGATATATTTAAAATTTATATATAAATCAAAGTTTTTTATTCTAGAGCATCTTTACAAATTCTTCGTATGATATCTATCCATCTCCATTATTATCACAATCACTAAGTATTTAACTCCATACATCATCTCCTAAATCTCCCATAACAATTTCTAGTTCTTTTTTAGAGATAAATCCATCTCCATTCTAATTTTGTTATGAGGTTTTAAATACCTAATCAAATATTTTGAAAGCTTATTCAACCCTTGAAACAGAAAGCAGCTTTTCTTAATTCATAGCTGCCATGCAAAATTCTGAAAAATCTATCAAACCTGATTGATTGATATCAATCTTCTCCAGTATTTTTTCGACTTCTTCTTCAGCCAATTTGAGATCATTTTAAATCGACAGATATCCTTTAAGAAATTCATCTTTTGATAGGAATCCATCATTGTTTATGTCTAATCTTTGAAACTCTTTTTATAACTCTTAAATTTCCTTTTATGTAGACATTTATGTAATCATATAAGACATTAATGCTTATTTTAATACGGTTTAGGCCTATATTAATTATAATTAGAATGACTCACTTAAAACTAACGAATGTTATCGAGAACCTTTCGATTGACTTATGTTGATGGAGCATATTTAGCAAGCCAAGGATCCTCCAAAGCTTATTTGGCTGATAATCTTTTGTTAGGATCCATTCTCAATAATTTGGTAATAAATTCCTTCGCTTCTTTTGAAATGGAGTCCCAATCCTCAGCTAATAATTAATTTATTTAATTTACGATCAAATGTGAATTTACCAATTTTAACTCTCTCTAAAATTTGATTTTCTGTTTTACCAACAAATGGAGGATAGCCACATAACAAAATATACAAGATGACACCACATGACCAGATGTCACATTTTTCTGTATAGGAATGACCCAAAACTTCAGGGGCTATGTAATAGGGCTGTTTAAAATTGATTAAATACTGTTCCAAGTCTTTTACTCATAGCTTTTTAATTGTCAAACTTTCTTGAGGTTCCAAAGTCAATGACTTTTAGTTGGGATTTAGGGTCTTCACTTATAAATATAATGTTTTCTGGTTTTAAATCTCTATGAACAATTTTTTTTTCATGACAATGTACTGTTGCCAATAGAATTTATCTAATGTAATCTGCTGCAATACTCTCGCTAAATGAGGACATCTTTTTTATCCTATCAAATAGTTCTCCCCCCGATAAATATCTATATTGATTGAATTGTATTACTCAGTCACTAAGTAATAATTATTCTCATCTTGAAACAATTCAAATAGTTTTACTATGTGTGGATGGTCTAAGTTCTTCAAAATATTCATCTCAGAAAACAATCTTGATTCCTCTTCTTTGATTAAGGAGCTCTTTTTAATTTATTTTATCGCTCGAACAAGACCAGTTGTTTTATGGGTTACTTTCCAAACTTTACCGAAGGCCCCTTATCCTAAGACCTTTCCAAAATTGTAATGTGTCCCAATTGACCCAACCTTCGATTGCACAAATGTCTCAACGCCTAATTTTAATTTTTTTCCCATTGATTTAGCACAATTGTCTTCCTGATTTTAGCTCTGCACTTCTTTTTTAACTATATAATTTAAATCAATGGTTACTCTAGTCAATGGTCATTTTTTGAGATTAAACAATCTCTTCAATTTTTTATTATTGTTCCTAAACCACAGTAGCAACTTGCTTTTATTCCTTATCCACATGAATTTCACTCCCTAACTCATATTCATTCTACTTTTTGTCAATAGGAGCCATTATTTCTTAGACTTGAGAATTTTTGCTTCCTTATTGTGAAAGTGATTCTTTTTATTTGGGGCCGGGTGGTATAGTTACATCTGGATACTGAGCTGTTTACATTTCATCTACATGAAATTTCTGTACTCAAACCTTTTATTTGTATATTATCGTCTCGACAGCATTTACTTCCCATTTACAATAATAATTTCAATTCAATCAATAAATTAATGTATAATCACAAAAACAGATTCTGTAAAGTAACAACATTTTCTTTTATTTTTGTCAATAAATATCAATATTTAGATGAGCACTATAAAATATATTTTAATATTAAATTTAATGTAATTTTAGAAGCAGTTACTAAAGTAATTATTACCATCTATTTCCTATTTAGAAATACTCTCGAAGAACAACAGCAATTCAGATAATAGTAACAGCTTGATTAAAAAAGGAGGGCAATAGAACAGGAGTAATAAATGCTTCAAGAATAAGCAAAGGCTTTGGAGTATGATGAACTCCAGCGAAAATAAATATAAAGGATTAAATAAAGAGAATTAAGTGAAGCCTATGAATAAAGCATTAACTAAAAAAAATAAAATCAAAACATCATCAAATAAAAATAAATTTAAGATGAATACAACCTTGTTTCATAGGCCTAACAATATTAGGAAATGTAGAAACAATAGAAAATGCTCTAATAATATTAAATGAAATAAATAGCCTAAGCTTCTATGGATGATAAAATGAGAAAAATTATCTAATAAAAAGAGTAGTAAGAACAAGAAAAAATTAAGGAATAATTAAATTAAAGAGATGAAGAGAATAGAATATCAGAGAAGCAGAAGTAATATAGAGATGTAATTCTAAAATTTTACTTTAGTATTATAGACAAGTTGCAGAACATTAGGATAGAATGCAAAAAAACTTTGCAGAAAAGATTGGCAGTGATAAATAATTCTAAATTGATAATATGATTAATAGAGGAATTGAGAATGTATAATACAAGGAAGATATGGAAGCCCAGTAAAAAAAACAAAGTTAACTATATAATAAATAAATGATGAGAGATTCATTATAAAAATAAATCTTTGAAAAAGAGCAAAGCACTAAACATTAGAATGGTTCTCAGATTATGAGCAATGGGGTATTCATTTTATTTAAAATATTTAGTTTAGAAGCACTGAAAACAATTAAATTGATCCTTCAGTACACAACCCTCTCTTGAATCCCATACCAGGATACAATCAAAATCCTTATTTAAATTAGAGAAGTTAGTTAGGTAGCTATGGCAATCAAGTACTTAAGATGTATTGAATTATTTTATAAATACAATCAATAATATATTTTTTATGCAAAGAATTTCCTTAAAGAGTAAATTTGAAATACTCCTGCACCAATAATGACAACTATTTGAATTAAGGTGGCATTGAACACATTATCATTAATTTTAATATTTTCTATGCTTAATTTATCTTCGTTCTCTCTGTTCATTAATTATAGTTTAATAAAATCATCCTCTTATTTTTGGAGTGATTTAATTTTTTGCTTCAATCCTGTAATCTTAAAGTAATACTTTAATAAATACTTGACTCTCTTTTGCAGCAGATTAAAATTCTTAATTTTCTCCTTACTTTATTCTCAAGAAATATAATGGCTATTTTTTATCTCCAAACCAACCTTTAGTATTTGACATTTTCAAACAAACTTGGAATCTTCCTTATTTTTTTGTTGTAAATGTAAATTTGCCTTCTTCACTATTAGTCATTTTTGTTAAAATCACTTAATTATCTGGATCAAGAACACTCAATTCAACTCCTCCTCCATTTGGTTAAACTTTATCCAGTAATTAATGGGCGCCAATTACAACTGTGTTTGCAGTATATTCATCTAAAAAGCACCTTTACTTTCCTTCTGTGAGATAAAATGTGAGAGCATTACTGCACGTGGCAAAAATAACTAGAATATAAAAATATTTTTGCATTAAAAATATTAATGAAAATTAGTATTCAAAAACGATAATCAAAATTTCGATTCGTGTTTGATAACAAATATCAATAATCAATTATGGTATCTTGAATTTTATATTAATAATATATATACTTTAGTATTCAATTCAAAGTTCTATTCTTCAACATTACAACATTATGCTAGAACCTTAGATTAAGACTATAATAAAGTAGGTTAGCATTTCAATGATAATTAAGATAAATCAGAGAGATTAAATTTGAGAAAATCAATTATGATTTTGTCTTTAATACTTTTAACTGAAATCAAATAATAGTTATCTATTAGTTTGTCTATAATTCTTAAAATTAAGAAAAATCATTAGTATGATTTACAGTTTAATTTGATTGATAATTTTTCAATTAATAGCAGTTTAATAGAACTATTTTCAAAATCCAATAAACTTATTTTGATATTTAATCAACATAAACTCTTATGCTTATTGTGAACATTATATTAAAATAAGAAATCCTTAGATTGTGATAATTTGAAAGTAAAAGTGTAAGTTAATGAATATAAAATATGATACTAAAATAATAAAATATTTATATATTATATAAATTAATGGCTGATTAAGAAGATTAATAAAAAGTACAGTAATAAGAAGAGGAAGAAAATGTCGATTAATATTCATATTCAGAAGGAGATCAATACGAATCAGATTCTGATAATCTCAAATTTGATATAGCAAAACCAGAGAAGAATCCTTTTAGGCCAATCGGAATAGATTTTCAAAAAATTTAATAAATAGCACATCTAGCTCCAAATTCAAAGGAGATTTAATAGGAGGAAGAGAATCGAAAGAAGATTGAGGCTTATCAATTGTATTAATAAAAAGTATAGGATGCAGAGCAGAATTAAAAGGAGTTAGAAAAATAGATAGAAGAAAAATTAAATTAATAAAAGGAGGAGGAACTTCAAAATTTACAGAAATAACCAATAGAATTATAAATTAATAAAGGAGGATAACTTGTAAATGCAGATGAGATTTAGAAAATAATATATCCTTGGTAAGTATTATTTGATGATACATGGAAAAAGAATTATTATTATAATCCTGTGACAAAGGAAAGTGTTTGGGAGTTGCCATTAGACATAGTGCAGAAATTGTCTGATTATCGAAGATAATTCGAGCATAGATTGTATGATTATTAGGAGAGGAACTTTTTTAAGTTTTTGCCAAAGCAATACATAGCAAGATAAAGAGAGTAGTTATTTTAGAAAAGATAGAAAGTGATGTTAAGACCAGCCAGAAAGTAGGTTGAAGAATCATTGGCAACAAAATTTGGATATAAACAAGGAGATGAGGAATACAATACTTGGTTTGATAGATTTTTGAGTGATGGAAACAAATATAAAGAGAAAGACCCAGCATTGACTAGAATGCACCCAGATATTGACAGTGGTTACACCAAAGCAGACTTATATGAGAAATTTAGTACTTACTTTTGTCTGTTCTTTGCTCGTGGTTGTTGTGCTGAAGGTGTTAATTGCAGGTATTATCACAGAATTCCAGCAATGGATGAATGCGAACAAATAGACAACAGTAAAGATGTCTTTGGTAGAACTAGATTTGCTAATCACAGAGAGGATATGAAAGGGTAATGAGTGATTATCTATGATTTATTATAGTATAGGTTGTTTCACCAGTGACACCAGAGCCATTTATATCACTCATTATAAAATGCCTAAGGCTGATACTAGTACTCAAGCGTTGGCCTTAATGTACGATACATTATGGAGACATTTCAGTCCTTTGGGAGACATCGATGATTTGAATGTTATACCTGCCAAGGGTGTCTCATTTATAAGGTATTTTAATATATATTCTATTAATGTAGATATAAGCATAGATGTTAGGCTGAATTCGCTAAAGAAGCCATGGATTCACAAGCCCTGGATTAATAAGAGTGTATTATGTGCAAATGGGCTTATGAAGATCCAAATCCCAAGGCCATGTCTAGAGAATTTGAGGAGGAGAAGCTTAAATTAGTTAATGCCGTCAAAGATAAAGAGAAGTAATTCCTGATTTGGATTTATTAGAAAAGAATAACAAAATAATTCACAGTTTAGAAAGAAAATTGAGGGCTAATAAATTCGAGAAAGATCCCAAGATGATAGGAAAGGCAAAAGAGGAGTTGATAGAGGAAATAGAAGAGGTGGGCCTCGTGGAAGAGGAGATAATAGAGGAAGGGGTGGTAGTCGATTATTTGATGATGATTGATAATTTACATCATTTTATATTACATAATTATTTTATAATATGGGGAGTGCTTAATGTTGTAAAAAAAATGTTTAGGATGAGGGTGTCTAAGAATTGGTTATCCTTGAAGATCCCAATTAATAGACTTCAAAATTATCAGAGTATCAAAATTTAATTAATTTCTGAATAGTCTTTAGTAAGAAAAACATAGCTACAAAAAAACTGAAGAATGTGGAACTCCTGCTTTTCCGGAACTTCGATCCCAATAGAGCAAAAGATCAGAACAATGTTAATCCTTAAAAGAAATTTAATTTATTGGGTAAGTGGACAAAGAAGAACAAATTCTAAAATCAACTTGCACTTTAGGCAGAAAAAGATAAAAAAATGATTCTCCAATAGTTGCATTTGAAGCTAAAAACTCCTTAAAATCTTTTGATTCTAATCGGCTTAAAAAATTGCAATCTGTTCCCGAGAAATAGTTGAATCTGAAAAACATATCATCCCCTCGAGATGAAGATTCATTTATGTAGGATAGTTAAAGAAGCGGGCAAGCAGATGAAAAATCTGCGAAAAGTATTTTAAAACAGGAGATGAAGTATAGTAGATTTAGGAATTAGTAAAATTAGAGTGATAGCACTTTTAGAAAGGTTTAATTTAATTTGGAATGATTATAGTATATTATATTTTTTGTATTTCTTAATCATAAATTAATTTATATAATGAGTGGTGGTTTAACCTACTTCAAGGAAGATTTTCCTGTCTATTCTGATTTGGTATCCACTATTAATGATCAATTACAATCTATTGATAATCTGCATGTTATCACATGTACAACTGAAAATAAAAACAACATTGCTTAATATTTAAGAGCTAAAAATGCTACAATGGCTAAGTATTTGATTCATTTAAATATGTACCTATTACATAAACTCAATTATGGAAATCTTGATGAGTTTCCTGTTGATTAGTTAATAGAAGATAAAATTTTAATACAGAAAATAATTTAAGCTTAAAAAAAATTATAATATTCCATTGATAAATTATCAAAATATTAGGAAACTTAGGTAAATGAAGACGATTAAATTGTGGATTAAGTTGAAAAATTAACCTTAAAGCCTAGAATAGAGAATCTTCATAAAGATGAAACTAATGATAAGATCAATAATCCAAATTAAAAGTATGTGCCACCAAAACTTGCAGCCACACTTTCAAAAAGCGATTTAAATAAGTAAAAACAAGAGAGAAGGGAGGAACTTAAAAAAACACAACAAAAAGCTAAGTTAATTAAGAGTATATTGGATGATTAAGAAGTATCAATATATGCTATAATTTAATTAGACTGACAAACCAAAAGAAATGACAGAGAGAGACCTATAATAATTGTATTATGGAAGGGCTGAAGATGAAAAGTAAATAGAAAAGAGAAAATATGAAGAAGATCATATGACAAGATTGCCTACGACAAGGGATGAGAAACGAAGGGAAAGGATTGCTGAAAGAAAAGCCAATGTGACAAGGCTGGATGATTTCTAAGAATTTGAGACCATAAATAAAGTGCTAAATAAAGGGACAAAAAAGATAAAGAAACCACAAGGATCCAAACTTAAAGGAAGCATGAAGAAAATTGTAAAAAGAAAAAGAAGATGAATTATTGTTTATTATTTTAATTATATTTTTTCATGACTACAGCGCATAGGCCAACATACAGACCTGCTATAGGTGGTAGTGAATAAGGTGGAAATAAAATGCTTGTTCATTCAAGATCCTATCATTCAAAAGACTTGCCTGCTTATTTGATATTGAAAATGAGGAAGCCTGGATAAGGTACATAGGCAGAATTGGAATAAAAGGATTTTAAGATGGACTTATTAAAAAGAGAGGAAGAAGGAAGAAGACAAAGGGAATTAAAGGCTTTGGGAGTCTCTGAAACTTCATTAGCCATAGAAGCAACACAAAAAAGTAGAAACTTTTTTAAATTATTAATTAGATTAAAATAAAGATGTTCAAGAACCCCAAATATTGAAAAAGACTAAAGTAGAAGAAAAGGAAATTTATTCTTAAGATGCTGATGATAAAGAATTTATTAAGTCTTCAGATGATGAAGAAGAAAATGCACAAAAGCCTGAAAAGCCTACTGTGTAACAATAGGAATTGAAAATCGAAGAAAATTCATCATCCTCCTCAAGTGATGAAGAAGATGACGATGAATTATTAATGAGAGAGTATCAAAAAATTAAAGAGCAAAGGGAAATTGAGGAAAAAAAAAAAGTAATTAAATTAGATTTATATTATAGATTTTAGAGAAATAAGAGTATTTGGAAAAGAATAGGGAAGAAGAGATTATTAAAGGAAACCCGTTATTAATTAGTGAGGATTATTCTCTTAAAAAAAAGTATATTTTCATAAATCATCCATTTTAGATGGTATGAAGATACAATCTTCAAAAACCAATCGAGATTAGAAGTAAAAGAAAAATAAAGATTTATTAATGATGCTGTTAGAAGTGATTTTCATAGGAAATTCTTAAATAGATATATCTAAATGTGATTATTTGTTTATTCTAAATTAATTATAAATTAATATGATTATAAGAGAGCAAAAGTCAGTTAATATGAATTATTAGCAAACGCTAACTATGTAACCATTCTGAAAGCATGGCTTGTATTGATTAACCAAATAACAAATTCAATTTATCAAGTATTTTGTCTTTATGACATTTGGATGAAATTTACGCTTATATATCAATTAGATTAAAGAATCTCTAACAAGAGTATTGCCATGTTTATATTTAATATTTATTGATTCATTTTGGATTCCTATATTTAGCTTAAGCTCTATTTTAGAAACATTATAATTCCTAATCACAATTTAATACTACTTATCATTAATTTAATATCAAATGGAAATATTTTGTTAGGTCTTAAAAAATAAGATATAATTTGGATCATTAAACCTGGTTAAACATATTGATAGTATTGCAATAATTTTAGAAGCTCATGATTAAAACATCAAGATGAATTTTAGTTAACTTCAAAAAGAATAAGAAGAAAAAGTAAATCAGATAAAAAATTATCAGGAAGATAATGAAAAGATTATATCAGACATAAATTTATATATGAGATAGACAGAATAGTAGAAGATCTACATGAAATTAAAGAAAGATTTATTAAATGTTTATAGAAATTATTGATAAAATATAGAGAAATCTTAAATACTAAATCAGTATTATGGAATTGTGAATATTTAATTCATAATATTCTCGAAATAACATCATATTAAGTTTAGTTTGTGTAATTAATGATATCACTAACTTAAACTAAACTTATGAAGGCAACTTAATAAAAGGTATAAATTTATTTAATATTTTGGAAATGAGCCATCATTCAATTATTATGTTGAATTATTTATATTTAATTCTCAAAAATATATTTTTAGATGTTTAGTTTTCATCATTAAATATACCAAATTTTATTAATTTTTTAATAAATAAAATGAAGTTTGAAGAAATCATTAGAAAATATGTCAGTCCAATCAAAAGATTCGATCATGTTCTTCCAAATAATTATTCAGCCCAAGATATTTATAATTACTATGAAGAATTGGTAATTCATTTTGTGAATTAGGCTAAATTTAATGAAATTGAATCATTTACAAAAATCAGATTTACAAGAAAGTTTGCAGAAGTTGCATAAACACAAGACCAAATGGATTGGTTGAATGATAGAGCCAAGGAGATTTCTAATGTGGCAATGAGTTTGTTCAAACTTAGATTTCCTTAATTATGAGAAATAGAAGATATTAAAAAATAAAAACAATATATTTCTTAATTTGAGTCATTATTCTTTGAAGAATTACTCTTTAGATATTTCTATTATAGAAGGATATTGAAGTTTAAAATTCAAAATTTCTTAAGCCCTTTATAATATTTCATTTAGTATTCTTATTTTTGCTTGCTGATTTCCTTAGGAGTCTTAAAATAATTATTAATTGACTTCACACGCTACTTTGATTCTTTAAGAATTTTATGTTAAATGACTTAAAGGACATTAACTAAAGGTCTTTTATGCCAATAAGGACATAGCTTTTTCAATTTCATCAATAAGATGTGGCTTTATAAATAAAATTTATACTTAATCTTTTAAGAACTCTATAATTAACTTTTGAGCATAGATTACAGCTTAGTCTAACTCATTTGTTTTGAAGTTCAGTTAGTTTTTGCATTTTGCATTTGAAAAGAATTTATTTATTATTGTTATTAGAATCCTTTTCAAGAGCCAAATCAATTTCACCATTTAAAATCCTAATCTCAATTCTCTCAATCATTTTATCTAGTTCTTTGTTCGAAATTTTACTATAACTAATTTTAAATAATGCATTATATTCCAGCCTCTTTGGAAAATTTAATTGCAGCATCTCTATATCCTTCAACAATGAAGAAATTAAGAACAAATTCATTCCTTTTCGCTTTAGATATCACAATATTGTTTTAATTATGATGCCATTCTTCAGCAGAAATTTTTATCTCTTTTTTAATTCATTTAATTAATATTATTACATAAAATTATTCATATTCTAAATCATCATAATTTAGAAGTTTCTTTAAGTGAACTTTTTAAGAACGCTAAATTACACAAACTCATCTAAAAGATTGAGTTTTATTTACAGAAATATCTAGTTCGAATTTCTTCGAGAATCCTTTTGATTTTAAATAGATAAATTTAATTTTCAGATATACTAATTAAATTTAATAGAGACTTTAAATTTATGATCTTATTTATAATTCATAACAATTATGAAGTATTATATATATCATAATTTCATCAAAATTCTAATCAGAAATTATTATTTGATTTCCGATTAAATTATACTTAATTATCTAAGAGATATGCATTAGAATACTCAGTCATTTCTTTCCTTGATTAATATTGAAGCCTTTTAAAAATATTGAATTTAATCTTCTTAATTGCTTAAGGTTATTTATCCTAATTAACCTTTATAAAAAGGGCTGAAAAAATTTTTCTTTACTTTAACTGATTTTTTGCATTTGCTTTTGGTTATGCAAATTATCTTTTTAAATTTCCAGATCATAATCTTATTTTTTTGGTAATTTCTTTTTTAAATTTCCTGACAATGAATAAACGTATTCTTAGTAAGGTTAAATTTTTAAGAAGGCTCTAAAATATGGTGCTTTCTATTTTAGTTTGACCTCACTCAATTCATCTTCTATTATTTAGGTCTTTAATGAGAATATTATAAGTAATAAGTAATTATCCTTCAACAACTATAAATTTCAAACCAATTTTTTAATTTAACTTTTCAGAATTATTTTTTATAGTTTTACTTTTAGGACAATACTCTAAGTTATCACTTATCATATAAATATAGATATATTTATTTAGTCTTTATTCCTTTATAATTAGTAAATTGAATTATCCCTTCTGCATTTTAAGAACTTTTGGTTTTAGTTTAATCTAATTTAATTAATAAATAAATTAGTATTTAGTATTTATGATAATTGAATTTGATTTTTTAAATAACTGTAGATCTTATTAATAGTATCCGCGGTCTTATACTGTAATAATTAAACCTATTTTGATTATAAATCCTTCAATCATTTTAATCCATAAAAAACTCACAATTAGCTAAATATTGATACATCAATCATATTAATCCATCTGAAATGTCGACTGGAATCGAAATTACTTTAGTTCCCATTGTTATAATAAATAACATGTTGCTACCCATAAATTAAGTTAATTCAATAAATCTAGATATCTAATTTGGTTTTTGTTAATATGAATGTGCATTTGCTTGTCCGTTAAGTATGAGAACACATCATAATAGCCATTTAAAACTGTTATTATTTTTAACAACAATAAATGTAGATTTATAATAGATTCAATCGATTTACAATTCAATTCTTTAAAGAAATAAATATATATCTCAAAAGTTCATTGTCTAGAGTATCCATTAATTGTGTAATAAGGCAAATTCTACTCTCTCTGCTTATTTTAGTAAATTAATATCTGAAGATTTGAATGCTGCTATTTGTAAAATGAATTAGTCATGTTAGATTAATATCAGTCCTAACAATTTTATCAAAGTTATTATATTTAATCAAGAGTTAAATTAGTACATAAAATAGATGGGTTGTGGTTCTATAAAATTGCCAATGGAAACAAGTTAACCTATATAAATGAAGTAGAAAAGGCTGAAACTAAAGACCTCCTCAACTTTACCAGATGACATCAAAAAGAAAGTTTTTCGAAATAAGGATGGAAAGTTATTTTATATTGTTGAGGAAGATAATAAATACATTTAAGTTCCAATGTTGAATAGTGCAGAATAAAATAGTCTACTGAATAGAAGGAGACAAATGCGTACATAAAGTGATTAACTATTTTGATTAAATTAACTATATATTTTTATTTTTTCGATCTAAAATCATTAGCAAATTAGCACTCCAATGGCTAGGTTGTATCCCAAATAATTGCAATGATCATCCACACTCAAATCAACTAGATTTTGATTTGAACATCTTGGATCTTCCTTCTTTTCATCGTTACAAATTTTAACACTAGATGTTATAATAATAATTATACTCTTTATGGAAGATGAGGAAATCTTTGTAATAGGCTTCTGTATTGATATGATGGAATCCTTGCACTTCCATTGGAAGATGAGGGACAGGATCATGATCGTGAGTCACTCTGAATTTGGCAGATGGATATATTGATTTGACATAGTTGAAGAATGCAGAATCTCCGACTCTTGGTGATCCAAAGGAATAATAATGATCAACCCTATATCCATTCACAGTTAGCGCCACCAATGCATGTGTAGACAGTGCTCCTCCTAAACTATGGCCAGTAATGACTAATTTGGCATTTGGGTATTTGCTAGTCAATCTTTTGGCTGCATTTAACACTTAATCTTGAATGCCCAAATAGGAGTAGTAGAATCCTCTAAATATTAATATGATATGATAACCTATGCACTTGACAGTTGTTTGTACAATATGGGAATGAGGTTTTTATATAATTAATATCTTCAAACCAATTTTTAATCGACCAAGGAAGAGTTCCCCTGAAAACAATAATAATTTCATTGTGTTTTGGATCGTATCCTGAAAATCCTGCATTTTCATTTGTTGCATTAACAAATATTTAAACATCATCCATGTATGGTGTTTTACTACATGGTGTAGTACATGACCAATTTAGGATAACATTAGGATTGCAGTAACTAGCTGCACAGAAGTACCAATATCTTGTAGCGGCTGTCTCATCGTATTCACTATTAGAATCAATAATGAAATCATCATCCTCTTAAGCCTGAGCACTCACTGTCAATATTAGAATGACGAATAAGATATCAAATTTCATATTATTATAATATTAATTTTCAAATACGTATCTCACTTTTACATCGTCACTATTGCTTAAAAGCTTCTATTTTTTAATTAAAAACAGTCAATATATAAATCCCCCCTATACTTTCCAGTTACTAGTTGTACTTCTTATTAAATAAAAACAAAAGAAGCTACTCTCCTTTCAATTTTATATTATATATAGCTTAATTTTGATCCCTTATTTCCTCTGATATAAGCCGTATCTTCTCAAAAATATTAGTACAATCTCTATCAATAAAATTCATATAAAGAATTGATAAATAAATAAATTTATTTTTACTATTCTCCAATTGTAAAACCTAATTCCAATTTTAAAGGAATTGCCATTATTGATCTAGGATTTAAATTAATACCTAAATTAGCACTTAATCTTTAGATAAATCATTTAGTTCATTTAAAATTAGTATATCAATCCAATCCATTTTTAAATTTGATCATTTGTCATCTAAACTTTTAAACATTAATAGATAAAAGTAATAATGTTTGTTATTTGGTGATCTTAGGCTAAATTTTTTTGCTTAATGTAAAGACCATGATAAAATGGATCAATTTTTCTATACATTGAAATCTCCAGCATACTTATTCTTATCATTTTATATTTAGTTCTTGAATCAATGAGTCTTTTTGTCTTTGATGCTGCAACGCAAATTGGTCATCTTTATACAAGTTTGATAAATCAATTAATTTTAATTCCGAAATTATGAAACATTTATTTTTCTTTATAAAATAATAAATAATAATATACTTAATATATCATTATAATATAATTATCCTTGCAAGTGTTCCTTCATAAAATTATTAAGGCTAATTAATAGGGTCTATATATAATTGTTCTGATATAATATAAGTAACATATTTGGATGATGACAAAGTAAATTTTCAAATCAGAACTAAATACACATAACATAAAGTTATATGGAATATCATTACAATATCTATTATTTGCTTAAACAAGTTTTAAATTGTGTGTAAGGATAATTGTTAGACTTTTGAATTTATATTAATTAATAAATGAATGAGTTATTTAGGAAATCATTTTAGGCTTCAACAGTTGATACTAGATAAAGGTTGGCATCCAGATAGGCAAAATAGCATTAAGATACAACCATTCCAAAATCGATTCTAGATCAAAATGGAATCGAAAGATGGATCAATGATATTTTGAGAGAAGCTTGTTTAAATGAGAAATAGAACAGTTTGAACAAATTGGGTCTTGACAGAAATACTTTAAAGGTTGTAAATGACTCTCTAATTTTCATTGTAGAGTGCCGGAGTTAAGGATGAAGACGTTAGTAGGCTTTATCGCAGCATGTTTGTTTATACAGTGGGATTTTATGAAATGCTTCATGAAATGCTTAGAAATTTATAGTTAACAGCAGCCATTTGGAAGGTCTTTGGAATACTTTTGGAATATGTTGCTAAAGGAGATTTTTAATTTACAATAAATTAAATATAGTAAGAAACTTAATAAAAAATTGAAGAGCTGAATGAGACATTGACTTAAAGGGAGACTAAATTTAAATTAGTCGAAAAAAAGGCATAGGAAGAAATAATTCAATTATAGAGCATGTTATAAGATATAACGGATTAGAATAATGTGTTAAAATTACAGAGAGACAATGCTGAGCTAGATTTCCAATAATCTAATACAGCATTTGAAGAAGAAGTAGCCTTAAGAATCAAATTTGAATATAGAATTAATGAAATTACGTCCATATATAGGGAATTAGCTTAAAGTTACTCATAATTGTGTGAGGAACTCCAAGAAATAAGAATACTGTATGACAAGACTAGTAATGATTTAATGAAATCCAAGAAATAATTAGAAATTGTGATTGAAGAAAAGGATATTAGAGATAATGAAATTAATCATCTTAAACAAACAGTAGAAAACCAAAAAAGATAATTGGATGAAAAGGAAAACAAAATTCTAATATATGAGTTAAGAATTAACAAATTAACGAAGATTTCAGTTAATGATTAAAGCATTTCAATGAATTATGAACATTAATTTAATCAATTATGTATGCAATTTTCAAAGTATAAGGAGGAAAACATAATAAAGTAATTTATTTTATGAATTAAATTATAGATTACAAGAATTAGAAAAATATCAAAGAAATTATTAGGATGCCTTGGATTTAAATAAGAAGATAACAAATGAGATTCAAATTATAAAATAAGAAAAATTTTAATTATAAACAGAAAATAATAAATATAAAATTACAGTTGAATCATTTGAATAATTGGAATAAGGATATAGATCCAGCATTTTGTAATTGTAATAAGAAAATAGAGAATTAATTGAAGAACATGAAAATGAAATTAAGAAATTCTAAAAGATACAAGTAGAACATTCATTTTAAGCACAAAGAATTTAGGTATAATAAAACGAGATTTTGGCATTGAATCAAAATATTTAACAAATGAAAATTGCAAAAATTCATTTGGATGAGTTATTTATCAAAGAGAAGGCTCAAGTAGAGTTATTATAAAATAGATTAGAAGGAAAAGAAGAAACCATTTTGGACATAGAAAAATGCTTAAGTTTCAGTCAATAAAGATTGCAAACTTTGACAACCGAGATGAGTGAGTAGGAAAATAAATTAAGGATTAATTAATAGGACTTTACAGCAGCTGAATTATCATACAAGAAATAAATTGAACAATTAGCAGAAACTTTAGAAAGGTAAAGACACGAACTTATTAATGAAAAAGATAAACTTGAAGCACTTCAAAATCAATTTGAATCCTAAAGAAAGGAATTAGCAGAGATTAAAGCTTTGTATAAAGTATAGGTTTTTGAGAATAATAATTTAGTTACTAAATAAATATGTTCGGATCGTATTATCAATAATGATAACCAAAGATTTGGTGAATTTATTAATGAAGTCACTGATGTATAAGTTAAGTATGAAGATTCTTTAAGGCTGTATAAACAATTAGAAATTCAATATTATGAATTAGAAAAAGCGATGAATAAGGATAAGGTGTTTTTAACAGGTGTATATGAAGGTAAAATTAGTAATTATAAATCAATGTAAAAGGAGATGGTTTCTAAGATGAAACTTGAAGATGCTTTAAGTTAATGGGATAGAACTAATCAAAAACTTATTAGATTAGATTAAGCATTTAAAAATCTTTACGAACAACTCAAATAACTTAAAAGTGAAAATTAGGTTATCAACAAAGAAAATGAGGAGCTGAATTTTCATTTAAGAGAGCAAAAAAACGTAATTCAAAAATTAAAAACAGATAACAAAAACATTACTAATAATTTAAAGCTAACAAAGTTCAAATAAATGATATATTGTTCCTGTCTTAAGGAAGTGAATAAATAGGTAAAATAATTAACAGATCTACTACTATAAAACTAAAATAGTAATTTAGAGTTGAACAATGAATTAGCAAAAGTGAAGGAAGAAAATCTTAAATAAAAATAACTTATAAGAAGATATAGGTTATCTGCTCAAGGGTAACAATAACCAAGTCAAATTCAACTAGAGGAATAAGATTCAGCAAACGATCTCTAAATTTTATAAATTAATAAATAACTTAACAAGTCTGAACATTTAAAATCAGAAAAATCTTAAGATGATTAACCAATTTCTCTTAATAATTCAATTCTTTTGTAAAATCAAACAAAATAACTAAAAAAATCTAAATTTTAAATTGAAGTAGAATAAATTGAATAGAATTTATCCAAAAAATAATAAGAAGAGTATTAATTAAAATTAGAGTAATTGTCATAAACTATAGATTTAAAATAATCTTAAATTGAAAATAAAACTTAAAATTAACCATAAAAATTAAATAGTATTTAAATTAAGGATGATCTTCTTAATATTGACTAGAGTCAGTTTTCAAATGATAACGAAAGGAATTAACAAGCTGCTTATTAAAAGTCTCGTAGTATTAGTGTAAGTTAAGGAAGTAAAAGTCAGAGAAGCAACAAATCATAAGGATAGATGGATTTCGTAGTGAGAGTCAAGAAAAATACTTTGATATAAAATGCAAAGATGAATTCAAAGTAATTTGGTAGATTATTTTAAATCACTAGAGATCATTATCAATCTTGAATATTATTAAAATACTATGAAATATCATCAATTATAATTTCTTGATAAAAATCTTTCAATTTCTTTTATCTTTGCCTTATCTTTTTTGTAACCTAAATTGGAGGTTTTTATTTAAATGTCTCAATCTATTCTTATTATTCTTTTACACTAAATGATTTATTAAATAGCTTTTATTCTTTAGTTAAACTGAATTATCTTAGAGTACCACACAAAAGGGAATCAAATTTTAAGTCCCTGTTTTAGATGTTGGGATTTTTTTAATGGTCATCTATTCCAGTAAATATTTAGGTAACATAGAGTTGATTTTTTCGACTTGAAGATATTATTGGGAGATCTAATATTCTATCCTAAAACGATTGATTTTATTTTTTTGGTGTTAAATAGCGAGACTTGGCTTCTTTTTTATGGAGTAGGACTTAATTTTTACTATATTTTTCTTATTATATTGCTAAGGAAGCATTTCTAGGTTTATGGCGTTCAGAAAACATTAGTAAAATTGATTTCCTGGAGTTTATTTTCTGTTAGGATTAATCATACATATTTGATCTATTTTTATATTAGATGACACAATCAAAATATTATTAATAAATTATTTAGATCAGTATTAAAAATAAAGGGAGGATAGTTGACAATTATAATTACAATTTCATAATTCAGCTTTGACACAGGGATTAAATTAATATTAAAATTTAAGTTAATATAGAGGGAATTGTTAATGAATTAATATCAGATAAAGAAATTAAAAATATATAAAATATATCCGTTAATATATTAATGTTAAGACAACGATCGACATCAAAGGGTAAGCATTTTGATAGGTATGAGTATCTAAGAATGTCAGGTTAGTCCCAGAGAAAGTCAATTTAAGCGATTATCAAATTCACATGGTAGAGGATTAGAAAAATGAATCATTAAGAGAACTTGATCTGAATGAACAATTGAGAGTTGAAAACAGTCAAGCCAAATATAGTAGTCTATTAAAACAAAAATTAATGGAAAACAAATCTTAATCCAGTCTCTTTGTCTATCAAAGGCAGCCATCAAAATATAAACCTTATATTTTTGAGAATGAATGTCCTTCTCCTGTTCGTAAAATAGCCAAGGCACCCTATAAGATTCTGGATGCCCCCAAAATTAAGGACGATTTCTATTATCAACTAGTAGATTGGAGTATGAACAATTAGATAGGCGTGGGCCTTGGGAATTCAGTGTATACTTGGAATGCCATAACAAATGAAACTACCTAATTATTGGAAATCGAAGCTCCTGTTTGTGTTAGTAGTATTAAATGGTGTGATAGAAGTGAAATCATCGCAATAGGAGACGATACAGGAGCAGTCAGAATTTATGATATTGTTAAAGCTAAGATATTAAAAACATACGAGAATCATAATTCTAGAGTAGGTTGTTTAGATTGGAATGGGTGTAATATAACAAGTGGTAGTAGAGATAAGAGTATCTTATTTTAAGATATCAGAACTAATAATGATTATGAATTGTCATTTCAAAGTCATAAACAAGAAGTTTGTGGATTGCAATGGAGTCCCAATGAACAATTTTTGGCTTCTGGAGGCAATGACAATAATGTTATGATTCAATCAATAAAAATGCCAAATTAATCGATGTACGTATTCAAGGATCACATTGCAGCCGTTAAGGCTTTAGCATGGTCACCTCATCAACCAAATATTCTCTGTAGTGGAGGTGGAACAACTGACAAATGTTTGAAATTCTGGAACACCTCAAATGGACAACTCTAAAATAGCATTGATACTGGTAGTTAAATTTGCAATATGAAATGGTCTACCAACACAAATGAATTAGTAACTTCACATGGGTATATATATAGTTTATAATAATCTTGTAGTTATTCTCTTAATTAAGTTGCTGTTTGGAAAATGCCAAAGATAGAAAGAATAGCTACACTGTATGGCCATTCTTTTAGAGTTCTATATTTAGCCTTAAGTCCTGACGGAGAGAATATAGTAACAGGGAGTGGAGATGAAACTCTTAGATTTTGGAAGTTGTTTCCTTCAAAAAATAAAAATTCAAACCTTGTTAACCAATCTAAACTGGATTCTATCAGATTGGATATTAGATGATGATAATTAAGCAATCCTCTCTCATGTATAATAAATTACTATATCTTCAATTTTTGTATTTAATATTTATATATTTTGTAACATGGATGTATGAGATTGCGACCATACTATTATGACAAAGATCAATAGTAAAAATATATAGAAATTATGTTAAAATAAAAAGACAATTAATAAATATAATTGTAAAAAATAATGAAAAAAAAATAAGCAGAACATCGAATGATATATACGAATATCCCCAATGCCCTCGATATCGGATTTACAGCTGTGACTTTATCATCTAATTTATCATTTATGATGGAAAACCCAAATGATTATCCTGTCTAGTTTCATTTCGAATTCTAAAAATTCAAGATAACTCCTGATAGGTAAAATTAGTATTCATAAAATAGAGGATAATTAGCTCCTGGAGCCAGGATTAATTTTACATTGACTTATGCTCCAGTTTTAGCGGAAGTTATAGTAGCATCAATAATTTTGCATATATAATATGAATAACCGAGAGTGATCAAAGTATCAGGCATAGGTAAATATCCATTCTTACAATTAAATACAAAAAAACTGAATTTCGAAAGTTTATTGATTGGGAAAACTGTTTCTAAAGAAATAACAATCAAGAACTAATCGGAAGTTACAGCTCAATTTTAAATTTAAAAAATAATAGATGATGAATTCAAAGACAATGCCTTTACATTGGATTATTACTCTGGAACCATCCCATAAAAAAGCACTTTTTTAATCAAGGTAACTTATAAACCTTAAATTCTAAATGTCTCAGTAATACGATTCAAAGTAATCTGTTAAGGAGGAAACGAATTAACATTTGAATGCGTCGGCTAGGCTTTGGAACATGCAGTGTATTTGAGTGAGAAATCTATTAATTTTGGAGAAATCAAAATAGGTAATTAAGCGACCAAATTATTGACAATCCATAACGATTCTGATCTCCCAACTACTTATCAATTTTACACTGATCTGAACAATATCTTTGCATTCAATAAAATCAGAGGACAAATACAAGGTAAAAGCTTTGATAGAATCATCATCTCCTTCACTCCCAAAACCACTATCAACTATTACGAAAGAATATATTGTGTAGCAAGTAATCAAATTAAATTTGTCGATTTAATCGGCACATGCTATGATCTACTGATCAAACCAATTCCATTATTGCAATAGCATATTGATAATTTCAGAAGAAGAGTCATCCAAGGCAAATTAAGTGAAGTTGATTTCAGATACATGGAAAATTCCTATTTGATGAAAATCAATTAATAAAATGAAAGCAATCTTTAAGGGGAATGGCAGGAAAATCCTAATCAAACTGTTTAATTTAAGGAATTGATGCTTCCCCCCTCTTCTGATAATAGATTAATTAAGTTTTCAGAAGACTTCATAGATTTTGGCTATGTAGAATGTTATCAATAAAGTAGTGCTAGAGAGTTGGAATTGCATAATCGACTAAATTGCAAATTGACTATATTTTGGACCATCCAATCCCATCCAACAATCGATGGTGAAAAGGTGCCTGTATTCTCAGTGACTCCTGAAACCTAATCAGCCTAAGCAAATTCTAAATGCAGATTTTAAGTCACTTTCAGACCTACCAAATCCTCATATTACTATTTCCAATATATTTAGTTTTTCGCCATTAAATATAATCCAAAATTGACCAAAAAAATATTAGATCAAGTAAAGGTGAATAAAGGTTCAATCCTAAATGAATCCTTTGGCAACAATGCAAATTTAAGGTTATCTTAAACTGGATTGACTAATTAAAAAAATACAATTGATTTCTTTTCCAAAGAAATGATTCCAACATTCAGTGGGTAAATTGGATGTGTTGGTCATTCCTTTGGCATTAATTCTTAACCTTACATTCCAATAATAGAACTTAAGCCTTCCAACAAATTGTACTTTCCTCCTTGCACTATTGAGGAATCTGTTTATCAAACAGTTGAATTCATCAATAAGTCAGACACTCCCATCTACTTCAATTTTAGTCCAGATCCCACTAAGACCTTTAGAGTATACCCTAATTAGGGTTTGATTTTCGGAAAATCATCTTAGCTGATAATTGTTGAGTTTGTTCCAGTTGAAAATAAGGCTTACAATCAGACTCTTGTTTGTCATATGAATCATTAATCTTCCAATTAAATTAATATTTAAGCCATAGGATATTGCTCCACTCCTTTGTTAAAATTGCAAAATGATGGTAAGGTATTCTTTCCTCCTTCCTTTGTTGGAGTTTATTCGAGATAGAAAATATCAGTCCACAATGAATCCAGGGTTCCTATGAGTTATTCGATTGATGTTCCAGAGAAAAATTAAAATGAACTATACATTGAACCTTCTTCTGGTTAAATCAAGCCAAATGAGGTTCTTCATTTGGACTGCTAGTTTATTCCTTATAAAAGAAATAAGAAATACAAAATTAAGGTTCCAATGACAGCCACTGAAATCTTAGCTGATAATCAGAATCTTATTGGATATCACATTCCAGGATCTGGAAATTAGGATTTCCCACTGGAATCTAGGAAACCTATAGAATTGTCATATTAATTTGAGATCTTTGGGTAAGGGACAGATGGGAATCTACTTCTGAATGTTACCCAAATTGATTTCAATATTATCAAGGTGAATTTCAACACAAAGTAGTATGCAACCTTGATCAATAACTCAGACTGCACCTTTTATATTGAATTAGTCCTAAGACCAAAAAATAAGGACAAGGATAAAATAGATCATCAAATGATCAGTCTTATAAACAGATCCTTCACTTTAGATTTGCAGAACGGAATAATTGCAGCAAATTCAAAGTTAGATATAGGAATCATGTTCAATCCTATTGAAGTGTGCGAATTTGATTTAGTTTTAGACGTGATTGCAACCGAAAAGAATCCCAAGGCTCCAAAAGGTCCAAATTTTTAGAATAAGAAAATAATATCTTAAAAATGTAAATTAGAAATTAAAGCGAAAGGAAGTTATCCTTTATTGAAGATTGCTGATGTAAGAAATGATTCCATAAGTGTTGCAACCTTGTGGGAAAACTTTTAAATTAATTAAATAAATGCAGAATTAGGAAAAGACCTTAATGAGGATGAGTAGAAGTTCTTAAAAATAGAATAGTTGACATTCGACTAGGCTTAGTAGTTACAGAAGAGGTTGAGAAGTTATGATTGGAACTTTGGATATTTACCATCAAAACCATAAGTAAAATCAAGGAAAATAGTTATTACAATATAAAATATTGGTGGCACTGATCTAGAGTGGCAGTTTAAATTACCATCAGACCATTAAATCGAATTAGAACCATGGGCAGATCCAGGAGAACCTTCAGAAGAGGATACATTTGAAAAAGCTATTTTAGAGAAGAACATATTTTAAATTAGACCCAAAGGTGGTGTTATAGCTCCTAAGTGTTTCAAAGATATTGAGCTAATTTACACTCCTTGCAATTTGGATGATGAACTCAAATCTAAAGGTATTTCAAATGAGAGCCATTTTCTGAGGGTGGTCTTGCAAATTTTGAATGGCAAACCATTGGTGCTTAATTTAAAGGGGACAACACTTGCTCCTTTGGAAGGTAGGTTGGCAGTAAAGAAGAATTCATTTGAGTTACCAGAAACTCCAGTTGGTTTGTTATAGCCAGTCAAATATCCAATAGAAATTTAGAATGTAGGAAGTTCAAAAGTATAATATAAAACGATAGTCAAAGAAATTGATATTGATGGAGAAATCATTGATTCTTAATTCAATGTGTTTGACATTCAGAATCCTCAAGGTTCATTGTTGCCAAACGAGAAATAATATTTGTATTGTCTTTTTAGACCTTTAGAACAGAAATCATACAATTTTGAATTGCTGGTGGAAGTATCAGATATGGTGAAGGTAATTCAACCGGTGAAGTTAGCTATACAAGGAAGAGGATATGCTAATCAGCCACGAAAATAAGTGCAATAATAGGCGATAGAGATTCCTAGATAAAGATCCCATTAATCCCCGATAGGATCCAAGGTGTTCTTTTCTTTGGAAGAAATAGATTTTGGAGAATTGTTACCATTAAAGTCAGCTCATAGGATGATTATTTTATATAATCAATCAAATGATCGTAAATTTACATTCGATTTTGGTGTTTCATAGTTTGCACTTTCAAATAACAGACCAGGGTTGTGTTGTGGTGATGAATTTTTGATTGAGCCTATTCAAGGAGAATTGGAAGCATAATCATTTATAGAACTTAAATTGACATTAACAACTGCCTCCACTCCTGCTGTTTATGAGGGTGAATGTGAGTGCACAATCAGTTGGGAGAATAAGAATTAATAAATCAATACTTCTCAGGTGAGTTAGAATTCATAGGCAATTACAGTAGATAAGGAAACACTATTTTTGAGGATAAAAAAGAAGTCAAGTCTAAATGTGGAATTAGTAAATTCATTCAAGCAGCCTCCTCCACCCATTCACAATGCTATGGCTCATCCCTTTCAATAATTATTAGGGCAGATCATCACGGAAGTCTTGACTGACTCACACACTGATTAAATCTTGAAGGCCTTAGATTAATAGCCTATCACTCTTTATCAACCAGAGTAGTAATCAAAGGGAGGAGACGAAATTAAATAGGAGGATTTGTAATATATTTATTCGAATTTGTTAGGTCTATTCAAAGAGATTACAAGGACTACAAGACCATGTTTTTGGAGGAGGAGTTTATTGAATTGACTGATTTGATCATGGAAAATACATTTTTCAACATCATCTAGGAGACCACAAGAAGGGAATGTGACTTATTGAGGATATCAAAGACATTTGTCACACCTGCAAACAAATGATAATTATAATAAAATAGATTCTAAATAAAATTAAATGCATTCATTCAAAGATTTAGACATCACTGATACAGAAAATGAACAATAATAATGTAATCAACATCACAAGGATATAATCAAAGCTTGCTTGTCATGTAATTTTATGTATCAAATAAAAAGCTGGTTGTGATCAATTGAAATTGTGTCAGTCATGTCTGTCGAGCCACAATTCTTCCCACAGAGAAATTACCGTTTATTAGTTGTTTAAAGAAGTCCAAGGCAACATTAAGACTACATTTAGAGTTGAGAAATCAAAGGATAAGTTCGACATTGTGTTCAAAAATATTTAAGAGATGAGATAGCAAGTTCATCAAATTTTTAATTAATTAGAACAAGATATTAAGTAATATTTGATCGAAAAAATTAATATTGATGAACTCAACTAAAATTACCAAACTTTAAGAAATATTAATGAGAACAATTACATTCAACACATCCCATTACTCAAACTCTACTATCTCAATCCAAACTACTTTTATGATGGATGGATATAATTGTCTATTGTGGAGGATACCATATTGACCAAATTGCTGATACTCAATGAAAAACTCAAATTGTAAGTTGACAAACTGAGAAATGATGCTGAACAACTTTTTGAGATCAAAACTAGAAAGGTTAGTGAACATCAATAGGAAGATTTAGTTTAGCTATTGACTAACATTAATGGGCATGAAAATGTGGTAAGGTGTGTGATCAAACTCCATAATGGAGATTATGCAACGGCATCAAGGGATAAAACTATAAAGATTTGGAATTAGAACACTTTTTAATGCATACAAACATTGAGGGATCACATTAATTGGGTCTAAGATCTCACACTCATTCCTAATAATAAATTTGCTAGTTGCTCGGATGATAAGACTATTAAGATCTATACTCAATTCCCCTAAGGTCAATCAAACAATAGACCTTAATCCGTACTTTGGGAATGCGTCAACACTCTAAGAGGACACGAATCCTATGTAGTTAGAATTGTATATAATGATTAATTCAATTATCTTATCACTTGTTCTACCGATGGAACTTTGCGGTTATGGGATCCATCACAAAAGAATGCTCTAACAGTATTATAAGGACATGAAAATTGTGTATATACTTTAGCCACCAAAGGGAACTTAATTGTTTCAGGAGATGAAGGTGGCTAATTGATAAAATGGTCATTGGTGCACATGAAAATTGAAAGCAAACAAAAGTAACATTCAGGATGTGTCAATTCTATCTTGATTAATGCTTAAATTTATTCTTGCGGAGATGATCGCAAAGTGAACGTCTGGGATACCGATCTTTAACTTAAGCATGTTATTGTAAAAATTTATAGTTATAACACTTAGCAATTGGAAAGGGCAGAATTGGAGTCATTATTATTTTTTAATAATAACCTAATTGTGGGTGGAGACGAATAAGGGTATCTGCAATTCATTGATCCTAAATAAGGAAAAGTGATTTCTGAGATCCCTGTTCATAATGATCGCATATACAAAATTATGTATTACGATGGAATCCTATGCACAGCCAGTTCAGATTTGTCTGTCAAGTTATTCAAGTTTAATATTTGAGTTATATATCCACAAATAATTTATGCTTAAATTTAAGAGAGTGTACCACTTCTCCAAATGGCCTATAGTCGATCTTCTTGACTACAATCACTAGATAAATTTGCTAAAATCCCAACCTTCAAAACCCAACATACAATAGCTTCTAGGACCCAATTATGAGAAGTACTAGCACTCCTCCATCCAATTCGACTATGTCTCTCATCAATAGGAGCCATCCGAGATTTAAGTTCTCTCCTCTGACCACCCTGAGTTTAAATAGGCTGACAGAATATTTCCAACTTTCGATTAACTGAAATACATCCGAGAAACAGAATCCTTGAAACATTAGAAGTTTGCTTTAAAAGAAATAGAAGAGGATGATGTTTTTACTGTTGACGCCATGCAATCATACAAACCTAAACTAACATGCGACAATCTAACAGAAAATCAACTGCTACTCATCAATCTTCCTATTAATGCTACCATTTAAGAAATACAAGACTTTGTTCATTCCAAAACCAATTAACCTGTCTAAGTAGAACTTCACTCCTGCTCCCTCAATATTAATGCCTACGCCACTCTCACATTCTAAAATTAAGCTGAATAATACAAATCACAACTACATCTTACTAAATTCAATGGAATATTATAAGAGTGCAGATCCCTTGAAAATACAGCAGAAGAATCCCCGTTCAATAGAACCCTTGTGATTACCAATATTAATAAAACTCTCTCTCTTTAAGAAGTATTACACACTGTTGGCTAATATGGAAGAGTCCTAAATGCTGTGATTCCTTTGGAAGTTCAAAATGTTGATCTTCCGATCTATGAGGACATCATCCAAACCCTAGTTGACCCTTGCAAATTAGAAATCCTAGATGTATAAACAGGAAAAACAGAAATTGAATTCTACCCTAATCTTGAATAATTTGAACAACTTNTTATAAGGACATGAAAATTGTGTATATACTTTAGCCACCAAAGGGAACTTAATTGTTTCAGGAGATGAAGGTGGCTAATTGATAAAATGGTCATTGGTGCACATGAAAATTGAAAGCAAACAAAAGTAACATTCAGGATGTGTCAATTCTATCTTGATTAATGCTTAAATTTATTCTTGCGGAGATGATCGCAAAGTGAACGTCTGGGATACCGATCTTTAACTTAAGCATGTTATTGTAAAAATTTATAGTTATAACACTTAGCAATTGGAAAGGGCAGAATTGGAGTCATTATTATTTTTTAATAATAACCTAATTGTGGGTGGAGACGAATAAGGGTATCTGCAATTCATTGATCCTAAATAAGGAAAAGTGATTTCTGAGATCCCTGTTCATAATGATCGCATATACAAAATTATGTATTACGATGGAATCCTATGCACAGCCAGTTCAGATTTGTCTGTCAAGTTATTCAAGTTTAATATTTGAGTTATATATCCACAAATAATTTATGCTTAAATTTAAGAGAGTGTACCACTTCTCCAAATGGCCTATAGTCGATCTTCTTGACTACAATCACTAGATAAATTTGCTAAAATCCCAACCTTCAAAACCCAACATACAATAGCTTCTAGGACCCAATTATGAGAAGTACTAGCACTCCTCCATCCAATTCGACTATGTCTCTCATCAATAGGAGCCATCCGAGATTTAAGTTCTCTCCTCTGACCACCCTGAGTTTAAATAGGCTGACAGAATATTTCCAACTTTCGATTAACTGAAATACATCCGAGAAACAGAATCCTTGAAACATTAGAAGTTTGCTTTAAAAGAAATAGAAGAGGATGATGTTTTTACTGTTGACGCCATGCAATCATACAAACCTAAACTAACATGCGACAATCTAACAGAAAATCAACTGCTACTCATCAATCTTCCTATTAATGCTACCATTTAAGAAATACAAGACTTTGTTCATTCCAAAACCAATTAACCTGTCTAAGTAGAACTTCACTCCTGCTCCCTCAATATTAATGCCTACGCCACTCTCACATTCTAAAATTAAGCTGAATAATACAAATCACAACTACATCTTACTAAATTCAATGGAATATTATAAGAGTGCAGATCCCTTGAAAATACAGCAGAAGAATCCCCGTTCAATAGAACCCTTGTGATTACCAATATTAATAAAACTCTCTCTCTTTAAGAAGTATTACACACTGTTGGCTAATATGGAAGAGTCCTAAATGCTGTGATTCCTTTGGAAGTTCAAAATGTTGATCTTCCGATCTATGAGGACATCATCCAAACCCTAGTTGACCCTTGCAAATTAGAAATCCTAGATGTATAAACAGGAAAAACAGAAATTGAATTCTACCCTAATCTTGAATAATTTGAACAACTTTACAAAAATTGTAATTATCTATTATTTACTCCATAGTCCCTGAATATTATGATCCAAACCTTGAATTAACCCTATTTGAGTATCAATAATAAAAAGACTAAAAATAAGATTAATTCAGACTTTTCAGATTGCTAAATTAAAAAACTATCAAATGTCTTAAGGTGCCAAGTCATCTTAAAGAAAATTACAAAAAATTATGGATTCCTTAAATCAATGTTGATACTCCTAAAGATAATCTTCAATACTAATTATATGCGAAAACCTATAAAAATAGAGGTTACTGTGTTTGCACATTTTCAAGTAAGGCTATGGCTCAAAGAGCTTTATTTGCTATCAATGCTGAAGGTACTCATGATTTGGCTGTCTTGCCATTGCCTTTATTGAATACACCTAAATTCTATCCTGAAATTACATCCCATAGCAATCAAGAAAAGTATGGAGGCAAATTTAGAATTGAGAATTTGGCATATCCAAAATTAAGAGCCATGAAATCTTGGGAAGATTTGGAATTATATCAAATTGATTTAATTTACAATCTCAAACAACTAGAAAGAATTAGAACATAAATTTCCTAAGTGAGAGATCAAACAATTGAGGTTATTTAGACTAATTATGATACTTATAAAAATGATCTTGAAGAGAAAAAAGAAAAAGTAAAGTAAAAGGCTTATTCTGAATTAAACAAAAGTGAAGAATATAAAAATTTTGTTGAAAAGAATAGTTTTGCTGAATCCTTAGATTCTTTTGAAGACAGTGTAGCAGTTGTTAAAGATACTAAACCTGGAAGAAAATTTAATTTTTCAATTCACAATGAACAATATAAAGGTTATGTTGAAGCAATCAAAGACAGAGCAAAGGATATTAAATTGAGAGAAAAGGAGTATGCTGATAAATTAGTCAAAAAATATTAAACTATATTTATAAGTGATTCTATTTAAAGAAAGCTAGAGAAGAATGTTGAAAAGTCAGATGACACATTGTTATCATTACTTTAAGCAAGAGTACTAGGTGGCTATGCACTAAAGGAGAAAAAAATGAAAAAGAAACTTGTTAGGAATGCTAGGATGTTGAGTACAGCTTCTATGTATGCTGCAGATTCAGAGATGTAATTTAGAAGAATAGGAGAGTTATTTTCAGAAGTCAAGAAAAAAGGTAAGTATGTGATAAGTGAAGAGAATAGAGATTCAAAAGAGGCTTAAGAAAAAATAGCATTGAAAAAGCAAAGAAAATTCAAACGTCGTTTCAGTAGTACTATTTTGAACCCATTTTATTTAAAGAAATTAGCTTTGCAAAAACATGAAGAATTTTTGGAGTATATTAAAAAAATGTTGTTGGGAGATGAATCATAAAATGAAAGTTTGATTGCTATCCATCCTTTGAATCATAAAGATTAATTAAAAGTTAGTTTGGCTCTTGCAAAGGACGATTTGGGAAATGAATTCTTGAATGACAAAATAATCAATTATGTTAGAGAATTTGATATCACTGATGATACCCGAGATTTGATTAGATAATAAGAGGCTAATAGAAAACACTTAATGAGTCAGATTACTAAAGATTAGATTGCAAGAATCAAAGAATTTTCAAAATAATCCTATACATAAAAATTAATCTCATTAGATAAACATGGAATTACTACAGAAACTTTTGAAGTTACTGATAATGAAGTTGATATTAATTAAATGGTTAAAGATTTGAATGCTTTTGTTGCTGTTGGATCTGAAAAATATGATTTTGTAGTTGATAATTTAACTAAGAAAAAGTACATCATAAAGAGTGAAAAACCTTTTGTGAAATATGATTTGGATGCATTCTCAGTTAAAGATTTAGGAGTTCATAATTTAGAAAAAGAAGTATATTATAATTGTATTTTATTAGTTTGTAGATCTCTTGTCAAGAAACGGAATTTAAAGTGATAAAGCCGTTGAAATGCTTAAAGCCTTGGAGAATGATGGTTAGATTTCAGAAGAGATTTTGGATTTAATTGATAAATTGCCTGAAAATACAGAAACAGATTATGAGAAAATATTTTAAACTTAAGGATTAACAAGGAAATGTAATATTTAACTAATAATATTTTAGAATATGATTTAGCTAAATCATTAGATTTTAGAAATAATTTGGATGAAATCTAGAATGATATTGATTAATAAGCATATTTAAAGGATATTGCTAAAAAATATTCCCCATTGACAAATGATACCTTTATCAGAGACAAGGAATAAGGAAAACTAAAAATTAAGAATAAGAAAGACAAATTTTTGGTGCCAAAGTAGAAAAAATATTGAATTTTAAATTGTTTTATTATTATCCAGTAAATATTTCTAATCAGTCTATAAATAAATCTATCCCATTGACGACATTTCAAAATAATTTTATTTTTTTATAACAAAATTATATATTTAAGATTAAATATACTATTTCTTATTAAATGTTCAGAAAGGTTGAAGTTAAATATTTCATATTGATAAATTACAACAACATTCAAATCTTTAAATGACATTCATACATTATTCACCTTATTGAAGGATTAGGATCTATTATTGGATATATTTTTTATAATCAATAATTTTCAATGTCATATTTAATTACTTATAAAAATAGTATCTCAAAAATGAATCTAGCTTATTATATTATAAAAGTATAATTTTAAGATACTAATAGATTTCAATTTAATAGAGTATATTTTTGCCTAGAATCCTAAAACAAACATTTTATTTCAAATATGATAAAGTTTAAATAAGATTTAGGGAATAAATTTATGAGTATTTTTAGTTGATTATTTTATGAAATTCATTATTATTATTTTATAATAATTATAATAATTAGAGATACAATTATAGCATTCAGAAAAACTTGTAGAAGAGTTTTAATTTAATTTAATCATAACAATTTTAGTAAGATAGAATGATCATTTTTATATCTATTTAAAATATGATATTCTGATATATTTATTAATAAAATAAAGATTTTAATATGCTGAGACTTGTGAGCAAGAAGTCATTCTCATCAACATTTAATGTGTTGGATACCTTCAAAACATTCAAAAGCGTGGTAAGAATAATTGCTTAACTCTAAGATCACAGCTCCAATTAGACATATAAGGTCATATGTTAGATAGGATGGCGTTCATAGTTCTATGACACCTAACTTGACATATTAGGCTTTTGATGAAGTGCTTCATGAATATTATGCTGCTTATTCTGGAAATCCATTCCACTTATAGGTGTATAATAACCTCGATAACATCTAAACTGTCAATTTTGGTACAGTAGACAATCCTTGCGTTATTTTCACTGCAGATACTCCATTCAGATATGTGGGATGCACAGGTTTGTAAAACGAAGACGATTATGAACAACATGAAATTCATCTTTTCATGCTTAGAGAAGGTCCATTATAGAGATGCCCAATGTGTGGTCAAGTTTTCAAATTGGTTAGACTTAGACAATAAGAGGATGAGGAAATGTCTTACTATAGAGATTCATTCCATCCTATTGATATTTTTGAATTGGATGTAAAATAAATCTCCTATTTTAGAATGAAAATGTTTAATCAATTAACATGTTCAAAATGTGGACTCACAGAGAAGCTTCATTATTTGAGAGTGCTTTGTATGAATAAAACATTATGGTAACTATGGATAACGATGTACACGATAGATTACTTGTTGATCCAGCCTATAGAATGTGGAGATTTTAACATGGTGAAGATAAATTAAAATACATTGATTAATAATTGAAATAAGCAGGCTATAATGAAGAAAGAATCTACAGAAATCCAAAATACAAATTACCAATGTAAAAGGCAACATATGCAGCTGTCATTGAAGCAGAGAAAGTGTTGGCTATCTAAGAGAGATTAGAAAGAAAAGTGAACAGATTCCATGTTAGAGAATATCTTGATTTTGCTAATCATGCCAGAAGAGAAAGAAGAATGAGATTAAGATAAAAGGAAAGATGGGAGAACAATTACACTTACTTCTATGGAGGTCTTACTGAAGAGGAATAATTATATAATGATTACTTTGAAACAGATTAAGAATTATACAAGGATGACGAATAAGTTGAATAGAGAATTGATGAGGCAGTTGCTTAAGTTGATCCTAAATATAGTCCTCTCAGATTTGACTTCTAAGAAGCCTATACTCACAACCCTGAAGAAGATTAAACATCCCTTCTTGAAAAGAAATTGTGGAGATTCAAATATAGATTAGCATTTGATTGCACCAAAGATTATTAAGTTAGAGAAAGAAGATTGATTGAAAGACATTTGGCAAGAATGACCAAAGACCCAGAATACGTGGCTGTTTTCAAGAATCTATAAACTGCTGTTAATTCAGAAAATGAATTTGCACTCTTATAGGCTGAAAAGGACTATTATAATCTTGCAGCTAAGGAAGGATGTAATATTATTATATCAAATATTTAGTTCTTTAATACAAGGATTATTTTGAAGGAGATACTTCTGCTGAAATTGAATTAGTTGAGGAATTATATAAGGCTTCACCTTTGGCATTCAGCAAAGTTTTTGTAAATCATTCAGCAAGATTAGTCTAATAAGAAGGTTTCTAGAAATTCCCTAAAAGAGCTTGGAATGATAGTCTTGGATTAATTTAAAATTATGTTTTAGATTTCTAAGATTTTTCATCTAACATAGTACCCAAAGCTCAAAAATTGGCTAATTATGCTGGTTTATAAAATGTAATTATAAAATATTCTATTTGTAGGTACTTCCTGCTGATGAGTAAGAATTGGTAAAACTTGGTTTAGATAAGACTGAATAAATTGCAAGATAAAAAATTGCATAAGCTTAAGAAAAACCATAACTAAATGAGCCAAAAAAGTAAGCTCAACAATAATAAGCTCCTCCAAAAGTTGAAGCAGAGTAATAATAATAACAATAGTAATAACAATAATAATAATAATAATAGTAATAATAGTAATAGTAATAATAATAGTAATAATAAAAGAAAGGACCATTCACCAAAAAAAAATGATAATTTTCATTATTCATTAAACAGAATATTACATTATAATTATATTTCAGACTAACATTATATATTCATTCTTATTGATCTTAATTTTATTCTATTTGCATTTCTTCCCTATTATCTCTATACTCAGAAAACAGTTCTTAATAATCAACCTTTTATCGACTTTCCTTTCCAATTGCATGATGATCAATTTAAGCACAACCAGGATTTATTTATTTGAGGTTTTCTAGAATTTATACGCTTTAAAGAATATTGATCTGATTTACATATTTTTTTCCAAATAATCTTTAGAATTTTACTCTTCCATATTCGAAATTGGTAAATGTAATTTATATTCAGGACCAAAATAGACTTTGTAATCTGATTCATCAGGAATATTATCTTATATTGGTACATTCAAAGCTAGAGAAGTTTCATAAGTCCAACATCTGGGAACATTTCTCAGAGTATAGCCTCCCCCTCCAACCATTATTATTGGAACATTGAATTTCTTCAAATACTCAATGCATGTGCCATGTCCTACATTGATATCAAATTAGTACCTTTAATACTTAAATTGAAACACCCCAATCGATCACCACTAAGACTGTCAGTACCTCCTTATAACATTACAACATCAGGTCTGAAATTTTCCATAATTTTATCGATGACTGGTTTGAAAATATATTAGATTGAGTCATCATTTAAACCTTCATTCAAAGGAAAGTTAACTGCATAATATTTCCCTTTATCATGTCCAACATCATCAATATGTCCAGTTCCTGGGAAGTATTCTTTAAATTTATGAAATGAACATGTCATCACTCTATCAGTTAAATAGAAAGCTTCCTCTACTCCATCTCCATGATGAATATCAATATCAACATAAAGTACTCGCTAATATGTTTTTAATAATTCTAATATCCCAAGCACGCAATCATTAACATAACAGAATCCACTTGCCTCACTTTACTTGGCATGATGTAATCCTCCACTCCAATTAATTGCAATATTGCTTTTTTGATCTGCAATCACACATGCTGCACCAACTGATCCAGATGTTTAACATAGGCAAAAATCGAACAACCTATCTAAGACTGGACAATCCTCCATAAAATTAACTAAACTCAAGGTCTAATTTTACATCTATAAAGTTGATCTTCATATTGACATTTATTTTCAGGAGTAATTATTTTGATTAAATCTATGTATTCGTAAGAATGAAATTAAGTTAATACATCTTCATCCACTCTTTTTATGTATGTTTATACAAAAGATTAATCCTAAATATTCAATTTTAAATGTCTTACAATACAATTCATATATTATTTCAATCCATAATGACCGACTAAATCATCTGTTATGGCTACTCTTAATGGCTTCATTGGGTGTGTAGTTGAATAATTGAATGTCCCGAATTCTTCATCATAGTAGTATGTCACCTTCTATTTAAAGAGATTCATCTTCCCAAATAAATTTTAGAATTTTATTATTGACTTTATAACTTTTTTAATTACAAGATTTTAATAAAATCACAATTACCTTCTAAAACTGCCTCTTTGTTACACCCTCCTCAATTTTTAGCAAATATACTTTCATTTTTGATTATTCTATTGGCATTAACAGAATTTATACAATTTAATTTCATTTTAATTATATTATCTGTTAATCAAAAAATGTTTTCTGCCAGGGATTAACTTAGCTTTTCAAGAAAAACTATGCAACACTTTTCAATCGCCTCTTAAAAACCTATTAGATATGCAACCTAGTACTGTGGGGATGCTGAATATTCATCTTCAATTTTCAATTCTGATTATGAATTACTAAGAACAAAAGAAAAATATAAATAAAAGTGTGAGGAAATAGATATGAAGAAAAATCAATTAAATTCTGATCATCTAGATCTCGAATTTAGAGCTGAGGTATCATTTACTTTCCTATGTAGAAACTAAGGTAAGGAGAGAATGAGGTTAAGTATATGGCTGAACTTCTAAAAAAAAAGCTTAAATAAATTAAGCAACAAGAATAATAAATAAAGGAAAATCAAAGTTCCTTTGCTGATAAATTCAGGGATAAGGAACAATCAATAATTGAATAATAAAAATTAATCAAAGNTATGTCCAGTTCCTGGGAAGTATTCTTTAAATTTATGAAATGAACATGTCATCACTCTATCAGTTAAATAGAAAGCTTCCTCTACTCCATCTCCATGATGAATATCAATATCAACATAAAGTACTCGCTAATATGTTTTTAATAATTCTAATATCCCAAGCACGCAATCATTAACATAACAGAATCCACTTGCCTCACTTTACTTGGCATGATGTAATCCTCCACTCCAATTAATTGCAATATTGCTTTTTTGATCTGCAATCACACATGCTGCACCAACTGATCCAGATGTTTAACATAGGCAAAAATCGAACAACCTATCTAAGACTGGACAATCCTCCATAAAATTAACTAAACTCAAGGTCTAATTTTACATCTATAAAGTTGATCTTCATATTGACATTTATTTTCAGGAGTAATTATTTTGATTAAATCTATGTATTCGTAAGAATGAAATTAAGTTAATACATCTTCATCCACTCTTTTTATGTATGTTTATACAAAAGATTAATCCTAAATATTCAATTTTAAATGTCTTACAATACAATTCATATATTATTTCAATCCATAATGACCGACTAAATCATCTGTTATGGCTACTCTTAATGGCTTCATTGGGTGTGTAGTTGAATAATTGAATGTCCCGAATTCTTCATCATAGTAGTATGTCACCTTCTATTTAAAGAGATTCATCTTCCCAAATAAATTTTAGAATTTTATTATTGACTTTATAACTTTTTTAATTACAAGATTTTAATAAAATCACAATTACCTTCTAAAACTGCCTCTTTGTTACACCCTCCTCAATTTTTAGCAAATATACTTTCATTTTTGATTATTCTATTGGCATTAACAGAATTTATACAATTTAATTTCATTTTAATTATATTATCTGTTAATCAAAAAATGTTTTCTGCCAGGGATTAACTTAGCTTTTCAAGAAAAACTATGCAACACTTTTCAATCGCCTCTTAAAAACCTATTAGATATGCAACCTAGTACTGTGGGGATGCTGAATATTCATCTTCAATTTTCAATTCTGATTATGAATTACTAAGAACAAAAGAAAAATATAAATAAAAGTGTGAGGAAATAGATATGAAGAAAAATCAATTAAATTCTGATCATCTAGATCTCGAATTTAGAGCTGAGGTATCATTTACTTTCCTATGTAGAAACTAAGGTAAGGAGAGAATGAGGTTAAGTATATGGCTGAACTTCTAAAAAAAAAGCTTAAATAAATTAAGCAACAAGAATAATAAATAAAGGAAAATCAAAGTTCCTTTGCTGATAAATTCAGGGATAAGGAACAATCAATAATTGAATAATAAAAATTAATCAAAGAAAAACAAGACCAATTAATATTGAAAGAAGAATAACTAAAAGTAAGAGAGTAAAGTCTTAAAGAGAAAGAGTCCCTTCTACAGGAGTAAACTACTTATTACACGTAATTCAATGAACGTCTAAAAATCAATATAGAAGAAACGAATAAAAAGGAGTGTATCTATTTTAAATATAGTTTAGAATTTTACATGCAATAAATAAGTAAAATGAATTAAACAGTTGAAACCTTGTTGCATCACGAAAATCATATAAGAGACTTAGAATTCAGACTAACTTAGTAGATTTAAGGATTAAAAGATTTTGATAATTAAATTAGGTAATAGTAAACGGCTATAGTAGAATTTAAGTTCTAAATTGCAAATAATAGGAAGAATTAATTGATTAAAAAGAATAAGGCATTCTAAATAGTCAAGAACTCATCAATCGAAAATTACTTTGGGATTAAAAAAATATTACTAGATAGCATCTATAGTAGATTTCAAACTATATGACTGATTAAAAGTACTATTGAATAAACTATGTTGTATTTTCTTATTTAATTAAATGTACCAAATCTTATTTTCTTCCATTTTGATATTAATATTCTGTTAATTTACTTACTTTTGAGTTATTGATTTTCTTAATTTTGTAATAGATATATCAGAAAGTTATAGTATAAATAGATGTTTAATTTTTGCAAAAAGTTAAGACTAATTGAAGAGAATGATTTGATATTGAATTTTTAGGAAAATTTCAAATTACTGTTTACTGTTATATTGTCTATCAAAATAAATTAATTTTTAATTCATATTTTCTATCTATTTTGGAATAAGGTAAAACTAATGGATTGACAATATAGGTATATATTTTTTAAATGTTAAATAATTAGGCTGGGATTTGTTTTCAGCAAAAATTAATTTTGTAGATTTTTTTTGGAAATTATAAATTGGCTTTTTTTCTTAAAATAAGCGCTTTATCTTTTATTATGCTTTTAGTGATTCTGATAATTAATATTAAATTCAATTTAGATTTGATAAGCCCTAAAAATAACTATCACTGGTATAAATTGTTATAATCTCATTTTTTTATAATTGTACAAATAATGAAAAGTTAAGTTTTCTTTCTAGATTTGATTTAAAAGAAGTGATAAATTTAAATTAACAATTAACATTATACTTATAAAGAAAGAAAAATATAGATTTAAAGATTATGATCATGTAAAATTTATATCAATCAATAAATAATTTTAAAAGTGAATTGCATATTTTATTCTCTAATCTTACTCTTATGTCTAAATCAACTCTCATTTCTTCGTTTCCTTTCAAGGGATATTTGCATCTATATCTTAATGATAGAAGTCTAAATAAATGTTGGTATTCAGCATCCTCTTCATTATTCTTATCACTTTTTCGCTTTTGAATTGATAATTTAGCTAAGCATTCCTCCAACCATAGATTCGTTCCATCTCTTCGCTCAGATAAATGATATTCATCTTCTCCAAGTGCTATTCTAGCCATGTGATCATTTAAAATCAATTTTCCATAATAAGGAAAATATATTTTAATAAATTTCTTCATTCTAATATCGTATAATTTAAATACTTTCTGTATAAGTATAATACAATGAGAAATCCTCTCACATTTCTATTTTTTAATTCTTTTGTATTTATTGAAAACAAAATGGCAGAACTCTATTTTCTATTAAAAGCTTGATTAGCAGATCTCACAAATATTTCAAATATGATATCTGTGATAGATTCTCTCATATAATGCATTAAAGCTAAGACTCCATCTAATAAATTTTTATCTTCTGAAACTTTAACATAAACAGGTTATAAATTTTATTTGACTTCTTCATCCCTTTCTGCACGCATTTTATCAATTAATAGATATTCTCTTAATTTTCGTTCTCTTCTGGCTAGTTCAGCATTTGCTTCATTTAATTCCGATTTTAATGTATTGATTTCATCATTCATATTTTTAACTTAACGATTCAACTCTGCGTTTAGTTTTTTTAAATTATCATTTTCAACTAAAAATGGCAAATTCAGCTCTTTCGAGTCTTTTGAAATCTTTTTTATTTCTGAACCAGAGTCTTAATTTCTATTTGCAAATTGTGTCATAAGTTATTAAAGCTAATTAGTAATGTCTTGAATTTATTAATCCTTTTATTTCATTGCTCTTTCCAATTCTCTAAGTTTTGGAGGTTCAGCTTCAACCCTGTTAGAATTTTGAAATTTATCTTAATTCAATCTATTAATTTGGTAAAGTTCGTGTTCTAAATATTTGACTCTTCCACTGAGCCTGGAGATTTCAATATTCCTTAAATTGAATACAACACTTACTTTTGTGCCACAAGAGCTTCAAAATTATATTACATATCAGTAATAATGGCTCTCAATCGCAAATTGTCTTCCTCATGCAAACCCTTAATAAAATGCAATCTATCTAGGGTTTAGGATAGTGTTGAGATTTCCTTAATATAAATCAATTCTGTACATGATTTCTGATATCGATTCCTTGTAGTAGATTTGGTATAACATACTCGTCGTTAGCAATTTACATTTAATAATTTAATTTTCCAATTAATTATATTACTGCTAGTATGTTTTAAGTAGAAGATTATATGCATATTATTGAGTTTTCATTTACATGCACAATAACTTCATTTAATGATTAGCATAATAGACACCAAGTTCAATTTTATTATAAAATAATATATATAAAAATAATATTACAATGTCCCAAGAACATGATTTAGATGACATAGCTGAATAGCAATTGGCCGAATAAACTGCTCTGAGTTAAATACCTTCAATCCCAGATCAGGCATTGCCAACTCGACAATATTTGGAGAAAGCAGTTATCGATCAACTTCATGGTAGATTATTTGAATTAAAGTGAAGATGCATTAAAGGCATTGGCAAGGGAAAGACCCAAAAATCCAATTGAATTTTTTTCATATTATTTGTTGACTCAACATTGCAACAAAAAGAAGGAATTACAAGAATAATGAAATTAACTGCAGTATAATTGTATAATCCCAATGTGATAATAAATATTTAAATATTAATGCTCAAACATCTTTATGATACAGATTGTGTGACATGGTCCCCACAAGGAAAGTTGTTCTAGGTCGAATATGCTATGGAAGCTGTCAAATAGGGAAGCATTTGTTTAGGACTCAAATCAAATGAATATGTTGTCCTATGCAGTCTTAAACGATAACCTTCAGAATTAGCTGGTTATTAAGAAAAGCAATTCAAAATCGATGATCATATGGCTATTGCTATTGCTGGATTAACTGCTGATGCTAGTAAAAATCAAACATAGTATTTTAGGGGTGCTCTGTAAATATATGAGAACAGAATGTTTGGAATATAAATACACTTACGAGTCTCATCATCCAGTTGGAAGACTAGTATTTAAAGTAGCAGAAAGTATGAACAATCATATTCATCCAAGAATCACAGCATAAAACATAGAGTGGAGCCAAAAGACCTTATGGAGTGGGATTATTGGTTGCAGGCATAGATCCAAATGGAGTACATTTGTTTGAGACATGTCCATCAGGAAACTATTATGAATATAAGTGTCAAGCCATAGGTTCAAGATCGTAGGCAGCCAGAACTTATTTTGAAAGTTGGTTCCATTTATTTGAGAAAAGTACCTTAGAATAGTTAATTTTACATGGTTTGAGTGCCCTTAAGAAGGCAATCATGGAAGATGAAGAGTAATCATTCAATCGCTATTTTAGATTAAATGAAAGAAATGTCGAAGTGGGTATCTTAGGCAAAAATTAGAAATTTATTCACCTTAATGCCTAAGAATTAAAAGACTATATAGTAAAATTAGAAACATTTAATGCCAACACTTAAATTTAATAAGAGTGATGATTAAATAATAATATTGATATATTTATATAGAAACACATATGGTCCAATCATTTTTCGATACTAAATTTTTATCCATAAGTAAAGTTTGTGTTAAGCTTTGTATCTCGTCTCTCTTGTTGCTTTTGTTTTTCTAGATATGATAAGAATTTATACTATTTTATTCTTTTTCTTCCTTCCCCCACTCTTCTATAACCAATTTGTAGTCAAATTTACGAACATCAGATTCCCCTTATAACTCAAATAGTCTTAAAAAAAAGTAATCAAAGGCTTCATTGCTAAGACTTATTCCAATATAATTAAATGCTTTTGTCAACTAATCTTTTGTCAGTTGAGGCTAATTAAATGTAGGGAGATATGATAAGATTGACTTTTTAAATTTCATAATTTATGCACTTATCTCATTACTATATTGTCTTTCTTCATCCTCTGTAAATATTCTACATTTTCCTATCAATTATTTGAATATGCTTCTCACTATCTATAATTGACAAGTGGCTTCTTCATCATATTCCACCCAATCTTAAGTGTTATCTTCAATCATATATCTAGCCAATAAGTACATTTTCTCTACATCCTTCAACTCAAAAGGACTGTCACTTAATTTCAAAGCAATATCCTTAATAGAAATCCTGCCTTTTTATTTTATCTAAGCATCAAAAAGATCATTTTCAACCACATCTTCTAATTTTAATTTTTTCAATCTAAACCTCATGTTCAATTCTAAGCCTAGATCCTTAATATCTTCTTATTTAACTGTTCTTCTTCTTCTAACTCCACCACTTTATGGTCGTTGTTTTTAGCTTGGCTTCTCTTCTTGAATTAATCCCAATTAACTACCCTAATTGTGATGATGTGGTTAGTTAATAGGCAATTATGAAAGAGGAGGTTTAGAATCCTTTTCAAAACTTGGTATAACAGCCATAGTGCCCATTGTAGCCAATTTAACAGTTGAAGTTCTTGCACTTTTTCTGTCTGATTTCTATTATTGCGGATATTCTTCCTGGAAATCTTACTATGCAACTTATAATAGTAAATTCTTATATTTTTCATCCACCAATTCAAATTAGTTTTTATAATATTCCATATCATTTTCCAACTGTTTTCTCTCTCTTTCTTATTATTTGAAATTCTCTTATTCATAATGTTTCATCTCTTATATGTGTTTTTCTAATTGTTTTATAGTTTCATTCCTTTCATCAATATTAATTTTAAGATCTATGATATTCTATTCTAATTCTCTAATGTGCAGATCATCATTATGAGTTTTGGTAGCTTTAATAATTAAATTGTTATTTATGGTCTTTAAATTTTAGATTTCTTATTATAGGATTTCACATTTATCATTATATTCTTATACTTATTATTTTAGATATTCTGATTACTCCTCTGCTCTTGTCTTCAACATATCATACTATTCACACTTAACTTAAGCATTGAATAGTTCCTCGTCCTTTTATTTGATTAACCCATTAAACTAATCCATTTCCTATTGGAGAGAATTGATAACCTTCATTTACACATAGAATTTCTCCTCAAAATTATCCATCTAAACAGCCCTAAAAATTAAAATCTTATATACATTTTTTAGGCTGCCTAATTCCTCAGAGCTTAATCTAATAAACTTCTAAGTCTTATTGATTCTTCTATATAGTTTTTTAATTCAGCTTCGATCTCTTATATCTTAGTAACTTTAATGTGTTTCTTCAATATCGATAACTCGGCCTCTTTTTCTGTTAATTATGATTTCACATCTTTCAGAGTCTTCTTTAGATTATTCATTAAAATATGATCCCCCAATGCTTGATGTCCTTAACCTGTTTGTATATAGCTATCCAAATTTTCAAGTAGCTTTTCCAATTTTGAATTTTCCTTTTAAAGTTACCCATTTTTAGTTTTCAATCTCACATTCTCCTCTTTGATCTTATTGATTTATTATTTGAGTTCTATTTGTTCTTCATATAAAGTTTCCTTTTCTTTTTTAATATTTTTTGGTAACTTTTTATCCCCAATTTATGAAGGTGGATTTAATAAAATGGCATTAATACTTAATTTTTAACAATTATAATTACTCTATTCCTTGCTTATCAAAATTATCATAATCTTACTCTTCTAAAATAACCTCTTCATCTGTTCTTTTCTTTCCTCTAATAATAGTAAAAATTATTTACAGTTTCGAATTTTTTGTCACTACAGCTGAATGCGGTCTAACATTCGGTAACTTCTTAGTGCCTCCATAAGTGTTTGACAATTAAGATGGTAAGCGTGATTTAGCACTATCAGGTCTTCCTTTTAAGTTAAATGCCTAAATTAAGATAAATCTTACTGAAGAAGGTCGGCTTTGAAAATCGTATTCCATTTTATAATTTAAAATAATAACTATTTCATTCAATAATAATATCAATATTATTATCACATGATAATAAGTAAATTTTGTATGTCATCATTTCAAATATCATAACTTATATGCTGTTTTAGAATTCATATTGCTTTAATCTAAAATATTTGGATTGAAATTATAATTCAAATTTTTATAATATGTTTCTTGTATAAATAAAAGGCAAGTAAAGTATGGTAACGTATGAAATTTATATTAATAGTTATGATGAAAATATAGATAGACTTTTTTAGTTTTTAAATAGGTAACAACAACTTGATTTATGTTTTTTCTGTGTTTATAAATTAAGATGCGAAATTAAAGTCTGAGGATTGAAAGGAATAATTAATTACAATGTTTAAACTTATTTAATATTATTAATCGTTCATTCGGCATGTCCTAGTTTTGCGGCTTTATAATCTTCTGCAAAATGCAACAAGGAAGCTGTAAAAACTGCTAACATTTTTGCTTTGCCCTAAGTAATGATAAATGAAATGGTCTACATCTCTTATTTATTCCCAAATTAAAAATACTGTGGCACCCAATCTTCTAGCAACTGAGATCACATACTTGGCATTACTCTCAATTTCTTCTGGGGTTTCACCTTAAGAATTGAATGATTAACTATAAATACCTTTTTAAACGAAGTCCCAATCAATAGCTCTTGCCTCAATTGAATTCAAAAGTCTGAAGAAGAAATGACTTGTCTTAGCCTTTGGATCCTTGAATGAAGCTAATCTTTCAGCTTCAGGGACCTTCTTATTGGCTGCCTCTAAGATTTGGTCATCCTTTTAGTCTCCCATAGTCTATTGAATAATGATAAAATCAATTACCTTTAAGACATCTAATCTAAATAATTACCAGATGACACCCAAAATGAGTTTCTTCTTTCCATCTACAAAGTCAACTCCACCTACGTTGACAAGAGTAATTTTGAATGTTTTAGCTTATTCCAAAGAATAGTTAGCATTTTGAACTTTAATAATTCTTGATTTGGCTGGGATTTTAACATTCCTCCAATTAATGGTTTATGGCTTTAATTTTTCTAACAATCTATTGAGATTGATTCCATCTCTCATGTCTTCAATCAAATTATTGATATATCCATCTTCTATGTTAAGACTGTTGATCCACATCTTGAATACTCTTTCATCCATACTGCTTTCAGGATCATCATCTTCTTGTAACATTTTAGTTTTTTCATAATCATCTTGACTTGGGGTCAATCCAGGACAAGCATTGAAAATTTATGCACAGAACAACAAGTTCAATTTTGAATTTCCTTTAACTATATGGATGGGTCTCATGAATTTAGGAACACCAATGGATTCAGCATTTAATATAATAATTTTGGCTCTGTTTTCAGGATCTTAGCCAAGTCCATCCAAACTGCATCTATTCTTATCTAATTGATTGAGCAAGACTATGTAGTTTTCACCATCTTGCAAGTCCTTATCAAAGTTATTTACTTGTCTTTGAGATTTGGCTTCCTTCAAATGATGATTGAACCATCTTAATAGTAATTAATCAGGGGGTAGTTTAAGAATGTCTCCAATTTCTTCATCCTCCTTTTTGAGTCTTATCAAAAATGGATTTTCTTTCAAATTTACCATTTTTGTTGTTTAAATCTATTAAATTATGGAATAATATTACCTTAATGATTTACCAAACCAATCCAAGAATAATGTGCTCTCTTTTATCTTTGATTAAGTCAGGTCTGATATTAACAACAACGCATCCGATTGATTTAGCTGATTGGATGGCTAAATTCAAGTTGATCTATTGGATATATATTATTCTTTAATACATTTTCATTGAAGATGTTGAGTGGCTTCTTCACATTTATGGCTCTTGGATCAATTGCTCCATTTTATGCCAAATTGATGATTTTACACAACAATATACCATCTCCCACTTTGATAAACATATCATTTGTTTCTGGATCCAATGGTAAAATGTCAGCAACATCCTTATCGTCTCTAAGGTAGTAATTGATGTGATCACAAAAGGATGATACTTCATCTTGAGAATAAGTGTGATGAGATCCATCACCCTTTTCTACCTTTAAGGCTTGCATTTGCTTCAGATTATCCATGTTATTTAATAATATAATTTAATCAAGATATTTCTTTGTCTTAAATTGCAGTATTTTATTAGATTGCCTATTCTACATGATTTTGCTTTTCAACAACTTAATCCATTTTATCCTTATTTTTATTCTTTTTCTTAGCACTCTTATTTTTCGATTCCACTGTGTGCTTCTTCAAAATAGCCACTCTCTTTTTGTATTCAATAGACTTTTGGAAATCCTTTAAATTACAAATGCACATATGATAATCATCAAGTTCTGTCTCTGGGATCACCATGGCATGATTTTCCTTATCTATTTCTTCATCATCTATGAACGAATCATCCTGATCATAAACATTTTGCCCCTTTTCATAATCAAAGTCCTTTTGCATGGCTCCGGTTTTCCTAGCAATTTAATAAGGATTGTCTAATTTGCCATATTGGGCGCATCTTTAGACAATGTTATCAATTAAATTCCTTTTGGCATTATGAACTTGCTCCTCTTAATAAATGGGAGACTTAAAAAACTTGCCTTCCGGAGTCTCTATATCAATTACAATCCACTCATCCATCTCTTATATATATATATATAAAATTAATTAGTTTTAAATAAACTTGTCATATAAAAATAGAGGTAACTATTAATTTTTGTGATTCTACTGAATTCTATCAAATTACTCTTTGTCAATTAATGCATTCAATTATTGAATGCAGATAAATAAATATATTAAATTCATCTAATCATTTTAGTAAACTAAATCTTGTCTTAAGTAGAAATGTCTTTCTCAAACCTTAAGAAGTTTCAGCTGGTTCAGATTTTAAAGCAGGCAATGACACTATTCTATTAATCTGATACACTCTCTTAAACTCCATTATTTACATCTAACAACTGAGATAGCCATCATAGTTGAATCCCCCAAAAATGAGTAACTTATTACCTATATTATAATGATGTTAACTTACCATCAATGCAAGAGGAATGGCCAGCTCTAGGCTAAGGAATCACTCCTTCCTATTAGATTATAAACCATTCGTTATTCCTTAACGCATAGATTTAATTGGAGAATGTGGTTTATTGCATATCATCTATCTTGCCTCCATATAACAAAATAAATGGATCGTAATAAGCCATAGTATGCATCATTAATTTTGGTGGCTTAGACCCTATGGTTTCTTTTGGTTTCCAATTTTAAATTGCATCATACGTATAAAGCTAATCATAAACCTCATCATTCTAATTGACTCCACCATATAAGTATATTGTCTCTTGGACTTCTACAATGGCTGTGTGCATAATTCCTTTGGCAAATACATTTTTGGGATTAGGAACTTCATGAAATCTGGAATGAGCAGTATCAAAAATCATAGTATCGTTGAGAACCTTGTTTTTAAAGCCTTCTCCACCAATAATGAAGATGGAATCTTTGTAATTAGTAGCGGCATGATACTTTCTCATTTGAAATATTCCTGTGTACTTGATGGTTTGCCATCTTTCACCATCAAACTTTTGAATTTCATTCACAAAACATTTGGATCTAAGAGGACCGTAATTATTGATTTATTCTCCTCCTATCACATATAAATCAGTTGATATAGAAGTCATTGTATGGCCATATCTTGGTGTGACATTTTATAAAGAAGTCCATTTATTGCTTGCTAATTCAATTTATAAAATATTTTACTTGTTTCAAATTAACAAAAATCGTTATTTACTGAATTACCAAAACCTCCACTTAGAAATATGGAACCTTGATGAGTTACCATCTGTCCAAACTCTCTAAATTGGGGAAACCAATTTTACTCACAAACTATCCAATTGCCTTTAATCAAACAATTCTAATTGATGTTGGTTTCAATAACTGATTGTTGTCTCTTGAATTTGATTTTATTATTATTAGTTTTCAATTTTAATGTTTTATTACTATTTTTAATTAATGTTTTGTATTGAGTCTGTCTAAAGATTGTATTTTTAAAATCATCATTCAATTTCTCATGCACAGCCACAAAGATTTATTCAAACAATCCCTTTTTTTCTTGGAGAGCAGGCAATGTATGTTATTTAACTTTCTATCCCTAACTTATTTAATAGAATGATTTCTCTAACTGTTGGTAATCCTTTCCTTAAGTTGCAATGGAACTATTGACTGATTATCTACCACAAGTGAGTTAGGATTAATCAAGTCTTTTATTTCTAATATTTATCATAATAAAAATTAATATGAGTTTATCGTTTTCATCTTTTGGGAAAATTCTTGAAAAAACCCAGCCAATAGCAGTTGATGAAGTAATAAATCTCAATGGACACATACTCCCAACCATAAAGAAGGACAAAAAGTAATAAAATAGCAATTATTAAGCAAGCTCTAAATGTTTTCATTGTTGAGAAAAAATGAAGGAAAACAATAAAATGAATCCTTTCCCTTTAACGCTGTATCCAGAAGAGCCAAACCAACTCTCTGTTGTCTGATGCCAGAAAAATCATACGAAGCAAAATACACCCCAAAATTTGAAGTTGTTTAATGTAAATCTCCTTCCTTTGATTTTGGATCAGGAAATTAAATAAGAACAAGATCGATCTCGATTTGTAGTCAAGATTACTATATTGATTAATACACCTCCTTTAGAACTATGTCAAAATCAACTAAGGCTTAAACTGAAAAGAAAAACACAATCTCTCATATAAAAGAGGAATGCCCTAAGTTATTGCATTCCTTGAAGGTGTAACTGGATAAAAATAAGAGAAGCAAGACTCATAATTGTTCTCCTGATTTTAATAAGTATACTGATCGTAAATATACTTAGAGAGAATTTTTGCAGCAATACGATTTGCTCGGAGTAAATTATTCGAGAATAGTAAAATTTATTTAAAATAATGAAAGAACAAAAGACTTGATGTAGGATATGTTGAATTCAGTAAATTTACCAACAAAGTTATGATGAAACAAGACAGAGCCGAAACACCCCCATCAGTTCGTTTGGACTACAATTTTGATAAACCAAAACAAATGAGGAACATCTATTTAGGCAACCACAAACCACTGTAACCTAAACTCAAACCCAAACACTTATAAACTATTAATAATTGTGGGTAAAGGTACATCAAAAGAACATAGGAACTAATGTAATGGTCAGACTAGTGAATAGTAGTAGTAGATTAATTTATATAATATAAATATGTCGATAAATCTAAATAAGTTATCAACAGCATTTTTTGTTTTTCTAATGAACTTAGTACAAACTTTTAGATGTGCCTCTTACAAACTCAGGATTCTCTAATTCCATTTGGGATGCCATTGTGCCAACTCTATCAAACATTTCCTCGATATTTTATTTATATCAAACCTTCTATTCCTTAGCCAGTCTTCGCAGACACCAAGAATAATTCTCCATTTATTTTATCTGCAAACTTTTTGGCTTCCGCATATGTGACATTGTCATTATCCAGATCAACTTTATTTCCGCATAAAGCCAAAATCATTTTGTTCCCGTCACAATTATCCTTTAGATCTTCATGCCACTTCTCGAGGTTGCGAAATGTCTCCTTATTTGTGATGTCATATACCAAAATGGCGATTTAGGATTCTTGTAGACTTTATACCAAAATCAAATAACTACATCTATAGTATATTTTAGTCAGGGCCCGAAAAGCTTCTTAGCCAGCTGTGTCCCACAACTGGAATGTTATATCTTCTCCATTTATATTAATAGTTTTAGATTGAAATGAGCTTCCGATGGTTGGTTCTGTCTTCCCATCATATTAATTTTACACTATTCGTTTCACTATGCAACTCTTTCCCACATTTTGACTTCCTAAAAATACTGTTTTAAATTATCTATTGCTCATATTACTTTTATAAAATAATTCAATTAAATGGGACAGAGCTGTATGAATAAAAAGAAAGAATTAAATGACCCTATGCTTCTATCTATCAAACCTATAAATAGAACCAAAAAACCAACTTGGGAATTGCATTATAACGAGGGCAGACCTGAAACTCAGGAAGATCTTGACTTTGACATTGAAACAAGAATTCTAAAAAAAAAAGAAGTCCGTTTCGCTACTCCTGAAAAAGGCGGACACTCCTTCTCTCAAGGAGTGAAGTACCAAAAAGAATTGTTAATGAAATAAATGTTCGGCGACATGTTTGCAAGGAAAAAGTATAGTTTAATACGATCCGACAGGGTATTAAGAGAAAAAGAATACCACAACAGAATCAACCAAACTTAAAATGTAGACTTCAGTTTTTCTCCAGGGAAATTGTCACTTAAATAAATTAATATTGACCCTTCCGATCAAACCTCGAGTTTGAAGGAAGAAGTTAAATCTCTCAAATCTTTTAAATCTAATAGTTAGCCTTAATCAAGCATTTTGAAGCAAAAAAGCAACAAAGCCAAATCACATTATTCTGGATCGAGAAGAAGTGTTAGGTTTCAATTTTGATTAAGTGATATTTATTATTTAATTATGCTCATTCTCTTTGCTTAAATTATAAACTACTGAAAAGTTTAATTTCTTTATATCTGATTAATACTAGTTGTTTTCGAATTATTACTGGAATAAATTAGGTAATTTATACACATTATCAACATGTATTCATAATTATAAATCAATAAAGATTATCATCAAAGAAATATCTTGAATTCCATCGTGTTCCCCATCCCAAAAATGATGGGCATTCGCTAAAATTTCATTCTCTATTCTTGTTATTTCACTCTATGATTTGGGAGGATTATATTTATTAAGAACCTATCCAATATCCATAGTATCCAAATAACTCCACAATGAACTTGTTGCGATTACCAAATATCCAGATTTCGGGAATCTGAAGTGAATAATCTCAGGTTCTACTGTCACTCCCACAGTCTTGTGAACTTTGTTACCAAAACATCTAGTGATATGCAGTCCCTAATCCAATTTATTTTTTGTCCAAATTTACAGATTTCCTTACTTCAGTCCTCTTATCATTTATTAATCAATCCTACCGTTGTGAGATCTAACCCTTAATAATTCGGTTTCTCTGGAGGGCACATGTTCAAAAGACAAATTTTTCATTCTCCATAAATGTATCGTCTATTCTTAAAAGTCATTTTTATAGTAAAATAAGGCTTTCGAGTCTCCACAATTAACACACAACAATTGATCCCCAACTATAAGTATTGAGATATTAGAAGATCCACTTTGAGAAGTGTCAATTTCACTTTATTATGACTAATAATATTAATATAAATTTATACCAATAATTCATCGGTATTTTTATATAGATCAATTATTTCTTCATGAATTTTTTCATCTTTCATATTGTTAGCATCCAATTTTGAGATAATATCTTGGTATGACTTATCCAATTCCATCCCAACAAATCTGGCTATAGGTAGACCTGATGTGCCATGACCATCGTTTAAAATAAATACATGTTTGCCATTTCCATCTCCGATCTTAGTTTTGCATTAAACGTAATCTTAACTTCGTATTTTATACCTTCTATAGTCCTGACCATCTACACATCTAAATGACTTCAAATAAATATTTACTTAATTGAGTGATATCTCACTACGTTCTTGTGAAAATCATCGAGCTTAGTAATTGAAATGTTTAAAACTGTTTTTTGTTTTGAATGAACTATGGGAGAATACATTAATTAATTAGATGCCAAAGATGGCAATCGAGTTGAGTTTCTTTGTAGTTTAATGTTCCTTGAAGTGGTTGCCTGAGGAGCAGGTATTTTCTGTTAAGAAAATGCCCCTACCTTGGTTTTTAGCAAAAATAGTTTCTTTTATTATGCACTCATTTAAAGATAAAGTATTTTTAAAATCAATAATTAAGAAATTAATTTAGATATAAATCCAATTTACATAGTCTGCATTATTATTATAATAAATATTTGATAAAATAGATCTGTTATTGCATTTAATCGAATAAATCTAATACTCAAATGACCAAAATAATTAAATGACTCTATCAGAATCATTATCTAGAATTTTAATTCTATTATCTGTATAAATATAAACTATTCAATTTGTCTTTAAATCTTATTATATAAAATTACCCTCCCTCTAAGACAAATTCTAAAAGCTCGATTTCTCTAGATTAAATAATTTGATTTCACAATTGAATGCTCCTCTAATATTTTACGCATAATACCATTTAATAATAATGGGTAAGTTCAGGAGTATAATACGGATAGCAAAACCAAATATTCGAACACGCTGATGTAGCTCAGTCGGCAGAGCGGTTGGCTGTTAACCAACAGGTCGAAGGTTCAAACCCTTCCATTAGCGCTTTTTTATTTTTTTATTTACCACCCTTGAGTATAGTTCATTATATGGCATTAATTATTATTTAATTATTATAAATAATGGATTAAGACCCTGAGCCTCCTAAATCTAGACTTACTAAATTCTTTGAAAGAGTTGACAATTGGATTGGACCATCCAGACTTTAATACAAACCTGCTTGTCATGACTTAAAGGAAATGATTGTAGAATGTGTATTAGAGTCAGATTGTATGAAAAACAATGAAGGAGATTTTAGATTCTGTTTAACTGAAGGAATCAATAAGGAATGTAAAGCCATAAGACATGATTGGTATGTTTGCAGAAAATCATAAGTGGATTGGAATAAACATCATTTTAAAGACGATCCTCGCTGATATTCTTATATAATACATTATAGATAATATTATATCACTCAATTTTAGTTGCTGTTTACTAGGATTCTTCAACATCTATTCTACCTTTCAAGAAATCATTTGACTATTTGTAAATTTAATATGTATTTTGTATATCAATACCAAGTGTATTACAATAATTATGTTCAGCCATGAATTAATAAAGATCTAAAGAATCATCTTCATCAAATTCAGACCCAAAACATTTCTCAAATTAATCCTTAAATTAATGTTGCATATCCTTCTTTTCAATTTCTAATAAAAATTTAGCCACTTGACTAGGCTTCAATTCTTTCCTCAACTATTCTAGAGTCTATCCATAAGCACCTAATTCAAGTTACACCTAATTTTTAATCTCCTAAAAAGATGAAAGAGTACTATTAATAGAATATCTATGAAAATACTTAGTCAAATCATTTTAATATCGTAGTAACTTTTTTTATTTTTTCTGAAGAGTTTGTTTTTGTTTATCCGTTAACTTTAAACTTCTTAATACACCATGTTCTGACAAAGACTCTGAGGATGCGAAAATATCCTAATCGGTCTTGGCCACTCCAATTATGTAATTTAAATATGGAGATAGGCAATTCTCATATATTTACCGAGCATAATGATCAATTTATTATTATCTCTCCAAGGATCCTGATCCAAATTTTTTCTGAAATCATATTTGAGTATTATTTACATTCAGTGATTCAATAAATGTATCGATATTCATTTCATTGATATTACTTTACACCGAGTTTTATAAATTAGAAAACAATATAATCTTATTTTAATCTTAATCTTATCTCTAACATTAATACTATGTTACCTGACTTATTTTACCCTGTAAGTTTGTTGCTAATTCTGTGGTTTATTCATTTACCCTTTTAAATATTTCCAATTATTCAGATAACTTTGTGACTTTGGTCTCAAGTAGTTCTAAATAGATTTTCTTTCTTTTTCTACTATTTCTCGCTGATTCTCTATTCTTAGCCAACTTATCTTCCTTATCACAATTAGAACTTCCAATTATAAGCTGACTTTAAATCTTATTTGGAACTTGTTTTTTACCAACTCTATTAATATTCATATGCCTTTACTTTTCATCTGATTACTCTTAGTTGGCTATTTTTATCAAGGATGATATCTTATTTATGTAGGCATTCTTAGTATTCGGCATTTGCTTTTTATTCTTATTGCTATTGTTTTATCGTTTGCTAGGCAACTCATCCTGTTCGAATTATAAGTCGCTTGAATTGGAATCGTAATTAAGTTGATCAATATAATCAGGGAAACTCATTAATTTTAATATTTTTATATCAAATTGCTAAATATAAATTATTGATTATTAAATGCTATTTGCTATAAAATCCATCAAACAATTATAAAATTACATTATAAAAGTATCTCCCATTTCTATTAGCAGAATTCTATTATATTATTATGTTACACAATCTTAATTCAATTATTAAAATTTCAAATAAATATTACTTTTTATTTTCCCTTAGAACAAGCACTCTTTTTGTAAATAATTGTAGGGAAACCAATATATTATTATTTTAAACAATTAAAATCATTTTATCCTCTAATTTCCAATATTTAAATATTCCTAAAGGTAGTAGAGTAATTATACTAAATCTTTAAGAAAGAAAATAATATAAAGTTATTATATTATTTTAAATAATAGTTGATTATCAGATCATATAATTTTTCATTAGTGATTCAAATAGTTTTAAGTCAAATAAGATATTAGAATACAGTATTACAATTAATAAGGAAATCTCTCCTTTGAAAAAAGTTAAAGAACTCAAGCATTAAGGAATTATAAAAGATGATATTTTTCAATTTTAATTAGTTTTATTTAATCCAAAAGAGATATAGTGGAAAAATACTTCAATTATTGTTATTTAGATATTTAGGTAAGTAAATTTGCTTAATATTTGCCAATCTTAAAAAATTATTGGAAGGATGAAGGATGGTTTCTAAAGCAAAAAGCAATTATTCAACAATCATCCTTATTTTAAACTACATATTTCCTAAGAATTAATGAGTGCATTAAAGGTTTTACCAAACTTATAAATAAATTATTAAATTTAATCAAAGTGAAGTGAGTTGAGAAAATAATAAATTGGGATAAGTTTATGATATAGCTCGCATTTGTTAAAGCATAAGGCTATAGTAAGTAATAACTCAACCTGGACAATTGAAAAATTAAATAAATTTCACTTATAACTTATAAAAAATCAATCCAATAATGAAATTATTTAAGGTTAATCTAACTAATTACGCTTTTAATAAATGAAGAAGCAAATTTAATTTAAATAACCACGATATGTTTCCCATATTTTAGATATTAAATTATTAAGATGTTTAAATTATTTAGAAAATCAGATAATCTCACAATATAGAATACAGTTTATTAAAATAAATTGAGGATAGATGATAGAAGATAAATGAATCAAAAATGCATATTCAAAAAAAGTAGTTAAAATAAATGAATTAAAAAATATTAGAAAAATGATTATTAATAATATAAATATTATGAATCAACAATTTTATAACTTCCTCAACATACCAATCACTCAAAACCCAAAACCTGAATTAGTAAGAGTACGATTAGCTAAATAATTTATTGTTGCTTAAGTGTTACATATTTTCAATACTTGGAAATCAATTCATAATGATGAATCTATTACTTTTGGATTGATTGGATGTGGATAAGTAGGAAAGCTGATAATCAATTCAATAATTCCATATGCTATTAAATACTACGATCTAAAGCCTTAGGATGTTCACATATCAACAAGAAGGTATTATAATAATTATAGTACTTCAATAGGCCTGAATAAATATATTATTATGTTACAAAAGGCTATTAGGTATACTTTGACAATGACAAATTATTGGAATAATGCAATTTTGTGGTTATTGCTATTCCACCAGTGATTGATAATTGGAATATTTTGGAATTATAAAATAAGAATCCTAAGACTTATATAATTTCTTTATTATCGACTTTAAAATTGCCCAGATTGAAACAATTACTTAAATAAGAAAATCACTTGTATCATACATAGATTTCTTCATAGCAACTTGATTAAGCAATTTTGAGCTACATAGAATTAATAGAGTAGATAAAGCCAGGAGTGTTTCAAACTCAAATTTAGGAAGACATTGTCAAATTAATTACTGAACAAAGTCACAATCACTTTATTGATGGAGAGAATAGGATAAAGTTATTTATAGAATCCTTTGGGATTGAGTTGACTGAGAGTTAATACATGAAAATATTTGGAAGAAATAAACAGGAGTTTGAAACATAAATGGAGAAATTATTCAAAATGAGCTTTACAAAATCTATGCTCTAATTTTAAAATTTTATTTAAAAATGAATAAGTAATGAAAAAGATTCAACTATTAAAAAATGAAATATTTATTATGAAATTTGTCAACTTATGATTGTAAATATCTGTATAAATTAAATTAATTGATAAAATTAATGTTTCAGTCATCTCTATCTCAAAAAAAATTAAAGCAAATAGACATTAGAAAAAATCATCACTATTATCTTAATGCCCCTTATTAAATTAGTGTCCTGTCTCCTGAGTAACAAAAGTTCGAATAATAGAATGAGTCTGCCAATTCATAATAAACATATTAAAATAATAGTTATACTCAATTTACTGAAGATCTTTATTTTAGAAAGCATTCAAAATTATTTAGAGATCTCAGAAGCACATCAAATTAGAATAATAATAATTAATTAAATAATATAAATCAGTCATTCATATTTAGAATTAAGTCAAAAAATCATCTATAAGAAGAACCTTTAATACTAGATAATTTGGGTCAAAGAGAAAAAGACAAAAAGACAAAAGATTTGGTTAAAGTATTGCATGAAATGAAAAAAAAAAGATAGAAATATATTTAGAAAGAATAGTTTATTCCCAGATCCCCTATTCCATTACTGAAAAGATAAAATTGTATTTACTTGGATGAACCTCAAGTTGAAAGGCTCACCAAACATATTAAAAATCTTCCCATAATTAATAAAAAAGAACCTGGATTAAATAATGCATAATAGAATGATACATAATCTAATTTTTAAAAGTTATCTAATCATGGAAATTTAGAAGAATAATTTTAATCTAAGCTTGTAAGTCTTTAATAGTTTATATTTTAACTTCAATGCAATTATTTACTTTATGTAAAATAATCTTAAGTTAGATAATAAACATACTTCATTGAAGAAATAAGCTAAAATGAGTAAATAATTATATAATTAATGAAAAAAAGATGGTGGTGGTGTGAATCTCTTGAAAAATCAGAAGATGTATAATTTTATTGGTCTCAAAAATTGAATTAGTAATTTCTATAGAAATAGCAAACTCATGCGTTATTTGATATAACCAAAGAAAGAGTTATTAATCCACAAATACTAAATAATCATGAAGAATTCTTAAAATTTGCTCAAGAATAAAAAATGACATTTATTTAATAAAATAGTAGAATTCATAATCACTTAGATCTATATTAAATATTTAATTTGAAAAAGAATTTAATTAAATTTATTAATAAATATTAGACACTCGCAAATGAAGAGCTTCAACAATTCTTTCCATATTCGATTAATGTTGCTAATATTTAAGATCCATAATTCAATATATACTAAATTAAATACAAACTCACTAATTCATTATGGCTAGTAAAACCTGGAGAAAAATTCAATAATCATTCTTAAATAAAACTATGTTAAAACACAAAATAAGTTTCTGATTTTATTACTTCTGAACTAAAAAATTCAAACAGAGTAGTTGATTCATTCATAATCTAATAATATATTAAACCATTTTTATATCAAAAAAGAAAGTTTGATATTTGTGCTTATATCTTAATAACTTCTTTTAATGGAATAGTTAGAGTGTACTTTTATGATGAAGTAATTGGAAGGACTAGTAGTAAAGAATATTCAGACAATGATTTAGATCCTTTAACTCATTTTACTAATAGTCAAGTCCAAAAAGAGTGCAAGTCTTTTTCATCATATGAGTCAGGAAATAAATTATCCACTGAGAAATTATAAGAATTTTTTAACTAATTTAAAATCAATTTTAGGGAGATGATGATCTCCAAATTCAAAATGATAGCTAAAAATATATTTAAGTCTATATTTACATAGATGGTTCTAAGAGACTACAATTTCGAAGTATAAAATATTTCTATTAAGATTGTAGGTTTAAATTTTATTGTAGATACAGCACTAAAACCATGGTTGATTGATGCCAATTTAAATCCATCCTTCATCCCAGATTGTCCCTTTCACTAAAAGTTCTTAACTTAATTGTTAGACAGCACATTTTAATATACCTTGGATTTACTTTATCCTCCTCCCTTAAATTGGCCTTAAAACAAAAAATAATTGATTGAAAATTTTACTACACGAGATAGATTTTCTGTCATCTTTGATTCTAGATTCGATTCAGAAATACTCTTAGCATTATATTAAAAAGATATAAATTGAATTGAAATAATTATTTACATATTTTGCATATTATATCGAGTACGAATGCTCAAATTTTAATCATTGATAGTACATAAGCGAGTGTAAAGGGAAAGTACCAATTTAGATAAAATAGTTAACTACAAGTTATATAAATTTTATTAAACAAATCATCAAAGAGTATAAAATTATATTCATATTCAAAAATACGGGTTCCTCTTATCATTTCCATTAATTTAAGGCCATTCGAACATTTGGTTAGACTAAATTAAATTTCACACTTTTTCCACTAGCAACACTGCTACTTCTAGAATTGTTATCTGAGAATGACGACTCCAAAGTTTACTTTTTCAAAATTCCTTTAACACAATTTTATTTTGACCCTATTTTTGAACTGTAAGAAGATGAGTTCGATTCTAGAACATTGTTTTTACTTACACATTATTCAGATACCTTAATATGTTTCTTTATTTATTGTCTAATCTAAGTATCAATTTAGAGCTCACTTAATAATTTTTCGCAGGTAGCACCTCTTTATTCAGTTTCATGTGTTTTATTGTCCTAAGTGTTCTTTGTAGGATGATGAATCTCTGATTTATGATGATTTTATCTCCTTTTTATTAACTTAAACTTTTATTCCACAGAATCTTTTGTTTTTATTGAAAGATTATTTATCAATTTAAAAGAATCATATTGTCTTGAGGGAGATGTGTCATTACCGTTTAAGTCGTCCTCTATTTACTTAATAGATATATTCATTTGCTATTTAGATTGCATTATAAATTATATTTAATTTAAAGTATTATATCAATTTTTAATCTCTTTTTTACTCTCAAGCCCAAGTTAATTGTAATGCTTTCGAATTCTCTTTAAATTTATAATCATTTTATTTTTATCACCCAAATTTTATTGTATACCTTCTTCTAAATCATTTAAACAAATGTCTTGCAACTACTTCTAAACACTATCTGTTGTTTAAACATCATCGTCTCTATCGTAAGCTTCCTGAAGTTTGTCAGAAAATTACTTACTTATTCCTACCTCTTCATCATCATAAACAACAAATTCCACATAGTTATCACTATCTGGCTTCATTAATTTCAATATTTCACACTTCTTCTTATTACTTATAGTTTCAATTGTCAATATGCTATTTCTGATTTTACCATTATAATTTTGTTTATCAATGCTCAAAAATTAAGGATTTTCATTTTCTTTATTTTCTATGAATTTTTATGCACTTTGGCTTTGTCTGGAGAAAAATTAAAGAGTATCTCTTTTATTTTCAGAGATATTTTTTTTTGATTATGAAGCCATTTTTTAATTCTTAAATAAAAATTATAAAATTAACAAATTCAATATACAAACTTTTTAGTTTACAAAATGTAACTTAAATTTTACTTTATTTGATTGAATTCCTTTTTAGTTGTAAATATTTAGTTTATAATGATATTCTAGGACATAAGTAGGTTCCCTAGTTTATGACTTAGATTTAAAGATTTTTAATATTAAATGGAATCCTTTTTAGTCTGAAAAGGAAATAATCGAGAGAATTATAAGAACTTTTCAATAGTTTTAATATCAACTTATTTTTTTTGCAATAAACAAATAATAATAAGAATTTATTGTTGTGAATGATAATAAAAAATCAGTAAATCAAGAATTTTATTAATTAAATTTATTAGCCAAAGCAGGACTTAGAGGTAATAATCTAGGTGAAAGTAACAAGGATTTTCTTGATAATGTTGATCTATCCTTCTAAATTAAAATTTCACCAACCTTCCTTTCTTTCTTTCCTCGATCTTCGGTTCGATGAAAGCTTGCATATTTTGGTGTATTTTATGATTGTTTCTCCAAATTTATCATATTATCTTAAACTATATTAGTATTTGTTATCGATTTAGTTAATTCTATATATTTATTTCCTGTTATAATGTGCCATGATTACATAGTCTCTAAGTTTTTTTCAACTTAAACTAATTATCTCTTATGAATAACCTTAATCTACACATAATCTATACATTTTAAATTAATTGAATTATAATTTGGATGTAGTAAGATAGGTTTTCATAATTTGAATCATTCTTGATTCCATTCATATAGAATCTTGAATAGGCATTTTAGAGTGACGCAATAAATCCTATTTTGAAAAAAAGAGTTGATATCAGAGCAGAATGTGCTTAATTAAGTAATAAGTTTAAAAACCTTGAAAATAAATAAACTAATAATTACATAAAGAAGTTTCTTTAAAAAGTATTGTTTGAATCGCTATCGAAAAACCAAATCACCAAAATGTGTAATACGCTTTCATTTAAGTATTTAATAATTAACTTTTCGATTTGATCACTGTAAGTTAATTGGAACAACTACAAGCCTGTGTTTAATGTTGTCATTAACAAAGTTTTCTTAAATTTGTGTTTTGTTGAAATAAGAAAATTAGGATTTTTGTGCATTTCAAATATAATTTTACAAAGATATTCAATAGAATTTAAAAAACTGTTGCAGAGATCTATTTAACTATCAGCAAGAGATTTTATTTCTAATACATTTTCGAAAATATAATTAATGAATACTCCGCATTCATCTGATAGATTGGAATCATATGGCTAATTTTCCAAAATGTTCAGCATATATATCTAAAAATATCTATCAAACAAATTTTAACTTAAAAAACATTTAGACATGCTAGAGATATCTAACTTACTTAAAGCTGATTTAACTTTATCATTATTTTATTTTAAATATTGCAATATTGATTTTGTAGCTTCATGCATTAGCCTTATACCTTTCTAATAGTATTTATAATCAATCTACAATTATTCTAGTTAATTTTCATATTAGGTATTTTTAATTGATGTTTTATAGCTTGGATAAATAGTCTTAAGTCTTGAACTAGAAAATCCATCATTAGTAAAATTTCCTTCCGTTCTGTGTCTAAATTTGGATTAATGATATAAAAATATTGATTTTTATTGTTATCTCTTAAAACTAGTGGAATAGGTTTCTTCTATTGAATCCTAGACTTAAGTTTACGCATGTGATTCCAAATAAGGTGATTCCACTAGTTAAGTTGGAGAAGATTATAAAGAATTAGATTAAGTTAACTTTGATATTCCTTTTGATTAACTTTTTCTTGTGCTAATAATAATATTATTTTTAGTTCTCGTACTTCTAGTTGGTGCTGGTGATTCTATAGATTTCGTTAATATAATTTATTCTTATTCAATTATTTCAATTTATGGAGGGATATATGATTTTCTCATTTTAGAATTTTTTAATTCCATGAAATATTGTTTAATCGAAGAATTATTCTTTCTTTCTTATATAAATTGATTTAAATTATCTAAGTCCTTGTTATCAAACTCATTAGCTGAAATATATTCATAAATCTCTTTGTTTAATTGCCAATTGAATTAATTAGTTGTATAATACAATTCAGGGGTTTTACCTGATTACAGCACACCCAAAAAATTAGTCAATAATTCCTTATCTTCAGTATTTATTGATGAAGAATTAATTTACTTTTAATCATATTATGAAAGAGTCTTAAGTATTGATAAAATACTAATTGTAGCCTCAGTTTTGGTATGCTTATCAGTAATATTCATATTTACACCTTCCTTAGAAACCAATGAGACTATAAATTTAAACCACTCCGTTTTACACAAATATTTCCAAAGCTATTCCTAGAAGAAATACCCTAATTAATAATAGTCTATCTTAATATTTATTATATCTAGATATCATATATATATGAGTACTCTCTAAAATTTATGCTATCATAGAATTATAGATGTAGAGACTCAATGAAAAATAAAGATTTAAATCCACTATTTATACTACACTTAACTTTGGTTGTCTCATTAATGTTACTTCAATGAGTTTTGCAATATGATTAAGATTCATATTATGGTTCTAATCATTAACAAATTCATAAACTCCATTAACTAAATGATCTAAATATTATTTTACAGATTTGAATGACATTTTATTTGACAAATTCATCAAAAAATTAAAAGTTGTCCTCCTTGATCAAAACTTAAAGGGCCTTATACGAACGTATAGTTTCTTCTTGTTTCAAAGATTTTCCAATCAATTTATAATAAGTGGGATCATCATTTTACATGTTTACAGTAGAGTATTTAGCCTAATATTATATTGGTATTTTACCCATATTTTATGGACTTCCACTTTTTCAGGTTAAGTAATATACTTTAGAATTTCATCATAATTTTCTGGTTTATTAAAGATGTCCTCTCTTTCAAGCACGTCATATGTGTTAGTTTCAAAAAGCCATTTTTAAATTTAAATATCAATGCTCTCCTCTTGACTATCATCACTATCATAGTTTAAGGGATCATCAATCACTTAAAAAGTTATTTTTGAGTTTTTCTCTTGAATAAAATCCGGTAATTTACTTGGACTTTAAACATGATTTTATAAAAAGACTAATTAATAATAAGTTAATTACATTAATCTATCTCTTCATAATATGTAGCTACCCATTGGCGATTTCCAAAGATATCATTTTTACATTCGTCAAAAATAGATATAATTTTTAATCTAAATTCTTGATCTTTTGTATTGATAATTAATATTTTGAATATCCTTGCCATCTTTTCTAAGTCCATTTTTAATTCGTTTGCCTATAAAAATAATTGTTTTAAGTATCGAGTACTAAACTTTTTAGCGATCAGTAATTTTTCTATTACTGCTTTTGCAAAAGACACATTTTGTGAACTCTTTCTTGAATCTAAAGATGTATTTTACCTAGGATTATCAATAGCATTACATGTTTGTAAGTCGTGATGATTTAAGAGAGAGTGATCTTTAACTTAATAGGGCTCTTTGTTCTTAGAGCTAGGCCACTTCAGAGCAAGCTTAGTGGAATGCAGAAATAAATTATCCATCCTTAAATCTATCAAAGAGAATTGAAATAAGTAATTCCACACTGTGTTGTTAAAATGGATAAGCGCATATTACTTGGAATACTTTATTATATATATACATAACTTCAATGTCGAAATGTCTTTGAATTGTTTTTAATTAGGTAAAATCTGCGTGATCTCTTTTATTGCTATTGATAATTTCTATAATCTTATATATTCATCATCTTCATTCAGCTACATTTGAAACAATAATTACAGCATGTTCTAAGTGCATTGGGCCTGATTTATATTTGTGATTAAAATTATATATTATTATAATCAACAAATCTATCTACCAAATCAAATTAGTTTCCTTTAAGTTAATTCTGCCCTAGATGTTTGAACCCCTGGGTTAGTATTAGGTTCACTTGTTTTCCTAAAATTACATGATGCAAGCATACTTTTTTAAGGATACCAGCGAATTAACTTTATGATTTATTTAACTTTTTATTTTGATCAATTTGTTGTTCTTTTCTTCACTTTTCTTAACTACTACTTTTTCCACTTGTTTTGGTTATTCTAAATTGATCACTTAATCTGCATTTCTCAAAGCCATCTTGTTTTCAAATGGTTGAGCTGATTCAAGTTATTACCACGAATCTAGAATACTTAGAGCGCTTTGTAAATCACTTAAATTTCTCACTCTTATTGCATTTCGTATAATGTAGTTTATCAATAGAATATAAAAAAAAATACCCTCAACATAAGAAGTATCCTTTATTTCATTCTAATAAAATTTTGTATAGGCATTATACAAGGAACTCACTAGCCCTAATTTAAAGATAATATTTGAAAGGTATGGCATAGGAGCTCCTGCAAAAAATATGCTAATAAATTTGGTAAAAACTTGTTAATAGATTGTGTTCTGTTAACTATCCGAAAACCATATGATTATTATATGAAGCATCGTATCTGTTAAATTCCTGAAAACACTTCGAAAGACTTTATCTACCTTGATCATATAATTCTATTTATCATATAGTTGTAATCCATTTGTCATTATAGAAACTAAAATATACTGTTTAAAAGCAAAGGATGTTGAGTCCATCTTAGATCTAATTGAGTTTAGCTAAACTATGCATTTAACTAAATAATCAACTATTAATTAAAATTGGTTTTTCAACAACTCCTTGTGGCTGTCGAAGATTTAAATATTTTTAACTTAAATGTAAAGATTATTTAATGAAAGTCCTGATTCAATGGATAATGAAGTTGGGTTATGAGGGATTTCCAAAATTGAGTACAAAAATACTTTAAATAAGTAATAAACATTCTTCTCTGTTATTATTGAGCATGTCAGTTTATCAATATTAAAAATTTAATTTTTGGGATTTCTTTTTAAAATTTCTTATTGCTTTTCTGCAAAGCTTACTAATTAATTAAGCAGAAGAATTAAAGTTCTTAAATGATTTTCAGAAATATCATTATAATTAAAAGATGATTTTTCTTTTTCAAACTCTGATAACAATATAACTGACTTAGTTGTAGGATATATTGAAATGAGTTTACTACTTGAGAAACCATCATTTGAATATAAATCAGTATCTTGTTCTGTTTTGATTCTTGTTTTAGATAAATGATAAGAGGCTTTATTTCTTAGTCTCATAAAAGTTTGTGTTTTAATGTTTCCAGAGCTCAATAAGTTATCTATATTTTAACTATAGTTGATTTGCTTATTGTCCCCATCTTAACAAGAAATATTTGATTAAATTTTGGGTAAATAAAATTTATTAGATTTTCTTTTGTAATATACATGAACTTTGCAATTATTTTGGTTGATTGATATCGATGATTGTCTTCTTAATAAATCATTTTCTCCTCTTTTTAAATATTCTTTCTTTTCATTTTAAAACACTTCTAAATTATCATAATCATTTCTAGACTGAACAGTAGGTTATTCTTAAGTTTCTAATGTTTCTTGTCTCAACAACTTTTTTTACAATCTCTGTGGATCATAAATAGATAGAGCTTTAATAACTTAGAATGTCTCATTGTATGCCTTTCATATGTATTAATATTACTGCTTAATCAGGTGTGGGAATATCTAAAACCAATTGTGCATCAAATGAATAATTAGAAAGTAATTACAAAAAGTTAATCTAATGCAAGTAGGACCATAACTAGTCTAAATAATAAATTCCTAATTTGATAACGTCTTCATTAACATTGATAATCTCAATCAATAGTTAATTTATTGAAGGATTATATGACATTTCTAAAAGTTTAGGGAATATTTTAAATTCAATAAGTTATTTAATACAAAACTTGGGTTACAAATTGATTAAAAATTTAATTAATATGGCCAGGTGATGTAAATTGATATTTTTTGTATCATCAAATAGGTTAATATGAATAAAGGCAACTAATTATTAATATTATTGATTTACATATTTTAGTAAATATTTATGAATATTAAGCCAACAATTTGTTAAAGTTATCAAAGTTCGTGAGTATTAATAAGGCTTTATAAGATCTAAGCACCTGATATTTGCTAAAGTTATAACTTGATCTTTATTTGAATATATTTTTATCCTTATCACTTATATCAGGCAAATTTGGATAGTTTTCAACCTATGCTGATCGAAATATTGTTTACCCAAAGAGAAGCTATTGAAATTTGAACTGGATCTAAAACAAACTAAATCAAAATGTCTATATTATCAATTTCTTCAAAAACTGAACTATGTTGTAATGGTTATTCGGTATCTTATGTACAACATAAATTCTATAAATATAGACTAGGATCTTATTCATTTGAAATATAGGACCTTCTTCTATTTTATTGTTAATTTACTATGATTTAGGTTTAGCTGACAATTTCTGAATCAGAATCTTCTACAACTACAACTATTTGATATTTTGTGTAAGATGGAAATAATTTTGGACTGTTATTAAAAACTAAAAATATAAAAGTAAACTTTACATGTAATAATTTCTTGACTAAATTAATTAACCCAATCGCACTTAGAAAATATTGTAAATCTTAGGTCTTAAAAGCAATCCATCAAATTTTCAAGCAGTTTTTGATTAGATGAATTTTGAATAAAATTTTTAAACATTAGGCAATAAAGTTAGAAGTCTAGGTGCAATTGATTAGCCAACTCAAAAAACTTCTTCAGGTAACTTATAGCAAACAGTTTTATTGTCACTATTTCCTGATTCACAGCTTAACTGAATTATTATCCCTCATTATTATCCTTTGTTTTGCTTTGAAATTATGATTATTGCATACTTATTTAATCGTGATAACATGGTAATTCTTTACTTGAGTGTTTGAGTACTCGTTTCTTGAAGCAGAGAAATATTTGAAGCGGAAGCAAAGAAATTATTAATGAAACCAAAATCCTTAAAATGTTCAAAGCATGCAGATATCAAAGATTCTATATTAGATTTTTGAAAGGGATATAAGCACATTACTAGAGTATTATTGAAATTTGATTTACATTAGAACAATAGTTTTGGATTTGCAAATGTTTTGGCTTAGGGTAAATTTTAGGTTATATATTTTATACCTTCTGTTATTTTTAATAACCTCAAGTACTCATCAGTTGCATTAAGCTAAACATATAAACTAAGATATACAGCTTAATCAAACACCAAGGCTATATTTTGATCAGGAACCAGCTTTAAAGTTTAATCCCAATTAAAGCTTGTCATTTAATAAATTAAATATTTAATATATCATGAAACAACGTTGTCATCTAGGCAAATTCAATGAATCTTTCGATGAAACAATGCAAAAAATTTCAAATTATTTTTAAGTCTATAAATATTAAATTCTACACTTTGTTCTAATATGTCGAACTATATGATAGTAAATAGTGTATTTATATTTTGAAATACATATATTAATTTTATAAATTAAATAGATTGCAATAGATAAATTCTAAATTAGATTTTTTAAGTGATTATTATAAACTTAGAATGACTAAAATATATGATCAATTATCAGGTTTAAGACTTGGTCTATTTCTAAGCGACCTTTGGCTCAATTTATTTGAAATTTTTTTTCCTTATTAGATCACTTTAGGTGTAGAGGATTGCTTTTACTTTTCTAATTAGGCCTATTCAAATTATTTGATCTCCTTTAATTTACTATCAAAACAATCAACAGTCAATTAAGATTTCAATTTTTCGAGTTTAGTTTTCTTTAATTAAATCTTTCTAATTGGGGTTTGTCCTGTTTTTAGTAGTTCTTACAATTCAATCATATAATTGGAATCTTCATCAGGAATTAGCTTCTTAACACCTTTCCATGATTCTAAGGGCTGCAAATATTCTTGTAAAACAATCATATTTCGATGATTAAGTGACTTATTTATCACATATACGATCATTCTTATATAAAAATAGACCCCTGGCTCAAAACAAGTGCTCTTCATGCCATTGACCCAGAATGATTAAAAAGCGTTATAAATCGAATTTATTAATCCAATATTGAACAAAATATTGGTTAATGATGGTACTGGAGCCTTTGCAAATAAAATGGTTAAAAATTTAGTAAAGAAGTATTAGTAGCAATTATTTTATTGACTATCAAAAAACCATATAATAAAGATATGCATTACAGTTTCATTTAAATGTTTAAAAATATTAGATGTGCTTGGTAATTAAGAATGGATGCTAAACAAATTGAATCCAAAAAAGTATGTTTATAATAGGAGTTATAATTGACACTTATTAACAAATTTTGATGACAATCTGATTTACTTATTAATGGCCACTATTGCTCTAGTTAGATTATCAACATTAGCCAGAAACAGAGTTCTCAACTGCTCTCTTAATAATTGAAATAGTTCAATATGATGACTTTTGTAATATATTTGATTAATGAGTTATCCACAAACTTCCCCTATTTTTTGTTGTTAAACATTTTAATCAATTAAACTTGACAAGTAAATGTCAAAGATGAAGTTCAAAAAATTCATACTCAATATTTGTTGAATAAGAATTTATTCATTTAATTATTATAAATTAGTCTTATTAGGCTACTAAAAATAATCGAGTATTGTTTTGAGGATCTCACTAAAAAAGCGTAAACAACTTTCAACCATGATTTAGTCTTATCGTTAAACAGACTTTGATTATTCAAATTTGATTTATGCTTATTTTGATGGATATATTGTTATCAACCTACTACTAGAGAATCCGTCATTTGATTAAATAGAATTCAAACCAATATCATCATTTTCTGTTTTGAGTCTTCTTTAACTCGCTAAAACAAGTTTACTATTCTTAGGAGTTTACCCAAAACTACTTATATTCCTAGTATTAATTTCCCCTTAAGAACTGAAACTTTAAGCAACATTAAATTTGGATTCAGTGTATTAATTGTTTGCATATATTGATGGTAATTTGATTGAACGGCTACTGTTTGGCTAACTATCACTTTGACTTTAAAATGAGGAGTTGTAGAATACAAATTTTGAGTTCGACGTGGGGGATTATTAATGCATACTATTTGTCTAGGACATTCGAACTCTTGAAGATCTTTTTAATTGTATATTATCAATCTGGATTTATATCTCTTATGAGATCTTTGTTTCCAATTATTATTTATACATTTAATCTCTCTATTTAGTAAACTCCATGAGATTATCATAATCTTAAGCCTTAAATTCTTCAATTGTTAAATGTTCTTTTATTTTTGAGTTAAATTTCCAATTTTCGTAATCTTTTGTATTTTATTTCATCAAGCTTTTACCAGCTTGAAGAGATCCTAATAATTATGTTAATTTAATTTTATTATCATCTGAATTTTTTGGTTTAGATATTTTCAATTCTTTCTTTGACAATTCTTTGAGACTTTTTATTATGAATTCCTAAAATAAATATGCAATATTACTATGTTTTCACTTTTCGTTTAGTATTCTAGTTGCTTTTAATCATTTTCTTTCTCGTAAAATAGATTTTATATCCACATAAACCAATCTGTAAAGAGTTAGTATTTCCAAATTTATTCTGTAAAAGGGAGTCCAAAATTATATTTATTGAATTAGATTTGATGGATGTCAATTAATAAACCCATGATTAATGGATTATAAATATAATTTGAAAATGAAAACAGCAGTTAGTTTTCTAAAATCAAAGCCATTGAACTCTTAGGAAAGACAGTTAAAAAGGAATCTATCGTTAAAGCTAAATGATTCAAATTTAGATTTCTGTTTTTAATTTGAAATGCTTCTGAGGTTTACTTAACTAATTAATATTTATTAATATTACAGAACATCTATAGGAAAATCTAATTATATTATTGCAATTTTTCTAAATTCTGCCTATGATGAAACATCTGTGCAGTTTTAAAGGATCTCACAATGGCATGAAATTCAATTTTCTGATTTCTTATTTTTAAAGAAACTCCATCATCATTAATCTCCTCAATTGGATATTGATCTTTCTAAAAATATTAAATTAAATAACCCAAAAATCATCTACTGCTTCTTCACTTGGATTTAGGAGAAACCTTATCAAAAGTAGTAAATTTTCATATTTAGATAATATCTCTAATTGTTATTATTATTCTATGACAAATTATTTTTATGCTATCCATTTTTAAATCAACTCATCCTCATCCATTAAAGATTATTTTCCACTAGCAGAATTTGAGTTAGATGACTGATGTTATTATGAGTCAGAATCTTTATCCTCTTCTGAATCACTACCATGTGAATCTTACTCAATTTAATGGTGTTTAGCTTACTTTTCCATGTAATGAGGCACTAAGATGTTGTGTTAAGCACAATCTAAATGTCATAAATTTATATACATTATTCAATTTCATGATCAAAACGAATTATCCAACTCTAATCTCTTAATTCAAATTACTTTAATTCTTCAAATGTGTTGATTAATAGGATTATAAAATGATGATCTCTAGTATTGACTACAAAATCCTTGATTATATACACTCTTTCTTTGATGTCTTAATTCAAAGTTTTTGCCAATATTATGTATTTTTTAATGAAAGTGGCTGCAAACCTTTTGGCCACTGTCAATTACTCAATCACTGCCTTCGCAAATGGGATAGAACTTTATTTAAGTTATTCGTTTCGTATATTCATATTATTATAACTAGTTTCTATTTTAAATTACTACTTTTGCTGAAGTACACCAATCCTAAGGGATTAAGATCGAGAGCTTAGAAACACTCTTTGCTCTTTCAATTAAGCTATTTCCAGTAAAGCTTTTTCAAAAGCGTTAAGAAAATCAATATCTTAAAAATAGTCGAAGATCGTATTCATCAACAATTATATAACTTCCTGCTAAAAGGGATAAGAACAAATCACTAAATAAATGATTAAGGTATTTTTACTGTATTTCAAGATCTGCCAATTATTAAAAGTTTTAATCCTCATTATAGTCCCAGCTACTAATTTGATTGCATCACTAATTTTTGTTAATCTTTGATATTCATCTTCTTCTCCAAGCTGTTAATTATATTACCAAATTTATATACTGCTTCTTCAAACAATAAAGGGTTCATCTCGATGATATGAAAAAATACTTACTAAAATTATTTATTATAACTTAATTACTAAAGTAATAATAAAGTAATATGATAAAATAATTACAAAAAACCTAATGCTAGCAATTACATTTAAGAAGAAATGGTAATTTTATGAATATTTATTTTGAGTCTTATAATGAATTCTAATTGATTACAATGAATTTGTATTAACTCTCCTTTACTATATTTGAAAGCTTAGTACTTACTCCTCTTTCTTAAATATTATTAAATTTGAAGTTTGACTTGGAATCAACTGAAATTGACGAATTTTTAAATTTGGTTACAAAATATTCAGGCTTATAAAAATTTTGAGTAAAAAATATAAATATTATAAATGCAAATAGCTAAGCCAATTATTTATGGAACAATAGCAACTTGGCTTGGAAGAAGATCTGATGAAAAGAAAACACATTCATGGATTTGCTATGTTAGAGGGGCTAATAATGAGGACTTATCCTATTTCATTGACAAAGTGATATTTGTATTACATAGTTCATTTGAAAATACAAACAGAGGTAAAATATATAATAAACATTTTAGTTGTATCTCAACATCCATTTGTAATTGCTGAAACAGGTTGGGGCTAATTTGATATCATAATAAAAATATATTTGAAGGGAGATTATGATCAACCATTGATTGCCGTACATCCATTAAAATTATATTAAAACTAAACACAAAATATCCCATTAACAAAAAAACCTGTTGTAAGTGAATAATACGATGAAATTGTCTTTATTAACCCTAAGGTAATGGATCAATACTATCCTAGCCTGAACTCTTAGAAATATTAAATGCCAAGCCTAACTAAGAGAATAATTAAGTAGAAGAGGAATCCCAAGTTGATTAAAAGGAGCCTGATTTTGAATAAATGACTCCTGCATAAATATTAAAATACAATCAACCCAATTTCACAGTGTTTGACATAAATGAATCTAAGGCAACAATTGAAAAGGCTATTTAAATTGTAAGCCAAGACATATTAGCTGATTATAAAAGAAAAGTATCATAAGTATTAATAAATTAGAATCATCAATTAGACACAGAAATCTAAGAATTGTAAATTGAATATGAAAATTTGCAAAACAAATTATCCCAAACACAATAATGAGTTTTATTTTTATATAATCATTCTGTTGATTATCATTGCAAAAATTTATCTTTTTTTTAAATATAATATAATAATAATTATTTTTTAGCCTCACTTATTTTCTACTTTGCTTGTAATAATATACTCAATATTATATATTTTATGAAGTCAGAGTGATTTAAGATCATGGTTTTCTCATTTGTTATTTATTATATATTCTCTCAATATTTCTCTTAATAATCTTCATAATTTATAATAGTATTTATATATATTGTAAAATTGATAGTTTAATTGAGTTTACTTTTTTCTTTTGCATTATTGCTTCAGTTTCTTAAATCTCTCAACATAATCATCACAGTTCTATGAAGAATGAAGAAGCAACATTTATGTTATCAATGAAATACAATAATACATAATTACAGATTATTATTTTAGAATTAATAATCTATGGGGTTTTATAATATTTTATTTTATTTATGATATGACTCTCATAATTATGGATTTCTGAAATTCTTTCCAGCATAAACAGCTTTGCTTCCTAATTCTTCTTCAATTCTAAGGATTTAGTTATACTTGGCTGTTCTTTCAGATCTGCATGGAGCACCAGTTTTAATTTATCCAGTTCCCAAACCAACAACCTAGAATAAGAATGAAATCATACCAAATCAGCAATGAAATTGTCTTCAGTTTCTCCTGATCTATGACTGACCATAACACCAAATCCATTCTTTTATGAAAGATTTGAAGCCTCAATGGATTCTGTCAATGATCCAATTTGGTTGACTTTCAACAAGAGAGCATTGCATGCCTTTCTATTAATAGCTTCTTGAACTCTAATTGGATTGGTAACCAAAAGATCATCACCAACAATTTGAACTTTCTATCCAATTTTAGCTGTGAATTAAGTATATCCTTCCCAGTCATCTTAATCAAATGGGTCTTCAATGGAAACAATAGGATGTGATGACACGAACTTAAGATATAACTCAGTCAATTATTAGACACTTAATTTCTTGGATCCATCATTCTTGGCATTCTTGAAATCCAAATCATAAGTGTTTTTTTCAAAGAACTCAGATGCAGCAACATCCATTCCAATATCAACTTTGCCTGTATGTCCAGCCTTCTTGATAGCATCTTCTAATAATTGAAGTGCTTCATTTGGATCTTAAATTGAAGGTGCAAATCCTCCCTCATCTCCAACATTTGTAGCATCCAATCCATACTTAGATTTGATGACACTCTTTAAGCTGTGATAGACTTCACATCCAATTTGAATAGCATCTTTGAATGATTTTGCTCCTGTTGGCAAGATCATGAACTTAGAATTATTATGTATTTTATACTTCTTGCATAGCTAATTTATTTCCAGCATGCTTTCCACCATTGATGACATTAAGTGAAGGCACTGGAGTGACGAATTTGTCTGTTCTCTTGCCTGCCAATTGAGCCAAGTACTAATAGAGTGGAACATTCTATTCGGCTGCTCCTGCTCTAGCCAAACTCAATGAGACTGCCAATATAGCATTGGCTCCTAACTTACTCTTTGACCATCCATATTTATTTTTGCTTCCATCTAGCTATTCAACAATAGATTTGTCCAATTTAGTTTGTTCGGTCACATTCTTACCTATCACATTATTCTATATATTTACCAACCAAAGCTGGTCTAATGATCTCATTTACATTAGCAACAGCCTTAGCAACACCTTTTCCAAGGTATCTTGATTTATCACCATCTCTCAATTCCAAAGCTTCATAAATTCCAGTTGATGCACCTGAAGGCACTGCTGATCTGAAAACACCCTTTGATGTAATTACGTCAGCCTCAACTGTTGGATTACCTCTAGAATCCAAAATTTCTCTTGCTATAACATTCTTGATGCTTGAGAATCCACCCTTGATTTTCATTTAAAAAGATATTTTTAATCTATATAATTAAAATTTATGTATATTAATTTCTCAACACTCCTATTACAATAAGATTTTCCATTCTAAAATTTAGATATTGTATATATTTATTATTAACTCTCTCTAAACATTAGATTCTTAATAACTGCATTCCTTTTATTATATAGATTTTCTACCCTTCCCACAACTTTATCCATCAACTTAAATTATTTTGAATTATCTGTTTACACTCCTTCATACATCAAACATTCTAAAATAAATTGTATATCAAATTTTATCAGTATTAACTTCAGTATTTAAAGATGGCTTAAAATTATTTGAAAACTCTACCAGAATAATACATGCTTTAAGATTGTTATTTCACAAAATAAGAAACTATATTCAATTTTAACAAAAATAGTGCTCAATATTGTTTCTCCTGATTTGGTACTTTCTTAATATATTATATCAAATATTAAGAGAGAAAAGGATTCTTATTGAGAGAGTGTAGAATTTATATATATTCCAATACTATGTGTTAGTAGGGTGACATTTTTTGCAGTTAATTTAATTAATTTATGAATTAATGTCTCAATAAATTATTAGGGTCTCTTGATCACATATACGAAGCCTTGTTTCAGAAAATAATTGAAATATTTGCTAGGCGAGGAATCATTAGACCATTAATTAGAAGACCAGCAGTCCCAGTCATAGAACTATAACCAATTGATCATTCATTAAAATAACCATTAGTCTTGCACTCTTGTACTTCAACACCTGTGTTTGCTTAAAGCTAGTCTATATATCGTAGAGCAGAATCAGAGAAGGATTTTAGAAAATGTGGGATACCGAAGTATATAATTGAATTAATCAAGTCTAGGTGACACAATATATAAAGTGGATTCCTATTCTAGAGATGTCAGTTTGTTAAATTTGTTTGAGGATAAACAGGAACAATGTTAAAATTTGAATCTATAGGATAACCATTAAAAAGGTCATAAATTGTAAACAATAATCGAGGAAAATAAAATTTAATAAAATATCCATGAGGGATGGCAGACTCAAAATTAATCACAGCAGATCATAAAATACTAGCAATAGTAATAAAATTGCAGTCCTTAAAATGAAAAATAATAGTAACCGATTGTAAACCATTAAGATTAAGATGAAAATGAGTAGTTTTACTCGATCATTGAAAATCCAGTCAAAATTACATAGTCAGAATAATATTTCAGTATTATAGATAGGAGTTCATTTCGACACAGTTTTAATAATTAATGTACTAGGAAATGACTCAATTAGTTTATATTTATATTGTTAAATTAATAGTTTTGATAACTAATGAGTAGATTAAAAACAAGTTCAATTTAAAAGTCATTAAAGCTATCATATCATATTAATCATGTAATTGAAGAAATGGTGTGCTCTCTAAAGATATCAATCTTAAGTCTAGTCAAAATGTAGAGCATTTTGGATAGTATAAATATATTGACTCATCTAATAAAAATACCCTGTTAAAAAGAATAATTCCTCAAATGATGGGGTGATATGATTAAATCAATACAATAAATTTAAACTTCTTATTATATTGTTATCGATAGATATATTTTATTATTTCTCAATTTAGTTAACAAAAATAGTAAGCTGAGAATAAATTATATTGTATTTTGCAATACGATTATCAAGATTAAATAAATGAGTGGAAGCCTCAGTATGAATTAAAATTAATTATTTATATAAATTGTAGGAAAAGGTGAATCACAATAAAATTTAAATTTTGTAATTCTTATTCTTTCATCACTAAAATTAAATGAGATATTATTTATATGTAATAACATTTTAATTACGCACGATTATTAAGATATCCATTTTCCAACTATAAGAATTACGGCTAGTTAACCTAAGTGAAGCTTGATAAAAGTTTGTTAGAAAATATTGAGAATAAGCAATATCATTTCATTTAGTACTTTAGATAAAATGGACATTTGGTTGCCTAATTGGATCCATTATAATTGATAGAGAGGTAAAAATGGATGTGATTCATAATTAGCAAGTAGAAAGAGATGCCAGGAGTGTTGGATTTCGGAATCAAATACAACGATGATATCAAGGTGAGCAACATATTGAAGAAGGATGTGAAGAGTGTTGAAGAATTGGAAGAATATATAAACAAATTGTACGCATAGAGTGTGGGAGTAGAATTTGAATAAATCGAAGATCCAGAGGAGAAGTAATGGCTACATGAGAATTATGAAAAGTTTATGAATGAAGAAATTACATAAGCCGACAGAGTTAGTATTCACAACTTGTTGGTGCAAATGGAAGCTATAGATCATTATTATCATAAGAAGTTCACCACTTTTAAGAGGTATGCTGGAGAAGGAGGAGAAGGTGTGATTGTGGCTTTGAGAGCAATATATGGTTAAGCGGTGGAGATGGGAATCACCGATGTGGTATAATCAATGGCACACAGAGGAAGATTCCCCATAATGAGTAGTTTGCTAGATTACCCACCCAGCGATATTTTTAGAAAAATCATGGGGGAAAATGATTTGCCCTAAGAATACACTTTTGGTGTCGATGATGTAGTTCATCACTTGTCAACATCGAATAAAAAGAAGTTTAACAACAAAGACTTAACAATAACCGTTGTCCATAATCCATCTCATTTGGAGGCTGCTAATCCCGTTAGTTAGGGAAAGGCAAAAGCTAAGTAAGATGATTATGGTAATGTTGATTAAGTTTTAAATTTATAATTACACGGGGATGCTGCATTTGCAGGTTAAGGGATTGTTTATGAAAGCATGTTGCTTTCTGGATTAGACAACTATTCCAATGGTGGAACTGTTCACATCATCCAAAATAATTAGATTGGATATACAACCAATATAAGGGATTCTCGATTTTCAAGATATAGTTCGGATCTGCTATTGGCCTACAGATATCCGATTCTTCATGTCAATGGAGAGGATGTGGAAACCCTCCATAAGGTCTCTAAATTTGCAGTTGAATACAGACAGAAATTCAAAAAGGATATTCTGATTGATGTCGTAACCTACAGAAAATATGGTCATAATGAAGTGGATGAGCCTTCCTTTACTTAACCGAACATGTATGAGAAAGTGAGGAAAGTCAAGTCTTTACCTGTGAAATACAACTAACAACATTTCAGATAGGAGGACTATGAGAAAATCAGATAGAGAGTGTTTGCTTATTTGGATTCTGAATATGAAAAGGCTAAAACTATGAAGTAGACATTGGCCAAGGTGACAGATGAAAAATCAAAGGGGTCGAAGGCATTTACATAGAAATGGAGTAAGATGAAATTCAGTCAGTTTTGTGGATAGGATGCAAAGACTGGATTAAATAAGGACTATTTAGTCAATTTAGCTAAGTAATCAGTTGTTATTAAACCAAACTTTAATTTACATCCTAGATTGTAGAAATATTTCATTGATGATCGTTTAGATTAGATTCAAAAGAATTCCATAGATTGGGCAACCTGTGAAACTATTGCTGTTGGATCTTTATTGGAAGAAGGATTTAATGTAAGATTGAGTGGAGAAGACGTTGAAAGAGGAACCTTTAGTTAAAGACATTGGGCATTTGTAGATTAGAAAACAGAAGAAAAATGGATTCCTATGTAGAGTTTCGCAGATGCCAAAATGCAAGGAAGACTCTAAGTTGCCAATAGTCCTTTGGCTGAAGCTTCCGTAATGGGCTATGAGTTCGGCTATTCTTTAGAAAACCCTAGCAATTTGGTTATGTGGGAAGCTCAATTCGGAGATTTTTACAATACTGGATAACATATGTCCGATACTTTTATAACATGTGCAGAAGAGAAATGGATGAGACAAAGTAGTTTGGTGTTGCTCTTACCACACGGATATGATGGTGCAGGTCCTGAGCATTCAAGTTGCAGAATGGAAAGATGGTTATAATAAGGAGTATAAAATTAAAACTTCTAATTCGCAATCCCATCCAGTCCCAGTTCCATATTCCACATTTTGAGAAGATAAATGCATAGACAATTTAGAAAGCCTCTAGTGATTGCCAATGCCAAATCATGTATATAATATTATTATATCTTTAGTATTGAGATCAAACAAGGCAAAGTGCACATTCGAAGATTTAGGTGAAGATAAATCCTTCTAAAGAATTATTACTCATTAATAAGGGGATCGTCCCAATAAAGTGATATTCACATATGGAAAATTTGTTTATGACTTGTTAGAATAATTGGAAAAGAAGAATGCTAGTAATTACGTGATTTTTACATTTGAATAATTGTTGCCATTCCCTAAACATGAATTGGAATTGGGATTAAAATAAATAGATAAGGATGTTAAATTCTACTTTGTCCAAGAGGAACCCCAGAATCAAGGTGGTTTTAATTATTGTCAATTACAAATCGACCAAGTTTTGACCTCTTTGCAATTTACCAATAAAACCATAAATTATATAGGCAGACCTGAATGTCCCAGCGTTGCAGTCGGAGCAAGTGTTCTACATAAATAAGAATTACAAAACATTGTTAAATAGATTGTTAGTATATTATGATAAATTATTAAAAAATTTATTTTTATGCAGGCAGAATTCGATGTAGAAAGACCTTCTTATTAATAATTAAACGAAGAAACACCAAAATCAACTTGCTTGTATTACTAAGATGATCCAATAACGTTGTATAATTAAGTAAACTATGCATTAATTGTTATAGTTTATCAGATTATACAATTAAGACATCAATCAAGTAAATGGGATTAAATTAGAAGAGATGAAGCCTAGCAAGGCTGTGCAATTCGTTCACAATTATTTACGCAATTTAATTGGTTCATTTGTTTTATTCATTATCTTACTGATTCCTATATTGAACATTGGTTTTTACATTTTGATTGTGTTCGCTTCTATAAGTTTGAATTAGAATTATTTGATCTTCAGGAAGAATATAAGTAAAATGTTAAATCGACTACTTAGGTTTGGTTTTAGACCCTTTTGGCAACATGGTAGAAAATTAAGACATATGTGTAATGATGAAAAAAAATTATCTGATGTTTAAACTTGATATAAAAGAAACAGAGGGACTTCATTTTTCTAAGAATATCAAAGAGATGATCAAAAATAGATCTAGTGGGGCTGGCGACAATAAAATCGAATTTACTATTTATAACCAAAATTTGAAGCAAGATTATTATGGATTTCCAAATCATCGATGCAGCTATTTAGTATGGGGTCTTAGCAGCTGTCTCATAATTGTTGCAGAATTTGTTTTTCTTATAATCTTAATAAAATTGGTAGGCCAGGAGTGAAAATTATGTTTTATGTGTATTAAGTAAATAATTGAATGAACAAATGTCATTTCAATATACATCTTTTAATATGAATCTCAGAATATCTGAAATTGTGATTATGGCTTGAATTTATCTGTTTGGAGACAAACATATCAAAGCTGAGCTATCTGATAAAACCAGATTTTCAACAACCTTATAAGACTAATTTAGTTACTTCTTTTATGGTTTAATCCATACTAAAGAATTGTTTAGAATAGTATTAATAGGCTGGTATTCTTGCTTTTTCAGTTTACAAGAAAACTAACAATTAGGAGGCGGTCTAAGAAAACTATTGTTGTAGTGATGTAAGCTTACCAACTCAAATAAACCGTTTTTGATTATCAAAATGATGTCTCTTCTGTTGATTTATCCCACATACTCCTCATTGCTATTAACAATCGGGATGATATAAGACTTATGATTGTGCATCATAGTATAAAATACTCTTGTTTAAAATTCAATAGATACTAATAAACAGTTTCATTCTCTTTACAAGTTATAATTTCCTTTTGTCGATTGTAATTAGAGAAAAACACCTTGATGCTGACTTAATGTTAAGATAGAATATTATTTTATTATTTTAGGATTGTCCCTAAATATTGAGTAAAGCCCTTGATTAAAAATGACAAGATGTCCTTTTGGTGAATCACTCCTTGGAACATTAGTGTTTCCGGATCAACAACGAAGAGTCGGCTGGTCCCCGACTTCACTATTTTCACACAAGCATCGTATAATCTTTCGTCATTTCTCCCCTGAACAAATCCAATTTGAGATTCCAACTATTTTGAATAAAAGTGAGCAATTACATCGTCCTTCAATATGCGATTCCATTGTCTGATGGAAATAGTTTTCATCTCATAAATTAATCTTAGTTTTTGGTCGTCGTTCAATTCCCTCGGCTACTATTTCTGAGATTGACTCTTTTAGGTGCTTTCTTCCTGGTCTTCGCTTTCCTCCTCAATTACATTGAATAAGGGGCCAGACTGTTATACTTAATTAAATTTAATATTATACATGAAGATTTATTGTTAAATGCATTTTCGTATAATTTCAACAACACCTTTATCAAGTCTGAGTGCGTGAATACTCCATCATAATTCGAAATGTCTGAACTCCAAAATAACGTTTCTTCCAAGTTCTCCTCAACGAAAATCTAAAATACTTCCCAACAAGTGAATGTCTAATCCAAAACAATCAGCTTTTAATTATTATCATACCCATACCTAATTGTGATGAGCCAAACAATCGTAGAGAGTATTGTCTTTTAGAAATTAAGTAATCGTGTCTTTGTATTTGCTAATTTCTTAAGTTGAGATTTATAATTAATTCATAATATAAATTTTATATCATTAATTGAGCTCTTTGCTTATTGAATCAATAAATCCTAAATTCTACATTTCATTTATTGATAATCACTACTCAAGCACAATAACTCCTGTGATCATCCAAGCTTCTCTCACTTCTCAAAGCTCATAATTTACCATTTTGAATGGCATTTATTAATTGTAAATTGATGTATTTAATATAGCCTTATTAATCTTGGTTTTCTTAAGATCTTCTTAATAAATTAAACTTAATAGGAGAATATAAAAATAAATAATCTTTGATTCCCAGAATCTTTATGTGGTTTAAAATTAATTACATATATCTTTCATCAACTCCCAGATTTATTTTAAATAATGTTAATTTTATACCACTTGCTTGTTACTATTCATAAATATTTTGAATGCCCTCTCATCATATCTATACAAGATTAGTCTAATTTAATCCCTTGAAGATATAAATATGAGCATAGAAGATTTAATTAAATCTTAACGCTGTCCAATATCAATATATTCTGATATTCTAATTTAATTATTGTCATATTTTCATAAATTTATTTATATCAATTCTAAATACTAATAGAGATTGTCAGGTGTATGACATAAATAATTGAATTTATTTGCTTTTCAATTATAGAAGATCATTACCTAAATAATATTTCTTGGTCGGCTATTTTGCGTTTGTTAATTAACATTCACATAATTATTTTAAATATTGTTTTAAATGGTGAAAAATTCTAATAAAAAATAATCATTTTGGCTCTTTTAATTAACCAAGCCATTATAATATAATGGTCATGTCTTCAAATACTCCCTCTGATGATATCCAACTAGATTTACATTACTTATACAAGGATTCACAAGCAGATTAAATATCGCTGAGAGAAAAGCCACTTAAATGATTCTTTACATCGTCATCAACTTGATAGGCAAAGGTCGGTGATGTAGTTAATACTAAAAAGACATCCTAATTAGTTATGTCATATTCTCGAAAATTAGGTTCTGATAATACGCCTATATCATGGGCTATCAAATCGCCTATGCTTCTGGATACATGCAATTAGGGATACAATCTCCCTCTAACAAAGATGTATTCTTCTCCCTAAGGATTCTTTCTCACTTCTCCTCCACTATTAAAAATCCTTGTCTTTTCAGAATGATCACCAGGCGAATGAGTTGGTAATATTTAGGTGATGTTCTTAATTTGTTTGCCGTTGTGAATATGTTCCTTTTGGATGTAGACTCTATTGTCTCCGATTTATGCACAATACAATTTGGAATCCCTTTAAATGATAACTAAACTTAAGCATGTTCATAATACCTGTCAGAACACAACCACTGAGCAAAATGTTATGAGTGTCATCTAATTTCTTTTTCTCAATGTACAATTTTAGTTTGTCTTATAACTTTTTGAATAGAATCTCTAGTCCTCTCATGGGATGCGAATAAAATTTAGGAGTTCTGATTAGGTAATGAAATACCAATCTATAAGTGAGATTGCTAATTTATTCTCCGAACTTCCCATGGCCATTACTTAAAATGAAAATCTTCTAGAAACTGTCATTGTAGATTAGGTAATCTGAGGTTAATGGAGTTGAATCATTTTTATTTCCTTTTTTACTAGTGATTGCTATTCCGATTTGGTTTAATAATTGTTCGGGAGAGTAATCAGTTTATAGTTCTGATTTAGAGACATCTTTATGATCATCTCTAAAGGAGAGTTCCGACTCTTGTTCATCTAGACTTTATTATCTACATGCCAATTTGACTAGTTTGTCCTTTCCTGGCTGCAATAACTATTCACTATTTATAGTCCTTATATACAATTGATTTACAGGATAATGATGAGGTAAGGGTTGTTTAACTAATTGGATAGTTTGATTGATATCATTTATGTTAAGATTGGCTAAAAATTGTTAATCAGCATTAGAATTAATACTGCTTCTCCTTGATATTACTGCTTCTTCAGCCTATAAGATGCATTATTTTATTAATTTAGTGTCATTGTCTCTCTCCTCTTAAGAATCATCGCTTTAGAAATTATAAAATTTGCTTGATCTTTTATTATTGCATAATTATTTTTCTTCAATGTCGCTTTCTTCGTCACTGTCCGTAAAAGTCTTTTTCTTTTAATTTGAAATATGCATATTACTTGATTTAACTGATGAGCTCGGAGATTTCGATATTTATTCAATATCATCAGAAAACACAATTGAAGAATTTTATTCTTATTAAAGAGGTTATTTAAAGCTTTTATTCTGAATTTGTGATTCCATAAAGTTCTTAGTTTCTAAATTCTTAAGGATGGTCATCCTACCCATCCATTTTCTCGATAATTGTGATTATTCGATTCCAATGCCTTCTTCAATGAAGATGTCATTCTGCGCCTATGACTTTTGATGCTTTTATTCTTGTTCTACACTTGCACCACTTCCCATCGATTGATTCAATTATAATTTTATAATATGTTATTACCAATAAATAACTTATAAATGATATTGATTACATTTCAGATTTGCTTTAAGGAAGACTACTTGGCTCCCTCCCCAATCAAAACATTCGGTAATCTCCAAGCCTTACGAATATAAGAATGTGATACTCTAATGAATCTGTCCTCTCCCCCCGTTAACAACAAGTTTTCGCTCTCAAAATTCCTTATCTTACTAACTTAATTAATGTGTGCATTTATTATAACTTAAATAGATCGCAAATTGCTTACACAAAGACGAAAAGTCTGAACTATCATACGCCGTGACTGAACCATCCTTATTGCCAACATAGATCATCTGTCTACTCTCCGAGTGACTGATTTCTTTACTCTCTCATAATTAATTTATTGTCTTACTTGCACTTTCCCTTTCCCCTTCTGCAAAACCGTGTATGTTTCTGTTTCCAAGATCAGTATTACCCCATTCTGATTCACACAGTACAATTTATTGTTGCTTTTTGCAATCCCCTTTATATTCTCTATGTGAGTATCGAATTTCAGTAAAAGGGACATTTTCTAATTCTGCAGTTCGTAAACAAAGATGGCCCCAACCTAGTCATAAACATATGCTTTTTCATCGCTGATCAACATTCCATCCAGATCTTTTAGAGTCTGATTAACTAAGAAAATGTTTTTATTCATCGAGAAAACTCTTTAAATGCATAACACAATTAATACTTGAATTCAGATTCGCTTACAGAACATATGCAACCACTTATCAAATGGACAGCCAGCACTTTTGATGAATGTTAGTTGTATTCCTTAAATGATGCTATTTCATTTTATTGATTTAATAGGAATAAAGTAAGTGTACCATCTAAGAATCCAACCACAACAGTATTCTCAAGATGATGAAAACAAGTAGTTTACTTAATGAACGAGTGCGTCCACTCTTTCTTGAAAACTTCTTCTTTTTAAAGCCAACATTCTAAAGTTCCCAATGCTTATGAATTCTGATTGACTTTATTAAAGATGGAAGGCACACTCTTCTTCTCGCTCCCCAAGACGAGCATCAGACCCATGTCAAAATTAATTGAAAAGTCTTTGATTGGTTGGCCAAGACCTTCGAATTCATAAATCATTTGGATAGTTTGGGCCAATCCCAAAAATGATTAAAATTGATAAGATTTCACTATTCGAGGGTTCTTGTACAGCTCCTTGATGTAGACATCGAGAGCCTTTTGCCGTTTTTCCAATTGCTCGATAGACTTGCCAATAAGCACCGTCACATATTGTTTGGGTGGTAAGTTGGGCAAAGGATAGTAGGGCAGCAAAGACTGATGGAGTTCCTCGAATTGAGAAAATCTATTACTCTAAAGTAATCAATACCTTTTTTGTAGAACAGTATTCTCGAATTACACAACATAGTATATAACATTATTTTGATTTTCATAGCCCACAACAGAAATCATAAATTAATTACAATTTCAATAGTAACACACACATATAGTCATCGTCTGTTATTTTTCTTATTAAAATTATAACATGTAAAATTTTCAAGAGGAAACTCTTGTGCGCTCACTCATCTCCAATATCTGCAGACCCATAGTTGAAAAGTAATCAAAGCATCCTAATATAGAATTGAAAATATTCAGAAGGAAATCGAATGCATCCAGTTCTCCATCCATCAGCACGACAGAAGAATAGATATTTTGTCAGATAAATCCGATCAATCAGCATATGACAAGTAATACCCTCTCACTTATAGTAGCAAACTCAATAACGATGCAATTAGCAATCTCCGAAAGAATATCCAGGATGATGAACAAAAAGTGTTTGATATGGAAAGGCATTTCAATTTGGAGTTCAATAAAACCCGATTGGAATAGGGAGCCATCAAATTGGAATAAGAAAACCAAAAGAAGGAGATCAAAATCTTAGGTGACGTCCAACAGAGCTTAACTGAGAGACTTGAAATATACAATAATTATCTAAGTCAGAAATTGTATCAGCAAGAATTTTCAATTAACAATGTCGACACTTCAAATTCGAAAGTGGTCAAGCAGTTAACTGAAACTAATCTCAAAGTATCTAATCACCATAAAATAGAATCAAGAAGATATATCCTCTCTAAACTCATAAACTAAAGATCTCTTATCCAAAATTTAATACAATGAATAAGAGATCCTCAAAATTCAATGTAGTAAATAATGGATGCAAGATATGATCGTAGAATTAAGATAAAAATCCCAATTCTTTTTGACTATCGATCAAATAGATGTGGTGTAGCAGTAATAAACACCCATAAGAATTCAACCTATTAATAATAATTCAACAATCTAAAAGTATTAATCACATTTTTATTAGTTAAGTTGATTTAGAAGAAATTTAAGAAATTATTGATGATAAATTTCTAGAACTAACAAATGTGATTAATACTTAAATTCAATAATCTCAAGAATAACTTAAAACCTAATTAGATGAATTCAAAATAACATTAGTTAAACTTAAAAACGAATGTGCCAAAAATGTCTAATCTATCGATTCCTATATTAAGGATTCAAATGAAAAAATACAAAATGCCATAAATGTAGCCTAGGATTCAAAAATAATGTCAAAATAGCGAATTAACCAACTTGATGAATTAATCTAAAAATAACTCCAGAAAATTACTTTAGATATTTAAACTATTTAAACCAATATAACTGGACTGGATCTTAGAATGGCTGAAACCCATATAAAAGTAGTTAATGTATAAGAAAAATAACATGAAATACAAGTGCATCAAACATCATTTTAATATCTGCATAATCAAAATGAAGTTCTAAATTATATGCCTACGAAACAAGATTCATTGTATTCTGATTCCTTTCTAAACAACAATGTAGCTGCTTAAAAAATGCCAAAAACAGAGGAAACTATTTAAGCTTAACCTGCTTAATAGATTCAAATGAAAAAAAAAGTAGAAGTCCAAATTTAGGAAACTGAATAGATGATGCCGATAACTATATAGAATTTGGATGAGGAGGATCTCTATACGAAGAGCCTACCCAAAATTCAAAATGATATTATTAAACTTAAGTCGGACTTTTTTAATGAATAACAATACAATCAAAATCAAATGGCTAAATTATTGAAATAAAAATCAATCACTGATTAATCAATTAAAGATATTGATTAATAATTAAGATAGTTTAATTAGTATTTCAATGTGATTTTCTCTTTAATTTTACATAATGAATTAATTGGAACAGATAATCAAGCAAAAATCATAGGAAATGGATTTAAATTTGAATTCATACCCTTTCAATAAGACGAAAAAACAATCATGAGTTATTAAAATAATAAGATTGCTAAGGTGGATCTACTGATGAAAACTATCACTAGTAGTCATTCCATTATTAGAAAATAAAGATAAAATACATTCGATTTCCAATAAGATAATAAAAGGAGACTTGAAACTGAGACAAGTCGAGAATTAAAAAGTACAATTTATACATATCATAATAGCCATGTATAGCAATAAGAAGTATAGATTATGGGATGACAAATAAATCACTTAGACTGAGAGACTTAATTTATCTGTGGATGCTAATGCATATTAACAATTACCAAAGTAGAAGGTAAAGAAGGTTCTCGTGAAGTATAAGAGGTTATTAAGCTGATTTATTAATTTATATTATAATATAAAGGATTGACATGGAAAATTAATTAATAGCATTCGTAGGGGATCCTGCAGTTGGGAAGACTTCAATTATTAAATATCTAAAGGGATTGGAATTCGAAGAGGATTATAGTCCAACAGAATAAATAGAGAGCACAGATGTCACGATTCAAAATAATGAAACAATTACAATTTATGATACTCCAGGAAATGCCGCAGAAAGAAAATAGGTTATTGAGATGCTAAAGAACATCCACGTAGTGTTTGTGTGTTTTGATGTTGAAAATATAGATTCATTTGATTCAACATTATAATGGTTAGATGATATCAAAAAATAAATAAACAATTCAATGTAAGTGTGTCTGGTGGCTTGTAAAATTGATTCTGATAACAGATAGATTTCTCAAGAGCAGGCCTTTGAATTTATTAATGATTATCCCAATGTTGAATATTTAGAAGTGAGTGTAAAGACAGGAGAGAACATGGATATGCTCATAGATGTAACTCAAATTAATTATATCTCAGAAAATACCCGTGACTACACCTTAAGGGGATGGAGATTTATAATAGTCTTATAGAACCCAATAATCGAATAAGCAATCTGAAAAGCCTGTTCACAGTCCTGAAAGATAATCATAGACATACAAATCTCAAACTAGTTTGCTAAATAAGGAGGAACCCTTGTGGAAAGTCTATGACTTTTTATTTCCAACTGGGAGAGTGGCTAAATTAGTAAAGATATCAGATGTTGATGCCAAAAATCTGTCCATTCAAGATATTTTGTTCAAATTGCAATTGAATTAAAGTTATCCAGTTGTAAATTTGATTGGAGCCAAGGAAACCAATAAGGGGAAATTCTATGCAGGGATTGCTAGGGCTTGTTTTAATACTGTATCCAATTTGATCTTATTTGAATTTAGGATGCTGTCATTGTAGATAGTGGGATCTCAACTGGAATTGAAAAGTATGTGATCAGAAGAGGAGTCAAATTGATAGGAGTGGCTCCAGAATAAGAGGTCAAATATCCGAATTAAAGCACTGGATTCATTGATCCTTATGAGATTAGCAACGGACATACTCATATATTTCTGCTAAGTAATCAAGATTCCATTATGTGTTTAGATAACAAGGAGAAGATGATGGTTTTTGGATTGGAAGGAGTTTTCAAGATAAATTTGTGTAAAAAGTAGAATATTGAGTTTATTTGTAATTTAGATTGGCTGAAGGGAGGTTGGCAAAAAATGGTTAGAGGGAGAGTTTGAAAGTAGTGCACATTCTTTTGGGGGAACAAGAAGGGTTTTTGAATGAATTGCAGTAGGCAGTTATGGCCAATCATCCGATCATAGTGATAAAGGGATCTCCTTTGTGTGATTAATACTTTTAAAATTATAATAATCCTCATGCGAACTATTCAAATGCAAGTAAGGGATTTGTGTGTTTATAAAAATAGGTTTTGGATAATTGGTGAGGAAGGGCCACTTTTATGGACTAAACAGTTTGGATTCAGAAGATATTGCCCAATATGTCCACTTCTTTTTGACAGTGACTCCATATAATTGATTAATTATTCTTATGAATTGTAAATTTACGAAATCATATTTTGATGATTCAAAGCCTGCTGATTCATTTTGGATCAAACAGCCTCTCGTGATTGAGGAATCTAAAATAGATTATTAATGTCTATTGTTCAAGAAAAGCTACAAAACGGGGTTTTGGGTGAGTAGAAATTACTTAATCTATGATTCCAAACTCATCAAGGTCAAAGTAATTGTCTTCTTGTTACCTTAGCCGAACGTAAGACAATGTCATATAGTAAATCTGAACTTGTCTAGAATTCAAAAGTTAAAGTATGAAAATAAACAAGAGAAGGAGAGCTTCAATAAGGTTAAAGTGCCTATTCAATTTTTTAGAAGAAATACGGGTTTCGTGTCATCCGAAATAATCAGTACAGAGAGCTCTACAGTAGATCAAAAGAACTGAATTAATTACTATGGGAACATTTAAGAAAGTGTGCTATTCTCACTCAATTTAAGGAGGATTACTCGTTGGAGAAGATGGTCGGCAAGGGGAACTTCGCAAAGGTGTATCAGACTATAAACAAGGAAACCAAAAAATTATATGCTGTAAAAGTATTTGAAAAATCCAAAATAAAAAATTCTGAAACTGACCGATTAGCCTTGGTAAAGGAAATGACCATAATGAGAAAGTTAGACCACAAGGGTCTAATTAAAATGTATGAGGTTTATGAAGATGATTCCAATGTCTTCTTTATTTTAGAGTATTTGGAAGGTGGAGAATTACATAATCACATTTAAAAAAATTAAAAATTCCCTGAAAAAGTAGTTGCCAAAATTCTAGCTACAGTTTTAGATTCATTAGATTATTTATAAAAATAAAATGTGTTGCATAGAGATTTGAAACCAGATAATTTAATCTTAAGAAACAAAGGAATCTTGGATGATGTAGTTATCACTGACTTTGGATTGGCTGACATTTATTCTTCTACTGGAAATTACATGTTCTCAAGATGTGGGACTCCAGGATTTGTGGCTCCTGAAGTATTATAGGATAAACTCTATGATTACAAAATAGATATATTTAGTGTCGGTTGTCTAATGTACTTGCTATTAACCCACAAGTAAGCATTTAGAGGGTCTAATTATGATGAAATAGTGATGAAAAACTATCATTGTAAAGTAGACTATTAATCGATTGATAACGATATATCAGCTGATGCTATGTCTTTATTAAAATAGCTTCTTCATTCAAAATCATCATGCCGACCTTCCGCAAGACTAGCACTTAAGCATAAGTGGTTTTAAACCAATTTAGATGAAGTTCGCTTCAAATAATTAAATTGTGATCTCTCTGAAACTAAGGACTCTACAATGAAGTCGAGTTTAAGTGATATCCCTTTCTTGTATCTGAATAAGAATAAAAATTCTAAATTAAATTTCTCGACTCCTCAATAACATTAGATTATTCAGAAAAACAAAGAATCGTAATTATTCACTCCTTAAGCTATGCTCCAAATTGATGAGTCTTTAGATGATAACATCAATTCCCTTAAGATATTGGATGATACTATTACAGATATTCAGGTGGAAGAGGAATCTCCATAATCCCATCTTCTACCTCAATATCAACTTATAAGCAAAATGAAATTAGTTGTAGACTCAAAAGCCTCATCACTCTATGGGTCTCCAATGATTTTGGTAATTATAGATTCCAATTATAATATAGAATACTCCTGATGTGACGGCCAGGAAGCTAATATAAGGTAATCAAAAGGATGAGATTGCACAGATTCAACCTCAAAAAATAGCTAATAAAGTAATGAATAATTTAAGAAGTCTTGAATCTTAATGATGATTATATATTGTTTCTATGAGATTTATAAATTAATCGAATAAAAAGTACGTCATTATTAATGTTAAATAAAATCCTAAGATCAATAAACAAGTTTTCAACTGTGTATCCAAAAAGGAATTTCAACATCGATTACTTGTAGGACGTAGAAATCATCACAAGAGATTATTATGGTAGTTTAAGGAATATCTTAAAGTCATTCTCAAATCATAAGATCAATCTTTATGATATCGAAACCCTAAAATTGAATAGAACAGCCAAGTATTCTTTAACTACTATAAAAGAGGCTAGAAGATAGTGGTAAAGCTCACCTTTGAGAAGGTTGAAGATTATAAATTTAATGAGTTGGTTTTTGACTTGTAGTAGAGATATGACGAAGTAGTCATTGATAATGATTCCTAAATTCCCACAGTTCCTTGGTACCCTAGAAATGATGAAGACTTAAAAACAAGTACTTTTTACAATCATATACTAAGTTGGACTAATCATGTAGGTAAATGAAGAAAACAACTAAGATCACCCTTAATTCAAAGATTAGGAATATAGAAAAAGGAGAGAAGAAATAGCAAAGATTTCATAGGCTCATATGGTGGGAGAGCCAGTACCATATATAAATTACACCTAACAAGAAGAAGAAACGTGGAAAAAGATATACACAATTTTAAGAGGAAAGGTTGACCAAGTGATGTCTTAAAGATATCTAAATAATTTAGCCAAGATAGAAAATGCTTTGGGATTTAAATACAAAATTCCTTAATTGAGAGACATAGATGCTTATCTGAAGGCAGAAACTGGATTTAGGATTAAAGCAACTCATGGAATTTTAAGTCAAAGAGAATTTTTAAATTCTCTAGGACACAGAGTTTTCTGTTGTACTCAATACATCAGACATCATTCAACACCCGAATATACTCCAGAACCAGATATTGTTCATGAATTAGTGGTATTTATAGAGTGTAATTTATTAGGGTCATGTACCATTATTTGCAGATAAAGAAGTAGCTGACTTATCTTAAGAGATTGGTATTCTTTCATGTGGTGCAGAGCAAAAGGATTTATCAAGACTAGGGACCTTGTATTGGTTTACTCTTGAGTTTGGGGCCTGTAAAGAAAATGGACAAATTAAAGGATATGGTGCAGGAATTGCTAGTTCTATTGGAGAATGTGAAGTAAGAGATTGCTTATATCATTTAGCATTTCCCTAAAGCTAAATATGAAAAATTTGATCCTTTTGTACATGCAGATAGAGCCTACCCAATATAAACAGTATAGCCGACTTATATGTATACTGAAAACTTTGAGGAAGCGATGCAGAATTTGATTATCTTTGGTAAAAGTCTATAAAAGCCTTTTGGATTGTACTATGATCATATAGAGAGAGAATTAAAGGCCACAAGAAGGATTAAAACTCATCTTAATAGTCAATGAAAGTTTCTGTATTCAAAATATAATACATATAATTAATTTGTATTAAATGTCAAAATTCAGTAAGAATATAGATTTCTTGTTGTAAATATTAATCGGTTGAAATACTTAAATAAATATATTAATTATGTCAAATTTGCTTGATAAAAGTAAATTTTTGATCAGAAGGATTAATAAGGTACTTCAAAATAGATTCTTCTGGCTTAAAATTATAATGAGACATAAAATTATATCTGTTTGAAAATATTTTAAATATTTCCTTTATTTTAAAACTGCTACTTCCAATATCATGGTCAGGGTCTTAAGGACTAATCAAAGAGAATTTATCATCAGGCGTAGGCTTATTAATAATGCTCCCTCCATTAACCATCAAAATTCGCTTTTTTTGGTAATCGAATTTCGAGCCATAAAATTCTAGGAACCTCAAAATATATTCACCAAGAGTAATATTTTTTAGTTGTTCTTATTTCTTATTAGCAAAGGCTTCTTTTCGTATTTCTCTCAGGAATGCTAAAATCATTTGAAAGAGTAAGAAGGAACCTATTCCACCACTATAAGTTTCATTGAGTTCACGTTGTTTCAACATACATTTTAATATCATTATTAGGTATTTGAATTCGGGGTATATTGTAAAGGCTTTTTGAATTTCATCAATTTATCTAATGCCATCCATCTAATTGAAGGAGATATCAAATTGATATGAGGTCTCAACTTCAAAGAATTTTATTATTGGCACTTTTGCATTGGCAATTAGATTAACATTTTCAAATTTATCACTTTTCATCAAATTTTAAGCTACTTTTTTATATAATTCCTTTGCAGATATGTTTTTATCAATCATTACAACATCAATATCTGCATTGGGTAAGTAAAGTTTTGTCTTAAAACTACCAAATGCTTAGATATCTACTTGTGAAACACACTCTTTAACAAACGTTTCTACTCTCATTAAAGCCTACTCTCTTTTTCTATGCTCTTCAATCGTAGGAGAGATGTAATCATAAAACTCGATGATCTCATTGTGGAATCTAATTGTCGGATGTTTAATGGAGGCTGTCTTTTGACTAAACCAAGGAGTAATCTCACTGTCAAATTAGTTCTCATTTTACTTTATTTACTTTTAACTAAATTTGCAAATTCAATCTTACATTTTTGGTTCATCATCATCAATGACTATGGCTTGATTTTTGTTTTCAAAATTCTTTATTCTCAAAGAAAAATGTTTATGCTTTTCCTACATATTGAAGCAAAATTAAATTAATTTATTTATAAAATATTTAACCACTCTATATAAAATTAAGTTCGGTATATTGATGATTCATTAATATAAGTAATCATAAGGATTTCATAAATTATTAGAATTTGAAAAAGTACTATTTTAACTCCTTTGCAACTGATTTACAGATTTAAATATTGCAATCATAAGATCACAATAAATAGTAAAAATTAATAATCAAAAAGCATCGTTTTACATGATTCTCTGTTGTAAAACAAATAAATTAAAAGTTCAATAATATTAGAAACCCTTTGTTTATACCTTGGCTTTATTTCTAAATATGTATATAAAAAAGTAAAAACTTTATATCATTAAAATCAATGAAATCAATTTTAAATATTAATTTCTTGTTAAAATAGTCTAAATGGAATAAAAAGAGTAATGTCAGCAGTGAAAGTAGCAATCAAATATAAAATGAAGTCTGGATAGATTTCATTTGTTTTCTAATTTATTTAATTTTAAATTAATTGATATTAATCCTATTAAAACAAGGACTGTTTCCATGGTTATTTTATATAATAAAAAATTTTACTCAACACAAAGTTTATTATTTTTATAAAATTGATATCAAATATATTTTATGAATTATCTTCTATCTCGAATGTTTTTTACTCATTTCTCTATAGATTCTATCATATGTAATCTCCATCTCTCATATTTGATGCCAATTCACTTGACTTAATTTAGAACATATTATGGATATGGAATTTTCTTTTCGATTATCACCTGCGCAAAGGGATATTAAAATGTGCGATTAAATTGATGTGTTGATTAATACTTATATATATTGCAAATTTAAATCAAAGAACTGAACCAGCAGCTGATGCTATCTTTGGCCATAAATCAGCGGCTTCCTTTCCAACTGGGCCTGTAATTGCAGATCCCTTCATTTCACCCTTTGGATTGATAATAACTCCAGCATTATCTAACAATTAATTTCATAATTAACCTTCAAAGTAGATGTAATATCCTTCTCGACGTCTGTATGGTTTTCTTTGTCTTACAACAACAGCTTACATGACTAAGATAAATTAATCAATTACCCTTCTTTCTAAGTGCTGGCTTACCTTATTTGACTGAGCATAAAACCATATCACCAATGGAAGCAGATGGTAATCTGCTCAAATGTCCCTTAATTCCAAAAGTTGAAATCACGTAGATATTTTTTGCTCCTGAGTTATCAGCGCAATTGAGAACAGCACCGACATTGCAAGCAAGTGTAATTCTCAATTTAATACCAACTTGTCCTCCTCTTCCTCTCTTTGACATTGATAATTTTAATTAATTTTTAAAATAGATTTGTGAATAATTTAAGTCTTAATAATCTATAGATCAAATACATATATAAAAACCAATACATTTACTATTGAGGAAGGATTTGAATATGGAACTCAAACAAAAAAGTGATCATGCACAAGGATTATGATAATTATTTAAATTCTTCGAAATGTTGTTTTAAGAAAGACTAACATAAGGAAAATGCAAGCATATAGGAATTATTGTATTAGATACTATGAGAATTGCAACTTAATGCTTTATATTTTAATTACTACTCCTTAAAGAGTAGAATTAATTAATACTCAATATGAATCAACATTAAACGGCTTCATCGTCGTAGAATACACAAGTACATAAGGTTAAATTGGACTAGTAAGATCTATTAAGAAGAGAATGATGAATTTCTTTATAAGTTTATTTCTGAAATTTTTAATGTTTATTTCATTTGATGAAATAATTATAGTAATTATAATCATAAGAGGAGAAGACATGCAAAAGGTTTTTGGTGGCCAAAAGTGTTTCTTAAGAACATAGAATTAAAAGCAATGACAGTGGACCTTATAACATCTTTATGCCAACCTATGATGAGTATCTGTTATAAAATGGGCCAAAATTTACAGAAAATGGGGACTTGGTTTAACATTCAATTGTTGGTAAGAGTGAGTGGTTTAATAAACAAAAACTTGGGAAAAGACTTCAATTTGATGATTTGGCCTCTAAGCAATTACCATTTCATAAAGGAATAATCAGGTAGGATACAGCAGATAAAGGATCTGCACCAAAGAGTGAGTAAAAAAGCACAAAATTTGGGAGTAGTGCTAAGTTAAAGAAAAATCACAATAACAATTTAACAACAAAAAATCAACTAATTGAAGAATTGAATAAAATTATGCAGAGAATAAAAACCAATACAGATGTAGAAAAAGGGAAAGTAGAGTAGGTATGACGTTGATTTAATTAAGTTGGAACCATAATTGAAAAGGGTGTTGACAAAAGAAACTAGAGTTTTAAGTAAACATGAGGAGACTGAGAAATACTGGAACTACTTTACTGAAAGGCAGGCTTGTTTATTAAATAGGGATAGGATTAGTTCTCAATTGTTACAGGCAGAAAAATACAAATTAAAAAATGATACTGCATAAGTATTTAATGTACTCAATACTGATTACGAAAGAATTGGAGTCAATAATTGGTAAAAAACGTTGAGGAAATTTGAAAATTCTAAATCCAAGAAAATCAAAGTAAGAGGAAAAGAAATGATTATTGAAAAGGAATAAAAAGAAGATTTTATAGTTGTATAAACGCTTCAATAATTAGGGTTCTGATTTGCCTAGAGCTTTTAGTGAACAGTCCTTGGTGGGTAGTCGTTTAGAATATATATAAAAGCCAGAGGTTAAAGTTATAAATGAACCATTGGCTTTTAAGAGCTTCAAAAGCAATAAATACTTGCTACAAAGATTGGATGAAACTCAAGATTATTTTTAAAATTCATATATGATATCTCCAGATAAAAGAAATGATTTCGATAAACTAATTATTTTAGGCAAGAGTTAATTTGAAATTGAAAAAGAAATGCTCTTAAATGATGGTGGAGACAGTACAGGTGTGTATCGTAAAGACATAGATAAACCTCCAGATGAATATACAAAAGAGTAAATTTATGAACAACAATATGCAAATAAAGTTAAGTTAATTCTACCATAATTAGGAAAGTGGAAATCTAAAAAGTTAGGCCCATTAACAAATTAGAGTGAGAAATCTGAATTGAGTGATGAGTGGGTTGCTGATGACATCCTTAAAATCTGATAATTTATATATATATATATAGATATATTATTAATAAATTCATCCAAATTAAATTGCAATACTACCAGGCATAGATCTGTGGATCATCACTTCATTTTCTTCGATCATCAAACTCTTAAATTCTTATCCAAAGTAAGCATCCTTATTTTCATTAGTAAAACAAGCTTTTTATCCTTCAAGTTTTGGTTCTTTAAATAAGCATATTCTCAATTAAGCAGAATTTGGGTATCTAATGTCTAATAAAGCAATCTATTAAATTATATTTATATATGATTACTTCACACTTTCCCATCGATCCCAACAACTCAAACTATGCATTCATAAAATCCATTTGGTTGCAGATTACTGATGTGAAATAAAACACTTCTCCTTCACAAGCATTCCATAATAATACTACCACACATTTGGAAGTATCAGTTAAATAAATAGGATATTCAGCTGATGCGGACATTCCTTAATTTATTAAACATATCTCTGGTTTGTCTAAGAATAAATAATCATTATGAAATGAGGCAATAACTATATCTTAATTTTTATCTCTTTTGAATTTACTAACTCCCAATATTACTGTCTTGTCACTGTGAAATTTCACTGAATTAGCTTAAACATCAGGTAAATCCATTCCAATTTTTTAAATTGGATTTTTATTCCCACAGATTTATGTGCTTGCACCACTCCAATCACAATCCTTAAGGAAATTCAAACAAACTTTCCTTTATTCAACCCATTAACCTATTTCCCTTTTATTTGTTTCGCATTTTCCATTCCTTTATCCCTATAATTACAATAAATTGCAATAATCTGTTAAGGCCTTTCTATATTAATTAATTTGAATTATTACTTTAAATTTTATCCGATTTTTTAATATTCCTTGACTGATGATAATTATCCTTTTCCTTCCAATACTAATTCGCTTAAACTTTTTAATGTATATCTTATAGGAGTTGGTTCCAATTCAGTTTCTCTTAGCCAATCTTTAGGTGTATTTTCTGTACTCTAAGGCCCAATTTCAATAGTGAAACTTTGAGTGCTTAGTTTAGATACATCACTATATGCCTTGGCTTCTTGTTCCTTTGGTAATATCTATTACCCTATCACACCTTTAAGAAGGGCAGATGTAATTGTAGCTGCCTATTTTAGATCGATTTCTTTAAACTTCTTTTAATCGAAATCATCAACGATGCCAGGTGGTAAAGTGTATACATAACCTACTTTAGATCCAAGTATTATATCAGTTGCATAATGTGTTCCAAAATTACTTAGAAATTCCAAATATTAAGGTGCTGAATATTCTACAGGTAGAGCAGATAATTGGTCGATAAAACTTTGATGAAATTCTGCTAATTCAGGAACTTGAGTAATTTGAGCTATTTAACATGAAGCCATAGAAATCACAAAGGTGGCAGATGTTTACTCTATTTTTTATTGCATGTGGTTGAATTCAGAGGAAGCTGTAAATGCCCATGGAGTAATATCAATATTAGACACTAAATTGACTCTATATTGTTAGAGATAACATACCCAACAAAAGAACTCATGTAGTTTTGAATTTGCTCTGTATTTTTGATCACAAATGACTCAAAGTTGTACTTGCATCCTTTCTTTGTTATGACATTTAAATTGTCTGGAATTTTATGTCTTCCATCTGAGGTTACTTACTTTTTGCTATATGAAGTCAGAAAGATGTTTCTCCCTGTGAATCCAGGATCTGAAGTTTCCCTCCAGGTTATTGGATTGCCCAAGAATAAATTATACCCACTAAAAATGAAATCGATATTCGCAATGGCCTTAGGATCTGCGGCTTAAAAATTACCTCCATCATGTATTTCTTGCATCAATAAATGCTATAGATTCTTCTACTATTTCTCGTTTATTTCTAAGAATCCGCTTGCTATAACAATAACAATGAGAAGTAATGCAGTTCTCATAAATAAAAACGTATTATAAATTAATAATATAAAAATGGACCAGATGGATAATTAGTTTTAGGAGAAATTCTAATAGTTGTTAAAACTCAAAGAAATCTATTCTACCAGAAATGTTTTACCTGAGAGGCTGCAACGATTGAAACTCGTAGATATCAATTTCTAACTCAAATACATTCGATAAAAACAATAAAATAGATTTAACCTCATTCTTAACAATTCAATTGCTTCTCAAAATATATCAAAAAAACAAGCAACCGAAAGAAGCTTCTCCAATTAATTGAGTCATCTGAATATTGCTGATTAATAAAATATTTGTTTAAGTTGCGATAAATATATTTTCGAAAAGAAAGTAAATTTACTTTGCCAAAACAAATTTAGTCACAACTACCATTCAAATTGCTTAGCTAATATTATGAAACAGCAGCTGGCTAATCAGTGTACAAGTTTCTAATGCTTATGTAAAAGTTAAATAAATAATGGATAAATCACAAGATAAAAAATATTAGAATTAGAAGTTTACATAAATAGATTAATGATTAATTAGTTAAATTATTTAAAAACTCATTACTAGTTTATCAAATAATGTGCAAATAAAGACTGCGATTTTTTTTGGATCTATAAATAACAGCAAAGGTAAATCAGATCACGTTCTAACTCCCCTGTTAAATCTTACAAAATTACATATGCTAACTATTGTCCAGATTGTAGATTTTTGTGATTTGAAGTAATTAATATATTATTATAAATTATTTATTCAACAAACATATTTTGGAAGTTATTAATTCCAGTTCCATGGATTTTAATTACATCTATTTTTAATATAAGGGTTGGCTCCATTTTGTAATAGTATATCGGCTACATGATAATATCCTAAAGCAACTGCATAATGAAGAGCAGTGTTTCCATCTAACTAATTTTTAACCAACTCTTTACATCTTTAATATTGACTAGCACATTTAAACTCATCATGTACTACACTAGCTCTGCATTCCCAGATTGCGCTGCCAACATAATAAATGGTTTTCCTGCTATATTTCTTTAGTTTAAAGAAAAATTCGGATGCTATCTCAAGAATTCTTTCAACTCATCAACCAGATTATGTTCAATCATCATTTAAACCAATTGTGTTTAAGAACTTTCCTTTTTAATGATTTGCTCAAATAACATCAAATTCTATAATCTCAATTATTATTTATATTTAATAGTCTAAATTATATGTAAATTTACTTTCATATTAAAATCTTTTGTTATACTATCCATTTATAAACTTTTATTAATATCTTATACTTCTTCAAAAATTTGATCTGATTTCAAATTATGCATTGATTTACTCATTCTTCTTTGGATACTTTTGTCAGGAACTTTTAAAACTACATTATTTGAATTTGATATAAGAAAGATATTAGAAAATTATTAAGGTTCTTGATTTTCAAATATATTTGATCTTCTTCCCTAAATTTTTGCTTCTCTTGTTTTTCTTCGCAAATTCATTAGCATGGCTTTCTTGTCCAGATTTGGAGGAATCAATTATTATTGCTATTCAAAATAATTGTTATCTTCAATATCAGTTAACTGGTCTAAATTGATAAAACCTCCAATTAGAATATCTGAGTAGTATTTATAGAAATGGGCAGACACAAATCTTTTCACTTAGGAGTTTTCTGAATGAGTCTATGGTATAGATTCTTCAATGTTGTTTTTATAAATCAATTAATCTAAATCAGTATAGTCAACCGATAAGAGAGCATTTTTTGTTTAGTTATCCAAAATAGATATTATATGATCAATGTGATAGCTAGTTGAATAACTCGATATTTAAGTTGTGAAATAAGCTACTTATTTTACTTTTGGCTCATCTTACTCTGATTCTGAAAGATTATTTATTTCATCTAGCTAAATTTCGCTTAAAATATCTATCCTATTCTAAAAAATATAAACTATATACATCCCAAATGATTTTATATCCTATATGTATCTAAATTTCTGATCAAATATTTCGGTTTGAACACACTTCAGTTTGTGATTCTTTATATACATTTTTCTCGACTCATGAATGAATTTGTTTTTCTGCTTAGCCTTTTCAGTTTATTGTTTTATCCACTCAAGGGTTTCGAGTATATACTAATAAATTATATGCTTATTTAATAATTTTTCAATATATTAATTAAAATAGAGCTTAAATTATTAAGAAGATTTCTGATATTATTATTAATCTTAGAATTATGTTGAAGAGAAATTTTCTTTCCATATTTAAGAAAATTTTCTTAATAGCTACTTTGATTCTGATTTTTCGTTTTGATAATCTTTTATATTCTTTAATACTCTGGAGAGATATATTTATTATTTTTAATTACTTTATTATTTATTTCTTATTTTAACTTTTGACATTTTTTAATAAGTTGAATAATTAGTATTCATAAAAATAGATTTTCTGAAATTACAACCTTGTTTAAAAAGAATGGGAGTATTATCTACCATTTCTTATTCAATTTGATTCAACTTTGTTAATTCCCCCATTATTGAATTGATCCTAATCTTTGATCTGTATTAAAAAGGACTCAATCCTTAAACATCATTTACTAATTCATTTTTAAATGGCTAAGGATTTTAAGTTGTAAGTTAATAAAGCGATACAACTCTACTTGTTTTTGGTAAACGATTAGTGATAAGTTCTGTAGAAAGTATGCTAGCAGATTATTGCCTTTCAGTATTAATCCCATATGATTGCTACTCAATATTTTAAGATAATTATCCCTTTGTGTGAGTTGGAATTGTTGATAGACTTCTGTAATCAGCAGTTGTTTAAGCTCTTGATTCGGAATAAGTTTATTAATTCTGTATTTTTTAGATGTCTACCTTTTTGTAATTAAGTAATTTGATTGACCTATCACTGTTGCTTGAAACTAATTTTCTAGTGATGTAGAATGTTGATTTTGGAGAAGCATATGTTTGAACAACATCTTATTTTGGAGATTTTAATTTCCCATGGTGTTTAATCATCTTTAATAATAAACCCTAATACTTATATATATATTAAACTTTTTTTGATTAAGAATGATAAAATGGAAAAGTCTAATTTATCCTCTAAAGTTACTGTCTAAAATGTGATGAGAACTTCGATTGAGATAATAATGTGGGTTCTATATTTATGACATAGAATTCAATTATTTATTATGTGTACATTCAAATTACTATGATTGAAAAACAAAGTAAATATGTAATTAAAAACATAGAAGAAACTTAAGTAAAAATGTAATAAGATATTGTAATATTCTTGTTAAAATATCATTGATCTTCCAAGAACTTCTCTAATTTTGGTGGGCAGCACAAAGCAACTCCTTTTCCATTTTGTTTCTCCATTTCCTCATCCATTACAAAGACAATCAATATTGCATCACAAGCGACTCCATAGATTGACATGAATAATGACCCAACAACCAAACCTATGGCACCACATAAGAGTGCAGGTGCTTCTGGATAAGTAACATTATATTTGAACTTTTCAGTTCTTGTTATAATAAAATAGCAAAATAGGGCAGTTAGCAAGGCAATAAAACCTCTTCCTAAAGCAATGAATATTTCTCCAAATCCTCCAACTGTTGCAAATCTAAGGGGATTTCTTGCAATCAAGAAAACTGCTTCTTTGGCTGAATGGAAGAAACCTTTGCCTGTCATGTTACTAACTACATAGGCATTCTTGTTAATATATTGAACACATTTCTCAAAGCACCACATACAACACATCAAGCATTTAAATAAGTATTCAAAGAACTTGTTTTTCTTAATTAATTCTTCCTATTATTTATAAAGGACGGCTAACCAAATTCTAATGAATTCAATTATAGCTAAAATTAATGATCCAAAGGCAACTGTTCCTAAATGATATCTAAAGAATCTCCCAATAGCAGTTGGTAAAGGAATAGGGCCGCCTTCTTATGCTCTTGGTCCTTATTAGAAATACCAAATGCAGACAGATCCAGCAATTATAAATTCAACTGATGCTATGATAAAGGAAGAATTCCATAGTAAACCAAATAGGTGCAAGTTGGCAAATATTTTTTGATTTTAAGTAAATGTAAACTATCCAAAAGGTAATTATTTAGGCTTATTTGTAACTTCTCCAGAACTATATAAGTACAAAGCAACGACAAACCAATAGATGAAGTAGAGAAGCATAATGAAAAATGTTACAAATGGAAGAACAACAACTGAAAAATTGGCTTGGACGTAGTCGCATGCTGTCTATAAATTATTATGCTAATTAATACTTCAAGTATGGCAATCGCAAGCCGAATTCTCGAATACATACAGCAAACAGCTAGTAATATCAATCCTGCTAAGGAAAATAATGTAATTCCGATATATAGATAGTTTTTAGGATTAACGTTATTTGCTTAAGCTTATTCTTGCAAAGTTTGGGCATCAATTTCAGCTTAAGCTGAAGCTGGTAATTTTGAAGGATCAGTCAATGCATAGTAGTACCCAGTAGTGTAGACTCCTCCAGCTATTAATACGCTGAACAGCAAAAAGAGCAGTGTCCAAATAACACATCCAGCTAGAGTTTCAATAAGGAACAAAAATATAAATCCAAGTACTAAAGATATACCGATGGAACCAAAGATAAGCCACTTGGTTGTGATCATATCATTGGATACTTTTTCCATAGTTTCAACGTCAATTTTATCTTTTACGGTTTCATAATATTATTTGGTTGTTGGTAAGCATACAGTTTTCATAACTTAAATAAATTTATTTACGTACATAATTCAGTATTGTAAATTACGACAACCTCTTCTGGATTAGTACTCAACATATTTTATTTACAACTCTTAACAATTGAATTTGGTTAACACTTTAATTCGCTTGGTAATTTTGAGTTTGTCTTAGTTTCTTCCAGATGAGATATTTTATTATGTCTGGCTGTCGGGGCAGGCTCACTCTGCTCTTCTACAGACTGGATTATAATAATTACAGGGACATTCAGATACACAGGTTGTCACATAAAGATACTTTGGATTCGTCGGGTTAGCAAAATATATATAGGGATAATCAGCTACATCTTCATCAACTCCGCACGCCCGATCTTAATATTAATTGAAGTTTTACGATCAGGATCATACGGTTAGGCGATTCTATGAGGATCCCCGTTTTTGAAGGCATAACCACTTATGTAGAACATGCCAAAAGTGAAGACAATAAAAAGCAACAAACAAAAAATATCAGTGCATTCTCTTTCTACGACTGGACCATTCCTTAATTTTGGATCTGTTCCTTCACCTTTCTCACTAGACATTAAATCTTTATTTGCAAATAAAAAAATATATAAATATAAAAATGCTATTTATTTAAGAAGAGGAGGAAGGGTTTGTAGATGATATTAACGAGCAAAGTCAGATTCATTAATAGTTTTGGGTCACTACCAATGCAATTAATATTCAAGGAGTATAAAATTAAAACCCACTTACTATTGATCTTCCTGATCAAAATTCTTAAAGGAAAAAGAGACTTAAAGAGTTTTCCAACTCGCTAATCAAAGAAAATCCAAAATATATTGCTGATAATTTATATGCAATTTAAATAGTCCAAGTCTTAACTAATGCTGGACTATGCAAAATCTCAAATTTTGTGAATGGTCATTACTAGGCTTAGTTAGAATAAATTATCAAATATGATAAACACATTTAAGATTCAAGATAGGATTCATCACTTCACAAACAAATCTTTTTTATCAATGTAAACCCTGTGCAGATCAGTTTCTAAGATGGATGCTTAGTGTTTAAATAAAGTATTTTTTCATTTTATTTCTAGATCCTCCCACACTGGAGATTAATCCAAGCCTCAAAAAAAAATATCAATATCTATTTGAGGTCATCAATCTGACTATGAGACTCTTGGACACTTATTTCAAGAAGGATTTTCAAAGCATAATTGATCATTACATTAATATGAAGGAAAACAAATATTCTAATAATAGAATTATAGATTTCTTACAGAACGAAATTGAAAAAAATGCTGAAAATTATACTTATGTCTCCAAATGGTTAGAAATAAAATCCAAAATTAAGCCTGTTTTAGTTATCTATAAATAAATCAAAATTTTAGAAAAAAAAGATGAACTTTGCGGTAGAAAATCATTAAAGGTTCTATCCAAACACATTAAAAAAATTGATAAGTTGTAGAAACGCTTATATTAGGAATAGATACTTTCTCCTCTTGAATTTTTATTGACAAATCTATTCGATATTTTTGATTCAATTCTTAAATTCTATGAAGAAAATTATGAAAAAGATGTCTAATTTAAACCATAAGTAGTGTCTAAAAAAAATGAGAAACATAAACAAAAACAACTAAAACCGCAAATCCAAGAAGCTTCTGTACAAGAGTGCGAATAGGAATAATTTCAGTATTATTTTTAGAAAAAATAAATTAAATAAAACGAACACATTGTTGAATAATTTGATTGTCAATTGGATGTCTTAAGTGGCCAATCTTAATCCCCTAGAAAAAAAGTTAAAGATCAAAAATCGGAATGACTATTTTATATAAAATATATAAACATTAAATCTATATATTATTTATAATGCTAGATTCCGTATTAACCAGGCATTTTAAATTTAATGATCATAAATACGATACGAAAAAGCAAACCATGTACTTTACAAAAAGAAGAAATTCCCATAACAATTCATTTGATTTATAATCTAGTAGAGATTAATCTTATGGATACTTCAATCAACAACTAAAATATGTACATTATATAGTATGCCAAGTGCGCAGTTGATTATTATGATGTTGCGATGCCCAAATACTCTTAGAAAGGTTATTCGACTCCTGTAAGAAAACTTAAGCAATCTCCTAAAAGGATTAATTCATATCATTTCCATTCACATCCAAAACCTACTTGTTAAATTCTTAAATTTGAAGGATATATTTCCAGAGAATCTCCTTTCAGAAACTGGATAGGAAACATGAAGGAGTAGTCAGCATCCAGAGTATCTCAAATTTAACGAATTCATGTAAATGTCATATACATAATACAGAATTAAGTAAAAATTATAGAAAAAAATCAAAAAAGTGAATCATATCAACTTCAAGAATATTTGAATGCAGTTAACGATAGGATTTAATGGAACTCACTTCCTAAGGTCTTCAATTATCAAAGATGTTAAACCCCAGACATTCTAAAAGGAGCAAGAGAAAGAGTAAAAAGGTTTTGATAATAGGATCATTTGATTTGTTTATAAATTTCATTTTCATAATTGATAAATCATTAACAGGCTTAAAATATGATTTCTTAAAAATTCTCTTTGAAATTAAAATTTTATAAGTCCTATAAAAACTTATTATATTAATTAATTTATTTGAATTTTTTATCAATTTATTCTAATCTCTTATATAAGAATTAGTTTAATTTTCTATTACTTTTATAATAATGTGGATATCAATTATAATTAAAGATTTTCTATAAAATTTATTAAATGATGGATATCCGAATGCAAGCTTAAATTCAATAAGGTAAGGGTTTATGAATATTATTATTTAGCTAATAAGGATCTATAAAAAAAAAAGTAAGATTAGAATAAAAATAAGAAGTTTCATTTAGGTGTTGAAATCAGTCTTGAGGTAATATTGATTAATCATTCCAGAGATAGATATATTTTTGTAAAATTTTTGATAAAGTTCAAATTGATATAGAATAAAACTGTCTTTAATATCGTGTACAACATTTTATTACAGATTGTGAAGTCATATACTAGATTTGGGAATTTGAATTTGAGGGTAAAAATAATTTTGAAGGGAGATGCATAAAAGGTATTGATAGTATTTGAGAATAAAGGTGTTTTAAAGTTTCCACCAGATTATCCAAAGGGTGCTCCAAGTTTCTATTTGGATCCAGTAATTACTGACAAAGGAGCTGAAGTACTAGCACATTAATGCATCTATGGAGGTATGATAACAGTAAATTTCTCTAAGATCATTAGTTGTGTGTACATTTATTTATATTTTGGGATATGCAAAATAACAGAATTGATGAAGAACCTAGAATAGATGAAATTTAAATTTTATAAGCTGTTGAATACATTTTTAATAACCCAGATATAGCTGAAGGATGTCCAAATCCAATGTTTTAATCTGAAAGCCCTCAAAGAAAATAGGAAATCCAATAAAGGTAGGCTGAGTTCTTACCATTTTTCAACAAAGATATTTGATTTGTTTATTAATCATTCTTATTTAATAATTATAAGTTTGAAAAATATTTATCCAAATTAACTAATCATTACCTAAATTAGTTACATAATAATAATTGATATTATGGAAACAAACCCATAATTATTTCCTGAAATATCATATATGAGAATTTTGTAGAAATCGAATTCATTTTGATCAATTATCTCAATTATGCTGATATTTTTATAATTTATAAGCTTAGTTTAAAATAATTTTCAGAATTTGCTTAAAAGAATCTAACTTACATTTTTATTTATTGAATCACTACAAATTAATTGTTTTCCACAATCATTATGAGTATCTACCTTAATTACCTTTCAATAATACATTTAATGAAATCAGTTAACATTTCATTGAATACAATATATTAAATTCTCACTTTAATTAGATTATAACCAACTACATCTGTGCTGAACAACTAGATTTATTTTTGAGTCATTTAAATAATTATAATTATAAATTAATTAAGAAATAAAAAAAACTCCGAAAAGGCGGATTTGAACCACCGACCTGGGGATAACTGGATTAACACTACAGTCCCTCGCTCTACCAACTGAGCTATTTTCGGATGCTAATTAATCTGATATTATCTAATTTATATATGACTGGAAAATGGATTATTTTCTAATATCATACTAAATGCATTCATATTACAATTACTTACAATGAATATTATATTAATTATAATAGCATTCATCTAACAAGTCAAAAAATAGAAAGGCCCTTCCAATAATGATACTCAAATCCTTTTATTTAGTGTAATATATTCCTATTGTTTTAATAATTATTATCATATATTGGTTTCTTATTAAAAACAACAATTTAGTGATTCTAATAATAACCACTCAATAATTCATTGTTAAAATGAAAGAGCACAATCTCTCAATATTAAGAATATACCATGCACCTTTAAATATCATTTCAAATAAATAATTAATCAATTAAGTCTTTCATTTCAATAATCTATGTTTTCAATTAAGAGCCTTCGCTTTATACAATAGTTGCAGCAACGACAGGTCTGCTGATACCACAAGCTCTACCTAAACTTGCCTAGGTTGAGACAAAACAATATGAGACATTCTAAATTAGATTCCTTAATTACCTTCTCTTCGCATTTAATTGGTATATTTGCTACTATTTCTATTGGATCACAATCGGCTGCCAAAATCACCAATTCACATATTCCTTTATCAAGACTAGTTTAAATGTTGGATGATACTTTTTTAAGACCTCATTAGCTCCTTTTTTTAATTGCTTATAATTTAATGCCTAACGAAGAAGATCTAATATTTTTGTCTATAATTTTGCATCTGCAATTGGGGATGGCTTAATTCTGGGGGCTTCTACCTTCTACATATAAAAATAATTTAGTATTAAAATAATTCATAATTAAAATAATTCAAATTAGTGAATTTCAGAAAGTTTAGAATGTTCACTAAATTTAGTAGTAAACCTAAGTAAATATTCTAATGTCCATTAATCAAATCTTTATTTCAAATAGTTTAAAGATGATGGCATTAAAATAATCTAACAGGTTGAATCACACTAGTCTATACTTTCTAAATCCTTAAAAAAAAATGATTCCTATTTTATTGAGCTTTGTTGTTCCTAAAGAATTTCATGTTAGAAGGAATAGTCTTCAACAATTTGGATAAATATCTCTTAAATCGATAGATCTCTCATTTTATTCAATACATTGATCTGAAAATTTAATTTGAGTAATATTATTAAAATTTCTTCCTTTTTTAATAAATTATCATTTAATATATATTCACTTATAATTGATAATGATTAAATATATACTTGTAGTAGGCTTCTGCTATCTGTCTAATTTATGAATTTTCTCTGTGGCTTTCTTTTTCGGTGACAATAGTATTAGATTATATGCATAGTTTGGGAGCATTCATTTCATTATTGCAGTCATATTTACTCCAATTAACAGGCTATAACCCTTTTGTTTCCTCATGGGAATCAATTGAACTGTCTGAATAATCTATATGATCATTATCTCCTTCCTTAAGTACGGGTACATCTTAGATTGAAAAATAGTCTTTTCTCTATCTACTCATTGTAAACTAATTAGGTAAATTAATTTTCATAAACGAAGCATTCAATTATTTTGTTAAATTTAAACAACAAGCATGTTTGCTTTTTCGTTCATGCATTTATCGTCCTGATTAACTTAACTTATTTCGAGACTTTTGACATTATTCAACCAAAATATCTCTATTGTGTTTTCTAATAAGTTTCCATAAACAACCATAAGTTATCGGTTTGCAACTGATATAATCTTAACAATATCGTAAAAGGAAAAAGCACATTTAGACTTCATTTGATTGCATGCAAATATCAAAAACACTAAACTTTTCCTTACCTGTAACTTAAGTAATATCAAAAGGATGTGAACATCTCTCACAAATTTCAAGTTATCCTTTATATTCTAATGCAAATTTAACCGCTTAAATGAATCCACGTTTCACTCCTATATGCAATGGACTAAGACCTTATATATTTAAAATAAGAGGGCATGCACTATTGATAATATAAAGACCTTACCCGTAGTATAGAAGAAGAGCAGCATATTTGTCAGGAAATTAAAAAGTTGACCATTTGTTGATCAAATAATGTAAGGCTGTATTTCCTTCTTTGTCCTACTCATTTGGATCTGTTCCATGTTATAAAAACCCTTGCATCAAATTTATTTGTTATTTAATTAGAGATATTATAATTAGATTTTGCTAGAATAAAGATATTTTTACTGAATTTAGATTAACGTTTAAAGATAATAAGCATTTAACACTTTGATATTTATCCTATAACAAAGCTAGTTGGATTGGAGATTGCTTCTGGTTATTTAATGAATTTTTGTCAACAAAACTGCTACAACCCAAAATAACTCCTAAGTGTTGTTTCAAAGCTGCCTAATGTATAATAGTGTTTCCATTTTCATCAGAATTTCGATAATTATACTACTCGCCTAAGAAATGCTTTATCATATTCTGGAATGTCGCTTGATTCTCTTTTAATAACCAATTCTAAAATTATTACAATTAATTCCCTGTGATTCTCTCGCTCCATCCTAAATATATCACCCAGTCGATACTGAACTCTTTTAATTCAGATAAATATTTTAATTCATAGATTGGGTTTCCTGTAAGAAGCAAAATCTAGATTGAATTTAACGAATTCCAAGGAAATAAGTGTATCTGATTGTACTCAATGTTTAATTAAATTAGTTTATCTGGCATTTAAGGCACAGTACTGAGATAATTTTGCGAAATTTGTAAATTCTATAATTGGGGATGAAATTTATTAAACTAAAATCAAATCATAAAACATTACATCAAAAGGTAAAATTTTAAGATAATTATTTGATATATCTAATATTCTTAAATTTTATAATATCTTAAATTAATCGCCATATTATTGTATGCAATTATGAGACAAATCTAATTTAATGATCCATATATTATTCATTTTTTCTGAATTTATCTCCATTAAACCTTAGTTGCTTAGGTCGAGTTATTCAATCCTATTGCAAAATTACTTTTGCTTTTTATTATATTTAGGAGGGCTTAATATGACCTCTAATTCATTATTATTTTAATTCTAATGCTATTTCTTTAAGGGATTTTCAATAAAAATTGCTAACTTATTGCCTTTGATTTCACTCATAAAATAATATATATTAAATAATAAATGAATTTAAATTACTCTGCTGCAATTAGGCAATTATTCATTTAAATTGACCTTAGCCTCAGACAAAAGCCAATTCATAATAAATTATGTTTTAAAAGTTTAAAAGAATAGTAAATTTACTCAGTTAAATTGTGCATTTGAAAATAAATTAATTCTGTGAGGATAGCTTTATTAGTTTGATTTTTTCTATTAAAAAATGAATTCTCTTGGTTACTTTTAGAATCAAAAAAGAAAATGCAGAGATAGTGTAATAAAGTTATAATAAATAAATATAAAGACAAAGTCTAAGGTTATTAATTAACATTTCTATCTATTTAATATCTGTGATATTTTTTTTTTGTTAATTACTCTGATTTAACAGTTTTGAAATTTTAATTTAATGTATGGTAATAAAATTCCATAATTTAATAAAAGATCAACAAGTTTATTGGATTAATGAATGAGTTAAAAATAATTACATTTAAACAAAAAAGACTAAAGAATTATTGCAATTAGTATTTTGAGAAATAAATTTAAATATTATGATTATACATTTTATATAGATTCTATTTTATTATTTATAGTTGAAATTATTGAAATCAATATATTTCAGGAACTAAAATTTTTAGCATAATAAATCACACCTTGTAACTTTGAAAAAACTTAAATAATAATAGGTACTTTCTATCTAAATAAGATTAATTAAGATATTTAGAATGATTCAACTAATTTAATGGTTATTAAATTTATCTAATAATGTAGTTAAAATATTATAAAGAATTATTATTAGAGTCTATATTGAATTGGAAATCTTGGTTTCCTCTACGATTAAAAGTTGTAATAAATAAAATCCAAAAAATTCTCTTTAAAATATCCTGCAATTGTTATATAATTTTTAGAGCTTGATAAATGTAAAAATTTAACAGAAATTCAATTTTCAATTATTTTAGTTTATTGTTCCATCAGCCAGCACTAAAAGAGTTCTTTTTTTCATAATGTTTTTTATTTATGAGAAAGAATTGAACGAAATATATTCAAATAAATTATATATTCTTTTGTAATAAATTGTTTTTCCCACTTTTTATCAAGATATTGAATTCTGTCTCTTGGATGATCCTGAATCCGAGGGTGATCTTCTAGGACTAATACTTCGCTTTTTTTGTCTTCCTTCTCTTCTTGGACTTCTGCTATGTCTCTTTCTTCTGTTTTGATATCTTCTTCTTCTAGATCTAGATGAGGAGTGTGACGAGTAAGATCTAGAATCAGACCTTCTATGACGCCTCCTAATTAAAATAGCTTTGCATACTTTGAGCGCGAATTAGATCTTCTTCTACTTCTTCTTGGTGATCTTCCATTAGGACAATTACGAGCCCTTGAGAATATACCGAATTTATATACCAATGCCCACCTTTACTGCATTTGAAACATTTATCATCGTCATTGGGTCCACTCTTTCTTCCCTTCCTGTTGTCAACTACATCAACTTTCAATTTCTATCCATTATAGGTTTGTCCATTGGTAGCCTTCAAGGCATCCAAAGCTTCTTGTTCACTACTAAAAGTCTTAAATTTGAATCAACTTCATACTACAAATGAGTAGGATCCCTTATATGCAACATCTTTAATTGTTCCATACTTTTTGAAGATATCCTTTACATCTTTATCGCCGGATACTTTGCTACGACTGTACCCTGCGACAAACAGCTGATTTGGGACTATATCACCCATTTAATTAAATTTATGAACTAAAAATCCTGATTAAGAATTGAACTATATATTTATTAATTTATTTCAATGAATAAGGATCAATTAAAAATTTGTTTAGAAAACATTGATGAGTACGTGAGAGGCTAAAAGAGATTAGAAAGAAAAAATAAGATATTGGCTTAATCTAATAAATTGAAAACTATTCAAAACTAAAAAAATTCAACTAAAATTTAAGAAGAAAATATTACAACTAAAGTAAAAAAATAAGTTAAAAAAAGTGAAAAAGAGAATCAAAAAAAAATATAACCAGAAAATTAACATCAAGTACAGAAAGTTATCAGACCAAAATCAAAGATTCAACAATTTTTAGAAGAAGTGCATGTTAAAATTCTACCTTTCAATAATATTTGTGAATAAATTGAAAGGTTTTTTTAGTTTAAGAACAAGGTAATTGAAGAGAGTGCATATCATTCAAATTAACCCTGTATTTATGAACCTATATGTAAAACAAAATCAGTGAAAGCAATCAAAACTAGAGCTAGCATTAGTCCAATTAGCACTAAATAAACTGTTTCTATCAGAAATAAACAAAACAAAAAAAATCCACTAGACTTCTTCTCTTTTAATAGCAAATTTAAAAAATTAACATTGTATTAAGAGGATATTTCAGACACTTGCGAATTGGTGAATGGAATAAGAATATTATATCTAAATAAGTAGTGATTCCATTATTTTTGATAAATTTTATGAATTGAAATCTTAGATTGTTAATTTGTTAAATCTAATATTTTTAATTGTATAATTTCTGTTGATGTATATGGATAAGTTGTGTAAAATTCATATGACTAATTGATTATTTTTATTTCGTTTTATTTTTTTACTTGTTTTGTAGTATAAATTCTATAATTTAATAAAGAAAATTATGTTTTATCATTATTTAATGTTAATCATTCATTGTGTTTAGATTATACTTTCATCAATGAAACTGTAATTTAATTCCTCTGGGTAGGAACTGTATGTTGTTTCAATGTCCTCTAAGCTAAAGTAAGTAGTTTCTAATTCCTTTTAATTTATCAGCTGTAATGCGTGTATTTAAGTTGTGCAATTAGATTCACTTAATTACCTTTCAAATTATGGGATGACAACTATTCGTTATTGATTATTCTTTTATACTATGATATTAATGATGAAAATTACTAAAATCTGTGAGTCCTCCTTCTTGGACTTAGGTAATTTCTTGATTTTATCTATTAATTATTTATTATCTGGCCATTTCCCTTAAATAATGTCTAGCTTAATAATAATGAATACTGGTGCACTTTAACATAGATTGTTGAATTATCCATAACAAGGCTTTAATTTGATATCGGAGTGATTTTAGTACTCCAAACAAGAGATGTTAATGGAAGATATTTCTCCACAACATGTTATCTTAAGAATTGGTTGATTTTTTCACACAACTTAGGCATTTAAATTAAAAATAATTATACTAAAATTCTCCTTATGAATAACTTATCTATTTAATAATTAGGTTTGCATCAGATTATGTTATTATAAGAGTCATCAAAATAATTTTTGAATTGATAGAGAATATCTTTTAACTCGAATAAAACATTGCCTCATAATTTTGAATATAATTCTTTTAGCATTTTATGATGATTCAAGATTGTCACAAATTAAAAAGCTAATATCAGTTATTTTTTAATAAAATGTCAAAAATAAGTATTCAAGAAAAAGTAAATCACTGATTGCAGTTTTTCTAAGATTGTCTAATGTTGATGAAGTTAGTATTGCTTGTTAATCAAAGCGTTGTAATACAGTTATTTACATATTTACAATGAGGTTTACAGGATAAATGAGAAATGAATTAAACTGAAATATATAAAATAAAAAAAATGTTCTTTGAATTTTTTATCATATAAATCTTTAGATATTTATTTTAGTGTTGAATCTTCTTTCACTTTAAGAACTTCTTAGCGAATCAAAAAAATCATTAAAATTTAAATTATTTATATTTTATGTCAGAAATAGAGGAAATAAATTTAGAGTAAAGTACTTCAAAGAATAGATAATCCAGACAACAAACTAAAACAGGAAATACAAGAAAACCCATTAGGAAATTCAGAAGATAGAATAATTCTTTTTAAAATCGAAATAGAGATAGAGATAGAGATCGACCAAGATAAAAAGAATGGAAATAATAATAATAGAATAATGGAAATACTCCAGAATTATATGAAATCGATATCTATAATTTTTTGGCTAAGAACTAGATTTCAGATCTAATTGTAATAGATTGGTTAATTTTAGAGCGATATAAAGTCAAGATGTGGTGAATTAGTAAAACTTCATATTGTAGCAAATAACATTTAAGAAAATGAGGCTGAGACGAGAGTATAATTTAATATTATTAACAGATTATTCTAAAAGCATTTTTTAAGGATTAAAAGTCTGCTGATGAATGCTATTTTTAATATAGTGATGCCACACTAGATAAATTGCTTTTAAGGACAGAGCGTAAATATTGACGTAAAATTAATATATATAAAAATAAGAGATTAATATCAATTATTCAAATCTATAAGTTAGCCCCTTATTCTTTTAGAAATAATTAATCCTCAATAAAATCAATTTACTCAGAATAAAATTATTTCAATTCTTTGATAAGTACATAAGAGGAATATTAAAAATTATTTACTTTTACTTGATATCTTGATATCTTGATATTCTAAAGCATAAGTATAGTTCTCCTAAGAACTATCTAGATATCCTATGAATACTCTACTCAATCTTGAAGAGGGTTTCAAAAGACTTATAATCAAGGTTGCGTAAAATAACTCTCTAGAATAGGATTCATTACAAAAAGTTATAAGCCAAGTGATTATATTAAAACGAACAACAAAAAATAAAGGAGGGATACAATATGATTCAATTTCTAGTTGATATCTTGGTTATTTGATTAGACACTTAATATTTTGGTTTCTTAGGATATGGTGATAAATGCTCTCAACTAAATCAGTATATAAATATTATGTAAAGTTAACATTACATAATATCTCAATTTTTTACATTTAATATTTTTTTCAAAATTATGGGAAATGTTTGTTTTCGTGAAGAATTAGTCTAAAACGATATAGTTAAACTGAAATTTGATGAAGATGATCTCCATGCCACTGCTATAAGTATCTAAGGAAGGGAAACAAAATAATTGGCATAATTATCCGATTTTAAGAAAATAAAATTGCTTGGTAAAGGAGCATATGGAAGAGTCATGCTAGTTGAATACGACAAAAAAGGGAAATTGAAGCTTTATGCAATGAAGATATTGGAGAAGAAAAATATTAGAAAGGAATCTCAGATTAGACATGTTTTGGATGAAAGAAAGATATTGGAGAAGTGTAATTCCCATTTTGTTGTTAAGTAATGCTCTTATTTAAATGTCTAGACTAAGGTATGCATTTTAAAATCATGCTCGGTTGTATTTTATAGTGGATTATATGGAAGGAGGGGATTTATATTATCATATCAAACAATAGCCTATATTTCCGGATAAGTTTATTAGGTTTTATGCTGCTGAAATATTGTTTGGATTATAGCATTTGCATTCTTTGAATGTAATATATAGAGATCTCAAACCTGAAAACATTCTCTTGAATCAATCTGGACATATTAAATTATCTGATTTCGGTCTCTCTAAGATTCTTGACGATTTCAATGACAAGGCTGATACATGCTGTGGAACAATAGATTATTTGGCTCCAGAAGTATTAGGCGGTGAAGGATATTCATTTACTTGTGATTTCTATAGTTTAGGTTGTCTAATATACGAGATGTATTTTGGAATGCCTCCTTTCTACAGTAAAAACAAAAGACTAATGATTTAAAATAGGAGTATTAGATTGGTACCTTTTTTGGAATAGTGTCCTTAAGATGCAAAAGATTTATTGACTAAACTCCTTGAGGTGGATGTATGATATTTATGATGAAATAAGCCCAAAAAAAGATTAGGAAGAAAAGGAGCTGAATAAATTTTAAATCACGCATATTTTCTTGAATTAGATCTATAAAAGATGAAGGAATTGCAGATACAGGCACCCATCACAATAGTGAATTCAGATTATATAGATCTAAAAATGTTTAAGGAAAAAGTTCCATTGACGCCTTAAAACAAAGGAACTCTAAAGATCTTTGAAGGATTTACTTATTTATAGAAGGAAAGTCAAGATTATTGATGGTTTGTTTTCTCAGATATGTAAATATAAACGTATAATAATAATAATTATGTTGCCAAAATAAAATGCATCTTCTTATATTATGGTTCTTCCAAGTAGTAATTAGTCATACATATCTACTGAACAACCATTCGTTTAAAAATCAACAGTGCTGCCTGAATCAAGGAGTAAACTGATAATCCCTTACAATATGACTCCATTAGTAAAGGTATTGCAATCATCTGAATTTAGTTGTTTGAACCTATCAAGACTAAATTCATTCCAAGAGATACGATAAATCAATCAATTCAATACTTCAATGAACCTGCTGAATACTCCTAAGCGGAAATCGATTTGCTTGATTAATCACTAGATAAATCAATTTAGTAGCATCATCAAGAAAACTACGATCCTTTGTAACCAATTCAAATGCCATAATAACCTGATATTATATCCTATCCGTAGTTGTTTGTCGAACCTCCCATCTTAATTCCCTACTTTATGGACTATATCAATTGGGATTTAAGTAAAATGAAGAGTATAGTGAGAACTGAGGAGGATGATACTACGAAATATATGAGTTTTTATAGATACTTCAAATTCCTTACTACCAAGATTTAACAGAAGTATTATGCTGCCAAATCCATAATCAAAATGTTGATTGAAAAATATTAGATAGTGCAGCGTTTGAATGAATTATAATTGGAGTTGCAATATCATTTAGACAATTAAGTGGGAGATCTGGCTCATTAGAGTCTTGAGTAACTCAAGAAACATGAATGGGTTCAATAGGAGATGGATTTTGAAGGATTACGACAAAAGATATATCAAATACGTAGAGAGAGCTTTGAAGTATTGATGCTCACAGAACACGTTGAGGATTGTGCCTTATAAGAGACTTCTTTTACAGATCAATTAAATTAATTAAGGGCAGAATTGGATCATTCTTATGACTTATTCGAAGAATAGATACTAATCTACATCTTCCATGATGTGGCAGGAGTGGAAGTATGCATGAATTATTTAATTGATGACATTATGAACGAAGAAATTGAAGAGTTGAAGTTTTTTAATTCCATCCCAAACTTCATCAAAGACTTAGACAATTTTGGAGTAGAATTAAGACACCTAGTTAAACATCTGAGATTGACTATCAAATCCTTGGCAGATAAAACTAATTAAAATCTAATAGAGTTAAACAAAGCACATAGATCTTTGGAGATAGAAGTTAAAAAGATAATTGAACTCTTCAATGAGATTCCAGCCATGGTTACAAAGATGTAGCTTAGTATTAACAAGGCAAGAATTATGTTATAAAGGATTAAACTTCCCCATAATAATTATAGATCTGAAAACTAAGAAATTTACGATGAATATTTAAAATTATAAGAGGAAAATTCAAAACTTGAATAATTAATTTAGAGGCGTATCAATAGAGCTGCCATCATAAGTCAAGTGTGCGAAGAATAGAAGAATATTTTACAGTTTGAAATAACATAACTAAAAGAGGACAATAAGAACGTTATTGAGCTTTATCAATTATTATAAGGAATACAGGAGAAGGAATTTTAATTGTCCAAAATTTAATCATAAAGATAAGACATATGGTATTAAATGAAGTAGGTGAAATCAGAAGAAATATAATAATTAAATCAAATCGAGTTGAAGCAATTAGAATAGAAATGCATCGATATCATTCGATAGATATCATCATATTTTGGTTAGAATAGAATGCCTCATTAATTTATAAGATTAAAACTATGGGCAGAATCTGAATTGATGGCTCTTAAAATAAAGTTTGATGTTCCCAAGGTGAACCTTAATACCTTGGACTCTTCTTTGAAATTAAGAATTGAGAAACTAGTAAAATGGGAATACAGTGAGGAATAAAACGAGGAACAGAATGTTTCTCAATATATCCAATACTTCCACAATTTGAATCAAGATATCAGTGTCTAATAACCTGATGTTGAAATAGAGTTGGATAACTAGTTTGAATTGCTTCAAGATAATGAAGAATTACTTTAATTAAATGAAACTTATACTATTTGGAAAAACATGTAGACAGCTGCAATATATTTGAATGACGATTACTTGTAGGGTCTGCTTTCGTCGCATGACTAAGATCGTCTGGTGAAGTTCAGGAAGAATGTGTCTCATTTGTATATATTCTTTAAGCTAATGAAACAGGATTAGTATGTGGGGTATGTGGATGAGGTTGAATAATTGGCAGATCTGCTGATTCAAGGGAGGAAGTTGGATGCTAAATCTTTTATACGGTCGTCGAGGTTTATTCCAAAAAATTACAGAGAGAATTTACTAAGTGCATTTTGAAATATTGAATGAATGACTTGATTTTTTAATTAATTATTTTATGAATTTCAGATAAGATCAAATTGATTATAAGGATCTGGTGCGAAGGAGAGAGGAGAAACGCCTGGTCATTGGAAAGAAGAAGAATCAATTTGCTACAAGTATCAAGCATATTTACAACGTAGATTCACTTTCAAATAATGAAGAGGTGTACAAACAGTTATATCGCTTTGATCCAGAGGTATGCAAGTTTTCCAATTAAAATAGAGAGAATTATAAGAATACAGTCTGGCTAAGAATGAGGAACAGCCTATCTAGCAAGCAGGGCCCATTGAACAGTCACAAGAGGAGCCAATCGAGGAAGAAGAGCAAGTATTGATTGAATGATAAAATTAGGCTTAACCAGACAATGTCACATATACAGCTATGGTGAAGGGGTTATTCAAAGAGAAGGTGCAAGTGTCTAAAATACAAAAAGCCAATTACATCGATGCTACTGTCTTCCATTAATATTAGAAATTAATTTAAACTGGAGAAGATGCCATCAAATTTTTTGCCAAGTATGGAAACACTACTCCAATCAAATTCATTAATTGTGTGAGCAAAGCTGGATTCATTGAACTCTAATGTGAAGCTTACAATAAGAAAGACAAATTAAGACGTCAAAATAACACTGATGGCGCTGAACTTGAGTTGCCTATGGAATTCAATAAAAGTAAGGAACCTTTCCGACCTTATGACCTGATTGTTGTCAAAACAAGGGAAAACCAAAAGGAATAGACATTAAGAGAATATTATACCATATCTGCCCATGGGATAGTCCATGTTTATACTGATAAAGGAAAGAAGAGAATGCAAGGTGATTCAAGCACTGAAGTCATCTCACTATCTGATTGGATGCATGAAAGTACTATGTTCAATATTATCACCAATATTTAATTTTTCAAAAATTATGCCATAAGTAACAACTTTATATAATTCTAGCCAAAATCTTTAATATTTGGAAATCCAATGTCAGGTACAATCTATTTAGTAAGACCAGAAAAAGGTTGATACATGAATCCTTTGTAGCCAAACCAGCCTTTGCCCAGCACTTGATGGACATCAATCAAATGATGTACGAATTACAATTGCAGAAAACTCTAAGTAACAGTATTCAATAAGCCAATAAAACTTGGGAAGCTGATGACTTCTTCAAAGGAGATTAAAAGAAAGCCAGATCGGATGCATCCAAACATTATGATTCTGTGATTGATAAGGTGTTATAAAAATTAGACACTGTCTGCAAAGAAGTAATTGATAGAACAAACTAAAACAATTAATAAGAAAATGAAGAAGCCAGATTTGGATAATAAGTCAAATAGAAACCTATGAATGAGGAGAGAAAAGAAAAAGAGGAAAATGCCTTACTTTTACAATTGGCAGAAAAAGACAAGGGCAGATTACATTTGTTCATTAAATTGGTGGATTACATGACTGTTGAAACTCTAGTGTCTATTAATTAAACTTCTATGAGCATGTTATTGGAGGAAATGAAAAAAGAACGTAAAAATGGATTGTTCAATACAGCTGTGAATTTTGATGTTCAAATATTCACACCTGACGAAAAAGAAATCTCAGAACATCTGAAATGCTTGTTAGATGACATGATTGTGGTTATGAGAAATACTGCTAGAGTAATATCACATTAAAGTATGATTGGATACATAAAGAACACTAAATTAGGGGAATTGTTATCTGAGTAAAAAGAAAATAAGGATTGCATTGCTGATGTCCAAGGTATCATTACAGAGAGCATTGAATATTAAAACATCAAAAATGAAATATTTGAAAAAGTAACTAGTGATTTTCTAGCTGCAGAAGCCTATGTAAATACAAATTATATGAGATGTAAACCAATTTATGAATTTTTGAATACTTGGAATTAGGGAGAATTTGAAAAGGAGGAACACACACTTGATATCATTAAATCTCATGTTATGGAACTCAAAAAATGGTTGGCTGATATCAATTTTTATATTAAGGATATTGCTAAAGGAATTCTTAATGTGGATGGCAAGAAAATTAAAAATAAGCTTTAACCATAAGTTATTACCAAATTAGAGAATTTTAAAGATTACCTCTACAAATTGATGCAAAAGAAAGCCAATCAAACCTTAACTACCTTATAGACATACACATCTAATTTATCTAAGAATCCCTAGAATCTTAAAGAGTATGCTGAATTTATAGAAGCTATATAAGAAGCTGAATAAAATATCAAAGGACTCGAAACAGCAAAAATAGAAGTTGAAGCTATGCATTCTCTATTAAAATCTAAATTTGATTTGAATCCTTTGAAAAACTCTGACATTGTTATGATGGATGACATTTAGGCTGAATATTTAAGATTGACTTTGAAAATTAAAGAAGCTGAAGAATTGTGTAAAGAAAGAAAATAAGAAATGATGAAAAAGCATGAGGCTGAATTTAGTAAATTCATTACCAATATTCAAAATACTACTTCTTCTGTCAATAAAGGAAAATTGATATTAGAAGAAACATAACCTGCAGATGCACTACAATAATTAAACGAAATTAAGACCAGATCTTTAGACAGATTCAAAGAATTGGATAAGAACTATTAGCATTATGCCAAATTGATGGGATTGAGTGTTTCAACAAATAAAGATTTACAAGAATTAGAAGCTACCTATAATGATCGAAGGATGCTTTGGACTCATTCTGATAAATTCAACAAATTATATGAAGATCTATAAAAAAACATATTTACCACCTTGAATGTTGAAGAAATTGAAAAAGAAATGAAAAGTTATGAAATTGGAATTTTGAAGTTAAGATAAAACATTAACAATCTATCAAAGGAAGGAAGAGATAAAGTATTAGATCAACATGCTAGTAGAGTCGGTAATGTTTCATAATTTATGCCCGTTATACAAGCATTAGGAAATAAAGATCTAAGACCTAGACATTGGAAGAAAATATTTGAAGATCTAGGATCTGCTTGGTAACCAGGAAAAACCTTTACACTCTAAGAATTGATAGCTGACGGCGTCATGAATAAGAAAGATAAAATAGAAGAAATATCAGCCAAGGCATCAGGTGAAGCTAGTATTGAAGCATAAATTGAAGATATCAAATCAAAGTGGTCATAATTATCATTCATAGTCAATCATTATAGAGAAGCTAAGGATAAATTTATTATTGGTTCTTTAGATGATATTATTGCAGCATTAGATGATCATTAATTAAAAGTTTAAACTATGTTGGGAACTAGATTTGTTGCTGAAATTAGACCAGTTGTTGAGGAATGGGAAAGGAAGTTAGTTCTCATTTCAGATATCATTGATGAATGGCTATCTTGTCAAAGATAATGGATGTATTTAGAAAACATTTTCAGTGCTGACGATATCTAAAAGTAATTACCTTAAGAAACAACTAAATTTATGGGAGTTGATAAATTCTGGAGAGACATTATGATGAAAACATTTAAAAGACCATTAGTATAAGATTGTTGTAATTCTGAAGAATTATTAAAGAAGTTTTAGATTAATAATAAGATTTTGGAAGATATTTAAAAGAGTTTAGATAATTATCTAGAAACAAAAAGATAAGCATTTCCAAGATTTTACTTTTTGTCAAATGATGAGTTATTGGAAATCTTATCACAAACTCGTAATCCTCATGCAGTTTAAGCTCATTTAAGAAAGTGTTTTGATAACATAAATAGAATTAAATTCTCTGACATTGAAGACTCAACTGAAATCATTGCCATGTAATCAGCAGAACCAGAGACAATGCCTGAATTGGTTCCATTTTCAACAATAGTTATGGCTTAAGGTCCAGTAGAACATTGGCTATTGAGAATTCAAAATATGATGGTTAAATCGTTATATGATATTACTAAGAAGGCATATTTAGCATATCCATAAAAGGAATTAGAGAGAGATGAGTGGTTATTCGAATATCCAGCATAGCCAGTTTTGACTGTAGATTTGATAAAATGGACAGAAGGATGTACGACAGCAATTGAGAGAATGGGCATGGGTAGAAAAACATCATTGTCATAATATTACGATTTTATGGTCTAATTATTAAATAAGGAAGTGTCAATTGTGAGAGGAGATCTGAATACTCTTCAAAGAACATTAATGGGTGCTTTGATTGTGTTGGATGTACATGCTAGAGATGTTGTTGCAACTATGGTTGATAAGAATGTAGCATCTTTAAATGATTTTGAATGGGCCAAACAATTGAGATATTATTGGGAAGCAGACGTCGATAATTGTGTAGTCAGATAAACCAATACAAGATTTATTTATGGTTATGAATACTTGGGAAATGGACCAAGGTTAGTTATTACTCCACTTACTGATAAATGTTATATGACATTGACAGGAGCATTGCATTTAAATTTTGGAGGAGCTCCTGCAGGACCAGCTGGTACTGGTAAAACTGAAACAACTAAGGATTTGGCTAAAGCATTAGCTGTTCAATGTGTGGTGTTTAATTGTTCTGATGGTTTGGATTTCAAAACCATGGGTAGATTCTTTTCAGGATTAGCATAATGTGGAGCTTGGGCATGTTTCGATGAATTTAATCGTATAGACATTGAAGTCTTGTCAGTCATAGCCTAATAAATATTAACCATATAATAGGCGATTAGATAGAAGGTAGATCAATTTGATTTTGAATCTCGTACAATTCCTTTGAATAGAAGATTTGGAGTATTTATTACGATGAATCCAGGATATGCAGGTAGAACTGAATTACCAGACAATCTTAAAGCCTTATTCAGACCAGTGGCTATGATGATTCCTGATTATGCTATGATTGCAGAAATCATTCTATTTTCAGAAGGATTTGAAGGTGGTAGAATATTAGCTCGTAAGATGGTTAATTTATATTCATTATCATCTGAACAATTAAGTAAGCAGGATCACTATGATTTTGGTATGAGAGCAGTCAAATCAGTGTTGGTTATGGCAGGTGCCTTACGTAGAAAGAATGCAAATAAGCCTGAAAATGAAGTGCTTATCAAAGCAATGAAGGATAGCAATGTTCCAAAGTTTCTTGAGCATGATCTACCATTATTCAATGGAATTATCAAAGATCTATTCCCAGAAGTGGATATGAAAGAAGAAATAGATAAATAATTAGTTGATGCTATTACAANTCGTAATCCTCATGCAGTTTAAGCTCATTTAAGAAAGTGTTTTGATAACATAAATAGAATTAAATTCTCTGACATTGAAGACTCAACTGAAATCATTGCCATGTAATCAGCAGAACCAGAGACAATGCCTGAATTGGTTCCATTTTCAACAATAGTTATGGCTTAAGGTCCAGTAGAACATTGGCTATTGAGAATTCAAAATATGATGGTTAAATCGTTATATGATATTACTAAGAAGGCATATTTAGCATATCCATAAAAGGAATTAGAGAGAGATGAGTGGTTATTCGAATATCCAGCATAGCCAGTTTTGACTGTAGATTTGATAAAATGGACAGAAGGATGTACGACAGCAATTGAGAGAATGGGCATGGGTAGAAAAACATCATTGTCATAATATTACGATTTTATGGTCTAATTATTAAATAAGGAAGTGTCAATTGTGAGAGGAGATCTGAATACTCTTCAAAGAACATTAATGGGTGCTTTGATTGTGTTGGATGTACATGCTAGAGATGTTGTTGCAACTATGGTTGATAAGAATGTAGCATCTTTAAATGATTTTGAATGGGCCAAACAATTGAGATATTATTGGGAAGCAGACGTCGATAATTGTGTAGTCAGATAAACCAATACAAGATTTATTTATGGTTATGAATACTTGGGAAATGGACCAAGGTTAGTTATTACTCCACTTACTGATAAATGTTATATGACATTGACAGGAGCATTGCATTTAAATTTTGGAGGAGCTCCAGCAGGACCAGCTGGTACTGGTAAAACTGAAACAACTAAGGATTTGGCTAAAGCATTAGCTGTTCAATGCGTGGTGTTTAATTGTTCTGATGGTTTGGATTTCAAAACTATGGGTAGATTCTTTTCAGGATTAGCATAATGTGGAGCTTGGGCATGTTTCGATGAATTTAATCGTATAGACATTGAAGTCTTGTCAGTCATAGCCTAATAAATATTAACCATATAACAGGCTATTAGATAGAAGGTAGATCAATTTGATTTTGAATCTCGTACAATTCCTCTGAATAGAAGATTTGGAGTATTTATTACAATGAATCCAGGATATGCAGGTAGAACTGAATTACCAGACAATCTTAAAGCCTTGTTCAGACCAGTGGCTATGATGATTCCTGATTATGCTATGATTGCAGAAATCATTCTATTTTCAGAAGGATTTGAAGGTGGTAGAATATTAGCTCGTAAGATGGTTAATTTATATTCATTATCATCTGAACAATTAAGTAAGCAGGATCACTATGATTTTGGTATGAGAGCAGTCAAATCAGTGTTGGTTATGGCAGGTGCCTTACGTAGAAAGAATGCAAATAAGCCTGAAAATGAAGTGCTTATCAAAGCAATGAAGGATAGCAATGTTCCAAAGTTTCTTGAACATGATCTACCATTATTCAATGGAATTATCAAAGATCTATTCCCAGAAGTGGATATGAAAGAAGAAATAGATAAATAATTAGTTGATGCTATTACAAATTAACTCAAATTGATTCATTATGATGATCCAGCTGCTTTTAAAAAGAAAATCTGCTAATTGATGGAAACCATACAAGTGAGACACGGAGTCATGGTTGTTGGTCTAACTGGTACTGGTAAAACTACATTAATACATACTCTTGCAAGAGCTATGGAATAGTTAAATAAAGAAGGATCTTAAGATTATTATCATAAAGTTGTGTAAAAGCAAACATTGAATCCAAAATCAGTTACTATGAATGAATTGTTTGGTTATACTAATGTGTTAACAAATGAATGGACAGATGGTATTGTTGCTAGTATAGTAAGAACTGCAGTTACAGATACAACTGATCAGAAGAAGTGGATCATTTTTGATGGTCCAGTGGATGCACTTTGGATTGAAAATATGAATACAGTGTTGGATGATAATAAAATGTTATGTTTAAACAATGGTCAGAGAATTAAGTTGCCTGCCACATTCACTATGATGTTTGAAGTTTAAGATTTGGCAGTGGCATCTCCAGCTACAGTAAGTAGATGTGGTATGGTTTACATGGAACCACATCATCTAGGATGGGAACCATTAGTAAAGACATGGGGAGTGTAAATGAGAGAATAGTATATGAAAGATGATAAGGTTCCAACCTATGTGGATACTCTAATTGATAAGATTGAGCATTTCTTTAAAGATAATTTGAAAGTTGTGAGAGAAGAATTCAAAGAGAAAATTCCAACTACTGTTAACAATATTTTGAAATCACTACTTAATTTGGCTTAAATTAATTTGAAATCATTGACTGAAACGGTTAATCTAGAGAAGTTGAACAAATTTGATATGGAATCTCATATTGCTATGGTATTGATTTTCAGTTACATCTGGAGTGCTGGAGCAAATCTACATGATTCCAGTAGATCTTAATTTAGTTAATATTTGAAAGGAAAGATCATTTCATTATTTAGTGGATTCCCATTTGAAGGAGATGTCTACGATTACTATTGTGATTACAAGAGCAAGGAATTCAAACCTTGGACTGATAAAATTTAAGAGTTCAAATATGATTCAAACATACCTTATTTCAATATCTTAGTACCAACAAGTGACACAGTCAAATTCAAATATTTGATCACTCAATTAATTGAGGGAGGATTCAATATTCTTCTATCTGGAGAAACTGGTACTGGAAAGACCGTTATTATAAATGAATACTTGTATAGTTTAGAATAAGAAAGGTTCGTGTTCTCTACACTGAACTTCTCTGCATAAACTAGTGCCAAGAACTTATAAGATCTATTCATGGATAAAGATAAGTTTATGAAAAAGAAGAAAGATCTGTTAGGTCCACCAGCTGGTCGTAAAATGATCCTCTTTATTGATGATGTTAATATGCCTGCATTGGAAAAGTATGGTGCTTAACCACCAAATGAATTGTTTAGATAAATCATCGATCAAGGGGGATTCTATGATCTCAAGAAATTGTATTTCATGTATGTTAAGGATTGNTTATGGCAGGTGCCTTACGTAGAAAGAATGCAAATAAGCCTGAAAATGAAGTGCTTATCAAAGCAATGAAGGATAGCAATGTTCCAAAGTTTCTTGAGCATGATCTACCATTATTCAATGGAATTATCAAAGATCTATTCCCAGAAGTGGATATGAAAGAAGAAATAGATAAATAATTAGTTGATGCTATTACAAATTAACTCAAATTAATTCATTATGATGATCCAGCTGCTTTTAAAAAGAAAATCTGCTAATTGATGGAAACCATACAAGTGAGACACGGAGTCATGGTTGTTGGTCTAACTGGTACTGGTAAGACTACGTTAATACATACTCTTTCAAGAGCTATGGAATAGTTAAATAAAGAAGGATCTTAAGATTACTATCATAAAGTCGTGTAAAAGTAAACATTGAATCCAAAATCAGTTACTATGAATGAATTGTTTGGTTACACTAATGTGTTAACAAATGAATGGACAGATGGTATTGTTGCTAGTATAGTAAGAACTGCAGTTACAGATACAACTGATCAGAAGAAGTGGATCATTTTTGATGGTCCAGTGGATGCACTTTGGATTGAAAATATGAATACAGTGTTGGATGATAATAAAATGTTATGTTTAAATAATGGTCAGAGAATTAAGTTGCCTGCCACATTCACTATGATGTTTGAAGTTTAAGATTTGGCAGTGGCATCTCCAGCTACAGTAAGTAGATGTGGTATGGTTTACATGGAACCACATCATCTAGGATGGGAACCATTAGTAAAGACATGGGGAGTGTAAATGAGAGAATAGTATATGAAAGATGATAAGGTTCCAACCTATGTGGATACTCTAATTGATAAGATTGAGCATTTCTTTAAAGATAATTTGAAAGTTGTGAGAGAAGAATTCAAAGAGAAAATTCCAACTACTGTTAACAATATTTTGAAATCACTACTTAATTTGGCTTAAATTAATTTGAAATTATTGACTGATACAGTTAATCTAGAGAAGTTGAACAAATTTGATATGGAATCTCATATTGCTATGGTATTGATTTTCAGTTACATCTGGAGTGCTGGAGCAAATCTACATGATTCCAGTAGATCTTAATTTAGTTAATATTTGAAAGGAAAGATCATTTCATTATTTAGTGGATTCCCATTTGAAGGAGATGTCTACGATTACTATTGTGATTACAAGAGCAAGGAATTCAAACCTTGGACTGATAAAATTTAAGAGTTCAAATATGATTCAAACATACCTTATTTCAATATCTTAGTACCAACAAGTGACACAGTCAAATTCAAATATTTGATCACTCAATTAATTGAGGGAGGATTCAATATTCTTCTATCTGGAGAAACTGGTACTGGAAAGACCGTTATTATAAATGAATACTTGTATAGTTTAGAATAAGAAAGGTTCGTGTTCTCTACACTGAACTTCTCTGCATAAACTAGTGCCAAGAACTTATAAGATCTATTCATGGATAAAGATAAGTTTATGAAAAAGAAGAAAGATCTGTTAGGTCCACCAGCTGGTCGTAAAATGATCCTCTTTATTGATGATGTTAATATGCCTGCATTGGAAAAGTATGGTGCTTAACCACCAAATGAATTGTTTAGATAAATCATCGATCAAGGGGGATTCTATGATCTCAAGAAATTGTATTTCATGTATGTTAAGGATTGCCAATTCATTACAGCCTGTGCTCCTCCAGGAGGTGGACGTAACCCTGTTACTCCTCGTTTATTCAGGCATTTCAATCAAACCTGGTGTCCAGATCTCTCTTAAAGATCCATGGAAGTCATCTTCACTGCTATTCTTAAAGGATTTCTTATGGAATAAAATAAAGGATTGGATAAATTTGCATCTTACATTGTCAAATCAAGTGTAGAAATCTATTTTAAAATTACCAAGGAATTGTTACCTACTCCAACCAAATCTCATTATACTTTCAACTTGAGAGATCTCAGCAAAGTTATTTAAGGAATATTACAAATTAGATATGACAACTTAACAAATAAGGAAATGCTCATTTAATTGTGGACACATGAATCACAAAGAGTATTCTAAGATAGATTGGTCGATGACAAAGATAGAGATTGGTTTTTGACTCTTCTAATGGGGCACACTCAGAGAGTCTTTGAATTTGAATGGGAGAAACTTCAAGTTTAGAATCTCCTCTTTGGTGATTATAGCAATGCTAATAAGGATTATATTAGAATTGATAACCCGCAAGAATTGCCTCGTAAATTCTAAGACTTCTTAAATATGTATAACGCAACTCAAAAGCAAATGAATCTTGTATTCTTCACTGATGCCATCATGCATCTTAGTAGATTATGCAGAATTCTGAGATAACCGAGAGGTAATGCACTTCTGATTGGTGTTGGTGGTTCAGGAAGACAATCACTGACTAAATTATCTGCTTAAACAAGAGGATAAACTGTATTTAGCATAGAGATTACCAAGAATTATAGAGAGCAATCATGGAAGGATGATCTTAAGAAATTGTTAAAAACAGCAGGAGCTAAGGATTAGCCTGTAGTATTCTTGTTTTCTGATACTTAAGTTGTTAGAGAATCATTTTTAGAAGATATTAACAATGTTCTTAATACTGGCGAAGTGCCTAATTTATGGGCAACTGAAGACATTGAAGAAATTATTAATGATGTCAGACCTTTGGCGAAGGAATAGGGCTTATATGACTCCAGAGATGTTTTGCTTAAATTCTTTGTAAGTAGAGTCAGAGAGAATTTGCATATTGTCCTAGCCTTCTCGCCTGTTGGAGAAAAGTTGAGAAACAGATGCAGACAATTCCCATCAATTATTAATTGTTGTACCATTGATTGGTTTGACAAATGGCCAGATGAAGCACTCAGTAGTGTTGCAATGAAAGAATTGGGAGGGTAAGAACATTTAGGAATTGGAGAATTTATGGATAGCTTGGCTAATATGTCAGTTATCATCCATTCAGACGTGAAAACATATAGTGAACGATTTTATGATGAATTAAGAAGAAAGAACTATGTTACACCTACAAGTTATTTGGAACTATTGAAATTGTACATTGACATGATGAAGGTGTAATCGAATATATTACCACAAAAAATAAAGAAATATACTGTTGGATTATAAACTTTGAAGGATACTAATGAGGAAGTTGGAAAGTTGCAAAAGAAAATTATTGAGTTTTAACCTATTCTTGAACAAAGTGCAAAGGACAATGCCAAAATGATGGTTGAATTAGAAGGCAAATCAAAAGAAGCTAATGTCACTGAGTAGATTGTATCAAAAGAGGCAGCTGAGGCATAGAAGAAAAAGGACGAAGTTAATGAAATGAGAGATTCCTGCCAAGCTGAATTAGATTAAGCATTGCCTATCTTAGAATAAGCATAAAAGGCAGTTCAGAGCATTGATAAAGCAGCTATCAATGAAATGAAGGCCTTAAAGACTCCACCAAATCTAGTGTAAATTGTCATGTGTGCAGTCAACCTACTCTTCGGAGAAAAAGAAGACTGGCCAACTGCTTAAAAACTTCTCGGTCGTATGACATTTATTTAAGATCTACTTGATTTTGATGTAACAACAGTCCAAGAAAGAAGGCTACAGAAATTGAAGTAAACTTATCTAAGCAATCCTGATTTCACTAAAGAAAAGATTTTGAATGTGTCACAAGCAGCTACAACTTTGTTAGTATGGGTAGTTGCAACTGAAAAATTTGCTTAAGTTAAAAAAGTAGTTGGGCCTAAAGAGAAGGCATTAAAAGAAGCTGAAGCATCTTTGAAGAAAGTGGAATAAGAATTGTCAGTAAAGATGGGATAGTTGAAGGAAGTGTAAGATATGGTTAATGAACTCAAGAGAAACCTTTAGACTTCTATTAATAAATCAGAAATGTTGAGATAGCAATAATAGACAGCTGAGATCTAATTGGTAAGAGCAGAGAAGTTAGTTTCAGGATTAGCTAGTGAGGCTGAGAGATGGAAAGTCAATGCAGCACTGTTAGAAGAAGATTTAAGGAATCTAGTTGGAAACATTATATTGGCAGCTGGATCAATAGCATATCTTGGGCCATTTACTTACAATTATAGATCTGAAATCATAGCCAAATGGATCAACAATTGTAAGGAGTTGAGTATTCCTGTCAGTGACAATTTCACTCTCTAAAGAATTTTAGCAGAAGAAGTAACCATTAGAGAATGGCAAGAAGCTGGATTACCTGCAGACAATTTATCAATTGACAATGGAATCTTTGTTTTCAATTGCAGAAGATGGCCCTTAATTATAGACCCCTAAGGCTAAGCTAATAAATGGATCAAAGCACTAGGAAAGGAAACCAATTTACAAATTACAAAATTGAGTGAAAGTAATTTCTTAAAGACTCTTGAAAACTCGATTCGTTTTGGATAATAAGTTTTAATGGAAAATGTTGAAGAAGAACTTGATCCATCTTTAGAACCTATATTATAAAAACAAATCTTCAAAAAAGGAGCTCAATATCTCTTACGTCTAGGTGACTAGGATATTCCTTACAACAATGAATTCAAATTATATTTTACTACCAAACTACCAAATCCTCATTACATACCTGAAATCAGTATTAAAACTACTATCATTAATTTTACAGTCACACCATAAGGTTTAGAAGACTAATTATTGGTTGAAGTGGTGCGATAAGAAAGAATTGATTTGGAAGAAAAAAGAGTTAATTTGATTCTTTAAATATCCTAAGATAAGAGATAATTACAAGAATTGGAAGATAAGATATTGAAGTTGATATCTGAGGCATAGGGTAGAATATTGGAAGAGGAAGATTTGATTACAACCTTGGATGCTTCTAAAATTACATCTGATACAGTCAATTAACGTATGGCTTAGTCTAAGATTACAGCTGAGGAAATTAATTAAGCAAGAGAACAATATCGTATTATTGCTAGAAGAGGATCAGTCATTTACTTTGTTATTGCAGATCTTGCTTTGATTGACCCTATGTATCAATATTCCCTAGAGTTCTTTATTAAATTATTTAAAAAGAGACTAGAAGTAGCACCCAATCCTCCATCTTTAGAAGAAAGATTAGCAGTACTCATTGACGATATTACTAAAGCATTTTATATCAATATTTGCAGAGGATTGTTTGAGAAGGATAAATTGTTGTTTAGTTTTTTGATTGCTAGTAAGATCTAATTGTAGGCTCAATACATACATGCTAGAGAATGGAATATCTTTTTAAGAGGAGGCACTGGTTAAGTACCTCATGAAGAACATCCTTCATTCTTAAATGAGAAATCATGGAAGAATTGTATGATTTTAAGTAAGCAATCTCATGTCTTTGCTTAATTGCCAATGTCCCTAAAGGATAGTAATGATGAATAATTATGGAGAGAGGTTATGGATGTTTAAGACCCATGGAAATGTGATTTACCCCTTGTTTTCCGATCATTAGATCCATTTTAGAAGTTATTATTATTCAAAACACTTAGAGATGAAAAATTGGTTATCTTAATTAAAAATTATGTGTCTGACACCTTAACATCATTCTTTATTGAACCACCTGTTTTCAATTTGAAAGGTGCATTTTAAGATTCATCTTGTACTACTCCAATTATATTCGTATTATCTCCAGGTGCTGATCCAATTACATATTTATTGAACTTGGCTAAAGATATGGAAATGGAAACTAAATTAAAAATCATCTCATTAGGTTAAGGATAAGGTAACATTGCAAAGGAATTGATTAAAACAGGTAGAAGAACAGGAGATTGGGTATGTTTGTAGAATTGTCACTTGGCTATTACATGGATGCCAGAATTAGAGAGAATTCAAGAATTGTAAGTAGAAGCAGACACTGATGCCAATTATAGGTTATGGTTAACCAGTATGCCTACAGATAAATTCCCTGTTCCAGTATTATAGAGTGGTATCAAATTAACAAACGAGCCACCTAAAGGATTAAAAGCCAATATGATGAGAACCTATAATGATCTATCTGGATATGATTCTTGCACTAAGCAAGATGAATATAAGAAACTCTTATTCTCCTTGGCTTTCTTCCATGCTGTTATTTTGGAAAGGAGAAAGTTTGGACCCATAGGTTGGAATATTCCATATGAATGGATGAATTCAGATTTTGAAACTTGTTAATTATAATTGAAGATGTACTTGGATGAATAACCAGAAGTACCATATCAAACACTCAATTATATTATTTCAGAAATCAATTATGGTGGTAGAGTTACAGATGATAAGGATGTTAGATTGATTACTGATCTACTCAAATAATATTTCTGTCCAGCTGTTCTGAATGATTCAAACTATATATTCTCATCAAGTGGTGTTTATCATCCTCCTTAGATTGTAGATTTGCAATCAGTTATTCAATATATAAGTTCATTGCCTTTNTGTATCAATATTCCCTAGAGTTCTTTATTAAATTATTTAAAAAGAGACTAGAAGTAGCACCCAATCCTCCATCTTTAGAAGAAAGATTAGCAGTACTCATTGACGATATTACTAAAGCATTTTATATCAATATTTGCAGAGGATTGTTTGAGAAGGATAAATTGTTGTTTAGTTTTTTGATTGCTAGTAAGATCTAATTGTAGGCTCAATACATACATGCTAGAGAATGGAATATCTTTTTAAGAGGAGGCACTGGTTAAGTACCTCATGAAGAACATCCTTCATTCTTAAATGAGAAATCATGGAAGAATTGTATGATTTTAAGTAAGCAATCTCATGTCTTTGCTTAATTGCCAATGTCCCTAAAGGATAGTAATGATGAATAATTATGGAGAGAGGTTATGGATGTTTAAGACCCATGGAAATGTGATTTACCCCTTGTTTTCCGATCATTAGATCCATTTTAGAAGTTATTATTATTCAAAACACTTAGAGATGAAAAATTGGTTATCTTAATTAAAAATTATGTGTCTGACACCTTAACATCATTCTTTATTGAACCACCTGTTTTCAATTTGAAAGGTGCATTTTAAGATTCATCTTGTACTACTCCAATTATATTCGTATTATCTCCAGGTGCTGATCCAATTACATATTTATTGAACTTGGCTAAAGATATGGAAATGGAAACTAAATTAAAAATCATCTCATTAGGTTAAGGATAAGGTAACATTGCAAAGGAATTGATTAAAACAGGTAGAAGAACAGGAGATTGGGTATGTTTGTAGAATTGTCACTTGGCTATTACATGGATGCCAGAATTAGAGAGAATTCAAGAATTGTAAGTAGAAGCAGACACTGATGCCAATTATAGGTTATGGTTAACCAGTATGCCTACAGATAAATTCCCTGTTCCAGTATTATAGAGTGGTATCAAATTAACAAACGAGCCACCTAAAGGATTAAAAGCCAATATGATGAGAACCTATAATGATCTATCTGGATATGATTCTTGCACTAAGCAAGATGAATATAAGAAACTCTTATTCTCCTTGGCTTTCTTCCATGCAGTGATTTTGGAAAGGAGAAAGTTTGGACCCATAGGTTGGAATATTCCATATGAATGGATGAATTCAGATTTTGAAACTTGTTAATTATAATTGAAGATGTACTTGGATGAATAACCAGAAGTACCATATCAAACACTCAATTATATTATTTCAGAAATCAATTATGGTGGTAGAGTTACAGATGATAAGGATGTTAGATTGATTACTGATCTACTCAAATAATATTTCTGTCCAGCTGTTCTGAATGATTCAAACTATATATTCTCATCAAGTGGTGTTTATCATCCTCCTTAGATTGTAGATTTGCAATCAGTTATTCAATATATAAGTTCATTGCCTTTGGAAGATGATCCAGAAGTATTTGGTTTACATGCCAATGCAAACATTACTTTCTAATAAAAAACAGTGGCTGAATTTATGAGTACTCTACTATCAGTGCAACCAAGAATGGTAGCAGAAAAGGGAGTAGAAGAAACACCTGATTAAATTGTGTTTAAAGTAGCCAAAGAAATACTTGGAAAACTGCCTCCACTTTTAGTTTAGAAGAAAGAAGTGGCCATTGAATCATTAGCCATTTTTAGATCATAAGAAGTCGACCGTTTCATTAAATTGGTCCGAGTTATGAAAAACTCATTGGAATTATTATAGAAGGCTATTCAAGGATTAGTTGTAATGTCTATCGAATTAGAAAAAATGTTCAATTCCTTCTTGGATGCTAAGGTCCCTGAAAATTGGGAGAATGTGGCCTATCCATCTCTAAAACCTCTAGGTTCCTGGGTTACAGATCTCATCTAAAGATTGGTATTTAATAACATAATTTAATTTTAGGAATTCTTTAAGTAGTGGCTCGAAAATGGAACTATGAAATCCTATTGGTTGTCAGCTATGTTCTTCCCTCAAGGTTTCATGACTGCCACTAAATAGACATATGCTCGTAAAACCAAGACTCCTATTGACACTTTGACCTTCAGAACTTAAGTTAGACCTTTCTACAAGGATAATATTTAAGATGTTCCTTAAGATGGTATTTAATGATCTCATACGTAGGTGTCAATATTGATGGTCTCTATTTACAAGGATGCAAATGGGATGTTGGAACTAATCAATTGGAGGAATCTGATCCTTTAGTTTTGTTCTAAGAAATGCCAGTTGTTTGGTAATATTTTACATTCTATTAGAATAGGCTTGAACCTGTAATAGCATCAACTTAGAATCAGAATTCTTAGAAATTCTACAAATGTCCTCTTTACAAGACTTCCACTAGAAGGGGAACACTATCAACAACAGGTCATTCAACCAACTTTGTGTTATATTTGGAACTAATTACTGGTGTGGAACCAGCTGTTTGGACTAGACGTGGAGTTGCACTATTATGTCAACTTGATGATTGATTTTCATTTATCGATAATTATAAAATTTTAACTTGAAAATGTGTTACATAAAATTTGGTTAAAAAGAACCATTTCACTAAGAAATTTGATACTTAATTTGTTTGTTTTTATGTAAAACATAAATTTTATTTTGTTTGTAAATGTCTAAGCTTAAACTACAAGTAAACACTTCTAATCATTCTAGTTTTGCTCTGGTCCATCATTACAGAGTTCTATGGGCAACAATCAAAAAGTATTTTAGGGAAATTAACAGGACCCCATATCAGCATTGCAATAGGAAAATTTAATCAACATGGGGAATACCGATCAAAAGCGAAGAAATAATTGCGCCGGAGATCGCTTTATCCCAACTATAAAGAAGAAATTCAGTATTCTCACTGAAACTAAGGCACCAGCTCAAGATATTGCTTCCTCGTAAGCTGCCTTAGAAATGCTCTATAAATAATAAATCTTAGATTAAGAGCCTATTATGGAATCTGAGAACGGTTCGCTTAAGTTTATTAATCAAAATAACTTTCAATACAAGAATGATCATGTACATTATATCGATTCGATTGATCCAAAAAATTATAATAGGTATCTATACTTCAATATCCTAGTCCCCTTGTTGATCATAAATACTTTGCCTTACCAGAAACCATTTCAAGTTATTATGGAAAATATATAAGAAAAATCCCCAAAGTGCCATTTAAAGTGTTAGATGCCCCTTAATTATAAGATGATTTCTATTTAAATCTCATAGACTGGAGCAATTAAAACACTTTATCTGTAGCTCTCAACAATTGCGTTTATTTATGGTATCTATTAAATCTACATTAGGAATGCTTAATCTTCTAAGGTTACTAAACTGCTTGATCTTTGTAATGATGTCGTGACGAGTGTTGGATGGTCATTAAGAGGACCTTTGTTGGGAGTTGGAACTAATAATGGTGAATTATAACTTTGGGATGCTTGTAAGCTACAAAAGGTGAGAACTTACAAAAGTCATGCTGCCAGAGTAGGAACCCTATGCTTTGCTGAAAGTACTTTAAGCAGTGGTTCAAGAGATAAATCAATAATTTAAAGAGATCTAAGGTAAAAAGAAGACTACTATTTTAAATCTATTGCCCATAAATAAGAAGTTTGTGGATTAAAATGGTCTCCTGATAGCCAATTATTAGCTTCAGGAGGAAATGATAATAAATTATACATTTGGAGTGCAGCTTAATATGATAAACCAATATTTAAATTTAATGAACATCAAGCAGCTGTTAAAGCTATAGCATGGAGTCCACATTAACATGGATTATTAGCAAGTGGTGGTGGGACTGCAGATAAAACTATTAGATTTTGGAATGCTTTAGAAGGCAAAATGTTGTAGAAAGAAGATACTGGAAGTTAAGTCTGTAACTTAATGTTCAGCAAAATGGAAAATGAATTGATTTCAACGCATGGTTATAGTCAACATTAAATTATACTATGGAAATGCAATGGTATGAAGAGAATTGCTACTTTAATTGGTCATACTAGTCGGTATAAATTTATTACAATTAAGTGTGTTATATTTGGCAATGTCCCCTGATGGCTATACTATAGTGACTGGAGCTGGAGATGAAACTTTGAGGTTTTGGAGCATCTATCCATAATCTGGTGGTAATGAATAAAATAGTAAATGTCAATTGGCTCTCCATAATATCAGTATACGTTGAAACAAAACTATTTTATACTAATTTTTTGATATTATTATCTTTTAAAATATATTTGATAGATATTCAAGAGTCAATAGATTTGGTTACTTTAATTTTATAGATATATATATATCATTAAAGCCATGGAATTTATAGTATTTGCTATGCTGATGGTCTATCATTTGCACTAATTTACAACATACTCTTCACCAGTTTGAAAAGCTCTACTTCGTATTTACTCCAATGTGCTTTTGCAAATGATATCTTTGTTGGTTGATTCTAGTTTTAAGGCATCAAATTAGGTGAATAAGCCATGATCATTTGATGAATCACTATGCCAAAACACCATATATCCATTTTAGGATCTGCTTAGGATCCTATAGCTAATTCAGGCGGCATCATTGGCTATCTTTTTTTGATGAACTCGTAATGAAAGGCATCTAGAATGTCACCCTTTCTTTAGATATTCCCAAAATCTCCAAGTTTAACCTCTATTTAATTATTTAGATACTGTTCTAATAAGATCCTCTGGTCCTCTTGTACAATGCAAAGTCTCTATTCTAATATCCATATGAACATAATCTCAAATATGCAGACAAATTACTTAAATTATGCAAATAATTGAGTCCTTCGGCTATCTCCTAAATGTAGGATCTTAATTTAATCATATTTGTTATAGGACGTGCTTACTAAAAGTTTAAAATAACAATTGTACTTCTAGAATTGTTTTCTTGAAGTAGTTTGCCTCGTTTAAGAACTCCAATACTATTTTTTTCTCCTCGTAATTCTGCTCTTTAACCTAAATTATTGATTGTGCTTATACTTTAACAATATTAGGATGATCTAAAGTAGGATGTATCTCAAATTATTTGATGACTTAGGATCTCCAAGTTGGATCCTACAAGGCCTCAATTTAGAGTTATTTTACGAACACCTATACATTTTAAACCAATATTCTACTTTATTAAAATCCCAATCTAATGCAACTATGTTCTTGTTGAATTTCGAAGGTTCAAATTCCTCGAGTTAACTGTAACTTTTCTTAGGAGGCATCCAGTTCTCATCATCTGAATCAATAATTTCACCAAAATTTTACGGAAGTTGGTGTTATTACTTTAATGAATCATCTGAATCACTCATCACAATTTTTATAATATATTAAAAAAATAAGTGCGAAAATTTTGAATTCAAAACCCATCTGGTAACAAGTCAATCAGAGTCTTTATTCTAGTGTGAATTCTTAAATCCTTATCCTCTCTCCTTGTTAGAGATCCAATATTTTTTCCCTTTCTTTCAGATTTCAAAGCTTATTCACTTTCTTTCACTTTCTTTTCTAATAATTACACTATGAGAGCGTCCTTCTTTTTTGCCTAGGATTTCAGTAAATGATTCTCATTCATCAAAGTTCTTAGAATTTAGGTTTAGAAAACTCTTTAAGAATCACTCCTAATAGCCATTTCAAAAGGTTAATAATTTGTGATTTTATAAAAATTAAAAATTATCATTTTATAAGGAATCAAATCGAATATCTCATGAATTTTATCTCAATATAATTATTAACAACTAGTTTCTATCCATAATTTTTTGATGAATTCTTATTTTATGCCATCAATTTATAATCTTAAAGGTTACTCATAATTTTTTAATTCATTTCAAAAGAATTCTCAATTATTTTAATATTCCTAACTATTTTACCACTCTATTATTTTCTTTCATTTATAAAGTTAGAAAATTTATAATATCAATTCTCTCTTAATTCTATTTATTTCTTCTAAAACTAAATAAGTCACTTTCATTTGTATTAAACATCATTCATTTGAACACTTTGATAATTCTACAGGGACATATATGCAGACTATTATTTTTAATCATTTTCTAGTTTTTAGAATAAATTATTTGTATTTATAAACTTTCTTAGCCCGCTATTATTAAATTTTTTTTTTTTTATGTTGCAAGAAAATTAAAGGGAAAACGAGAAAAAGCAGTATTCAATGTTCTATCCAGAAGATGAGAGATCAAAGAGCCATTTCTTAAATTAACAATACCTTACTAATTTCTTTGAATTTACTAATCATTACAAGGAACCTGATTTGCAAAATTAAGGAAAATAGGAAGAAAAAAACTAACATAAAATTCCCATTATTATTTAATATGAGCAAGAACCTAGATATGTTAACCAGAAATAGTAATTTAATTTATTAACTTCTAGATATAGACGAATCATGATCAGGAGAATCAAAAGAGCATAATAAGCATTAAAGCTAGAGGAATTGAGGACAAAGCAGGCAACAAAGGTTTTAGATAAATCCAACTAAAAGTATATATACGAATCAAGGCATTAACATGCATTAAAACGAGAAAGAGGGCCAGATGGAAAATTTTTAAAAAAACAGAACTCTGTTGATTCTCCATCCAAACTTTGAGTTAAGTCTTTGTATATTTGTTTTTTCTTTTGTTAATTATATATAATAACCAAATAAAATGGCATCATTTGTCTAATCACAAATGCGTGTTTATAAAATTAATTGATTAAAATAAAACTTAAAAAGTTATCATTGAATAAAACCTTCTACTTTATATACAAAATTCTAATATTAAAGAAAATAAAACTTCTATTCTATTTTGGTAGAATTTAAATTTATTAATATTTATTTAATGAAATAAGTTTTCCGATTGTTTATTAATTATTTAGATTGATTAAATATATATAGAGTTTACAAAGATTGTACAATATATATATCATAAATTATTTATCAAATAAGTTATCAAAAAATCATAATGATATATGGATTCCAAATTTTTTAAGTTCATCTATCTTTTTTTTAGCCTTGACAGCTGTAAAATTGTTTTAGTTCAGATATAAATTTTTTAAGTTGGTTTGAGCATTCTATTTCAATTGGGCTAATATATTATCAAGGCATTTTTCTGTCAAATTATTTTGTTGGAGATGCAAAGTATTGATTCTTTTATTATAACAAGAATAATTTACTTTGTTTAAGTGATGTTCAATGCCAGTTTGTATATTAGATCATCTGTTAATTTACATTTACTTAATTTCAAGACCTTTACTGTTTGAGTACCTTTTAAATAATCTCCCAATATTTATATAATTTGATCATTAAAATCTGGATAAAAATAATACTATTACCTATAGAACTTAAATCAATGATTTCACTTTTGTCTTAATGAATGATACTAAAAGCATTCGATAGTTTATCATTCATTTTTTGATTGTTTGTGAATTTCTTTTATTATTTTGAATTGCTATTTGAATTGTTATTGTTAATTTTAGATTGTTTTTAAACAAGAATTTATGAAACATCCAAAAGTTCATGGTGTGATAATGTCATACTTCTTTCTTTTAATTTGATAGGTTAGTTTTGGCCAGAAGCAAAATTGATTGATTTGGTCATATCTTAAGATGGTGAAGTTGGTTGAGTTGGTTACTGTGATTAAGAAAATATACCTGAATATCTTTTTCCTTTTGATACATCAAGTTATAATGGTTTTTATTATTCCTATTGATTGAATGTTTCTTCTTAAAATAATTTATCTTCTAATAGAAAGTCAGATTGATCAATTTTTTTAATAGGATCTTTCTCTTCTACTATACATTCTAGAGGTTGAATGAATTCCTATTTAAGTATTTCAGATTTCGTTTTGTTTAATCCCATCATTTTAGTAATGTAATTCAAGATTATTTGAATAGGTACTTAAACATCAAGTGAAGTATAAGTTTATTCAACTTTTATATTGATTTGCTATTTCATTTTATCAAATTGTGATATTAAAATTTCTCCTTATTTAACTATTTGATCATCGAATTTTCGACATTTCTATTCTTCAGAATCTTCAAGTAATAGGCTTAACTAGATATTAGCCTAATTTAACCATTTATCAGCTTCAATCTACAGGGAAATGAATTCTGAGTCTAGTTTATTGGACTAGTGTTCAAGAGAATTTTAATAATTAAGCTCTATCTTATGCAAAACTTATAATTTAATATCTCCGATTGATTTGATAAGGTCATCGAATTATAATTCTATAAGAGATTTTAAACAATTTTATTATTAATTAAGTCCAAGAATCAGTAATTGTTTAAACTACTCTTAACTATTTCTTTCAGTTTGTATTTGTTTGTAAACATTGGATATTTATTGAACTGCTGACTCTATTTATTTGAGATACTATTCGATGGGAAGATAATTATGAAATTTATGCGGACCAAATAATGCACAATTTACACATATATACTAACCATCTTCCTTACACACTAATTCTAGTTCCTTCTGATGCAATTTACAAAGACTAGCTTTAGGCAATGCTTCCATTGATTAAGATTAAGAAAGTCCTTTTTCACTTGAGAAATCGCTAACATCCTTGGTCTAATTGTGAATTGATTGTTGTTGTTCATCAGGAGTTTGAATGGTAGTTATACATCTAGCTGATGATCGACGTTTCTTTAATAATGTAATAATGCTTTAATTATGGGGGAAACATTTGATGTCTCTTTGGACATTGCATTATATTCTTAAATAAATCTAATAGATGTGTACCCGTCTTCTTTGCAAACCAAGGATTACTCCCCAGATGTATATTAATTGACACAAGACAAACAAATGGAATGACCACAGCTTGGCAAGACAAGAGGCGAATGATCAGTCTGATTGAACTCTATCGAACATTAACAACACTAAAATTCCATTAATATTTTATATTTTTTAATGTACTATGATATAAAATTTTCATCTGTAACTCTTTTATCTTCTGGCTCTAGCACCCTTACCACCGAATTTTCTTGGCTCACATCTTCTTGGATCAGCAACCAAAAGTGTTCTATCATATTATAATAAGAGATCTTTGATTTCTCTCTTTTAAGTTTCATCAATGTATTTTTGATAGTAAGCAACGATACCTTTGCTGATGGCCTAAGTAATATTTAAGATTGCTAATTCTACCTATCTAATGGCATAAATTTAAGCAGTGCTTCCTCCACCTCTAACTGTGACTCTGATATCCAATCTGCCTGTTCTGACTTAACCAAGAAGTAATAATGGTTCGAGAGCCTTTTATCTCAATGGGGCTGGATTGACTAATTCAATTGGAGCTCCATTCACTCTAACCAAACCTTATTTTATTGTATGACAGTACCCTTTCCTTCTCTAACACTTGCACTTGCGACAGCATTCTTCTTTCTTCCAAAGGTTTGAACCAATTTTGATTTTATTTGAGGAGTTGACATATCCAAGAATTAAATAATTTAATTTAATCAATTTTTCATTATTTNTTAAGCTCTATCTTATGCAAAACTTATAATTTAATATCTCCGATTGATTTGATAAGGTCATCGAATTATAATTCTATAAGAGATTTTAAACAATTTTATTATTAATTAAGTCCAAGAATCAGTAATTGTTTAAACTACTCTTAACTATTTCTTTCAGTTTGTATTTGTTTGTAAACATTGGATATTTATTGAACTGCTGACTCTATTTATTTGAGATACTATTCGATGGGAAGATAATTATGAAATTTATGCGGACCAAATAATGCACAATTTACACATATATACTAACCATCTTCCTTACACACTAATTCTAGTTCCTTCTGATGCAATTTACAAAGACTAGCTTTAGGCAATGCTTCCATTGATTAAGATTAAGAAAGTCCTTTTTCACTTGAGAAATCGCTAACATCCTTGGTCTAATTGTGAATTGATTGTTGTTGTTCATCAGGAGTTTGAATGGTAGTTATACATCTAGCTGATGATCGACGTTTCTTTAATAATGTAATAATGCTTTAATTATGGGGGAAACATTTGATGTCTCTTTGGACATTGCATTATATTCTTAAATAAATCTAATAGATGTGTACCCGTCTTCTTTGCAAACCAAGGATTACTCCCCAGATGTATATTAATTGACACAAGACAAACAAATGGAATGACCACAGCTTGGCAAGACAAGAGGCGAATGATCAGTCTGATTGAACTCTATCGAACATTAACAACACTAAAATTCCATTAATATTTTATATTTTTTAATGTACTATGATATAAAATTTTCATCTGTAACTCTTTTATCTTCTGGCTCTAGCACCCTTACCACCGAATTTTCTTGGCTCACATCTTCTTGGATCAGCAACCAAAAGTGTTCTATCATATTATAATAAGAGATCTTTGATTTCTCTCTTTTAAGTTTCATCAATGTATTTTTGATAGTAAGCAACGATACCTTTGCTGATGGCCTAAGTAATATTTAAGATTGCTAATTCTACCTATCTAATGGCATAAATTTAAGCAGTGCTTCCTCCACCTCTAACTGTGACTCTGATATCCAATCTGCCTGTTCTGACTTAACCAAGAAGTAATAATGGTTCGAGAGCCTTTTATCTCAATGGGGCTGGATTGACTAATTCAATTGGAGCTCCATTCACTCTAACCAAACCTTATTTTATTGTATGACAGTACCCTTTCCTTCTCTAACACTTGCACTTGCGACAGCATTCTTCTTTCTTCCAAAGGTTTGAACCAATTTTGATTTTATTTGAGGAGTTGACATATCCAAGAATTAAATAATTTAATTTAATCAATTTTTCATTATTT